TTTCCATGCAATCACAATAATCAGACAGAAAAAATAATTGTTTAGTTAACAAGTTGAAACAATTGTTTAATCAATAGTTATAGTTATCATGCAATCGTAACGATGGCATCTTTTTGAAAAAAAACCATTCCGTGATTTCCATGTATCATATTCTAAAAAACCACATCAGAAAGACGGACGATATATATACTACCTTTATTAAGGTATTCCGGATGCCATTTTTGTAAAAAAAAGTGCTCCAAGCCGTTTGTGAACCTGGAAGCACAATTAAAAAATCGTCAAACGCACAACAGTTTATTGCTAAATAATTTTGAATGACATATTTCCTCGTTTTGATTCATTTAAAACAGTGAGTAGTCGACGTCAAGATTGCCATAACGTCAATTTCACGATGGGAAACACAGCAGTCAATCGACTGTTCGCCAGCAGATAACTACTAAGTGCCTGTTTGGCTCTGTTTTAAATCGTGTCAGGGATTAGCGTCAGCTTGAAGACGCCAGGACGCTCAGACCTCATACAGGCATGATAATTGTTCTTTGTTATCTTCAATAACTCCGGAGTGTTTGAAAAGATGACATTGAATTGCATGGAATTTCGAAGATTTGCATGTCACGAGTGATCGAAAGTATGTACGAAAGCATGTTCAATGCAACGCGTTCACTAGAGAGATCGCGATCATTATTCTTACGTCATAGTTTTGTGAGAATGGTACATAAGAAATCGATGTACTTGATCTTATTATTCTTATGTTATAGTGAGGATGATACATAAGATATCGATGTACTTAATCTCTTTATTCGTATGTCAAAGTGAGGATGGTACATAAGAAACCTATGTACTTGATCTCTTTATACTTATGTCATAGTGAGGATGGTACATAAGAAATCAATGTACTTGATCTCTTTATTCTTATGTCATAGTGAGGATGGAGGAAGAAAACTCGATGTAAAACAGTTATAAGCAAAACCATTCACAGTCAACCCCACACACACTTTTAGCTACATTAACGCTGTCACCCAGTGAAATAACTGCATATCAGCATAGATAGCACGACGATATTTGGCTATAAAAAAGTTTAACATTTATCTTTCAAGAAATTGTACATTACACGATAATATAAACCGTAATAAGTTCTCATTTTTTAAAGGAGCGACGAAACCAACATATGTTTTTGTGATAGGCAAACATTCGCTTCGATACCATCGGATCATTTCCCGGTAGGTACGATAGCATTTGGTACAGTTTAAAAAATCTCAAGACTTAAATATTTAATTTGGTGATCGAGACCAGTCTCTGTGGACGGGTGTTCTAAACATGACATAAGCACGAACACTTTGCATCCAACGATCAGATTTTCGACGCAATATTGTAAAAAACTGAGGTGGAAAATCATTAAAATTAACCCAGGATTCATTTAACGAGATTGCCTGCATGATTTCCTGTCCATAGAGGTAAATGCCTTAAGTCTCCCGGCTACAGTTTAAAGCTAGCATCGCTTTATGCTACCATGAAAGAATAATTTGATCACGGTATAATAACACTGATGACACAGGGTGCGTTTTCGGAAAAAAACAGCGTTGTTCATTGCAATGCTAGCAGATGCACACCATTTATTGAAAACTATTTTATTTAGCAGAAGCAAAAGTACAAGTGAATGTGTCGGCAACCGCTCAAGAGTATGTTGTGACAGATGTTGATGTTGAACATAAAGAAACGACAAATCTCTCGTAATTAACACAAAAACATTCCACGATAAGACATGTCAAGAACGTGTTTTACACATGAGCAAGCTATGTACAAAAAGGTTCCGTTATGTACAAAATGAAGTAAATCAGAGGCGACTGCCGCGCAATCTCCTTTACAAATCAAAGCGAGGATTTAACAACCTCGGGTTGCAAACCAACAAAGTCCGGATTTCGACATCTTTTCTATAAATGTCAGCCATTCCATTCGAAACAAACGTCAAAGCAAATAGCGTAATACAGAAGGTACATCATTCAAAAATAAATAATAAAATGATATAAAAGGAGAAAGCGTCGCTACCAATTTTAACGAATATCGAATGCCAAAGTTCAACTTTGGAGTCTGATTTGACTTCAATGCAGGCATTTTAGGTTTTTCTTCTCCCCTTGCCTCGTCGACCACATTTCATGCCTCTACGCCTATCCCTGCATCGTTTACATCGTTTTTTCTTTAGTTTCCTGCGAGCTCTCCTATGTTCCTTCCAACTGCATTTCATGTAGTCGGCATGCGCTTGCAGGCCAAGGCAGTACATTTCCTCGGAGCCGTCGCATTCGCAGTTGAATAATGGACGACCGTTGGACAAATTAAATAGTCTCTTTTGACTACACAGACATCGGTCGGTACAGTCTTCGAGTGAAAAGCTTCGCGCATTCCTTCAAGAAATCGTTTTGCGCTTCACGGCAACTCGTGTCTCTCATACAATTCGACCTAGCTAACGTACATCCAGTTCTCTTGCGATACGTGCCGTTCGCAATCGATAAACACTTCTCCGTACGCGTTTTCAGCGATATACAACGCCCGTCTAGATAACAATTACATTTCCACAACGCTCTACCCTTGCTCGTCTTCCGTAGGGCCTTGATGGAGCGGACACACAATTGGAACAGGGATTTATTGAGGATATGTTGAGATCCGTGTTGTATGTATTAACAATGCTCGCACATTCGTTGGCGTAGCGAAGCAGCTTGCGAGCGCACTTAGTGTCCAAATGACATTCCGCCAAAGCCTTGTAGCAATTCGCAGCCAGGCATACGGACAAATTCGCGTACACTAAACAAAGTGCGGTGGCGAATTTCACTGACAGCACGGACCACGATGATAAATTACGTTTCAACATATCGCGTTTCGAGGGCGATAGCGCAACGACTTCGTTGGTTAGTGTGATCGAGTCGTTATATTTTCAACGACAACGTCGATTGCATTTGAAACCTAATCCATCAAATTAAGTGGGACAGCAGTTTTTTTGCATACTTCGATGCTATCATTGAAAACAAAACGAAAAATAAACAAAACTTTCGAAGACCACCCGTCGCTTTTTACCGTACAACACTGGACAACTTGCGCGAGTATAGCGATCGCTTTCTTTACAAATGAGAGGCGACTAGAATCACTTTGTGCAATTGTGCGTTACACGCTCGTCGACTCGATTCCCAGCATTCCGACAGAACTTTCGAGAAAGTGGAAAAATAGCAAAGCGTTCACGATTAGATCGTCTGCTTGTAGATGCCATCAATGTCTGACAGGTTTCGCCGAAATCCAGTTAAAAAAAGATTTGAATGGCGTGTCCGTTGTTCGGGCAATTGCCTGTTTTCCGGTGTCTTTGGCGTTATGATTGAGCCGCTTATGTCCACTTAAAGATTTAGACAGCTACGAGGAAACATGGGACTTAATAGTCATTAGGACTCCAGGAGGTATAGCAACATCCGTCGATGAAGTCCCAATCATAATTGCAAACATCAAGTAGTTATAACCCGCGACCTTTCTTTTCAGGATTTTTCTCGTCGGAGGCCGATTCCCTCTTCTCCGCACGAAAATTCGGTTGTTTTGCTCGTACGTGCACACTTCAAAAAACGTTATCAGTGAATCGACGCTTATCTCATCTCTATAGGAAATCATATCCATATAAAGGTCTAATCTTTGTTTATGATATTAAATCTCAACGTACACTCTACAACATCTTCAATTGATCACAGAATCGCGAACTTTCTTCTACTTATAGAATCACGAACTTTCTTTCCGACTCTATTCAATTTTAATGCACAGTCATTTTTGGATTCCTTTTCTCTGCCTTGTTTGATTCGGGTTCTTTGCCCTGTTCAATTTGAATTTGTGGCCTTCGAGCATACACAATGAAGGGACTAGTTGGAACCATAGTTCCGTCATTTTCAATGCTCCGAATGGAGACTACTAGTTAGCAGTTAAAGTTGCAGTAATAAACTGTAACTCGTCACAGTTACAAAGTCAGACAAAAAACATACGTAAGTACTCACAAAGTTCCATTTTGTTTTACTTCGATGCAATTTTGTGTCGATGTTTTACTTCATTTTAATGTTTTAATGTTTTACTTCGATGCTTCGATGTTTTACTTCGATGCAATTTTACTACTTTGCGTAGACAAGTTAAAAAAGTCTAACTAATAAACTTCTAGCTACCACATACCAACCACGAAGCAAGCACTTTGCAATAACTACTTCAAAAAAAGCTTTAGAAGCAAAGTAAATTACTCAAACTTTTTTTTTGTATATCGTGCTCAATTTTATGGTTCCAAACATTTTATAGAAGCGACGGTATTTTTTAATTTTGTATTTTTATTTACGGACATGACTGAACTATAAGCCTTCTTCAACGTGAATGAATTTGCTGTAAGATTTACAGTGTGAAACATGAAATATCTTAATCCCCAACAATTTATAAATAGTTAATCTATCCGTTGAGTATAGCCTCGCCTGTCTTATATTTCTATCTTAAATATTTCACACTGAAGTAAAAGACATACTCGATCACAATGAAGATGGCTTATCGTTAAGTCAAAACTACATGTCTGTCATTAAAAATAAAAAAAATGAGAACTATAATGTTTATATAAAGCATCAGGCTCATAAGATCGAAATACCCTCATAAAAAATCCATTGTCATGAATTTTCACGAATTGAAAAATCCGCGAAAAAAATCCACGAATCCTTTAAGGTATTCTAAAAATTAAATAGATCCTCTATTGAATTGAGTAGTGAGATATTTAAGACTATTTAATCAGTTCGTAAGACAAAAGCACTGCTCGTTGCCAAATTTTCGAGAGCCCTTCGAATAAAATGCGCCTGTCCGTCAGAGACGTGTTTCATTGAGTACCGTAAAATGGCGTCATTGAAGATCACAGTGACTGTGTTGTGCGATTATTTATCGTAGATGCAATTCGATTTCTTGTGATAAGGAATTAGAATCAAACGTGGTAAGGAATTAGAGTCAAACGTGGTAAGGAATTAGCTTAAAAATTGGCAATGCGTAAGTATTAAATGTGATACAAACAAGGAGTTATGTACCCGTAATTGAATTAACGCATTAATCTGACAGCTATTTAACAAATATTCTTCATAGTTCGAATTAAACAATTTACTAAAATAAACATACGCTACGTATTGCCAAGATAAATGTAAAGCTACTTGTTTTCAAATATAAATCATCGCACGTTTTGAATCCGTAGTTAATGGGTGAATTACTATTATGAGAACATGCAACAGAATGAGATGACAAAATTCTAACACCCCCCTGTTTCGTTGAAGGGGGGGGATAGGAGGCAAGACTGAAAAACACAAATCTCTTCCCACAATCGATGCGTTCGCAAAATTTCAGTTTCGAGTTTCTATTGTCCTCGCAGTGCCCCCTGTTGTCCTAATACTTGTCGAGCGTGATTGGATATTGGATATAACAGGGATTATGCACTACATCAGCGGGTGGGATAGAGGCCTCCAAAACAAATCAACTCGCTTGATGAGTGAAATATACCAATATTATGGTTGTGATAATGTTGATTGAATGCGAAATTCGCCTCACTCATACGATACAAGCTCTAGAGTTAAAATGTGCAAAATAGAGAAAAAACCAAAGACGAAATGTACATACAACAAAAAAAAACGCGAAGGCGCTAAAGGTTGCTGTATGTGGGGCCAAGCTAAATGGCTAATGCATCGTGATAATACCGTAATTTACACCCAGTTATTGAACAGATTAACACATTAAGGGTTCTTTAAGTCTGAAGCTTACATTATCATATTGGCTTACATTAGCTTAAATTAAGTATTCGTGTTACATATGATTACGAATTGACACGTCGACATATTTTTGATGTCTTCAGCAAACGTTATGTCGACAACGACGATTGGTCACGCGGCAAGTTGTGAAGATATTTGTCCACGGAAGGAGGTTGGTTCCAGCTTCCTCCCATATTTTCACCTCATGGAGAGGTATCCGCCTTCCGTAGGCGGAGAGAGGAAGTCCGCATCACCCCCAGCAAATCCAGCCCCGTCTATAATTTTTTACATTTTTTCACGTTCAGCTGAAATAATCGCTTCGACGACAGCGCGAACACAAAAATAGAAACGCCACATTACAATGCTGAAAAACAGCGCTGGACTACATCTTTCTTCACGACGATATTTCATTGAAAAAATCCCACGGTGAGTTTAGCCAGCGCGGAAAATCGCTCGTGCAATGCAAGTATTCGGATTTTCACTCGCGGTAAAAACAATTTAGATTTACAAAGGAAAAAATAAGGAATTTCATTTTTAAGGATTTAAAAATGTAAAAGACGCGGATATTTCTTTACTTCAATCGTCGAGTGTCGAATCATTGTTAAAATAATGCAAGAGATCAAACCTGACTTTCGGCGTAATCCAGATCAATCGAAATCAGTACTTCATCAAAATATCCAAAAATAAGCTCCAACGACGTCATTGAATGCAGCAAAATCCTACAAAAAGACAAAAGTTTCAAGGACATAACGACTACAATGAGAGCTTCAATTGTTTCAACCGATTTAAACACAAGAAATTTCAATTAATTTTATTATAACAAATATATTACAACGTTAGGTTTGTAAGTGCTTTGTTCAGCCTTTTGTAACCATTCGTAAGCAAAAAAGATTTAGATGAACGCCTTATTCGTTTAAGGAAGAGGGGAGCGACCTTTCGTCAACAAAAAAGATCGGGACGCTTATTCATTCAAGGGAGGGCGGCAATCTCTTTAGTGACTGAAGATGTTAGTATGACTACAAATAAATAAATGACTAAAAAGAGGTAAAGTTAGAAGGATGCTTTCTTCAATCAAGAAAGGGAAGGATTGACCTTTCGTCAACAAATAAGATCCGGACGCTTATTCATTCAAGGGAGGGCGGGAATCTCTTTAGTGATTGAAGATGTGAGCATGACTACAAATAAATAAATGACTAAAAGAGGTAGAGTTAGAAGGATGCTTTCTTCAATCAAGAAAGGGAAGGATTGACCTTTCGTCAACAAATAAGATCCGGACGCTTATTCATTCAAGGGAGGGCGGGAATCTCTTTAGTGATTGAAGATGTGAGCATGACTACAAATAAATAAATGACTAAAAAGAGGTAAAGTTAGAAGGATGCTTTCTTCAATCAAGACAGGGAAGGATTGACCTTTCGTCAACAAAAAAGATCCGGACGCTTATTCATTCAAGGGAGAGCGGCAATCTCTTTAGTGATTGAAGATGTTAGTATGACTACAAATAAATAAATGACTAAAAAGAGATAAAGTTAGAAGGATGCTTTCTTCAATCAAGAAAGGGAAGGATTGACCTTTCGTCAACAAAAAAGATCCGGACGCTTATTCATTCAAGGGAGGGCGGGAATCTCTTTAGTGATTGAAGATGTGAGCATGACTACAAATAAATAAATGACTAAAAAGAGGTAAAGTTAGAAGGATGCTTTCTTCAATCAAGAAAGGGAAGGATTGACCTTTCGTCAACAAATAAGATCCGGACGCTTATTCATTCAAGGGAGGGCGGGAATCTCTTTAGTGATTGAAGATGTGAGCATGACTACAAATAAATAAATGACTAAAAAGAGATAAAGTTAGAAGGATGCTTTCTTCAATCAAGATAGGGAAGGATTGACCTTTCGTCAACAAAAAAGATCCAGACGCTTATTCATTCAAGGGAGGGCGGCAATCTCTTTAGTGATTGAAGATGTTAGTATGACCACAAATAAATAAATACACTTAAATACATGCAGTGAAGTGATTACCGAGACACCATCAAAAACACAGGCTCAAGGTCGAGTGAAATATCACGACTACGGTTATAGATTATGAGATGTGAACCCACGACCTCCTGGAAAAGAAGATTTTTGTCTTAACAATCTTGATGTTTAACTTACGTTCATCGGCTTCTTGACCGATTGCCAACGTTTTTTCTTCGGATAACTTTAAAGAAAACAACATGACAAGGAGTTAACAAAAAAAAAAAAACGTGCCGTTTATCTCGAGACCCAAAGCAAACAGGCTGAAGCATATTATCATTATCGGATATATGGATGAATTTCTTGCCTTAATTTGAATAAAATCAACATATCTTGGGGGTATAACACAGCACATGGCTTCCCCTTCAGAAAAATTATGGCTTCAAACCGAGAGAAGAAAAATTACATAAACTTACTTTAATGTACGCTTTGATTTCTTCAGCTCGGTGCATATAGCGTTGTACCTAAAGAAATAATTTTCTGAAAATCGTTCTAAAGATAGCAAATATAGTGAATGGTAAAAGTAACATAATAAGCTGATAGTTCTTAAAAGAACTGTTTTAAGTAAAGAGCACTAACCCAACAGTTCTAAATTAAGCGACACGATGCATTTTGGCAGACTACACCTCAGGTGTCAACGTCTCCATGACGCGTAACTGAAGGAATGAACGGCTTTGGTAGTCTGCCGAAATGCATCGTGTTGTTTAATTTAGAACTATTGGAGTGCTCTTACAAAACAGTTCTTTAAGAACTATCAACTTGTTATATTACTTTTACCATTCACTATGGCATTTGCTATCTTTAGAACTATTTTCAGATTTGTCACCACGACAAAGTTTCTATTTTATTAAACAATTTTCTCAGTTGTTGGTAAATAAACGATTTGGAAAATAAGAAACACGATGCTTTAGGGCTTTGAGGCCGCGTGCGTTCAGCGGTTTCGAATTCATCGTTAGCTTGGAAAAGGTATAGTTAGCTTTGAGCGAAAACATGAGATTTTGGATTATCTTTTTTTATGATAAATGGATGACACAAGGTAACTAAAAGTTCATGTCCGTTTGGCAATATGTGAACACATGTTCACTCCAGTTGATGTTTGTTTTGTAAAATCTTAACAAACAGCTAATGTTTGCTGGTTAAACCCAGACGCACGTTAACTACGGGGCTAGCTATATTTGAGCCAGCTATATTTGATTGGTCAAATTCAAATACGAGTTAAATATCAACTGACGTTTGAACTTCGTGAACAAAAGGTGCGTGTGCATTTCTCTATCTTACCTCAGCACCAAGAACATCCTTAACTTTGCTCTTTGGCAAATCTAAAGAACCGAAAAACCAAAGTACGTACATGAAACAATTGAGGTTATAACAAATGTATAGGGGCCAGGATACAGTAGGAAACGTTTCTGAAACAAATTTTCCATATTTTACAGGAGTGCATCTTCAAAGTAAGACATTTCCCTGTCGGCACAAATACTTCCTTTCAGTACTGAGTTTTTGTAAATATTTCACACAAAGAACATGTAAAACAATGGATTATGACCTACGGTATTTGCCCCAAATACAAGGTGTATCAAAAAGAAGAAAACCTTAAGAAACTATGGTGAAATTATTCACACCTATGGTGAAATTTCAATGCCTATTAGATCACTATGTTCATCTCACAGTTGCATTACCGTGCATGTTTTTCTGTAAGAAGTTGTGTCTAATTCCTAGGAGTAGAAAGCTTTTGTGTTATTAAAAAAGATATGTACTATATGTACGTAGCTGGCGATACTTTAGGCACCCGTAGCATAGTGACAGGCTTTGAAATTAACACAATACGTCAATTTATAAAGGTCTACTGTTTTTTGGTACATCCTGTATGGCAACCTTGAATGGCTCAGCCGTTGTATCTTACTGATCTATATAAATGCAGTTTGGTTTGGGTTCCTTTGTCTGTATTGCACAGTTCAATGCCAGGGCAAAAATTGGTAGTATACTATGAAGTGAGATGAATTTAGCGTTGAATCAACATTAACAAAACCATATCATCTGTCATTTAGATCATCAAGGGAGCTAATTTCTTGGAAATGTTCATTGTAGTGGAATGACGTTAAGACACTACATAAGATTTGCTTTGCAAATCATGCTTCCCAAAAACGTGTTTTCCTAGAAATTGTGACTATTGTTACCTCGTGATTGGCATTACCACGTGATTGGCATTAGAGAGGTTGAAGAGAATTTGACCGATAATTTGAACTTGATACCTTTTAATACGGGCATCAGCACTGACAGTGCAGTTTGATATTGTTCTAAGGCTGAAGGAAACAGTCCATTTTCATCCTAATTTACAACAAAAATGTAATGAAGTGAAAATTCTCTTTCTCAAAAAATCGACAACCGATTTAGACTCTTACCTTAAGTTCTGCGACTTCAGCAAGTTTCAAACCATCAGCCAATTGAGGATTATCGTCAGCGGATCTTCCTAAAACAATCAACGAAATATTGCAAAAATGTCTCGTACGATAATTTTCACGCTTTAAAACTAAACCATTTTTGGTCAAACAATTAGGAATGTTTAAGTTCTTCAAAACATCTATTGCTATTCTTATGGGAAAGTGGGTTTCTAATATCCTGTATTTTAAGGACATAATCTTCTCTTCAATTACAAAGGCTGCCCGAAGAATGTTTCAAGTTCTCAAGAAATTTATGAGATTTCTCGCGGGAAAGGGAAGAATTGTGTTTCAGACACCATATCTCTCTTCTCTAATTTTCTATTCTCTAATCTTTCGTGTTCACGATAAACTAGCATTGACCAACCCGTTCTCCAATCTTTCGTGTTCACGATAAACTAGCATTGACCAACCCGTTCACGAATCTTTCGTGTTCACGATAAACTGACATTGAGCAACCCGTTCATTAATCTTTCGTGTTCACGATAAATTGACATTAAGCAACCCAATCACTAATCTTTCGTGTTCAGGATAAACTAGCATTTATCAACCCGTTCACTAATCTTTCGTGTTCACGATAAACTAGCATTGACCAACCCGTTTTCACTAAATATTTTAAAGTACAATTAGTTCATCTGATATTTTCAAACAAAACCCCGCTAATTGAAAGGTTTTGCACTCGTAACCTGGGTGGTAAAATGTCGTGAACGAGCTACCTACAAAGTCGCACGAGTATAAATATTGGAATCAAAACACATGCCAAATGACCTTGTTGTTTTACTGATATACCTGATGACGACCTTATATGAAATAGAAACAACAACGATCCCCACTAATCCCTGTCTATTCATAACGATGAAAGCAACGTGTGTGCATTGGCGTCTATCCAAGATGGCACTCGCATTTGCACATTCTTCCTTCACAAACTTTTCATTCACAAATTCTTCATTCACACATTTTTTAATAGCACATTCTTCATTCGCACCATTCACAAATTCTTCATTCACACCATTCACAAATTCTTCATTCACACAATCTTCATTCACACATTCTTCAATCACATTCTTCATTCACACATTCTTCATTCACACATTTTTCATTCGCACATTCTTCATTCACACATTTTTCATTCGCACATTATTCATTCACACATTCACACATAGTGATATAAGTGAGAATTAACTAGTTATTGTTCTCCGAATTGGCAACAACAGTCCACTCACGTAATAATTTCCTTGGCTCCATTTCAATTTTGGTGGAAGATCTTCGTTTCAAGTGTTGTTTTAATTCTTCCGCTCGGGCCATGTATCCATTTACCTAAAGGCGAACGAATCATTAAAAACACACATGATTTGCTTGATCTTACCGTGCTTGCCAAACGAGGAAATCAGCGAGACATACTTTTTGGCGAATGGCATCCTTTTTGGTTGCGTTTCGTTCGTCTTGAAAAAAGATACGTTTTTAAGTACATGAACACATACATAGTCGGGTCAATGGCGAAGCCAGTCCGATCTTTTACACTTATAATGCAAATTTTTCGGCCGCTATCCAAAGCAACCTGGAACAATGATTCGAAGCAATTCACGAACGTTAACGGATGTTAACTAAAAGTTTGTCGTGTTTCGAAAGGTTTTCGAGGAATACAGTAAATGATGCAATAAACGCCCTCCTTGGAGGGGGAGTTCGTACTAGACTTACTCGAGCGGGTTGTGGTTGGGTTCAAAAACACCAAGGTGATAGACACGACAGTAACGCCTCCCATAGAACCACCAGGGATGGATTCAGGATGATTTTGTTGCTGTGTGTAGGGTGCTGTACTCTTTATAAGATGTCAGTTAGTTCGTCTAGTTTGCATTTGATTTCAGTGGCCTGTTTGACGGTGTTTTTATGTGATTCAAGACAAGACTAGAGGGTGGGGGAGTGTGCACCCCTGCACCCCTACCCTAAATCAATCCTAATGCGTAAATAATTGTTGATAAACTAAGAAAAACTGGTATTTTTTCACTAACTTACATTGTAAGGCCGGCACAAAGTGATCCAATGCCTTTGAATACATCTGTACAGCTTCCTTAAACTTTGAAGCTTCGTCAAGTTTAACAGCTTCTGACACTAACGAGATCTAGAAGTGCACGAAAAAGGAAGCAGTTGCATACATGAAGTTGAACGAGAAGTGAAAAGATGCATATTGTGCGTAGCTACTGTACTAACGGCTTGCATTTAGGTAACACGGGAAAGATATGCAGTCCAGATTAGTTGTATGTGTATAGCTCAATGGACAGATACACATGCAGCTACTGGGCAATACGACAAAGTAGCTACATGTTTCAATTTCAGGTCGGTTGCACAATAGAGCGATGCATTTCTTCGAAAAAAAACAAGAACTGAAGCAAGATTTTTTTCTTCAAAAAAACAGAAACTGAGATGAAATTTGAGGAGACACGCAGCTCTATTGTACACATGGTTCGGCGTATAGATGTTATTCGTAGCTTACCGCTTTCTGTAGACTGTGCGATGAAGGTGCATGCTCCAGGTCGAGAAATGAATGATTGAAAAACTCTTCGAATGTAATTCTCTGCTTCGGGTCGCGTCGAAGCAGGGAAAGTAGCAAATCTTGGCAATCTTGTGAGACTTTGGAATCAACAGGAAGCTAGAGAAATCGAATAAGCGGCATTCATGATTGATGAACAAGTCAAAACAAGCATGTTTGGCGAGTCTGACTCCAAAACAATTTGTCACATCTTTCAACGGTGCTAATAGAAAATGCAAAGCAGGACGTCTAAGGTCTATACTCTAGAAGCTCGCTCGTAATTAGCAGCTCGTAGTGCAGCACGGAGGTTGCGCACCCATTAATCAATGGGAAACTCGTTTCTCTATTGATCACAAGATTAAGTGAGCTTCTAGAATTCGGGCGTAATTCTCTGACTGAGTCATTTCTCTTGTAGTATTTAGTTTCTAGTCTACGTGTATATAAAGTGTATATAAGTGTATATAAAATAGTTTAATAATTGGTACAAATAGTGTAGTCATTTGCAAAGCGCCCGTTAGCGATACATCCTGGCTAGTCTGTTTGACAAGGGATCCAATAGCATTAGCACCTCTGCAGAGAGCAACACATGCATACCGTGATTTCTCGTGAAGATTTGATCTTTTTCTCGAGTTCAGAAAACGTCCGTGATCTGAATGGAGGAGAACCGAACAACGCTTCTGAAATGAAAAAAGGACAGTTGTAAAGAATACCTGGCGATGAAAATGTGTTCTACTTTTGTCAGATTATGCCGAGTTCTGGCCGAGGCTCGACGGGTTACGGGTCAAACTTCGCGCTTCCTTCGGCAATGTTTCAAAAGATTCTTAACATAAGATGCCTGAACACATTTTTTTTGATCACTAAGGATAAGAAGGGAGTAGACGTGCTAATGTGGATCACTTAAGGATCAACAATGTCGTGTCGGATCATAACATAAGAAGAGGGTTTAATGGCGGTCCTTTAAACAAAATGAACAAATTGAAAATATCGCATTCTTAACAGGCTTTAATTACCGTAAAGTATAACACCGACAGACCACAGATCAACGGAAGCATCATAACTTGTGGAGCAAAACATTTCAGGAGCCTGGAAAAAGATTCAACACGGTCTGCTCAGAGAAGACAAAAATAGCTCAACTAAAAGAAAATTCCAGATAAAGTTTTCATTCACGGAAGACGTCATTGGATTACATTTGACTGTGTAGTCTATCATAAAAATGTATATATACTGGATTGGCGCTCTTTTTTCCCAATTTTCGCACTTTCAAGGCCTTTTCAAGCACAAAAAACATCAATTATTAAAAACTGAAATTCAAATTTACATGATGATATTCCAACGGTACCCAGTAACCGTTACAAAAGGAGTTCGGGTAATTAATAAACACGACGCGCACACGAATATTTTTCAAAGGTATTTTCCCTATTTTAAGGGCATTTTGTGTGTACTAAAATGCGAGTTTCCTATTTGAGGGTTCTTCAAGCAGGCGAACCATGTATACAAGTAGATACACCATTATGTCTATGAAACTATGGCCGTATACTCCACCGCACGTATTTCTATATATTTTACCAAGTATTTGTAATATAGATGTTCTACCATAAAAATATAAATGGTTACTCCATCAGTTATGACAGTGGCGATGGATTTTCCAGGCGGGAAACGTGATCTCGTAATGAACATTGGAGCCCGGCTTATTGCAAGAATATGAACTGCCACTATTGAAAAAATTTAAAGAAAGTATTTAACGTAAAGTAAAACTAATGATGCCTACTCGCATCTCTCGGACCGAGTCCGCGTTGTAACATTATATCATCATTCTGAAGATGTCGTGCCTTGCGACGAAACGTCAATAAAATACTTTCTAACGGCAATTCATATTCTTGAAATAAGCTTGCATGGGCTCTGATTACAAGGTTCCCATCATATGTTCCTCCACCATATATAAAGCTGTATACTTACCATATACAAGGGTGAGCCCCGGAGGTTGCTGCTGTCCATGTCTTGTTTGAGGTATTGAGCAAAGCCAAAATCTACGGGGAAAGAAATCAAACGACAGCTATCGTTATTTCTTAAATTCACGTTCATGCAGCAGTATTTGATAAAAATATGAAATAAAATATACTTATTGAAGATAATTGTGTTCAAAATGATGAAAATACGAGGTGGAAGCGAGCGCCGTGCAGCTAAAGTGGCAACACTTATCTAAATATAGCTGATTGGAAAATTGCGAAAAAATGTCAACGCTTGATTTCTTCATGACAAACGCTGACGAAACAAACGAGACACTACGTATGTTATACATCAATTTCACAAAAGCAGCTAGGAGTTATTGATGATCATATCTTATTAGATATCATATGTAGACTACTAAAAGGAGACTTGAAAACATACTACCATGAAGTCGTCAAAAAACCGGCTCAGTCTTTGTCTAATAATGTTGGATAGTGATGATTATCATCCAATTCAGCTTGCCTACATGATGCAAAGCTGTAACTAAGCAAGAAAAGGATCCACAACTTAAATATACACCATTTTTGCGCAACTTATACCTGATGTTTGGCAACTGTCCCAATGCTAAACTACTAAATTCTTTCTTGGTGTTGAGCATTTCTTTTTGATTGCCCGTGTATAATTTAAACTTTACATATTTATTTTATAATAGTTTATCATGTAAACTTCCTATGTTTGTTCACTTGATGGCATAAAGTATGCCAAAACATGTTTGCTATAAAGAAATTTGTCGTCTATTTTATATGTCCTATAACCATTGTGCTCTCACGAAATTATACTTATTTTATGCCTTTACCCATGTGTATGGGTTTCACTCTTGTGTTGCAAAATGAATAAGAAGCTTAATACGCACCTGCAATCTTTAATACGGCATTTTCTTTTGATGACAGCAACAAATTGTGAGGTTTTAGATCCATATGAGCAATATCTTTGCTGTGCAAGAATTGCAGTGCTAACGCTGCGCGTATATCAAACAAAGTTTAATAAAAACATAGCGGAACGAAGGCCGTACCGCAGCAAATAACACTCACCAAGTTGCTGGAGAAACCTTCTCGCAATTTTCTCGGGAAGACTTCGTTTTGTTTGTATGAATTTCGAAAGATCGCCACCACTGCAATATTCCATAATCAAAAAAAGATATTCTTTATTCCACTACAAGAAAAAGAAAGAAACATTGTTGCTCTTTGGCATGAGAATGATTAAAAACACTCCACGCAACTATTGTTTCAATACAGTCATGGATCTGGCAAGGTTTTTTTTTCAGGGGGGTGTTTGGTTTAGTGTACTGCTGAAGTTCAGCGATTTAAAGTTAATTATTTATTAAACTACTCATTACCAAAGTGGGGGTGTTTGGCTTAGTGTATAGCTGAAGTTCAGCTTGAAAGTTAATTATTTATTGACCTACTCATTACCAAAGTGGGGGGAGGGGGGTGTTTGGCTTAGTGTGCAGCTGAAGTTCAGCGATTTAAAGCCAATTATTTATTAACCTACTCATTACTAAAGTGGATACTATTTCCCTGTTTTGGTCAAAAAAATAATTATCATTGACACCTTTGAATCAAAATAAATATCATCGACATTCAATATGTCTGTCAATAATATTTATTTGGAAAAAAAACAATATTAAAATCCATCCATTGCAAAAAATAATATTAAAACCATCCTGCTTTTAATGGAAAAAGCATTTATTGACTTTATCATTGAAGTCAATAAAGGCTTTTTCCATTAAAAGTACGATGGATTTTAAGATTATTTTGTGCAATTTGCACCCCTCTACGCACCCCCTGTTGACCCTTGCCTAAAGGGATGAGCACCTCTATGTACCCCCCTCACCCACTATAAATCCACCACTGTTTCAATCACATCTGAATCCTTCAAAAACAATTGTGCATGAAACGAAAAATAAACCTTGAGCATTTCAAAGATGCAGAGTGTCAAACCATCATTAGATAACAGAGTTATGATCTAAATGTTTGCTTAGTTTCAATAAACTATGTACTGGTATGATAAACACTTTACCAAACCTCAAAATCTATAAGTTGTACGATATGATCGTGATTTATCTCCTTCAATAGTTTGATTTCAGTAAGTAGATTTTCAATAGCATTCTTTCCAAGCCTCTTCAGGTACACACACTTAATGGCAACAACTTCACGTGCTTCGCCCTTAAATATAAAAACAGGATAACTGTAAAAAATGGACAACCCACGTGCCAATATTAGGGAAGAAAGCTGTAGAATATCATGTTGTATTAATTAGTACGAGTCACTCAAGTTGTATATATGAATGTTGCTGATGGAAAACTGGGAATACTTCCCTGGTTAATGGCTATAGCATGTCGCTGTGCTGTATGACATTTATAAAAGATGAAAAATCATTTTTTGGGGTTGCTAGATTGAAGATGGTAGCCATCTACAGCTTGAGAAGTGCTCATATCATAGAACTTTCACATTTGATGCAAGTGTGGAATTACACGCCGTTTTTTAGAAAACTAAAAATTGCATGCGTAAACCTTTCGATATGCTTTATATACAGACGCATATGTCCCTTGTCCGAGCTTTTCTGTCATGACAAAGTGCTCTAAACGAGGTGGAGGAAGTTTTTCATTGATACCTCTTCCTCCAAATTTCGCCATCTTTGTTTACAACTCAGGCAGTGATACACGGGCTTACGTTTATTGCGGGCTCGAGCAGGCTGATACATATGAATGCTTTGGGAGATGGTTGGTACCTTGTCGTTGGGACCCTTGGGATGGGATATATGTAATATATCAGGTTGTTAGACCATAGGAACTAAAGAACCAACCACTGGGTTGAAAAATGGCAGAAAAAGCCGTAAAGGAACGTAAAATTTTACCTGGTGGCTTCATCAGCGTTGTCATCAATTTTCGGACTTATAGGTTTATGGTAGGTTGTAGAGGCGATCTTTGTTTGTAACTTCTCTGAAATGATTTGTAAGAAATTATGTTGCAAATTTCTTTGTACGTGGTGGCACTAGCACGTGGATGGTATTTTTGTTGGATTTCTGTCGCTGGAAATATTTCAGTAAACTTTTTGAGAGGTTTTAAGCTTAAAAACTCGAAGCAAGGAACTTTGATTTTAAATATTATCTTTATCACTGTACTTTGCAATAACCACGTGATCACCATGTATACGTACGTTGCGAGTTTAGTAATCCAACATTTTGATTAAGTTTTCTATCTTCTTTAATAAACAGACAGTCAACATGTGAAGTTTCGAAGAATTTTTTAAAATGCAACCACTATTTTTTACTTTTAGACTGTGATAAACAAGAAATGTCAGGTGTCTGATTTGATGAAAGAGGTGGAAAACACTCTGAACAAAGTATATTCCAAAAAGTATGTGTGGTCTTTTTCAAAAAAATCACAACATATTGTAATCTTTTGAAGAAGTATTATGTGTTATGATACTCAACAATTAGAAGAGGAAGATAAATGTTTTTTAGTCATTTTAATGTTCCCAAGATTGTTTGAAAGTTAAATGTGCATTGTAAGTTTATATATTCATCCAATCATTATGAACTTCATATCTTGTGGTTGAATACAAACATTAGAAAACATACTTGGTGACAATATGCCAAGAACTAAGATCAAATCGGATGGAAAAAGCACATTTCCTTATGAATGATGTCAGTTGGGCAAAGTAAATAAAATCTTCATTTCGCAATTTGCAATGTTAGGGTGGAGATCAAGACATTGAAAAATGCACTCAATGCAGTTCTACCCAAATGGTACAATGTTGTGCACTTGATTCGTGACCAAGACGAGGTTTATGCTTTCACAGGTATACCTATTTAATCATTTTCCTGTTGTGCAGGAATATGCTATTCAAAGTATTATTTTTAACAAGTATTTCGTGCATATAAATGGCAATTGCTCTGTTGCACGTTGTAACTATTGAAATCTGCACAATGGTGAGCACTATATCTCTAAAAGACTGTCTGTTGTACCCAAAAAAATTAAAACAACGAAACTGTGGAGAAATTGTCACATGCAAATTAACTTATGAAGAACAGAGGGAATGCCAAATTATGGTTTTCAAATCGTTTGCATGAAGAATTAGTTTGGGACTTTGGGTCTAAAATTTTCCAGTCTGTGCTCTCACAATTTTGTTAAAGTGTTCTTATTTGCTCAATGACCAGTGAATGATCCATTTTATAGGACATACCATCACTGTGTATTGTAATTACGACATAATAACTTTTGTGTCTGGAGCGAGGAATGGTAACTATTGTGCCATTATATAGATAATGCAGCTGAATTAATGAGCAACATGGATGACCCCCCTGAAGGGAACAATGACTCTGGCTTCACCAGTCCAGCTAGGAGACTACCGACAATAAGAGAGCTTCAGGAAATAATTTTCGAGAAGATGACTCGGCAAGCGAGGTGTTCAGCGTCAGTTACCCTCCAACTATACAGAAGATGGAAAGGACGAAAAATGAAAATGGGAAAACAACCGCTGATAAACCAAATAATCAAAATGCTGATCATCAAAACAATGTAGGAACTACGGCGGTTGATGGAGGTCACTCGAGTTCTGACGAGGAAGATATGGAGGAAGATGATGGCGAAGCGAAGGACGGTGGTGCTAATGTGAAGAAGACGGACGTCGGTGATGTAAGAGAAAAAGACGGTGGTAAAATTGATGGAAACGGAGCATTTTCATGTAAAAAGCGCGGAGAGAATACAGGTCCATCACACGAGATTCTTGCTAAAGACAAAAATGGCAGTGAAAGAGCGATTGGCGCGATCCCCTCCCAAAAGAAAACAATGCAAACCACGGGGAAAAGTTCGAGCGCGGAAAGTTTCAACCGGAAGCTTCTCAAGGATGCCTCAAATGGCAAGATCTCCAGCGATTCCAGTAGTGATACGGAATCGGAAGAGAAAAATGGACAAAAAAAAGCTCAGACTCCAAAAAAGAAAATAATGAATACTGAAGGAAAAAGTTCTAGCGTGAAGAAAAGTTTCACTCAGACGGGATTGAAGGATGCCTCAAATGGCAAGATCTCCAGCGATTCCAGTAGTGATACGGAGTCGGAAGAGGATGAGAAAAATGGACAAAAAAAAGCTCAGACTCCAAAAAAGAAAATAATGAACACTGAAGGAAAAAGTTCGAGCGTGAAAAGTTTCACACTCACAGGATGGAAGGATGTTTCAGATGGAAATTCTAGTAGTGATTCGGAGTCGGAAGAGATGAGAAAGATGAACGTGAAAAGCGGCAGAAGAGGCTATCTCATTTCGAAGGCGAAAATAACAACAAGTAAGGACGATGCGAGAATTCCAGTGATTCAAGTAGTGAAACGGAAGACTCGGATCAAGAGAAGGTTCGGCAAAACGAACGATATTTCTACAGCAAAACAGACGGTAAAACGAAAACGGTTCAACGCGACAGTTTGCAAACAAACAGAACGAAACGAATGAGAATAGTGAGAATTCGTCAAGTTCTTCAAGCAGTTGGTCATCAACCGAAAGCAAGAAAGGGCAGACGGGTAAGGAACTACAGAAAGACAACAAAAATGAAAAAGCTGCAGACGTGAAGAAAACTGTTGCCAAAAATAAATCCGTAGCCAAAACTCAGCCGAGCGAGAGTCCTGTGAAAAACAGCGAGGGCATTCACCAGACATCTACGTCCCGCATATCACCTGCGGCAATGTCAGCGAAGAAAGTTACGTCATGGCTGTGGTCCAATCCCGTGTCTGGAGATGGTGACGTAAGTGAACATTCGTTGCAATCGAAAACTACCTCGAAAAGTAAAACGAAGGAGTCAAAAAAGGCGAGTGCCAATGCGTCAGAGCAAAACAAGACGAAAGACACTACAAGTACTGGTCATGGCAACGAAACCAGCAAAAAGTCACAGGAATCTGGGTCGTCGTCGAGAAAGAGCGAAAAGGTCAATTCGAAAAAGAGACGATTGGCAGACGAATTTGATCAACAATCCTCAAGCAAAGCTAAGAAAAACAAGACGAAACAGTCCGTAAACGATGAGCAGATGAAAAGAACAACAAATGAAGGTAAGCGAAGAACTATATATTACTGGCCATTAGATGGCGCCGACATTGATCGATAACATATGTTAAAATCTTCGTTTCTTTTTATCAAGACAAAACACCGAAGACCCCCAAACGTGCCGCTCCTCTTTCTTTACCAAGGACTCCGAAAGGATTGTCGGCTTTAGCTGACGATGGTAACTGTATGCTTGGCTTTGTATTTATACTTTTCATCACGTTTTACTTTAGAACAGACATAGAAAAAGTATCAGAACATTCTTTACAGTCGAAAGAAATGTTTGAATGTAGATCGTCCAGGTTGGTATAGTCCTGAGAAGGACTGTTTTTGTTGTTGTTGACTATCGCTAAGGTTGTCGAAACGTCAGTCAACAACAACAAAGTTCTTCTCAGGACTATACCAACCTGGACGATCTCCATTTACAAACATGTAACGATACTCCCGGGTTCCAAACCATTTACTTTAGTCAAAAGAAATGATAATCAATTAGTTTTTTGTTTTAAAGGTTGTCTTCCAACCCGACGACAATCATCCTCTAAAATAGCTCAATCTAAACTTTTGTAGATTTTGCAGATAGATCTAAGTAAGGGTAGCACTCAACGGTGATCTTTATCACTATTTTTTAAAAAGGATTGATGGCAGGAGAGGTGGTGGAAAAAAATGGAAATCTTCTTAAATCAGCGAGAATAGGCTGATACTTTTTAATATTAATGTTTTTACAAACAGTTCGATATTCTTTTGCTCTAGAAAGTGAGTGCGACACGGGGAGCGCAACAAAAAACATGGCGAATCCACTGAAACAGAAAGGATTCCTTTCGCCCTTCAATAAACCTCGTAAAAGATTGACAAGCTCCAAAACGCCGAAACCACAAGTGAAAAAACTTTCGTCTACCCAAACGACCGAAACGATAGAGCCAAACTCTAAAGAAAGAAAATTTCTAGACAGCGGTAAAATGAGCTTAGATGCCCTGTTAAACGATAAAAATATAAATTGGTAGAACATGCATAAATACACTGTAAACTAGACTTCGCTGTTTTCAGGGTGATTTCAACTTACCGTGTTCATAGAACATCTTACAAAACAAACGATGTTTTAAATGAAATTGGAGGATGCCAATTTTACATGTGCGGTATCATGCACACACTGAACTTTATATATGTAGTTCATATACATGCATGTGATGATAAGGCAACCAAGTTTTAACCACTAGATTTCTGATATGGTATTGTGTTATTTCAATTTACATAAGACAACAGTTTATATTTTTAAAAGTTTCGTCATTTTTTATATCATACATACAACCTGTATTGCTTCATGAGATTTTTATCCAAAACCTAATTCCATATCATTTACTTCTAAATGGAGTTTCCAGTCAACATTTCGGCGCACTTAGTATTTTTTAAATAATGAAATTTGCCTTTAGTTTTGACACGAAATCGAAGTGCTTAATTTGCACCTTTTTATGACGTACTGAGAATGGTACATTCTTGCTTTACCACTTACAATTGAAGTTAGGATGGTACATAAGAAATCTATGAACTTGATCTCTTTATTCTTATGTCATAGTGAGGATGGTATATAAGAAATCAATGTACTTGATCTCATTATACTTATATCATAGTGAGGATGGTACATAAGAAATCAATGTACTTGATCTCTTTATATTTATGTCATAGTGAGGATGGTACATAAGAAATCTATGTACTTGATCTCATTATTCTTATGTCATAGTGAGGATGGTACATAAGAAATCAATGTACTTGATCTCATTATTCTTGATTTCTTCACATATACCTATATGTTATAGCAAACCAACATACCTATAATGATATCAACTATTCCCAATCCACTTCATAAACAATCCTACAACATTATCCAAAGTTCTTAAACTCGGATGAAGGTTATCATACGACGACTTTATCGAAGCTGCACCAACAGTATAACCCGCTCTATGTAAACCACGGATCACCTCATTCACGCGAAACTCACGCGATGAACGCGAATTTAAATCTCCGTTCAACAAATAGTTAACAAATGCATCAAAGTATGGTGTTTCCACTATTTTCGGCGATAGTCGATTTTTAAATATCAGTTCTAATAATTCATCGTCCCATTTCGCATCCGACCGCTGAACAAAAAGTGTAACATAGTTAATAAGTTATTCGTTACATATTAAATATTTGCTAGAACACTTACGTCAATTCTTTTTATTTCCTCAACAATACGTTCACACGCTTCGCTATCTTCAAACATTAATCCAATTTTAAACGCATCAAGCTTCAAGCAGTTTTCCAAGGCAGCGTTCAAAATGTCTTTGTAATTCTAAGAAAACAAGATGAAATAGACGGAGTTTTTGCTTTTTATTGCACATTAAATAATAAAAGATCAGCAGCCACGTCAGTAATACATACATCCATTCATAACTACACAGAAACTCTGTTACTTAATCATATATACATACTACTGTAAAAACTGTTTAAAACTATCTCAAGTTTTCTTAGTTCATATTTTAGGTAGTGTAAAGACAGTTCTTGTTCTCTGTTGTTCATTCATCACTACCTACACTGACACACGTTATCTTAGTTTATATTTAAGGTAGTGTAAAGACTGTTCTTGTTCTCTGTTGTTTATTCATCACTACCTACACTGACACACGTTATCTTAGTTTATATTTTAGATGGTGTAAAGACTGTTCTTGTTCTCCGTTGTTCATTCATCACTACCTACACTGACACACGTTATCTTAGTTTATATTTTAGGTAGTGTTAAGACTGTTCTCGTTCTCTGTTGTTCATTCGTCACTACCTACACTGACACACGTTATCTTAGTTTATATTTTAGGTAGTGTAAAGACTGTTTTTACTCTTTATGTCTCATCAATCACTACATAAACTGACAAAAGTTAGAAGACTGTTTCCACTCTGTTTGCTGATAACCATTGACAAACTTATTTTCATTAATAGGATAGAAAATTCAAAGGACAATTTTTCATCATCCATAATTGCTAATTATCAATTCTATATCATCTGCTATTTACAAACAGTTAAACTTACCGTTTTCTTTACGTAGATTCGATCACTTTTCTCTCTTATAATCTTCACCACTGAATTGCCGTCTTTTGTCTGGTTGATTAATTTTAACAAAACCAAATACCAGGCTTCTTCTAAGTCTAATGGAGGCCAGATGCTGAGTAAAGAAGTCAAAGCGATCAGTTGCTCTAACGTTGACGACTTTTCGAACAGTTGTTGAAACGTGCACCGCAAGGAGTTACATGTCTCCACGTTAACCACAGATAGCTACATAAAAAAAGAAGAGGAAATACCATTGCAGACTTCACAGTAGAAGTTGTTCTCGTTTTCTCTAGTACATTCATCACTACCTACACTGACACACGTTATCTTAGTTTATATTTTAGGTAATGTAAAGACCGTTCTTGTTCTCTGTTGTTCATTCATCACTACCTACACTGACACACGTTATCTTAGTTTATATTTTAGGTAGTGTAAAGACTGTTCTAGTTCTCTGTTGTCCATTCATCACTACATACACTGACACATGTTATGTTAGTTTATATTTTAGGTATTTTAAAGACAGTTTTCGTTTTCTCTTGTTTACTCATCAATCTCCGCTGTTCAATCATCACTATATCCACTCATCAACACAGAGTATCTTAGTGCAAATTTTTGGTAGAGCTAAGACTGTTTTTCTTTTATTTGTTCGTTCATTACTACCTTACACACATTATCATAGTATAATTTATGTAATATCCCAATATCAATATCCCAATGTTTACAGAAAGTAATACACTTCACATATACCTCAATATCCCAATATTTACAGAAAGTAATACACTTCACATATACCTCAATATCCCAATGTTTACAGAAAGAAATACACTTCACATATACCTCAATATCCCAATGTTTACAGAAAGTAATACACTTCACATATACCTCAATATCCCAATGTTGACAGACAATGGTTTGCGTCTGATGAAAAAGTAACAAAGTTTTATCCTCTCCTCTCAATGTAACATAATTCTCAATCAACTGAAGAACCGTGCTTTGCTTCAGGTGCCACGACTTCGTCTGCACAAAATTCCGAATCTCGTGGTATATCCTCCTCTTTGACGAATTTCTAACGATATTTTCATCATTCAAATGTTCCTTCAAAGTGGTGAGAATTTTTCGCAAGAGTTCCTTCGATGAAACGTCCCGTGAAACGTTGGATGGTTGTCCTTCATCACGGCTGAAAGACAAGGGGCAGGTTTAACACAATAATGCCATACAAAAAAAAGAAAAAGAGTTTAAACGAAGCTAGAGTGTCCCACTAGCCCCTTGGTATAGTTTGAGGCGTTTAAAACGCGGAGTGTATCTTGAAAGCATAATGCTATTGCAGTCTTCATGGCCAATATGCCAATGGCGATTCATATAATGGCAATAAGCTGGACATTAATGTTCATTATAACATTACTTTTCCGCATGGAAAATCAGTTGACAAATTCTGATGACAAAGAATTTAAGACCGATGTACTCACCTAAACGTATTCAGGATAGTTCGCAGAGCCCCATTAATAACATCTCTCAGCTTACTGCTCTGAGCCTTTTGCTCTCCTGCCAATTCCAATAGCTCTCCTGCAAGTTCTAAGGGATCGCCATTACATAAAACTCGAATGCCCAACTCCTTGATTTTGTCAGGTTCTGAACGCGATAGATCGTAAAGACGGGCGTATTGGACATAGCGCATCTATTAAAAAATTACAAAGATTATGCAATCCTTGTTGTCGGAATAGAACGGATAGTAATTTTATGGATTGTTTCAAAAATCTTCGTAGGAGGAAAAAGTCACCAAAAAGTAAACTGGACAATACAATAAAACGCTATTTCAGAAACCAAAAAGTCTCATTTTCCTAAAATGAAACTACCCATAGCATTAATGTCAAAATCCGATGGACGGTACTATCCCAGTTTCATGGTCGATTTTACTTTATAATAAACGTATGTTAAAGCTAACACGACAACTTTCATTCTTCACCTATGACAGTTAAACTGACAACAGTAAAGTAACTAAAGCTTACGTCAACTTTCACCCATGACAGTTAAACTGACAACCTTTAAGTAACCAAACTACACTTTATTAAACCAGCAAGTGTCTCCCTAACGCTTTCTCCTATATTTGGATTTGCAAATCTAATGGTGTAACGTCTTTCGAAATAATGCAAAGACTTTTTATAGGATAGCTCATCAAATGAGAAGGCTGGAAATGTTTGATCAATACGACTTTTTACCAAATGATCAACAAATTAAAAATCTTCACCTCGTCCAAATCAGTCAGTTTCAAAATGGTTTCGTTCGCCAGCGAGCTGAGATGTTTTAAAGATTGTTCAAAATGCTGACCGACTTGGATACACTGAAAGTGCCATCTATATCGCTATACAATTATAAAACATGATAAAATATAGAACAACACTGTCAGTCACATGGGGAACAAATCACCGTTAAACTGAATGAATAAATTTGACAAAAGAGAAAAAGTTCCACAGTCAATACAAAACAAAATCATCGTTTCACTTCGTCAAACTCTTATTAGTAGGTTTCAATTTAGGTAAGCATGGCCAGTTTTACCTCACTTTGTCTTCCAAACAAAGGTTAAATTTCTCACGGAGTTTGCAAAACGTCAACTTACATGTTTTCTTTGATTTTTTGCTTTCCCGGGTACCTCTTCGACGGCAAACTTAATTGCCCTCCTGAGCACTTCATCTCTCACATCGACGGTCAGCGTGTCTACAGCTCTTTCAGAGAACGTTAAGGAATCAATGAGTTCCAATAAATGCTTGAAGGAGAGTCGCTCCAAGTAACCATGAACCTCCTCATAACGATGAATCCAATCAACCTGGCCGAGAAATCGAAACACGATAGATTAAGCACGGAGATCCAAGCTCGTAGGCAATATGACAAAAACATAAGGAATAAGAGGGAAGAGGCGGGAAAAGGGGGAAAGAAAGCGGAAGAGAGGGTCTGAGTGGTGGACAATCATGGGAAATAGAGGGAGGAAGATGAAAAGCGAAGGATAGAAAGAATCACGATGGTCAAGCGAAGGATAGAAAGAATCACAATGGTTAAGCAAAGGATAGAAAGAATCGTGATGGTTAAGCGAAGGATAGAAAGAATCACAATGGCTAAGCGAAGGATAGAAAGAATCACGATGGTCAAGGGGAAGTAGGGAATGGGTTAAGAGCAAAGAAAAGATGGAGAAGGATTTTGGTACAATACCTCTTTTTTCGATGTTTCTTCTTTCACCTTGCCAAAATATTTTCTCTGCAAATACTTTGAAAACATGACTGGAAGTCAATATTCTACCATTCTACAAAAGTCAAGGAAATTCATCAGCTAGTACGCCAAGTTTCACAACGTGCGTTTAGGAATTGAAAATGGCTTATCACATGGCGTTCATACTCTCGACAGGAGTTTTTGTATTTTCATGTTTGCTACTTAGGAAACTCTATTTATGTCTCTGACGATTGAAGTATGATGGATTTCATGCAAGAGTTTACGTATGTTTAACTTTTGGTGAAACGGATCGATACTTATTGTCAAATATACTTATACTTATAATCTAATATAATCTAATATAATCTAATATAATCTAATATAATCTAATATACTTGTATACTAATCTAATATACCTATACTTATAATCAAATTGCCGAAATATGACGTAAGATGGCCACAAGTTGGCTCCAAAACCTTTTATATGTATATCCATGTACCTTATCTCGCAGTTTATTCGCCATCTTAGCGAAGACGTGAACGTTTTCACTTAGCAGATGAGGTTTCATCGTCAACAATGGATCACCGTCCTCCATTAAGCTTTTATAGTTCACACCTGTAGAAAGGGTTTACACTATTATACCTTTCGGATAACGTGTTGCAAAGCAAGCTATTTGATGAAGAAAATCAAACAGAAATGCCTACAAATATATCAAGTAAGACAACGTGTCAGTGTAGGTAGTGATGAATGAACAACAGAGAACAAGAACAGTCTTTACACTGCCTTAAATATAAACTAAGATAACGTGTGTCAGTGTAGGTAGTGATGAATGAACAACAGAAAAGAAGAACAGTCTTTACACTACCTAAAATAGAAACTAAGATAACATGTGTCAGTGTAGGTAGTGATGAATGAACAACAGAGAACAAGAACAGTCTTTACACTACCTAAAATATAAACTAAGATAACATGTGTCAGTGTAGGTAGTGATGAATGAACAACAGAGAACAAGAACAGTCTTTACACTACCTAAAATATAAACTAAGATAACGTGTGTCATTGTAGGTAGTGATGAATGAACAACAGAGAACAAGAACAGTCTTTACACTAGCTAAAATATAATCTAGGATAACGTGTGTCAGTGTAGGTAGTGATGAATGAACAACAGAGAACATGAACAGTCTTTACACTACCTAAAATATAAACTAAGATAACATGTGTCAGTGTAGGTAGTGATGAATGAACAACAGAGAACAAGAACAGTCTTTACACTATGCAACGTGGTAACATACCTTGCGAGGAAGACTTGATCTTTTTTATCAACCGCATATGCATTTGCGGATCCGAGTCGCCCTTGTTGAAACAAACAGAAATATACACACACTCATTCAAACGTTTTCATCGCTATACATAATAATCTCCCTACTTCACAAGTTATTCCGGCTGCTTGCACACACTCGTTCATGAGCATGTAGTAATACAGCAAACGAGCCAACTGCTTTCCATCTATTGAAGGGTAGACGTACTCCTTAAATCGACTGATCATCTGAGCAATGAAAATGGGAACGTATGCGTTATGTCCATAAATAAGTGAAGACGATGTTTAAAAGAAAAATCAAGGAACCTTTTCTGGTTCTTTCAAAAGCGTGGGCATTATTTCTTTTCCGTCGACGCGGTCTTGCAGCTGTTTCGTCGATAAACTTAAACGAAATAAACGATCTCTAAAAACTGCATGGTAAGATATGCTACAGGATGTCAAAATTTTGCCGAAAACTAACTCGCTGTCTGTGAACAACCACTCAAGATGCGACATTAACATTTCCCATTTCGAAATCCCGTATTGTTCTGCCAATGAGATTGCGGTATTGAAAATATTCTCATCAATACTCCTACAAGTAGACAAGGAAAACGATGTTTACATTTTCGAAAATATGAACTACGAGAACGTGTATCAGAACGAGAACGTTTTTTACACGAAAACAAAACATGAATTAAAATAACGTGTGTCCATATAGGTATAGAGATGAATGAAGAACAGAGAACAAAACGACTTTTTACACTCCATCACATGTAAACTAAGATAACGTGTGTCAGTGTAGGTAGTGATGAATGAACAACAGAGAACAAGAACAGTCTTTACACTATCTAAAATATAAACTAAGATAACGTGTGTCCGTGTAGGTAGTGATGAATGAACAACAGAGAACAAGAACTGTCTTTACACTAGCTAAAATATAATCTAGGATAACGTGTGTCAGTGTAGGTAGTGATGAATGAACAACAGAGAACAAGAACAACGTGTGTCAGTGTAGGCAGCATATACTTATTAAGTCAACATACATGGTTAGTCCCAAAATGTTTCCTTTTGTACTCCTCGTCTTGTAAAACGGCCAATATCCACACCTTAAACATGAAAAATAGCATCACCGTTTTGGTGAGAAAAGGAACACAGACATTGAAACGCAGAGAACAAAATGTTGATCATCAATGACTAAAGTTCAAGTTTATGCGATAATATTCAAATGAAAGAAGGATGTGGTTGTGCAGTACGCAATGTATATATACACTCTATATTCTTCGAGAAAATATGTGCTATCGAAAAACCTCGTCCCAGGCCTTGCAGAAGTCTCGCCTGCGAGAAGTCAGTGAAACGAGATTGATATCGCCTAAGATGAGAGAGGAGGGATTTTACGTCGCTCCCAGTCTCCTCGAAGACACGGTCATTCTGGACCACGTGCTCTAAGACTGCGACAGGCGGATGCAGGTAAACAGATGCCAGAGTATCTTCCGTTTGCGGAGTACAAAGGATGTACACTTGAAGGGCGTAGTAATAGGAGGCGAGCTGAAGACTTAAAGGCAGAACTGGGTAGCTTCTCAAAACACTCGTACGCATTTGTTGACTGTTGGCAAAAATAATATTAGTAATGAGCACAAATCATGATCTATTCATTGCGATATTCACATTATGTCCTACTGCTTCATTAGGAATATAAAATAAACGAAAACCAAACCATGAAAACTTCCCACTGTTTATTAACAGCAAAAAACAATATTGTTCTACTCCTTATTGCAAAATACAAAAAAAACTTCATTTTACCTCGGGTAAAGCCATGAGATAGGCCATAGCGAGAGGCGTATCTGATGAAAAATGAACGTCTGCTAACTGAATGAGGACTAAACGGGAAGAAAGAAGATCCCATCAATTTTGTAATTTGCTACATGTTTGTAGACGTTTACTCCTCATTTGACTCTGAAGATGACTACCGCTAAGGTTGTCGAAACGTCAGTCAACAACAACAAAAACAGTCCTTCTCAGGACTATACTAACCTGGACGATCTACATCTACAAACATGTAACGACACTACAGGGTTCAACACATTTACATTTACTTTGTAATTTGCATTAGCAAAATGAAAAATACGCGCCGCTTACTTTCTGTAGCTCGTTCTTCCAAAGATCCTTCCGCTCTTTCCTCCGCCATTTTCTGTGTCTGAAGAAGAAGTTCGTTGACTTTCTGCGTGGTTACAGCCGACCTATCTTTCAAATTGTCATCTTTCTGAAAAGGAGTTTCCGAAAAGCAAGCCTCAAATAAATGTGCAACTGAAATAGCAGAATTTTCAAAAGTAAGCGTCATCTCTCTTCCAGTATCTTTGTTCTTCATTCCACTCACAAAAGCTCCCGCTTATTTCACATCATTCTTTACAACTATTTAATTTTTGGTTCACTATGTCAACGTGGACCATGCTCTTCTTTACCCCAATGAAATACTAACATAACACACCTAAACCCACAAATCCCAAAGTATCTATTATTAAACTACCTAAAATTTGTGTTTATGTCAGGTAATCCCCACTAACTACACCAAACACCATCCCTCGATAATCCCCACTAACTACACCAAACACTATCCATCAATAATCCTCACTAACTACACCAAACACCATCCCTCGATAATCCCCACTAACTACTCAAACCACCATCCCTCTAAAAACCTCACTAACAACTCCATTCACCCTCCCTCACTATTACTTTCTCATCAGTTAGTTTCCTATCAACCCTCTTTCACTCTTTTCCAACAACACCGAAACACTTACTCCATGGAAAGCGCTCCGGTGAACAGTCTCGTAAAAAGGATGACAATGAAACTCCAGGTCCTTCGGCTCCAACTTCTTTGCACTTTTTTCTTGACTCTGATTGGTTGTTTTACGCTGCAAGGGCCGCACCCATTGCAGTGTATCTGCCCACCAGCCGACGTCGCTCACGCTGGAGAGAATTGATTTCGTGGTTTTGGATATCTGCTCAGTGGTTGTGAGATCAGTATCCTACAAATGAAAGGAGCAGAAATATAAATAGGGTCCTCTGTCTTTAAAATTGCTGCAAGCATTTTGAATGACAACAACTACTAGCTAAATATATTTATAATCAGCTTGAGATTGAAATCGATATGTACACTCAATGTTCATCGCTGATACCAAAGAAAATATTTTCTCGTAATTTTCACCAATAAATTATAAAGGCATTGCTCGCATTATTTTATCATTTCAAAGTCCAGATCACACATCTTATGATAGTCTAATGCTTAAGGGTTGAAATGGTCATTACTATGTACAGCGTTATACACTTCATAAAATTTTGTCACTGTGTTCAAGTTATTCGCAGCAGGAAATGGAGGAGCTCAATGAGCTTCCATCAATATTCCTCAAGTGAAAACGAGGGCATGTGTGTGTTTGCGTGAAAACGAGGGCAGGTGCGTGTGTTTGCGGAAACGAGGGCAGGTGCGTGTGTTGCGAAAACGAGGGCAGGTGTGTGTTTGCGTGAAAACGAGGGCAGGTGCGTGTGTGTTTGCGTGAAAACGAGGGCAGGTGCGTGTGTGTTTTGCGTGAAAACGAGGGCAGGTGTGTGTGTGTTTGCGTGAAAACGAGCAGGTGTGTGTGTTTGCGTGAAAACGAGACGGGTGTGTGGTTTGCGTGAAAACAGAGGCAAGTGTGTTTGTGTTGCGTGAAAACAAATTTTCTGCTCACCAACTGTGAAATTATCACCGACGTTTTCAACAGACCACCAAGTTCGCCGTAAACAATCTGCAGATGAGATTTCTTTCAGAATTTAAGAAGAAAAAATTAAGCAGAAGATCGAAATATATTTCACACGAGAAAGTGCAGATCAACAACAACAAAAAACAACGCAACGAGAATCACCTGAGTACGTAACAAACTTCTCGCGTGCAGCACGGTCTCGCAACGCCAGGCTCACAGTGAGCCAGAAACATTCAGCGTTGATTTGCCTAAAAATTTATCCACAAACCAATAGGTGATCCACCGGTTCATCACTACTATATGCTTTCGTGACCATCTTAATCATCAGAAGTCGATTTTCTATCATGTGGGAGAGCTCTCCGACAGTCCTCGGATTTCGAACGAGTTTTGGTAAAGACAAAAAGCACTCAACTCGAAAAAAAGCACTATTCAAACTTACCTTGCCTTCAAATTTGCAAACTCGATTTTCTCACCCAAAGCCCTAAAAAAGCACATAAATGATCACGATATGGACCGTCAGTTCGCATCTTCACCAAATACAGCAAGCTGTCAACCTAACAACACACGAATATCAAACAGAGATGGATCCACGACGGTTCGGCGGGGGGGGATCCATGACAGTTTTCAGGGGGTGCTCTAATATGAATCACGTTTCGTTGGCTACTTGTTTTCGCATCACGACAAACTTCTTTTTAGTTCAATTCTATTATCTTTTAATCATGATTGTGAGATTTTTGCAACTGTGCTCAGTCAAACAATTATTACAATTACTATTGTTTGGTATGGTATTATCTTCCAAACTAAATCAATCTCTGATCTCAAGCCATACATGAAAAGACCCAACGAAATTTCCAAGCAGAAAAAACATACCAGAAATAGTACAACGATTGGCTACATTACCTGCAAATCTTCCAACCTGGTACGTATGCACTTTTTATCAGTTCAGCGCATGCGTTGTAAGAGACGTCGAAGTCGTCGTGATCCATGGCTCGTTGTGCTACGAGACGGAGAACTCGACCGCGTCTTGTGTTTTCATCAGAACCCGACAGGCGAAGCAACGAAGCTAAATTTAGAAGCTGAAACACAAACGAACATTCGAACAAGGATACTTCGAAAAGCCATGGAAATGTCACCATGGAAATGTCATCATGGAAATATCACGCAATCGTATCGTACCTTTCCGGCATCTTTGTACGAATGAGGCGATGAGTCTAAGACCTTCTCGATCAAATTCAACTTATCCTGGCACAAGCGAACTGCAAGAACAAAATGGATACGGATTTTCGACCTAGAAGCAGGGACAGCAAATTGATGAAATTTCTGCGTACCTTGAAGTGGCAAAATAGATACTTTGTAATCGGTCAACATAGACAGAGCACATATCAGATCGGTTTCCTCTTTCACAGAATGCTCGCTGTTGGGAACTAGAGCCAAGCAAGCTCTAAAAAGAAAATGACACGACATTTTCCAAGAAGATTATCCTCGCCTTCAACTAACCGGAAATGACGTTTACTTTGCCAGATGTATACAGGAGTCTCTCGCATTGTTCGCGGAATTGAAATATTCTCTGGACGCTTTTACAACCAGTTCAATCAATTTTGTCTGGTCGATCTTCTTGCTAATGGAATCAACGTCAGGTTTGGATGATAGTAAGCGTTTGGCATGATTGATGTTCTCCAAACTTCCGGATGTGATAAGGCAATCAAGGAAAGCCTAAAGATTTAGAAGAATGATGAGTGTCTTAATCAGCTGAAATTTAAACTTAAAATATGAGTAAGTGCAGTGATTGATGAGACATAGAGAGTACAAACTGTCTTTACACCACCTAAAATATAAACTAAGATAACGTGTGTCAGTGTAGGTAGTGATGAATGAACAACAGAGAACAAGAACAGTCTTTACACTAACTAAAATATAATCTAAGATAACGTGTGTCAGTGGTAGTGATGAATGAACAACAGAGAACAAGAACAGTCTTTACACTACCTAAAATATAATCTAAGATAACGTGTGTCAGTGTAGTAGTGATGAATGAACAATGAGAGAACTGTCTTTACACTAGCTAAAATATAATCTAGGATAACGTGTGTCAAGTGTGGTAGTGATAAATGAACAACAAGAACAAGAACAGTCTTTACACTTCATAAAATATAGCTAAGATAACAAGTGTAGTGTAGGTAGTCATAAATGAGTAACTGAGAACAAGAACAGTCTCACACTATCTAAAATATAAACTAAGATAACGTGTGTCAGTGTAGTAGTGATGAATGAACAACAGAGAACAAGAACAGTCTTTACACTACCTAAAATATAATCTAAGATAACGTGTGTCAGTGTAGGTAGTGATGAATGAACAACAGATAACAAGAACAGTCTTTACACTATCTAAAAATATAAACTAAGATAACGTGTGTCAGTGTAGGTAGTGATGAATGACAACAGAGAACAAGAACTGTCTTTTATCTAAATATAATCTAGGATAACGTGTGTCAGTGTAGGTAGTGATAAATGAGCAACAAAGAACAAGAACAGTCTTTACACTTCATAAAATATAAGCTAAGATAACAAGTGTTAGTGTAGGTAGTCATAAATGAGCAACTGAGAACAAGAACAGTCTTCACACTATCTAAAATATAAACTAAGATAACGTGTGTCAGTGTATAAGTGATGAATGAACAACAGAGAACAAGAACTGAACACTACTTAAAAATACATACTAAGATAACGTATGTCAGTGTAAGTAGTGATGAATGAAAAACAGAGAAGAGCAGTCTTTACACTATGTAAAATATAAACTAAGAAAACGTGTGTCAGTGTGATTAATAATGACGTAAATCACGAACAAAAACAGACTTTACACAATCTAAAATACTAACTAAGAAGAGGGAAACAATGTGCAAATCATATTAATCTTTAGCTACGAAGAATTACTTCATAACAAACGCTGAGCACAATACAGGTAGAAGTCTCGTGGCGCAATTTAACATGTCTGACAGCAACTTATCCCATTGAGATGGTCAAGGAGGTTAAAGACGTTTAACATGGACTTTGGGGGCATGGAAGAAGTTTAGTACGAGAAAATAGTCAGAGCTTGAGCTAAGCATGATTAGTAACTTGGTAACTTTAAGCAAATATGTTATTTGACAAAACAGAACATGGATGTAAATATGGATAAACGCGGTTAAGAAAGTACCAGTGAACTAGACATTTGAATAACTGGAATGATAACGAAGCCAAAATGAAGCCAAAAAATTTTTGTCGTCATCATTCGTCATCACACGTCAGGCTCTAGTCTCTCGCGTGTTCATTTTAATTTTTAAATCATTTGTCCCTTGGTAATGGAGAGTTCGGATCTTGATCAGAGCGTAAAAATAACGAAATTTTGGAATGAAAAGGTTCCCGGAAAGTGAATCAAAGTGATAAATCGAGAAGCATGATGAACTTAGTCGATCTGCTTTTACGCTGCGGTTTCCTTTAAAACATATCAAAGTCTTTAAGGATATTCAATTACTGATATCGAGATGACAACCATTTAGTATTTCAAGCACTATCAAAATCGATGAAGATACAATCGCTCTGTAAAAGTAAAATGCGAGTTATAGACTCACATTTTTATGAACCTGGATATTCAAGTTTCTTTCTTCGGAAAAACAGATCTTTAAATCCATTGAAACGACAAAAAGACAAACACTGTCTGACACCGTTTGAAAATTTACCTTCCGACGAAAGAAAAATTTATGCTTGAATATTTTCTCGTCATATTTCATATTGTATTGCCTTTTAGCAAAAGTGTAATTTTCAGTTGGCTTTTCCTCGTTACAAGTTGTGATTACAACGAACTCACTGTAGTAAAGTTTTAGCTGTAAAAATAACCTTTTGCGAAGAGTTGGCCTAGTGTGTTGTTTGTCGATGTTGTTTATATGTTTATGCTTTGCAGTTTATTCAAATTTATAGTGGCCGTGTATGTTTGGCACTCAGGGAATGAAACTGACGTACAAACCGCGTGAATTCGACTTTGAAGGACTGGAACTGACGTACAAACCGCGCAAGAGACTAGGACTTTGGCTTCAATTTATATCTATAAAATGTATTGTAGTTATCATTCCAGATATATATATATGGAGTTCACTGGTCTGCACATAAACTGATTCCATTATGAAGCACAAAAAAAGGCCGAAGGGTAATATTTACTCATTTCAGCCTTTCACTCAACTGGTTCTCGTAGTGTAGTGGTTATCACATCCGCTTAACACGCGGAAGGTCGCAGGTTCGAGCCCTGCCGAGAACACTTTTTTTCTTTAAGAAAATGTTTTAGCACTCATTAATATTTATGTCTTATGTTATAATTTTACACATTGTGTGACATAAAAATTATCACCCCGGGGAATATCAACCGAAAAATTATTGAAAATAAGTGGAAAATAGGCTAGATTTTCGACAAACCTGTGTTGGGCTTTTCGCGATAAATTGGTCATTACCGAGCGAGCTGCTTCCTCGTCGGCCTAGAATTCAGACCAATAAAACAAAACATTGAAATTTTGTCGAATGATGAAGTTAAATATAGAACAACATTTAAAGGAAAATGACAAACCCTGGAATTGACCAAGAATGAAACTGGCTTCGGAACGTCATTATCACATAAAATACGCGTCCCCCTATAATTAGAAAATATAAATGAAAATTTGAATCATTCGAGTCGAAAGAACTCCGAGCAGTTGGCGTTCACGTTTCAGAGAAACTACCTCAAATACGTAGCGGTTTCACTTAATTTCGTCCGCAGTGCCATTATCTGTTGGGACATTATCCTGGAAAATTTCAAGAAGATGGGCTTCGATTAGAAATGAAGTTCATGGAAGAAACACTCGACAATGCAAATGACTATATCTTGCCTTCAGACGAGGATGGAAAAGAGTCTTAAAATTTCTTCGGCTGTCAGTTGATCCTCTCTAGAAAAAATCACGTGTAATAAACAGCATTCGATATTTTGCCCAACATGTGAAGGTGTGTTTTAATGATGATCGTCAGGTATAAAGTCTGAGAAAGGACTTTTGTGGTTGTTGACTGACGTCGACAACCTTAGCGGTATTGACTCTGAAGATGGCTAAAGGTTAAACAATATCAAATCAACGATCATCATTACATTAACGATACTCCCGGGTTCAAACCATTTACTTTATGTGAAGGTGTGATTCTATATTACCGAAATTTCTCATTGGAATGCAAAATCAACATTTTAGAACAGCAATTTACAGTTGAATGGCAACAATTCAACTTCTAATTTGGGGGTTTGCAATATAAAACATGACCATTACCAAAATTTTTTACTAATTTAGCGATGTCCTCAAAACATGACCATTACCAAAAATTTTTACTAATTTAGCGATGTCCTCAGCAAAAACTCAAGAAAGGTCCCCTTCCCTCGATAACTTTATCAAAACACGCTTTAAATCAGGTGGCAGAAATCGTCTTTCCTCAAGAATACGAAAGCTACGAACTAGTGTAACCTTTGACAGAGGTATATACAATCCATTGCCAGCTTCATTTGCCGAGCTACATCGGGAATAAACGGTTCCTTTGACTGCAAAGGTAAAAAACGAATGCCGGTTTTAGTTTCAAAGAAAGCGAAAACCATTGTGATTCGATGGAAAAGTTTGGACTTTTCACCTCGCAAACGGACTGTTGAAGAATCTTGAGAGGATATGCAATATTGCTCTATGAAATAAAGAACAATAACGATAATAACATAATAGATAAGGAAGGAGTGCCAACAAAATAACCTCGGCTGATACTCAAAGTGCAAAAATTCGGGAGTAAGCCAGACGCTGCCGAATGAATTCGAATGCGGTTGGTCAAGTTTGATCTACATTTACATTTTACATGCCCAAATAATCCTGCCGCCATCAAGAGCATTTATCGTTATTACGCATGGTTATCATCAAAGTTCATTAAAAAAGAGCAAATTTGATGTATTAATAATGATAATCCATGCATGTATGTAATGGTAAAATGTAAAAGACCGAAGGACTGTTAGTATTGATCAATCCATGCATGTATGTAATAGTAAAATGTAAGAACCCGAGAAGGACTGTTAGTACTGATCAATCCATGCATGTATGTAATAGTAAAATAGAGACCCGAGAAGGACTGTTAGTACTGATCAATCCATGCATGTATGTAATAGTAAAATGTAAAGACCGAGAAGGACTGTAAGTACTGATCAATCCATGCATGTATGTAATAGTAAAATGTAGAGACCGAAGGACTGTTAGTACTGATCAATCCATGCATGTATGTAATAGTAAAATGTAAGAGACCCGAGAAGGACTGTTAGTACTGATCAATCCATGCATGTATGTAATAGTAAAATGTAAGAGACCGGAGAAGGACTGTTAGTACCAGATCAATCCATGCATGTATGTAATAGTAAAATGTAAGACCCGGAAGGACTGTAAGTACTGATCAATCCATGCATGTATGTAATAGTAAATGTAACCGAGAAGGACTGTAAGTACTGATCAATCCATGCATGTATGTAATAGTAAAATGTAGAGACCCGAGAAGGACTGTTAGTACTGATCAATACATGCATGTATGTAATAGTAAAATGTAAGAGACCCGAGAAGGACTATAAGTACTGATGAATCCATGCATGTGTGTAATAGTAAAATGTAAGAGACCCGAAGGACTGTAGTACGATGAATCCATGCATGTATGAAATAGTAAAATGTAGAGACCCGAGAAGGACTGTTAGTACTGGGGTTTAACAGACGTTTCGAAATCCTTAACGGTAGCCCGTCTTCGGAGTCGAGTGTATGCAGTCAACATCAACACCAACAATCCCTCTCTGGACTCAACAAACCTGGACGATCTACATCTACGAACATGTATGTGATGTTAGTACAAACATACCTTTGCAGTTTCCGTCATATACTGCTGAATTAACTTCATTTTTCCGCCTCGTGTTTGTTTTTCAACATTGTCCAAGAATGGAATGACCCATCTTTTGAAATCCTCAACGAACGTTGCATCTGAAGACTGAAGATGTGGCACAAACGGCATTGAAAATTATTCGCGTGACTATTTTCTTCCTCGCGCTAATCATGGTACAAGACTTGTACCTTTGCCAAAAGTAGATCCATCTTCTCAAGATTGCTCAATTTTTCGAATGTTTCCAAGTCAATCGAACTTTCATTTTGGCACTATAAATAACAAATACCTCACAAATGTATAAGAAGTAGTTGTTGAATTTGATAGTTTGAAGTGCGTAGCCATATTTTAATGATATCAGAAGAAGCGTTCAGTTGTTGCCTCAAGTTTAAAGAGTTTCCTTGCAATCTTTTCTTACTCACGAGAAGAAAAATTTATAAAATGTATCCGTGCACATATGACTGCCGGAACACGGACTTATAAATTGAATGGCGGGAAAATAGCCGAAGTTGCAACCAATGAAAAAACAGCTGCGTTTTGTGGAAAGAAGTAAATGGCCCTAGACGCACACCAACAGTCAAATTCATAGTCTGTTGGTAAAAGAAGTACAATGTAACGGTAAGAAAACTGATTACTCTATTACAACAGCAATAGTCGCGTGTTTGGTTGGAATTGGGACGCGACAACTTGAACGAAAATATAGGAAGGGTATTCACCAGAGGGACATTTCCATATTCATACCTCGTAAATGAGAGTGCTCATTGTGGATAGGTCGATCAACAACGTATTCAATCCCTAGATGAAAATTACCAAAAGTCTGATTAGAAAAACGTTCAAACTTGATCAGTAAAGTTACTAAAATAACCTACTGACAAGTAATACTCGTTCATAGTTCTTGATATCTTAATCGGAAGCTTTATTTGTTGGAATAGAAACATCGCAGAGCAAAACTTGAGAGCAAAGACTTGGAAAGCTCAACAGGGCAAAGAACTTGTAAAAAGTAAATCAATGCACTCGACGATGCACTAGGTACGTGCGCCTTATACGACAAACTTAAAAACTTAATTACTGTGACATTATTAGAATTGCTGGAAAACTCTAAAACCTTTGTCGCCGTTCATTTGAACTGAAGCCAATCCATATCTGGAGAGTTTTATCAAACGATATTTTGATCAAAGCAACGTGAAGATAACGGAAGGGATTTTTTCTTTTATCTACGAGTACAATGAACCAACCTTAACTCCCTTTTCTTTGCCGAGTTTTACCAACTGTAAAGCGTTATCGATCTACCACAACAAAAAAAGAAGACGGATCATAGTTTCGTACCGTGACTACCGCGAGAGAAAAAACCCACAGATAATCATTCGTTATTATACAACAACTCTCGTGGTTACCGCACTGGCGGTCCGATCAAAAAACGGCAGGTTACAGCAGGGAGTACAAGGCAAAGCTGAGCATCTGATTCTTGTTTCAAACTCACGCGACCAATAGTCACGTGTTTCAAAACATTTTGCACTTCGCAAGGTAAGGTTTGAAGGGTAAGACAGCTGGCATAAAAATCTATTGACGATCGTTCTCTTTTGTTGCCCACAGATCATTATGTGATAAATTACCTGGCCAGATAATCTCTCAATTTCGTTTGCACGATATTTGAACCATTCTGTTAGTTTCACGGCGTCCAAGGCTCCACTAAAAGAGATACTCAGGTAGTAATTTATACATGAAGTATATAATTGAAATGTATTGGAGCACAAGACTGAAGACTCACCTAAATATCTTAAGTTTAACATTTTCTTCATACAAATTATTCCCGAGATCAACGTCAACATACGTTGGGCAAATCTTTGAGAATTTGGAGTCTTCTACCCAGTCTAGTGTCCGCCATGTTTTTTGCTCCCATTTGTATATTTCTGGTTCGTTTTCATCAATTCTTGAAAGAGAAAAATGGATTGACAATTCGCACCACTGATATTCTATCTAAACTTAGGTTTTTGGTAGTGTAAAGACAGCTCTTCTTCTCTGTTGTTCATTCACCACTACTTACACTGACACAAGTTATATTATAGTTTATATTTCTAGTGTAAAGACTGTTCTTGTTTTCTGTTGTTAATTCATCACTACCTATACTGACACACGTTGTCTCAGTTTATATTTTAGGTAGTGTAAAGACTGTTTTTGTTCTCAGTTGTTTATTCATCACTACCTACACTGACACACGTTATCTTAGTTTATATTTCTAGTGTAAAGACTGTTCTTGTTTTCTGTTGTTCATTCATCACTACCTATACTGACACACGTTGTCTCAGTTTATATTTTAGGTAGTGTAAAGACTGTTTTTGTTCTCAGTTGTTTATTCATCACTACCTACACTGACACACGTTATCTTAGTTTATATTTTAGGTAGTGTAAAGACTGTTCTTGTGCTCTGTTGTTCATTCATCACCACCTACATATACAGTGACAAACGCAATCTTATTTACCTCAGTGAGTAAGACTTACCCAGCTTCGGGCAGTAGTGTTCTATAAACATAGGGATTGGTAGTTTCAGGAAAGTTCGAGATGATAGAAAGATAATGAGGCAACGCATCTTCGCCATGATATGTCAGCAAAAAATCAACAGCATTCCAGTCGTTATCCTAGAACATAACTAAATGTGTTAGTGTTTACCATCCTTAGCACTGCTGTGTAAGTGTAGAGATATTAAATTGGGAGAAGAAGACTGCGGATTCGAGGATAGTGCGATGTTTCAAAAAACACTACCTTTTGAATTGTAATTAGAATCGACAATAAAATGATTCGTACATTAATTTCACTTGTACATTGACTCGTGATCCTATGGTATTGATAAAGCCCGCACTTTCTTACTCGATAGAATCAACAAGTAATTCATTCGGCGGTAAATGACGTCAACAAAACTCCAGTACTTACCCTGGCAAAGTCGACAGCCACATCAACAATGTTACTGTCGCGAAAGTTCGTGAAGAAGGTGCTGTCAAATGAATCGTGCGCGAAGGCAGGTCCACCAAGAATCGCCTCGTACGTCGAGAGGCGGTCCAAGTACTTGAGAAAGCGAAGACGGTAACGACACAAGTTGCGTTGCTCGACAGATAAACTGGTTGAAACGAATAATTAAAAGGTCACTTAGAGATGGAAATGAACAGTGAAATAAGCGTATTATTTAAAAGAAATTCAAAAGAGGCTCATTGTAAAAAAAACAATGCTGGTTTGCAGCAGGAACAAGTGAAGAATCTAGTAGATTAGGTTCCAAATCATTGGTATCAACCTTTCATCGAGAGATGGGCGAAAAAACTAAAACTCGTGCTTTATTGAAGAAAAATGACATACTTATTGAAATTGATAGTTTTCAACAATTTCCCCTCGTTCTCCCGATCATCCGATGCTTCCACTTCGTCATCATCATCTTTCTCCTTCAGAAAAGGATTATCCATGTTGCCCATGGAAGCAAGCACATGAAGTCCAGTGTTATACAAGCCATATTTCAACAAGGCTTTAGTGGAGTCGATATCTTCTGCAACACGCTCGAGGCACTCGTGTAAAACCCATATACGCTTGGTGACTTTACTCTATGGAACAAAAGAGTCGTTTGCTAAAAGACATTTTCCGAGGCACTGCACTTAGTAGAATGCAAAACTTCAGACGGACAACATGGGTACAGCAAATGATAACAAAAAAACTTTCTTTCGGATTAATCATATGTCTCTGTTGAAAAGAGCAATTCCTTGCAAAAGACAGAAGGAAGTGGGTAGTAAAGAACACGAGTTGTTCTTACTAGGTAATCATGGATGCTAGAAACTGTCACTGGAGATTTTCGCCATTGTTTTTGATACACGAAATCGCAGTCTAAGTTGTAGGACTGCGCTAGAGCCAAAGCTTCGCCGTATTCTTCGAGCTCGATCTGAAAAAAAGGTCATTTATTAGCAAGGCTGCCATGCATCTGTTGAAAAAAACATAAAAAAAAGAATGGTGGTGTTGTAAAGACTTTCAACTAAACGTTGCTTGATGCAGCATGTTATCCATGTAACGTTGTAGCTATGATCTTGTGCGAATCCACGTATCTATCACAGCTATGAAAACTCAGGCAGTTATGAAAACGTTAGGGCTGAAGAGAGCAGTATTTTTGCGAAGAATTTTACAAAATTATTTATGCTTATTATTAATGAAAAAAAATAAATGTATTTTACAGAAAATTAATTTGTCTTATATGAGCGCTTTAAAATAAACCACTTTTGTTTTTATGAAAAATGTACTTGAAAAACCCTCACGATTGAAATCATTGCATCCTTACAATATTTTCTACCAAGGTTCCTTTACCATGGGACTGGAATGTCAAGCCTTCCTTACATGAAGTAAATATAACATTGGTTGTATGAACTGGATGCAATAAACAACTAAATACCTTTCTTGCATAAAGTTCCTCGGGTGTTGTTGACCGCAAACAAAGCAATCGATAGACCTTCTTTGCAATTCTACAAAAGAAAGCAAATATTCAGCCAATAATTATTATTGAAATGAAAGAAACATATGCTGACATTATGCAGAAATCTACGAACTTTGGTCGTCTTATCTGCGAACGAAATCGCTCACTTTCCGTAAGAAAATACAAAATCTACAAAAATTGACAAATAATAATTAAATCCACACATAAATCTAGCTCTCAACTCTATCACAGCTTCCATTCATCGAGATAGAGATATGTCTTGGAAGGTAAAAACCTCAAAGACTCACGTGCTTCGTAAGTTCCCTGGCTTTGGTTACAATATGATGCTCGTCTTCTTCTTCGTCATCCTCGTGTGTTCCCTGTTCACCCTCATTCATTGCACTTTTCCTCGCCGGACTCAATGTTACGACATTGTTCTCGCACTGAAAACAAAACAATTAGGACAAACGTGTTAACTATGGTGAGCGACGCCTTAGACAACCAAATGATGTGCTTCACTCTTATAAAAGGGCCTGGTAAAGAGCTTTTCGCAGAGATCCAGATGAAAGCATTACTAAGATGGCAACATGTTTGTATTTTTCGACACACTATACCTGCGTACCTCCAAAATCAAAATCCTCCATCTGAAATACTGGTGACCAGTGGAAGTGGTTCACACCATTCTGCATACTGACCCAAAATGTTCCGTAAACTACGATGATCAAATACACGTTTTACAAGACTTTGCCTACAAGACTAGACAATGCACGAGACATTTTACTGTGATATTTCACCTCCGGTCAGCGGTCGAGACGGTTAGCGCACCGGACCGACGAGCCAGAATCATCGCCTGAATATTAAACGAAATAAGAATAGCTGAAAACTGTAGACGTCTTTAAAGTACGAGTCGGGTCGTAATTATACATTAAGGGCAGTAAGGTTTATGAAACCAAAGTACAATTAAACTACACAGAGGTTTCATCTTGATATGCAACGCGTACAATAACAGTAAGTTTGAATCTTACATTATCCGACCACCATCCAATATCGTAAATCAACTCCTTTTGCAGAACTGAAAGAAATACATCAAAAAAAAAAGCAAAATCATTGAATGTATAATAAAACAACTATTAGACTCGGTTTTCGTACGGTTTCAACGTCATTGCTTTAAGTCCTTACCTTTTGAATGCCTGGCAGCCATATGAAGATCTTCGCATTTGTATTCAGGCTAAATTAGAAGATTCGATGTCAAAGAAATAGAGAAACAATCAAACACATTTTTTAAAAAGAAGCACAGTGCGCAACGAAAGAAATAAACAACAAAAGATCGCTCGAAGCGGCGAAAGCACCAAATTAAAAAAACTCAATCGTTCGAGCAAACCTGGCGAAGGCGAACATATCAAAAACAAAACCGACTCCATATAAATGTACATTACATGTTGATCTTCAAAGCGTACCCATAGGTACGCTTAACAACATCTTTGCATTAGCTAATGTTTGTCTTGGCTTTAAAAGTGCGCATACTGTTGGTACATATTGAAAGGACTATGCATGCATCTAAATTGCTCAACCCAAATAACAGAAATCCGTAAGCTTAACATCAATAGAACATTGGTTTTAAATACATAAAAGCCGAGTTTCGTTCCACCACGTTAAGGCATATCGTCGAAGTTCAAAGAGCAGTTTATTGTCTGAAAACAATATTTACTCACTACTTCATCTCGTTCCCAGCTCTCTAATAGCGTCATCGACGGCATCTGCCATAATGCCAATCTCCCAGCGATATGTAAAACCAAGAGCATTTTACCGTCGGGAGACAAACTCATTTCCACACGCCATGCTTTAGAAAACAAAATTTTGCTTGATTAAAGCTCAAAACTCTTCTTCATCCATACACATACTGTACCATTTCTTAGAAAGCCAAATCACTTTCAAATGAAATCAGTTGGGCACAACTAATACTTGAATAACCCCCACCACCACCAAATAACGTTCTAGCTACGACCATAGACAAAAAAAGGTTTTAAAGAATACATCGCAAAAAAGAACACTACGGAGTCTGAAGTCTCAAAAAGCGAAAGTTGCTTGAATTGGGCACCTGTTTATTGGTTGATCTTCCTGGTAAAAGCTTGCTAATAATCCCGGATTCTTGACGACGCTACAAAAAAGGAAAGAAATGATGATGTATACGTACGAACAAGTCGTAAAAGGGAACAACAGACTGGACTAAAAACTGCAGTTTCTTTAGCGGATGAATCCTAATGAAAGCAACAACGACGAAAAAATAACAACGTAAGTTTCAAAATCAGATCAGTAACAATGGGAACATTACACTGGTGGAGCATACTAAAAGTCGTGTTTCAACATTGGATTGCTACCGATGAAGACATTACACCCGAGTATTAAAGGATTCAAGTTTTAACATCAGACATTCCTGATGAAGACACTAGACAGGAGTATGTAAAGACTCGGGTTTCAACATTGAATCCGTAACGATGAAAGACATTAGACTGGAATATATTATTTAGGACACAAATTTTAACTACTAAGATCACTCCGAATGAAGACACTAGACTATGATACATAACAGGGCAAGTTTCAACATCAGATGAAAAGATTAGAGACTAAAGAGGGGTGGGTCAATGACATAGTTAAGTTTCAAAATCAGAATCATCCAGATGAAAAGATTAGAGACTAAATAGGGGTGGGTCAATGACATAGTGAAGTTCCAAAATCAGAATCATCTAGATGAAAAGATGAGACACTAAAGAGGGGTGGGTCAATGACATAGTGAAATTTCAAAATCAGATAACTCAAGATAAAAAATAATACACTGGAGTGGGTAAGAATTCAAATTACATCATCATATCACTCCTGGTAAAGACATTGAACTCGGATGAACCAGATAGTTCCAAGATAAATACCTTGCTCAATTCCAATGCTTGATCCTCGACAAGTTTAAAGTACGGTTTATCGGAGAGCAATCGCCATAGAGTAACACAGTTACCAAGTGCCGATGTTCCCGTGATGCAAGGAGAAGGTGATCCGAGGATTAGAAGTCTAGCCGAAGGATAATAAAGAGCACAGGAGACACCTTGGGATAGAACTGATTGGAATGAAAAACTACATTTTTTCGTGTGCTCTCCGCTGCGATTGCTAACAAAAAGGAAATACACTTATTTCGAGTTCCACACGTCAACCATTGCCAGACTTTCTTTCATAAAATAAATAGCTTTTACTATAATCAATTAGCGCTCCAAAAACTGCATTGCCTTGATAATGTAGACTGAAATTTCAAAGGGGAAATTTTCTCAACGATTACAACAACGCAGGTGTGCGCATCATAGTATATACATGCACACCATATAACGTCGATCTTTGAAATATTGCAAAACAAATGTATGTACTTTACTTGATAATGTAACTGTTTATTTGTCCTTTATAAGAAATCACCAACAATTCTGTCAAACTGTAATGTATAAAGAACACAAAATATGCAGCCTTGGTTGCGGTACAGAATTTGAATTCATTCGTCTATATGAACTGTCTTCAGCAACTCTGTCTACCAACTGAATCAGTACAACTCTCTCAATCAACTTTCTCGACCTAATGTCTCTACCAACTGTCACTTCCAACTGCCTCTACCAACAGCCTTTACCAACTGTCTTTACTAACAGTCTCTGCAAACCCTCTCTATGTACTGTGTCTACCAAACTGCCTCTACCAACTGTCTCTATGTACTGTCTCTACCAACTGCCTTTACCAACAGTCTCTGCAAACTCTCTCTATACTGCCTTTACCAACTGTCTTTACTAACAGTCTCTGTAAACTCTCTCTATGTACTGTCTCTACCAAACTGCCTCTACCAACTGCCTCTACCAACTGTCTCTATGCACTGTCTCTACCAGCTGCCTTTACCAACTGTCTTTACCAACAGTCTCTGTAAACTCTCTCTATGTACTGTCTCTACCAAACTGCCTCTACCAACTGTCTCTACCAACTGTCTCTATGTACTGTCTCTATCAACTGCCTCTACCAACTGTCTTTACCAACAGTCTCTGCAAACTCTCTCTATGTACTGCCTCTACCAAACTGCCTCTGCCAACTGTCTCCACCAGCTGTCTCTATCTACTACTAACAGTCTCTGCAATCTCTCTCTATGTACTGTCTCTACCAACTGCCTTTACCAACTGTCTTTACCAACAGTCTCTGCAAACTCTCTCTGCACTGTCTCTACCAGCTGCCTTTACCAACTGTCTTTACCAACAGTTTCTGCAAACTCTCTCTATGTACTGTTTCTACCAAACTGCCTCTACCAACTGTCTCTACCAACTGTCTCTATGTACTGTCTCTATTAACTGCCTTTACCAACTGTCTCTACCAAACTGCCTCTACCAACTGTCTCTACCAACTGTCTCTATCTACTACTAACAGTCTCTGCAAACTTTCTCTATGTACTGTCTCTACCAACTGCCTTTACCAACTGTCTTTACCAACAGTCTCTGCAAACTCTCTCTATGCACTGTCTCTACCAACTGCCTTTACCAACTGTCTTTACCAACAGTTTCTGCAAACTCTCTATGTACTGTTTCTACCAAACTGCCTCTACCAACTGTCTCTACCAACTGTCTCTATGTACTGTCTCTATTAACTGCCTTTACCAACTGTCTCTACCAAACTGCCTCTACCAACTGTCTCTACCAACTGTCTCTATCTACTACTAACAGTCTCTGCAAACTTTCTCTATGTACTGTCTCTACCAACTGCCTTTACCAACTGTCTTTACCAACAGTCTCTGCAAACTCTCTCTCTATGTACTGTCTCTACCAATTGTCACTACCAACTGTCTCTATCTACTACTAACAGTCACTGCCAACTTTCTTTGTCTACTGTCTCTACCGCTCATCTCTACCGCTCATCTCTACCGCTCATCTCTACCGCTCATCTCTACCGCTCATCTCTACCGCTCATCTCTACCGCTCATCTCTACCAACCATCTCTACCAACCATCTCTACCGCCCATCTCTACCAACCATCTCTTCCAACCATCTCTACCTGCATTCTCTACTATTGTTTCTGAAATCTCTACAAACTGTGTCATATACTGGGTCCAAGAACTGTCTTTGACCAACAGCTGTCGTAATCAAATCTAGCCACCATACTTAGGTGTTTTCACAATCAAGTGTTGCTATATTACCCAGGATTCATCTTGTCTTCATCAAGAAACAACAGACCGGAAATGCTCTTGTTATGAAGAAACATTGATGGGCCATGATACACACCAGACAATGAAGAATCCTGTTGAAGCAATTGAATAATCACTTACTATATACAACATCATGATATTACATAAAGACGGTTGTCTCAAGCAACATTATATCATACAATGAATTGAAACATTTTTACATCACGCAATGTTTGGTTGTTTCCACACTGAATGAATAAAAAAAATCATAAAACACAACGTACAAACCTTGATGGAAAACAGCGATGTTCCAGATAAATCAAAAACAACAACTTCACCCCAACTACAAAATTAAACAAAGGAAATTTTTTGTTATTGTTCAGTTTTTCACATCATTTCCCCAGGGTAAAATTTCACATCTAAGTAACCACACACATCTGACTGCTATTACTGGTGGCAAACATTTAGAGGTACAGCTTGGCAGTTTTTTAATGCAGGGCTTAGTAAAACAAAATAAAACAAATTCCGCTTGTAAATAATTATATAAAGGTTTTGCAGCCTGCATTGTAAACTATTAGTCTGCTGATATCTTTGGAATAAAGACAAAATATTACACCAACTTTTGTTTTAAAACTCTTGTATCATCTTGAATATCAAAAAACGAGATGTCTGTTTTGAAATTTGTTTAAATTTGTTTAAAAGAAAGGATTATCCATTAAAGCATAATCAGTCAGTCTCTTCATCACCTGTGAGCAAATGCCAGTAAAGAAGAATCGGAGCTCCATGCCATCCTTCGCCATTTTGGATACTCATCTTTGTGGACTAAATTCACAAAGTAAAGTATCAGTAAAATATTTTACTCGCATAATTTGAGCGAACCAGCTTAAAAGAATTTACAATTATATATATATAGCATATCACATAACATATAAGTATAATTGCAAATTTATCTACACAACAAAAAAACTTTTTCCGATATATTCCATTGACATCAGTTAGGATGCATGTACCTTGGAACTTTGAAGTTACAGTTGCAAAGTTATTCCTTACTGACCTAATCAAGATAAATTATAAAATAAACACTATGAAACATGTGCACTGATTGGTCTAGAGCTGTGTTTGCATTAGCCTCATAAACATCTGAGCTCAAGCAATCAAATCAATCATAACAATCAATCAGTCAAAGAGAATTTGCAAATTGATCATGAATACATTTTAGAGAAAAAATTAAAATGTTTACTTTAAATTTGTCTGTTTGGCATTATTGTTACTATAAAAGAAATAAAAGATGTTTTCCTTGTTTGCACTGGCTTATGCAAACCTCAGAGAAGTTTGTGAGAACTCGAGCAGGTGCAGCCCTCGACCTTCAGTCTTGAGCTTGCACTAATCAGCTCTCGAGTTCTTCCAAAGGTCTGCTCGGTTTGCATAAGCCTGTGCAAACACAGTAAACATCTTTTATTTCTTAACTGAAATGCAAAAAAAACCAAATACGAAACAACAAATACGAAGACAAAGCAGTGAGTGTTAGACCAACCTTATTTCAATATAAATATCTTGCAGAATTGCCACGTACTTCCCATCACTAATACAAGTCAAAACACAGTAGTTTAAGAAGATAAAGAAATATCATTATTGATCCATACATACACCCCATTATCCCAAATGTGTTTTGCTTCCAGGAAGACTTACACTTCTGCTATTTTGTAAGCTATGACGTTGAGGAGCCAAAATTCATTACATGTTTTCTAATCATCACAAATCATATATGCTTATACCTCGAGAGCAAGAAGTGCCAGCATTCTGAGCTCTCATAAAGTTGGGATAATTCTTTAGGAAGTCCATGAGAGACAGTAACACCACTACATAGAAAAGAGACAAATGTTTTTCATTCGAATAATATAAGAAAACATAAGAATCTACTCAATAAAGGATTGCTTGGTGTTCTGAATAAGTCTCATTTCCGATAAACATTGGTACAGTCAAATGTACGAAATTAACATGTTAGTACATAATGTTACATGAGGCTACACATTTTAAAAAACAATTACAATAATTTACAAGTCACTTGGCTATATTTCAGTGAAAAGCATCATTTACCGAAAAGGATATTTCAAAATTAACCATAATCCAAAAGCCGAACCTGTTAAAGAAAGGTGCATTTACATTTCTGAGTACAGAGTCCCAATTCGGCTAATTGTAAAGAAATGGAAATCAATATGATATAATCAACCTTTTATAAGTGTCAGCAGCTTTTGTCGAAATGAGCCTCGCTTTTGCAATATACTTAGATGGCTGTCCTTATTCTAGAATGTAATGAAAGAAATATATAAGAAATAACACAACACAAAAACATAAGACACTGCAAGTCTGTAACTGTCTGTGCATAAACTTGCTTTCTGTTTCTATAGCCAAAAAAGTAACAATGAATTACAAATAACAAAGCATAAAACAATGATTTCAACATGAATTCGTACCAAAACCTCTCCTTCTAAGGGCCACTCTGCATGAACGAGTAAATTGTACAATATATAGTCCATGTTCTTCTTTTCTGTGGCCATGTTGTTTTTGCTACACGTCATTGATCGACAAACAATCCAGCAATCCAATTGGTTGTACGTACGTGACGTCATACATCAACCTTAAAAACTACCAAGCACATCATGGTATGTGTTGGTTTGTTTTTTCTTTATACCATTTGTTCTTTTGTTTCGGTTTTAGAACATTGATAAAGAATTGCCAACGAGATACCAACTGGTGACCACATCATGCTTATTTGTGTCTAGTTTATTGTTTACTGTTTTCTTTTTAGCTCCTTTCATAATGATTCTTTGTGTCTACACCACGCTTGTAAAAACACGCAAAAACTTTACAGGCCAATGATCAGTGAGTTACTAAAAAGTTACCACAAGTCGCAACTTACCCACGTTTGTGTCTATTGACAGTGTTTTTTTGTCTACTTTGTATGTTAGTTTATGACGTTTGAACAATTAGTCTTTAACCTCTCTTTTGAATGCAAAAGATGATCAAAAAATAGAATATGTATCGTAAGTATTTTCTGCATTCCCTTACTCAGACTTTTTTTCTAGAAAAAAGAGAAAGATCTAGAGTCACCCCGTCCCCCTTTTTAAGCGTTTGTTGGTTTTTATTTTAAGACGTCTTGGAAGATGAAGAAGACGTTTGTAGAAGACCTTTGTATGTGTTTTGGTGGTTTTTGTCGTTCTTTTCAAATGTTATTGAGCTTTTTCATTTAAATGCAGATGAAAATAAAAACGAACACAGTGGTATGGGTTGGTTTATTTTTTCTTACTTCACTTGTACATTTTTTTCTGGTTTTAGAAGCATGATAGAAAATTGCCAACGACCAACGAGATATCAACGGGTTACCATTTATCACTACATGCTTATATTTGTGTCTACTTTTGTGTTCTTTCGTATTTTATTTCTGTCTTTACTGGTGTCTTTTTTTTTGCTCTTTTTTAGACTATACCTTGTGTCTACAACATGCTAGTTATGATTCTATTTTGGAATAAGCCACACGGTGGAATTAAAGTTAACAGCGGGTAAGCTCTAGTTAGCTAAATTTGTGTCATCATTTATCTTGGTAGGTTCGTGTCTGCCCTTTGTGTTTACTTTTGTATCGGAAATGATAATTGTTTTAAGGTGCATAATATATGGACAATCCTTAAAACCTTAATTGCAGTAAGTATATTTAAACCAAGCAGAACAGTTACGTCACAGCCGCAATGTTGGTGGTCATAAATACAAAATAATCTATCAATGCTATTGTGTACTCCAGCTGTCGTAGGCAAGCCGCATTGCTTGATAATTCCATGGAGGGGGCTCGCATTGGAAGACTTTTTGAAAATGGGTGGCATTAGGATGACCACTGGCTACTGGAGCAAAGTTGAATATCGAATGATCTTGAGCTGTAAGTTTTTGGGAATGTTCATTCTCTTCTCATTCCCTCGCTAGGGTAAGCGAGGCATTTAGCGTGTCATTCAAGTAATTAAAATAATAATTTTTTTTCGTACATTCACATTTCACCCACGAAAAACATTAGTTTGACGCATGATCGCGGCGCGCCCAGGAAGAAATCCATGATTAACATTGTCTTTTGAGTCATGTTCGTCATCAAAAATAACTTTGCACCGCTCCCCCCGTTTTGCCTATGACGGACTCCTTCGCTAGGTCCACTTCCCTTATTTATCAAATGTGTTCCGTGGATGTTTTGATTTGGATGTCACACGTCGGACGGTGAATTCTTGTCGAGAATAGCTTGAGTTCACAAACATGTCGTTCGCCGGTTTCAAAAAGCAATGGAATAAGGCAAACCAGGTAAGGAACTCTTGTTATTGCAACGGCATTGGCCTTTTGCTGCCCAATTTTTACTTTACAAGTTTTGCGAAATCTGTTTGACTGGATTTCGACCTTCAGTCGATTTTAAACAAACCAGCATAAAAAAGTTGACTAATGTGCCAGGTGTATTCATTGTTGTTGTTGGTTCATTGCTATTTTTGTTATCTAACACTATCGTTTAACTCGTTTTGAAATGAACACAGACTCAAGATAGTATTTACCTTAGAAATTGTTCACTCCCATGCTATTAGTTTTTTGTCTGTTGTGATGTACAGCTGAATACGTTTTCGCTTGTATTTTGGTTTAGTTTATGAGTGAGAAAGTTGGTGGTGCAAAGGGAACGCAACTTGACGAAGAATTTCAAGAATTGGAAAAAGTAAAATAGTTATCTTTTTTGTCGTTCTTAAAGTGTAACACAGGCTGTATAATGTATGGCCGATGCATAAATTTTGCGGTAGAATTACGTTAAGATAATACAAACGATGAGAAAGATAAGATAAAGAATGGAGCATGCATATATTAGCTACATTCATTTGTGAAGATTGTGTGTGAAATCTGCCACGTACAAACAATAATTTGTGTTCAATCGTCAGTTGTGTAATGGTGGTACTGACAAACAACAAGATTGAGCTATTACAACTTGATCATTGCTTCAATTCAATGAATGTGGCAATGTGAGGTGTATGTGTTGTGGTTTTCAAGAGCGAAACGTTTTGATTCTCTCAGTGGGGGGGGAATCGGGCACTTCCTTATCTCTTCCCTATCGGTCTGATCCATTTGCTTGCGCCATGAAACAATTAACTGACATGGGCAGAGAGGGCAACACCACTCCCTCTCCTAACAATATTTTCATTTGTACAATTAAAGGATATCGTGATAACTTTTATATTTAATTGTCTGTTCACAATCAATGGCATTTTCATATGGATGTTGTGAATTTAATTTAGGGGGGTTAGTAATTTATTTTGCATGCATAATTATGGATCCGCTATGCCTGGGTTTGCTGACCAAGTGCCACTGTAAAAGATGTGTGATTTTTTTTAGAGAACAGATGCTACAGGTGTTACCGTCACGCAACTTTTATCAAAAACTAAAGAATATCTTCAACCAAACCCAAGTATGTATGAATGTGATGGCATTTTCTTCTGATGTTTACGAAAGATTTGCAATCACTTTTTATCTTGCCTTGGTGTTGTGTTCTGAGTGTCATTACTAAGTGCTTGGAGGGTAACTTCAAATTCAATAGTTTTTTAGACAAAATTTTACAAGAAAAAGAGTTCACAAGTTTTTTTACAAGCGATTGGAAATTTTACCTCGACATGCTTTAAAAGAGGTTTTTTGACTTGATACAAATGTTACAGGTTCATTTATGTATTTCTTCGTAGATGCCAGGGCGAAATTGTCAATGCAATCAGCTGTGGCAAAGGCAAGAGGCCATCAAGCACAAATGAGGTATCCTCAACCAGAGGCAACTCTCGGTGAAACCATGGTTAAAGGTCAGCAGGATCTTGGTGATGAATCTTTGTTGGGTAAGTTTAACTAATTCTTTATCTGGAGTGATCAAATGTTGAAACTTAAGTTCTTATACATTCCAGTATTGCGTCCCTATCGGGAATCATTTGGTGTTGAAATTTTAGTTTTTAACTTTTCACATACTTCAGTGAAGTGTCTTCACTAGAAGTGATCTGATGTTGAAACTGGAGTCTTTAATACATTTCAGTCTGGTGTCTTCATCATCACGAATAACCTGATGTTAAAGCTTCAGTCCTTACATAATCCATATATTTCATATTACGTAATGAAACTTGAAACTTTTTGAGTTGTCACATTTCTTTCATTTGTTGCCATCTGATGTTGTAACCTAACTTCATATATTTGACTGGTGTTGTTGGAAGTTGGGTATATTTTGTCATTTCTAGGTGACGCTTTAGGAGAAGCAGGTGATATATTCAGGCAGTTGGCTGAAATAAAAGATAATTTGGTGAGTCTTTGAAACATTCCTCCGTCTTCAACTAGTTTGAATTGTCCATACTTAATGTGCTTGCTCCTATGGCTCGTTGTCATTAATGCATCGGTCTCCAACATTACATGAAGTCTGTATGTTTTACAGGACGCTGAAGTGAAGCAGAATTTCCTGGATCCTTTATATCTTCTGGAAAGCAAGGAAATCAAAGAAATAAATGTAAGATGTTAATCATAATGGTAGATCTTTGATTGTTATGCTGAAAAGAATGTTATAGCTCAATCATCTTTCGAGAACAGTGCTATCAAAGATTTGTACCTGTTGTTTAATTAGTATACTTTGATTAAAATTACATTAGAAACACGAAATTGCCAAACTGCATAATGTTTTTCAAGTCATTAATTACAAGATGTATTGATAATTTATGCATACAACATGAAGTAGAATGTTAAAGCAAATTATTTATAAATTACTTATATGGACGTCATAAAAGTCCGTTTGAAACGTCCGGCACGCATATAATTGATCAACGATGTCGAATATAATCAAATACGGACAAATGGCAACATGGATTGTTCTCTGACCAAGACATCAGCTATAGCCGCGCTGTTTTAATCATTCCTTCAGGAACTGGTGAACGTTTTTGTGTTTCGTTTTTTGTAGCACCATCGTAAGAAGATGGAAGGTAGAAGGCTTGACTTTGACTGTAAGAAGCGAAAAGGAGCTAAGCGTGAGTATAAGAAATTATGACTTGTAGACTTGGAAATAGAATTAGAGTAATCCCTATCATGTGATACAGGCCTTAGAGGTACAGGCCTTAGAGGTAAAAAATTTGAGCATCATTTCAAGCAATGTTTTTGACTTGCTAGTCATGTTGCTCATGCTGTCAGTATTTTGAGACGTCTTCATCGTGTTTCGTTGCCAGTGCCCGCCGAAGAAATCCGCGCTGCCGAAGAAAAGTTTGAAAGTTCAAAGGCCATATGCTATAATGCTATGTTGACTCTGGCGGAGGGCGAGGTGAGTGGCCTTTGTCGAACGGCATCTTTCAAATCGACTTGATTTCTATAGAAAGGAACTTCGTGCTCCTTTATTGATGTCGTAAATGTTTTCGTGTCGAATTGTGTTGCAATTGCAATTAGGATGAGCAAATCACTCAGCTGGCTGATTTCGTGAAAGCTGTAATGGAATATCATCAAAAGTCCCACGAACTCTTGGAAGGACTGGCTTCTTCACTTGAAGATAAGTACGTATTGATGATAACAAGTTTAATCATGATTTACTACTGAAAAAGACCGCACTAGAATGGAATATTTAAAGCAGTCTGAACATCGCATCAGTTCCGATGAAGACACTTGGCCGGAGTATCCAAGAATTCAAGTTTCATGCTCTGACTACACTCAACGAAGACACTGAATTATAGGCTTGAGGAACCAAGTCTAAATATCAAATGATCTTGCGAGTTTAGTTTTTCAGATTGTCCATATTTCTGTCATATTCTAGGGTGAGCGAGGCATCCGGCAGGCCTCGCAAAGAAAGAAGAACGGTAAATGAATCAAAATGGAATGATGACGACGACGACGATGATGACAACAGGACTATTGGTGGATTTTCGGTGTCACCCGCTCCAGTGAAGAAAAATGCCGATAAGTCGGAGCCTTGTGCAAAGGCTCTCTTTGACTTTGAACCAGGTCGGTTCCAACAAATATTGTAACAATAATGCCAAGACAACGAAAACAAACTTTGCACTACCTTAAATATAAACTAAGGTAACGTGTGTCAGTGTATGTAGTGATGAATGAACAACAGAGAACGAGAACAGTCTTTACACCACCTAAAATATAAACTAAGATAACGTGTGTCAGTGTAGGTAGTGATGAATGAACAACAGAGAACGAGAACGGTCTTTACACTACCTAAAATATAAACTAAGATAACGTGTGTCAGTGTTGGTAGTGATGAATGAACAACAGAGAACAAGAACAGTCTTTACACTACCTAAAATATAAACTAAGATAACGTGTGTCAGTGTAGGAAGTGATGAATGAATAACAGAGAACGAGAACAGTCTTTACACTACCTAAAATATAAACTAAGATAACGTGTGTCAGTGTAGGTAGTCATAAATGAACAAGAGTGAACAAGAACAGTCTTTACACTTGATCTTGGAATGCCGTCAATTTATTTTGACGATTGATGCATCTTGATAAATTTTCAGAAAACGACGGAGAGCTGGAATTTTCTGAAGGTGACATGATTATTTTGACCGGTCGAATTGACGAGAACTGGCTGGAAGGAAGAGTAAACGGTAAAAGTGGATACTTTCCCGAAAATTACGTTGATATAATTAAGGATTTACCCTAAATATTGTATCTAAATGAACTCATTCATCTCTCAATACTCCTGTGCATTCCTGAACATACAAAAACAGTTCGAGAATATTGGAGAATTTTGCTCTAAAACTAAACGATAAATGACAAAAAAAAAAGAATGACCAAAGTTTACGGTGTCAATATTTCACAATACTTTTATCTCGGAAATTTCTCGCATTGACTGATATTAGAATTTATGAAGCATGTTAAACTACTGTTCTTTTATTATAACTAGACATTTGAAGTACATATTTGCAATGTAATTTAACAAGTACCAATACAATAATTATAATTTCAAACAAAGTTTTTACGAGTCAAACGAGTTGCCTTTATCAACGAACCCAGCGGTCGGTGAACAAACCTTTCCTTATTCGTGGGCAAACCATCTACGAACCGTTAAAAATCTTGCACATTTCTCTTACGGCCCACGTGATTTGATGTTGTGCTGCACGTGACTATTGTCACGTGACTCTTTTTCTTTGACTTCCAAGCTTATGATACCGCTAGATAGGGAATAGAAGAGCATAGACACGAGAGCGAAACCAATCGATAGTGCGGCGTTGATCTTGGTGCGACGGGATTCTGCTGCCTCATCTAATGCCTTGTTTGCGGGCGCCAAATCTTGTGGCACTAAGGTGAGTAAAACAAATTTCGTAAGTATTTGCTAATTCACACAAAAAAATGTTTGAAACTCAACCTCAACAAGGACTGGCGAGAGCCCTCGTTGTGGTTGCCAATTCATAACTCGTTTACCTTCGGGAAAGAAGCGCTGCACTATTTTATCGCAGTATTTTTCCAATTTTGGATACTCGAGAATTTGCGATTTCAATTTATTCTTGGGCAAAGGTATCTTCAACATTATCGCCAAGTAAGCAAACACTTTAGCGTCCAAAGTTGTCGGTCTGAAGAGGGAGACACGGACAAGAATGGGTATGAAAACGAATGGCTCTGGGTTAATCAAACATCTTTACATGGATGTTTTGTTTGATGATAAGATAAAGAAAATCTGTCAAATTATTACCTGTCACCGAAAAGGAAATTCTGATCACCAAGAATGTCGTTCAAGATCTCCAAACAGGAATCTACCCGCTTTCTGAGCTGAATGACACAACAAATAGCCCTTAAATGACGTGTTGTTCCCGCCAACGTATTTAACTGTATGTTGATATCGATCACTAATGTTGACGTCATTCGTCATGTGACAACATACTATACCTTTTCCCAAGTTACATCGCTTATCACGTCGGATTCTTCCAAGTTTAATTTGTGCGCTACGAAGTTCAGTGCATGATTGTAATACTTCGCCGGGACGAAGTATTTGTAGGGAAATTTCAGTTGCCTAGCGTACCAAGACCTCGTAAATTGAGGATAGTTTTCCTCCGTCAACCAAGTCATGTAAAGCTGTATAAAATGAACACGAACTCAATCTTGTGCGAAAACATTAGAGTGAATGTATTACTGAGACGATAAAATTACTCAAGTTGCAACACCGGATAACTCTTGACAAAGAAACTAGATTTAATTGTAAAATGTAACATCAGGTACAGCACATCAGAGACAACACTATAGTATACGTATAAGACTGAATTTTCAACAATAGACAACACTTGATGAAAAAACTAGATTGGCATATAAAAGACAACAGTTTCACTGTTTCAGCATCAGATTAGCCCCCATGGAGACACTAGTCTGGAGTTTATCCTAACAAAAAACTGGATTGATTTATATAAGCCCTAACGTTTCAACATCCAATCAATCTTGACGAAGACAATAGTCTGGAGTTTATCCTAACAAAAAAACTGGATTGATTTATATAAGCCCTAACGTTTCAACATCCAATCAATCTTGACGAAGACAATAGTCTGGAGTTTATCTTAACAAAAAAAACTGGATTGATTTATATAAGCCCTAACGTTTCAACATCCAATCAATCTGGATGAAGACAATAGTCTGGAGTTTATCCTAACAAAGAAACTGGATTGATTTACATAAGCCCTAACGTTTCAACATCCAATCAATCTTGATGAAGACACTCGTACGATCATAGGATGAACTTTTAAACATTCGATTTTTCATAAGAAAAATTTTCCTATAGAAAACTCTCTCAAACCCTCCGTGGGCTGTGAATTTTTGGTCTTCGTTCATCAATGACAAACCCATTGGATACTTCATGAAAATTGGATTGAAAGAGTCTAAACATACCAGCGCTGGTCGAAGCGCATCTTCAACGTAGCAACCAAGTCCTAACGTGTTTAATTTCTGTTCACTTGAGAGTTTTCCATCGATGTCATTATGCTGGAAGAAAAATGCTGAAAATTTTAGGACAGGAGAGAGGAATTGGTGGTCAATGGATGAAAGGTACATACGTTGATGCACTGACTTTGGAGGTGAAACATTAAATATTTACATTTTGTTTTAAATACTCGTTGATGTCATCATATCCACAAACGATGTCGTCTGTCAACTTGAGCACGGGCAACGTTCCTAAATTTTATAAAAAAAACATTGTCGACTGGATTTCCTTAACTTAATCCACGACTTACTCGACGCGCGTGGAATTGATAAAGTTTAAGAGCCCTGGGCTGAGCTCGAGAGTACTTGTACTTACCTGTTGGTGATTTATACGGGTTATCAGTGCGTATTAAATTGACTGGAAAAGCAGCAAACTTGAGATAGGTCTATGCAATAGATTAAGACAGCGTCAGTGTTATATATATGTGACTTATATCTAGAAAATCTACCGCGAAACAAGACATCGTGGACGCAGTGAAGTTATTTAAGTTCAATCGATTCATTTGCAATCGTCTGAGGCTGAGGTTCTTCTTTAATAACATTGTAAAACATTGGACAAACAAATCGTTTCTCGACAAGAGAACTCGAAGTTTACCATGCATTTCATAAGTCAATTGATGTCAAGAACGGTCTGCATTAGGATGAATGAAAATTTAGATACACCAGTACATGTCAACCTACCATGACTTGTAAACAGCAAGGATCTAGAGACGGTAAACCCCATCCGCCAGTCCAAACCATTAAGTTCGCTACGTCTGCCATATTGGATTTTCTGGCAATACGTCATGTTACGCGATGTTTTAAGACGAAACTCGGAGATTGCTTCAAGGGGTCATTGGTTTTAACCAGTCCCTTGTCGACTGGTTGCAATGGTGTAGCTTTTAAAAATGATTTTATTAGTGAGCTGATTTGAAAGATTTGGATATGGTATCAACGTTGTTGCCCCAGCGTAATTTTCCGCGTAAACGGTATAAAATCCAATTTTATTGAATTCATATTTATTATGATTGTGCATGTAGTTGTTTTTAAGTTCAATATTTGCTGATAGATTCAAATAGTCAATATGTATTGAAGCTACCAATAGCCAACACGACCAAATTGACCAATAGATCAAATACAGAGCTATCTATAAGCAGATTTCATACCATCCAGAGAGGACGGGAGTTGCTGAAGCCCTCTCACTTGTTTTGCAAAAGGGGCAGTGCCTCCTCACTTTGCATGAAAGTAGCCCAATATTATGACTATAAAATATTCATAAACAAATTGCAGCCAATTGGGCTTCTAGAGAATTGCACAAGAGCCTTTTCTACACTAACCTAACATCACATGACAATGATGACATCATTTCCTTTATGTCACATGTTCATGTTATGTTTTGAATTAGCATGCCTGTATGAACATAAATCTATGTAATAAATTAGAAATACCTTTACTATGTTTGCACTTTGATTTTTTGATTGTGTCTAATGCATACAAGGTGCAGAAAAAATAATACTACTGCCAAATTGTTACTCATAATTTCTAGGATGTTCTCTCCTCCCCAATTTTATTGTCCTTTTCATGCTATGCTGATACTACCCAATACGTTGTTCCTTCATGTTCTCAGTTCTTCAAAGCTTTTATCTCTTATAAAAGCATGCTTTCTAATAATTGAAACGTTAAATGAAGATATGATCTTCACTTTGCTGGACAATCTAAGCAATTGTCTCATAAACCTGAAAAATTCCGTTGAGTCCCGTTTAATCCCGTTGAATCCCGTTGAGTCACCAGAATTTTTCAGGTTTATGAGACAATTGCTTAGATTGTCCAGCAAAGTGCGAAGATCATATCTTCATTTAATTTCAAACACCGCACTGCATATAACATTCTTTCAATTGAAACGTTATTGCCAGAGTGCAATTTAGCAGAGGAAAGAGTGTTGAAATATGGAATCAAAGCCAGCTGGCTCGAAGTTGGCTATTTAGGCCAAGGTTGGTTTTTGGTTTGCAATTGGAACTGGCTAAGGATTACAAATGCGCTCTTTTTTGATTTTGTTTCCGCTACACATCGACACAAGGTCTCCGCTAAACGGCCCTTGTACCAATTCTAAATATCCCCATGCTGAAAAGAACATCAGTACGAAGTAGTTTAACAAAGTATATAAATGTTAAAATTTGCACAATAAATATTAAATAATACGTATTAATAAAACATTGTTTGTCGTAAAGGCATTAATTTGCATAAATGTTAAACGTATACCTAGCTAATTACTAATCATGACGGCGTTTGAATGCATTGCGAGGAAACATTTAAACCTACAGTAAAACCAGTAAGGTATACATGAGATCTTATGGGGTTATTTCTGGTCCGACGTGGATAGTAATGAACTAATGCTTAATTATCGCAAAAACTAATTTATTTCAGGATTGAGAAACGGGTTGAGCGCATCGCTTTCGTCAAGTCTTACATCATTCTTCGAAATGTTGGATGTGTGGCTTCGCCAATGTCTGAGGTAATCTAACGCATTGATCCATCTGAAATCAAATAGAAAAGAAAAGAAATTGTCGGTCGGTCGTCAATTCTCAAGAAAATGGTTAAATTGATTTGCAACGGCTTAAAAAGTGAATTCTATCATGATGTACGCATGTAATGTACACTTGCGACGAGGCACTTCCAAATTTTATTCATCGAGAAGTTTCAACTTGTATGCGAAAATTTTTTTTGCCGCATAAAAGCTGAAATGCCAGCTTTTCGACAAATGTATCTGTATCCTTACTTCTGTTTTTCCTCGCTGTCTCTTGCCAAGAATTCGTACTTTCTCTTGCCGACGACGACATAAAAAGAAGCTTGGTTTTTGTCTTGTCTTTCGTCTAATTGATTTCCTACTTCAATTATTTTGTCGAGATCAATAAACCTGTTTTGAGACAACATTCAATGCGTCATTTCATTGAGAACGATTAGGATTGGGTTCAAGGGTTGATACTCGCACTAGATTTGACTGCCCGATTGTCCAATAGATATTGTACCTCATCTATTTGGGTTTCGCTTTCCCTTACCCTTGTGGTGTGGAGTTATTGCTCTGCTTATAGTAATACAACGCTTTTCCTTACCATTGTGGTGTGGAGTTATTGTTCTGCTTATAGTAATACAACGCTTTCCCTTACCCTTGTGGTGTGGAGTTATTGTTCTGCTTGTAGTAATACAACTTTCCGCTTTCATCTGTTGCGAACCATCTTCTTCTCCACTGGCGACCTGTCGGGCCTTTCACTCCGCGTTTGCATAGCCAACCTCGTAGCTATTGGGAAAAAATAAATGTTACATTACTTATTTAGGTTGTAAAGATTATTGTACATTTACAATACGTTATCTTAGTTTTTATTTAAGGTAGTGTAAAGACTGTTCTTGCTCTCTGTTGTTCATTCATCACTACCTACACTGACACACGTTATCTTAGTTTATATTTTAGGTGGTGTAATGACTGTTCTTGTCCTCTGTTGTGCATTCATGACAACACACTGACACACGTTATCTTAGTTTATATTTTAGGTAGTGTATAGAATGTTCTTGTTCTCTGTTGTTCATTCATCACTACCTACACTGACACACGTTATCTTAGTTTATATTTTAGGTAGAGTTAAGACAGTTCTCGTTCTCTGTTGTTCATTCATCACTACCAACACTGACACATGTTATCTTAGTTTTTATTTTAGGTAGTGTAAAGGCTGTTCTTGTTCTCTGTTGTTCATTCATCGCTACCTACATTGACACACGTTATCTTAGTTTATCTTTTAGGTAGTGTAAAGACAGCTCTTGTTCTCTGTTGTTCATTCATCACAACCTACACGGACACACGTTATCTTAGTTTATATTTTAGTTAGTGTAAAGACAGCTCTTGTTCTCTGTTGTTCATTCATCACAACCTACACGGACACACGTTATCTTAGTTTATATTTTAGTTAGTGTAAAGACTATTCTTTTCCTCTGTTGTTCATTCATCACTACCTACACCGATACACGTTATGCTAGCTTATATTTTCGGTAGTGTGAACAGTAACAAACTTTATCCTTAGCACTGATACTCACATTCATCATTGCTAATAATTCCTGCCCGTCTTTCCTTAGCTGTTTGTGTTCGGCTTCCGATTGGCTCAATCGTACTTTTAAATCTTCAACGAGTATTTGTAATTCACCGATCTCCGTTTGCATTTCGTCTCTTTGATTTTGTAGTTTGATAATGTCGTCCTGTAGTTTATTGTTTTCCGCGAGCAGCTCTCTGTTATCACATGATAAGCGTTTGCTTTCTTGTTCCAGGTTCCTGAAAATTTTGTTTGAGATTTGAAGTTAAAGTTAACAATCGACATGGCAACGTGCAACAAGTAAGTCGACAAGTACGCACCATATCTGATTTGTTTTTTCTTGTAATTTTGCCTCCATGTCCTGAAAAATAAATGCGCGTATCGTAATGAAATGAAATTATTTCGATGGAAAGCAATAACAGCCATTATTTACCTTCCATTCGTCTGTCGACGGACCCAATGGATTGAGCTATAGATTTTTAAAAAGTAATCAGGAATTTTTGCATCAGAGTTGTTGGAAAGGACTTACATAATCCATGTCATATTTTATGATATATTTTCCGAAATTTTGCGCACACGAAAAAAAAGTCAATGCTAGTCGGCCAAATCAACGGTAAAAAGTGGCAAATCTAGCCATGATAGTCTTCATAGAAAAATATGAAATTCAAAGAGTATTTTAGACTACATATAATCCGCTACTGAGTTAGGGCATAGGATGAGTTTAAAATGGTGCAGCTAGTTTTTAATAAACTATTTGATGTTTTCAATGACTTCAAATTAGAAATTAGAATTTCTCTCACCTTCGAGGTTTTGCTCGTCACATTTTTAAACGTTTCTTTAATCGAAGTTCTAAAACCGTTTTGCGATTTTTCGCTGAACAAGGAAAGAGTAGATCCTTTGAATGTATTGTTCTTGTATGCGTCATCGTTCCCGCCATGCTCGTCACTCGCGTCAAGGCAATCCATACTTTTTGCTTTTATCAACTGTTTGTCCTGGGAATTGGGAAGGTCGAAGCTTTCCGTGTTTGTCGTTTCGGGGATATTTTCTAAATATATTTGAAAGCAATGATGGTAAAGAATTTGTGATCTTTATTAGAGATATTATGTCGTTATGAAGTGAATGGTTTTAACCCGGAGTTTCCTCACATGTTTGTAGATGTACATCGTTCAGGTTAGCGTTGCTCTCCTGGCGAAAGAATGCTGGCGTTAGTGTTTACTGACATCCTTAGTTGCAGACCTCTTTATAGTTCAAGTGCACTAAGGATGTACGTCTACAAACATGTAAATAATATCTCTGACGAAAGAAATTTGTTGTGCACGAATTAAAACCGGGCTTGGACCACTCTGTAGCCAGTTATGGACAACTCGTCGGCTTGCAAGCTGCAATATTACTTTAAAACTTTTCTTAAAACTTTTCTTTGCTATCATATTACGTTTAAAATAAATAGTTAACATGCAAAGTCCTTATTATTGAATGGTGATAAAACTGGTTGTGAAAAGTGAAGCGATGAAGCACAACCAAATTATTGGACCAATAAAAACCTTTCATCTCAGCCTTCTCTTTTAGCTGCTCTGCCATACGTTTCTTCTTCGAATTTGAAGAAAGCGGACTTCTCAACCATTCGAACGTATTCATATCGGCGACAAACTTTGACCAACTATAAAAAGTTGAAACTTCGTAAAGTTTCCCGTTCCAGCATGCATTGAGACAATCATGTGAACCTACGGTTTGGACATTTTTGTCTTCGTAAGGTTTACATCTGAGGCGAACGTATCTTCATTTTGCCCAGGCATTTCTTCATTTGGGCGCGGTTCAGTCTCGTCTCGAATTACCATTTCATTGGTGTCCTCCTTCGGTAAGTCATCATAACTTTTGTTATCATCTTCATCACTTACTTCGGCAAGTTCGGACATTCTCGAGAATTCTTCGGCCTCACTCATGTGACTGAAGTTACTTTGTATATCGTCATCTCTGGGATTTGTCAAAAAAAAGTACATGTGAAGTAAGAAAATGGTACATAAGAAATCAATGTACTTGATCTCTTTATTCTTATGTCATAGTGAGGATGGTACGTAAGAATTCAATGTACTTCATCTCTTTATTCTTATGTCATAGTGAGGATGGTACGTAAGAATTCAATGTACTTCATCTCTTTATTCTTACGTCATAGTGAGGATGGTACATAAGAAATCAATGTGTTGTATAGTGAAGGACTGAAGTTGGTGCATTTTAATCGATTAACTTCATGTTGTGTTGAAGAACAATCAATAAAGTTGACCTTTATTCATAACAACTTACATTGCACTGCCTTCCTTGATGAACTCACATCTAATCTTTAATCCGCATTTAGCGGACTTTACTTTCTTTGATAAGGATTTGAATTCGAACTCCAGATCATGTCTGAATTAACAATTAACGAATGCTTAAAACTCCCGAAAAGCAACTTCTGAACCTTCAATATCTTCGAGCTACTCACATTTCGCCGTCCACACTGACATACGTGGCAAGATTGCATGGAAATAATGCCAACTTCTTTCGCTTCGTTCCGCAAATCTTAAGAAACATGAAAAACAACTTTTAACAAAAGTCTAGAAGATACTAAGTTTCCATTATGTTGTGGCTAAATGTTATATACGAGTTGTTATCTTACGTCTTCCATTACAAACATGTAGTCCTTTTTCTTGAATGATTTTCCTGTTGAGTCCTAAAACGGAAACGATAGCCTCCATCGTAGATGCACTTTTAAAAATTATGTATTTACGAATTGTGCTTTTCGTGGCTTGCATTTAAATTGTTGAATATGAATCATGTAAAGAAGCACTAAACGCAAGTTGCGTTTTATTTTACTTTGTATAGAGTGACGATAAGGTCGACGGAATTTGGCGGAATCCATTTCGATGTACAAGTTGTTATCTTGGTCATGTTGTTTGGAATGTTGGTAGACCATGTTGGCTGAAAAAGTATAAGAATTTTGAAATTTCTTTACACGTTCAGTCTAGCGACAATTTGATTGTTTAAGACAAATTCTCTTTGAAACAGGAAATCTCTTTGGAAACGTTGCAGAATCGTTAGAAATTTGGAACGGCGCATGATTGAAAGGTGAGCGCCAAAACGATTCAGCACGCAAATAAATATCTTCATCTTCCCCCGGACGAATCTCAGATGTTGGTTGTTATCAGTGCTGTAGAACTAAATTTATCAGGGGGGCTCTCTTGACGAAGCTGAAGCCACGAAATTATGAAAAATTACCCATTTTAAAGGTAGAAGGGGCTCCTCCCCAAGCGCTCCCCTCACTTCTACAGCACTGGTTGTTGTAGATGAAGTTAAATGTCATCTAGACTTGAGTATAGACAAAGCTCTTTATTTTTGACAATTATTGAAAATACTTATGATGATCACTTTACCAAAAAGAAATTTCCCGTTTCAATTGAACATCCATGAGAGACTGAAATAGCGTGATGTAATATAAATCAGAATTCAGCCTTGAGTATTATTTTCAAACCTTTGCTGAGGATTTAGTCCTGTGTCCCCGAAACCAAAGTACATTTAACTCCGTAGGCTCCCTAAAAAAACAAAAAAGTAAACGGTTACCAGGAATAGTTAGTCGGGGGTTGTATGTTGCCTTTGATCCTGAGCTAAACTTTTGCTCGGGGAAGGCCAAGAGGGGTTCATAAATTCCTATTGCGCATTGATAGGAAAAGACAGACAAAGTGATTAAATTATACCCGCCAAATATCATGTTACAAATGTAAACTTACAGGTATCAATATGCATCTCTTTAACGATTATATTTTCTTCCATAATTTATTTGTTGTTTTAACTAAAGAAATCTTTTTCGTAAAGTTTACACAAAGCTTGTTGCCGATACGTTTTATTCCGGGCAAATTCTTCAAACATCTTGAATTTTTGATGTACTTTTTATTATTTAAAAAGAAAATATGATCGAACTTGTATTAATCCTCGCTGCTCACAATGCCAGCAAGGGGGTTTGTTTTCTGTTCATAATAATTTTTTGAAAAAGAATTGTATTTCAAGGTATTGGCGTTCAACATTGTGGTATTTGAGACTTTTCGCGAGATTTTTTGAATCGGTTGGCAACTGTTGTATGGCAACATTTTATAGTCAAAATCATACTTCACAGAGGAAATACAAGACATTACCCAAGGTTGCACGCTTTTAAAAACCGACGATCGTAGTTGCCTAGATTGGCCGCAAAATGCTTTCAGAAAGAAAATTTTATCATAAATTGTAAACATTTTTTAATTAATGCTACAATATAGGTGACGATCTTTGCTATTACCATTGAATTTATATTGTTATGGCGTCATTGATTTTACGCAAAATGATAACTTTCGTCTCTACTTTGTTAGTGAATAGATACGAATATATACGAACCATTCTTCCACGGACTTCACTTCCAAATACTCGTATGTGACAATGTATCGAAATTTGCACGCAGTTCTTTCGGATTGCGTTAGCTTGTTGCGTATTTTCTTCATGTTCTTTCGGCTCATATTGACATCGAAAATCGCCTGCTGCGTTGTAATTATCTAAAAGTATTTCATTGTGTTAGCGAGTTAGCGATCATACATAGCACTTCCTGGTACTCAGAACTATGACAAAACACACACCAAACATTTTCACAGCACAGGTATCGTTTCCGCTGAACCGGAGCCTTTCTCTTTTTCGTGTGAATTTGGCATAAACTTTATAACTTCAGGCATTGTTTTATTGTCTAGTCATGAAGTTGTATGCATTAGCAATAAGGAATGTATAATATGCCTGGTATCATGTGCTTGACACATGCGCTTTACCATTGCATCTTTTCAATGATGGACTCTTTAAGGGTTTTCAAGTGAAGGGGAGGGCACCAGCTGGAGTGATATTGGAGCGTTCGGAAAGTTCCACTGTATTTGGCGGTTAAGTGTGAGAATTTTTGGATAATGACATATGTCGTGTAATATTTTATTTTTGTTTGTTAAGGCTCGATTGGCAACTTTGCATCAACTTTGCACTGCTTTGCAAAATTCATAGCTTAGTCCTAGTTATTCTAGACTTCCTATGGACTCCACTAATCCTGAATCTCCATTGTATTACTAAATCATCCGTTGTCATTTTACGTTGAAATTTTATTGAAATAGCAAGCCAAACAGTATTAATTTGATATGTATCTCATACATGTTTACAGTTTATACTATAAACTTTAAACAAGCATACAACATACATCAATATTGATCTGTATTGCGAGCTATTTTATTGGAATTGCAACAATGGGATTCGGAAAATACAGTATGTATTTGAATGATTATTGAGAATGCTGCCCCCCTGTACTTTTGATCACGTGATGCGAATTCGAGCACTTTGCTTCCGAACATGGCGGCTGCTCATGGTCGAGTTCGTCCTAATATTTTGATTACTGGCACGCCAGGCACGGGGAAAACTATTTTGGGAATGGAGTTATCAAAACGAACTGGGATGAATTTTGTTAATATTGGTGACATGGCGAAAGAAAATAATTACTACGAGGGTTGGGACGACGAGAGACAATGCCATGTGTTGAACGAAGACGGTGTATGTGTTAACTTGTGTTTATTTCAAATGACAAGTATTAGTACTACGTCTTTGAATTCCAGAATTGTTATGAGTATCATCAAAAGTTGGATATGTTTCATGAGATATTGTAGTCTTCGAGTGATGAAGTAGAATTTTAAATATTATTGCGTTTTGACATGACTCACACTCTACATGTACAAATAATCTCTAAGTCTATAACTTGCAAATAGGTAATCGACGAATTGGAAGATGCTATGTCGGATGGTTGGAACATATTGGATTATCATGGATGTGATTTTTTCCCCGAACGATGGTTTGACATTGTGATTGTCTTAAGAACAGACATAACAATTTTATACAGCCGATTAGAAAAAAGGTAGCTTGGTATGCTTAGTTGATGATAAAGTTATAAACTTGATGTAAAAGGTTTTTGAGTCTATCTAAGCATCCTATTTTTCAGAGATTATTCTGAGAAGAAGATTAAGGAAAATGTGGAATGTGAAATATTTCAAACAATTCTTGAAGAGGCGAGAGATAGTTATTCAACTGATATTGTTCATGAGTGTCAAAGCAACTACCCAGAAGACATGGAAAATAATTTGGAAAATATTATATTATGGCTTCAACAATGGCATTTGTAGACCCTTTCGTCACATTTCTTGGTGGCCTTGTTGCAAGTATGGTAAATTTAGTTCTCGGGAGACATTTCCAACAGTAAATTGTGAATGCTAAAATATTTTTATTGTAAATAAAACAATGACAATTAAAACAGAATAAATGTATTTATCGTAACAGGTTGTATATAGAGCTTCTTTCGAACATGTTATTTTTCAATGATTTTCCTGAGTTATCATTTGAACATCCGTAAGTTCAGATTGACTATCCACATTTTCAATTGTTTCAGTCAATTTATCATCTGATGTCTCATTGTTCTCGTTCCCAGATCCCACATGACTTTTTGCTATTCCATCATTTTCTATCATCGTTGCATTTTCATCCTGGTTTTCTTCGTTGCTGTAATGATTTTGGTCAAATGCACTTTTGTTCAAAAACTCATCAGCAGATCCTTCATCATCCATTGCGAAATCTTTGTTATCCTCAATGTCATTCTCAATGTCATAGTTACTACTTATCCTTTCACGAATGTTCACTTGAATGCTTTCAATTGGAATAGTGCTATCTATTGTATCATATGGTGTAGTGACTCCATGAATCTTTTTATTAGTCACATCAAGTGACTTGGACTTCTCATTTGCACAAATGATACTTTCACATGCAATGTCATCATCATCTTCCATAGCACTCAGAAAGTCGTCATCATGCTGATTTTCTGCAGAAGTCTTTTCTGATGAAATGTCCATTCTTTTGCTATTTTCTCGTGAATTGGATAATACTTTCCCAATAAATATTTCTGAGTTATTTCCATCTGCCTGTGACTCTGAATTTGAAAGGATATTGTTACAGTTAAACATTGAAGATCAGATATAAACCTTGCATAATTGTACCTGCATTACGTTCCTCCAAACATCTTCTTTTTGCTTCTCGTCTCTGAAGAGCAAGCTCCCTGTTTCTTTGGATTCTATCTCTCTGTTCCTCTGTTAGCTCAACTGCTGCATCGACCATTTGCACACTCTTAGAGTGAAGAAAAACAATTTAAAATGTGCCTTCAAAGGTCTGGTTTTAAGCAAACATACATTCTCGTGTTCTGTGCTAACAGCAACAGCAGCTACTTCCACATCCTCTGATTCGTTGTCATCTTGTTCACCTCTCAAGATGTTTTCCTCATCATTTTCTTCTCTGATTCTCTTCAACTCTTTCTGAATGCAAGAAATGTCTCCAAAACTCGTAACAAACTATGAAAGTAATCATTATCAAGTTGTTTTGTACGTTGTGCCATGTAACCTACCTTCACTTTGACTTTTGAACCAAGCACTTCGCATTTCTCAACCACACTTTGAAAAGGCCATTTCGGCATAAGACACTGAGCCCAATGCTCAAAATGATAAAGAAGCTTATTCAAATCAGAAACCTGTCACAATGAGGTAATGAATTTTCAAATTAATTATACAAGGTACAATTGTACTATTTATTACCTCATGGCCTTTTCCTTTAAACTGCATATCAGAGCACAAATGTTTTAAGGCCTTTATGCCTTTGTCGGAGCACAATCTGAATGAGATAACATCTTTGTTCACATATTTCGAATGAGTCAAACTATCTTGCTTGAAAATTGATCTTTACCTTTCATCGTTCAATACAACACGATCGACATTGCGTTTTTTCTTTGAGGTTACATCAGGAGCTTGGGTTGGATCAACATTTTCCTGGGGATTTATGTCCCCGATGTTCTCAGCATCCCCAACTTGTGCTGCGTCGTCGGCAGTTAATAAAGCATCTTCCATTAAAGGCGGTGGAACTGCAAACGGATCGTCGTTTTCCGCATTGAGATCAAAGCCAAGGTTTCTAATATCATCGTTTTGTCTCGATGCAAACATTTTCGCCCTGAAGTTCGGTAGTGAAGACAATATTGAGGACTTTTAGCGATGTTTTTTTTGAATCACTCCTTATTATGTAGGGTTTGTTTTGTAAATGTTTTGCTTACATGATTTCCCGCGTTATTTTCCCGTTGCACTGAACTTCGGGAAATCTGGAGTAGGCATCTATTTATGTGATTCATTGTCAATAATCAATCCCCGAGCCGAAACTTTTATGGAAATTTAAAGTTTGAATTTAACAAATAAAGAAATTATCTCGTCTTCACACTTGACGAATCGAATGACTGATAATTTGGCAAAAAATTGCCATTTTAACTTTTTAAAACTTCTTAAAAATTCTTAAACTTTTTAAAAATTCTTAATTTATATATCCTAATTTATGTAATCTAAAATTAAGTTTACATAATTTATGCGAGCTGGACTTTCTAACATGGCGGCGGCCAACTTTAACTTTGTTCCGAGGTCTGTGAGTCATAAACCGTCAAAAACAAAGCGTATATCAAGGCCTAAAGCTCCATGTTTTCCAAATATTTCCTATATCAGTCAGGATTCAAGCTCAACTCCTTGTAATAGCAGCAGCTTACGACCTAAGGGAGAAATAATGACTGGAAGCGATCCCTCTTTCAAAGATTCGAACGAAGAAGTTGAGGAAACCGAAACGGGCGACGATGATGTTGTTTACTATAGTAAAAATCAAAGATGGCCCGAAGTGGATGAACCGGCTTGCGTTGTTTGCGGTAGATATGGCGAATTTATCTGTGATTTGACCGAGGCAGATGTTTGCAGCAAGGAATGTAAGGCGAAAAATCTCGTGGAATTGCGACATAATGGGGGAAATTTAGTACATACTCAAAATGAAGATTTGCCATCAAAGAATTTTCAAATGAAAACACTCGGCCATAATGATTTACAAAATATTCAACAAAGAACAAGCTATAGGTACAATGTACATCCTCATATAGCATCACTTACAGAAAGGCAGGTTGACGACTTACAAGCTCGTCTGAACATTACCATAAGGGGTGATGGGATTGCGTGGCCAATACTAGAATTCAATCATTGTGGCGTGAATGAGCAGATTTTGAGCAATTTGAAAAGATGTGGATACATAAATCCCACTCCAGTTCAAATGCAGGTCATTCCGGTTGCTATGACAGGTCGGGATCTGCTTGCATGCGCTCAAACAGGATCTGGAAAGACAGCCGCATTTCTTTTGCCATTGATTGCGAGAGTTTCACATGATATTGGTAGGTGAGTTTTAGCTTAGTAATGAATAACCAAGAGATGTTTTTATGCACCAGCAAAATAATAAACTCGAAAGTCTGTGTCAGTATGTGTGGTGATACATAAACTAATAAAACAAAAGGAATTGTTGTGCTGGTGAAAGTATAAACTAAGATAAGGCATAGCAGATACATTAGTGATAAATCAAAAGCAAAAAATGGGGATTGTCTTTGAAACCCAAGTAGATGTATGTCAGAGTAAGTTACTGATCAATAAGCAACAGATAACGAGAACTGATACTACCTAAAATATACATTTAGATATTGTGCAAGGGAAGTTAGTGAAGAATAAACAAAAGAGGACAATCAAAATATAATAAAAATATTGTCCGCATATGTAGTGAAGCTGAAACACTCAAATATTCTTACATTTCTCCAGGAACATCTGATGGTCATGATAAGAACTCGCCCCAAGCCCTCATACTTGCTCCAACCAGAGAACTTTGCATGCAGATAGAAAACCAAGCAAAGGAACTGATGTCAGGATTACCTCACATGAAGACAGCCTTGATAGTGGGAGGGATGCCGATGCCCAATCAGATTTATCGTTTGAAGCAAAGCATTCAGCTTGTGTTTGCAACTCCCGGTCGGTTGCTCCAAATCTTGGACAAGTGTGATGTTGATTTTTCTCGGATTCAAATGTTGGTCATTGATGAAGTGGATGTTCTCATGCAAATGGGATTTGAAAATCAGGTAGCAATGATTTTATGTGTCGGAAGATAAAGTTCGGCATCATGCATCTGCTTGCATTAGCCTTCAAGACAAGAATCTGGTACTCTTTTTACCGTGAAACTAACATGTAATTCTCTAAAGGAAAATTTAAAGCTGAAATGCAACAAAGGCCATAACTGTGTTTATCAAGAATGGTTTAGTACTGTCCCAACTTAACCTCTTATATACTTGTATAGTATATCATCCTTATTTTGAGTGATGTGATGATGAAAGTGATGACTTCTGCTTTTATTATGATCAATCTGACTTTAAGATGTCTGCGTCCTCGTGTATTTTAACTTTCGCATGTTAAGGTTTTTATGTGGTTTTCAAATCTTCATTTTCAGATGCATTCTATATTAAATAAAATACCAACTTCCCGACAAACACTGTTGTTCTCGGCGACCATTCCCCCTGTTGTGGAAAGACTTTCATCGTGTCATCTCACCAGTCCAGCATTTATATCGGTAGGGCTGCCCAGTGCACCTAACATGGATGTAAAACAGGTTATACTTTGGGTGGAAGATAAATCAAAGAAGAAAAGATTGTTTTCCTTATTGAATGATTCAAAGTACTTCTTTCCACCGATATTGGTGTTTGTCGACTCGAGAATCGGTGCTGATATGTTAGCTGAAGCAATTCAAAAGGTTGAAAATTTGTCTTATGCTGTTTACTGTGCATTTCGTGTTCTCTATAAATGGCTTCTTTCAGACATGTCACGTGAGCTGTTGTTCGATGCACGGGGAGAAATTGCAAAGCGAGCGAACTAGAATTTTGACAGCATTTCTGGCTGGGGAGTATGATGTGTTAGTGTGTACTGGTGTCCTGGGACGAGGCTTGGATCTACGTTGTGTGAAACAAGTATGTCAGTTGTTCGTGAATTGGTCTTTCACTGACGTATTAATCTTCTTTAAACTCGTTTTATGTTAGGTAGTATAAAGGTTGTTATTGTTCTCTGTTGTTCATTCATCACTACCTACACTGACACACGTTATCTTAGTTTATATTTTAGGTAGTGTAAAGACAGTTCTTGTTTTCTGTTGTTCATTCATCACTACTTTCACTGACGCACGTTATCTTAGTTTAGGATTTAGTGTGCAAACAGTTCTTGTTCTACGTATGCTGTTCGTTAATTACTACCCAAATTAGATTGTTATACCTTTGTTCATATTTTAGCCATCTTCTTTATTATATTACGTTTATAGCGAACGCTAATCATTTACATTGTATGGTGAAAGCGTTTTTCTAACATGAAAGATGTAAATTTTCATTTAAAAAACATTGCCTTGCGGAAACTTAGAGGAGTAAAATTTTTCCTTTTCTGTTTAGTATGTCGGTCGCAACATTGGATTGCTCTTTTTTGCGACTTCATTCAATATAGTTGAGTATAATGAAGTATTATATACCATATTTCAGGTCATCAATTTTGATATGCCGTCCAGTGTTGACGAATATATTCATCAGATTGGCCGTGCTGGTAGACTGGGCTCGAAAGGTCTGGCTTTTACATTTATAAACAATTCCAACAAGAGCGTATTCCTGGATCTTGTGGAAATAGTAGAAGCTCATGGCGTGAAACTGCCTGATGAACTTTTGAATTCTCCTCACTTATCCTCGCAAAAATACGAGCGAGATCGCAAGCGCACTGGCAGGAAACGTAAACGCGAAGGAAGCTATGTAAACAGGGAGAATTTAATGGACATTCTCAAGAAGAGTACCTTTCGTAGAAGGCTAAAGGATCGTTAAATATGTCAGATGAAAAAGCAACGAAGTGAGTCAAGTTGAGTAATTTTGATTGTTTTACGTGTGCAAGTTGATTAAATCATTAAATCTTAGACTAAAATGACCCCAAGTCATTGCTTTCAATCATAATTCGCAGTGAATTTTTGCTCTTTAATTAAAACAAGTGTGGGTTGAATTTAAAATATCCAGCAATTATACACTGAACTATGTATCAGGAATACGACCTACAATTAGTGCCTTGCTTCGGTAGAATGCATGACAAATTTTTATGGTGCTCTTGTGCTAAACTTAGATCTTCTTCATTCTACCATCACCCCCCTCCCCTCAAAATGCTGAAAAGGATGATGAACTGGCTAGTGAAAAAAAGTTATAGTGCCGAGTTCACATTTGATCACAATTCTTCTTTCTTGCTCGAGGGCTTTTCTTGTAATACTTTTATCTCAACTTCCAAGTTGTTTACGCAAAGAACTCGCTTTCCCGTCAATTTCTCGTGTATATCAGCAGTGATCTTGTATTTTCCCTAGAAACGACGAAGACAAAGTCTAATGAGTGGCAGGTTCTCGCTAAGGTAAATTAGTCTGATTCTTCGTAAAAAACAGCGAGAACATAAAACTAGAAACTTCTGCGAAACTCTCGATCAAAGTATTGACGCCTTTGACCGTGTGAGGTCTAATTCCTAATTTAGCTCAACTGCTCAATGGCGTATTGTTGTGCGTCATAGGAAGTCTTTCAAACTTGAGGGGGTCTATCTTCGGGTATTATTGTTAAAAATATTTACGCATCGTGATAAACATTTTTTGACACTATCCATTAAATGACAGCTTTGGTTTTTACCACACCCTTCTTTACCCCTTCCCCGCCGCAACCCGGTTTCTCAGATTCTTAAGCTACCCTGGTCTTCTCACAATAACGTAATCGGCGTGATATACATTTTTAAGATATTTTACTGCCATAGATGGAATGTAAAATAACGGCTGGCGTGTCATATCCTGTCGTTGGGGACACAATGGGATGGAAAGATGTCTTTGAAGATCGCCACATTTCATTGACTTGGGGCTAAAACAACGAGCAAAGAACATTATCACGAGAACTGTTGAGTCTTCGGATAGAAATTAAAAGTAAACGTATGGTTGTGAAAAAATTCCGTGATACCTACATGAAGAATTGCATGAGAGACGTCAGATCGATCTCAATGAGCCCAACGACTTTTTTCAGTTTCATGTCCAATGTAATTTCCGTATCGTTGTTCGTCGCGGTGTAGTTCTCGTTCGTGAAACTTACACTTGGTTCAATTACTTTTTCAGGCGTTACTTCGATAGGGATTGGTAGGCTGATAATGTGAATTTGTATTGGTGCGCTTCTATCTATTTTGATGACGAACGAAAACGTGTTAGCATTGTGCTCGTCACCCTTCCACTGTTTCGTCAAGCTACTTTTCCACCCACGTCTCTTTCATATCTTATGTTTCTTATTTAGGTTAGTATGGGGAGGCTAGAGTGTGTCAAAAAGTTGTGCAACTGACCATCCACTTTCAAAAAAACGCAATTCAAATTTCTAATCGATCTTATTCTAATTTCATTACCACGATCCAGTTTTATAAATGAAGATTTTGATTAAGTTAATACGTGGATTGTGGAGTGATATAGAATGACCAAGTGATAAATGGTGTGGCTTGACAGTCCTCACTGATAAATGAGGCGAAAACAACATTCTCATTGGTCAATGGCTTGAGCAGTGGATGATTTTGACAGATAAGTGGAATGGCTTGACGGATAAGGGTGTTCAATGGAAAATTTCATTGGTTCGTTTAAATGGGGTTTTTCCTGTCAAGATGTCTGAATTCAATGTTTGATCTGGCACTTTCATTTTGATTTTTTTTGCAAAATGGAGGCTTTATAAAGAACAATAAATCTGTATTGTTTGTAAATAGGAAAAGCTTAATACACACACAAGCTCTTATGAATACACTTTGTAACATATGGCATCATAAATGATGCAAAATTTGATTTTGTATGTCATAAATTTCTGACATACCAAAAAAATTCCTGGATCAGCCCCTGTTCGAAATTAAACAATATTTAAAGACTGTTAAATTACAAGATATAGTGATGACAGAGTGGTGAGATCTGTGTGTTAAGGGATAGAGTGGGATTGAATGGAATTAGATGAAATTTAGTGGGATGGAATATGTGTACATATTTCAATCTGATGATGTCTTAAGTTAAACACGAAACGTTATTGTTAATAAAACTATTTACCCATGGGCCATGGCCATAATAAAAGTTTTGCTTTGGGCAATTATATTCATACCTGCAGTCTATTGCAATAAGTTTGAAATATTACTGAAATTTTGTATGAACTTTTCCTCTTTCAAAAATACTATATTTTACGTAGAACATATTTATATCTGTATATCACAGATCCCCCCCTTATGAATTATGAAAAGTATGTTTCCTAAAAAAACTATATTTGACTTTATAGTCGACTTCACGTTTGACTTGGGCATTTACTTACCACAATTCTCGAAAGGAATCTGTTCGTTATTTACTTTGTATAGAAAGAAGAAAAGCACAAATAGCTTTAATGCCATCTTACTCTTCGGTGTTGATATGGATAGTTAAATACGACAGCGAAAATTTATGCAACATTTTATGACATTTTATGAATTTCCGGAAGTGATTGTTTAGTCACAGTTATCTCATAAAGTACTCTGGCTTTTGTAAAACAAACCATACCATTAGATAGCATACAATGTATGCTTTCTGCTGACACAAATTTTATTGTTTGAACCTGTTTGATAACGATTACAATAGCCGCTTCTGCGCGATCAACGTTATGCATAGTATATAACGCAATAAAACACTTACCCTAGTTGATCGGAATTTGAGAATTTTATGTTGTTCATACGGTAACACAGAGTTAGCCATAGTAAAATTTACCCATTTTTTCTATATGTACATGAAATTTTAGCTTTTTCAATTAAAATTAGCATTGCTTTGAGCAACTTTGAATTTTCCTTCTCGAATGTTTTTGAAGTGGAACGTCTGTTGCCATTGCCCATACAGTCGTTGTTTTAAATAAAACTACTTCAATGCTTTGTTTTTAATAAAAAAACGATGCTGAGTCGATTCCCAGTGGTTTGAGAGTCATAGGATGTATAGCGCCGGAGATAATGTAGCTCAAATTTGCCGCCGATCATCGATTTTTAATGTCTCCATCGCTATAAGAACATATGCATCATATGAACAACGGTGATTGGCTAGAAAGAAAGCTCTAAAGATGGCGAATTTTTTAAATTAATTTAATGGACATTCTCAAGAAGAGTACCTATCGCAGAAGGCTATAGGATCGTTGAATATGACAACTCTTAAAGCAACGAAGTGAGTCAAGTGAGTACCTTAAAACCTTTTGATGTCCGTGTGCGAATTTATCAAAAACGGGGTAACACTGAGACTAAAATGGTCCTACGTATCGTTTTCCCTATCATTATCAGATACAGCAATTTTTACTCGTTGCGTGGTGCCCTCTTCCTAAAATTGAATCTTTTTTGTCCTTACCACGACCCTTCAGTAAGACGTGTGATAAAAATCACACATGACTAACAGACTAAGGGAGTTAAACAACTTGAGCTGATGAACTGCGTTAAGACATCATATTATGTCAACATTTAATCTCAAATGCTTTCCTTTTTAAAATTCTATTTTAACTTCCGCGTTCTTTACGCAGAGAATTCGTTTTCCCGTCAACTTGTCGTGCAAATCAATGTCGATCTTGTAATTCCCCTTAAAATGACAAAGAAAAAATATTACGAAGAACTTCTACAAAGAAAGGCAGGGTTCTGTTTGAAAAACCGAGTGGGAGCTTAACAGCTGAGAAAATAGAATCTTCTACAAAACTCTCAATCAAAGTGTTGACGGTTTGTGAGGTTTGTTTGCAAGTGAAGCAAATAGTTTATTTAGCTCAATGGTCTCATAGAAAGTCTCTCCAATTTTTGGCGAGGTGCCTAGTACGGGCGTTGTAAAAATGTTGATACACATCTCCAACCCGCGCTTAACTCAGTCTCAAAGATTTTAAGGCAACTCTGGCTGCTCGCAAAAATTTTATTTGTTCTACTTACGCTGGCAAAATAAGAGTTGATTGTGCTCTTCTGGAAAGAAGGTGAAATTTTGAAAATTCGGTTGAATATACGATATCCTCTCACTGGAGGACACAGTGGGCTGGACAAAGCTCTTTGGAGATCAGCACACTTCATTGAATTTGGGCTAGAACATTGAAGAAAAATTCCTTTGCCACAAACTGTTGACTCGAACTTGAAAATTTATCAGTAAATATGTAGTTATGAAAAGGATCTATAACTCAAGATGCCTACATGTGTTTGGGAATGAAACGTGACACATCCAGTGAGAACCAACCAACAACTCTTTTCACCTTGACTTTCCATGTAATTTCTGTATTGGTCGTGGGAGCGTAGTACTCGTTCGTGTAACCTACGAAGGTTGCAATTTTGCTTCCAGGCTTCACTTCGATAGGACTTGGTAGATCAATTTTGTTGATTTGTATTGGCGCGTTTCTATCTATTGTAGGGCAAAGGAAAATGTGTTAACATTGCTCTCGTCTCATTTCCACTGTTGCGTCAACCGAATCTCGAAATCAGGTCTCACAAAAGTATCGAGGTTAGCTTTGTATGTTTATAACTGTCGTCAAGAGATTACGTCATGTGATGTGGATTAGATCGCGTCTCTGTCTTCGAACATTTAACTGTATGACACGTAGACTTTGATAGATGTTTTGGCAAATTGGTCTTCAGTCAAACTTCGCTGACTTTGACGCTTTCACGGTACTTATGATCATTGAAAACCCGTCTAATAAGTTGCTCAAGACTTCATTCAAACATGCCCACAATGCATGCATTAAGCACAAATGGACAAGATTCAACTCGTCATCTGTATTCTCTACGATACATTCGACTTTTAAAGAGGTAGACGTTTTAAACGAGCTTTGTCCTATACGACTGTTTTTTAAACTATATCCGTCGATGGATGTCGTTTCGAAAAAGAAATTTCACAGGACGTCAACACTAATATGTATTTTCTTTTACATTTCGTGCATTCTTTATCTCAGATCCTCTTTCGTATTTCATGAAGAGTTGTCTTATTGTCTACTTTCAAAATATGATTATTTGAACATGAACTTACCACAATTCTGGAACTTAACTTGTCCGCTATTCACTGAGTAGATAAAAAAGAAGAGTGCAAATATTTTTACTGCCATCTTCAAAACCTCCTCCATTCGAGTGCTAACATGCAGTCATGCACTCTTCAATGTTGAACTCGATGTGATTCGCACTGACTATGCTGCTTGCTGGTAAATTCCTTCTGTTTGCTTGTTTAGGCTATTGCCTTTCGTCAGCTGTCTAAATATCGCACACAGATGATTAAATTATGCATTAAAATCGACGATCTGTTTAAATTATGTTTTGAGAAAAGACAGGTACGCCTGTAACTATTTTTCGAGATCTTTCCTTCAGTGTTGGTTTAGCGGCTATCTGCGGTGGCTGTGTCTATAGGACCCATGCGAAATATATTATGGTTCTCCGATGGCAGCATGGCTAACTACGACTCCGCAGTGACTTTGTGATGCTAAAATTCCTTTACTGAAATCCATAACCGTCGACATTACGATTTTTCTTATGTGATTGACTGAGACCAGACGACTTGAGAGTCTTTTGTCTTCTTTTTTTTTCTTTCGGCTTGTGCTGAAGTCTTTTCCTTAAATGCTTGTTTTGATTATTATGTCGCATTTTTCACGTCGTAGGTTTAATCTTTTGTCATCGATTGTGCTTATGGTCATTTCACTTGTTGTCAACCTTAAATGGGACATAACCCACGCAATTGCCGACAAACCGAAGTACAGGGGGGAGATTGTAATAAAAATACAAACCTGCCCATGTCCTGAGTGCGACTTCTTCCATTCAGGGAGGTCTGGGCGTGATGTTTTTAGGCGAATAGCTCTGACAATTTATGAACTTTGGGTCTATGGAAAATGGTATTTTCATTGTTATTAGAACGCAATTTCATAAGAAAATTGGTAGGCAAAAAAAAGATTTTAACGAATAAGAAGAGAAATGACAGACAACTTAAAACATCAATTGCTATAATCATACGTAAGCATCAAGGCTTTTAAAATTCTCGAGTTTCTTTTACGGATGAACGGTAAAAGTAAATATATTGATTGTCTTGTTATTTTCCTATTTGGTTCATCCAACATATTTTTTCCGAAACTTAGTTTTCAGAACTGCCCATTTTATATTTTAGAACTGCGTACTGAAATTCTCAACACATAGTTTTTTTCACACAAATGTTTTGTAAATGACATGAATTTGGGCAGAAAGTTTGTCGTGTGCTAACGTCTGAAAATTATGCATCTGAGTGATTTACCATTTCAAGTATGCCTCTTACGGAAAATTCACATCATTTACCGTTGACGTGAACAGAGAGAGAGAGAAGGGGAGGCAAAAATAAACTCATGTTGAAGAAGATAAAACAAAGCAGTCTGCTTTCGAATATTTGCTTTTCTTTAACTTTATATGTTATGTTGTGTTATGCACGACTTTTGTTACAAACTTTTGTTGGCAGAGGCTCTGGAAGCTTTCGAGAGTTGTGGGTGTTCCACATTCGTCATGTCATAACGGAAGAAACTTAGAATGGTAATTAAATTGTTTCGTATTAGTTATTTTCAATCGGTTTTCTTCCTTTTTGTGCAAACGTTACAAAAATCTCTAAAAAATCTCATTGTTGTGTTTCATCACATACGAATGACGTGCACTTTTCGTCAATGTTCAAACCATTTAAGTTTCCCTGGCTCTTTGTGCCAATTCAATAATTTGAAAATTTGATACACCTGTCATTAACGTTCAAGGAAAAGCTAAACTTGCGTTTCTTCTTCCTACAGGGCGCTCCCACACAACAAGTTCGGACACCCAGAAACCCACGGTTTCCCAAGCCCCTAGTTGTTGGGTAGAGTGATTTTTATTCACGATTCTCAATGAGACCAACCGATGTTTAAGTTCTTAACCCTAAAATTTTTCATGGGAGAAACAATTGAGAAGTTAAACAAAATTTCTCGTTCAAATTTGTGAAATTTCGTCGTTCGTTTAATGCATTCACTAAAATTGTATAAAATTCAACCTGCCATCAACGTAATTAATTGTTGAACATTGTTAAACATTTGTTCATCTTCAATTACTGTTCTTAATGTTTGCCTTTACTGCAAAAACACTGCTAATCTATTTTTTTAATCATTAAAGAATCAAACTCGTTTCTTTGTTTCGGTGGTGAAAGCTGCTCGGAATTTTACTCGTGTCACAGAATTTTTTTGCAAAATCCTAGTCATTCCTCTAGAAATTTAATTTCATTCACAGTTTCTAAATGAACTATTAACACAAAAATGTTTGCACAGCAGTAACACATAAGAAATTATTGTATTTGATTTCCTTATTATTCTGCCATATGGTCAGTGCTGTAGAAGTGGGGGGAGGAGCCCCCCTTCTACCTTTGAAATGGGTAATTCTTCATAATTTCATGGCTTCAGATTCGTCAAGAGAGCCCCCCATCTGATAAATTTAGTTCTACAGCACTGCATATGGTACATAAGAAATCAATGTAATTGATATTTTTATAAAAAATTCCAAACGTTAGTTTCATAAATAAATCGAAGAGAATGTGTTACAGCTATGAGTGAAGTCGGCAAACAGACGACGTCGCTTCGAAGTTTGATATTTTGCAAGTGTCTTGTTTCAAAATTATTCATATTTCATAACGTCACAGGCAAAGTGCATTGTGGGATAGAAATATTCAAAATTAGAAATTTCACTGTCAAAAGTTCTAACAACGTTTTGTTTATTTATTATAAATTTATTTTATTGAAAAATTGGCTGAAAATGACTGAAGAATTTACCGAGATAAGGGTAAGTTAACGAACTGTTCACTTGGCTGTTCTTTGTTCATTAGTGTGATTATCTATGGCCGCCTTTTCGACGAATGTTGAGGGACATTTCGTAGATTGCGATCGCCATATTTTATTATAAATCAACCGTGATTTGTATTGTCTACTGGCCACAGTCGTAAGATATTAATCTTTGTATCCGGCTGTTTTAGCATTGTTTTGAAAGCCGTCTGGTTTTGATACTGTACACTTTGGGAATTATTACGAAATTACTGCCTAGAGTCAGCGTACGTAGTAACGACTAGTAGCGACGTGATGACATATTGTGTAGGCCTAAGCGATGTGTAGTAATTACATTACCAAAAAACACTGTCGAAAGCGTCTTTGCAAAGAAGAAAACACTTAAATATATTGGTATTGTGTAAGCTCCCTGATTTTTGAAGCTAAGTGTTAGCTATCTAAACATTGTCTTTTTGTATTCTTCAATTGAATCCATATAGCATATGGTGAAGACCTTCCGTGTCTCAGAGCTGCAAGAGCTGTTGGGTTATGCAAATCGCTCCAAGACCGGGAGGAAGCACCAACTTATGGGAAGAGCATTAGACATGCTAAAGGATGATCCGGGATCGAAAGTCTGTGGAAAGATTCGTGAACTTTACGGTAGCAGATACCCTAGACGTTTTCCGTATGTTCCACCTCCATCAAACTATTCATCTGGACCTAATGTGGGCGAATCCAGTGTTGGCAGAATGTCACTCATGACACAACCTAACAGACCAGTACGTCCCCCAAGTTCATCGCTCTTGCCAGTGCATCCAGATGTGAAATTGCGACACCTCCCATTTTATGATTTCAAAGACATTCTTGTTCGACCTCAATCTCTAGGTATGTAGAGCTTATGTTACAACTTTCCTTAAAGTGCTTATACAGTGAAATTTTCCAACAATGTTTCATTTGCTTATTCAAAAGTACTTGCTCTCAACATTATTTTTATGTGAACAGAGTTGAAATGTCTTTTTAGATTGATTTTATAGACGTCAAAAGTGGCAGTTTTTGGTTCTCTTTGTGCGAACTTTTTTGCCATGTTAGCTAAATTGACATCATACATAAGTAGTACACATTTTCAACATGGCAATAGAAATTGCTATTGGCTTGGCAACTTCCATACTACTTATGACGTCAAATGAGCAAACATGACAGTCAGCAAAATTCACACAAGAGGACAAGTTTTGGAGTTGAAATTAATCAACTTCCACACAACATAAAATGGACATAAATATATTAAATTGCTTGCAAATATCTAAATATTTCATAAAGGCTATAAAAAGTATATGCCAATTTCACTGCATAAACACTCGTAATATCTTAGTGAACTTTTGAAAGAATCTTAGTGAACTTTTATCATTCAAAATGTTTGTTAACTGACTGGAGAGGCTTATTCCATCGGCTGAGATGCTTTCTCATAACATCAAACAAGTGATTCAAGACAGTGTTAACAATAGTTTGAACATTTGTGCATTTTAATGTATGGATGGTCTTGTAAGGGTGAGGAAGGGGGTACTCTAGTTTTCATCAGATTTTGGTAGCTACCTGGTACCATAGGATGTTAGACTTCTTCGTTAAATTCTGTTATCTTTTTATATAATTGGGATATTTTTCAAAGCAATTGTTTTGCGTTTTGTTATAACATATAGTGTTTGTAAGGAAACGGACGTCTCTTCTGCACCCCATGACGCCAAGACCAGGAAGAGGTGCACAGCCTTTTCTAAGTCCATCCCTGTTTACGTGTCCGCTTTAATGTTATGGATAAAAGTAACGTGCAAAGGAATGTGTATGAGAAAGTACAAACTTTTCTGTTGATGGGGTCTTAAAGTCCAAATAACGCATCGCCATTTGCGAAACAACTTTTAACTTTCGTGAAATATTGCGAAGCGATTTTTGTAAAATTACGAAGCTCATTTAGCATTTCTTGATAGTTAACGATAAATTTTCTTCCAGAAAAGATTTCATTTCACATTCCTGTGAAGGCTGTGCTCCTCTTATGCCTTGCGACCGACACTTTTTGCTGAAATATGTCTACTGATCGTTTTAGTCGTGCCTAGTTTGCATAATTTCGAAGCGAATATTACATTTCGTCGTAAAAGACAACGCTATCATTTGTAATATGAAAAGGAGCTTCTTTTTCAATCAAAGTTAAAAACACAAACGTCCATTGCGCTAATCCACACATACACTAGCCAAATGCTACCCTTACAAAATTGTCCGAGTTCGCAATGACTCGTAGCTCAGCTATGATTGGTGATGAAGGATTTAATTCAATTCTGAGGAAGCTCTAATCGTTTTTAAAACGTAGTAGATATTAGGGCACTGTCTGAACTGGAAGAGGATAAAATGACAGATTTTCTAACTCTTAATTTTATTGCCATAAGCGCGCGCATAACGCATTTTACATATAAGGAAAATCGCGTGGGAAGGGAGGGCTAAATGAAAAGAGCCAGTAGGCGGTCAAAAAAGTTGCGAAGCAATTTTTAGCGATGATTCGGACCTTGTGGTCAGCACATTCATTCATTCAGAGGCCTTTGTGTTATCTATGTTGGGGTCAAGTTTTTTTTTATTATCCTTTTCAGTTCCTCAATGCAAAACAACAACTTATCAAGACTCATTCATAATGTTTCATATCTCTCCGCACCAAGTGAATGAAATTGTCTCATCCAGGTAATGGCATAATGCTGTTGTACAAAATTTTAGTAATAAATTGTTTACTAAAGTTTAGTGATGCACCGATATAGGATTTTACCGATGTACCGATTAAGCGACATTAAATGCCGATATCGTGCCGATACCGATATTTTATGCCATTTTACGAAACTCAAACATCATAAAGTATGCCATGTTGTGCTCCCCAGTGAGTGTTCATTTGATAAAAAATATAAAATTCAAAGTGGACATTTACACTGCAGCCATATTTCACAACACAATTATCAATGGAAATTAACATCATGTGGAACTAACAAATTTCATTTACTATAAACTTAAAAGAAATTGTTAAGGTAATATATTTAGTATTGTTGAACTATGATTCATTTCAAATGTATTTCTATTTCAATGAAATGTCTAAATATCGGTATTATGAGCGAGAAAAATACTAATAAAGTAAATGGTTTGAACCCTGGAGTATCGTAACATGTTTGTGGATGAAGATCGTCCAGGTTAGTAGAGTCCTGAGAAGGACTGTTGGTATTGATGAAGACTGACGTTTCGACAACCTTAGCGGTACTCATCTCCAGAGTCAAATGGAGACTACCGCTAAGGTTGTCGAAACGTCAGTCTACATCAATACCAACAGTCGTTCTCAGGACTCTACTAACTGAACGATCTTCATCCACAAAATACTAATACCGATACCGGTGCATCGCTACTAAAGTTTTATTTTACCCTTAATGTGTTCGTAGACTATTTCACGTACTTGGTCGTAATTTTCCAGTTGCTATTCATCATGTATAATATGGCCGTTATTCCTTTTCTTCCAGGGATACCAGACCAATGTCAAATAATGAATACAACGTTCAGATACAACTGAGGTATGAACTATATGGTTCGGAGACATTTTTGATTATTTTTACTCGAATGATGCAGCACGTGGTGTAAATGATCCAGTAAAAACCTCATATCAAATAAACATGCTGCATCCAATTAACGCCTCTTTGGATCGCAAGTTTGTATGGGCACCTCTCACAAGTGACACCTTTTTACTAATATGTGCCCAAACATTAGCATTATGATAATTAAATAGCAATAACGGGTGATCGATTGTGCTGGAAAATTGTACATTTATTCATGGTCATGTTTTCATTTGTTTACACGAAGTTAATAGAAATGATACCGACGCCTCTGTCTATCAAATACCTCTTATCTATTTAAGCCCTACCCCCATTGAATTGCTAGAAATTTATTTTGTGTATGGACTTTGTTGCTTGAATAAGTCTCATCTAAGGTATAACATATGATACATTTTTTGGACTTTGTTGCTTGAATAAGTCTCATCTAACGTATACCTGCTATATGTTTGTGTTTTTGTTCAACATCCCATATGCGATTTCTAGATTTTGTTTACTGGAAACGAGTTGTGAACAAGACGATATGTATCCTCGTGCTCCCGCGGTGAAAATCAATGGGAAACCCTGTCCACTTCCGGTAAGTAACAAGGCGGGTAGTACCTCGCATGAACACACGCACCGTTTGTTTGTGATTCGTTCAAAGTTTTTTGCTGTTTTTAATTTTGATGATTTCTTGCATTACGTCGTTGTATTTTGATTAAATCCACTGCGATTTCTAGATTTTGTTTACTGGAAATGAGTTGTGAAAAGACGATATTTATCCTCGTGCTATACGAACCGTGTTTCAATGGCAAACCCAGTCCATTGGGTAAGTAACATGGAGGGTTAATGTTATTATTCATATATATATATATATATATATATATGCATGATATCGTATTAAGTCTTTGCATTGTTTTCAGCGTATTATGACGTGCATATAACATTGAACTAAAATACATGGAACGCCGTCTGAAGAAAATAATTGAAGCCAAATCTTACGTCCAGACTTGATTTTTTTCAAATGTGTCCTTGTGTAGTGTTTCGAGATTCTCTCACGGGTTGAAAATTGTTTGACCAAACACGCGTGTCTGGGTGTAAGATTTTGCTTCAAAAAATTCTTAGACTAAAAATTATTATGTACGTAGCGTTCCATGTATTAGCGCTCAATGGCATATAGTACGTATAAATATGAACACTCCCCCTCCCCTCCCCCCCCCCAATCATCGACCGTCGTACGCCCATGAGCAGACGTCCGTGTTAACTTTCTTTGCATATTTAGGGTATAGGACCGCGCGACAACAAGGGAGAACACAAGAAAACAGGTCGTCCTGTCGATATTACGTCTTTTTGTCGTCTGTCATCAACCATACCGAATCACATTCACATCTCGTGGCAAACGGATCCCCTTCAGGTCTTTGTGAGGAATTCGGGCCGGTTGCGCGAACCTTGGATAGTAGCGATTCATCAAGTTGTAAATTTGCTCGACAAGTATTTCTTTTTCGGCTGATTTTCATTCTTGATTGTTTTGAAACTTTTTGAAGAGAGTTACTATCCATTCAAATCAGTACCTCATATGAACTTAGATTTGATAGGCTACACAGACTTCGTGCAAACGGCCTTTTATCATGCGGTACTATAGTTTGAAGTATCCTTACTATTTCGTTCACTGTTGTCAATGCTATGATGTGATTGGTCACTTTCCCCCCTTTTTATGCTCCTCGTCTTTCGTCTCGTGCACTTTTTTGAGATTCACTTGACGATTATTTTCTGATCTTACCAAGACGATGTTTCAATTGTTATTGTTCTGTGTTTAATACGGTCCTACACGTCATCTGTTTCTTTTGTTTAACTACGTTGCCTTCCGTATAATTATGCGCCGGGGGGTGATATTTAGCCTACCCAAAGTTCAAGCTTCTTCCACCAATATGTGTTCTTCTGTTTAACTACATTGCCTTTCGTACAATTATGCGCCAGGGGATATTTAGCATACCCAAAGTTCAAGCTTCTTCCACCAATATGTGTTCTTCTGTTTAACTATACTGCCTTCCTATAATTATGCGCCAGGGGTATTTAGCATACCCAAAGTTCAAGCTTTTCCACCAATATGTGTGTATTCAAAATAAGATCTAGAATCTAAACAAACTCGAGAAAGGAACACAGTAAGCATGGAATGTGTAACTGACAACTTGCATTTACACGTACTTGTGTCAATCTTGCATAAAAGCATTCAAGGAATGTACACCTACTTTAGTTTATCTTACATGTACATAACATTTCACAAAAATTACACGTACTTGTGTTTGTGTAACATACAACATTTGACGAAAATTACATGTTCTTGCGTCCGTTTGACATGTAACACGCCACGAAACTTACACGTACTTAAGTCCATCTTAGTACGACATGCTGCGAAGTTTACACGTATTTTGTCTTTCAACAGAGGTTCGTTGCGACAGTTCATCTCGTAAGAAAGGTCACGTCCAGCTGTTTGATAAATAGGTTAAAGGCGCGCCAACGACGAAATCCAGATCATTCGAAGGCACTGAGTAAGATTTATTTTCAGTAGCATGTGTTATTTCCGTGAAAGGATGTCACGGCAAAATGTTATACCTGGTAACCGTTTGTGCTTTTAGTACGTGTAAAAGACTGGGAGCCTTTTCCAATACATGAACATTGGGGGAGGGGAGAGGGTAGTAGCCTATCTGTCATAGGTTCATTCAGTGGTGTTCCCAGCTAGATAACTGTATGGGAAGGCAATGTTCATGTATATACGTTCGCCGTTTTCATTTGAAACCATTTGTTATGGAGGTTTATCACGCGAATAAAAATTGCTCTACTCCCCCCCCCAAAAAAAAAAAAAATTATCGAGCTGAGGACGACCCAGTAATCAAGTCGTTTCTATAGCAGTTGTTGACCTGTTGCTAGCTTGGTATTCGCCTGTGGAAGTTTTTACGCGATCTCAACTTTGGCGCAATTTAAGTTCTCCGTTTGAGTAGCTACGTACTAGAATTTTAACAATTTATCATTTTGTATAAAGTAAGCATTATCTTTAATCTATATTATCCTTTGCATAAAGTAAACATTGTTTAATCTAAATTGTTATTGCTCTGTGTATGTATATTGGGGGAGGGGAGAGTTGCATTTTAACTTTTGCTTGTATTTTGTTTCAGTTAAGGAAAAGTTAACGCAAGATCCGGACAGTGAAGTTGCGACGACCAGTTTAAGATGCTCCTTACTATGTCCGGTAAGTGAAAAGATAAAACCTTTCTATATACTGTTATATAGGGAAACCCAGTTAAGAACTGCGTCGAAGCAATGCATCGTTTTGCTTTCTTTTGATGGAAGTGCAATAATTTTTAGCGTTAGAATCATCAAACTCTCATTCGCTTGCTTAAATAAATACTACAGAACGCAAGTACTCTGTGTCGAAGTATTTTTTATTGTTTTTGTAGCTTGGAAAGACTAGAATGACCATACCTTGCAGGTTTGATTTAGTTAATGAAAGTTTATCTTGTACAAGGCGATACATCGCTCATATTGAAGACCATTTGTAAACATTATAAATACGCCATTGTAATGGTCGCAGACATTGACGCATTTCACAATAGGGTGAAATTCCGAGGTACATTGCTGGATACAACGCAAGAGTTAGGTACATTGCATGATACACGCTGTCCAAACTTATATCTGCAAAACTTATATCTTATAACCTATAAAAACCAATTTGGGTTATCGAAAAATCACGTTTGCGTTATTGCGTTATTAACTTTAAGAGTGTTTAGTATTTTGAAAAGTAACTAAACAAGAGCTCCCGTTTACTTCCGCGGCCATAGCTGTACGCTATCTTTTATAGCAAGTAGAGGGGTGTATGTGTAAGGCTGTGTCTTTGTTCTTTACAGGTCAAAGAACTGCAATCACCTACAATGTTTCGACGCTGCTCTTTATCTACAAATGAACGAGAGAAAGAGCAGATGGATTTGTCCTGTCTGTGACCAAGAAGCAAGATTTGACAACTTGATTATTGACGGGTAGGTTTGTGAAACTCAATCACGCCGCATGTGAGCCCCGATCAAAACTCCACAAATTTCACCAGATTTTGCCGTAGATGATGAAAAATTGGGAGCTGAACAACGAGCAACCAATCATATAATCGGAAGATATGAACATTATTCAAAAAGAAAACGCGATCTTTAAGTATAAGTAGTGAAGGGTTTATGGGAGGGGTGACAAATTCCTACAGTGTATTAATGTATATAAAACAGTTCAGTAATAATCCAAACTGGGGCATCCCCTCTTACAAAACAATCTTGGATTCATCCGTGTGTATGAACATATGAAAAACAGTTTCGAAGTACATTATCCCATTGTTGTTTAACCATCACCGCTCTATCTTGCGTTGGCTTGTGTTCTTCGTGGCTCGTCTTTTTATCCCTCGAATTCTGTTTTCTTTCTTGTATTTTACTTTACCAATAAAATAGCCTTTTTTCCCTTTCAGCTTATTCATGGAAATACTCGAGAAATCTCCTCAAAGCAACGACATCGTCTTCTTTGAAGATGGCTCGTGGGAAGCCCTCGGGACAAGTGGTAAGTCGACACTTATTCAGGTCGTCTAGTGATTGGCTGAAAAGAGTTGCGCAAGCGCGGCTTTGGTGGGAAATTTTTGAAATCATTTCAATAAGAATAAATTTCTTCGAAATAACCGCTTGCTTTCCTTGCATTAATTTTGCTGGCAACTGCTAATCGACAGATAGTCAGTTAATGGAGAATGATCTATAGTTTCTTAGTTGTTCTCTCGTTTTGAAAATTAACGTCGGTATCATAACTGACCAATGAAAAGGTCTTACGCATCAGTTGTATCAACTTACTAGTCCATGATACAAGAGAATCTTTTTCACGCGGCAAGAATGTGAAGGACTTCATGTAAGAATACGCATATCATATTAATAGCCTGGTCGGTACGCGTGATAGAGTATGAGAACTTTATTCTCCCGAAGAATATTACATTTGTGAAATAACGAATTATGTAAAGCGAATGCCACAATTTAGCATACTTGCTGTAAACGTGGCGCTGTGATAAATTATGTATTTTTACGATAATTATTTACATAACTTCGATCCATCGTGGCTTTTTCAGACCAGGCTGCAAAAATGACCGTGATATCTACTCCGAAGGCTGAAAAACCGGAAGTTATCGAGGAAGAAAGTGAGTGCATTTATCATAAGAAAATTTTTTTTGTTTTTTGAAGAAAAATTATCGGAAATCAAAGTCCAGTGTGTAAATGTTTTTTATAATTTTCTTTGGCTAAACATTTTTTGTGGATTTGAATCTTTAAATGTGCCTGTTTGATTGTAGTTTGCTATTTGTTGATCGTAGTTTGAGTTCCTCTTTCCTCTGGAGGCGAACACTATGGACAGCGGTTGTCCCTAATGTACTACATATTGAGTTATTTTTTATTCATTCAGACTTGTGTTATTTAAAGAAGTTAACCTTTAAGTTCGTCCGTTCAAATTTTCAAATCATCATTTGACTCATTTTGCTACTCGCTCCTCCCTGAAATATTTCATCAATCTCCCCGTAATCCTGACTTCAGTCAGAGTTACCCGTTAGTGTTGTGAACGTCACCGTCATTTTGTTTTTCATCCTGCAAGAACCAAAAAGAAAACACGATCCTCATGTCATTGATCTGACCGTGAGCAGCGACGAAGAAGATGAATATAATACAGCCAAGAAACCCTCGACATCTTCAAGGTATAAGTTCATCGTTGGAAGTGTCATTGTTAATGACGATGTAAAGCATTTGTTGCGTGCTCTCGAGGATCAGGAAGTTGTTGTTTTGTGAACACGCTCGATATTTGTAAGATTTCTTTCTAGTATAAATCGAATATCACTTTGCCGATATTTCTAAATGCAGAGACGGTTGCACGAAAGCCGAATATCGATATTTTTGAATGCTTCGAAAATGTCTCGAAAGTAAAAAAATCTACAATTTCAACGGGACAATAAAAAATGAAAGACAATATTGGTTCTAGAATTTCCAAGTTTAATTATAATGAACATAATTGATCGTAGCTTAACTGTGGTAAAGAAGCTATAACCACTTTGCAGCAAGTTTAGAAAAATTACCATTCAACGGATGACGCTATTCGGGCATTGTGCAACCGAGCCCCAGTATTGTAAACATTATCTTATAGGATACCAGTCCTCAGCTCGGCGTCATCGTCTCATCATTTGGGCGTGCCTGGTCAACCATCGACTTCGTTTTATCCCAATTTGATATCAATGGGAAGTCAACCCGACTTGGGTACGTTCTCAAAACATTGTGTAGAATTAACGTTGTTTGCACTGTCGAATGGAAAATTCAAATGATCGCCATGTTTGTTAAATATCAGTCGAAGAACTCGAGCGAGTCAAGACTGCTCATCTTTTTGGTCAAGTGACATTGTTTGCGAATGTTTTTTAATTGCAAGAAAAAATTATTTTAGTATTGTTTATTTATCATTTAGGTGCGTATACCGACTTGCCTTTCTACACCTTATCTGCCGATTCGGTAAGTCACCTTTAGTTTAGGTTTTTTTCCAGTCCGTCCCAAGTGTCGTCCATCATATGTTTGTACTGTTTCATGTATCTATTCATCGTGACGATGCCGTAATATTGGCAATAATTTATTCCGATTGTATAATCGGATTGTATACTTGATTCTAAACCAAATGTTTTCTTGGTTCTAATTCGATTGTATGACTGATTCGAATCAGATTATTGCAATCCTGTTGTATACTTTGTTCTAATCAAAATGTATACTTCTGATTTGATTGTATGCTTGGTTCTAATCACATTATGTGCTTGGTTCTAATTCGATTATGTACTTGGTTCTAATCCAAAGGTATACTCGGTTCTAATCTGGTTTATCGTTAATTCTAATCCTATTATAACAATGTTTTTATTGAAGTATTTATACATTGTGTGAAACTTCGAAAAACACCGGTTAAGAGATATCTCGCCTTGTTCAATCTACGCCAAGTCACGTGTTTTGTTTGATTACTCTTTAGATTTGTATTAATGAACCTCCATTAATTCAAAGCACTATTCATTCAGAGATCAGGACCGGTTGCATGAAGCATGGATAGGGTTATCCATTGGATAGCAAATTTTTTTAAATGGTTAAACAACTTCTTAACAAGGAAAGATATAATGTTTGAACTGAGCAATCGCTGAAATAAAATATTGCTTCTAAGATTACAAAATTTCTTTGTCGTAACAAAAGTATAAACACCATTTTTTACAAGTTTAAAAAATATACTATCCAATGGATAAGGCTACCCAAGTTTCGTGCAACCGGCCCCAGTAGTTAAAGTTTAGCTAGCATAGTAAACTGTATATAAACTGGAACGCTAACAACCCAGCCATCTTTGAAGCCAACACTCACACTAGAAGTTTCATGATATTATTTAAAAAAATAAACAACGATAAACATAAAATACAATAGCGCAAATATCCATGATAAGTTTTACCGCACGAGATTTGGTAATATAACGAAAAAACTCAATTATAAATGTATCATAAAATTGGCTTTTAGCCCTAGCATTGGAGTTAGCGTTCCAGTTGATATTAGAGCTCATTGGGCATCATAACCAATATAATATACGTACTGTATCCTTATAGTTCCCGTTCTACGGTGTGGGTGGTAACTTGGATCAACAAGGAGGCATGTGCGGGCAAACAGCAGCCCATGCCATCAATTTGGATTGACTATATGATCCACAATAAGTCCTGTTGTGAACAAATCGCAAAAAAAATCAAATTTTATTTTGTACATATAACATATATGTATAGTATTTAGAGCATGTACAGACATGAGATAGACTTTTTGAGAGCTTTTTGTACATGTTAAACGTTTTACATGTTAAATTTGTTGCTAATTTAAATTGTTTCTGTTGTATGGCCCTTTTGTCCGTTTAAAATATGTTTTCTGCCTATCAACATACTTTATTTGAGTTTAAAATTTGTACATAGTTAGTGTAATGACAATTTTTGTTCTCTGTTGCTCATTCGTCAAAACATACACTGACACACGTTATCTTAGTTTATATTTTAGGTAGTGTAAAGACAGTTCTTGTTCTCTGTTGTTCATTCATCACTACCTACAGTGACACACGTTATCTTAGTTTATATTTTAGGTAGTGTAAAGACAGTTCTTGTTCTCTGTTGTTCATTCATCATTACCTACACTGACACTTGTTATCTTAGTGTATATTTTAGGTAGTGTAAAGACTGTTCTTGTTCTCTGTTGTTCATTCATCACTACCTACACTGACACACGTTATCTTAGTTTATATTTTAGGTAGTTTAAAGACTGTTTTCGTTCTGTTGTTCATTCGTCACTACTTTCACCGCCCTTTGATCGACGTAATATTTTAGGGTATGCAAAGACTGTTTTTTGTTCTTTATTGTTCATTTATCACCATACCGACTATGACACATCTTAGAGGGTATTTTGCCTAGTGTAAATAATGTTCTTCCTCTCAGCTCATTAGTGTGGGTGGTACATGTGCTTGAAGAATGTTCTCGTTAAATGTTTTTTGTGTGTGTTACAGCACGCGTTGCTTAATTTGGAAACATTCATATGTAAAGCAACGAAATTTTTCAACATCCTGCCCGGGAAAAACTACTTTTGACGTTTGCCAATTCAATGAAATTTCAAAGAGTTTTTTGAAGGACACTTGCTGATACAGATTTTTTTACCGCGCCTCTCAATCACACAATGGAATAATAATCGTCACGATAATAGAACTGTAGTGTCTTAACTTTAAACCCATTGCATTTTAGTGTGTCTCTTCCAGGGGATGATATTTTAAAAACCATTGCCAGCGCGAACACTTCAATGAAGTATAAAGCGAAGCCTGCACCGAATAAAACGTCCATCTTGAACTCTATATTTTTTAAGAAAAAACTAGCTATATCTGAGAAATTTCCAACAGTGGTAGATCAAGTCATCATGTTTACAATTATCGCTGTTGTAAATTTTTTTTTGCTTTTCTCGAATATTCAAAGAGTCATTTATTTTCAAAAAGGAAATGTTAATGCCGACTTTGAGAGATAATTCGTTTGAGTCCTTTTTTTCAGTTTTTATTGCTTCCTGTTGTTTCACAAAGAGCTTTCGTTTTCGACTTTAACTAACTTAACGAGGCACCTTTAATGCCTTCCATAGCGCATGCAAGTATTATTCTACTCCACGATAGAACTGCCTGGGAATGTTGGTAAATTGTTAAAAGAATTTATCAGTCGATTATGCATCTACCCCGTCAACAATATTTTTATGTTTTCAAAACAGTCGGTGAAAAAACTAGATGTAGTCGAAGACTCCTTGCCATTCATGCTGCGGACAAATTACAGTTTTTGACATCCGTAGTATGTTTAAGGAATGTACGAAAATAGACAGAGGCTTGGCAAGCCATGAATGTCCTGTCACTCACAATTTGTGGAGGGTAAAGGTCCTTTATACGAAGTACACCCACACAACAATTCGCTTCTTGCAAGAACCTTTATGATATGTACGTCGTCATGTTTTTACATGTGTGTGCAATGTATTTGTAATCAACGAACAGATTTTTTGCTATGATATGATGGAGGAGGAAAACAGAATAGAAGTAACTATAAGAACAAGTAGCTTCGTTACTAACTGATCTAAACTGTTGTGCGTGATCAACTATTCTGCATGGAATGAATAGCCACAACTTGCAATGTTTCTTTGATGACTCGCGGATCCGTAGGGAGGCAGGATTCCTTAGTTTTTTTCGCCGAATAAGTCAATTTAATGAATGAAAAGGGTCAATTTCATTTTCAGCAAAGCGCTGCGTCACGAGCAATTGCCGTATAATTTTCACCCAATATTTTTAAAATCATGACGTCGGTGACGTCTTTCCTGAAGAAAGAGGAATACGTCGTATCATTTTTGGTTGAAGGAACTGTACGAAAGATACGCCACAAAGCTGTAAATAAACTCATTTCACAATTGCTTTTCGAATTGAAATTCAAAGTGGATTAATTTTCATTAAGCGGTATAATTTCTGCCACAGCTCAGACGAATGTGACGTGTGCAGGGGTGGGGACAAGCTTTTCTTTGACGTTCATAAGTATGGACTTATGACGTAGACTAAAGAGGTGGCGCTTTTGACGTTTGTTTTACCCTGTTGAATAAAATATTTAACGACTTTTATCCACACCCACATGACTGACATGACATTTGCGTATAGCGTGAAATACATGTGAAATTCACGTGCTTAGTAAACGCAAAAGTTGTGGGGAGAGAGAGAGCGTTGCTGCATAATGTTCGTGTTTTGCGTCTGACCTTTTTGATTTATAATTTTTATAACATGACACGAATTTTTTAATTTTCTGTTTTTTAAGTGTATATGATACGTTACATTTGATAATATGATAATATTTGATTACGTTAAAAAAACGACAATTTTTTTCACTCTGGCAATACGCGTTGTTCGTTTGTTTCTTTTCCAAAGCTTGCTCTCACGTCAACAAATTGTACGTTTCTTTTACGTTGTACTAATCAAGAAATGTTTCAATCCGGTAATCCTTTCAGTAACCCTTAAAATAAACGAAAAAATGTCAAGTATTTGCTCGTTTGACCTGAGCTCCCGGCGTAAACTAATTTGCTCAGTCCAGGAATACCTCCTGCGCGGTATTGAAAACTGTGGAGTCTTGCAATTTCCGGGAAAGATAAAGCAGACGACACGTGCTTTTGATTATTGATTTCAAGTGCGGCACAGTGAAGTGTGAATATCAACATGTTGTCATGTTTTTATTTCACCGGTGCTTCGTCTTGCAATCGCTCTTCTTCTCAAATTGTTGAGGGCATAACAAATTTTTAGGGGACACAAGCTCTGCCACCCACCCCACCCCCCTCCCCTCATTATTGCAACGCCGTTATAGCACTTTCGTTTTCAAATGTTTGGGAAAATATGGAAATATATTGATTATTTTCCAAGTATAGTAGAATTGATAATTATTGGCTGATTTCATTTAGTCAACTGTATCTTGTTTTACCCAAACCAATAAAGTTAATAAATTTGCCTTAGTATCATTAGCAAATTTGTGATATATTCGGTTGTGCTTTAATAGCCAGAGTTATCGAGCCATTCGCTTATTCGCATCGACGTTCCATTGTCCAATAATACATTTTGAAATTTGCCAGAATTCCATAGAAAATAGTTTGATTTAGATTCGAAGTTTTTTCGAGTCATCGAAATGCCCACTCGTGATGGATGAACACGCCCGCAAACAAGAATTTTTAAGGTACGTTTCATGATGATGTTGGAACTTATGTCAATAAAAATATAAAAAATTGTACACGGCCATTGTGTCATCTCACTGATCTGACTCGCTGTTAGCAAGTGAAAAAAGCGGGTGCGGGGAAGGTGCTGTTTCGAAGGAGGGAAAATATTTTGATTTTTTTCGTAAACATGCGTTATGCACATTCCGCTCGAAGGACGGATAACACTTCCCATGCCTGTTCGTCCGTTCTCACTCGATACACTTAATATTTTGTACATCGTACCTACGTCAACAAAACAAGAAATCTTTCACGTTGTCTGCAAAGATTGTCGGCTTGATAAATAAAGCGATTGACAAAAATTAAAACTCGAAGATACCTTTGATAAGTTTAGGAAAACTAAAAACTGAAACGACAACTAAGCCTAAAGAAAGATTCGGTTCCTAAAGAGCAGTTCATGGCGAGATGAAAACAAGTTCCTCTTGTTGTATGCAAAGCCTCTTCGCTTCGGTGGAAGTCGTTCTAAATAGAAAGAAAAAGCCATTAAATGATCTTGCAATTTTCGCATTTTTGAGGGTGATTAATGTATCGTTAAAGATTTATATACTTTACCCACGACATCGCAACCGGCTTTTTGGAGTATTACAGCTTTTCTAAAAACATTTGCGTTTCATCTTATCCCAATGAAGCCGTGAAGGTATAGCCATCGCATAGGATATTTCCCTTGTGCAGATTTGTGAAACGAGAGGAGCTTGCATGGAGAACTTAAGTTCAAGCACATACCAATTTCATCTTTAGTGTTGGTGGTACTCTCCAGAATTCCGTGCCACGACGAGACGCGTATTTCAAAGGACCAACCCACGCACTTATTATGATGCAAATAAAGCTTTTCTTGTTCTGTATTGGTATAATGTACTGACAAAAATAGTTAAGTGTATTAGTAGGAATTGTAGTTATATGAGTTCTGTATCGTTGCATCAATGTCGACCAACTGGTGTCTTCAGGGTTCAAAAGCCTGTATCGTTATCCGTTCGGCGACTAAGAGTTTGCCGACGTCTTAAAAGAATGACAAAGAATTCAACTACTCGAGTGGTTTTCGCTCTTCTTCTCGGTGGTCTCATTAGTTTCACATTTAGCGTTTGGACAAGTCATTTGGTTCGATTTCCAACCATACCTTGCAAACGTGTTCTTAAAACACACGTGGACAATGCGGTTAGCAATGTTAGAACTCGACCGAAACGGCTAAGAGATGAGCTAAACGCGAAGGGATTTTTATTTGTATCCGTCATGACTTCCAGTATGTATATTGGCACAAGAGCTCGTGGAGTTTATGATACTTGGGGAAGAGACGTACCCGGCCGTTTGAACTTTTTTACCGGTAAAATAAACATAACGGATGATGTTGCAGACTTGCCAGTCATTCAACTTGATGTGCCAGACGATATTTACCCACCGCAGACAAAATCCTTTAAAATGATTGAATATGTATCGAAGCACTTCGCTGACGATTACGAATGGTTTATAAGAGCGGACGACGATGTGTACATACGACCGCACAAACTACGTTATTATTTAAAGAAGTTAGATAGTTCGGAAGATTTGGTCATAGGTCAGCCGGGTGTTGGTAAAAAAGACGAGATAGGCAAACTTGGCCTTGGTCCTAGAGATAATTTCTGCCTCGGTGGACCAGGCATAATGATGACATCAAGTGTTTTAAAGAATATTGGGCCAAATATTGTTGTTTGCCTAAACAACACGAGCACGACGCACGAAGATGTGGAAATTGGTCGATGCCTGCGTCAATATGGCGGAGTTATGTGCCCATGGGGTTTTGAGGTAAGATTTACGTAAAACATGGCTCTCCTGCTGGAGTTTGTTGTCGAAACATTTACATGTCAAATGTAAAATGTACACAACGTATTGACAATATTATTGTCCACTATTGAATATGATTGTCGTAAAATCGAGTCGACTTGACGGGAAAATTGTACGGTTGATGTTATGCTGTGAGAGAAAAGTGCTAAGTATAATTGTTTAAAATGTGTTAAATGTAAAATATACTTTTTATTGTCGGTGATAAAACGCTTCCGATAGCAACGTCACAAACAAAACCGCCCTCATTTCTTCGATTTTATTCTGATTTTGTCCGAGGAATGTTGCACAAGAATTGCACCGCGTGAGATGATGACTTTAGCTTAAAAAAATAAGTTCTTATATTTACGCCCTGATCAAAATAAATATAACCGACCAGGCGAAAAATTATTATTTTAGACAAAAAATCTTAATATGATTGGTTATCGATGCACAAAAGAAATTTTTGTTTTTAAGTGAAAATTTTTTCTCTACGTTCAGTTTTCATCGACACATGAAATATTTTCAGCATGCTGGATTCTGAATAATGTGCTTGCCATGGTAGAAATATCGTAATAAGTATATAATAAGTAACGTAATACACTTACGTAATAAGTTTGTCAAAAAAGTTTGTCGCTTCATCCTCTGTCATTGGCTAAACCCAACTTGCTGATTTAGTGATTTTTAAGTCGGTGCTCAAAATCTTTGAATACTCACTTATCAATGTTATACTTTTACGATATTTCGTAAGTTTTTCAACTCCATGCCACGTCGACGGCTGAATCAATTTAGCAATTATAGCATTTAAAGAATTTGGTAAAAAAATTTCTTCGGAACAACGCTATTCCTTTGACACTTGACTGCTTCGTTTATAAAATCGCGTGAGCTCTTTCAAATCCTCTTGTTATCAGAATGAACTTGCAAGAAAATACTTACCTTCAACCTTTCCTAATTGCGAGTTTGTACTTTGCTCTAAATACGTATTGGCAATTCGCCACAGTTTACGTAATTCTAATCGTACACTCAGTCGATAAAAATTCATCATCAATTTAACACTGATATTATGAACTCAAATTAAAATGTCAGACTAGACTGAAGTATATATGGACTCGAGCAGGGATTTTCTGTCAAGGGAGAGGGGCAGTTAAATATAGGAAGGGGGTCATCACTGTCGTTGAAACGATGTACTGTAATTTAAATATAACAATTTAAGGGGGAGCAAGATTTTTGCCAGATGGTGGCCGCCAGGCGAATATTACTTTTGATTAAATTACGTTTAAAGAAGACACTAGCCGTAGAGTACATAAAGACTCGAGTTTCAACATCAAGCTACTTAGCTCTGAGACGTCATTCGGACTCCAGTTTCATAACATCCGACAACTGATGGTGAAGACTAGATTTTTGACCGAAGTATGAAATGAGTCAAGTTTTATCATCACACCGACAAATGCTGTGGACTGACATAAATATACAAGCGCCCGCGAGGTTCACCAGTCGTTAGGAAAGCACCCCACACGAATTCATATATGAAAACTGACCTGCTTCATTTCATTTGTCTAGGCAAGAGAACTGTTCGTACAAATCTACGAGCATCCCTTTCAGGCTTATCATGGGGAACTGGATACCATAGAATCTATCAAAGGTATTAGCTACCACCCTGTAAAAGATCCCGCCTACATGCGTAGAATGCACGTGTATTTTAACTCGCACCACGTGCATCGTTTGATGTTGCGTAAGCGGTCCGTACAGCGAGCACTTACGAACATGGCCCCGTTTTTAGAGGGGGATATGCATTGGACAAAAAGTCAGCGATTGTTATCTGATCTTAGCGACAAATCTCATCGCCAAGCGCGCAACAGCTCGCAGCCTTGGGAGTCGTTAGATTTTTCTAAAGTGTGGGCTCTTTATGATAAACCACCGTTACGTTACATACACGATGGCACCGAAGCAGCCATGAAAAAAGTTGTTGATTTTGCAAAAGAGACCATAACTCGTGAAGGAGAACCGTACTTGTACGAGAACATCAAATTCGATAGGTGGCATAATGGCTACATGCGTGTTGACCCAAAAGTTGGCACTGAATATCGTTTAGAGATCGGCACAAGAGCGCAACTGCACGACAAGAAGATGAAATTAGTGATCACGCGTTCTCGCCGTAGCGTGCATCTGAGACAAACTTTTGACAAGTTTATTGTGAAGTCCGAGAGGACATTAGCCAGCGACTCCGCAAAAGCGACGCTTCATTTTATTGTGCCCCTCGTGGATCGCTTAGAAAACCTCAAGCGTTTCTTAAGCAGTTTCGAGTCGGAGTTCCTTGTTCGCAATGATCCGGTAAAATTACTCGTCGTTTACTTTCCAGATGCTGCACCCTCCGTGCAACAAAAGCAGGCGTTCGATCGTTACGCTGCGAAGTATCCTTCTGTCGAATTCAAATGGCTGGATGTAAAAGGACCTTTTAAACGGGCGGTCGCCTTGCAAAAGGGCACAGACTACTTTGGCAACAACTCGTTGTTGTATTTTTGCGATGTCGATTTAGTTTTTCGTCAAGAGTTTGCCGAGAGATGTCGAGCAAACGCCGTGATTGGGAAACGTGCGTATTTTCCTGTTATGTTTAGTCAATTCAATCCGAAGATAACGTTTGCGAAACGTCCGCATCCCGGACATTACTACTATGCCAAAGAAGCGGGGTTTTGGCGCTGGTACAGCTTCGGACCAGTTTGCGCCTATGCCAAGGATATTAAAGATTCCGGTGGCTTAAACACGGGACTTATAGGCTGGGGTTTAGAAGATGTCGATTTATATGAGAAGTTTTTGAAGCGGTCAGACATCGAGATCTTTCGGGCACCCGACCTAGGTCTTGTGCATGTCTATCACCAGCACGCAAGTTGTGATCCGCGATCTAATGAGGAACAGCTGGCAGACTGTCGAAGGGCACAGGCTGACATTTATAGTTCTGCATCGTCCTCGGTTGACTATCTACACGACAAAGGGTACCTTGGGTTTTTCCTATGATAAACGATCCCTTTGGTACATCGACCTGTTGCAGGACATCGTGGGATCTCTGGTAAGATTATGGTCACGACGTCCAGTGGTGAACTGTGGTCTTGTATCGTCTCGTCAGTGCGAAATTTTCGCTGCCACTTGTCATCTTTTATTGAGAAAACAACCCTTCGTCGGAAACATATGGCATATACATTGATAAAAACAAAAATATATATTTAAGAGGCTGTCGGTATTTATAAGCTTATACATTAATAGAGTGCCTCTAGTCAAATTGAACTGTAAAATATGATTATTATTTTAAGACAGAAGCGATTGAAATTTGGCAAAAACGAACCAGAAGAGGGTAACGTGAGGAACTGACGTTATTCGCTGCACTGCAAAAGCGATGACATTTTCTTTACAGTATGATGTCAGCCCATATTTTTCATCAAAACATGCTGTATTTTTTTTCACCAAACTTGCCATGTCTCAATTGCTTCCATATTTATATATATTACGAATAGGAGATAGAATGAAAATAGGAGTTCTAATTATTAATTAGGTTTTCCTAATTCAAATATAAAGTTGAAATTTAGTTAACATTTAAAATTCAGTTGAGCTGTTTCTCTGTTACCGGAACCAATTTTGCACTGCTCACGACTATCTTTTGAGAGCTCACACGATACAACATGATATAGTCATGTTATATCGCAATTGATCACAAAAAGCGAGTTAAACTTATTGATTTTTTACTCTATTTCCAAATCAAGCATGCTTTTAATTTCAATGGAATCTGGTCTAGCCAAAGCTTTATTGTGCGAAAGTTATTACTTGTGGCCTTTTTGCTTTTAAGTACTTATATAGATTTACTTGAAAACTCAGTTAAATTCCCTTTCTATTTCCACAGTGTACGCTTTTGGTACGAATTTCAGATTTTCCACATTAATCTTATTAAAATGGATAGGGATGTTCGACATTGCTCATCTTTCTACAATGTCGACTACAGATCTTCTATATTTATTAACCTCTTTAACATGTGAAAACAGATGTGCATAATTCGACTCTTTACATAATCCTCCATAACATTCATCTTTTGGAATTCATTCTGTTTACGATATGCGAGGATTGTATTGACAACGGAAATACCTGCACAACAGGACTAAATGCCCGATAGTGACTACATGGTTTTGTTGATTGTGGATATGATTTTATGCGCCGAGCAATCGCACATCGTTCGATGAAACTCGAGCATATTTATCAGCGGCCTTCGGCATCTTTCACTTTATACGCTGTACTTTTAAGATTTCACCCATTTTCAAAGTATAATTGTTTTTCAAATTAACGCACTTCTTTGTAAAAATTCAAAGCCAGGCAATTATAAGACAACGCACTGGCGTATTGTTTTTTTGTGAGCTAAATTGATCGGCCAGCCCAGACTTGCTGTGTAAATTGCAAAAAATGCAAAACATCTTTGCGTAATTATAGTTTTTCAGTAGTTATTGAGCACAGACATTTTTTCAATGCACGATTAACCTGGCTAGGGCATTGAATTTTAACACGAAAACATTGAAATGTTTAAATATAGAAAAAGGGAGTTGGATGAGAAATCTCATTCGTGACTTTGTCATGGATTTTTCGTCAGAAGCTCACATGCATAGCTAGTTTTGCCCTATTTTGCAATGCTTAGCAGCAAAGTTTAGAGCCAATAGGTTAGAACGTTCAACGCGAGTTATTTCAATGTCTCTCATCCAAGATATATATCATACGCATATCAATTATAAGTAAAGCTGACGCCTATAATTAAAGATAAACGTCAAAATCCGAAGAAAATTCGTTTGAAAAATTTAGAACTCTCATATTCGTCCGGGCATCTCCCATTTATTCAAGGCAGAGAACGCTACAGTGCAAGAAATAATGTTAGTGCGTTTCAACTTTGATACAAAATGGATTATTACCATCGATTTCGCTTTTGAACGCAATGTTAATAAGTTCATTTGAAAGTTTATTTTTATCTTTCAGCGCGCTATAAATGGTAGTTTGTGTAAAGTTAAACATCTCATAAATTATGATTATTTTTGTGATCGAGAACGATCCATGTAAAAAATGTATTTGTCGCTATATGTGTCGTAATCTTTGCCATTCGGCAGATTGGGAAGTACATGGCATTTCACCGCAAAAAAATATTTACTAGTTTTCACAACAAACACTGCTTCCCGTCGTTTTCATTCTTTGTTTGTGACAAATGAAAATATTTATCTGCTATTTTCTCACCGCCCCGTCATGTTTTACAATTCGCCCTCCTTTGACCAATGACGCTTTTTATTGTTGTCATTTCAATTCAAGGGATAATAAGACAGTTTTTCTTGCTTATCAGCTTTCAAACAGCACGCAATAGAAGTTGCTAGGGCGTGTTTTCGGTCATTTGCAACTGCACAGACTTAAAGGAAGAAGGGGAAATACTTTGCCAGGTTGAAAAAGCAATTATTCTCAATGTCGTCATTTTGACTTGAATTTACCGAGAGGCAAAATTTTTTTTCAAAAGTAAAATTGCTAACGATATTGTCCTCCCATTGTCACCGTTCATGGTGCATATCAGATAGGAGTTGGTTTGATAAATACCATTGTTATTATACCAAGAATCCATGTGATTTGGAATGAATCTAGTGACCTAAAACGCTGTTTCATTGTTTGATAACAAAAAAGATTTAAATATTTAGGTGTCCGTGGAGAGGTAGTCTGTTGCATCAACTATCGAACAACACTGTTAAATTCACGTCAAGAAGTCTGAATTTTTATCATTTGAATTATACTTGCAATTCGATTGAAATGAATTTGAACCGCTATCTTGCTGGAGTTTGCTGACCCATGCCGAGGGAAGATGCGTTAATGTTCGAAGCATGCATGGTTTAAATGAGGTCCATACGAGGAACGTTTTTCATAATGTCGTCGAGAGAAATGTTTGTTATGCTGGATGGTACTAAAGATGTGTTTTGATTTGTTCGAAGACAAGAAAAGCTATATGCAAAAAGTTAAGGTGATTATGAAAAAATTGTGAGGACAAAGCCAGATATTGTTGAAAAGATAAAATTGGATGAATGTTATTGTATGTTGTTGTAGCTATAGACTTGTTCAACATAAAACTGTTAACAAGGCGACGGATTAAATATTTATTGTCGTTACGTTTTGTGTTGGGAAATTATGTTCATATCAGGAAATGGTAATTTCGTCAAATAATTATGGTGGCGATCATTAATGCGTTAGAAAAACAAGATACGTACGTGATCAGTTCTGAGTTTTCGACATTCTTTAAATAAATATATTTCGTCCTGCTATGTACAAATTTTCTTGCGTTCGCTAATCGTGAAAAAAATACGATTCTAAAGAAACTAAGAATGATAATCTTTTGGAATTTGCTTCATACGTGCAAGCCGTGTAAAGCCACAAATGAAAAGTATGATCACAAGCTGGGTTCGAGTTGGTAGGGTAATATGAATAAGCTGTGTAGAACTAAGTATCTATCAACAGTAATGTAGAGAAAAGCAGCGAGTGGACAAGGGCAGTGGAAGATCGACAATTGGAAGGGGGGGTGTAATATTTATACATGTATGCTCTACTGTGTTAGTTTCTATTGAAATAAATTGTTATTACGTATTATATAATATGAATATATGAATATGTCCCCCTCCTTATCATCAATCTTCCTCTGCCCTTATGAATTGAAGGTATTGATGTAGTTCGAAGAAGTTTTTGTGTTGTAAAGTTATCGAGAAAGCGTCTTTAGAACAAATCACTTTTTTAAGTATTGCTAGCTAAAACTGAGCCCATTATTTTGACTATTGATAATTTTAACAACACACGTCAAGTAATAAAGGATTTTTTATTTGAGACTAATTACTTCTATGGCACAATAAGCATGCTAATTGAGAAGATACTAGAAAAGGGCAGACGTCATTGAATAAGGTCCTTTTGTATTTTGGCATTCAAAATATTTTAATCCCAGCTGATTATATCAATTGTTGTGTTGGTATGGTGTTTAATATTGATGGCTCTTGTATATTTGCACGTAAAAGCTCGTTGTCCATTCGAACCAAAAAGCATCATAGAGGTTTGATCGTCCAACTCCTCAGTGTTTAAGAAGGGTTCTTAAGAAAAAATCAAACCTGCATAATGTGTTGTTTTCGGCGGATACTGAAGTATTGATACTCTTAAGTTTCGATGATCTCAAATATCGACTAGTTGTCGAAGTGCTGCTAAAATATCGAAATTTTGAATACCACCTCCTTGGCTAGTCTTTGCAGTTGAAATTTATTGTCACAGGAGGTTTTTGCATATAACACTTTGCTGAAAAAAGTATGCACACAAAAAAAATGTTTTTTTACAGTTTTGTTTTTGCTTCTAGTTCTGAATACTTAACTTGATCATTTTACAGTTAATATTCAAATGCTGAAAGTTCTTAGTTTGCTCAGTTGCACATTGTTTTTTCAGAATTGCGCAAATTGATTTAGAAATGCATATTTATCGTGTAGAACTGCACGTTGCTGTGTCTGTGACATTCTTGAAAAATATTCTGAATAGAAAAACTCATTTATATATTGATTAATGACCAAAGGAAAAAAACATCAGTTTCTTAGTATTTGCAATAATTGCACTTCCTCACCGATGAAAGGGAGCCTCGATCATATAATGTTACAAAACGAGGAAAGAGTACGAAAAAAGCTCCGCTATGAAGATATTATATATTGCTCAAAATATTTTTATCAGAAGAACGATTAATTAAGGAAAAACCGAAAGTATATAATGTTCAAAATTTTATTGATAGTGTAGCTTGTAAAATGTCTTATGTAGAAGTTTTAAAAATACATTTCCAACAGTATGTTCTATCTTCTCCTTACTACTACACTTGTATGCTACAGTGGGTGTTGTTGCCTCGTACTTTAAAGATGAATCATTCAACAAGTTGTACAAAGCATGTTGGTGGATGTCAGCATTACACTATGCAAACAGATTATGCTTAATGTTTTTGGTTGGACAAAATCTTCTGGACGAGATATGGCTCGTTATAGACGCAGGGAGGCGGAAGAACAGAAGAAGAGACCTCCCTGATTTGATTGCAATTGTGACAAAAATAATGGGGGAAGGTCGGGAAACATTAGATAAAAGTGGTAATTGAGGATGAAAGAGATAACAGTAGTCATTGAGAGTGATAATAGAAATCATTCTCCCAATATTTGAGATCACTTCCACACAAATCAAAAATCGTTACTATAGTTAAGGGATTTCTTGTCCTTGTCTTCAAATTACTATTCGCCCGTGTATATATTGTTGTCTTTGACTATCCAAAGTTTTCTTCGCTAGTAAAATTGTCATGACGAGAATAATTCTGTTCTAATGATGCAGCCTGTGTCTATAGATGAAGAGATGGGTGTGACAATGGATTCCTTATTATAGGGTCGAAACATGTCAAGAAGATGTATTTTTTAATAGCATGTTTTATAATGCTTGCCATGAATATATATCCTTAGATGGTAAGTTTGCTTTTGAAGATATTGCCTTCGATAGTAAGATGCTATGAACATATATCCTTAGATAATAAATAGTAAGTATGCCATAAATATGTATCCTTATATAGTACGTTTACTATGAAGATGTGTCCCTAGACAGTAAGTTCGCGGTAGAGACGTATCCTTAGATGTTATGAATTTTATAACGATCTATCCTGTTGGTATCATAAGTTTAATATGAAGATACATCAGCAAGGAAATAGCATAGAAATTTATTGATTTGCATGATTTGGACATAGCTTACAAGATATCAACCTTAAGCGTGCATGAAACCTCATCAGCTGCGTACATAGAGCATATTACCTTTCTTCTTCATTCTCACTCTGCGGAGCTCTATGGCGCTCACCCAGGTGTACGTTGTGCGTACCTGTTTTATAAAGATGACATCTGGCCTGCAACACCTGTAAATCCCCGAAAATCTAGAGGCGTTTGTTGGTAATTCACTTCCGCGCGGAGCGATGTTTGTGTGGCACAGAAAGAAAGCAGATGGTTGTCAAATTTTAACAGGTTTTTGAGCAGAAAATATCCACAGTTTCAAGAAATTAATCGTTTCACACACGACAGAGTTATCTGTGAAATCATTCTTACGCGTCTGTAGAAGGTTAGTTTGAAAGGGACTGTCAATTATTCGGTCTACATTGTCTGAGAGTTTTTTCTTTATAACGAATTTCCAAATGAGCAGCCCCCAAGTAAATAATGGTCGGAAATATTAGGGCAGAATTTCTGACTTATCTTACGCACAATAACTTGCTGGCTTACGGAATTTAGAAACCTTGCCACGGCTGGAACCCGTGCAAGGTATTCGGCTGCTTGAGAAGGAAGCGAAATACTGTGAATAGAAGGTGTAATTTCATCGATTATTATTTCCTGACAGTTTGCTGTAATTAACGAATCCTTTTCATGAATTACCCTGGCGTGACTATTTCGTCCTTCCCGTAACGAAACTTTCAATTGCCATTGCTTTTTACCATTAACAATTTTGTTCTATCATTAGATAAGGCATGATTTAGAAAACAATAGCCCTGTAAATGTAAAAACACATTTTGCAGCGAGTCGTTTGAAAAGAATTTTCAAATCTTTCCGAAGGGGAACAGTAATATTCGATGCAATTTGCGACACACGATGTAAATTGCGACGCAAAAACCAGGCGAGGTTTAAACGTGAAACCCAGTCAAACTCCTTGTTTTTCCTTGTAGAAACACGAAGTCATTGTACTTCCGGGTATGTCGGTAAAAATTATTCATGGTTTTACGAAGTTATGAACTGTTATGTAACATTCTTCGAATAAGATACAATCAGATTCGATGATTTTTATTTTTTAAAAGATTGAGCACGCATTGGTGGCGACTTTTTCACCCACATTGTGTTTGTTTACACTTTTGACCTGATGGACACGATCTTTACAATTGACAATGGACATTTCATGTTTAATGAAAAATTTAACAGGCAATGTTCAATGTACAAGTACTGCACGTACTTGCTCAGGCACTGTTAATCCAATTAAATTACATCTGTCCTGGACATGTCTTACTCAATTGGGAGTGGCTGTTGTTAAATGCATGCCTTTTCAAGTATTCCTTCTTTGTTGTATCCTATCAAATTAACACCAAGCTGATTGATTTTGATCATAGACACCGCACTTTCATTGTTAAGGTTTATTATTTATAATTTTACCCATCTTCTGCACCACGACACATTAATAAATTCCCCTCCCTCCCCCCCCATGCAGCAAATTGCTTTGCTGAAATGGGCATTTACTTTAATTATTAACTTTCTGCAAATGCCACTCTTTTTTGCTGAATTTTTTCTTTCACGTAATTAGTATATTTTGTTTTATGATTTCTTTTCTTTGAAATATAATGTTGTTTCCAAAGAGTATTGGCTTGATTGTTATTTTATGGATTTGAGAGTGAGCCTCCATAACCCCTTTCTCTACATCACCCTCACACTAGTTTTGTCATTTATATATATAATGATTAAATATTTTTTAGCACCATTCAAAGAAGATTGCAGCAGCATCAGTTATGGTGAGAAAAACAAATGAAATTCTGCTTTTCTGCGAATTCTATTTAACCACCATTTTGTGTATAGTTTGCCCCCGGTACAGAAGTAATTGCGAAGTTTGAATTTCGAAAGTCCAGCCCCATGGTACGTATGCATGAATAAGAAATAACAAAGTTTCAATCAAAAAGTTGACAATTGCATCTTCAATGGAGTTAATTTGAGAGCAGCCAGTGCAACAATATAACAGAAAATATATTTGGTCGTATTTGTTATGCCGTAATTTTGATTGGTAAATATCTTATGGTTTTCTAGGATTTGCCGTTTGATAAAGGCGACACCCTAGTTGTGGTTGGTAAAACACAGGTAGTTGTTTATATTATTGTACATAGTATCTCTCTCTCCATTTATATATGTATGTGTATTGGCTACAAATTCCTTTCATCGCCAAACACTTCCCCACAGACCACAAACTTAGGAAAATATTTAACCATGACACGATCAAACATGAGTTACAGCTGCATGAACAACATCGAACAAATAATCGACAAACATAGCAAACGTATAATGAGAACATCTGACAATACCAACGAAAATACCACGAACAAAAAAACACAAACAGAAATCATGCACCTCCCACCGAAAAGAAAACTGCCCACTTAACAGAAACTGCTGGAAATCATCCGTCATGTACCAAGAAACTGTGAAACGCAACTGAGAGACACATCGGACTTACAGAAAACGAATTTAAGACTACACCCAAAAACCACGCTGCCTCTTCCCGCCACAAAAAACTAAGAAACTCGACCGAACTCAGTAAGCACATTTGGACCCTTAAAGAAAGCAACGTCCACGACATTTCGTGCAACATCATCACTCACAGCAAGCCATATAACAGCTCCTGCGATAGATGCAACCTCTGCCTGAAAGAGAAATTCTTCATCCTCTACCATCCGTCACAATCATCACTCAATTAACGTAACACACTTGTTTCCTCTTGTCGCCGTTGATACGTAACACTCGTATAAAATATGTAACCATACACGTCGCTAATACACCAACTTCTGTCGTTTTTTATATATATTTTAAACGTTTAATTGTTTATTATTGATTATTAAAGTCCCCTGAAGTGCGGGAAGTCACGAAACAGAATTTAGAGAATTGCCCATGAAAGATGTTTAAGTTTGATGAAGTACAAGTCAAAAAGACCGCGGTGTCTCTTAACTTTGCACTATCTTTGACTGCTTATTTTTGCTACATGTATCTTTTCACTCATTCTTTCCAGGATGTAAATTGGATAAAGGTCAGAAATCTTCGTGGAATGGAAGGCCTCATTCCTGTAAATTACGTCGAAAAGAAGGAAAAGGCAGCCGTCCAATTGCACAAAATGCCGTAAGAATTTTACTATTTCTTGTTATGTTAGTTTGGTTTTCATCACTGTGACTATCACCTGCTTTCGAGAATTTTCTCCTTCGCCGCAACCTTTCCACGATACCTCTTTCAGATACGATTTAAAATGGAAATGCACGAATCTCGTTGACTTTTACATAGCATATTGTTCACATTTTACTACCGTGCTGGGGGACTCATGCTGTACTTAATATAAGAATAACAAAAAGAATCAACTGACCTGCAACGCCTGCGTGTATGCGACAGAAGTTTTTTCGTTCGAGCTACCAGCATTTTTGCGCTTATTGTAGGGGAGTAGCGTCAACCGAAAATAACCCAAATGCCAATTTTTCTACTACATCTTACTTAGAAAGAAACTACGTAATTGTGATGTATCGTTCTTCCCGAGGTGCAATGCGCGCATTATGTATATAACGTGTTTAACAGAGCAAACTCATTGTAGCATTTTTTTGTGACAGTTCTTACGTGAAGGTTTTTGTAGATGGTATATTTAGTGAATTAAGGGGATTGTTAGGGGTTGAAGAACCTTGTTTTGCCGGCCGAACTGGTTTTTAAGATACATGGCTGTCATTGTCAGCCTTGCTTATAAACATGCTTCAAAAAAGCTTATTTGCGTTTGCAGGTGGTTTCATGGTCGTATTGATCGTGCGAAAGCAGAGCGTTTGTTGACTTCCAGCCCAGAAGACGGGCTGTTTCTAGTTCGGGAAAGTACAAATTATCCAGGAGATTATGCACTTTGTGTTTGGTAAGTTGTTGATATGCGCATCGAAAGATTTCGAGATCAGTTAGATTGAGGATTCTAAGATGAAGAATTTCTGAAAACTTCGTTTATATTTTCCTGGATTGTGTTTTGATGCTCCTTTGCTTTGTCTTTCCCTAGGAAAACGTACAATTGAGCCTTGTTGTTGTTTTCAAAATGCAGTAGATAAAGAGAAATATTTTATGAGCTAGAAATTTCTGGCACTTACTTGTTGAAAACATTCTGGGGGAATGCTTGCGAATTAGATTTTAGTTCGAAAAAGCTGTGATTCGCACGAGCAGAGTTTGAAATCGCAGAGAAAATCTTCATCTTACAATGGACCTATTCCTAAATTATCTTCATTTTCAACAGTTATCATGCAAAGGTCGAGCATTATCACGTTATGTACGATAAAAAGGACCAACTAACCGTTGATGAGGAGTCGTCGTTTTCAAATCTCACGCAACTAGTTAACGTAAGTTGGCCTCATTTGGTCGGAGGATGTTGTTTCGATGGCGTGTATAAAATCACGGTCTGAAATTTCAGACAATCGCATCGTAATAAACCGAATTGTAGTTGATTTATGCCGACCTCACTAAAAGTTGCATCCCCCCTTCCCCCCACAACATTTTGACTAAATTATTTCTTCGACGTGACTGTTCTAATAATCAAAGTTTACTGATAGAGACAATTTCTTCATCTGCTAATGCATTCAAGTCAGGATTGGATTTACTTGGGGGGGGGGGGTCGAGTGCCCCTCCTAGCCTTAGCCATAGGGTTGTTGAAGAGATACAAATTTCCCAGCAAAACTTTAATAGACGATGCATGATTCTAGAAAAGAGTTGGCAGTGTTTAAATTGCCCCACCAACCAAGACCTTTGATTCTGGCTACAAGGCACCTCAAGTTTATCATACATCCGTATAATTCCAGCAACGAGTTACCATTGATTGCCCCACTCCCAAAGTAAATTTTTACGACTTGTACGAGTTACTTTGGTGAAATTCTTGCTATTATTCTAGCAGCAAGTTACCATTGTTAAATTGCCCCGCAAACTATTAACAATATAGGCTCCCTACCGGCAACGCGGGATGTCCGAGCGAGAAGTGGTTTGGTTGGTCATGTGACAGATAACTCTCCCGCTGTTATATCATGCCCCGTTAGCGTTGTTGATTTGTTTCACATTGCAAGATTAGTCAGTCACACGCGCGTGTTTCCCATTTAGCATTACATCAAAGGTGCTGATGGTCTCATATGTCGTTTGAAAAAGCCTTTAGAGAAACAAGGAACGCTGGCTGTTTCGGTGGATGCCGAATCGTTTATGAAATGTAAGTTTCAACAGATGGAGTCTGTTATTTGTGGTCTAGCATCGTGTTATCAGTTATCTAGCATTGTGGTATAAGCTTAGAAAATCTTAAACTTTCATGATTGATTTATTATACTAAACAAACTTTGAATGAAGTTTGTTTGATATACCCAGCATTTTAGCCAAAGCAAATGTATTAATATGGAGTACACTTAACGGAGTTGAGTAGAAATATCTGACATGCAACAGTGACAGAAAAGTAACTTTCGAAATCTAATTCTATACCAAAGCATAGCTCCCCACTGAATCATCCCGGAGCCATTTTTGCTTTTAAGTCTTTTGAAAACTTTCTTCGTGTGCGCGAACACTGTGAACGGCAGAAGAACTTTTCACTGACTTTTCATACATACAACGCATTTGGCGATTATTTGACGCTGTGCTTTAGTACGTCGATTGATCACTGATTTAAACATTTCAGCTGGCTGGCATATACGACGCAAAGACGTAGATTTGATCAAAGTTGTCGGCCACGGCGAATTCGGAGGTAAACAGACGAAGTTTCATTTTCACACGAAACACCGATTGTTTTTGTGTAGTAAATTTGCAAGCGTTTTGCTTCTTCTAGATGTATGGGAAGGCCTGTTTAATCAGAAGAAAGTTGCTGTTAAATCGTTAAAAGAAGAGGGTCGAGCGGCACAAACGTTTTTGACGGAAGCTTCTGTCATGACGTGAGTAACGAAAGCTATCGTTGTAGTGGAAAAATCTTTGAAGTGCATATGTCACGAAATTGTTTATTGTTTTAAATAAAAGACCGCAAGAAACTTAAGGGACTTTCTTTTACACATTAATGTTTTTGTGTTCTGCAAATTAGGAAATCTATGTTCCTTCGTTTCCTAACTAACGACAAAATAGAACATGATCTGAAGATATGTTGATTACGAAACGAAGGAACATAGATTTCCTAATTTCTTTACCACAAAAACTTCAATATCTCCAAAACTAGGCATGCAAACATTAATGTGAAAAAGAAAGTCCACTATAGTTTCATGAGATCTTTTATGGACAATTTCGGAACATAGGCACTTCAACTCATGCTTACAACACGTGATATTTTTTCAGGGCATTAAACCACAAGAACCTGGTCATGTTGCTGGGTGTATCACTAGACGGTTCACCAATCTATATCATAACGGAGTTCTGCGAGAAGGGCTCGCTAGTCGAATATCTAAGGTCACGTGGGCGATCTGTCATCACTCAAAAAGATCTCATTGGCTTTGCCAGGTACATTCACCATAAGTGCTCATGTTCTGCCCATGCACTACGCATGCCCATGATTTGCCCTTGTTTTACGCATGCTCATTTTCTTTCCATGTTTGTATTGACAGGGATGTTGCGAATGGAATGTGCTATCTAGAATCCCAAAACTTTATACATAGGTATGTCGGACAATGTCCGCACTAAGGGTATACATTTCCAGGACAATTTTCTTAAAGCAATACATCACGTGCCCGTTCGTTGAATTTTCAGGGATTTAGCCGCAAGGAATGTTTTACTCGATGAAAACTGCATGGCGAAGGTAGCTGACTTCGGCCACGCCCGCGAGCAAAGTGTTAGTGTCAGTGGTAAGCTGCCAGTAAAATGGACGGCACCGGAAGCATTGAAAGATGGGGTAAGTGATGTGAATTGTTTTTGTCACGTGTGCTAGTTGATTGTACCGCTAGTGTTCCAACGATATAAACTAGTAATGGTGGCAAAGGTTTGAGAAAAAACTGTTACTTTTTGGTCTTTATTGTTTCTTTCGTGATTTTGTTTTAATGCTTGAGGTTCGATAAAAACCGTCGATAAAATGTCGATCTGAGTTAACTCAAATCAGTTGGGTACAGCTTTTTTGTTAGTATTTGACAGTTTTGGTGTCCGCGTCCGCTTAATAGAGGTGTCCGCTTGACAGAGGTTTCATTACTACGATTTATACGAGATTTTAGTCGGGACTTTACAAAGTGTGCGTTCAATACGGGGTGTCCGCTTGACAGAGGTTTCATTACTACGATTTATACGAGATTTAAGTCAGGACTTTACAAAGAGACTTTACAAATTTTGAAGGGTTGTATTGCAAAAGATAAGAACTTGCTTACGTAAAAAGTTGGAGTTAAAGATTGACCTAAGTTACAAATCAAAAAGCTGTTCTTTGTATCTTAGCAGTATCCATAGTTATCATGCCATGTTCTATTCAACGTTTTACCCGTGTTTTTTTTTAAAGAATTTTTCGTCGAAATCTGATGTTTGGAGTTTCAGTATCTTCCTATGGGAAATGTATTCGTTTGGCCGTGTGCCTTATCCTCGAGTGGTGAGTGTTTTCAATTATATGTTTACCGTAAAATGTTGTTTTCTCCAGACTGGATTTACTTGGAGGGAGGGAGGGCGGTAAATGCATTTTAGAGTATGTTTTTATTAACTGGGAAAACGTTGTGCTCGTTTTAACTTCCACTTCATCCAAATAATGGCTTCACGTTGAATCCCACTGCATCGCCCTGCATCACATTGCATTTTATGGATTAAACCTCATCACAGCGCATTCCACTGCATTTTATTGAATCTCACTGCATCACACTACTTCGCAGTGACTGCATCACCAAACATTCCACTGCATCCAACGTTATCCCAGCACATCCCACTGCATCACACTACATCGCAGTGGCTTCATCATCAAACATTCCACTTCATCGCACTACATCGCAGTGACTTCAACACAATACATTCCGTTGCATCAAACGTTATCCCAGCACATCCCACTTCATCGCACTACATCGTAGTGACTTCAGCACCATACATTCCACTGCATCAAACGTTATCCCCATACATCCCACTTCATCGCACTACATCGCAGTGACTCAACACAATACATTCCGTTGCATCAAACGTTATCCCAGCACATCCCACTTCATCGCACTACATCGTAGTGACTTCAGCACCATACATTCCACTGCATCAAACGTTATCCCAATACATCCCACTTCATCGCACTACATCGCAGTGACTCAACACAATACATTCCGTTGCATCAAACGTTATCCCAATACATCCCACTTCATCGCAGTGACTTCAACACAATACATTCCGTTGCATCAAACGTTATCCCAATACATCCCACTTCATCGCACTACATTGCAGTGACTTCAACACAATACATTCCGTTGCATCAAACATTATCCCAATACATCCCACTTCATCGCACTACATCGCAGTGACTTCATCACCATACATTCCACTGCATCAAACGTTATCACAGTACATCCCACTGCATTTTATGAAATCCCACTGCATGGCAGCGAATCTCACTACATCAGAAAAAAAATGATGTCGAGTTGAACCAAGTCTTAGCAGATGTTGTTCCTCTGTATAGCAATTGACGGACGTGCTCTCTAAAGTCATTAAAGGTTATAGAATGGAAAAACCCGATGCTTGTACAGACGATATGTTTTCTCTTATGACGTCATGTTGGCAGTTTTATCCGAACGAGCGACCGACGTTCAAGAACATTGTGATGACTTTAAAAACATATGCCGACGATGGCAAATTTCTTCCCGTATTATGATTTCATTTATCAAGGCACCATGGACTGATGAACAAAAATTTCCAAGAATTGGTTGAAAATATCTTATTTCAGGAACAGGTTTGACGTATTTCTTTAAAAGCCTTTTGGGATACCCTCTTAAGCCGGCTCGATCGGACTTGTCTAGCTTTGTCAATTTCTGGATTGCACGTCGTCCTGATAATCGTCATCGTAGAAAAACGCTTCTCGCCAGTTTTTAACGGAAACAATCATATAGTTTTTTGTCAAAGATTAACGTACCATTGCGCTCATGAATGCACGAAATTCATATGGTATACTATTGTTCACGACGTACCTAATAGTGTTGTGCTTTTCAGTTTTGATTTTCTGTAAAGATATAATGTATAGATTAATATTGAGCGATGAACATAATAACAACAATTTTCTCAGGCAAAATCGTTGCAGTTGGCACTTTAGTGAAAGTTCAGAAAATGCTCGTTGATCGTTTGGCGAAACTCCTGATTTTTTACGATTGGAATGATGATTAGTTTGATGTTTTTCAAAACGGCTGGTAATACAAAAAATCGACGCTTTAAACTCGTCATAAGAGGAATGGTATTACCTTATAAGTAATACTGCTCTTCTTTTGATAAAGGTCCAGGTGAACTTCACTCGAAAACGTATCAATTGTAAAACAGGCTTTTTGTTTTGTTTGCTCTCGTTTGATGTCAAATATACGTACTTAGAATAATTTTTGTTTTGTACTTTCATCGGGTGAAGAAATGCGGCTTGACGAATTTCGGATCAGTTCCTAAACTCATTGTCTTCGATCATACTTCCACATCTTCATTTCTTTCATTGAGTGTATTTTGCTTACATAGCCATTGAATGACAACCACTTAAACGTCAGAAATTTGCCTATGTTGGGGTAGATGTTAATATAGTTGAGATTCGTTGTGCAGCGGACCAACCATTGGTCGATGTGAACGACGGTGAGAGTGCAAAAATTGTTTGATTTCTTATCCAATGTGCTTCCATTCTTGCTTGCCTTCGTATTTCGCAGTTTTATTGAACGTTAAATGTTTATTCAGTTTATTCAATTAAGAGATTAACTTTACTTTGAATCTGAAGTGCTCGTAACAGTGTACCATGTTTAAAAGCCAGAAAGTGGCTAAAACCAGTATCCTTTGACGAAATGAATGGTTTGAACGCGAGAGTATCGTTTAATGTTTGTGGATGAAGATCGTCCCCAGGTTAGTGTTTTGCGGAGAAAGACTATTGGTGTTGGCGTTCTTTAGAGAATGACTGTTGATGTTGGTGTTTTCTGAGGACTGTTGGTGTTTTTCTGAGAACGACTGTTGATGTTAGTGTTCGTTTGAGAACGACTGTTTGTGTTCTTCCGAGGACTGTTGGTGTTTTTCTGAGGAATGTTGGTGCTCTTCTGAGAACTGTTGATGTTCTTCTGAGGACTGTTGGTGTTCTTCTGAGAACGAGTGTTGATGTTAGTGTTCGTTTGAGAACGACTGTTGATGTTCTCCTGAGAACTGTTGATGTTCTTCTGAGGACTGTTGGTGTTCTTCTGAGAACGAGTGTTGATGTTAGTGTTCGTTTGAGAACGACTGTTGGTGTTCTTCCGAGGACTGTTGGCGTTCTTTTGAGGAATTTTGGTGTTCTTCTAAGAAGGACTGTTTGTGTTCTTCTGGGGACTGTTGGTGTTCTTCTGAGGACTGTTGGTGTTCTTCTGAGGACTGTTGGTTGGTGTTCTTCTGAGAACGACTGTTGATGTTGGTGTTCTTCAGGACTGTTGGTGTTCTTCTGAGAACGACTGTTGATGTTGATGTTCTTCTGAGGACTGTTGGTGTTCTTCTGAGAACGACTGTTGATGTTAGTGTTCGTTTGAGAACGACTGTTGGTGTTCTTCTGAGAACGACTGTTGATGTTAGTGTTCGTTTGAGAACGACTGTTGGTGTTCTTCCGAGGACTGTTGGTGTTCTTCTGAGAACGACTGTTGATGTTGGTGTTCTTCAGGACTGTTGGTGTTCTTCTAAGAAGGACTGTTGGTGTTCTTCTAAGAAGGACTGTTGGTGTTCTTCTGAGGACTCTTGGTGTTCTTCTGAGGATTGTTGGTGTTCTTCTGAGGACTGTTGGTGTTTTTCTGAGGACTCTTGGTGTTCTGAGAAGGACTGTTTGTGTTTGTGTAGACTGACGTTTCGACATTCTTCGCGGTAGTCGTCTACAATTATCAATCGAATTAATGATGTCGAAATGTCAAGTAAACTCCAATACCAACAGTCCTTCTGGGAAATTCACAAACCTGGACTGTAAGGTTGTCTCAGAGCACCACTAGGACTCATTTAGGACTTCACTAACTCGGACGATCCACATATACCAACAAGTATCCTTAAACGTCCAGCATGAACACCCACTTTCGTCCACCGAGCGGAGATGTGTTGAAACTTATCAAATGTTTGAAAGTTAATCAGTTTGTACAAACGTTATTTTCAAATGATGCTCCTTGGTGTTCGTGTACACAGTTTTTATCAATTGCGTGTATAAAGTTTAAGGTCTTCAAAGAATTTATTTACAAACGTAGTCTTTCATTAAGAAAAATTATAAACAAGTGCGTAAATAGCATATAAGTGATGCAAATACTGTCAGCAACATATAACAAAACCTATATATAACTACTTCATGTAGATGTTGCTATTTTATAGTTTGAATCTTCTGGTGAATAACATTGTTCCATCGAGTTGCCTTTTCACTAAATAATAGGTATCAAATTCTTCCAAAGGTGGTAAATAATCTAGACCAGAGATTGGCTCAATTTCAATCAATTGTGGGGTTTCATCGAAGCCAATGATGTTGGCAATTGTGTCATCTGCAAATGAAGAAGATTGATTTTGAGTGAGACAACAGCTCTCTGATATCTGAGTACACTTGAAGTTGAAATGAATGTTGGTTTTAAAACAGATTGTGTGTGAACAACTGCTGTGAGATTATCATGTTTTGCCCAAACATTTTGGCATTATGTTATATTGTAGAAAACAACATGCAAGCTATGGTATAATGAACAATTTTACCAAAAATGGTTCTTCCAGATAGTCAAAAGAGATCTTTGATTTTGGTATCTTCTCATCCATTGGTGGTGTTCCATTTGTGATAAAGAGACTGGATCAAGGACAGCCTTCTGTGTCAACAGCTTTGTGATCAACTCCGGTCTTGGAAGATCATTCTCTATGAAAAAATAGAAGCATCCATTGATCATAAACTGGGAGTCTGGCCATTTCATTGTTTTCACAGTTCTAGTTTAATGGGAAGTCAGGAATGAAAGGCCTGCTAGTGCTGATTGAAGAACTCACCTTTGTCAACAAACGGAATCATTTTTTCAAAGTCAGGAACAGTTTTTAACCGAGTGCTTGGTAACACTTGCGGTTTGTGAAAATCCATTTAAGCTTGCCTTTTTCGACTTTACAGAAGTTTTCGTCTTGGGTGTTTCATCAAACACTCGGACTTTTGATGGTTTTGGTGTTTGAAACCTTCTCACACTTCCTTGTTGTATGTTTTGGAGATCACCCAGTGCTTTTCTTGGTGTTGGTACATAAGATTTCTTTGTCGATAGCCCCTTTTGACCTGTGATGTAAAGTTTGACAGCAAGTCAAGAAGGGGATAGTTCACACAGTCACACTGAGGAGTCGTTCTGTTGTTAGGTTGGGTTATGCAATTTAACTACAATCTGTATACAAGACATAATTAAAACTGCTAGCGATGCACAAAATTGAATATAAAGCACTAAAATTACTGAAGGTTAAGTTTATTTCAGGTGAATGAATACCTGGGATGGATTTCGAGACGCCGTTTTTCGTGACTGAGCATCCAAAATTTTCACGGTCAATATAGGTTTGAAAACTAGTGGCCATGCTTGGAGGTATCAACTGCTTCCACAAATTGATTGTAATGTTTGGAAAAGAAATTCCGAAAGGAAGTATACGTTTGATGTAGGTAAGAAGACTAATATTGTCCACAAAGTTTGATTGTGTGTTTATATCACTTTTTATTAATTTTTCAAGCAAGAATCGGTTTGAATATTTAAAGATGGCGGTGCATGACGTCAATGTTCATATAGCCAATCAAGTTTCTAGATTTTTATGGAAGGAATGAATGACGTCAAAACAATATGGCCGGGTAACTTTGTTACGACGACTCTGATAAGAGAGTACATTTGAAAAATCTTCAGTTTATATGAGTCCTCATTTGAAAAGTCGTCATTTTTTCAACCTCTACATTTTGTATACATTCATGCCCTTATTTTTCTCTGCCTTAATTTTGTGTGTAGCTTTTTGTCTACCTTTATGTCTACCTCTATGTCTACCTCTATGTCTACCTTAATGTCTACCTTTATGTCTACCTTTATTTCTACCTTTATTTCTACCTTTATTTCTACCTTTATATGACTTATGTCTACATTTTTATGTACCTTTGTGTCTACTTTGGATCAATGTTGTCTACTTTGTATCTACTTTGGTGTGTTGAGCATAAGATTTCCAATGAACGAGTACCGTGAATGTCAAGAGCATAGTAAGGGCAGATAATTGTGTACACGAAGTGTACAAAAGGCAACTCTATTGTTGGTTTTTAGACAATGGAATGCGACACTTAGTATATTTTCAGAGAAAAAAAAAAAGAATAGGGGATCAGTTGCAAAAATTTTGCCCTAAAAAAACTAAGTCTTTTGATCAAATTTTTCTATGACTTCCCGAGGGAAGTCATTTTTAAATAGTCAGGAAACCGGGCAAACCGAACGCCCTTTCACATCCCCTCCTAACCTCAACCTTGCACTCGATCCTCAATCTACAACCCGAACTGACGACGACACTGGGATGAATCAAGGACCTCGTGCATTGGAGGTCAGACAGAGCCTGTCAAGCCAGAAGCTCAACAACGAATACTAGCAGCTTCTTGGCATATTTGCCCATTTTTTTAACTTTGAAGTAGACATATACAATATACAAGGTTGTTTTGAACCTTTGAAGGTGCAACTACATTAGCCATGACATTACCTTAGTTTTTTACTTATGATTGAACTTTAAAAAGCTAAAGAGAACGAAGCCGTCTTGAACACAAGGAGTGATCACCAAACCTTCATCTGTACCACTCAGCCGATGAAAACATATCAAGTGTTTCCATAGAATAGCATTTATTGCCTTTCATTACAGAAGGCTTCGGTTTATAAGGTGTTTAGAAAATGCCTTCGACGGCATCATAGCAATATTAGAACTTTAAAGACAAGGGCTTGCTAATTGTACTCTAAGCAATAAATGTTTTTTTAACAAGGAGAAAGAAAAAGAATAAAGTGTGACTAATGTCCTCCATTGACATGTGGTGAATTGGGGTCATGATGCGCATGACCTTAATCAAATTCGTTCATTTAAAAATGTTGTGAAAAAGCTATTTTCATAGTTATTTTTCCTCACCTTTCCGTCGTCATTTTTAATAATCGCCATTTCAAACCTCTATCCTTGTATCTACCTTTATTTCATTGTCTATCTTTGTGTAGACCTTCTTGTCTACCTTTATGTCTACCTTTGTGCCGACCTTCTTGTCTACCTTTATGTCTATCATTATGTCTACAGTTATGTCTACCTTCTTGGCTACCTTCTTGTCTACCTTCGTGTTTACCTTTTCATCGGATAAAGTCCTTATTTTGTCAAGCACAGCATTTAAAAAATTAGCGACTTCGTGGTCGAAAGTAGTCAATGTATCATATCTTTTTGACCGTTGGTATTGGTTGTGCGCAGACAAGTTCAATAATTCCAAACAAGGATGTTTTTTGATGATATCGTCTTTTATGCAATTACAACTTTTTCATGTTTTCTCCCGTATAAAATGAAGACTTGTCGTCTCCAATGAAAAGGTAAGACAAGAAAGTTGACACAAATGTTGAAAAGACGACTACTACATTCGAGTACATCGACAACATTCGACTGTGAAATCACTAATATTTAGACAGAAAGATAGACACAAATGTTGAAAAGACGACTCTTAGGAAATGACGACTTTTTAAAATGACTACTATTAGTGAAAAAAAGTTACCAACAAGATACGTTGATACATACAAGATCATTGCCTGATTTACCACTACACGACAATGCACGACATTGACTACATTGAATTACTTCGATTACATTGACTACTTTTGTCCATGAAATCCCCAATTTTTCAAGTGTCGTGTTCAACAAAATGAGGACTTTGTCCTAGGAAAGGTTAAACACAAAAGTAGACAATTAAGAAGGTCGGCACAAAGGTAGACATAACTGTAGACATAATGATAGACATAAAGGTAGACAAGAAGGTCGGCACAAAGGTAGACATAATGGTAGACAAGAATGTCTACACAAAGATAGACAATGAAATAAAGGTAGATACAAGGATAGAGGTTTGAAATGGCGATTATTTAAAATGACGACGGAAAGGTGAGGAAAAATAACGATGAAAATAGCTTTTTCACAACATTTTTAAATGAACGAATTTCATTAAGGACATGCGCGTCATGACGCCAATTCACAACATGTCAATGGATGACATTAGTCATACTTTATTCTTCTTCTTTCTTCTTGTTAAAAAAACATTTATTGCTTAGAGTGCAATTAGCAAGCCCTTGTCTTTAAAGTTCTAATATTGCTATGATGCCGTCGAAGGCATTTCCTGAACACCTTATAAACTAAAGCCTTCTGTAATGAAAGGCAATAAATGCTATTCTATCGAAACACTTGAAATGTTTTCGATGGCATTCCATCTCGCTCGCTTGGCTGAGTGGTACAGATGAAGGTTTGGTGATCACTCCTTGTGTTCAAGACGGCTTCGTTCTCTTTAGCTTTTTAAAGTTCAATCATACGTAAATAACTAAGGGTAAAGTCATGGCTAATGTAGTTGCACCTTCTTAGGTTCAAAACCGCCTTGTATATTGTATATTTCTACTTTAAAGTTAAAAAAAATGGGCAAATATGCCAAGAAACTATTAGTATCCGTTGTTGAGCTTCTGGCTTGACAGGCTCTGTCTGACCTCCAATGCACGAGGTCCTTGGTTCGTCCCGGTGTCGTCGTCAGTTCGGGTTGTAGATTGAGGATTGAGTGCAAGGTTGAGGTTAGGAGGGGATGTGAAAGGGCGTTCGGTTTGCTCTCTGTTTCCTGACTATTAAAAAATGACTTCCTTCGGGAAGTCATAGAAAAATTTGATCAAAAGACTTAGTTTTTTTAGGGCAAAATTTTTGTAACAGATCCCCTTTTCTTTTTTTTTCTCTGGAAATATACTAAGTGTCGTATTCCATTGTCTAAAAACCAACAATAGAATTGCCATTTGTACACATCGTGTACACTATTATCTTCCCTTACTATGGTCTTGACATTCACGGTACTCGTTCATTGGAAGTCTTATGCTCAACACACCAAGCCCAACAACAACCGACTGACCTTCGAAGGATTCGAACCCCACATCACAACCTGAGAAACCTCACTCTACACACTCGACTAGTGAGTGCGTTGGAAACAGATGGAAAATTTAGTCTACTTATGATGATGTGTTTAAGGTAAGAATGAAAAAAATTAATTTCTAAAGTGACAATAAATAAATCAAAAGGCATATATTACCACTAAATAATCATTTATCGTCAGTCTTGCCACACAATAACAAAATATTGTAATAGTTTTAGACATTGGATCTCATTATTTTCTCGTAACACGTCGAAGCAACTGCTTCTACATAAGTATGAGTGTCTGTAGAATACTTCCCTACGCTTGTGCTGTGCAGATTTGTTTCGGCATCTGCAAATGACAAATGTTTGCAAATTTCCCGAGTGTCGTTAGTCCCAAAGCAGCAGACATATTTTTCAAAAAAATTTCAGCATAGTAAGCTACTTCTTATTAAGTTGAAACACGATCAAATATTACACATAATGAATTTCGTCGTCGTTTAGGAATGGCGTTAACATCCCACTAGTCACATCAAACAATAACTGAAGACTGCATTCTTCCTTTTCTCCACAGCAAATTTTACCGTAACCTGCGAATGTCTTCTTGCTCAAATGTTATAATAACATTCTTCTCTAAATATTTCGTGAAGTAAGTTTTTGTTGTAAGACACCACTGCTATAGTAATATATGATCTTTTGCCTTCCGTTCATTAAGGTGCTGTATATTCCTTCACAAATATATAGTTTTTCTGTTAGACCCAGTTGCATTTCTGCATTGATAGCTTTCAATGTTAGCGTACAAGCTTCGTGAGAATTGCTTCGAAACTTGACTTGATTTCTCCTTCCACGTGGTCTCTCGTCAACCATAACTTCTGAAAAATACCAGGAAACATTTCGTCTTGCTGTTGACCGTTTTAAGCCAAAAATAACAGATATTAGCAACCAAGTATTTTTGAAAATGCCAATCAAGTTTTCCTTTCTTGACAACTCACACACTTAACCATAGCACTTGTTATTGCTCTCTCCATTGACATAACGACTTTGAGCTGTACTTTAATGTGTTATATGATTAATTAGGTAAACATTTGCTCGCTGTCTACAGTTGGTTAACTTCTGTGGTAATCTGCACTTGGAGATTGTTCTGACATGATCCCAACATTTGTCAATTCTTGACTTGCACTCATGGGATTTACTAAACAATAATATTCGCCAACTCCCCTGGAGGCCACAAAAGCATTAATAAAATATTCTTTTGTATGACACCTCCAAAATGGCTGACGTGAAAAACATCAATAGGATTGACATCGGGTGACTGTTTCTGCAAGCCCTTCGATGTGATATTTTCTTTACAAATCACTCCATACGAAGCAAGAAGGCTTAGCCCACTATCACGCACTTTCCAATTCTTATTTCATAACCAAACACTGACTTCGTTACCATAGATCACGTTGTTCTAGATCCATTGAAAATGTCGAAAAGGTTAACAATCCCTCATACTAATGTGGGACATATTGTAAAGTATACAAAGATACACTCGATCACTTCTTTTTGACCTTCAGTGATGTTGCTATCAGACAAGTTGAATAATATCGACCCCATGACGTAGAAACAAGAACGGCCATAAGAAGCAAGGGCCTCACAATTTCAAAATGACGACTTTTAAAATGAGGAATCTTATAAACTGATGACTTTTTCAAATGTACCGTCTTATGTTAAATGGCAACATTTTAAAATTTTGTCTCCAAAAAAAACGAATTAAAAGGTAGACAAGAAGGTAGACACATTAGTCGACAAAAAGATAAACAAAAACGTGGACAAAAAATGGACTCATATGTACACAAAACGTAGACGGAAATTTATGCATAAAGGTAGAAAACATGACGACTTTTCAAATGATGACTGTTATGAAATAAAGAATTTTTTAAATTTACTCTCTTGTTAGATGACAACCTTTTAAACTTTTTTAATAGACTTTTTCTGTCGACTCTTTTTAAAAAGGTAGACAAAAAGAGAGACACCAATATAGAAAGAGATTGACAAAAATGTAGATATAAAGGTAGACCTAAAGGTAGACAAAAAGGTAAACAAAAAAGTGAACATTAAGGTAGACGCATAAAGATAGACACACGAAGGTAAACTGAGGTAGACAAAAGTGTAGAATTACATTGATTACATTGATTACATTGATTACATTGATTACATTGATTAGCTACATTGATAACATTTCACTACATGGATGATCAACTATATGATTAAAAAAAACAAAATGGACGATCAACTGTAAAATGGCTATTTCAAGCATACATATTGATAATTTGAATTTTGAAAAATTTTTCATGCGTTTTACCCTTTCCTATCTCGAAAATGCATCCCTGACTCCAACACTTTCAAATGGAAAAATTTGACTACTTACATGCGCGCCAATGCCCTGATTCACCGGTTCGCCCTCTGTTTCCTGACTATTAAAAAGTCACTTCCTTCGGGAAGTCATGGAAAAATTTGAGCAAAAGACTTAGTTTTTTTCAGGGCAAAATTTTTGCAACAGATCCCTTTTCTTTTTTTTCTTTGTAATTTGCAATTTTTTTCTCAAAATATAGTATGCCGCATTCCATTAACGAAAAAACAAAAATGGAAATACCATTTTCAAACCTTGTGTACACTATTATCTTTTAAAACTTTGCCAACTTCATTCTCTTGACGTTCACGGTAATCGCTTTTTTCAAGTCAAATGCTCAACACACAAAGCCCAACAACAACCAAATGACCGAATTTCGAAGGATCCGAGCCCCACATCACAAGCTGAGAAACCCCACACTGCAAACTCGACCAGTGAGTGCGTCGGAGACAGATAGAAAATTTAATGTTTTTATGATAGTGTGTTCAAAGTAACAAATAATACATATATACATATCTTAGTGACACTCAATGTAACGTTTCAAAGACTTATTTTTGTGAAAAGGCCCATTTTTCAACTTTCTCTACTATTTTACTGCCCGTCGACTTAATTTTGCCTTTGCGTTTGTGCCTCCGTGCTTACCTATTGCAAAAGTGGGCTACCAATAAAGCGATAGGGCGTATAGGATACCCACCAAAAGCGTAGTTGAAAGGTCTTTCGCAACATATAGTACTGAGTATTTACAAATTTAAAATTATATCCTATTTAGTATTTACAATCATCCAGTTCAAAGTCTTCCGATTACGACTGCACTGAATTTTTACCAATTGGCAGCACTGATTGGCGCTCAGCTCGGCTGCGTGCTAGAGAGCCTGAGAACTAATCAACAAATGGAGTTGGGATCATGGTTGGGATTTATTAGGAAGAAATAGAGATTTTTGGAAATTATCTAAGGCTATGTTGAGATATTTAAGGAAACCGAGGAGACTTTTGGGAGAACCCGAGAGCAGCAAGCCCGAGAAAGAAGGTCGAGGGTTGCACCTGCTCGAGAGTTGTCACAAACGTCTCCGAGGTTTGCATAAGCCAGTGCAAACACGAAAACCATCTTTTATTTCTTTTACAAAAGAACAATAATGCGAAACAGACAAATTTAATACAAACGTTATTCTACGTGTATTCATGATTGATTTGCCAAGTCTCTTTGATTGATTGATTTGATTGGCCGAGTTCAGATCGTAGAACACAGCTGTAGAGCCGATCAGCGCACGCGTGTTTCATTGTGTTTATTTTTATAAACATGAAACGGAATGATGGAAGTATATACGAGAAGAAAGGAAATTATTTCTTTCGCTGATCACTATCGAGTGGACCGATTCTTTTTTTGCGATAATTTGCAACGATGACAGCTAATTTCAAGAGTTAGCCATTAAACACGAGAAGAGAGGGCTATAATTATACTTCGCTGTTTTGATGTTTGACTGGTGCAGGTTTTGCTGTGCCCTCAGCAGGATTGGTTGCTATAAGGTGATGTACAGTTTGAACAACACCTTCCCTACTTTTGCCTTCTCAGAGTATAATCTTTCACATTTCCCAGTGCTGTCACAAGGCTGCCTTATCCAGGCCGGAGTTCACTGTTGTGGCATTGGGGCTTTCAAATGCAGGCAAATCAACATTGCTATCGATATTAGCAAACGAAGAGCTCCAAGATGACTGCGTACCAACTCAAGGTATAATCTTGTGCATTTCTCCGTAAATACTTAAGTCCAAGTGAGGAGCATTTGTCTCAGAAGATGTAAATTCTATTTTTTTCAGGATTTTCTATCAAAGTACTTCAGTTTCCTGATGCCATCCTTAATGTAATGGAACTTGGTGGTAAAATGTTATGATACTATGGCTGATTCCAGCATACTACCCCTCCCCCCCATAATATTTTCTTATTATCTTCATTTACACAATGAAAAATAAAATAACTTTAATGTATATTTTTTACAGCAGTTAATCATTTGAAGAATTGTTTTGTTTTGAGCAATGCTTCAGAACTATTTCACTAATATGTTTGTTTTGGTTTAAAGGTGCTGTTGAGCAGTATTGGTGTCATTATTATTGTGGAGCAGAAGGCATTGTAAGTAACAGGAGAAAAATTTCTTCCTCATACCACAAGACTGTTCACTATATCTCTTATATTAATTTTGATTCAGGTTTTTGTCATCGATAGCTCGGACAACAGACATCTAGAACAAGCTGCTGAATGCCTTTCAAGGCTTCTCAACCATCCAATTCTTAGCGGCCTCCCTTTGTTAATTTTAGCCAACAAGCAAGATGTTGCGAATGCAAAAGATGCTAATGAGGTAAGGAAGTTCACTGGTGCTGGGCGAACTAAAATAATGGTGGTCATTTCAAGTATTCTGATGAACTTTACATGTTGCTTTATTTTCAGATAAAGGACATTCTTAGTCTTGACAAGATTGCTGATGACAATGACTACATCATTTACTGCTGTTCCAGTCAAGATGTAAACAGCATTCGAGAAGGATTCGTCGATCTAATACACAAATTAAAACGCGAATCACCAAACACCCTAACAATGCCCTACATTGAAAATTAGTGTCAATCCAGCAAATATAATACTCCGGTTAATAAACTGTAGTATTTAGATCAGTTGGAACGGACTGAGTTTTGCACCTCAGAATGATATATGTATAGATAGTTCTAATATATGGTCGATTACATAAAGTTTTATATACGCATTCAACGAAACTGTATTAAAATTATTACTCATAAATTTTATAAAAGTACATACACATATGAGACACGAGTTCTATTTACAATGGATTTTATATGGCATTTCAAATCAATAAAAAAGTCAATAACAATTATAACATCACATTTCGAGGATTTCCGTAGTCTTTCGGAAGATGATCGTGAGCCACCGTCAAGAGTGTTCTTTCCTATTGTTCATTGATGATTCACATTAGATTCACAAGGACACGACAGATTTGTGAATAAAATGGTGAGGAGTTTGAAAGATTTCATTACTGAGAGGCTGTTCAAAAGGAAAGAAGGCTCTTTATTCGTAGACGTCTTTGTTAAATTCGCTGCACGCGGCGTTGTAATCGGTTTCGAGCATTTGCCACATTTAAATGTTGGTATTGAAATGTTCTTAAAATTCCTACTGGTGAAGGAAATCTTAGAAACAGTCAAACATTTCTAGCATTTGATCCACGTCTTCAAAATATCGTATATATAAATATATATAAAATAGATATTTCATTGAAATAAATTTACTTTTCAGTTGAAGTTGGCAAGTCTACTACTAGTTCTGGTGTCCTTACACGGCTTGCTTGCTGATAATTCTGAATCTGCACATCTGTTAGTGTCAAAACGAGTTCTCAACGAGTATGTTGTTGAAGGTCGAGATCTAACCGTCAGTTATGCAATATACAATGTGGGTTCGAGTCCTGCAACCTCCGTCCTGCTGGTTGACGAAACATTCAGTCCTGATGAATATCAAATAGTTGGCGGTCAATCCACTATTGGCTGGCAGAGCATTGCGCCGTATCCTTACTATCAGTGCTGTAGAACTAAATTTATCAGATGGGGGGCTCTCTTGACGTTTTTGTCAATAGTGCCCTTTTAAAATTACCCATTTCAAAGGTAGAAGGGGGGCTCCTCCCCAAGCACCCCCCCACTTCTACAGCACTGCTTACTATCCTTCTTGATATGTAAAAGTCTTGATAAAGGCCGAATCATGGCAAAATGCATAAACACTTTGTTTTGTCTTTTTGTTTTAATTGACATCTCTTGAAGTCCAAATACCAAACTATGTTAATAAGGTAAGATTTGGTGCAACCTGCCAATAAGAATTTGGCCAAATTATAGAATAACTTGTTACAAAGACTGCCAACAATGATGAAGCTAAGTTACAATTAGGTTTGGGGTTAGGGTCAGGCTTGTAGGTAGTACACATATGTACATATGTATGTGGCAAGGTATTTTGTAATTACTTTAAGAATTATTTATTCTACGTTCATTGAGACTACATTCTTCAAGTGAGATTTCCTTAATTGTGCTACTAGTGGAGCCAATGTTTCCCATAACCTTATTCTTAAACCCTTACATTCGGGTGTCATCAATATTACATCTGCTGTGGTAACATATCAGCCTAAGGAGGAAGCTGAACAACAGGTTTGTCCACATCGAAGTACTGGTTTCCGCAAATAAAATGTGATAATTTTTAAGGTTGAACGTGATCGTCCTTTTCAATAGATCGTATATTCAACTACTTTTGGTGAAGCATATGTCATGGACTCAAAAACCTTCAACAGGAGACATGCACCACATATTGTAAGTGAAAGTGTTGAAATGTGGTTAACTAACTAATGTTTAGTGATAATTTGAACATTGCATTGGGTAAAGACTAAGTTTTGATGGTATGTTAGAGAGCCATAGAAATAAATAGCAGATAATGCTGATTTTGTTTGGATATAATAAAACCTGAGTATTTTGTTGTGAGCTTGGTGAATGACACTGTGTGATAGTATATCTTTGAAATATTCAACTATAAGTCAGAATTTTTCTCCATTCTTCAGCTTGATTGGGGCATTTTCGGTTTGATGACGATCCCCACAGTTCTCTTTCCTTATTTCATCTGGTATTCCACACATTGCAAGTATGACGAATCGAAAGGAAAAAAACAATGAACTCAAAGTAATACTTAGAATTTTTTACTTAGTGTGAAGTATTTTATTAATAAATGTTTCATGGGAACGTATGTGTGCCTCATTGAATTTTTATGTACATTCATTTACTTTAGCTGAAATTTATTAAAGAGACTGTGAATTGTGTTTATGTTTGTACTGTTACTTTATAGTTAAGATTTACTAAATTTACTAAATTAAACTACCTCATGTAATTATTCTTGTGTACTTTCTTGATCTCCTAATTCTTATGTCATAGTGAGGATGGTACACAAGAAATCAATGTACTTGATCTCTTTATTCTTATGTCATAGTGAGGATGGTACACAAGAAATCAATGTACTTGATCTCTTTATTCTTATGTCGTAGTGACGATGGTACATAAGAAATCAACATAAGAGATCATTGATTCACATAAGATATCAAATTATTATATCTGCTTATGTTTATGCATACATGATCTCTAGTGGTACATCAGAGATCATTGATATACATCAGAGATCAATGTATTTTATCTCCGTGTGCTTACGCAAGATGGGCGCGGGAAGATCGATAATCAGAAGACGGTGGCATGTTCCTACAAACATGATGTATAATTCACAGAAATCGATGGATTTCTGAGAAACTTCACGTGGCATATCATGCATACAGGAATATTGCCTCTTCTCCAAACATCGATCTTCCCGCGTCCTTGTATTTAACACCGTCGACGTTGGTAAATAATGAATTGAAAACGATTTCTATCTACATCACACGTGCAAAATTATACAGGCCTTGTCATCTCATATTGGTTTTGTTCGCTCTGTTCATCAATGATCTCTGTGATTTTCTCCTCGAGATTAAAGCCCATCAAATCCTTCCTTGTGATCATTCCAACCACTCGATTGCATCGATCCACGACAGTCAGATGCCTCAAACCCAAAGTTCGGTAAATGATATAAGCCCTGTGTAGCGAGAAGTTGGATTGAACGCTCAAAGCCGAATCATTGATGTACGCGGACAAGTCGATAAGACGAGTCGCGTACTTATCATCCGCCATCACCTGCAGCTTTGCCGCGAATTCCTCAGAATTTGGTGAATGAGTCACGGACAACTTCTCGTAGTCCACGTCCGTGATCTCGTTATCCCTCATTTCGTCATTCGACATCCCCTCGACGCTGTTCAACTCTTTGTGAGATAGAATGATACTTATATCAAGCCTAGATAGATGCAAACAGAGCGTCAAGTATTTCTTTGCCGTGAGAAGGAAATAACGAAGTTCGCGTACAATGAACAACTGAAACGTGTTGTCATTGTCTCTCGCTAATATGCGATATCATTGTGCTATTGTATCAAATCATCTAAGTACGGTGCATTACTAAGCTTATTCAATGAGAAAATCAGACACCAAGAGCATGTGTTTGTAAAAAAATTTGTTAACTTGTTAACTTAGTCACGAAAGTGAAGATATGATGCGATATCGTAAAACCACAAAAGTATTTAACCATGCACCATGAGGTGATGCGCAAAGAATCGGAGGTTGGTGGTGTTAAAATAACCATGCACCATGAGGTGATGCGCAAAGAATCGGGGTTGGTGGTGTTAAAATGACCATGCATCATGAGGTGATGTGCAAAGAATCGGGGGTTGGTAGTGTTAAAATGACCATGCATCATGAGGTGATGCGCAAAGAATCGGAGGTTGGTGGTGTTAAAATAACCATGCACCACGAGGTGATGCGCAAAGAATAGGGGTTGGTGGTGTTAAATAACCATGCACCATGAGGTGATGCGCAAAGAATCGGGGTTGGTGGTAAAATGACCATGCACATGAGGTGATGCAAAGAATCGGGGTTGGTGGTGTTAAAATAACCATGAGGTGATGCGCAAAGAATCGGGGTTGGTAGTGTTAAAATGACCATGCATCATGAGGTGATGCGCAAAGAATCGGGGGTTGGTGGTGTTAAAATAACCATGCACCATGAGGTGATGCGCAAAGAATCGGGGTTGGTGGTGTTAAAATAACCATGCATCATGCGCAAAGAATCGTTGGTGGTGTTAAAATGACATGCAAGGTGATGCGCAAAGAATCGGGGGTTGGTAGTGTTAAAATAACCATGCACCATGAGGTGATGCGCAAAGAATCGGGGTTGGTAGTGTTAAAATGACCATGCATCATGAGGTGATGCGCAAAGAATCGGAGGTTGGTGGTGTTAAAATAACCATGCACCACGAGGTGATGCGCAAAGAATCGGGGTTGGTGGTGTTAAAATGACCATGCATCATGAGGTGATGCGGTGGCACCATGGTGATTAAAAATAACCATGCACCACGAGGTGATGCGCAAAAATCGGGGTTGGTGGTGTTAAAACGCACCAACTCGAGTTAATTTAAACCTGGGTTGAACCGTGGAATCGAATCCACCCTTGATCGAGGGTAAAACGTAAAATACGAGATTAAATTACAAAATTCGGATGATGCGCAAATGGCCGAAACATAGTTAATAAACTCTATAATCGTAGAGTGGCAATAAAAGTCATTTATCCATCAAATCAAAGGAAAGCTTGGATATGATCTGCAATATGAAAATTCAACGTTATAGGGAAAACTAAAAACATCTCTAACTTTGTCACCGATATTACGAGTGCAGTAACAAAGTGTAGATGAGTTCGCTATGCACTTGACTAAACAAGCTTAAGCATACAAAGAGCATGCCAAAAATATATGATTGAAAATTTTCTAAGCGCATATACAAGCACCAATTTCAGAGCTCGCTTCGTCACAAACTAATTGAGAATAAATCTGAGCATGCGTAATTAACTCCACCAACTTTCCAAGTTCATAGACATGGCAACGACCAACTGTATGTACTAGTACCGACTATGGAGTAATTAGCGAGCTCAGTAACAAATTTTCATATAAGGAATCTACGCATGCGCAGATTACTTGACCAGCTGCCGAAGTTCATGGTCATGGCAACGACCAGCTGCATCTACTGGCACCAATTTTGAAGTAAATAGCATGCTTAGTAACAATTTAATAGAGAAATCATCTGCGCATGCGCAAGAGCATGCGCAGTCCACTCGACTAATTGTTCATAGTCATGGCAACGACCAGCTAGATGCATTTGCGCTACTTTCGTGGCAATTAGCTCACTTAGTCGCAAATTATCAAAGAAATCATGTGGGCATGCGCAGTAGTGACTTTAATAATACCACAACTTTTGTAAGCCTTTGAATTTGTGTATATATATATAAAGTTAAAACTTCGTATAGTAGATGTCAACTAGCAGTGGCCCACACTTCGGTGGCGACCGCACTCTCCCTGCGTACCCCGAGCAAAGCCTATTGCAGGTGATCTCGGTGTCTGATGGGCGAAAGCTTGCTATTGCATCTCCAAAGTAGGATAGCGTGGAGGGGCCGAAATCTCCTACCGAAACATTAACATGCGGCGTTCTAGTGCCTTAAGATTAAGAAGGTATCGGGAAGCATGGCCCGAAAACGGGGTTTTTTGCTTTCGAATTTTATCTTTTTGTTTACAAATAATAGAAACAAGCAATGCTTCAGTTAAATTCTTCTGAAACTGTGCCTTTTTATGACAATTACAATTTAAGACAACTTTAAACATGTTTTATACAAATTTATAGGTTTATATCTTTCTGATTTAATTCTCTCTGTTTCAGGATTGTCTGGTTTTCTTAATTAAAATGCGACGCTCTAGTGCTCAACTATGTATCGGGAGGCATGGACCGAAAACGGAATTTTTTGTTTTCAAATTTTGCCTTTTTTCTTTACAAGAATTCTCATAAAAGAAACTAGAACATCCAAGGATACTGCAAAGGTTCTGCCTTTTCGACTTATAATTTAAACCAACTCTAAACATGTTTATACGTTTTTTAGTTGTTATCTTTTACAACTTTCTAGTGACTCTCTCGTGATGAAAGAGAGCCTCCTTATACAATATAACTCTCTCATCATGAACGAAAGCATCCAAGGGCTTCGTGGAAAAAAGGAGTTATCTACTTTTAATAAAAATTTTACGAAGATAACATTTAATAAGCTAAGTCATTTGTATCGTCTAAATTTATATTTAAACTAAACAATGCAATGTCTGACTATTTAATTGTCCGAATTTCGCAATTTGATCTCGTATTTTTGACACGTGTGTTTACCGTCGGAAAGGTGGATTGTGCTATAGCCACAGAATAATGATTATACAGAAGGGTCACTCAGGTGTACAACGCGTCCTCATGTCGGCCAAGTATATTTTAACTCAAGAAATGCTAACATGCTAACACTGTACCAAGCAAGTTGTAAGCTGGGCAACCATATTCTCATTTACCTTGTGATAAGACCGACAAATACTTCATCGCCATTCTGGAGTTTCTTTACGACGGGAAATCCTCCATGCTGGGTCGATAGAAGCACTTGTGCCAAATTTTTGACGCTCTCGGATATATGTAGAACCTATAATGAAACACGATGTGATGCTCATACAAATAAGAGATGATAAATTCGAGGAGGGGGGTGTTGGTAGGGAGGCGAGTAAATTTACGGGGGGGGGGGGCGAAGTAATATCACAAAAGAAAATTTGTGATATTACAAACGAGGAATACGTACCACAGCCGGCGAAGACATGACATCTTTAGCCTGATACAGTTCGAGGTTCACGCTAAAGGAACAAAACTTAGCGTCAATTTTTTTATGACGAAAAAGAAAAGTGACATTTTGCAATCTCAGAAATCATAAAGTGCCACACCCACCTCTTTTTGCCCCCGTGAGTAAACACAACGGGCTCCGAATCGAGAAAGGGAATGCATTTGAGCTCGAGTAGAGCATGATACAGTGGATGGGTGACGAAATCGCCGACCCATTTTGAAACCATTATCGAAACCATGATGGGAAGAAGAAACTGTATGTCGTTCGTGATTTCAATCTACAAGAGGAAAGGATAATGGACGCGAAGGAAAGAGAATGATATTTTTAATAATTCAAGGGGCAACAGTTAAATTTAATATTCAGACTCCCACATTGCAAAACGGGCAAAGCTGATGATATTCTCTGCTATAAAGTAAATGAAGTAAATGGTTTGAACCAGGGAGTATCGTTACGTGTTTGTAAATGTAGATCGTCCAGGTTGGCATTTTTTCACTCTGAAGACGACTACCGCTAAGGTTGTCGAAACGTCAGCCAACAACAACAAAAACAGTCCCTCTCAGGACTATACCAACCGGGACGATCTACATTTACAAACACGTATTCCCTGCTATGTTAGAATAAAAAGGAACTGGGATGCATTTAAGGAAGAGGTGCAGAGAGGTGCCAATTTGCCTATATAATACCTATATAGCAAACAATAAAGCAAAAGCAGTTGTGATCAGTGTTTGATGGAGCACACTTTCAAAAATCTACCTAGCATAATTTAGCAAAAAAATGCCCGATAAGCTACAGCAAGAATTGGCGACCGAAATCTCACCAAAAACTAAAGCACCCGAAACGCAAAACATCGTTTATCCATCCCTGGCTTAGCACGTAACGGAAAAATTATATCAAAATATAAATAGAATGATGTCACACCAGAGAGTGTTTCTTCGAACTCAATGTAAATTCAGGTATAGACAAAATGACACCAAAAGATCAATCACGGCAAGTAAGATGTGCGCGTGCTATGCCACGTGACACACGTTATCTCATACCATTATGACTGTCAAGGACATCGTCAACCTTGACACTCCACCGAAGAACGAGGCTGCACCAAGTAATGCAAACGCTCCGGGATCCATCCACGCCCATTCGCCGCGGGTGTGAATTCCAAATAAATCAACCATCACTTTGCCCAATATCCGGCCGTAGGTTCCACCTATGAAACTGACACATAGATCAATGTTAGAAGAACATGGAAGACTGGCAATTTTGTTGCTGCTCAGTCAATGCCATTTATCATATTTTACAAGGGGAAAATCAAAAAATGAGAACTGGATGTTCTTGTGAATGCTCCAAAGGCCGTAAGGCCAATAAACTTTCTACGAGCTTTTGGAACGGACACACGTGACTCTTAACTATACCAATTGGACATCTTCCTAATTGTTGCCAGTGAGGTTCCGGGCGGAAATCGAATTCTCAATACGAAAATTAGAGCCCAACATACAGTTTTCAAAAAAGCCATAAGCAGTTTGATCATGCAATATTGAATGAAAAAAAGCAAGTGACGTTTCGTCTTGACTCAAGATGTCTTCCGACTGATAACCTGTATTGCGTTACAAGGAAGTATGTACAAAATGATAATTAGGAAGTTTTGTTTATTTAATTTTCCGTAATTACAGTGCTCGATGCGTTAGAGCAGAGCATAAATATTGTTAAGAAGAAGAAAATACACAAAAATTACAATTTCATCCCGACAAGCCTGTTTCGGGATAATATTAACCCCTGAGAGTGAGAAATCACGAAACAGGCTTGTAGGGATGAAATTGTAGTTTTTGTGTATTTCTTCTTCTTATCAAAATGATATTTACATATGCACATAGTTATAGAGGGACGTATATGTTGAGCTCTGATTTTCCCTTCGAATATCAAACTGGTATGAAAATACAACATCAATACGTCTCACACAAGTGCGCAACTTACAGCATGGGAACAACGAGACCACTTGAAATTGCTGTTCCTGCAGCCCAACATGCCAAGATAAAGTACACCACAAGAACTGTAATCAATGGACTAAAAAAATGAGGAAACCTATCGAGCATGAACGGATTTTCATTTTTTTACAGGGGTGGTGTCAATAATTTTAGGGGGGGTGAGCTGGTAAGTAAGTGACGCAAGACAAAGTAAGGGAGGAAGGATTTAAGGGGCGGTGTGATAGTGCAGCCACCGAAGGTAGTGTGCAAAGTAAAAACATTGCCCCGAGGAACGCAGTTCAGCTGTACTACTGGTTTGTTTTGCTGAAAATAGGAGGGGGGGTTAATGTTTCTTAGAGGGACGAACAATTTATTTAAGGGGGTGTGTGTGAAATTTGACATTTGGGGTGGCCCCCCCTGTAGCCCTCTCCCCCAGAAAATCCATCCATGCTATCTTGACATTCTAGAACTGCAGGTAATGTAAATTTCAAGAATTGAAGAAGATCGAAAAGAACATTCATACCCGTAAGTGAATTCTCGATGAGTGTCTCTCGAGAATAAATGATGAATCGCTTCTTCACCACTGGCGAACAGCAACGTTGCAACTAGACAAACAGACGGTCAGAATGAAGGAGAGTTTTTCACGGACACTATGGATCGTGAAGACTACACATATATGTGAGCACTATTGTTTACAAATATACTTTAAAACATTGCATATTTTAGGTCGTTCTTGAACAGAAAACTTTGCGAATCTTTAAATAACGATTCAGACGGTTCACAATTCACTCAACCTCTTTCTCTTTCGGTCATTTCATCTTTAATGGTCAAGTGTATCAAGAGATTGATGGTGTGGCTATGGGTAGCCCCCTTAGGCCCTCTATTTGCTAACATCTTTATCTCGTTCAACAAGAATTCATGGCTTCACCGCTGTCCCTCCACTTTCAAACCCCTTCTTTATTTAAAGCCTCATGTAAATTTTCATCATTTAATCTGACGTTAAAGACGAAACGTCATTATCAAAAAACCTTTTATTTTTAGTTTTAATTTATTGTCGTGATATCTTTTTTAAAAGTCTTATGTTGGGCTATTATGTTCACAATGAAAAACCTGCTTTCCGCCATACAAATCTCTGGCCACGATTTCGAATAAATTCTTATATGTCACATGCAGCATTTCAAACAGTCGCGCACTTAATCAGATCATAGAAAACTTAATCGGATAATTGAAATCTTAATAAGTAAGTTTATCGAGAACTAAAGATCAAGAAAATTTATCATACCTTGATTGAATGTCGCGTTAGTAAACCTCGTTCCATTAACGTTCAGAGTAATTCCTTCATCACAGGTATAGTTGTTCACAGTTCGTTCTGTGCGCAGTGGACTGCGATTTTCTACCAAACAGTCAGTACTGAAAAAAGTGAAACCAATGCGATCATGCCGAGTTATCGTGAGAGAAGACGTAGTTTGTCAAAGCAAAAATAATTCGGACGTACGACATACTCAAATTTTGATTCCTTAAAAGAGCATTCAAATTTTGAGCAAGAGAACGCAGACGGCAAAAACACCGAAACAGTTCCAACGATCACCTAAGAATGTAAAATGATGTCAATTTCGCACGAGACTCTTATTGAAAGGCAACAAATACATGCAAATTTTGAATAGTGTGCCTTTTTCGCATTGAAAAACGGTTGAATGACGTTGCGAAAGCGAGGAAAATCCCGGAATATCACTCAAATAAGAAAGCGGATTGCTGTTCGACAAATTTACGTACCATAAGAATGACGACTTCGGAAACACGAACAAAATTCTGCAGCCACTTTTTATTTATCTTCGTCAGATGATGTCTTCGAAGCCGGTTGATCTAAGTAAAGAAATTTAACGCATTCTTAAATGGATATGAAAAAACAGAAAAAGAACGTCGCTTTAGTAAAGATGAAGTTTCACTACTGGCTATCTGGACGTATAACAAACCGATTTCCATCTCATTTCTCAAATAGTTGAATAGTTGATAAAAAACTGCAAGACCTAGTTTAACTTGATACTCAGTTGCGGTTGAACAGTTGGACTTCATACGTACAACCTACCCAAAGCTCAACTCCTACCTTCAAGTTAACGAAAGTAAAAACAGCTCCCAAGATGCCACCCAAAAATCCAAGAATAACAACTGGAATGAACACCAGAATATGCAAGGCGACACCGTGATCGATCTACAGGGAAGACAAGAAAATATTGGAAATAACAAGAGGGCGAAACGACGCAACACTTTAGCGCACTGTGCACATGAGTTCGTGTTTACTTGTGACGAATGGATACCACAAAAATACAAAGTATAGACAGTGAACTAAGTAAATGTTTAGTGGGGCGGATCAATGCTCATTTGACAGGAGGGGTGCAGATTTTTACAGGGGCGGATCAATGCTCATTTGACAGGAGGGGTGCAGATTTTCCAAGGGGGGTGCATCGTCATCCTAGCTTAAGTTACAAAAGCTAATGTGAATTTTTAGAAACGAGCGAACCTTACGCAATGAAAGTGTTATTACATTTTTAAGAATTTTTCATGTGGTTTTTGTCAATGAATGCGCGTTGCATAAGTGATCTATTTCAATTCTAAAGCCTCTAATACTGTTATATTAATCGTTTGCAGTTTAAACTAACCTGGGAAAATCAACATCAACAAACATACGTATGCAACGTACTCACAAAGTAAAACAAATGTACCGTATTCCATATTATAAGCAACAAGCGAGCAGCCATTTTCTACGTAATACCTTCTTTCTATATGATGGATACAGAAAAATCTTTTGAATCAACGATTATTCTACCTGGAAAAGGATATAACGTTCCGCCTTAAAGAGACCAAAATCTCCATCGTAATCAAAACCGGTAAACGCCGAGTTGAAGAGATCCTGGTGAAAAAGATGTCAATGAATGTCGACGTAAACGTACGCGTCTTCAAAAACCGTTACGAATTCGTCATCGAGAGAAGAGAATCATCCTTCTTCGAAATTTGAATCATCCGAGACAACACTTACTGTTGTAAAGGTGGACACCATTGTGCAAAAGAAGATTTGCCATGACAACTTCAAGTTCCAGAACGATGACACTTCCTCCATGGCAAACAGCAACCCACCGACGGGGGCACCGAAGGCGGAAGCGACACCTGCCCCGGCGCCTGCCGAAATGAAGTTACGTCTGCAAAAAAATGGGAAACGGATGATGGAAACGGGAAATGGGAAACATTCCAAGCAAAAAACTGTGTTAAAATGAGGTCAAAATATCCTCAAAGAGACTCGCCTGTCCTCAGGATTTCGGAATCTTTGAAAATATGGCAGATTTATCTTGAGCGTGGATGATCTGAACTGACTAAGACCAGCACCAATAAGACCACTATAACGGAGATGGCTTTCATGTTAGACCTAAAAAAGGCCTCAAGAATAACAAACCCGAGGCCACTTGAACACAAATATTGATTTTTGACACACACATTTAACAGTTGAGGACCTCTTTAAGAGTGGTGAACTCTATTTCCTCCGTTTAGCCCTGGGCCTCTTTTTACCCCTCTTCTAATAATCCTCCACTAGCCCTGGGCCTCTTTTTACCACCCTTCTAATAATCCTGCACTAGCCCTGGGCCTCTTTTTACCCCTCTTCTAACAATCCTCCACTTGATCGCAAAATTAACAAACCCTCAAAAGGACTATATAGAGCTGGGAAACACCGTACTTGTAGACTTATAGTATATTAATCCTAACACGGTTTAATATGCACATGAAAAACATGTGACTTGGACAAGATTTGAACTCGCACCTTCGCTAGACTTATAGAGTAGTCAGAGGCAAAATATCATGATTGACTGACTGATTGGTTGTATGGTATTAACAAGGTCCTCAAAAAATTACATGTTTCACAATGTAAAATATCTGATCCTTTACCCCAGGTGAATCATGGGACCTTCGGGTCCAACAGGTAATCCGGAGGCAACGGCAAACACACAGGAAAAGAATTTTACGACCATGGTCTTGACATTGAATATATGATGAACAATGGTACCATTAAGAAAACCGATGAGCTCAGGAATTCCAGAACCACCAGCAGAAGGACGAAAAAACTGCAAAGAGGAAAATGCTAACTAGAGCAATTTGAATAAATAATTGACATGAATGAAAACAAGATAACTTTTCGAACAGAAAACAATTACCACAACTAAAGCCGATCCAGCGATAGCAAAGATAAGACTATAGCCAACTACCCAAAACCATGCTAAGCCATAGTCCTTCTCCTTAAGCACATACACAAAAGTTACAAAAATGCAATCAAATTGCTTTTTATAGCAATGGTATTGACATCTTTACCTTGATCAAATCATTAGCCTTTTCCCACTTGTAACTAAAGTAAATAACACATGAGTACATCTATATGTACGAAGGCATAAAAATGCTTTTGAAAAGATCTCACAATGAATACATACTCCATGATACGATCAATCAGTTGATGGAGAAGAAAACCAGTGAATCCAACCGTAAACCCAATCAGACCCATCATCACCCATCTATCCCAATCGAGCCTCGCAGGTTGACGTTTGATCCAGTTCTGGAAAAGAGGTATAAATCACTAAAACTATTTGCTTTCCGAGACTGTTCTAAAATATAAATTGAATGTGGAATGATAATCCATGTGTGCAGAGGCACAACTAAGTCTTAAGATTGGGGAAGCTTAATTAAATTCAACAAAAGTTGCTAATGCTCCTAAACAATTACTTGGTACAATTTGCTTGACAAAACTGTCAACTTAAAATTTTTGGTGGGTGAGCCACCACCTAAGCCCTCCAGGATTAAGAAAAAATACTAAGATGAAAGTCAATTGATGTATGGTGTGTTCAGCTCCATTGTGTATGGTGTACTTATGAAACAAACAATATAGTCTTTCATGAAACAAGAGTTTTTGATGAAAAACTGTCTTGTTTGTTTTTAAAATATTGAGTTCAAAATGGACCTTTCAATCAGAGAATGTTTCTTGTTATACTTCGTAAAGTTGTCAGCTGGTAATGGTTTTGCATGATGTGCATTGATATTCATGCTTAACTGAACGATACAAAACGTAAATAGTCCGCTTTTCACATAAAACAACTTGCTTCTCGAGAGAAAGTGAAGAAATATTAACTAACAATAGTAAACCTTCATTAAACGTTGGACAGTTTGACTTTCAAATGGAATGGTAAATAGAATTACCTGTCAAAATCTGTCTTCGCGGAAGTGAAATTTTAGGCAGAAAATTCACCTACAGAAATTAATCAGTAAGTCGCAAATACCTTGTAGACGACACTGTGTGGAGGAAAGTAATCTAAGCTATCGTACTTCGCCAACTCTTGCTTTTCTTCCTCGGTAAATTTATGGTTGACATAAGCGCTTTCAAACTCGCGTCCTTTCTGAAAGAAGCCAGTCCCTCCAAAAGCTCTCCTCGAGTGGACTTCTTCATTGTTCAAACGTTCTCCTGACCGTCTTTGAATTAAATCCCTTTCGCTGCTGCTGGGATTCTTACCTTTTGATATTTCCGCACTTTTGGCCTCGATTGCCTCTTCCGTGGAAGCCATAATAGATAATATCTTTGGTATTTCATTACTTTATACACAATACACCAGTGCAATACACAAATACACCTACAGGTACCCACAAATCAATACAGTTCCTCTTTGGCAAAGCCATAGGGGGAGTCTCTACAGTATAACAACAAGGGATAACTAGCAAGCTAACCAGTTTAACTACATTTTGTAGGAGTAGGGATACCAAAAGTGGGGACATGATGGGTAATGAGGGTAAATGCTACTTTCGTCGAATTACAAGAGGGGCTAGTTTACTGTATAAATTTCTTCCAGTGGGAGGCATTTCATGAATATAATTGAAACAATTATCGGGTTTCAGCAGCATAGCTGGCCTGCATATTTTTTCACACCACATAAAATTTTGAATGATACCATTATCCATTTTTATGCAGATCTGTTGTTTTCACGGTCAGGGAATACAAAACTATTTTGACAGGAGAGGCCAAATGTTGGACTGGCTATGCTATTACTACGAATATTTAAAACAATTACAAACACCTGGCATTTCAGTTAGAATAACCTGCTTCAAGGCGAGGGAATATGGAGAAAAGGGAATATGGAACGAGCGCTTTTACTCTTTGTACACGTACAAATGTCATCAATTGCTACTTATCAAACATGTCAGAATTTCTTTTAAATTAAAATATCTAACAGCATACTTCCAGATATTTCAATTTGCAGGCAGATATAAAGTTTCATCTTATATGGTGTGTGACAATGCGAGGAAATATTATTGAATACATCATTGATCGACCCAGTCTGATTGATTACCACCATCATTATTTGAAGCAATTTGCTGCTCTTGTTGGGTAGAATTATTATTAATTCTCACCAGAAATGCTTGAAGTCTCTTATTGAGGTGGTCCGTCAGAGTCAATTCTTCAGGAACTTGCTGTGAGGTTTCTTCAGTTATTGAACCATTATTTTCTTGTTGATTATTTACAGTCAATGCTGTCACACCAGTGTTCAGAGTTCTTACTGTGCTTTCTTCCTCATTCCCATTACCATTGGTGGCTGAATTCTTATCAACCATTTCTTTTCCTTTTTCTGTAGCTCTTTACAAAAACACTTACTCTTTTTTCTGTCTTCGGGATGTTTGTTTGGTTTCTTTAATTTTAAATATTTGTCTATAAAATTGAACTGTTATATGTCTAAATAAAGAAATTTCCTCTTATTTCTTTCGGAATCTTCCGTTACAATTCGGAGCATATTCGTACCCTCTCACTAAGAGTGAACAAAGCCTGGGTGTACAATTAAAAATTTAACTTAGAACGAAAACACCTTAATTTACAGCATTCTCACAAAAAACCGCTTTAAAGTTTAATTTTTTTATGTATGACTCATATTTGCAAAATGCAGACCCAGTTAAAATTGAAAATAAATATGCGAACAAAAGCGGCTTTTCCGAATGCTAAAATCCTGACCCTGCCTGACCGCAGGCGACGTTTCAAAATGGCAGTCAAAACACCAAAAATGTCATTTTAATGACAATTATGACATTGTTTTAAATGTATTGTCTGGTCTCCTGTGACAGACTACATTTTCTGAGACATGCCAAAAAAGTTCCAAGGGACGAATTCAAAGGCAGAAGCTGCCAGAGCTCGAAAACAGGAAACAAGAAACGCTGAGAAAGCGAAAAGAAAGGAAAATGAGGACAGATACTGGCAGAGCTGGGAGTCTGGGGATAAAATGAAAATAAAAAAAAGGAAGGTTTGTATTTTGCAATACAATATAAACTTGACATGAATAGCTCACGCGTCCAGTTGACTTTTCTTGAAATTTGTTGAACAGCAAGATAAAGAAAGAAAGTTGAACAACTTGAGAAGAAGAAGGCTGCAAAAGATCTTCGAGGCAGAGGAATCGAAGCTGAAAGGAAAGACTACTCCTCAAAGGTTCGAGATCTGAAATTTTGAAAGTACATGAGAAAGAAGCTGAAAAAAGCGGAGGCAAGCAAACCTGCAAAGAAAAATGTGACAGTCATGAGTGAATCTGAACTTGAGGAAAATATAAATCATTTAGTTCGGAGTCTTTGGCTGTGGATGGTGGAGTTGAAGCAATGTTGAAGAAGCCATCTCTGTATTATCTGTGAATGAGAAAGAGGATTTGCATCCTGAGCGGAGAATGAAAGCAGCTTTGTAGCATTCGAGGAACAAAGACTTCCTGTTCTCAAGGCAGAAAATCCTAACATGAGACTGTCGCAAATTAAACAGTTGCTTAAAAAGGAATGGCTTCGATCTCCCAGCAATCCCCTCAATCAGAATTTTGCATCTTACAGCAACAAGTAGTAGTATTTGTTCACAAAATGATTATTTACATCTTCTCGACCTTTGTTTTTGTGGGGAAGATGTAAATTGTAAGAACCCATGTGAGGTGGAGTTGTTGGATTTTTGTCTTAGCCTAGTATGCATTAACTCGCATTTATGCTGTGATGAATGTAATTAATGGATTTCATGAGAATTGTTCCCAAAAGTGGAGCTGTAGAAACAGCATGTTTTTGAAACGAATTATGACACAACTGAGTTTGATTAACTAAAAAATTAAGCTTGTTTGTTGCCACGAGATGATGGCTATTTTTGAAGCAAATAAATGAAACGAATAAGCTTTCCATCAATCCTTGTTAAAAAGGAATCACAGGTTCTTTGACCTGCATAGTACAGCTAAGCTTGCCGCTCCACTAATTAACAAAAAACCAAAAAAATCTTACGACAAACATGCCTCAATGAATCTTTCCATGTGAGTCATCTGTATTTTTCATTTAGACAAAGTCTAAAATAGTTTTACCAGAACCTGTAGGGCCGAAAACTAGATCCAATCGTTTTTGTTTTATCCCAGACAATTTTGTCGAAGAACTTAAAGTATTGAATTCGATGTTTAGGAATTGCCAGTAGGTTTGGATCTTGAGATGTCACATCTTCCTGAAGGTCTTTCTCTGTCTCTTTAACTTTCAGCACATGGTTTGCAATGTCAGAATCATTACCAATTTGTTTGGTCTCTAAAAGAAGGCTTTGAATTTCGCTCATTTAGCTAATTCTTAATTTTCTCAGGACTATTGAACTTCAGTACTCTTTGGCAGCTAAATACAGTTTGAAAAATGAAAATAATATAAATAAATTCCTACGAAAGCTGTCAAACAACTTTTATTTATCAAGAACATCATAACCACGCGCGGCTCAATTAAACATCGCTCACTCGCGAGGAATACACGAGTGCATCGGTTCAAAGTTTGTGCGCAAGCGTAGTACGTGCTTCATGTGAAATCTCTGTTTCTCAACATCTCTTTCCATAATTTTGCTCGTAATTCATCTTAAAAGAGAGTTTAAATTATGCTTTCAAAAGCAATAAATTCGTCCATAGTTCGTTCTTTGGCTAGAACCTCATTAAGGGTGAGTTTGCGTTCATTCAATTTTGTTTCAAAAGCTGTATTATAGCTGCCATCTTTAATGCCGGCGTGGAAGTATAATTTTTTATATTTTGTCAATTGTTTTGAACGCACACCACACATATTTGTAATAATGGTTTTTCCACCATGTGAGTGCTTGAAGATAATAAAAGAAAACATTTGTTGACGTAAAAAAATCATTACAGACATTTCAGTTTAGGTATGTTGCAAAATGCAAGGCGTGTTTTGTGGTACCCCACTTTTCGTTTGAATGGATACCCCACTTTGAGTTTGAGTGGATGAGCTGAATATTTATGTTTTAAAATACCCATGAAATTAAAATTAAAACTGAAAACTTTCCTTAAAGTTTGCAGAAAAACTCAAAAAATAAATATTACATGTATAAATTTTGCAAAATGTTGGGTGGTGAAACCATGTACAAAATCATTACATGTGCTTGTCTTAAAACATGCAAACACAACTGTTTTCATTGGCTTGTCAATTTTCTAAAGGGTTGTGTTAATAATGTGAAGCCTAGTGTCAGACATCTTAACACAACGACCAGATGTCTTGCTGGTCCCGGTACAGCGGAAGTGTCCTCTATTCTTGAAGAAAGGATAATAGGCACTACAACTAAAGCTGAACTTGAAGAAACGGGTCGAGTACTGTCAATTGGTGATGGTATTGCCCGTGTTTATGGCTTAAACAAAATTCAGGCGGATGAAATGGTGGAATTCTCCAGTGGTTTGAAGGTTTGTCAGATGTTATCATTTCGATTTATTAAAAAGCTTGTGTTGAGTTTTGTATTATCAATCTTCAGGGTATGGCACTCAACTTGGAACCTGATAATGTTGGTGTTGTCGTATTCGGAAATGACAAACTGATCAAAGAAGGAGATGTCGTGAAAAGGACTGGTGCCATCGTGGATGTCCCAGTTGGAGAGGATATCTTAGGACGTGTTGTTGATGCCTTGGGTAATCCTATTGATGGCAAGGGGCCCATAAATTGTACAGAAAGAGCTCGTGTAGGAATAAAGGCTCCCGGTATCATCCCACGTATATCTGTGAGAGATCCAATGCAGACTGGGATAAAGGCTGTTGATAGCTTGGTTCCCATTGGACGTGGCCAGCGTGAATTGATTATTGGAGATAAGCAAACTGGGTTTGTATTTTATTGGTTTAAGTTGCCTCTGAAAACAAACAGATTAATTATTTGATAGTCATGTGATAAATTAATATTGATGGCTTAAATGACTGTAAGTTTTATGTTGGATGCTAAAGCTTTTTAATAATATAAAAACTGCCAAATATTATACTTGTAGGAAAACTGCTATTGCGATCGACACAATTATCAACCAGAAGAGGTTCAATGATGGTGCTAATGAAAGTAATTATCTGCTTTATGCTGTGTAGTTTAAGTTAACAGGTTGATGAACACAGTTTTTTTTCTGCACTTTTCAGAGGAGAAATTGTATTGTGTATATGTTGCTATCGGGCAGAAAAGAAGCACAGTTGCGCAGATCATGAAAAGATTAGACAATGCTGGTGAGAATTTGGACATGAAAGTTTTTGAAACCATGATGGTCGTATAAATTTGATGTACGAAAGCATTATTGAAATCTCTGAATGTTCAATGTTTACAATTTCTTCATCAGATGCATTAAAGTACACCATCATTGTGAGTGCAACTGCATCAGACGCTGCACCACTGCAGTACTTGGCTCCATATTCTGGCTGTGCTATGGGAGAATTTTTCAGAGATAATGGCAAGCATGCTCTCATAATCTATGATGATTTATCAAAACAGGTAACACTTGGAAAACTTTCAAAAATTTCAATCAACACCCAGAACCTTTGCCTTGACTTTCAAACTTCAATCTTTGAATGGAAGATGCTAACATGGTGATATTTTGTTCAATACAGGCTGTAGCCTACCGTCAGATGTCCCTTTTGTTGCGTCGTCCACCTGGTCGCGAGGCTTATCCCGGTGACGTTTTCTATTTGCATTCACGTCTTCTTGAGAGAGCCGCGAAGATGAATGAAACTTTTGGTGGTGGATCACTGACTGCCTTGCCCGTCATTGAAACTCAGGTAATGTATCAAAACAATCAACTTTTTGTTGTTCTTGTTTAAGTTCAATTCACTCAAGCATGATTTTTTATGCTTTACAGGCAGGCGATGTGTCATCATATATTCCAACAAATGTCATCTCAATCACAGATGGTCAGATTTTCTTGGAAACGGAGCTTTTCTTTAAGGGTATCCGTCCTGCCATCAATGTTGGCTTGTCTGTCAGCCGTGTTGGCTCGGCTGCCCAGACAAAAGCCATGAAACAGGTATGTGGTTGACTGACGACATCTCATGGATTTAATAACCTTGGCGACATCTCATGGATTTACTAACCTTGAAATAATGCGTTGTTTACAAATTTGACAGGTTGCTGGCACTATGAAGCTGGAGCTTGCTCAATATCGCGAGGTTGCTGCTTTCGCACAATTCGGCTCTGATTTGGATGCTTCCACCCAAGCTCTTTTGAATAGAGGTGTTAGACTGACAGAACTTTTGAAGCAAGGGCAATATGGTAAGGATAATTTTGGTTGAAACTGTTGCCTTTAAAAGAGACAAAGTTAATCAACAGTTCTTGTATTGTCAATTTTTTCTCCTCATCTTAGCTCCTATGGCAATTGAGGAACAGGTGGCTGTTATTTATGCTGGTGTACGAGGTCACCTAGATAAAATTGATCCTTCCAAAATCACCGATTTTGAAGTGGCATTCCTTAAACACATTCGTGATACCCAGCAAGACTTACTAAAGAAGATTCAAGTTGATGGTCAACTAACACCAGAAAGCGATGAAAAATTGAAGAGTGTAGTAACAAGTTTCCTACAAACATTTGAATAGGAAGATTTGCTTATGAAAGTTGCTCCACTTAGTTTACATGTTACCCTTCCATTAAGAGGATTATTGTAATTAAAAGGAAACTAATTTTATACCACAATTTGTCTTTTTACTTTTTTGTTGTGGCCCACTAAAAAGAATCCTTTCTTTGCAATAATCAACACAAACATATGGTAGTTCTTTCAAACTTTATTTAAATGCATTCTACTACATGATTCACTAGTCCATTATATGGAAAGAATAATTTGTTTCAAGGTAGAAAACATCCTTGACCATCTGTTCTCTTCATCTTTTACCTGCTTCTTCTTCAACCTTTTCATGTAATAAATATTTGAAGAAAACATTTCTTATATTATAAAGGTAAAACCTTTGAAGCAGCAGCATTTAACTCTCAACTTTAAACTTTTATGTATACAAAATAGTACATTTATCTCTTTTAATATGCATTGCTATTGCAACTCACTTGATTCAATGATTGGTTTAGTTTATTCATTAAGATAATTTTCTGTAGAATCATGAGTACTTGCCCAATGACTAATTAAATCATCTTGACTAGTCCATGCTATCATACAAGCTGGACAAATAAAACCCTAGAAAATATGTAGGAATTTATCCATGATTTACCTTAAACGTTTTGTTAAATTAATATTTGGTGATCTAAACTATGATTACAGATTAATGCACATTTTTCTTTAAAGTATTAATAATCTGTTCAACTCACAACATATTTAAAGCTGTGTTTGGGAAAAATATATTCTAAATTCTACATCACTTTGTTATTAGGATTAGTGAAAGCCAGCTTGATTTTTACTTCTACGTACAAATATCAGCAAAATTATCATTCGTATCTATAGAAAATTCATTCATTGTTTTTCCAGTAATTGAACACACTAACATTTACATTGCTGAAGTAAAAAACATCCTGGCTTTGCAATGGATTGACTAATAACTTTCATATTCCTACCTCAATAATAGCTTGCTCTGTATTCTCTTCAATGTTAACACTGTTTTGAGTTGACGATTTAGCATGATCTAGCTCATTCTTTTGAGTACTCTCCAGTCTTGAAATAAAAATCACTTGTTAGCAGCATAGTTAATCATAAAAATAAAAATCTTAAGTATTATTTTCGACAAGCACCCCAACCTTTGTAGGTTTGTCTTTGATGCAATGGCACTTTTTAAACATTCCTATTGATAATACACAGTTTTTTCGATTAAATAGGCTTTCAATTACTAGGTACTATGAAGCGACCAGTCAGATGTTCACCTGTATAATTGTAAAGTGTGGACTCCAGTCGATGCTTTTTACTGTTCTTGATAAACATGAAAAATGAATCGTTTATTATACATAAAAAAACTGAAATTTGAGTACAATCCTGTTTCACTTACTTCAATGAATATTCAACATCATAACTTGCACCTTGCAAACTCGAGTTAAGATTTTGTAGCTCTATCTATAAATTGCGATGATTGAAGGTTATTTGTCTCTGATGTGGCTATCTGCTTTAATTATGTCCAATGAAAAGCACAGTCTTGAAGAAAAATTTAATTGTCATTATTTTATTTGTAATTTAGAGTTCGATTTTTATCAATGAACTTGAATGGGGCTTGAAAAAAGTTTCTTCCTCAATTTAGGAAATTCTTAGGGCAGGTTGAAATATATTCTCTTAACTGAAATTTTTGCAAACTGCAACTGAAAATTTTGTAAACTGCAGACCAGAGATTTGAAACTAGTGCACAATGGTACCAACTTTGCCAAAAATATAAGAAATCTCAGGTGCACTAAACTAATTTTCCAGTCTGGCTGTTTCCTCCATTACTTTCGATAGAATGCTCACCTTCTTTTCAACCAATTCGGGTACAGAACGCTTAACATGTTCCTGGATTCTGTAGAGACCCATTGATGGATCATTCAACATTAGATGAACTGTTTCTGAAAATTTATCTGTAACTGCAGAAAAACTCAACATGACTTAATTTGTAAGTCGCAGTATTCAAAACACTACTACATGACACAGTAGTTAGTATTTATTTCAATTGACAACAGAAAAAGAAAATTGGAAAGCAAATTTGAATGCCAGTAACCAGGCAATACGCGGCAGTACATGGCACACGATACTTAAGCATTAATATTTAACTGCCATGACGATTTTTCCCTTCATAATACCTTTAACAACCTTTAAATCCGTTTCTGATAGAAAATGAGCCATTCTAAAATTTCACATTCAACATATACTATTGATTTTTAGCGACATTTTCCATATGCGTTCTCCATTTATCTTTATATTTTCATACATAGTGATATTTGTGGTATACTGAGTCCGCAATCTACCAGCAAAACACGTGACAAAACACAAAATCCACACGATTGTTTATACTTTTCGTGGAATTGTTGTGAAAGTGAAATTCGTTTTGGCGATTTCACAATTTTAGGTCTCTGACAGAGGTGATTATGGCCTAGCGTATATGAGTTGGTCAACTGTACGCAATGGATGATAGTAGTATTGTTGTCTTAAATCCTCCATCAGGAGTAAGTGAAGATGAATTCGCGCTTCACTTTCAGAAGAAAAAGAATGGTGGAGGTTACGTTAGCGAGGTTAAACTGGAGAAAGGTGTTGCTTTTGTAGTCTTCGTCTCTTTGGCAGGTTTGTTGGTGACAAATGAATTTATCGAAAGTAAACGTTTATATAAATTAAGAATTATGAATTATCTTATGTTTCCATAATTTCGTAGAAGCACTATTGCTAATGCGCATTTAATATACACGACAATTTTTTTAAAACAAAACAGACATGTTTCGACATCTCATGATGCCATCTTCAGTATAAGTGAAATAATAAATAATAGAAGGTTTATATAAAAGTAATATGATACATAAATTACAACAATAATAAAGAAATAAGATAAATTAATGGGGAGCGTCCGAGCGTATAATAAACTAAATATTTCTTTATTATTGTTGTAATTTATGTATCATATTACTTTTATATAAACTTGTATTATTTATTATTTCACCTATACTGAAGATGGCATCATGAGATGTCGAAACATGTCTATTTAAAAAAAAACTCGTCGTGTATATTAAATGCGAATTATCTTATGGTATCGTACATTGTCTGCCTTTCATAACTCATCTACATTATCTGATTTTCATTTGTGGCAATTATAGGGTAATTGTGCTTTGTGAACATTCGCTTTTTCTCTGAACGTCTCTCTACTTTTTTTTTGTTTATTTTAGCAAAGTTTAACATGCTACGTATGTGTAAACAATCAGTAGTTATTGTATTCATAATCATGACTGCGTGAAGATGACTGAAAGGTACAAAACCTGTGAATCATCTACTGCCTTCACATCCCAACCGTATTATTTTTATAGATGCTGTAAAAGTCGTAAATCATCCTGAAAAGCAAATAATTAAGGGTTGTGAACTTGATGTTCGGTCATACAGTTCATGGTTGAAGACTACTCAGGTATTTATATTTTATGGTTAAATTTTTGCATACTATGAACACGAGTTATGCAAACTGTTCTATTCGTTTCAATAGTAATTAATTTCAACTAGGATGATGAAAACAGTGCCTCGGGCAACAATGACGACGTTGATTCAGTTCCTACAAAAGATGACGAGGATAAAGCCACGATCTATGTTAGCGGTCTTAAAGAGTCAATGAATGATGAAACGATCGCACTATTTTTTGAAAATAAACGAAGAACTGGTGGAGGTGAGCTTCGTGATGGGAAAGAAGGATTTGAGCGATTGTCACCAACCGTCGCTCGTTTAACTTACGTTTCCTCAAAAGGTAATGTGGAAACTCAAATGATGAAAAGGAATTAAAAAAATAATTTTTAAGAAACGTATTTCGTCTGAACGAATCTCCTTAGACGCTGAAAACGTGCTGAAAAGGGCCAAAGAAAAGCTCCTTGTACTCAATGGGTGTCCTGTACAAGTTACCGCTGACTATATACCCACCGAGGATCGAAGTATATTGATGGTCACAAATCTCAGTCCTGATACAAACGTGGAAACGTTGAAGAACTTCGTTGAAACAAAGAAACAAACAGATGTGATTAAAATCGTTCTTGGAAAACATGGAAAAGCTGTTGTTATCCTTGAAGAGGAAATTAAAGGTATTCGTGGGTCGATGATCAAAAATTAGATTACACTTCAATGATTTCAATAGTTTGCACCTTGTTTGGTTTGGCAAACTTCAATTCTTGTACCGCTCGACTTATTATTGTTTGATCGATTTCTAGATGAAGATGATTTCAAAGAAAAGATATACTCCAGAAATTTCATATTTGGAGGGCGTTCAGTTTCTTTAAAATTTGCTCCACTGACCAAGGGAATAAAGGTGAAGAAAATACCAAAAAACACAACGAAAGATGATGTCAAACATAAATTTTCTAATCCCAGGACTGGTGTAGGTGAAGTCATCAATATGGAGTTTGACCAAAATAATGGAATTGCCAAACTTTTTTTTAAAAGTTCGTCGGGTATGTAAACTTTCTTCTTGGTTATCGTTTTTTCTCGTAATGAACCATATTTTTTCATGAAATGTTGCAATAGAAAGTTAAGTATACGAACTTTACAAATGAATCTTCACGAAACTTTATTTGAAAATACTTGAAAGGTGAACCATATATACAGTGTTTGCTTGAATTGCGTTTCACATGAACGCTTTCGGTAATAGTGTTCTGGTTCTTACGAAGAATTGAAATTTCATTTTAGTTGTTTCAACCTTGGTGAAGAAAGATCATGTCATTAAGGAATCACTTTTAACTGTACTGCCTTTATATGAAGATTTTGAAGAATTGGACGAATATCAAAATAAAATAACAGAATTTAATGGCGACATCCCTTGTGAAAGCGACGTATTTTATCATATATTGCTTCATCACGATGTGTCTCAGTTTAATTTTAATTCCGTGAAATACGATCAAATCAAGTCAACTTTTAATTTCACAAAGTTTATTGAAGATCCCAAAGATGGAGAAGATCTCAGTAGAAGGTTGAAAACATTAGTCGATTCTTTTGGAAAGGAAACTTTAGCGATTCCCACAGTTGTGTTTGATAAGGTAAAGCATGAGGTTCTGGGAAAGAGAGACGAATCTGAGATCCAAGTACGATTTGAGAAGTCAAGCGTTGTTCTTGTTGGACGGAGGAAGGACATCACGAGGAAAAAAAGAGTCATAAAAAGATTAGTCAATGAACTCACGGTTGTGGAAACAGTGATCAATGGAATAAAGAAGTTTTTTGATGGAGAAATGGATGAAATTCGTAAAACAGCGAGTGATATCGATGTTGATATCAAGATAAAAGTCATCCAAGGACAAGTGTGGTTAAATCATCATGTCATTCATGTCCCAGATGATGGCAGCGAATCTGGTACGATTTTTAAAGAAATTGCATACAGTTCTTTACACTACAGGATTTTGAATAGAAAATCTGCACCATAGAAATGAAACAACACTAATGTTGTTACGATATTTAACAGGGACCGCGGAAGATCGATAATCGAGGGAGCTCATGTTATAGCCCCCTCAATTGCAAATCTTTCGCAGTCCCAGTTTAGTGAATGAGTGTGCTTTGAAAGTTTGAAACTATGTGTTGATTTGAATTTTTAACGAAGTATTTTCTCCCAATTATTCTTACTAGCTAAAATTTTTCTTAGTGTTACCTGCAGGAGATTCCAAAACTAAAAGTCATAGTTCAACAGTTCCTGACTATTGGGAAATCCCTACAGATGACAGTATATATCATGCCTTCGAGCTGAAGCCAAACAGTTGGGAATATACGAAGGTGAAAAACGCATTTTACCAAACTACAAGCAACGAAATTGTGAAGATTGAACGAATACAAAACCCTGGTATATACGAATTGTATAATGTAAAACGAAAAACTATGAAAGAAAAATATGGCGACGGGGATTTTCCTGATAAAGAGAAACAACTCTTTCATGGTACTTCGAAGTATAATGTTGAAAAAATCAATGCAGGTGGACTGAACAGAAGCTTTGCTGGAAAACATGGTATTGTTGTGCTTACATTTTCCAGATTTTATTAATGCTTTATGTTGCTGTAATGTATTTTTCAAATCTATAGCAAATCCTTTTGGTAAAGGTGTTTATTTTGCACGAGATGCCAGCTACGCCCTCAGGGATACATATTCTCCAAAAGATGCAAATGGATTACGTTATGTGTACTATGCTAGAGTTTTGGTTGGTGACTACACTAAGGGTGATTCAACCATGTTGGTTACGCCATCAAAAAACACCGCAGATCCAAATGAAACCTATGATTCTGTCGTCGACGACACCAAAGATCCTTCAATATTTGTAATGTTTAAAGATTACCAGTATTATACTGAATATCTTATTACTTTTAAGTAACTTAAGTCAATTATTTTAAGATGCAGAAAAATTTTCTTCTTTGGATCATGTATTCGTGGAAACTACTTTATACTTTTGATGGTAAGGCCCATTTCATAAGTTGAACTTTCCACATGTCAAATGGATTAAAGACAAAAGAAAATGAGATAACATTGCTAATTATCATTTGTTTGTAATGCATTCGGCACAAGTAAAGTTTGACGTTTGAAACAGGCCTAAATGATAATTTAATTACACAATACACAGAGAAGCTCTAAGTATGAAGAAATAAAAAGTCACATGCACTAGAAGGTGTCAAATCAGAAATTATTAACACCAACCACCATAGCTTTATAAATATTGGAAAGTTATTCTGTTGACTTTCACACATTTTAGCAGACTTGGATGCATCCATTTAACCTCATTTGAATAAAGAAGTAAGATGACTGAACTTCTAAAGGAAGACAAGAGTCGCTACTAGTTTTAATTTTAAATTCAATAGTTAGAATTTTACGTAGAAATGTAATTTTATTCCATTTATTTTGCGAAAATGTAATTTTATTCCATTCTGTAAAAATGTAATTTTATTCCAAACTTATTAATCCTTATTAGACAAGTAAACTCCCCTTTGTATGTAAGTTTGTCTTCGATGCAATGGCACTTGTTGAATCTACTATCAATTGTAGCGATGAGATCATGCTAGTTGAATGGCACGATCATTGGCATGGCTGCCTACAAATTTGGTTATACTGTGCAAATATTTTGTTCTGTCATTGCAAGTACAAACAATACATTTTTAAAGAAGTTGATAATGCTAACTTATCTAAGATTTACGTACATTGGCTATGACAGGGGATAAGATAAGCAATAACATATGATATATAATGGTACACCTGTATAATGGTAAAGTGTTGATTGCAGTTGATATTTATTTAAATTTCTGGATTAAACATCAACATAAAACAATTTGACATACTGTACATCCAAAACTGATGTCTGAACATATTAAACTATTTCACTTACTTTGATGAAAATTCTACATGATAACTTGCACCTTCTAAACTTGAGTTATAATTTTTCAACTCAATCTATATCAATGATCAAAGTTAACTTATTCATTTCTGATGTGGTTATCAGTCGTAGTAATGTCTAACAGTGAGTCTTTAAGAACAAAATTTTGTATGTCATCATTTGGAGTTCTATTTGTGTCGAAGAGCCCAAATGGGCCTTGTATATAGGTAAACTCCTTACATAACATGCTACACGTTCCTGGAGTCTGTAGAGGCCCATTATTCATTGATTAAAGGATTGTACAACAAAAAATGAACTGTTTCTGTGAATTTATCTGTAATTTTACAATAACTTGTTAACAATATGGCTTGATTTGCAATTGGACATTTAATATCCAACAACATATTGTACAATTGTTAGTATATATTACAATTGGAAGCAAATTTTAATGAATGACATAATATATAAACACATATATTTAACTTCCATAAGTTCTGTCATATTTATTTTCATAATACCTTTAACAACCTTTGACTCCGTTTCTCAATGTAACTAAGCCATTTCATTTGTTTTCGTATAATATATTATGCTGTTGACTTTAACCAACATTTGCTATTTACTTTTATTCAATTATTTATTTTGTTATACCTCGAGCCCGCAATCTAACAACAAAACACGTGACAAAACACAACACAAAATCCACATGATTGTTTATACTTTTCGTGGAATTGTAGTGAAAGTGAAATTAGACTTGGCGATTTCACAATTTTAGGTCTCTGACAGAAGTGATTATGGCCTAGCGTTTATGAACTGGTCAACTGTACGCAATGGATGACAGTAGAACAATTGTCGTTTTAAATCCTCCATCAGGAGTAAGTGAAGATGAATTCACGATTCACTTTCAGAAGAAAAAGAATGGTGGAGGTGACGTTGATGAGGTTAAAGTGGAGAAAGGTGTTGCTTTTGTAATCTTCGACTCTTTGGAAGGTTTGTGGTGACAAATAAATTTATCGAAAGTAAAACTTTATATCAATTATTTAGTGCAGTATCTTTTCCGCCTTTTATAGTTGAGCTCAATCATCTGACATTGGATACTACACTAATACAATTGTATTTTGTGAACTTTCGTTTTCACTTATTCACTCTGAACGTTTTAGGAGCGATTGAACGGTCCCCAGCTTGTGTTTCTTTTATGTTAATTCAAAGTTTGACATGCTGTATGTCTATACAATTAGTAATTCTTGTATCAATTACTACAGAGTAAAGATGACTGAAAATAAATGGTAGAAAGCCTGACAATCATCTAGCTTCCTTCATATCACAACCGTATAATTTTTATAGATGCTGTAAAAGTCTTAAATCATCCTGAAAAACAAATAATTAAGGGTTGTGAACTTGATGTTCGGTCATACAGTTCATGGTTGAAAACTACTCAGGTATTTATATTTTATGGTTAATTTTTTTACCAAACTATATGGTCTGTGAGCACGAGTTATGCAAACTGTGCTATTCATTGTAAGTATGATTGCTTTCGTTTAGGAAAGTGAAAACAGTGCCTCATGCAACAATGACGACGTTGATTCAGTTTCAACAGAAGATGATAAACAGAAAGCCACGATCTATGTCAGCGGTCTTAAAGAGTCCTGCACTGAGGAATTGATCACGTTATTGTTTGAAAATGAAAAAAAGTGTGGTGGAGGCTATCTTCGTGATGGGAAAGAAGGATTTGAGCGATTGTCACCAACCGTCGCTCGTTTAACTTACGTTTCCCCAAAAGGTAATGCGGAAACTTAAATAATGAAAAAGAATTAAAAAAATAATTTTTAAGAAACGTATTTCGTTTGAACGAATCTCCTTAGACGCTGAAAATGTGCTGAAAAGGGCCAAAGAAAAGCTCCTTGTACTCAATGGGTGTTCTGTACAAGTTACCGCTGACTATATACCCACCGAGGATCGAAGTATATTGATGGTCACAAATCTCAGTCCTGATACAAACGTGGAAACGTTGAAGAACTTCGTTGAAATAAAGAAACAAACCGATGTGATTAAAATCGTTCTTGGAAAACATGGAAAAGCTGTTATCATACTTCAAGAAGAGATTAAAGGTATTTTTAGGTTGACGAGAAAATATTAAATCAAACTTTGACAACTTTCTTGCTCGCGCTTAATTTTTTACGTGGAGTGAAGAGGCGTACCTCGTGATTTGTTGTTATAATTGATTTCTAGGTGATTCCAAGGAAGAAAACAATTCCAAAAATCTAAAATTAGGAGAACGTCTGGTGTCTTTGAAATTTGCTCCACTGAGCACGGGGATAAGTGTCAAGAAAATACCAAAAAATGCCAAAAGCGAAGATGTCGAATATAAATTTTCTAATCCTAAAACTGGTGGAGGTGAAGTCATCAATATGGAGTTTGACAAAAATAACGGAATTGCCAAACTTTTTTTTAAAAGTTCGTCAGGTATTTGATATTTCTTCTGGGAAACGGTCTTTTCTTGTAATGGATGTTAATTTTTCACGAAATATATTGGAAGAGCTTTTATACAAAATCAAACTTTATGGATCATCATCTGAAAAGACCACGTTGTTCAGTGTTATTTGAACTTACGTATTTCATTTTAGTTGTTTCAAACTTGGTGAAGAAAGACCATGACATCATGGAGACACGTTTAACGGTGATCCCGATGTATGAAGATTTTGAAGAATTGGACGAACCTGAAAACAAAATAACAGAATTTCATGGCGACATCCCTTGTGAAAGCGACGTTGTTGACTATATCAGGCGTCATCACAATATGTCTCAGTTTGATTTAAAGTCAGTGACATACGATGAAACCATGTCGACTTTTCATTTTACAAAGGATGTTGAAGGTCCTAAGGATGGAGAAGATCTAAGTAAAAGATTAAAAGTATACGTTAATTCTTTTGGAAAGGAAACGTTGGTAATTCCCACAATTGTTTTTGATCAAGTAAAGCTGAAGGTTCTTGAAAACAAAGTTGACTCAGAAATCGAGATAAGATTTGAGAAGCCAAACGTTGTTCTTTTTGGACTCAAGGAAAAAATCACGATGAAAAAGAAAGACATCGAAAAATTGGTCGATGAGCTCACATCTGCCGCCAGGACGGAATCCGTTAAAATTACGGTAAGATATAAAAAAGGTTTAATACTACAAATCATATTTGAAAACTTTTCTGGTAATTTTCGTGCGGTTATTTTTACCTAATTATATCGTCTATGAACACGAGTTTTGAAAACTGCACAGTTTATTACATGTACTCCTGGAGTCAAAGTATTCACTTTACCGCGCAGTTTATCTTATGCGTAATTGTCTCCAACAAAAGGAAAATGCAAAACATTGTCTTGGGCAACAATGACGACGTTGATTCATTTCAGGCAGAAGATGATGAAGACAAACCCACAATTTATGTTAGTGGTTTTAAAGAGTCCTGCACCAAAGACTCAATTACACTATTTTTTGAAAACAAACGAAGATGTGGTGGAGGTGAACTTCGTGAGGGAAAAAAAGGATTTACGCGATTGTCTCCAACCGTAGCTCGGTTGACTTACGTTTCCTCAGAAGGTAGTAGATATCAACTTAAAGGATAAAAAATTATATCAATATGTGATTGTTTGTGGTAATGTATATGTTGCTTGAACGAATCTCCTTAGACGCTGAAAACGTGTTGAAAAAGGCCAAAGAAACACCTCTTGTACACGAAGGGAGTCCGCTTCAAGTTACCGCTGACTACGTACCCACCGAGGACCGAAGTATATTGATGGTCACAAATCTCAGTCCTGATATCAGCATGGAGACATTGAAGGATTTTGTTGAATCAAAGAAGAATACAGATGTCTTAAAGATTTTTCTTGGAAAACACGGAAAAGCTGTTGTTATCCTTGAAGAGGAAATGAAAGGTATTTTTAGTTCGATTATCAAAGATTACTTAGAACTTCAATGATTTCGATTGTTTGCCGTTGTTCGAGTTTGGCTTGATTGAATACTTGTACCACGTCATGGATTATTGAATAAAAAATTTTTGATTTTTAGATAAAGATGATTATAAAGAAAAAAACAGCTCCAAAAATTTGACACTGGGAGGGCGTTTAGTGTCTTTCAAATTTGCTCCATTGACCAAGGGGATAAAGGTGAAGAAAATACCAAAAAATGCCAATAGTGAGGATGTCAAGTATAAATTTTCTAATCGAAAAACTGGTGGAGATGAAGTCACTAATATGGAGTTTGACCAAAACAACGGAATTGCGAAAATTTTTTTGATAAGTTCATCAGGTATTTGAACGTTTTTCGTGGCAACTGTCTTTTTTTAAAAGGATGTTATTTTTTGATAAAATATTGGAATAGCAAGCAGAGCTGAATTTAGGGGAGCCTTGACTAGAGTGGGTTGCGGTAAGGGTGCTAATTTCCCAACAAAATACTAACATACGAAACATTTAGCCAAAGCAATTGTGAATAGTATTTGGTAGAGCACACTTCCATAAATCAACTAATCATATCAAAAAGATATCAGAATTTGACAAAAAAGTCTGACATACGAGCGACAAGTAGCCATCAAAAAATAGTCAAAACTAGAGCCCCTCCCCCCCCCCTCTTACAAAAGCATTGTGAATCCATCCCTGATAGCTGGCTTGCAAACTTTAATTTTGAATTCCAATTTCATTTTAGCTGTTTCAAACTTGGTGAAGAAAGATCATGTCATTAAGGACACGTCTTTAACTGTACTACCATTATATGAAGATTTTGAAGAATTGGACAAACCTGAAAATAAAATAACAGAATTTCATGGCGACATCTATGGTGACAGTGACGTCATCAACCATGTACTGCTTCATGACAATTTGTTACAGTTTGATTTAAAGTCAATGAAATACGATGAAACCAAGTCGACTGTTCATTTTACAAAGGATGTTGAAGATCCCAAAGATGGAGAACATCTTACTACAAGGTTGAAAATATTTGTCGATTCATTTGGAAAGGAAACTTTAACGATTCCTACATTTGTATATGATCAAGTAAAGCAAGATGTTCTTGAAAATAGAAATGAATCTGAAATCGAGGTTAAGTTTGAAAACTCCGGCATTGTTCTTATCGGACGCAAAATCGATGTCAAAACAAAAAAGAAAGATATTCAAAAACTGGTTGATAAACTCACAGCTGCCGCCAAGAAGGATTCCCTTGATATTGAGATAAAAGATAAAGAGAAGTTTCATTTTTTCATTGCCATTGGATATTTCAAAGATCTCTTGATCGAGTTTCCAGGTGTGGAAATTCCTGGTATTGAAGGGAGTACCGGAGGTAAATTGACTGTTCTTGGGACAGCTGAAAGCGTGAAAAACATGAAGTTGAGAGTTTTTGAGGATCTTGATAAAATACACGTTATTAAAATCGAGATGAGTGATCGTCAAATTGATTTCTTAAAACGCACAGAATGTAAGATAGCCAACGAAGTATTAAAGAAAGACAAGATAATGTTGATTCTTAAAGAGGTTGAAGGCCATGTTGGCGCTAAAGGTTTCCAGCCTCAGTTGATGTTCTTGAAGGAGCCTGGTAACGTCGAGGTAAAGCGAAATAAATACGAAATTCTCTTCTATAAAAATTATAACGCAGTTAACTTATCAGTGAATATCGCGCAACACTTTCGTTTTCACTATCACTAATTAACATATCTAAATATGGTGTAAACATGCTTCTTCAGGCAGCTCACTCTTTTATAAAAATTTTTTTTATCAACTTGAGCTTGATTAGGTGCGTCATTCATGGATGTTGTTATGATACATATAGTTGTATATAGTGCGTGAATATTTTTAATGTCGGTGTCTTGACAAATTAGGAAGAACGAGTTGTTGAAATCATAAAATCGAAAACGTCAGAAAAGTTAGTAAAGATTGATGAAGAAACTGGAAAATTTTTGGCAAAGTCCGACCATTTATTGACGTTTACAAAAGACCAATTGAATAAAAACAAGGTTTTGATATGCACTGAACTCGCGAATCCAGATAACATCTGGATTATTTGTGAGGAATCTAAGATGAAGGATGCCGAACAAGATTTGAGAAATTTAATTGCCGAAAAAAAAATTGAAGACGGCGTTTTTAAACCAGTGATATCCGCAAAAGTTCGTTTCCTACAAGAACATCGTTGGGACAAAATCATGAGCAAAATGCAGGAATTGAAAAATGAAGGAGTTGATGTTGAAAAAACTGCCGATGAAAATTCACTTCGAGTGAAGGGAACTCCAAAAGGAAAAAAGAAAATGATAGAATATCTTGATAAGAAAGCAGGGGGAATTAATTCAAAGGTTCGTATTTCTGGTGTTTTTCTTTCGAAGAACTCTTGATTTTCTTTATTTCGGACAGTTTGGGTTTGTTCATTGAACTTGTCAAAAGATAATTACAAGCTTTTGTATTTGTGACCTCAATGGATCGCAGTGACGTGGAATTCATGATCTTTTCGGTCGCTTTTATGTAGTCGAACATATAGATTTTGAAATAATTTTTCCGAAAAAGCCTGTTGATGTAGCGTTTGGGTTTCTTCATTTCTGTGAGTATTAAGTTACCTTTAGACCACATGTCCTTGCATTGTAATCCATAAAACTTTGTTAAATGGATTATAGTTAGGTATTAACTAAATCGTGATCCACATGATCCAGTGTGGTTATGTACGTGGTCAATCACTTATCACTTAAAGTTCTCGATCTATTAAAATTTCTGGGAATTATTAAAATAGTGTCTCCTTTACATTTTAGACCTTCCCGCTTTCCAAACCGGGAATGAAGAAACAAATGAGTTTGGATGCAACAAATGCCATCATTAGTGGAATTGAAAAAAATCATAACTGTGTGATTGAGAAAATTATGGCTCACGATCTAGACGAAGCCAAAGATGATTTCGCTGTTGCTGAGGATGATCATAAGCCGGATGGGAAATCAGCAATGAATCTTCCATTCGATTCTATGTCTTACGTTAATGATAAAGTTGTAAAAATGACTTCCGGTCAAAGAATCACCATAGCTGTTGGTGACATTGCAAAAGAAAAGGTAAGCTGGCCATAACGTTGTCAATTTACAGACCTGTTGGAAGCGGGTAAGAGAAATGAGCAGACTGCAGCCCCTGGGATTTTTACTCTCCCTCACTTAATGGTGCTTGCTGCTGATGGACTTGTATTATCTTCTGTAAAATATGTAGTGCATAAATTATACATGTTGTCTGTAGGTTGATGTTATTGTCAATAGTACAAATGAAAAAATGGATTTGAATGCGAATCCTGTTGGAAAGGCTTTACTTAAAGTTGCCGGGAACGACTTTTTGGAGGAATGCAAGAAAATTGGTGAAATTAAAGTTGGAGGTGTTGTGGTAACTGGAGGTGGAAAACTCAACTGTAAAAGTGTTTATCATGTTCGTTTATCTGAATGGCAACAGGCCAATGGAGCCAAGGTAAATAGAGGAAATTAGATGATCTTAGTTGACATGCTTTGGAGAAAACAGCAAGCATCTTGTTTTAAAATGAGTACTACGAGTAAAATTGAATGATTTGTATTTCATTCTTCTATAATGCATTTTCTGACAACACATTTGTTTATTTGGCCTTTCGATCTACAGCGGTTACAACATTGTAAGTCTCAATTGTAACTTTGTATAGTGACGTAGCAAACTCGACAGTTGTGGGTCCCATATATATTCTGCTGTATTATGTTCTTTTCAAGTCAATTGTTTTTTACGGGTTATATAGGAAAATGGTGCCCCTCTCCTTTATCGAGCTTGCCACCCTACTGTTGTAACTTTGTTTGTTACCCTATTCATTTATTCCCTTTCACTCGTAGACTGCAGATTGGCAGGCTACATTCATGCGTCTTCAATCATATAATTTTGCCCATACGCAGGTTCTCAGGTCTATAGTAAAGAATTGTGTCACGAAAAGCGAAAGCCAAAACTTCCATTCGATTGCATTTCCCGCCATTGGAACTGGAAATTTGAAATTCCCACGGTCGGAGGTTGTTAAAATCTTTTTTGAAGAAGTCACTTCTTATTTTACTGTGAATCCTCAATCGAAAGTTAATAATGTTCGATTCGTGGCGTACGGTGGAGATAAAGAAACCGTTGATGCATTCTTAGGTTTGTTGAATAATGACGTAGTTATTTAAAGCGAAGCTTAAGTCAAACATTGATTGTGTTTCATTCAATGCAATAATAAGACCACCAGGCATTGCCTTGGCAACACACTTACAATATTTTTTGTTGTATTCAGGTGCTGTGGAAGAGATGAAGCCTATTTTATCAGCAACTAAAAGAAATATTCCATCACACGATCTGGGCTTTCCTGGCCAATCACAATCTGCATTTGTACAATCCTTTACACCAAGTAGCGCAACAACAAGTGAAAACCCAGACGGTAGCCTAGAGGTAAAGTTTCCAAAACAAACACCTCGAGTTGAAATCGTCTGCGCTGACATCAGCCAAGAAACCACTCAATTGATAATGCACGTGACTAATGAAAACTTCTCGTTGCAAGGGGGGGTCGCCAAGGCTTTGGTCAAAGCTGGTGGTGATAAAATCGAAGAGGAATGCAAAGCCCTTGGAACAGCCCCTCTGTTTTCAACACAGTATACTGGTGCTGGAAAGTTGTTAGTTAATCAAATTGCTCATGTCATAGGCCCCGGGAAACCCAGCTATCAAGATCTGAAGAAATGTCTCGACAATTTTTCGATGATTTGTCAGGAAAAGGCATTACAGATGTATCCTTTTCTGCCATCGGTGCCGGTGCAATGGGTTTCTCGGAAAGGGAATCTGTGACTTTGATATTCGATAATGTAAGCCGAATGGCCCTTAGCAAAAATCCAACTCTGAATTTGGTTCGCATCGTGATATTTGAGAAGGGAAAGTTTGATCAATTTAAAGATGCAACGAAAACATATTTTTCATCTGAACCAGACGCAAGACGCAATCCAAAAAAAAGTTCTAAAAGTTTTAATGTTTTTCGTTCGAAGAAATTGGGTAAATCAAAGATTAAGGTAAAGGATCCTGAAGCGAGTGGTTTGTCAGTCAAGATATTTTCCGATGACATGAAGTATGTTGAAAGTGCTTGGTCAGACTTTTTAAAGAGAATGGAAGAAAATATCGTAGAGCATACCATTTGTAACGAAACAATCAAAAAATTTGGCGAGAGTGAAAAGAAAAAAATTCGTGAAGTAGAGCGTAACTTTGATGTCACAATTAAGGTAGACTTCACCAAAGGAGAGGCCTGTATTAATGGTCATGTTACAGATTTTCCTGAAATTAACGACGCATTGGGCAATATGTTTAAAGAAATTGAAGAAAGAGAAAACAGCAAAGGTAGGATCATTTTAAGTGCGGAAACTGTGCGTTAGAAGAGTAAATTTTAATGCTCAAGTGCAATGGGGGAATTTCGACGTATTAAAATTTAGTGGTATATTTTTTTGAGAAATATGAACGAGTGGGTTGAATGAGTTGAATGCTTTGATCTTGCACTTTTTTTAAGCTATTTCGAATGAATTAATCTTTTTCCTTCACACTACATCTTCAATATTGAACTTTTAAATGTTTCGTTTGGTTTTGTAGTTCCTGACTATTGGGAAACACCTCCAGACGATAATGTATATCATGCCTTCGAACTTCAACCTAAGAGTGATGAATATATGAATGTGAAAAACGCATTTGACAAGACCGCAAGCAACGAAATAGTGAAGATTGAAAGAATACAAAACCAGGGTATATATGAGCTGTATAATGTAAAACGTAAGGCTATGAAAGAAAAATATGGCGACGCAGACTTTGCAGATAAAGAGAAACAACTCTTTCATGGTACTTCGAAGGATAATGTTGAAAAAATTAATTCAGGTGGACTGAACAGAAGCTTTGCTGGAATACATGGTATTGTACTTGGGACGTTTAATTTCTATTTTTATCTTTTTTCATTGAATTAACTCCAATGTTTTTTATGTTTTCGTTGGTTATTTTTAAATCTATAGCCACCGCTTTTGGTAAAGGTGTTTATTTTGCACGAGATGCCAGCTATTCCCTTAGGGAAACATATTCTCAAAAGATGCAAATGGATTACGTTATGTGTACTACGCTAGAGTTTTGGTTGGTGACTACGCTAACGGTAATTCAACCATGTTGGTTCCACCATCAAAAAACACCGCAGATCCAAACGAAACCTATGATTCTGTCGTCAACGACACCAAAAATCCTTCAATATTTGTCATGTTTAAAGATTACCAGTATTATACTGAATATCTTATTACTTTTAAGTAACTTAAGTCAATTATTTTAAGATGCACAAAATTTTTCTTCTTTTGATCATGTATTCATTCAAAATGTCTCAATGAACAATTGCATGTGAAGTAGGGATCATAATAAAATGTCCAACCTAGTCAATCAGTTATTTTTTAGTAGAAATGAAAAATTCATTGCACCAAAAGCTGTTTAGTAACAGTAATTATTGAATTATTGTATTTACGTTTAATCAATGCACTTATCATAAAGGTTGACTAAGCTGGGAGTTAGTCCCACCAATAAGTTTCCTGCACATGATTTATTGATTCTGATGTATTTTAGTTCCACTGATTTTGCTCAACTTTTTTGCCTATATTCAAACTTTCACTTAGAGAAGTATTTGTATTGTGTTTTATATTTTCTGCACTTCTTACTTCGACAATGTGTATTGCAATTAAAAAAATGCTCAAGTGTTGAGATTTTTTACAGTGTTGTTTTTTCGAGTGATTTTCTCTGTTAATGCAAGCTTTTTTCATCTGTTTAAACGTGCAAACGTTAGGCATTTCTTGATACGCGTTCTGATTAGAAGTTTTGAAGGACCTTTCTAATTCCGAAATTACTTTTCAGAGGAATGCTTACCAAACCTAAAAACGCTCCGCGTATTCTAGCAGACGTTTGGATATTCTTAGTGGTGCCTTATTTTTTGTGATAAGTTTCAGTCAGAGGATTAGCACTATAACGTAGATTTTATTTCGGGCTTTATGTGGAAATTGGAATCTTTCGGAGGCCGAGGAAGATTTTTGAGTTTTGAACGATCGCGGCAGTCCTCATCTTATTGTGTTTGAACTTTGGTGTTGCTTGCTTGTAATAGCTTAAAGTTGCCTTAGGAAATCAATGAATGACATAATGATAGTAAGTTGTCACCGCGTCACCATCATTTCCACTACACAACATGCACGCCGTTCGGACCTGCTTTTTCAAATCTGTAAGTCGCACTTTTTCATGAGACAGCCAAGCCACAGAATGGAAGTCTGGCTTTGCCTATGTTGAATACAAGCACGGTTCTGATGCATCAAAAACAGTTCAAAATCTCAATGGGAAAGAGGTTGGCGAGAAGAATATCCTTGTTGAACTGGCACAAAACGGTGCAGGAGGGTATGCAGTTGCTGGGGCCATGTAATTACACAATACACAAAGAAGCTCTTAGTACAAAGAAATAAAAAGTCACATGCACTAGAAGGTGTCAAATCAGAAATTATACATACCAACCACCATGGCTTTATAAATATTCGAAAGTTATTCTGTTGACTTTCACACATTTTAGCAGACTTGGATGCATCGACTTAACCTCATTTGAATAGAGAAGTAAGATGACTGAACTTCTAAAGGATGCAAGAGTAGCTACTAGTTTCAATTTTAAATTCAATTGTCAGAATTTTACATAGAAATGTAATTCCATTTATTTTACGAAAATGTAATTTTATTCCATTCGTTAAAAATGTAACTTTATTCCATTTTGTAAAAATGTAACTTTATTCCATTTTGTAAAAATGTAATTTTATTCCAAACTTATTAATCCTTATTAGACAAGTAACTCCCCTTTGTATGTAAGTTTGTCTTTGATGCAATAGCACTTGTTGAATCTACTATCAATTATAACCATGAGATAATGCTAGTTGAATGGCACGATCATTGGCATGGCCAGCCACAAATTTGGTTGTATTGTGCAAATATTTTGTTCTGTCGATAATGCTAACTTTTCTGAGATTTACGTACATTGACCTGACTTGCAGGCCGGCTACGACAGGGGATAAGATAAGCAATAACATATGATATATAAAGGTATACCTGTATAATGGTAAAGTGTTGATTGCAGTTGATATTTTTTTAAATTTCTGCATTAAACATCAACATAAAACAATTTGACATACTGTACATCCAAAACTGAAGTCTGAACATATGAAACTGTTTTGCACTTCCTTAATGAAAATTCTACATGATAACTTGCACCTTCTAAACTTGAGTTAAGATTTTTCAACTCAATCTATAAATTGTAATGATCAAAGTTAGCTTATTCACTTCTGATGTTGTTATCAGTCTTAGTAATGTCTAACAGTGAGTCTTTAAGAACAAATTTTGCATGTCATCATTTGGAGTTCTTATTGTGTCAATGAGCCAGTGTGCGAATTAGTTCAGAAAAAGCGATGTGCAATTTTTTTAACAAAAGTGTTTCTTTAGAGGCATAATCAAATTGATATTACGTTAATTATTATATAGTGCTAATTGCTAAATTAATATTTTCAAACGAGAACAAATTCATATGATTTACGACAGTGTTTTTCGTTAAAACCACTGATTTTTGCACATCGTTTGAAAAAGTGATGTGCAATTGTTTTCATTAAAGCTAAAACGATGTGCAAATTGCACATTGCACACCGTTAATTAGCACACTGCAATGAGCCCAAATGGGCCTTGTAAATAAGTATATTCCTTACATAACATGCTACACGTTCCTGGAGTCTGTAGAGGCCCATTATTCATTGATTAAAGGACCTTTCAACAAAAGATGAACTGATCTGAGAATTTTTCTGTATTTTACAATAACTTACAATTGGACATTTAATATCAACAACATATCGTACAATTGTTTGAAGAAATTAGAATTGGAAGCAAATTTTAATAAATGACATAATATATAAACACATATATTTAACTTCCATGAGTTCCGTGATATTTATTTTTATAATACCTTTAACATCTTTGGACTCCGTTTCTCAATGTAATTAAGCCATTTCGTTTGTTTTCCTATATTATATTATGCTATTGACTTTAAGCAACATTTGCTATTTACTTTTATTCAATTATTTTATTATTTTTATGTTATATCTTGAGCCCGCAATCTACTAACAAAACACGTGACAAAACAAAACACAAAATCCACACGATTGTCTATACTTTTCGTGGAATTGAAGTGAAAGTGAAATTCGATTTGGCGATTTCACAATTTTAGGTCTCTGACAGAGGTGATTATGGCCTAGCGTTTATGAACTGGCCAACTGTACGCAATGGAAGGCAGTAGAACAATTGTCGTTTTAAATCCTCCATCAGGAGTAGATGAAGATGAATTCACGATTCACTTTCAGAAGACAAAGAATGGTGGAGGTGACGTTGATGAGGTTAAACTGGAGAAAGATGTTGCTTTTGTAATCTTCGACTCTTCGGAAGGTTAGTGTTGACGAATAATTTTATCGAAAGTAAAACTTTATATCAATTATTTAGTGCAGTATCTTTTCTGCCTTTCATAATTGAGCTCAATCATCTGACATTTCATAGTGCACTAACGCAATTGTATTTGTGAACTTTCGTTTTCACTTATTCACTCTGAACGTTTTTAAGAGCGATTAAACGGTCCCCAGCTTGTGTTTCTTTTATGTTAGTTCAAAGTTTGACATGCTATAAGTCTATAAAATTAGTAATTCTTGTATCAATAACTCTAGAGTAAAGATGACTGAAAATAAGTGGTACAAAGCCTGACAATCAACTAGCTTCCTTCATATCACAACTGTATTTTTTTTCTCCTAGATTTTGTAAAAGTCTTAAATCATCCTCAAAAACAAATAATTAAGGGTTGTGAACTTGATGTTCGGTCATACAGTTCATGGTTGGAAACTACTCAGGTATTTATATTTTATGGTTAATTCTTTACCAAACTATATGGTCTGTAAGCACGAGTTATGCAAACTATTCTATTCATCGTAAGTATGATTGCTTTCGTTAAGGAAAATAAAAACAGTGCCTCTGGCAACAGTGACGACATTGATTCAGTTCCTACAAAAGATGACGAGGCTAAAGCCACGATCTATGTCAGCGGTCTTAAAGAGTCAACGAATGATGAAACGATCGCACTATTTTTTGAAAATAAACGAAGAACTGGTGGAGGCGAACTTCGTGATGGGAAAGAAGGATTTGAGCGATTGTCTCCAACCGTAGCTCGGTTGACTTACGTTTCCTCTAAAGGTAGTAGATATAAACTCAAAGGATAAAAAATTATATCAATATGTGATTGTTTGTGGTGATGTATATGTTGCTTGAACGAATCTCCTTAGACGCTGAAAACGTGTTGAAAAAGGCCAAAGAAACACCTCTTGTACACGAAGGGAGTCCGCTTCAAGTGACCGCTGACTACGTACCCACCGAGGACCGAAGTATATTGATGTTGACAAATCTCAGTCCTGATATCAACGTGGAGACATTGAAGAACTTTGTTGAATCAAGGAAGAATGCAGTTGTATTCAAGATCTTTCTTGGAAAACACGGAAAAGCTGTTGTTATCCTTGAAGAGGAAATTAAAGGTATTTGTGGGTCGATGATCAAAGATTACAGTACACTTCAATGATTTTAATAGTTTGCTCTTTATTTTTCGCTCGATTGAATACTTGTACCACGTCATGGAATATTGAATAAATTGTGAATGATTTCTAGATGAAGATGATTATAAAGAAAAAAACAGCTCCAAAAATTTGACATTAGAAGGGCGTTCAGTGTCTTTAAAATTTGCTCCACTGACCAAGGGGATAAGAGTGAAGAAAATACCAAAAACCACAACTAAAGATGGTGTCAAATACAAATTTTCAAATCATAGATTTGGTGGAGGTGAAGTCATCAATATTTATTATGATCAAAATATCGGAATTGCCGAACTTTTTTTTGAAAGTTCGTCTGGTATGTCAACTTTCTTTTTGTAACTGTCTTTACTTTAAAAGGATTTAATTTTTGATTAATTATTGAATTAGCTTTGTAGTATACCAACTTTAGATGTGAACTTCATGCGTCATGATCTATAGATACTTAAAAAGAATCTTTGATTTGGTTTTGCTCAACTTGCGTTTCATATGAAAATTGACATAATGGGGCTGAACTTGAATTTAAATTTCATTTTAGTTGTTTCCAACTTGGTGAAGAAAGATCATGTCATTAAGGAGACATTATTAACTGTGCTGCCTTTATATGAAGATTTTAAAGAATTGGACGAACCTGAAAACAAAATAACAGAATTTCATGGCGACATGCCTTGTGAAAGCAACATCGCTGACCATATGATGCGTCATCACAATATGTCTCAGTTTGATTTAAAGTCAGTGACATACGATGAAAGCATGTCGACTTTTCATTTTACAAAGGATGTTGAAGATCCTAAAGATGGAGAAGATTTGAGTAAAAGGTTAAAAGTATACGTTAATTCTTTTGGAAAGGAAACGTTGGTAATTCCCACAGTTGTTTTCGATCAAGTGAAGCTGAAGGTTCTTGAAAACAAAGTTGACTCAGAAATCGAGGTAAGATTTGAGAAGCCAAACGTTGTTCTTTTTGGACGCAAGGAAAAAATCACGATGAAACAGAAAGACATCGAAAAATTGGTCGATGAGCTCACATCTGCCGGAAAGACGGAATCCGTTAAAATTACGGTAAGATATAAAAATGTTTAATAATAGAAATCACATTTAAAAACTGTTCTAGTAATTTTCGTGTGGTTATTTTTACCTAATTATATCGTCTATGAACACGAGTTTTGCAAACTGCACAGTTTATTACATGTACTCCTGGAGTCAAACTATTCATTTTACCGCGCAGTTTATCTTATGCGTAATTGTCTCCAACAAAAGGAAAATGCAAAACATTGCCCTGGAAACAATGATGACGTTGATTCATTTCAGGCAGAATATGATGAAGACAAAGCCACAATTTATGTTAGTGGTTTTAAAGAGTCCTGCACCAACGACTTGATTACACTTTTTTTTGAAAACAAACGAAGATGTGGTGGAGGTGAACTTCGTGAGGGAAAAAAAGGATTTACGCGATTGTCTCCAACCGTAGCTCGGTTGACTTACGTTTCCTCAAAAGGTAGTAGATATAAACTCAAAGGATAAAAAATTATATCAATATGTGATTGTTTGTGGTAATGTATGTGTTGCTTGAACGAATCTCCTTAGACGCTGAAAACGTGTTAAAAAAGGCCAAAGAAACACCTCTTGTACACGAAGGGAGTCCGCTTCAAGTGACCGCTGACTACGTACCCACCGAGGACCGAAGTATATTGATGGTGACAAATCTCAGTCCTAATATCAACGTGGAGACATTGAAGAACTTTGTTGAATCAAAGAAGAATACAGTTGTCTTCAAGATTTTTCTTGGAAAACACGGAAAAGCTGTTGTTATCCTTGAAGAGGAAATTAAAGGTATTTTTAGTTCGATTATCAAAGATTACTTAGAATTTCAATTATTTTGACGGTTTGCCGTTGTTCCAGTTTGGCTTGATTGAATACTTGTACCACGTCATGGATTATTGAATAAATTTTGTTTGATTTTTAGATGAAGATGATTATAAAGAAAAAAACAGCTCCAAAAATTTGACACTGGGAGGTCGTTTAGTGTCTTTCAAATTTGCTCCATTGACCAAGGGAATAAGGGTGAAAAAAATACCAAAAAATGCCAATAGCGAGGATGTCAAGTATAAATTTTCTCATCTAAATACTGGTGGAGATGAAATCACCAATATGGAGTTTGACCAAAACAACGGAATTGCGAAAATTTTTTTGATAAGTTCGTCAGGTATTGGCAAGCAAAGCTAGATTTAGGGGAGCCTTGGCTAGAGTGGGTTGCGGTAAGGGTGCTAATTTCCCAACAAAATACTAACATACGAAACATTTAGCAAAAGCAATTGTGAATAGTATTTGATAGAGCACACTTCCATAAATCAACTAATCATATCAAAAAGATATCAGAATTTAACAAAAAAGTCTGACATACACACGACAAGTAGCCATCGAAATATAATCAAAACTAGAGCTCCTCCCCCCTCTTACAAAAGCATTGTGAATCCCTCCCTGATAGCTAGCTTGCAAACTTTAATTTTGAATTCCAATTTCATTTTAGCTGTTTCAAATCTGGTGAAGAAAAATCATGTTATTAAGGACAAGTCTTTAACTGTTCTACCATTATATGAAGATTTTGAAGAATTAGACGAACCTGAAAATAAAATAACAGAATTTCATGGCGACATCTGTGCTGACAGTGACGTCGTCAACCATGTATTGTTTCATGACGATTTGTTACAGTTTGATTTAAAGTCAATGAAATACGATGAAACCGAGTCGACTTTTCATTTTACAAAGGATGTTGAAGATCCCAAAGATGGAGAACATCTTACTAAAAGGTTGAGAATATTTGTCGATTCATTTGCAAAGGAAACTTTAACGATTCCTACATTTGTATATGATCAAGTAAAGCTGGATGTTCTTGAAAATAGAGATGAATCTGAAATCAAGGTTAAATTTGAAAAGTCTGGCATTGTTCTTATCGGACGCAAAACCGATGTCAGCACAAAAAAGAAAGATATTCAAAAACTGGTTGATGAACTCACAGCTGCTGCCAAGAAGGATTGCCTTGATATTGAGATAAAAAATAAAGAGAAGTTTCATTTTTTCATTGCCATTGGATATTTCAAAGACCTGTTGATCGAGTTTCCAGATGTGGACATTCCTGGTATTGAAGGGAGTACCGGAGGTAAATTGACTGTCCTTGGGACAGCTGAAGACGTGAAAAACGTGAAGTTGAAAGTTTTTGAGGATCTTGATAATATACACGTCGTTAAGATCAAATTGAGTGATCTTCAACTGGATTTCTTAGAGCGAACCTACTGCGAATTTGCCAATGCAGCATTAAAAAAAGACAAGGTAATGTTAATTCTTGAAGAGATTGACGACCGTGTTGGCGCTAAATTTTTACAGCCTCAGTTGATGTTCTTGAAGGAGCCAGGTAATGATGAGGTAAAGTTAAATAAATACGAAATTCTCTTCTATAAAAACTATACCGCAGTTAATTTATCAGTGAATATCGCGTAACACTTTCGCTTTCACTATCACTAATTAACATATCTAAATATGGTGTAAACATGCTTCTTCAGGCAGTTCACTCCTTTATACGAAATTTTTTAGTATACATAGTTGTATATAGTGCGTAAATATTTTTAATGTCGGTGTCTTGACAAATTAGGAACAACGAGTTATTGAAATCGTAAAATCGAAAATAAAAGAAAAGTGGGTTAAGATCGACGTGGAAACTGCAAAATATTTGACAACTTATTGCGACCTTGAATTGAAATGCGACCAATTGTCGAAAAACAATGCAGTCATATGTACTGAACATGCAAATTCTGGTTACTTCAGGATTGTGTGCGAGGAATCCAACATGGAGGATGCCGAACGAGATTTGAGGAGATTAGCTTTTGAAAATACAAACAGTAGCAGCATCTTCGAACCTTTTAATGTTTTTCTTTCGAAGAAATTTGGTAAACCAAAGATTAAGGTAAAGGATATTGAAGCGACTTGTTTGAAAGTCAAGAAGATATTTTCCGATGACATAAAGTATGTTGAAAGTGGTTGGTCAGACTCTTTAAAGAGAATGGAACAAAATATCATAGAGCATACCATTCGTAATGAAACTATCAAAAAATTTGGCGAGAGTGAAAAGAAAAAAATTCATGAAGTAGAGCGTAACTTTGATGTCACAATTAAGGTAGACTTCACCAAAGGAGATGCCTGTATTAATGGTCATGTTAAAGATATCCCTGAAATTATCGACGCATTGAGCAATATGTTTAAAGAAATTGAAGAAAAAGAAAACAGCAAAGGTAGGATCATTTAAGTGCGGAAACTGTGTTTTAGAAGAGTAAATTTCAATTCTTGCTCAAGTGCAATGGGAGAATTTCGACGTATTAAATTTGGTGGTATATTTTTTTGAGAAATAAGCACCAGTGTGTTGAATGAGTTGAATGCTTTGATCTTGCACTTTTTTTTCAAGCTATTTCGAATGAATGAATCTTTTGTTTCACACTGCATCTTCAATATTAAAGTTTTAAATGTTTCGTTTGGTTTTATAGTTCCTGACTATTGGGAAACCCCTCCAGACAATAATGTATATCATGCCTTCGAACTTCAACCTGAGAGTGATGAATATATGAAGGTGAAAAACGCATTTGACAAGACCGCAGGCAGCGAAATAGTGAAGATTGAAAGAATACAAAACCAGGGTTTATATGAGCTGTATAATGTAAAACGTAAGGCTATGAAAGAAAAATATGGCTACGCATACTTTCCAGATAAAGAGAAATATCTCTTTCATGGTACTTCGAAGGATAATGTTGAAAAAATTAATTCAGGTGGACTGAACAGAAGCTTTGCTGGAAAAAATGGTATTGTTCTTGCGATGTTTAATTTCTATTTTTTATCTTTTTTTCATTGAATTAACTGCAATGTTTTTTTATGTTTTCGTTGGTTATTTTTTAAATCTATAGCCACCGCTTTTGGTAAAGGTGTTTATTTTGCACGAGATGCCAGCTATTCCCTTAACGAAAAATTTTCTCCAAAAGATGCAAATGGATTACGTTATGTGTACTACGCTAGAGTTTTGGTTGGTGACTACGCTAAAGGTGAGTCAAACATATTGGTTCCACCATCAAAAAACACCGCAGATCCAAACGAAACCTATGATTCTGTCGTCAACGACACCAAAGATCCTTCAATATTTGTAATGTTTAAAGATTACCAGTATTATACTGAATATCTTATTACTTTTAAGAATGTTTTATGCAGTGCGGTGTTTGAAATTAAATGAAGATATGATCTTCGCACTTTGCTGGATAATTTAAGCAATTGTCTCATGAACCTGAAAAATTCAGGTGACTCAACGGGATTCGAATGCTTAAATTGTCCAGCAAAGTGCGAAGATCCTATCTTCATTTAATTATTACTTTTAAGTAACTTAAGTCAATCATTTTAAGATGCTCGAAATTTTTCTTCTTTCGATCATGTATTTATTCAAAATGTCTCAATGAACAATTGCCTGTGAAGTAAGGATCATAATAAAATGTCCAACATAATCAATCAGTTATTTATTAGTAGAAATGAAAAATTCATTGCACCAAAAGCTGTTTAGTAACAGTAATTATTGAATTATCGTATTTACGTTTAATAAATGCACTTATCATAAAGGTTGACTAAGCTGGGATTTAGTCCCACCAATAAGTTTCCTGCACATGATTTATTGATTCTGATGTATTTTAGTTCCACTGACTTTGCTCAACGTTTTTTGCCTGTATTCAAACATTCACTTAGAGAAGTATTTGTATTGTGTTTTATATTTTCTGCACTTCTTACTTCGACAATGTATATTCCAATTAAAAAAAATTCTCAAGTGTTGAGATTTTTTACAGTGTTCTTTTTTCGAGTGATTTTCTCTGTTAATGCAAAAAGCTTTTTTATCTGTTTAAACTTGCATACGATAGGCATTTCTTGATAGGCGTTCTGATTAGAAGTTTTGAAGGACTTTTCTAATTCCGAAATTTCAAACTTTTCAGAGGAATGCTTACCAAACTTAAAAACGATCCGCGCATTCTAGCAGACTTTTGGATTTTCTTCAAAAATAAAGTTAGTGGTGCCTTATTTTTTCTGATAAGTTTCAGTCAGAGGATTAGCACTATAACGTAGATTTTGTTTCGGACTTTATGTTGAAATTGGAATCTTTCGGAGGCCGAGGAAGATTGTTGAGACTTGAACGATCGCGGCAGTCTTCATCTTATTGTGTTTGAACTTTGGTGTTCCTTGCTTGTAATAGCCTAAAGTTGCCTTAGGAAATCAATGAATGACATAATGATACTAAGTTGTCACCGCGTCACCATCATTTCCACAACACAACATGCACGCCATGCGGCGGACCCGCTTTTTCAAATCTGTAAGTCGCACTTTTTCACTAGACAGCCAGCGGACGATTGGTAAAATGTACGCGCAATGAAGCAATTAGTAAATTGGAGGAAAATGGCCGAAAACGTGCATCATAAACGAAGATTTGTATAAGTGAAAGTTCTGCCTGGTGCGCGCCTTTTGCCTGCTAATATTATTTGAATCCTCACATATTCAATGATATAAGCGGATGATGTCTTACAGAGTGTATTTTGGCAGATTACCGGAGGCCCTGACACAAGATGAATTTGAAAAGCTCATAGCTGAGTTTGGTAAGGTGAGAAACATTGAATGGAAGTCTAGCTTTGCCTATGTTGATTACAAGCACGGTTCTGATGCATCAAAAGATTTTGAAAGTTTTTGACTCTGAAGATGACTGCCGCTAAGGTTGTCGAAATGTCAGTCAACAACAACAAAAACAGTCCTCAGGACTATACGAACCTGGACGATCTACATTTACAAACATTTATTCTGTTCTGTAAAAATGTCATTTTATTCCATTGTGTAAAAATGTAATTTTATTAGACAAGTAAACTCGCCTTTGTTTGTAAGTTTGTCTTCGATGCAATGGCACTTGTTGAATCTACTTTTAATTATAACGATGAGATCATGCTATTTGGATGGCACAATCATTGGCATGGCCAGCCCACAAATTTGGTCATACTGTGCAAATATTTTGTTCTGTATTGAAAGTGCAAACAATTAATAGATTTCTAAGGAAATCTATATAATGCAAACTTATCGGAGATTTACGTACGTACATTGGTGTGACTTGCAGGCTGGCTACGACAGGGGATAAGTATATTCCTTACATAACATGCTACATGTTCCTGGATTCTATAGAAGCTCATTATTCATTGATTAAAGGATCGTTCAACAAAAGATGAACTGTTTCTGAAAATTTATCTGTAATTTTACAATAACTTGTTAAAAATATGGCTTGATTTGCAATTGGGCATTTAATATCCAACAACATATTGTACAATTGTTAGTATATATTACAATTGGAAGCAAATTTTAATGAATGACATAATATATAAACACATATATTTAACTTCCATAAGTTCTGTCATATTTATTTTCATAATACCTTTAACAACCTTTGACTCCGTTTCTCAATGTAACTAAGCCATTTCATTTGTTTTCGTATAATATATTATGCTGTTGACTTTAACCAACATTTGCTATTTACTTTTATTCAATTATTTATTTTGTTATACCTCGAGCCCGCAATCTAACAACAAAACACGTGACAAAACACAACACAAAATCCACATGATTGTTTATACTTTTCATGGAATTGTAGTGAAAGTGAAATTCGATTTGGCAATTTCACAATTTTAGGTCTCTGACAGAGGTGATTATGGCCTAGCGTTTATGAATTGGTCAACTGTACGCAATGGATGACAGTAGAGCAATTGTCGTTTTAAATCCTCCATCAGGAGTAGGTGAAGTTGAATTCACGATCCACTTTCAGAAGAAAAAAAATGGTGGAGGTTACGTTGATGAGGTTAAACTGAAGAAAGGTGTTGCTTTTGTAATCTTCGACTCTTCGGAAGGTTTGTGTTGACAAATAAATTTATTGAAAGTAAAACTTTATATCAATTATTTAGTGCAGTATCTTTTCTGCCTTTCATAATTGAGCTCAATCATCTGACATTTGATAGTGCACTAATGCAATTGTATTTTGTGAACTTTCGTTTTCACTTATTCACTCTGAACGTTTTTAAGAGCGATTGAACGGTCTCCAGCTTGTGTTTCTTTTATGTTAGTTCAAAGTTTGACATGCTGTATGTCTATACAATTAGTAATTCTTGTATCAATAACTCTAGAGTAAAGATGACTGAAAATGAATGGTACAAAGCCTGACAATCAACTAGCTTCCTTCATATCACAACTGTATTTTTTTTCATAGATTCTTTAAAAGTCTTAAATCATCCTCAAAAACAAATAATTAAGGGTTGTGAACTTGATGTTCGGTCATACAGTTCATGGTTGAAAACTTCTCAGGTATTTATATTTTATGGTTAAATTTTTTTACCAAACTATATGGTCTGTGAGCACGAGTTATGCAAACTGTTCTATTCATCGTAAGTATGATTGCTTTCGCTTAGGAAAATGAAAACAGTGCCTCGGGCAACAATGACGACGTTCATTCAGTTTCGACAGAAGATGATAAACAGAAAGCCACGATCTATGTCAGCGGTCTTAAAGAGTCCTGCACTGAGGAATTGATCACGTTATTGTTTGAAAATAAACGAAAGTGTAGTGAAGGCTATCTTCGTGATGGGAAAGAAGGATTTGAGCGATTGTCACCAACCGTCGCTCGTTTAACTTACGTTTCCCAAAAAGGTAACGTGGAAGCTCTAATGATGAAAAGAATTAAAATAGTCATTGTTTAATAACGTATTTTGATTGAGTATATCTCCTTAGACGCTGAGAACGTGCTGAAAAGGGCCAGAGAAAAGCTCCTTGTACTCAATGGGTGTCCTGTACAAGTTACTGCTGACTATATACCGTCTGAGGATCGAAGTATATTGATGGTCACAAATCTCAGTCCTGATACAAACGTGGAAACGTTGAAGAACTTCGTTGAAATAAAGAAACAAACAGATGTGATTAAAATCATTCTTGGAAAACATGGAAAATCTGTTATCATACTTCACGAAGAGATTAAAGGTATTTTTAGGTTGACGAGAAAATGTTAAATCAAACTTGGACGTCTTTCTTGCTCGCGCTAAATTTTTTACGTGGAGTGAAGAGGCGTACCTCGTGATTTGTTATAATTGATTTCTAGGTGATTCCAAGGAAGAAAACAATTCCAAAAATCTAAAATTAGGAGAACGTCCAGTGTCTTTGAAATTTGCTCCACTGAGCATGGGAATAAGGGTGAAGAAAATACCAAAAAATGCCAAAATCGAAGATGTCGAGTATAAATTTTCTAATCCCAGGACTGGTGGAGGTGAAGTCATCAATATGGAGTTTGACAAAGATAACGGAATTGCCAAACGTTTTTTTAAAAGTTCGTCAGGTATTTGATCTTTCTTCTTGGAAACGGTCTTTTGTTGTAATGGATGTTAATTTTTCACGAAATATATTGGAAGAGCTTTTATACCAAATCAAACTTTATGTATCATCATCTAAAAAGACCACGTTGTTCAGTGTTGTTTGAACTTACGTATTTCATTTTAGTTGTTTCCAACTTGGTGAAGAAAGACCATGACATCATGGAGACACGTTTAACAGTGATCCCGTTATATGAAGATTTTGAAGAATTGGATGAATCTGAAAATAAAATAACAGAATTTCATGGCGACATCCCTTGTGAAAGCGACTTCGTTGACCATATGATTCATCATCACAATATGTCTCAGTTTGATTTAAAGTCAGTGACATACGATGAAACCAAGTCGACTTTTCATTTTACAAAGGATGTTGAAGATGCTAAGGATGGAGAAGATCTAAGTAAAAGGTTAAAAGTATACATTAATTCTTTTGAAAAGGAAACGTTGGTAATTCCCACAATTGTTTTCGATCAAGTGAAGCTGAAGGCTCTTGAAAACAAAGTTGACTCAGAAATCGAGGTAAGATTTGAGAAGCCAAACGTTCTTTTTGGACGCAAGAAAGAAATCACGATGAAAAAGAAAGACATCGAAAAATTGGTCGATGAGCTCACATCTGCCGCAAAGACGGAATCCGTTAAAATTACGGTAAGATATAAAAATGTTTAATAATAGAAATCATATTTGAAAACTGTTCTGGTAATTTTTGTGTGGTTATTTTTACCTAATTATATCGTCTATGAACACGATTTTTGCAAACTGCACAGTTTATTACATGTACTCCTGGAGTCAAACTATTCACTTTACCGCGCAGTTTATCTTATGCGTAATTGTCTCCAACAAAAGGAAAATGCAATACATTGCCTTGGGCAACAATGACGACGTTGATTCATTTCAGGCAGAAGATGATGAAGACAAAGCCACAATTTATGTTAGTGGTTTTAAAGAGTCCTGCACCAACGATTCGATTACACTATTTTTTGAAAACGAACGAAGATGTGGTGGAGGTGAACTTCGTGAGGGAAAAAAAGGATTTACGCGATTGTCTCCAACCGTAGCTCGATTGACTTACGTTTCCTCAAAAGGTAGTAGATATAAACTCAAAGGATAAAAAATTATATCAATATGTGATTGTTTGTGGTAATGTATATGTTGCTTGAACGAATCTTCTTAGACGCTGAAAACGTGTTGAAAAAGGCCAAAGAAACACCTCTTGTACACGAAGGAAGTCCGCTTCAAGTGACCGCTGACTACGTACCCACCGAGGACCGAAGTATATTGATTGTCACAAATCTCAGTCCTGATATCAACGTGGAGACATTGAAGAACTTTGTTGAATCAAAGAAGAATACAGTTGTCTTCAAGATTTTTCTTGGAAAACACGGAAAAGCTGTTGTTATCCTTGAAGAGGAAATTAAAGGTATTTTTAGTTCGATTATCAAAAATTACTTAGAACTTCAATGATTTCGATTGTTTGTTGTTGTTCCAGTTTGGCTTGATTGAATACTTGTACCACGCCACTGATTATTGCGCAAATTTTGTTTGATTTTTAGATGAAGATCATTATAAAGAAAAAAACAGCTCCAAAAATTTGATACTGGGAGGGCGTTTAGTGTCTTTCAAATTTGCTCCACTGACCAAGGGAATAAAGGTGAAGAAAATACCAAAAAATGCCAATAGTGAGGATGTCAAGTATAAATTTTCTAATCGAAATACTGGTGGAGATGAAGTCACTAATATGGAGGTTGACCAAAACAACGGAATTGCGAAAATTTGTTTGATAAGTTCATCAGGTATTTGAACGTTTTTCTTGGCAACTGTTTTTTCTTTAAAAGGATGTTATTTTTTTCATAAAATATTGGAACGGCAAGCAGAGCTGGATTTATGGGAGCCTTGGCTAGAGTGGGTTGCGGTAAGGGTGCTAATTTCACAACAAAATACTAACATACAAAACATTTAGCAAAAGCAATTGTAAATAGTATTTGATAGAGCACACTTTCATAAATCTACTAATCATATCAAAAAGATATCAGAATTTAACAAAAAAAGTCTGACATAAACGCGACAAGTAGCCATCAAAAAATAATCAAAACCAGAGCCCTTCCCCCCCCTCTTAGAAAAGCATTGTGAATCCATCCCTGATAGCTAGCTTGCAAACTTTAATTTTGAATTCCAATTTCATTTTAGCTGTTTCAAACCTGGTGAAGAATGATCATGTCATTAAGGACACGCCTTTAACTGTACTACCATTATATGAAGATTTGAAGAATTGGACAAACCTGAAAATAAAATAAAAGAATTTCATGGCGACATCTATGCTGACAGTGACGTCATCAACCATGTATTGTTTCATGACAATTTGTTACAGTTTGATTTAAAGTCAATGAAATACGATGAAACCAAGTCGACTGTTCATTTTACAAAGGATTTTAAAGATCCAAAGATGGAGAACATCTTAATAAAGGTTGAAAAACTTTTGATTCATTGGAAAAAACTTTAACGATTCCTACATTTGTTTTTGATCAAGTAAAGCAGGATATTCTTAAAATAAAGATGAATCTGAGATCGATATAAAATTCAAAAGTCAACATTGTTCTTATCGGACGCAAAATCGATGTCAAAATAAAAAGAAAGATATGAAAAAGTTGATCGATGATCTCGCAGCTGAAGCCAAGAAGGAATCTTTTGAGATTATGATAAGCGATAAAGAAAAATTTAATTTCTTTATTGCCATTGGATATTTCAACGATCTTATGATCGAGTTTCCTAACGTAGAAATTCCGGGTATTGGAGGGAGTACCGAAGGAAAATTGACTGTTCTTGGGACAGCTGAAGGCATTAAAAACGTGAAGTTGAGAGTTTTTGAGGATCTTGATAAAATACACGTTATTAAAATCGAGATGAGTGATCGTCAAATTGATTTCTTAAAACGCACAGAATGTAAGATAGCCAACGAAGCATTAAAGAAAGACAAGATAATGTTGATTCTTAAAGAGGTTGAAGGCCATGTTGGCGCTAAAGGTTTACAGCCTCAGTTGATGTTTTTGAAGAAGCCTGGTAATGATGAGGTAAAGATAAATAAATACGAAATTCTCTTCTATAAAAATTATAACGCAGTTAACTTATCAGTGAATATCGCGTAACACTTTCGTTTTCACTATCACTAATTAACAAATCTAAATATGGTGTAAACATGCTTCTTCAGGCAGCTCACTCCTTTATAAGAATTTTTTTTATCAACTTGAGCTTGATTAGGTGCGTCATTCATGGATGTTGTTATCATACATATAGTTGTATATAGTGCGTGAATATTTTTAATGTCGATGTCTTAACAAATTAGGAAGAACGAGTTGTTGAAATCATAAAATCGAAAACGTCAGAAAAGTTAGTAAAGATTGATGAAGAAACTGGAAAATTTTTGGCAAAGTCCGACCATTTATCGACGTTTATAAAAGAGCAATTGAATAACAAGAAGGTTTTGATATGCACTGAACAAGCAAATCCAGATAACATCTCGATTATTTGTGAGGAATCTAAGATGAAGGATGCCGAACAAGATTTGAGAAATTTAATTGCCGAAAATGAAATTGACAACGGCGTCTTTAAACCAGTGATATCCGCAAAAGTTCGTTTCCTACAAGAACATCGTTGGGACAAAATCATGAACAAAATGCAAGAGTTGAAAAATGAAGGAGTTGATGTTGAAAAAACTGCCGATGCAAACTCACTTCGAGTGAAGGGATTTCCAAAAGGAAAAAAGAAAATGATAGAATATCTTGATAAGAAGGCAAGGGAAATTAATTCAAAGGTTAGTATTTCTGGTGTTTTTCTATCGAACAACTCTTTATTTTCGGACAGTTTTGGTTTGTTAATTGAACTTGTCAAGAGATAATTACAAGCTTTTGTATTTGTGACCTCAATGAATCGCAGTGACGTAGAACACGTGATCTTTTCGGTCGCTTTTATGTGGTCGAACATATAAATTTTGAAATATTTTTTCCGAAAAAGCCTGTATATGTGATGTTTGGGTTTCTTTATTTCTGTGAGTATTAAGTTACCTTTAGACCACATGTCCTTGGATTGTAATCCATAAAACTCTGTTAAATGGATTATAGTTAGGTATTAACTAAATCGTGATTCACATGATCTAGTGTTGTTATGTACATGGTCAATCACTTATCACTTAAAGGTCTTGATCATAAAAATTTTTGGGAATTATTAAAATAATGTCTTTCCTTCACATTTTAGACCTTTCCACTTTCCACACCGGGAATGAAGAAACAAATGAGTTTGGATGCAACAAATGCCATCATTAGTGGAATTGAAAAAAATCATAACTGTGTGATTGAGAAAATTATGGCTCACGATCTTGACGAAGCCAAAGATGATTTCGCTGTTGCTGAGGATGATCATAAGCCGGATGGGAAATCATCAATGAATCTTCCATTCGATTCTATGTCTTACGTTAATGATAAAGTTGTAAAAATGACTTCCGGTCAAAGAATCACCATAGCTGTTGGTGACATTGCAAAAGAAAAGGTAAGCTGGTGGTGGTGGAAAACTCAACTGTAAAAGTGTTTATCATGTTCGTTTATCTGAATGGCAACAGGGCGATGGAGCCAAGGTAAACAGAGAAAATTAGATGATCTTAGTTGACATGCTTTGGAGAAAACAGCCAGCATCATGTTTTAAAATGAGTACTACGAGTAAAATTGAATGATTTGTATTTCATTCTTCTATAATGCATTTTCTGACAACACATTTGTTTATTTGGGCTTTCGATCTGCAGCGGTTACAACATTGTAAGTCTCAATTCTAACTTTGTATAGTGACGTAGCAAACTCGACAGTTGTGGGTCCCATATATATAGGCATAGTCTGCTGTAGTATGTTCTTTTCAAGTCAATTGTTTTCCACAGGTTATATAGGAAAATGGTGCCCCTCTCCTTTATCGAGCTTGCCATGCCACTGTTGCAACTTTGTTTGGCACCCTATTCATTTATTCCCTTTCACTCGAAGTCTGCAGATTTGCATGCTACATTCATGCGTCTTCAATCATATAATTTTTTACATACGCAGGTTCTCAGGTCTATAGTAAAGAATTGTGTCACGAAAAGCGAAAGCCAAAACTTCCATTCGATTGCATTTCCCGCCATTGGAACTGGAAATTTGAAATTCCCACGGTCGGAGGTTGTTAAAATCTTTTTTGAAGAAGTCACTTCTTATTTTACTGTTAATCCTCAATCGAAAGTTAATAATGTTCGATTCGTGGCGTACGGTGGAGATAAAGAAACCGTCGATGCATTCTTAGGTTTGTTAAATAATGATGTAGTTTTTTATATAAAATGATGTACTTAAAATATTTTTTGTTGTATTCAGGTGCTGTGGAAGAGATGAAGCCTATTTTATCAGCGACTAAAACAAATATTCCATCACACGATCTGGGTTTTCCTGGCCAATCACAATCTGAATTTGTACAATCCTTTACATCAAGTAGCGCAACAACAAAAGAAAACCCAGACGGTAGCCTAGAGGTAAAGTTTCCAAAACAAACACCTCGAGTTGAAATCGTCTGCGCTGACATCAGCCAAGAAACCACTCAATTGATAATGCACGTGACTAATGAAGACTTCTCGTTGCAAGGGGGGGTCGCCAAGGCTTTGGTCAAAGCTGGTGGTGATAAAATCGAAGAGGAATGCAAAGCCCTTGGAACAGCCCCTCTATTTTCAACACAGTATACTGGTGCTGGAAAGTTATTAGTTAATCAAATTGCTCATGTCATAGGCCCCGGGAAACCCAGCTATCAAGATCTGAAGAAATGTCTCGACAATTTTTTCGATGATTTGTCAGGAAAAGGCATTACAGATGTATCCTTTTCTGCTATCGGTGCCGGTGCAATGGGTTTCTCGGAAAGGGAATCTGTGACTTTGATATTCGATAATATAAGCCGAATGGCCCTTAGCAAAAATCCAACTCTGAATTTGGTTCGCATCGTGATATTTGAGAAGGGAAAGTTTGATCAATTTAAAGATGCAACGAAAACATATTTTTCATCTGAACCAGACGCAAGACGCAATCCAAAAAAAAGTTCTAAAAGTTTTAATGTTTTTCGTTCGAAGAAATTGGGTAAATCAAAGATTAAGGTAAAGGATCCTGAAGCGAGTGGTTTGTCAGTCAAGATATTTTCCGATGACATGAAGTATGTTGAAAGTGCTTGGTCAGACTTTTTAAAGAGAATGGAAGAAAATATCGTAGAGCATACCATTTGTAACGAAACAATCAAAAAATTTGGCGAGAGTGAAAAGAAAAAAATTCGTGAAGTAGAGCGTAACTTTGATGTCACAATTAAGGTAGACTTCACCAAAGGAGAGGCCTGTATTAATGGTCATGTTACAGATTTTCCTGAAATTAACGACGCATTGGGCAATATGTTTAAAGAAATTGAAGAAAGAGAAAACAGCAAAGGTAGGATCATTTTAAAAACTGTGCGTTAAAGAGTAAATTTCAATGCTCAAGTGCAATGGGGAATTTCGACGTATTAAAATTTAGTGGTATATTTTTTGAGAAATATGAACGAGTGGGTTGAATGAGTTGAATGCTTTGATCTTGCACTTTTTAACTATTTCGAATGAATTAATCTTTTTTTCACACTGCATCTTCAATATTGAACTTTTAAATGTTTCGTTTGGTTTTGTAGTTCCTGACTATTGGGAAACACCTCCAGACGATAATGTATATCATGCCTTCGAACTTCAACCTAAGAGTGATGAATATATGAATGTGAAAAACGCATTTGACAAGACCGCAAGCAACGAAATAGTGAAGATTGAAAGAATACAAAACCAGGGTATATATGAGCTGTATAATGTAAAACGTAAGGCAATGAAAGAAAAATATGGCGACGCAGACTTTGCTGATAAAGAGAAACAACTCTTTCATGGTACTTCGAAGGATAATGTTGAAAAAATTAATTCAGGTGGACTGAACAGAAGCTTTGCTGGAATACATGGTATTGTACTTGGGACGTTTAATTTCTATTTTTATCTTTTTTCATTGAATTAACTGCAATGTTTTTTATGTTTTCCTTGGTTATTTTTTAAATCTATAGCCACCGCTTTTGGTAAAGGTGTTTATTTTGCACGAGATGCCAGCTATTCCCTTAGGGAAACATATTCTCCAAAAGATGCAAATGGATTACGTTATGTGTACTACGCTAGAGTTTTGGTTGGTGACTACGCTAACGGTAATTCAACCATGTTGGTTCCACCATCAAAAAACACCGCAGATCCAAACGAAACCTATGATTCTGTCGTCAACGACACCAAAAATCCTTCAATATTTGTAATGTTTAAAGATTACCAGTATTATACTGAATATCTTATTACTTTTAAGTAACTTAAGTCCATCATTTTAAGATGCTCAAAATTTTTCTTCTTTTGATCAATGAACAATTGCCTGTGAAGTAGGGATCATAATAAAATGTCCAATATAATCAATCAGTTATTTTTTAGTAGAAATGAAAAATTCATTGCACCAAAAGCTGTTTAGTAACAGTAATTATTGAATTATTGTATTTACGTTTAATCAATGCACTTATCATAAAGGTTGACTAAGCTGGGATTTAGTCCCACCAATAAGTTTCCTGCACATGATTTATTGATTCTGATGTATTTTAGTTCCACTGACTTTGCTCAACGTTTTTGCCTATATTCAAACATTCACTTAGAGAAGTATTTGTATTGTGTTTTATATTTTCTGCACTTCTTACTTCGACAATGTGTATTACAATTAAAAAAATGCTCAAGTGTTGAGATTTTTACAGTGTTGTTTTTTCGAGTGATTTTCTCTGTTAATGCAAAAAGCTTTTTTCATCTGTTTAAACGTGCATAAGATAGGCATTTCTTGATACGCGTTCTGATTAGAAGTTTTGAAGGACCTTTTCAATTCCGAAATTTCAAACTTTTCAGAGGAATGCTTACCAAACTTAAAAACGCTCCGCGTATTCTAGCAGACGTTTGGATATTCTTAGTGGTGCCTTATTTTTTGTGATAAGTTGCAGTCAGAGGATTAGCACTATAACGTAGATTTTGATTCGGGCTTTATGTGGAAATTGGAATGTTTCGGAGGCCGAGGAAGATTTTTGAGACTTGAACGATCGCCGCAGTCCTTATCTTGTTGTGTTTGAACTTTGGTGTTGCTTGCTTGTAATAGCTTAAAGTTGCCTTAGGAAATCAATGAATGACATAATGATAGTAAGTTGTCACCGCGTCACCATCATTTCCACTACACAACGTGCACGCCGTGCGGACCTGCTTTTTAATATCTGTAAGTCGCACTTTTTCATGAGACAGCCAAGCGGACGTATTAGTAAATTGGCGGAAAATGGCCGAAAACGTGCATCATAAACGAAGATTTGTATAAATGAAAGTTCTGTTTGAAGAGAATGAAGTCTGGTTAGTGTCGGGTCGTGATTTAATTTCTTAAACTTAGAGGGGTTAGAGAACAGGGATTCAACAGAAGATATATAATCAGAGCGGTTTAGTATAATGCCATTTCCCTTATCAGGCTTGAGAATGGCAAATGTTTCGGTTAATTTGTGCAGAATATTTCTCTTCATGCGCCTTAACTTAAATTCTTTTAGGTCTAAATAAATATAATTGTATGTAAAAGAGCGAAGTGAGTTTTTAACCTTATCTTCAACATATCGTCCTTCCTTAAAAGAATCCAGTCTTGAAATTTGTCTCCAGACGTCTTCAGCAATAGCCATGATTACTAGTTGGTTCGGTCGAGTGGGAAGACCATATCTGAGTCCTAGTTTCAGCACATCTAGTTCATCAGAAGAGAGTGAGTAATTTGTCAGGTTCACTATGGTTTCATTAGGGTTTGCGGTGATGCCATCAGTTGTTCGTTTAAGAGAGATTAAGACAGACAGCTTTTTTTTGATGTTTGGAAGCGATTTTGGTTTTCTCAGATGAGAGCAAACGGTTGATGGAAAAGCATATGAGTTTGTATTTCATCCACGTGGTGCGTTGAGATAGTTGATGTTTAAGATCAGTGGTTTCTGTGGTAAGTTTAGAAAGTGATGTCTTTTTGTCATGAATGGCGTCGTTCAACAGCAAATGTAAATATCGTGCTTGAGTTTTCTTTTTCTTTATGCGTGTGATGTTCTTCCATCTTACAAATTTCGGGTAAACTTGATTATTCTTACTCTATTCTGTCTGAGGATGACTTTGAAATAAAGTCGAAAATTTAAAGTTCTGTTTGGTGCGCGCTTCTTGCCTGCTAATATTATTTGAATCCTCAGATATTCAATGATATAAGCAGATGATGTCTTACAGAGTGTATTTTGGCAGATTACCGGAGGCCCTGACACAAGATGAATTTGAAAAGCTCATAGCTGAGTTTGGTAAGGCGAGAAACATTGAATGGAAGTCTGGCTTTGCCTATGTTGATTACAAGCACGGTTCTGATGCATCAGAAACTGTTCAAAATCTCAATGGGAAGAAAAATCAATGGATATCCTTGTTGAACTGGCACAAAACGGTGTACAAGGGTATGCAGTTGCTGGGGCCACGTAATTACACAATACAAAAAGAAGCTCTTGGTATGAAGAAATAAAAAGTCACATGCACTAGAAGGTGTCAAATCAGAAATTATTCATACCAACCACCATAGCTTTATAAATATTGGAAAGTAATTCTGTTGACTTTCACACATTTTAGCAGATTTGGATGTATTCACTTAACCTCATTTGAATAGAGAACTAAGATAGACAGAACTTCTAAAGGAAGGCAAGAGTAGCTACTAGTTTCAATTTTAAATTCAATGGTCAAAATTTTACAAAGAAATGTAATTTTATTCCATTTATTTTACGAAAATGTAATTTTATTCCATTCTGTAAAAATGTAATTTTATTTCATTCTGTAAAAATGTAATTTTATTCCAAACTTATTAATCCTTATTAGACAAGTAAACTCGCCTTTGTATGTAAGTTTGTCTTTGATGCAATGGCACTTGTTGAATCTACTTTCAATTGTAACGATAAGATCATGCTAGTTGAATGGCACGATCGTTGGCATGGCCAGCCCAAAAATTTGGTTATATTGTGCAAATATTTTGTTCTGTCATTGCAAGTAGAAACAATTAATAGATTTCTAAAGAAATCGATAGTGCTAACTTTTCTGAGATTTACGTACATTGAACTGACTTGCAGGCTGGCTACGACAGGGGATAAGATGAGCAATAACATATGATGTATAAAGGCACACCTGTATAATGGTAAAGTGTTGATTGCAGTTGATATTTTTTTAAATTTCTGGATTAAACAACATAAAACAATTTGACATACTGTACATCCAAAACTGAAGTCTGAACATATGAAACTGTTTTGCTTACTTTAATGAAAATTCTACATTATCACTTGCACCTTCTAAACTTGAGTTATAATTTTTCAACTCAATCTATAAATTGCAATGATCAAAGTTAACTTATTCACTTCTGATGTGGTTATCAATCTTAGTAATGTCTAACAGTGAGTCTTTAAGAACAAATTTTGTATGTCATCATTTAGAGTTCTATTTGTGCCAATGAGCCCGAATGGGCCTTGTATATAAGTATATTCCTTACATAACATGCTACACGTTCCTGGATTCTGTAGAGGCCAATTATTCATTGATTAAAGGATTGTACAACAAAAAATGAACTGTTTCTGAGAATTTATCTGTAATTTTACAATAACTTACAATTGGACATTTAATATCCAACAACATATTGTACAATTGTCAGTATAAATTACAATTGGAAGCAAATTTTAATGAATGGCATAGTATATAAACACATATATTTAAGTTCCATAAGTTCCGTGATATTTATTTTCATAATACCTTTAACAACTTTTGACTCCGTTTGTCAATGTAATTAAGCCATTTCATTTGTTTTCATATAATATATTATGCTTTTGACTTTAACCAACATTTGCTATTTATTCAATTAATTTTTTATTTTTATGTTATACCTTGAGCCCGCAATCTACCAACAAAACACGTGACAAAACAGAGAATCCACGCGATTGTTTATACATAACGTGGAATTGTAGTGAAAGTGAAATTCGATTTGGCGATTTCACAATTTTAGGTCTCTGACGAAGGTGATTATGGCCTAGCGTTTATGAACTGGCCAACTGTAGGCAATGGATGACAGTAGAACAATTGTCGTTTTAAATCCTCCATCAGGAGTAGGTGAAAATGAATTCACCACTCAATTTCAGGAGAAAAGTAATGGTGGAGGTGACGTTGATCAGGTTAAACTGGAGAAAGGTGTTGCTTTTGTAATCTTTCACTCTTCGGAAGGTTTGTGTTGACAAATAAATTTATCGAAAGTAAAACTTTATATCAATTATTTAGTGCAGTATGTTTTCTGCCTTTCATAATTGAGCTCAATCATCTGACATTTCATAGTGCACTAACGCAATTCTATTTTGTGAACTTTCGTTTTCACTTATTCACTCTGAACGTTTTTAAGAGCGATTGAACGGTTCCCAGCTTGTGTTTCATTTATGTTAGTTCAAAGTTTGACATGCTGTATCTCTATACAATTTGTAATTCTTGTATCAATAACTCTAGAGTAAAGAAGACTGAAAATAAATGGTACAAAGCCTGACAATCCACTAGCTTCCTTCATATCACAACTGTATTTTTTTCATAGATTCTGTAAAAGTCTTAAATCATCCTCAAAAACAAATAATTAAGGGTTGTGAACTTGATGTTCGGTCATACAGTTCATGGTTGAAAACTACTCAGGTATTTATATTTTATGGTTAAATTTTTTTACCAAACTATATGGTCTGTGAGCACGAGTTATGCAAACTGTGCTATACATCGTAAGTATGATTGCTTTCATTTAGGAAAATGAAAACAGTGCCTCTGGCAACAGTGACGACGTTGATTCAGTTCCTACAAAGGATGACGAGGATAAAGCCACGATCTATGTCAGCGGTCTTAAAGAGTCAACGAATGATGAAACGATCGCACTATTATTTGAAAATAAACGAAGAACTGGTGGAGGCGAACTTCGTGATGGGAAAGAAGGATTTGAGCGATTGTCACCAACCGTAGCTCGTTTGACTTACGTTTCCTCAAAAGGTAGTAGATATAAACTCAAAGGATAAAAAATTATATCAATATGTGCTTGTTTGTGGTATTTTATATGTTGCTTGAACGAATCTCCTTAGACGCTGAAAACGTGTTGAAAAAGGCCAAAGAAACACCTCTTGTACACGAAGGGAGTCCGCTTCAAGTGACCGCTGACTACGTACCCACCGAGGACCGAAGTATATTGATGTTGACAAATCTCAGTCCTGATATCAACGTGGAGACATTGAAGAACTTTGTTGAATCAAAGAAGAATACAGTTGTCTTGAAGATTTTTCTTGGAAAACACGAAAAAGCTGTTGTTATTCTTGAAGAGGAAATGAAAGGTATTTGTGGGTCGATGATCAAAGATTACAGTACACTTCAATGATTTTAATAGTTTGCACTTTATTTTTGGCTTGATTGAATACTTGTACCACGTCATGGAATATTGAGTAAATTGTGAATGATTTCTAGATGAAGATGATTATAAAGAAAAAAACAGCTCCAAAAATTTGACATTAGGAGGGCGTTCAGTGTCTTTGAAATTTGCTCCACTGACCAAGGGGATAAGAGTGAAGAAAATACCAAAAACCACAACTAAAGATGATGTCAAATACAAATTTTTAAATCATAGAATTGGTGGAGGTGAAGTGATCAATATGGATTATGATCAAAATAACGGAACTGCCGAACTTTTTTTTGAAAGTTCATCTGGTATGTCAACTTTCTTTTTGTAACCGTCTTTACTTTAAAAGGATTTAATTTTTGATTAATTATTGAATTAGCTTTGTAGTATAGCAACTTTAAATGTGAACCTCATGCGTCATGATCTATAGATACTTAAAAAAACCCTGTGATTTGGTATTGCTCAACTTTCGTTTCATATGAAAATTGACATAATGGGCTGAACTTGAATTGAAATTTCATTTTAGTTGTTTCCAACTTGGTGAAGAAAGATCATGTCATTAAGGAGACATCTTTAACTGTGCTGCCTTTATATGATGACTTTGAAGAATTGGATGAAGATGAAAGTAAAATAAAAGAATTTCATGGCGACGTCTATGCTGACGGTGACGTCATCAAACATGTATTGTTTCATGACGATATGTCTCAGTTTGATTTAAAGTCAATGAAATACGATGAAACCAAGTCGACTGTTCATTTTACAAAGGATGTTGAAGATCCCAAAGATGGAGAACATCTTGCTTCAAGGTTGCAAATATTTGTCGATTCATTTGCTAAGGAAACTTTAACGATTCCTACATTTGTATTTGATCAAGTAAAGCAGGATGTTCTTGAAAATGGAGATGAATCTGAGATCGAGGTTAAATTTGAAAAGTCCGGCATTGTTCTTATCGGACGCAAAATCGATGTCAGCACAAAAAAGAAAGATATTCAAAAACTGGTTGATGAACTCACAGCTGCCTCCAAGAAGGATTCCCTTGATATTGAGATAAAAGATAAAGAGAAGTTTAATTTTTTCATTGCCATTGGATATTTCAAAGAACTGTTGGTCGAGTTTCCAGATGTGGAAATTCCTGGTATTGGAGGGAGTACCTGTAAATTGACTGTCCTTGGGTCAGCTGAAAGTGTGAAAAACATGAAGATGAGAGTTCTTGAGGATCTTGATAAAATACACGTTATTAAGATCAAATTGAGTGATCATCAACTCTATTTCTTAAAACGAACCGACTGCCAAGTAGCCAATGAAGCATTAAAAAAAGACAAGGTAATGTTAATTGTTAAAGAGATTGACGACCGTGTTGGCGCTAAACGTTTACAGCCTCAGTTGATGTTCTTGAACGAGCCTGGTAATAATGAGGTAAAGTTAAATAAATACGAAATTGTCTTTTATAAAAATTATACCGCAGTTAACTTATCAGTGAATATCGCGTAACACTTTCGTTTTCACTATCACTAATTAACATATCTAAATATGGTGTAAACATGCTTCTTCAGGCAGCTCACTTTATAAGAAATTTTTTTACTAACTTAAGCTTGATTAGGTGCGTCATTCATGGATGTTGTTATCATACATATAGTTGTATATAGTGCGTGAATATTTTTAATGTCGGTGTCTTGACAAATTAGGAAGAACGAGTTGTTGAAATCATAAAATCGAAAACGTCAGAAAAGTTAGTAAAGATTGATGAAGAAACTGGAAAATTTTTGGCAGAGTCCGACCATTTATCGACGTTTATAAAAGAGCAATTGAATAACAAGAAGGTTTTGATATGCACTGAACAAGCAAATCCAGATAACATCTCGATTATTTGTGAGGAATCTAAGATGAAGGATGCCGAACAAGATTTGAGAAATTTAATTGCCGAAAATGAAATTGACAACGTCGTCTTTAAACCAGTGATATCCGCAAAAGTTCGTTTCCTACAAGAACATCGTTGGGACAAAATCATGAACAAAATGCAAATATTGAAAAACGAAGGAGTTGGTGTTGAAAAAACTGCCGATGCAAGTTCACTTAGAGTGAAGGGAACTCCAAAAGGAAAAAAGAAAATGATAGAATATCTTGATAAGAAGGCAGGGGGAATTAATTCAAAGGTTCGTATTTCTGGTTTTTTTCTTTCGAGCAACTCTTGATTTTCTTTATTTCGGACAGTTTTGGTTTGTTAATTGATCTTGTCAAAAGATAATTACAAGCTTTTGTATTTGTGACCTCAATGGATCGCAGTGACGTAGAATACGTGATCTTTTCGGTCGCTTTTATGTGGTCGAACATATAGATTTTGAAATAATTTTTCCGAAAAAGGCTGTAGATGTAATGTTTGGGTTTCTTCATTTCTGTGAGTATTTAGTTACCTTTAGACCACATGTCCTTGCATTGTAATTCATAAAATTCTGTTAAATGGATTATAGTTAGGTATTAACTAAATCGTGATCCACATGATCTAGTGTGGTTATGTACGTGGCCAATCACTTATCACTTAAAGGTCTTGATCTATTAAAATTTGTGGGAATTATTAAAATAATGTCTTTCCTTCACATTTTAGACCTTCCCACTTTCCGAACCGGGAATGAAGAAACAAATGAGTTTGGATGCAACAAATGCCATCATTAGTGGAATTGAAAAAAATCATAACTGTGTGATTGAGAAAATTATGGCTCACGATCTTGACGAAGCCAAAGATGATTTCGCTGTTGCTGAGGATGATCATAAGCCGGATGGGAAATCAGCAATGAATCTTCCATTCGATTCTATGTCTTACGTTAATGATAAAGTTGTAATAATGACTTCCGGTCAAAGAATCACCATAGCTGTTGGTGACATTGCAAAAGAAAAGGTAAGCTGGCCAGAATGTTGTCAATTTACAGTCTTGTTGGAAGCGGGTAAGAGAAATGAGCAGACTGCAGACCCTGGGATTTTTACTCTCCCTCACTTAATGGTGCTTGCTGCTGATGGACTTGTATTATCCTCTGTAAAATATGTAGTGCATAAATTATACATGTTGTCTCCAGGTTGATGTTATTGTCAATAGTACAAATGAAAAAATGGCTTTAAATATGAATCCTGTTGGAAAGGCTTTACTTAAAGTTGCCGGGGACGACATTTTGGAGGAATGCAAGAAAATTGGTGAAATTCAAGTTGGAGGTGTTGTGGTAACTGGAGGTGGAAAACTCAACTGTAAAAGTGTTTATCATGTTCGTTTATCTGAATGGCAACAGGGCAATGGAGCCAAGGTAAACAGAGGAAATTAGATGATCTTAGTTGACATGCTTTGGAGAAAACAGCAAGCATCATGTTTTAAAATGAGTACTACGAGTAAAATTGAATGATTTGTATTTCATTCTTCTATAATGCATTTTCTGACAACACATTTGTTTATTTGGGCTTTCGATCTGCAGCGGTTACAACATTGTAAGTCTTAATTGTAACTTTGTATAGTGACGTAGCAAACTCGACTGTCGTGGGTCTGATATATATTGTGCTGTATTATGTTCTTTTCAAGTCAATTGTTTTTTACGGGTTATATAGGAAAATGGTGCCCCTCTCCTTTATCGAGCTTGCCACCCTACTGTTGTAACTTTGTTTGTTACCCTATTCATTTATTCCCTTTCACTCGTAGACTGCAGGTTGGCAGGCTACATTCATGCGTCTTCAATCATATAATTTTTTACATACGCAGGTTCTCAGGTCTATAGTAAAGAATTGTGTCACGAAAAGCGAAAGCCAAAACTTCCATTCGATTGCATTTCCCGCCATTGGAACTGGAAACTTGAAATTCCCACGGTCGGAGGTTGTTAAAATCTTTTTTGAAGAAGTCACTTCTTATTTTACTGTGAATCCTCAATCGAAAGTTAATAATGTTCGATTCGTGGCGTACGGTGGAGATAAAGAAACCGTTGATGCATTCTTAGGTTTGTTAAATATTGACGTAGTTATTTAAAGCGAACTTAAGTCTAACATTAATGGTGTTTCATTCGATGCAATAATAAGTAAGACCACCAGGCATAGCCTTGGCAACACACTTAAAATATTTTTTGTTGTATTCAGGTGCTGTGGAAGAGATGAAGCCTATTTTATCAGCAACTAAAACAAATATTCCATCACACGATCTGGGTTTTCCTGGCCAATCACAATCTGAATTTGTACAATCCTTTACACCAAGTAGCGCAACAACAAGTGAAAACCCAGACGGTAGCCTAGAGGTAAAGTTTCCAAAACAAACACCTCGAGTTGAAATCGTCTGCGCTGACATCAGCCAAGAAACCACTCAATTGATAATGCACGTGACTAATGAAAACTTCTCGTTGCAAGGGGGGGTCGCCAAGGCTTTGGTCAAAGCTGGTGGTGATAAAATCGAAGAGGAATGCAAAGCCCTTGGAACAGCCTCTGTTTTCAACACAGTATACTGGTGCTGGAAAGTTGTTAGTTAATCAAATTGCTCATGTTATAGGCCCCGGGAAACCCAGCTATCAAGATCTGAAGAAATGTCTCGACAATTTTTCGATGATTTGTCAGGAAAAGGCATTACAGATGTATCCTTTTCTGCCATCGGTGCCGGTGCAATGGGTTTCTCGGAAAGGGAATCTGTGACTTTGATATTCGATAATATAAGCCGAATGGCCCTTAGCAAAAATCCAACTCTGAATTTGGTTCGCATCGTGATATTTGAGAAGGGAAAGTTTGATCAATTTAAAGATGCAACGAAAACATATTTTTCATCTGAACCAGACGCAAGACGCAATCCAAAAAAAAGTTCTAAAAGTTTTAATGTTTTTCGTTCGAAGAAATTTGGTAAATCAAAGATTAAGGTAAAGGATCCTGAAGCGAGTAGTTTGTCAGTCAAGATATTTTCCGATGACATGAAGTATGTAGAAAGTGCTTGGTCAGACTTTTTAAAGAGCATGGAAGAGAAGCTCACGGAGCATACCATTCGTAATGAAACTATCAAAAAATTTGGCGAGAGTGAAAAGAAAAAAATTCGTGAAGTAGAGCGTAACTTTGATGTCACAATTAAGGTAGACTTCACCAAAGGAGAGGCCTGTATTAATGGTCATGTTTCAGATATCCCTGAAATTACCGACGCATTGGGCAATATGTTTAAAGAAATTGAAGAAAAAGAAAACAGCAAAGGTAGGATCATTTTAAGTGCGGAAACTGTGCGTTAGAAGAGTAAATTTCAATTCTTGCTCAAGTGCAATGGGGGAATTTCGACGCATTAAAATTTAGTGGTATATTTTTTTGAGAAATATGAACGAGTGGGTTGAATGAGTTGAACGCTTTGATCTTGCACTTTTTTTCAAGCTATTTCGAATGAATTAATCTTTTTTCTTCACACTACATCTTCAATATTGAACTTTTAAATGTTTCGTTTGGTTTTGTAGTTCCTCACTATTGGGAAACACCTCCAGACGATAATGTATATCATGCCTTCGAACTTCAACCTAAGAGTGATGAATATATGAATGTGAAAAACGCATTTGACAAGACCGCAAGTAACGAAATAGTGAAGATTGAAAGAATACAAAACCAGCGTATATATGAGCTGTATAACGTAAAACGTAAGGCTATGAAAGAAAAATATGGTGACGCAGACTTTGCAGATAAAGAGAAACAACTCTTTCATGGTACTTCGAAGGATAACGTTGAAAAAATTAATGCAGGTGGACTGAACAGAAGCTTTGCTGGAATACATGGTATTGTTCTTGGGATGTTTAATTTCTATTTTTTATCTTTTTTTCATTGAATTAACTCCAATGTTTTTTATGTTTTCGTTGGTTATTTTTTAAATCTATAGCCACAGCTTTTGGTAAAGGTGTTTATTTTGCACGAGATGCCAGCTATTCCCTTAACGAAAAATTTTCTCCAAAAGATGCAAATGGGTTACGTTATGTGTACTACGCTAGAGTTTTGGTTGGTGACTACGCTAAGGGTGATTCAACCATGTTGGTTCCACCATCAAAAAACACCGCAGATCCAAACGAAACCTATGATTCTGTCGTCAACGACACCAAAGATCCTTCAATATTTGTAATGTTTAAAGATTACCAGTATTATACTGAATATCTTATTACTTTTAAGTAACTTAAGTCAATTATATTAAGATGCACGAAATTTTTCTTCTTTCGATCATGTATTTATTCAAAATGTCTCAATGAGCAATTGCATGTAAAGTAGGGATCATAATAAAATGTCCAACATAATCAATAAGTTATTTTTTAGTAGAAATGAAAAATTCATTGCACCAAAAGCTGTTTAGTAACAGTAATTATTGAATTATCGTATTTACGTTTAATCAATGCACTTATCATAAAGGTTGACTAAACTGGGATTTAGTCCCACCAATAAATTTCCTGCACATGATATATTGATTCTAATGTATTTTAGTGCCACTGACTTTTTTCAACGTTTTTTGCCTATATTCAAACATTCACTTAGAGAAGTATTTGTATTGTGTTTTATATTTTCTGCGCTTCTTACTTCGACTATGTATATTCCAATTATAAAATTGCTCAAGTGTTGAGATTTTTACAGTGTTGTTTTTTCGTGTGATTTTCTCTGTTGATGCAAAAAGCTTTTTTCATTTGTTTAAACGTGCAAACGATAGGCATTTCTTGATACGCGTTCTGATTAGAAGTTTTCAAGGACTTTACTAATTCCGAAATTTCAAACTTTTCAGAGGGATGCTTACCAAACTTAAAAACGCTCCGCGTATTCTAACAGACTTTTGGATATTCTTCAAAAATAAACTTAGTGGTGTCTTATTTTTTGTGATAAGTTGCAGTCAGAGGATTAGCACTATAACGTAGATTTTGATTCGGGCTTTATGTAGAAATTGGAATCTTTCGTAGGCCGAGGAAGATTTTTGACACTTGAACGATAGCGGCAGTCCTCATCTTATTGTGTTTGAACTTTGGTGTTGCTTGCTTGTAAATTGTAATGGCCTAAAGTTGCCATAGGAAATCAATGAATGACATAATGATAGTAAGTTGTCACCGCGTCACCATCATTTCCACAACACAACATGCACGCCGTGCGGACCTGCTTTTTAAATCTGTAAGTCGCACGTTTTCGGTTAGCACTATTTTCCACCCAGCAAACCGCCCTTTACTTTACACAATCGTTAATAAATTAAAGATGGCGGCTAATGGGAAAGAAGCAAAAGCTAAAAGGAAACCATGCATGCACCGGTGCTAGGTCGTTTTGAGATGGCGAGTAATTTTATATTTTTATAATACAGTTTTTAATATCAACATATGAAAATATTTACAGATAAATGTTGCAGTATAAATTTTCATGCAACCACCTTAAGTTATAAACTTATAATCCAGACTGGAAAATATGTCGTTTTTCGACGATTGTGTAAAATATTATATAAAATATTATATTGTGTAAAATATTAGATTGTGTAAAATATTATATTGTGTAAAATATTATATTTCAAATAAAGGGCGGTTTGCTGGGTGGAAAATAGTGCTAACCCACGTTTTCACGAGACAGCCAGCGGTTAATTGGTAAAATGCACGCGCAATGAGCAATTAGTAAATTGGCGGAAAATGGCCGAAAACGTGAATCATAAACGAAGATTTGTATAAATGGAAGTTCTGCTTGGTGCGCGCTTTTTGCCTGCTAATATTATTTGAATCCTCACATATTCAATGATATAAGAGGATGATGTCTTGCAGAGTGTATTTTGGCAGATTACCGGAGGCCCTGACACAAGATGAATTTGAAAAGCTCATAGCTGAGTATGGTAAGGCGAGAAACATTGAATGGAAGTCTGGCTTTGCCTATGTTGATGACAAGCACGGTTCTGATGCATCAAAAACTGTTCAAAATCTCAATGGGAAAAAGGTTGGCGGGAACAATATTCTTGTTGAGCTGGCACAAAACGGTGCTGGAGGGTATGCAGTTGCTGGGGCAATGTAATTACACAATACACAAGAAGCTCTTAATATGAAGAAATAAAAAGTCACATGCACTAGAAGGTGTCAAATCAGAAATTATTTATACCAACCACCATAGCTTTATAAATATTGTAAAGTTATTCCTTTGACTTTCACACATTTTAGCAGACTTGGATGCATTTAACCTCATTTGAATAGAGAAGTAAGATGACTGAACTTCTAAAGGAAGGCAAGAGTAGCTACTAGTTTCAATTTTAAATTCAACTGTCAAAATTTTACATAGAAATGTAATTTTATTCCATTTTGTAAAAATGTAATTTTATTTCATTTTGTAAAAATGTAATTTTATTAGACAAGTAAACTTTCCTCTGTATGTAAGTTTGTCTTTGATGCAATAGCACTTGTTGAATCTACTTTCAATTATAACGATGAGATCATGCTATTAGAATGGCACAGCCACTAATTTGGTTATACTGTGAAAATATTTTGTTCTGTCATTGCAAGCACAAACAATTAATAGATTTCTAAAGAAATCGATAATGCAAACTTATCTGAGATTTACGTATGTAGAATGGCCTGACTTGCAGGCTGGTTAAGATAGGGGATAAGATGAGCAATAACATATGATATATAATGGTACACCTGTATAATGGTAAAGTGTTGATTGCAGTTGATATTTATTTAAATTTCTGTATTAAACATCAACATAAAACAATTTGACATACTGTACATCCAAAATTGAAGTCTGAACATATGAAACTGTTTTGCACTTCCTTAATGAAAATTCTACATCATAACTTGCACCTTCTAAACTTGAGTTATAGTTTTTCAACTCAATCTATAAATTGTAATGATCAAAGTTAACTTATTCACTTCTGATGTGGTTATCATTCTTAGTAATGTCTAATAGTGAGTCTTCAATAATAAAATTTTGTATGTCATCATTTGGAGTTCTATTTGTGTCAAAGAGCCCAAATGGGCCTTGTATATAAGTATATTCCTTACATAACATGCTACACTGTCCTGGATTCTATAGAAGCCCATTATTCATTGATTAAAGGATCATTCAACAAAAGATGAACTGTTTCTGAGAATTTATCTGTAATTTTACAATAACTTACAATTGGACATTTAATATCCAACAACATATTGTAAAATTTAAATGAAGATATGATCTTGTTGATTGTGGACAATCAGCCTCAGGACCAAAAATCAGGTGCCTCAAAGGGATTCGAACCCATGACCTCTGCGGTGGTCTTTTTTTTTTCAGGTCCTGAGACGATTGCTTAAATTGTCCAGCAAAGTGCGAAGATCATATCTTCATTTAATTTCAAACACCGCACTGCATAAAAAAACATATTGTAAAATTGTTAGTATAAATTACAATTGGAAGCAAATTTTAATGAATGACATAATATATAAACACATATATTTAACTTCCATAAGTTCCGTGATATTTATTTTCATAATACCTTTAACAACCTTTGACTCCGTTTCTCAATGTAATTAAGCCATTTCATTTGTTTTCGTATAATATATTATGCTATTGAGTTTAACCAACATTTGCTATTTACTTTTATTCAATTATTTTATTATTTTTATGTTATACCTTGAGCCCGCAATCTACTAACAAAATACGTGATTTGGCGATTTCACAATCTTAGGTCTCTGACAGAGGTGATTATGGCCTAGCGTTTATGAATTGGCCAACTGTACGCAATGGATTTCAGTAGAACAATTGTCGTTTTAAATCCTCCATCAGGAGTAGGTGAAAATGAATTCACGATTCACTTTCAGAAGAAAGAGAATGGTGGAGGTGACGTTGATGAGGTTAAACTGGAGAAAGGTGTTGCTTTTGTAATCTTCGACTCTTCGAAAGGTTTGTGTTGACAAATAAATTTATGGGAAGTAAAACTTTATATCAATTATTTAGTGCAGTATCTTTTCGGCCTTTTATAATTGAGCTCAATCATCTGACATTTGATACTACACTAATGCAATTGTATTTTGTGAACTTCCGTTTTCACTCATTCACTCTGAACGTTTAAAGAGCTATTGAACGGTCCCCCAGCTTGTGTTTCTTTTATCTTAATTCAAAGTTTGACATGCTGTATGTCTATACAATTAGTAATTCTTGTATCAATTACTACAGAGTAAAGATGACTGAAAATAAATGGTACAAAGCCTGACAATCAACTAGCGTCCTTCATATCAATACTGTATTTTTTTCATAGATTCCGTGAAAGTCTTAAATCATCCTCAAAAACAAAGAATTAAGGGTTGTGAACTTGATGTTCGGTCATACAGTTCATGGTTGAAAACTACTCAGGTATTTATATTTTCTGGTTAAATTTTTTTACTAAACTATATGGTCTGTGAGCACGAGTTATGCAAACTGTTCTAAGTATGGTTGCTTTCGTTTAGGAAAGTGAAAACAGTGCCTCTGGCAACAATGACGACGTTGATTCAGTTCCTACAAAAGATGACGAGGATAAAGCCACGATCTATGTCAGCGGTCTTAAAGAGTCAACGATTGATGAAACGATCATACTATTTTTTGAAAATAAACGAAGAACTGGTGGAGGTGAACTTCGTGATGGGAAAGAAGGATTTGAGCGATTGTCACCAACCGTCGCTCGTTTAACTTACGCTTCCTCAAAAGGTAATGTGGAAACTCAAATGATGAAAAGGAATTGAAAAAAATAATTTTTAAGAAACGTATTTCGTTTGAACGAATCTCCTTAGACGCTGAAAACGTGTTGAAAAAGGCCAAAGAAACACCTTTTGTACACGAAGGGAGACCGCTTCAAGTAACCGCTGACTACGTACCCACCGAGGACCGAAGTATATTGATGGTGACAAATCTCAGTCCTGATATCAACGTGGAAACATTGAAGAACTTTGTTGAATCAATGAAGAATACAGTTGTCTTGAAGATTTTTCTTGGAAAACACGGAAAAGCTGTTGTTGTCCTTGAAGAGGAAATGAAAGGTATTTGTGGTCGATTGTTACGTGCGTGGTCCCGAAAGAATAACTATTAATTTTGGTTCTATTTCCACACGCAACAAAGATAGTGTGAACCAGTTATATTTCTCAAACAATTTATTAATCAACGCGTAAATATAAAAAGTAGATAAGTGTCTTAATAATAATATCAATAAGTATGAGCAAAACTTATCTCCTCTGTCTGAGTACAACCGCGAGTCTTTATTCTTGAGCGTTCGTGAGTCCAACAATGACTCACAATAGTTTTCCAATAGATTAAAGCACAGAAGCCAAAAGATAGTTATGGCACAGAAGCCAAGATAGTTGTCTGGTAGATTGTAGCTCGTTAAACTACTTCGGTAGGCTATGCCTCCTAAGTTTCTCCTCGTAGCTTGTGCTCGTAGGTTGTACCCAGTGGTCTAAACTACTGATATATATATAATATCTAATGGGAAGTATTGTGGTTTTGTGACCTACATCCCATACGCAATACAGTATGTTACAGCAAGATGCAGTTAACCACAATAACAACAAATGCGGTTGCGGTTCTAAAGTGTTTACGCATGTAAGCAAGCTTCTAGCGCATGCAAGGAAGCTTCTAGATAACGTTCTAATTAATTATATATGAAATTATAATTTGATATAAAAATGATATTACATGATAGTAGTTGCTATCATGTAACATCGATGATCAAAGATTACAGTACACATCAATGATTTTAATAGTTTGCACTTTATTTTTGCCTTGATTGAATACTTGTACCACGTCATGGATTATTGAATTAATTTTGTATGTTTTCTAGATGAAGATGATGATAAAGAAAAAAACATCTCCAAAAGTTTGACATTAGGAGGGCGTTCAGTGTCTTTGAAATTTGCTCCACTGACCAAGGGGATAAGAGTGAAGAAAATACCAAAAACCACAACTAAAGATGATGTCAAATACAAATTTTTAAATCATAGATTTGGTGGAGGTGAAGTCACTAATATGGATTATGATCAAAATAACGGAATTGCCAAACTTTTTTTTGAAAGTTCGTCTGGTATGTCAACTTTCTTTTTGTAACCGTCTTTACTTTAAAAGGATTTAATTTTTGATTAATTATTGAATTAACTTTGTAGTATACCAACTTTAGATGTGAACCTCATGCGTCATGATCTATAAATACTTAAAAAGACCCTGTGATTTGGTTTTGCTCAACTTGCGTTTCATATGAAAATTGACATAATGGGGCTGAACTCTAATTGAAATTTCATTTTAGTTGTTTCCAACTTGGTGAAGAAAGATTATGTCATTAAGGAGACATTATTAACTGTGCTGCCTTTATATGATGACTTTGAAGAATTAGATGAACCTGAAAACAAAATAACAGAATTTCATGGCGACATCCTTTGTGAAAGCGACGTCGTTGACTATATGATTCGTCATCACAGTATGTCTCAGTTTGATTTAAAGTCAGTGACATACGATGAAACCATGTCGACTTTTCATTTTACAAAGGATGTTGAAGATCCTAAGGAAGGGGAAGATCTAAGTAATAGGTTAAAAGTATACGTTAATTCTTTTGGAAAGGAAACGTTGGTTATTCACACAACTGTTTTCGATCAAGTGAAGCTGAAGGTTATTGAAAACAAAGTTGACTCAGAAATCGAGGTAAGATTTGAGAAGCCAAACGTTGTTCTTTTTGGACGCAAGAAAGAAATCACGATGAAAAAGAAAGACATCGAAAAATTGGTCGATGAGCTCACATCTGCCGCCAAGATGGAATCCGTTTCGGAGGTTCTTGAAAACAAAGTTGACTCAGTAGACGGTATAAATATATATAAAATCTGCAGCGGTTGCAACATTGTAAGTCTAATTGTAACTTTGTATAGTGACGTAGCAAACTTGACTGTTGTGGGTTTAATATATATACATAGGCATGCTCTGCTGTATTATGTTCTTTTCAAGTCAATTGTTTTCCACTGGTTATATAGGAAAATGGTGCCCCTCTCCTTTATCGAGCTTGCCACGCTACTGTAGTAACTTTGTTTGGTACCCTATTCATTTATTCTTTTCACTTTTAGCTCAAATGCAGGTTTCTTGAATCCTATAAGTTTGCCCATACGCAGGTTCTCAGGTTTCTAAGAAAGAATTGTATCGCGAAAAGCGAAAGCCAAAACTTCCATTCGATTGCATTTCCCGCCATTGGAACGGGAAATTTGAAATTCACACGGTCGGAGGTTGTTAAAGTCTTTTTTGAAGCAGTCACTTCTTATTTTACTGTGAATCCTCAATCGAAAGTTAATAATGTTCGATTCGTGGCGTACGGTGGAGATATAAAAACCGTTGATGCATTCTTTGGTTAGTTAAATAATGATGTAGTTTTTTAAAGCGAACCTTAAGTCAAACATTGATGGTGTTTCATTAGATGCAATAATAAGTAAGACCACCAGGCATTGCCTTGGCAACACACTTACAGTATTTTTTGTTGTATTCAGGTGCTGTGGAAGAGATGAAGCCTATTTTATCAGCAACTAAAACAAATATTTCATCACACGATCTGGGTTTTCCTGGCCAATCACAATCTACATTTCTAGAATCCTTTACACCACGTAGCGCAACAACAAGTGAAAACCCAGACGGTAGCCTAGAAGTAAAGTTTCCAAAGGTAAAGGATCCTGAAGCTAGTGGTTTGTCTGTCAAGATACTTTTCGATGACATGAAGCTTGTTGAAAGTGCTTGGTCAGACTTTTTAAAGAGAATGGAAGAAAATATCATAGAGCATACCATTCGTAATGAAACTATCAAAAAAATTGGCGAGAGTGAAAAGAAAAAAATTTCTGAAGTAGAGCGTAACTTTGATGTCACAATTAAGGTAGACTTCACGAAAGGAAAGGCCTGTATTAATGGTCATTTTTTAGATATCCCTGCAATTGTCGACGCATTACGCAATATGCTTAAAAAAATTGAAGAAAAAGAAAACAGCAAAGGTAGGATCATTTTAAGTGCGGAAACTGTGCGTTAGAAAAGTAAATTTCAATTCTTGCTCAAGTGCAATGGGGGAATTTCGACGTATTAAATTTAGTGGTATATTTTTTTGAGAAATAGGAACGAGTGGGTTGAATGAGTTGAATGCTTTGATCTTGCACTTTTTTTAAGCTATTTCGAATGAATTAATCTTTTTTTCACACTGCATCTTCAATATTGCATATTTAAATGTTTCGTTTGTTTTTGTAGTTCCTGACTATTGGGAAACCCCTCCGGACGATAATGTATATTTTGCCTTCGAACTTCAACCTAAGAGTGATGAATATATAAAGGTAAAAAACGCATTTGACAAGACTACAAGCAACGAAATAGTGAAGATTGAAAGAATACAAAACCAGGGTTTGTACGAATTGTATAATGTAAAACGTAAGGCTATGAAAGAAAAATATGGCGACGCAGACTTTGCAGATAAAGAGAAATATCTCTTTCATGGTACTTCGAAGGATAATGTTGAAAAAATTAATTCAGGTGGACTGAACAGAAGCTTTGCTGGAAAAAATGGTAATGTTCTTATGTTTTTTTTTATCTTTGTGAGTTGACTCCACTGTTTTTTTTTATGTTTTCGTTGGTTATTTTTTAAATCTATAGCCACCGTTTTTGGTAAAGGTATTTATTTTGCACGAGATGCCAGCTATTCCATTAACGAAAAATATTCTTCAAAAGATGCAAATGGATTACGTTATGTGTACTACGCTAGAGTTTTGGTTGGTGACTACGCTAAGGGTGATTCAACCATGTTGGTTCCACCATCAAAAAACACCGCAGATCCAAACGAAACCTATGATTCTGTCGTCAATGACACCAAAGATCCTTCAATATTTGTCATGTTTAAGGATTACCAGTATTATACTGAATATCTTATTACTTTTAAGTAACTTAAGTCAATTATTTTAAGATGGACAAAATTTTTCTTCTTTTGATTATGTATTCATTCAAAATGTCTCAATGAACAATTGCCTGTGAAGTAGGGATCATAATAAAATGTCCAATATAATCAATCAGTTATTTTTTAGTAGAAATGAAAAATTCATTGCACAAAAAGCTGTTTAGTAACAGTAATTATTGAATTATTGTATTTACGTTTAATCAATGCACTTATCATAAAGGTTGACTAAGCTGGGATTTAGTCCCACCAATAAGTTTCCTGCACATGATTTATTGATTCTGATGTATTTTAGTTCCACTGACTTTGCTCAACGTTTTTTGCCTATATTCAAACATTCACTTAGAGAAGTATTTGTATTGTGTTTTATATTTTCTGCGCTTCTTACTTCGACAATGTATATTGCAATTATAAAAATGCTCAAGTGTTGAGATTTTTTACAGTGTTGTTTTTTCGAGTGATTTTCTCTGTTAATTGAAAAAGCTTTTTTCATCTGTTTAAACGTGCATAAGATAGGCATTTCTTGATACGCGTTCTGATTAGAAGTTTTGAAGGACCTTTCTAATTCCGAAGTTACAAATTTTTCAGAGAAATGCTTACCAAACATAAAAACGCTCCGCGTATTCTAGCAGACTTTTGGATATTCTTCAAAAATAAACTTAGTGGTGTCTTAATTTTTTGTGATAAGTTTCAGTCAGAGGATTAGCACTATAACGTAGATTTTGATTCGGGCTTTATGTGGAAATTGGAATCTTTCGGAGGCCGAGGAAGATTGTTGAGACTTGAACGATCGCGGCAGTCCTCATCTTATTGTGTTTGAACTTTGGTGTTGCTTGCATGTAAATTTTAATAGCCTAAAGTTGCCTTAGGAAATCAATGAATGACATAATGATAGTAAGTTGTCACCGCGTCACCATCATTTCCACAACACAACATGAACGCCATGCGGACCCGCTTTTTCAAATCTGTAAGTCGCACTTTTTCATTAGACAGCCAGCGGACGATTGGTAAAATGCACGCGCAATGAAGCAATTAGTAAATTGGCTGAAAATGGCCGAAAACGTGCATTATAAACGAAGATTTGTATCAATGAAAGTTCTGCTTGGTGCGCGCTTTTTGCCTGCTAATATTATTTGAATCCTCACATGTTCAATGATATAAGCGGATGATGTCTTACAGAGTGTATTTTAGCAGATTACTGGAGGCCTTGACAAAAGTTGAATTTGAAAAGCTCATAGCTGTGTTTGGTATTAAAGGCGAAAAACATTGAATGGAAGTCTGGCTTTGCCTATGTTGATTACAAGCAAGGTTCTGATGCATCAAAAACTGTTCAAAATCTCAATGGGAAAGAGTTTGGCAGGAACAATATTCTTGTTGAGCTGGCACAAAACGGTGCAGGAGGGTATGCAGTTGCTAGGGCCATGTAATTACACAATACTCAAAGAAGGTCTTAGTATGAAGAAATAAAAAGTCACATGCACTAGAAGGTGTCAAATCAGAAATTATACACACCAACCACCATAGCTTTATAAATATTGGAATGTTATTCTGTTGACTTTCACACATTTTAGCAGACTTGGATGCATCCATTTAACCTCATTTGAATAGAAAAGTAAGATGACTGAACTTCTAAAGGAAGGCAAGAGTAGCTATTAGTTTCAATTTTAAATTCAATTGTCAAAATTTTACATAGAAATGTAATTTTATTCCATTTATTTTACGAAAATGTAATTTTATTCCATTCTGTAAAAATGTAATTTTATTCCATTCCATAAAAATGTAATTTTATTCCATTCTGTAAAAATGTAATTTTATTAAATACGTAATCTCCCCTAGACTGAACTTCTAAAGGAAGGCAAGAGTAGCTACTACAACTTCAATTTTAAATTCAATGGTCAAAATTTTACTTAGAAATGTAATTTTATTCCATTCTGTAAAAATGTAATTTTATTCCATTCTGTAAAAATGTAATGTTATTCCATTCTGTAAAAATGGAATTTTAATCCAAACTTATTAATCCTTGTTAGACAAGTAAACTTTCCTTTGTATGTAAGTTTGTCTTTGATGCAATAGCACTTGTTGAATCTACTTTCAATTATAACAATGAGATCATGCTAGTTGAATGGCACGATCATTGGCATGGCCACCTACAAATTTGGTTATACTGTGCAAATATTTTGTTCTGTCATTGCAAGTACAAACAATACATTTTTAAAGAAGTTGATAATGCTAACTTATCTAAGATTTACGTACATTGGCTGGCTATGACAGGGGATAAGATGAGCAATAACATATGATATATAATGATACACCTGTATAATGGTAAAGTGTTGATTGCAGTTGATATTTATTTAAATTTCTGGATTAAACATCAACATAAAACAATTTGACATACTGTACATCCAAAACTGAAGTCTGAACATATGAAACTGTTTTGCACTTCCTTAATGAAAATTCTACATCATAACTTGCACTTCCTTAATGAAAATTCTACATGATAACTTGCACCTTCTAAACTTGAGTTATAGTTTTTCAACTCAATCTATAAATTGTAATGATCAAAGTTAACTTATTCATTTCTGATGTGGTTATCAGTCTTAGTAATGTCTAACAGTGAGTCTTTAAGAACAAAATTTTGTATGTCATCATTTGGAGTTCTATTTGTGTCAATGAGCCCAAATGGGCCTTGTATATAAGTATACTCCTTACATAACATGCTACACATTCCTGTGAAATTGTTGTATTCTGTAGAGGCCAATTATTCATTGATTAAAGGATTGTACAGCAAAAAATGAACTGTTTCTGAGAATTTCTCTGTAATTTTACAATAACTTACAATTGGACATTTAATATCCAACAAAATATTGTACAATTGTTAGTATAAATTACAATTGGAAGCAAATTTTAATCAATGGCAAAATATATAAACATATATTTAAGTTCTATAAGTTCTGTCATATTTATGTTCATAATACCTTTAACAACCTTTGACTCTGTTTCTCAATGTAACTAAGCCATTTCATTTGTTTTCATATAATATATTATGCTGTTGACTTTAACCAACATTTGCTATTTACTTTTATTCAATTATTTTTTTTATGTTATACCTCGAGCCCGCAATCTAACAACCAAACACGTGACAAAACACAACACAAAATCCACATGATTGTTTATACTTTTCGTGGAATTGTAGTGAAAGTGAAATTAGACTTGGCGATTTCACAATTTTAGGTCTCTGACAGAGGTGATTATGGCCTAGCGTTTATGAATTGGTCAACTGTACGCAATGGGTGACAGTAGAACAATTGTCGTTTTAAATCCTCCATCAGGAGTAGGTGAAGATGAATTCACGATCCACTTTCAGAAGAAAAAGAATGCTGGAGGTGACGTTGATGAGGTTAAACTGGAGAAGGGTGTTGCTTTTGTAATGTTCGACTCTTCGGAAGGTTTGTGTTGACAAATAAATTTATCGAAAGTAAAACTTTATATCAATTATTTAGTGCAGTATCTTTTCGGCCTTTTATAGTTGAGCTCAATCATCTGACATTTGATACTACACTAATGCAATTGTATTTTGTGAACTTTCGTTTTCACTTATTCACTCTGAACGTTTTAAGAGCGATTGAACGGTCCCCAGCTTGTGTTTCTTTTATCTTAATTCAAAGTTTGACATGCTGTATGTCTATACAATTTGTAATTCTTTTATCAATTACTACAGAGTAAAGATGACTGAAAATAAATGGTAGAAAGCCTGACAATCAACTAGCTTCCTTCATATCACAACTGTATTATTTTTATAGATGCTGTAAAAGTCTTAAATCATCCTCAAAAACAAATAATTAAGGGTTGTGAACTTGATGTTCGGTCATACAGTTCATGGTTGAAAACTACTCAGGTATTTATATTTTATGGTTAATTTTTTTACCAAACTATATGGTCTGTGAACACGAGTTATGCAAACTGTGCTATTCATCGTAAGTATGATTGCTTTCGTTTAGGAAAGTGAAAACAGTGCCTCATGCAACAATGACGACGTTGATTCAGTTTCAACAGAAGATGATAAGCAGAAAGCCACGATCTATGTCAGTGGTCTTAAAGAGTCCTGCACTGAGGAATTGATCACGTTATTGTTTGAAAATGAAAAAAAGTGTGGTGGAGGCGATCTTCGTGATGGAAAAGAAGGATTTGAGCGATTGTCACCAACCGTCGCTCGTTTAACTTACGTTTCCCCAAAAGGTAATGTGGAAAATCAAATGATGAAAAGGAATTAAAAAATTAATTTTTAAGAAACGTATTTCGTTTGAACGAATCTCCTTAGACGCTGAAAACGTGCTAAAAAGGGCGAAAGAAAAGTTCCTTGTACTCAATGGGTGTCCTGTACAAGTTACCGCTGACTATATACCCACCGAGGACCGAAGTATATTGATGGTCACAAATCTCAGTCCTGATACAAACGTGGAAACGTTGAAGAACTTCGTTGAAATAAAGAAACAAACAGATGTGATTAAAATCGTTCTTGGAAAACATGGAAAAGCTGTTATCATACTTCAAGAAGAGATTAAAGGTATTTTTAGGTTGACGAGAAAATATTAAATCAAACTTCGACGACTTTCTTGCTTGCGCTTAATTTTTTACGTGGGGTGAAGAGGCGTACCTCGTGATTTGTTGTTATAATTGATTTCTAGGTGATTCCAAGGAAGAAAACAATTCCCAAAATCTAAAGTTTGGAGAACGTCTGGTGTCTTTGAAATTTGCTCCACTGAGCACAGGGATAAGTGTCAAGAAAATACCAAAAAATGCCAAAAGCGAAGATGTCGAATATAAATTTTCTAATCCTAAAACTGGTGGAGGTGAAGTCATTAATATGGAGTTTGACAAAAATAGCGGAATTGCCAAACTTTTTTTTAAAAGTTCGTCAGGTATTTGATCTTTCTTCTGGGAAACGGTCTTGGTAATGGATGTTAATTTTTCACGAAATATATTGGAAAAGCTTATATACAAAATCAAACTTTATGGATCATCATCTGAAAAGACCACGTTGTTCAGTGTTGTTTGAACTTACGTATTTCATTTTAGTTGTTTCAAACTTGGTGAAGAAAGACCATGACATCATGGAGACACGTTTAACAGTGATACCGTTATATGAAGATTTTGAAGAATTGGACGAACCTGAAAACAAAATAACAGAATTTCATGGCGACATCCTTTGTGAAAGCAACATCGCTGGCTGTATGATTCGTCATCACTATATGTCTCAGTTTGATTTAAAGTCAGTGACATACGATGAAACCACGTCGACTTTTCAATTTACAAAGGATGTTGAAGATCCTAAGGATGGAGAAGATCTAAGTAAAAGGTTAAAAGTATACGTTAATTCTTTTGGAAAGGAAACGTTGGTAATTCCCACAGTTGTTTTCGATCAAGTGAAGCTGAAGGTTCTTGAAAACAAAGTTGACTCAGAAATCGAGGTAAGATTTGAGAAGCCAAACGTTGTTCTTTTTGGACGCAAGAAAGAAATCACGATGAAAAAGAAAGACATCGAAATATTGGTCGATGATCTCACATCTGCCGTTAAGACGGAATCCGTCAAAATTACGGTAAGATATAAAAATGTTTAATAATAGAAATCATATTTGAAGACTGTTCTGGTAATTTTCGTGTGGTTATTTTTACCTAATTATATCGTCTATGAACACGAGTTTTGCAAACTGCACAGTTTATTACATGTACTCCTGGAGTCGAATTATTCACTTTACCGCGCAGTTTATCTTATGCGTAATTGATTCCAACAAAAGGAAAATGCAAAACATTGCCTTGGGCAACAATGACGACATTGATTCATTTCAGGCAGAAGATGATGAAGACAAAGCCACAATTTATGTTAGTGGTTTTAAAGAGTCCTGCACCAAAGACTCGATTACATTATTTTTTGAAAACAAACGAAGATGTGGTGGAGGTGGACTTCGTGAGGGAAAAAAAGGATTTACGCGATTGTCTCCAACCGTAGCTCGGTTGACTTTCGTTTCCTCAAAAGGTAATAGATATAAACTCAAAGGATAAAAAATTATATCAATATGTGATTGTTTGTGGTAATGTATATGTTGCTTGAACGAATCTCCTTAGACGCTGAAAACGTGTTGAAAAAGGCCGAAGAAACACCCCTTGTACACGAAGGGAGTCCGCTTCAAGTGACCGCTGACTATATACCCACCGAGGATCGAAGTATATTGATTGTCACAAATCTCAGTCCTGATATCAACGTGGAGACATTGAAGAACTGTGTTGAATCAAAGAAGAATACAATTGTCTTTAAGATATTTCTTGGAAAACATGGAAAAGCTGTTGTTATCCTTAAAAAGGAAATTAAAGGTATTTGTGGGTCGATGATCAAAGATTACAGTACACTTCAATGATTTTAATAGTTTGCACTTTATTTTTGGCTTAATTGAATACTTGTACCCATTGAGTTCTATAATAACTGGAGGGGAAACGTCAACAAAATTAGTATAAATTATTTGGTCAAAAACATGATTTTGGTGGTCAAATCAGATGAAATAAAATTTTGATGATTTGACCACCACAATAGTATAGAAAATATCAAAACTTTTATTTTCCTAACATAAACACTTTTAAAATTTATTTATTAAATTGCCAACTTACGCTGAATTTTCATCCTATTAGTTTAATTTTGTTTTAACACGATACTGTGTCTGTACTGTGTTTTCACGCAATGCTGAAGATTATTTTCACATGATATGCTGTCGGTATCGTAAACTTGTTTTCGTTCATACAAACAGTATTAGAAATCAGGAGGAGGAATATTGAAAAATTTTAAAGTGAAGTTTGAAAAAATCATTAATGTTTTTGACCACGAGGTTTGAGGTCTTATAGAGCTCAATAGCCACTGATTATTGCGTAAATTTTGTTTGATTTTTAGATGTAGATCATTATAAAGAAAAAAACAGCTCCAAAAATTTGATACTGGGAGGGCGTTTAGTGTCTTTCAAATTTGCTCCACTGACCAAGGAAATAAAGGTGAAGAAAATACCAAAAAATGCCAATAGCGAGGATGTCAAGTATAAATTTTCTAATCGAAATACTGGTGGAGATGAAGTCACTAATATGGAGTTTGACCAAAACAACGGAATTGCGAAAATTTGTTTGATAAGTTCATCAGGTATTTGAACGTTTTTCTTGGCAACTGTTTTTTCTTTAAAAGGATGTTATTTTTTTCATAAAATATTGGAATAGCAAGCAGAGCTGAATTTAGGGGAGCCTTGACTAGAGTGGATTGCGGTAAGGGTGCTAATTTCCCAACAAAATACTAACATACCAAACATTTAGCAAAAGCAATTTTAAATAGTATTTGATAGAGCACACTTCCATAAATCAACTAATCACATCAAAAAGATATAAGAATTTAACGTTTACATATCGAAAATAATCAAAACTAGAATAATGAACATTGATAGGCTGCAAACTTTAATTTTGAATTGAAATTTCATTTTAGTTGTTTCAAACTGGTGAAGAAAGATCATGTCATTAAGGACACGTCTTTAACTGTGCTGCCTTTATATGAAGATTTTGAAGAATTGGATGAACCTGAAAGTAAAATAAAAGAATTTCATGGCGACATCTATGCTGACAGTGACGTCATCAACCATGTATTGTTTCATGACGATTTGTTACAGTTTGATTTAAAGTCAATGAAATACGATGAAACCAAGTCGACTGTTCATTTTACAAAGGATGTTAAAGATCCCAAAGATGGAGAACATCTTACTACAAGGTTGAAAATATTTGTCGATTCATTTGAAAGGAAACTTTAACGATTCCTACATTTGTTTTGATCAAGTAAAGCAGGATGTTCTTGAAAATAGAGATGAATCTGAGATCGAGGTTAAATTTGAAAAGTCCGGCATTGTTCTTATCGGACGCAAAATCGATGTCAAAATAAAAAGAAAGATATTCAAAACTGGTTGATGAACTCACAGCTGCCGCCAAGAAGGATTCCCTTGATATTGAGATAAAAGATAAAGAAAAGTTTAATTTTTCATTGCCATTGGATATTTCAAAGACCTGTTGATCGAGTTTCCAGATGTGGAAATTCCTGGTATTGAAGGAGTACCGAAGTAAATTGACTGTTCTTGGGACAGCTGAAGGCATTAAAAACGTGAAGTTGAGAGTTTTTGAGGATCTTGATAAAATACACGTTATTAAAATCGAGATGAGTGATCATCAAATTGATTTCTTAAAACGCACAGAATGTAAGATAGCCAACGAAGCCTTAAAAAAAGACAAGATAATGTTGATTCTTAAAGAGATTGACGACCGTGTTGGCGCTAAAGGTTTGCAGCCTCAGTTGATGTTCTTGAAGAAGCCTGGTAACGTGGAGGTAAAGTTAAATAAATACGAAATTGTCTTCTATAAAAATTATACCGCAGTTAACTTATCAGTGAATATCGCGTAACACTTTCGTTTTCACTATCACTAATTAACATATCTAAATATGGTGTAAACATACTTCTTCAGGCAGCTCACTCCTTTATAAGAAATTTTTTTATTAACTTGAGCTTGATTAGGTGCGTCATTCATGGATGTTGTTATCATACATATAGTTGTATATAGTGCGTGAATATTTTTAATGTCGGTGTCTTGACAAATTAGGAAGAACGAGTTGTTGAAATCATAAAATCGAAAACGTCAGAAAAGTTGGTAAAGATTGATGAAGAAACTGGAAAATTTTTGGCCAAGTCCGACCATTTATCGACGTTTATAAAAGAGCAATTGAATAACAAGAAGGTTTTAATATGCACTGAACTCATGGATCCAGGTAACATCTGGATTATTTGTGAAGAATCTAAGATGAAGAATGCCGAACAAGATTTGAGAAATTTAATTGCCGAAAAAAAAATTGACAACGGCGTCTTTAAACCAGTGATGTCCGCAAAAGTTCGTTTCCTACAAGAACATCGTTGGGACGAAATCATGAACAAAATGCAGGAATTGAAAAATGAAGGAGTTGATGTTGAAAAAACTGCCGATGCAAATTCACTTCGAGTGAAGGGAACTCCAAAAGGAAAAAAGAAAATGATAGAATTTCTTGATAAGAAGGCAAGGGAAATTAATTCAAAGGTTCGTATTTCTGGTGTTTTTCTTTCGAACAACTCTTGATTTTCTTTATTTCGGACAGTTTTGGTTTGTTAATTGATCTGGTCAAAAGATAATTACAAGCTTTTGTATTTGTGACCTCAATGGATCGCAGTGACGTAGAATACGTGATCTTTTCGGTCGCTTTTATGTGGTCGAACATATAAATTTTGAAATAATTTTTCTGAAAAAGCCTGTATATGTAATGTTTGGGTTTCTTCATTTCTGTGAGTATTAAGTTACCTTTAGACCACATGTCCTTGCATTGTAATCCATAAAACTCTGTTAAATGGATTATAGTTAGGTATTAACTAAATCGTGATCCACATGATCTAGTGTGGTTATGTACGTGGTCAATCACTTATCACTTAAAGTTCTTGATCTATGAAAATTTATGGGAATTATTAAAATAATGTCTCCTTTACATTTTAGACCTTCCCGCTTTCCAAACCGGGAATGAAGAAACAAATGAGTTTGGATGCAACAAATGCCATCATTAGTGGAATTGAAAAAAAACATAACTGTGTGATTGAGAAAATTATGGCTCACGATCTTGACGAAGCCAAAGATGATTTCGCTGTTGCTGAGGATGATCATAAGCCGGATGGGAAATCATCAATGAATCTTCCATTCGATTCTATGTCTTACGTTAATGATAAAGTTGTAAAAATGACTTCCGGTCAAAGAATCACCATAGCTGTTGGTGACATTGCAAAAGAAAAGGTAAGCTGGCCATAACGTTGTCAATTTACAGACCTGTTGGAAGCGGGTAAGAGAAATGAGCAGACTGCAGTCCCTGGGATTTTTACTCTCCCTCACTTAATGGTGCTTGCTGCTGATGGACTTGTATTATCTTCTGTAAAATATGTAATGCATAAATTATACATGTTGCCTCTAGGTTGATGTTATTGTCAATAGTACAAATGAAAAAATGGATTTAAATGCGAATCCTGTTGGAAAGGCTTTACTTAAAGTTGCCGGGAATGACTTTTTGGAGGAATGCAAGAAAATTGGTGAAATTAAAGTTGGAGGTGTTGTGGTAACTGGAGGTGGAAAACTCAACTGCAAAAGTGTTTATCATGTTCGTTTATCTGAGTGGCAACAGGGCAATGGAGCCAAGGTAAACAGAGGAAATTAGATGATCTTAGTTGACATGCTTTGGAGAAAACAGCAAGCATCATGTTTTAAAATGAGTACTACGAGTAAAATTGAATGATTTGTATTTCATTCTTCTATAATGCATTTTCTGACAACACATTTGTTTATTTGGCCTTTCGATCTGCAGCAGTTACAACATTGTAAGTCTTAATTGTAACTTTGTATAGTGACGTAGCAAACTCGACAGTTGTGGGTTCAATATATATATATATAAGCACATTCTGCTTTATTACGTTCTTTTCAAGTCAATTGCTTTTTACGGGTTATATAGGAAAATGGTGCCCCTCTCCTTTATCGAACTTGCCATGCTACTGTTGTAACTTTGTTTGTTACCCTATTTATTTATTCCCTTTCACTCGTAGTCTGCAGATTGGCAGGCTACATTCAAGCGTCTTCAATCATATAATTTTTTACATACGCAGGTTCTCAGGTCTATAGTAAAGAATTGTGTCACGAAAAGCGAAAGCCAAAACTTCCATTCGATCGCATTTCCCGCCATTGGAACTGGAAACTTGAAATTCCCACGGTCGGAGGTTGTTAAAATCTTTTTTGAAGAAGTCACTTCTTATTTTAATGTGAATCCTCAATCGAAAGTTAATAATGTTCGATTCGTGGCGTACGGTGGAGATAAAGAAACCGTTGATACATTCTTAGGTTTGTTAAATAATGATGTAGTTTTTTAAAGTGAACCATAAGTCAAATATTGATGGTGTTTTATTCGATGCAATAATAAGTAAGGCATTGCCTTGGCAACACACTTAGAATATTTTTTGTTGTATTCAGGTGCTGTGGAAGAGATGAAGCCTATTTTATCAGCAACTAAAACAAATATTCCATCACACGATCTGGGTTTTCCTGGCCAATCACAATCTGAATTTGTACAATCCTTTACACCAAGTAGCGCAACCACAAGTGAAAACTCAGACGGTAGCCTAGAGGTAAAGTTTCCAAAACAAACACCTCGAGTTGAAATCGTCTGCGCTGACATCAGCCAAGAAACCACTCAATTGATAATGCACGTGACTAATGAAAACTTCTCGTTGCAGGGGTCGCCAAGGCTTTGGTCAAAGCTGGTGGTGATAAAATCGAAGAGGAATGCAAAGCCCTTGGAACAGCCCTCTGTTTTCAACACAGTATACTGGTGCTGGAAAGTTGTTAGTTAATCAAATTGCTCATGTCATAGGCCCCGGAAACCCAGCTATCAAGATCTGAAGAAATGTCTCGACAATTTTTCGATGATTTGTCAGGAAAAGGCATTACAGATGTATCCTTTTCTGCCATCGGTGCCGGTGCAATGGGTTTCTCGGAAAGGGAATCTGTGACTTTGATATTCGATAATATAAGCCGAATGGCCCTTAGCAAAAATCCAACTCTGAATTTGGTTCGCATCGTGATATTTGAGAAGGGAAAGTTTGATCAATTTAAAGATGCAACGAAAACATATTTTTCATCTGAACCAGACGCAAGACGCAATCCAAAAAAGTTTTAAAAGTTTTAATGTTTTCGTTCGAAGAAATTTGGTAAACCAAAGATTAGGTTAAAGGATCCTGAAGCGAGTGGTTTGTCAGTCAAGATATTTTCCGATGACATGAAGTATGTTGAAAGTGCTTGGTCAGACTTTTTAAAGAGAATGGAAGAAAATATCATGGAGCATAACATTCGTAATGAAACAATCAAAAAATTTGGCGAGAGTGAAAAGAAAAAAATTCGTGAAGTAGAGCGTAACTTTGATGTCACAATTAAGGTAGACTTCACCAAAGGAGAGGCCTGTATTAATGGTCATGTTTCAGATATCCCTGAAATTACCGACGCATTGGGCAATATGTTTAAAGAAATTGAAGAAAAAGAAAACAGCAAAGGTAGGATCATTTTAAGTGCGGAAACTGTGCGTTAGAAGAGTAAATTTCAATTCTTGCTCAAGGGCAATGGGGGAATTTCGACGTATTGAAATTTAGTGGTATATTTTTTTGAGAAATAGGAACGAATGGGTTGAATGAGTTGAATGCTTTAATCTTGCACTTTTTTTTAACCTATTTTGAATGAATTAATCTTTTTTTTCACACTGCATCTTCAATATTGCATATTTAAATGTTTCGTTTGGTTTTGTAGTTCCTGACTATTGGGAAACCCCTCCAGACCATAATGTATATCATGCATTCGAACTTCAACCTAAGAGTGATGAATATATGAAGGTGAAAAAGGCATTTGACAAGACCGCAAGCAACGAAATAGTGAAGATTGAAAGAATACAAAACCAGGGTATATATGAGCTGTATAATGTAAAACGTAAGGCTATGAAAGAAAAATATGGCGACGCAGACTTTGCAGATAAAGAGAAACAACTCTTTCATGGTACTTCGAAGGATAATGTTGAAAAAATTAATTCAGGTGGACTGAACAGAAGCTTTGCTGGAATACATGGTATTGTACTTGGGACGTTTAATTTCTATTTTTTATCTTTTTTCAATGGATTAACTCCAATGTTTTTTATGTTTTCGTTGGTTATTTTTTAAATCTATAGCCACCGCTTTTGGTAAAGGTGTTTATTTTGCACGAGATGCCAGCTATTCCCTTAGGGAAACATATTCTCCAAAAGATGCAAATGGATTACGTTATGTGTACTACGCTAGAGTTTTGGTTGGTGACTACGCTAAGGGTAATTCAACCATGTTGGTTCCACCATCAAAAAACACCGCAGATCCAAACGAAACCTATGATTCTGTCGTCAACGACACCAAAAATCCTTCAATATTTGTCATGTTTAAAGATTACCAGTATTATACTGAATATCTTATTACTTTTAAGTAACTTAAGTCAATTATTTTAAGATGCACAAAATTTTTCTTCTTTCGATCATGTATTTATTCAAAATGTCTCAATGAACAATTGCCTGTGAAGTAGGGATCATAATAAAATGTCCAACATTATCAATCAGTTATTTTTTAGTAGAAATGAAAAATTCATTGCACCAAAAGCTATTTAGTAACAGTAATTATTGAATTATCGTATTTACGTTTAATCAATGCACTTATCATAAAGGTTGACTAAGCTGGGATTTAGTCCCACCAATAAGTTTCCTGCACATGATTTGTTGATTCTGATGTATTTTAGTTCCACTTAGAGAAGTATTTGTATTGTGTATTATATTTTCTGCACTTCTTACTTCGACAATGTATATTCCAATTAAAAAAAATGCTCAAGTGTTGAGATTTTTTACAGTGTTGTTTTTTCGAGTGATTTTCTCTGTTAATGCAAACGATAGGCATTTCTTGATAGGCGTTCTGATTAGAAGTTTTGAAGGACTTTTCTAATTCCGAAATTTCAAACTTTTCAGAGGGATGCTTACCAAACTTAAAAACGCTCTGCGCATTATAGCAGACTTTTAGATATCCTTCAAAAATAAACTTAGTGGTGCCTTATTTTTTTGTGATAAGTTGCAGTCAGAGGATTAGCACTATAACGTAGATTTTGATTCGGGCTTTATGTAGAAATTGGAATCTTTCGGAGGCCGAGGAAGATTTTGAGACTTAAACGATCGCGGCAGTCATCATCTTTTTGTGTTTTAACTTTGGTGTTGCTTGCTTGTAATAGCTTAAAGTTGCCTTAAGAAATCAATGAATGACATAATGATAGTAAGTTGTCACCGCGTCACCATCATTTCCACTACACAACATGCACGCCGTGCGGACCCGCTTTTTCAAATCTGTAAGTCGCACTTTTTCATTAGACAGCCAGCGGACGATTGGTAAAATTCACGCGCAATGAAGCAATTAGTAAATTGGCGGAAAATGGCCGAAAACGTGCATCATAAACAAAGATTTGTATAAATGAAAGTTCTGCTTGGTGCGCGCTTTTTGCCTGCTAATATTATTTGAATCCTCACATATTCAATGATATAAGCGGATGATGTCTTACAGAGTGTATTTTGGCAGATTACCGGAGGCCCTGACACAAGATGAATTTGAAAGCTCATTTGCAAGCTCATAGCTGAGTTTGGTATTAAAGGTGAGAAACATTGAATGGAAGTCTGGCTTTGCCTATGTTGAATTCAAGCACTGTTCTGATGCATCAAAAACTGTTCAAAATCTCAATGGGAAAAGGTTGGCGGGAAAACAATATCCTTGTTGAGCTGGCACAAAACAGTGCAGGAGGGTATGCAGTTGCTGGGGCCATGTAATTACACAATACACAAAGAAGCTCTTAGTATGAAGAAATAAAAAGTCGCATGCACTAGAAGGTGTCAAATCAGAAATTATACATACCAACCACCATAGCTTTATAAATATTGGAAAGTTATTCTGTTGACTTTCACACATTTTAGCAGACTTGGATGCATCCATTTAACCTCATTTGAATCGAGAAGTAAGATGACTGAACTTCTAAAGGAAGGCAAGAGTAGCTTCTAGTTTCAATTTTAAATTCAACTGTCAAAATTTTACATAGAAATGTAATTTTATTCCATTCTGTAAAAATGTAATTTTATTCCATTCTGTAAAAATGTAATTTTATTAGCAAGTAAACTTTCCTTTGTATGTAAGTTTGTCTTTGATGCAATAGCACTTGTTGAATTTACTTTCAATAGTAATGATAAGATCATGCTATTAGAATGGCACAGCCACAAATTTGGTTATACTGAGAAAATATTTTGTTCTGTCATTGCAAGCACAAACAATTAATAGATTTCTAAAGAAATCGATAATGCAAACTTATCTGAGATTTACGTATGTACAATGGCCTGACTTGCAGGTTGGCTAAGATGAGCAATAGCATGATATATAATGGTACACCTGTATAATGGTAAAGTGTTGATTGCAGTTGATATTTATTTAAATTTCTGGATTAAACATCAACATAAAACAATTTGACATACTGTAAATCCAAAACTATATTCTGAACATATTGAACTGTTTTGCTTACTTTAATGAAAATTCTACATCATAACTTGCACCTTGTAAACTTGAGTTAAGATTTTTCAACTCAATCTATAAATTGTAATGATCAAAGTTAGCTTATTCATTTCTGATGTGGTTATCAGTCGTAGTAATGTCTAACAGTGAGTCTTTAAGAACAAAATTTTGTATGTCATCATTTGGAGTTCTATTTGTGTCAAAGAGCCCAAATGGGCCTTGTATATAAGTATACTCCTTACATAACATGCTACATGTTCCTGGATTCTGTAGAGGCCCATTATTCATTGATTAAAGGATCATTCAACAAAAGATGAACTTTTTCTGAGAATTTATCTGTAATTTTACAATAACTTACAATTGGACATTTAATATCCAACAGCATATTGTACAATTGTTAGTATAAATTACAATTGGAAGCAAATTTTAATGAATGACATAATATATAAACACGTATATTTAACTTCCATAAGTTCTGTGATAATTATTTTCATAATACCTTTAACAACCTTTGACTCTGTTTCTCAATGTAACTAAGCCATTTCATTTGTTTTCATATAATATATTATGCTGTTGACTTTAACCAACATTGCTATTTACTTTTATTCAATTATTTTTTTATGTTATACCTTGAGCCCGCAATCTACCAAGAAAACACGTGACAAAACACAAAATCCACACGATTGTTTATACTTTTCGTGGAATTGTAGTGAAAGTGAAATTCGATTTGGCGATTTCACAATTTTAGGTCTCTGACAGAGGTGATTATGGCCTAGCGTTTATGAATTGGTCAACTGTACGCAATGGATGACAGTAGAACAATTGTCGTTTTAAATCCTCCATCAGGAGTAGGTGAAGATAAATTCACGATTCACTTTCAGAAGAAAAGTAATGGTGGAGGTGAAGTTGATGAGGTTAAACTGGAGAAAGGTGTTGTTTTTGTAATCTTTCACTTTTCGGAAGGTTTGTGTTGACAAATAAATTTATCAAAAGTAAAACTTTATATCAATTATTTAGTGCAGTATGTTTTCTGCCTTTCATAGTTGAGCTCAATAATCTGACATTTCATAATGCACTAATGCAATTCTATTTTGTGAACTATCGTTTTCACTTATTCACTCTGAACGTTTTAAGAGCGATTGAACGGTCCCCAGCTTGTGTTTCTTTTATGTTAGTTCAAAGTTTGACATGCTGTATGTCTATACAATTAGTAATTCTTGTATCAATAACTCTAGAGTAAAGATGACTGAAAATAAATGGTACAAAGCCTGATAATCAACTAGCTTCCTTCATATCACAACTGTATTTTTTTTCATAGATTCTGTAAAAGTCTTAAATCATCCTCAAAAACAAATAATTAATGGTTGTGAACTTGATGTTCGGTCATACAGTTCATGGTTGAAAACTACTCAGGTATTTATATTTTATGGTTAAATTTTTTACCAAACTATATGGTCTGTGAGCACGAGTTATGCAAACCGTGTTATTCATCGTAAATATGATTGCTTTCGTTTAGGAAAATGAAAACAGTGCCTCGGGCAACAATGACGACGTTGATTCAGTTCCTACAAAAGATGACGAGGATAAAGCCACGATCTATGTCAGCGGTCTTAAAGAGTCAACGAATGATGAAAGGATCGCACTATTTTTTGAAAATAAACGAAGAACTGGTGGAGGCGAACTTCGTGATGGGAAAGAAGGATTTGAGCGATTGACACCAACCGTCGCTCGTTTGACTTACGTTTCCTCAAAAGGTAGTAGATATAAACTCAAAGGATAAAAAAATTATATCAATATGTGATTGTTTGTGGTAATGTATATGTTGCTTGAACGAATCTCCTTAGACGCTGAAAACGTGCTGAAAAGGCCAAAGAAACACCTCTTGTACACAAGGGAGTCCGTTCAAGTTACCGCTGACTACGTACCCACCGAGGACCGAAGTATATTGATGGTGACAAATCTCAGTCCTGATATCAACGTGGAGACATTGAAGAACTTTGTTGAATCAAAGAAGAATACAGTTGTCTTAAAGATATTTCTTGGAAAACATGGAAAAGCTGTTGTTATCCTTGAAGAGGAAATTAAAGGTATTTTAGGTCGATGATCAAAGATTACAGTACACTTCAATGATTTTAATAGTTTGCACTTTATTTTTGTCTTAATTGAATACTTGTACCACGTCATGGATTATTGAATAAATTTTGAATGATTTCTAGATGAAGATAATTATAAAGAAAAAAACAGCTCCAAAAATTTGACGTTAGAAGGGCGTTCAGTTTCTTTGAAATTTGCTCCACTGACCAAGGGGATAAGGGTGAAGAAAATACCAAAAAACACAACTAAAGATGATGTCAAATACAAATTTTTAAATCATAGATTTGGTGGAGGTGAAGTCATCAATATGGATTATGATCAAAATAACGGAATTGCCGAACTTTTTTTTGAAAGTTCGTCTGGTATGTCAACTTTCTTTTTGTAACCGTCTTTTTTTCAAAAGGATTTAATTTTTGTTTAAATATTGAATTAGCTTTGTAGTATACCAACTTTAGATGTGAACCTCATGTGTCATGATCTATAGATACTTAAAAAGACCCTGTGATTTGGTATTGCTCAACTTGCGTTTCATATGAAAATTGACATAATGGGCTGAACTTGAATTGAAATTTCATTTTAGTTGTTTCCAACTTGGTAAAGAAAGATCATGTCATTAAGGAGACATCTTTAACTGTGCTGCCTTTATATGAAGATTTTGAAGAATTGGACGAACCTGAAAACAAAATAAGAGAATTTCATGGCGACATCCCTTGTGAAAGCGACGTCGTTGACTATATGATGCGTCATCACAATATGTCTCAGATTGATTTAAAGTCAGTGACATACGATGAAACCACGTCGACTTTTCAATTTACAAAGGATGTTGAAGATCGTAAGGATGGAGAAGATCTAAGTAAAAGGTTAAAAGTATACGTTAATTCTTTTGGAAAGGAAACGTTGGTAATTCCCACAGATATTTTCGATCAAGTGAAGCTGAAGGTTCTTGAAAACAAAGTTGACTCAGATATCGAGGTAAGATTTGAGAAGCCAAACGTTGTTTTTTTTGGACTCAAGGAAAAAATCATGATGAGAAAAAAAGAGATCGAAAAATTGGTCGATGAGCTCACATCTGCCGCCAAGACGGAATCCGTTAAAATTACGGTAAGATATAAAAATGTTTAATAATAAAAATCATATTTGAAAACTGTTCTGGTAATTTTCGTGTGGTTATTTTTACCTAATTATATCGTCTATGAACACGAGTTTTGCAAACTGCACAGTTTATTACATGTACTCCTGGTGTCAAATTATTCACTTTACCGCGCAGTTTATCTTACGCGTAATTGTCTCCAACAAAAGGAAAATGCAAAACATTGCCTTGGGCAACAATGACGACGTTGATTCATTTCAGGCAGAAGATGATGAAGACAAAGCTACAATTTATGTTAGTGGTTTTAAAGAGTCCTGCACCAACGACTCGATTACACTATTTTTTGAAAACAAACGAAGATGTGGTGGAGGTGAACTTCGTGATGGAAAAAAAGGATTTACGCGATTGTCTCCAACCGTAGCTCGGTTGACTTACGTTTCCTTAAAAGGTAGTAGATATAAACTCAAAGGATAAAAAATTATATCAATATGTGATTGTTTGTGGTAATGTATATGTTGCTTGAACGAATCTCCTTAGACGCTGAAAACGTGTTGAAAAAGGCCAAAGAAACACTTCTTGTACACGAAGAGAGTCCGCTTCAAGTGACCGCTGACTACGTACCCACCGAGGACCGAAGTATATTGATGGTGACAAATCTCAGTCCTGATATCAACGTGGAGACATTGAAGAACTTTGTTGAATCAAAGAAGAATACATTTGTCTTGAAGATATTTCTTGGAAAACATGGAAAAGCTGTTGTTATCCTTGAAGAGGAAATGAAAGGTTTTTTTATTTCGATGATCAAAGATTACAGTACACCTCAATGATTTTAATAGTTCGCACTTTATTTTTGGCTTGATTGAATACTTGTACCACGTCATGGATTATTGAATAAATTTTGAATGATTTCTAGATGAAGATGATTATAAAGAAAAAAACAGCTCCAAAAATTTGACATTAGGAGGGCGTTCAGTGTCTTTGAAATTTGCTCCACTGACCAAGGGGATAAGAGTGAAGAAAATACCAAAAACCACAACTAAAGATGATGTCAAACACAAATTTGGAAATCAAAGAATTGGTGGAGGTGAAGTCATCAATATGGATTTGACAAAATAACGGAATTGCCAAACTTTTTTTGAAAGTTCGTCAGGTATTTTTCTTTGTAACCGTCTTTACTTTAAAAGGATTTAATTTTTGATTAAATATTGAATTAGCTTTGTAGTATACCAACTTTAGATGTGAACCTCATGCGTCATGATCTATAGATACTTAAAAAGACTCTGTGATTTGGTATTGCTCAACTTGCGTTTCATATGAAAATTGACATAATGGGGCTAAACTTGAATTGAAATTTCATTTTAGTTGTTTCCAACTTGGTGAAGAAAGATCATGTCATTAACGAGACGTCTTTAACTGTGCTGCCTTTATATGAAGATTTTGATGAATTGGATGAAGATGAAAGTAAAACAAAAGAATATCATGGCGACATCTATGCTGACGGTGACGTCATTAAACATGTATTGTTTCATGACGATTTGTTACAGTTTGATTTAAAGTCAATGAAATACGATGAAACCAAGTCGACTGCTCATTTTACAAAGGATGTTGAAGATCCCAAAGATGGAGAACATCTTACTACAAGGTTGAAAACATTTGTCGATTCATTTGGAAAGGAAACTTTAACGATTCCTACATTTGTATTTGATCAAGTAAAGCAGGATGTTCTTGAAAATAGAGATGAATCTGAAATCAAGGTTAAATTTGAAAAGTCCGGCATTGTTCTTATCGGACGCAAAATCGATGTCATCACAAAAAAGAAAGATATTCAAAAACTGGTTGATAAACTCACAGCTGCCGCCAAGAAGGATTCCCTTGATATTGAGATAAAAGATAAAGAGAAGTTTAATTTTTTCATTGCCATTGGATATTTCACAGACCTGTTGGTCGAGTTTCCAGATGTGGAAATTCCTGGTATTGGAGGGAGTACCGGAAGTAAATTGACTGTTCTTGGGACAGCTGAAGGCGTGAAAAACATGAAGTTGAAAGTTTTTGAGGATCTTGATAAAATACACGTTATTAAAATTGAGATGAGTGATCGTCAGATTGATTTCTTAAAACGCACAAAATGTAAGATAGCCAACGAAGCATTAAAAAGACAAGATAATGTTGATTCTTAAAGAGGTTGAAGGCCATGTTGGCGCTAAAGGTTTACAGCCTCAGTTGATGTTCTTGAAGGAGCCTGGTAACGTGAGGTAAAGTTAAATAAATACGAAATTCTCTTCTATAAAAATTATACCGCAGTTAACTTATCAGTGAATATCGCGTAACACTTTCGTTTTCACTATCACTAATTAACATATCTAAATATGGTGTAAACATGCTTCTTCAGGCAGCTCACTTTTATAAGAATTTTTTATTAACTTGAGCTTGATTAGGTGCGTCATTCATGGATGTTGTTATCATACATATAGTTGTATATAGTACGTGAATATTTTTAATGTCGGTGTCTTGACAAATTAGGAAGAACGAGTTGTTGAAATCATAAAATCGAAAACGTCAGAAAAGTTAGTAAAGATTGATGAAGAAACTGGAAAATTTTTGGCAAAGTCCGACCATTTATCGACGTTTATAAAAGAGCAATTGAATAAAAACAAGGTTTTAATATGCACTGAACTCACGAATCCAGATAACATCTGGATTATTTGTGAGGAATCTAAGATGAAGGATGCCGAACAAGATTTGAGAAATTTAATTGCCGAAAATGAAATTGACAACGGCGTCTTTAAACCAGTGATATCCGCAAAAGTTCGTTTCCTACAAGAACATCGTTGGGACAAAATCATGAACAAAATGCAGGAATTGAAAAATGAAGGAGTTTATGTTGAAAAAACTGCCGATGCAAATTCACTTCGAGTGAAGGGAACTTCAAAAGGAAAAAAGAAAATGATAGAATTTCTTGATAAGAAGGCAGGGGGAATTAATTCAAAGGTTCGTATTTCTGGTGTTTTCTTTCGAACAACTCTTGATTTTCTTTATTTCGGACAGATTTGGTTTGTTAATTGAACTTGTCAAAAGATAATTACAAGCTTTTGTATTTGTGACCTCAATGTATCGTAGTGACGTACAATACGTGATCTTTTCCGTTGCTTTTATGTGGTCGAACATATAAATTTTAAAATAATTTTTCCGAAAAAGCCTGTACATGTGATGTTTGGGTTTCTTTATTTCTGTGAGTATTAAGTTACCTTTAGACCACATGTCCTTGCATTGTAATCCATAAAACTCTGTTAAATGGAGTATAGTTGGATATTAACTAAATCGTGATCCACATGATCCACTGTGGTTATGTACGTGGTCAATCACTTATCACTTAAAGTTCTTGATCTATGAAAATTTGTGGGAATTATTAAAATAATGTCTTTCCTTCACATTTTAGACCTTCCCACTTTCCAAACCGGGAATGAAGAAACAAATGAGTTTGGATGCAACAAATACCATCATTAGTGGAATTGAAAAAAATCATAACTGTGTGATTGAGAAAATTATGGCTCACGATCTTGACGAAGCCAAAGATGATTTCGCTGTTGCTGAGGATGATCATAAGCCGGATGGGAAATCATCAATGAATCTTCCATTCGATTCTATGTCTTACGTTAATGATAAAGCTGTAAAAATCACTTCCGGTCAAAGAATCACCATAGCTGTTGGTGACATTGCAAAAGAAAAGGTAGGCTGGCCAGAACGTTGTCAATTTACAGTGCTGTTGGAAGCGGGTAAGAGAAATGAGCAGACTGTAACCCCTGTGATTTTTACTCTCTCTCACTTAATGGTGCTTGCTGCTTTTTGATTTTAATAACCTTCAGTGAAATATGTAGTTCATAAATTATACATGTTGTCTCTAGGTTGATGTTATTGTAAATAGTACAAATGAAAAAATGGATTTAAATGCCAATCCTGTTGGAAAGGCTTTACTTAAAGTTGCCGGGAACGACATTTTGGAGGAATGCAAGAAAATTGGTGAAATTAAAGTTGGAGGTGTTGTGGTAACTGGAGGTGGAAAACTCAACTGCAAAAGTGTTTATCATGTTTGTTTATCTGAATGGCAACAGGGCGATGGAGCCAAGGTAAACAAAGAAAATTAGATGATCTTAGTTGACATGCTTTGGAGAAAACAGCAAGCATCATGTTTTAAAATGAGTACTACGAGTAAAATTGAATGATTTGTATTTCATTCTACTATAATGCATTTTCTGACAACACGTTTGTTTATTTGGGCTTTCGATCTGCAGCGGTTACAACATTGTAAGTCTCAATTCTAACTTTGTATGGTGACGTAGCAAACTCGGCAGTTGTGGGTCCCATATATACATAGGCATATTCTGCTGTAATGTGTTCTTTTCAATTCAATTGTTTTTTATGGGTTATATAGGAAAATGGTGCCCCTCTCCTTTATCTAGCTTGCTACGCTACTGTTGTAACTTTGTTTGGTACCCTATTTAATTATTTCCTTTTACTCATAGTCTGCAGATTGCCAGGCTACATTCATGCGTCTTCAATCGTATAATTTTGCCCATACGCAGGTTCTCAGGTCTATAGTAAAGAATTGTGTCACGAAAAGCGAAAGCCAAAACTTCCATTCGATCGCATTTCCCGCCATTGGAACTGGAAATTTAAAATTCCCACGGTCGGAGGTTGTTAAAATCTTTTTTGAAGAAGTCGCTTCTTATTTTACTGTGAATCCTCAATCGAAAGTTAATAATGTTCGATTCGTGACGTACGGTGGAGATAAACAAACCGTTGTTGCATTCTTAGGTTTGTTAAATAATGATGTAGTTATTTAAAACGAAGCTTAACTCAAACATTGATGGTGTTTCATTCGATGCAATAATAAGTAAGACCACCAGGTATTGCCTTCGCAACACACTTACAATATTTTTTGTTGTATTCAGGTGCTGTGGAAGAGATGAAGCCTATTTTATCAGCAACTAAAACAAATATTTCATCACACGATTTGGGTTTTCCTGGCCAATCACAATCTGCATTTGTACAATCCTTTACACCAAGTAGCGCAACAACAAGTGAAAACTCAGACGGTAGCCTAGAGGTAAAGTTTTCAAGACAAACACCTAGAGTTGAAGTCGTCTGCGCTGACATCAGCCAAGAAACCACTCAATTGATAATGCACGTGACTAATGAAAACTTCTCGTTGCAAGGGGGGGGGGGGTCGCCAAGGCTTTGGTCAAAGCTGGTGGTGATAAAATCAAAGAGGAATGCAAAGCCCTTGGAACAGCCCCTCTGTTTTCAACACAGTATACTGGTGCTGGAAAGTTGTTAGTTAATCAAATTGCTCATGTCATAGGCCCCGGGAAACCCAGCTATCAAGATCTGAAGAAATGTCTCGACAATTTTTTCGATGATTTGTCAGGAAAAGGCATTACAGATGTATCATTTTCTGCCATCGGTGCCGGAGCAATGGGTTTCTCGGAAAGGGAATCTGTGACTTTGATATTCGATAATATAAGCCGAATGGCCCTTAGCAAAAATCCAACTCTGAATTTGGTTCGCATCGTGATATTTGAGAAGGGAAAGTTTGATCAATTTAAAGATGCAACGAAAAAATATTTTTCATCTGAACCAGAAGCAAGACGCAATCCAAAAAAAAGTTCTAAAAGTTTTAAATTTTGTAAATCAAAGATTAAGGTAAAGGCTCCTGAAGCGAGTGGTTTGTCAGTCAAGATATTTTCCGATGACATGAAGTGTGTTGAAAGTGGCTGGTCAGACTTTTTAAAGAGAATGAAAGAAAATCTCAAAAAGCATACCATTTGTAATGAAACAATCAAAAAATTTGGCGAGAGTGAAAAGAAAAAAATTTCTGAAGTAGAGCGTAACTTTGATGTCACTATTAAGATAGACTTCACCAAAGGAGAGGCGTGTATTAATGGTAATGTTAAAGATTTCCCTAAAATTAACGACGAATTGGGCAATATGTTTAAAGAAATTGAAGAAAAAGAAAACAGCAAAGGTAGGATCATTTTAAGTGCGGAAACTGTGCGTTAGAAGAGTAAATTTCAATTCTTGCTCAAGTGCAATGGGGGAATTTCGCCGTATTAAATTTAGTGGTATATTTTTTTGAGAAATAGGAACGAGTGGGTTGAATGAGTTGAATGCTTTGATCTTGCACTTTTTTTCAAGCTGAATTAATCTTTTTTTTCACACTGCATCTTCAATAATAAACTTTTAAATGTTTCGTTTGGTTTTGTAGTTCCTGACTATTGGGAAACACCTCCAGACGATAATGTATATCATGCCTTCGAACTTCAACCTAAGAGTGATGAATATATGAAAGTGAAAAACGCATTTGACAAGACCGCAAGCAACGAAATAGTGAAGATTGAAAGAATACAAAACCAGCGTATATATGAGGTGTATAATGTAAAACGTAAGGCTATGAAAGAAAAATATGGCGACGCAGACTTTGCAGATAAAGAGAAACAACTCTTTCATGGTACTTCGAAGGATAATGTTGAAAAAATTAATTCAGGTGGACTGAACAGAAACTTTGCTGGAAAAAATGGTATTGTTCTTATGATGTTATTTTTTTAATCTTTTTTCATTTAATTAACTCCAATGTTTTTTATGTTTTCGTTGGTTATTTTTTAAATCTATAGCCATCGCTTATGGTAAAGGTGTTTATTTTGCACGAGATGCCAGCTATTCCCTTCAGGAAAAATTTTCTCCAAAAGATGCAAATGGATTACGTTATGTGTACTACGCTAGAGTTTTGGTTGGTGACTACGCTAAGGGTAATCCAACCATGTTGGTTCCACCATCAAAAAACACCGCAGATCCAAATGAAACTTATGATTCTGTCGTCGATGACACCAAAAACCCTTCAATATTTGTAATGTTTAAAGATTACCAGTATTATACTGAATATCTTATTACTTTTAAGTAACTTAAGTCAATTATTTTAAGATGCACGAAAGTTTTCTTCTTTCGATCATGTATTTATTCAAAATGTCTCAATGAACAATTGCCTGTGAAGTAGGGATCATAATAAAATGTCCAACATAATCGATCAGTTATTTTTTAGTAGAAATGAAAAATTCATTGCACCAAAAGCTGTTTAGTAACAGTAATTATTGAATTATCGTATTTACGTTTAATCAATGCACTTATCATAAAGGTTGACTAAGCTGGGATTTAGTCCCACCAATAAGTTTCCTGCACATGATTTATTGATTCTGATGTATTTTAGTTCCACTGACTTTGCTCAACGTTTTTTGCCTATATTCAAACATTCACTTAGAGAAGTATTTGTATTGTGTTTTATATTTTCTGCACTTCTTACTTCGACAATGTATATTCCAATTATAAAAATGCTCAAGTGTTAAGATTTTGTACGGTGTTGTTTTGTCGAGTGATTTTCTCTGTTAATGCAAACGACAGGCATTTCTTGATAGGCGTTCTGATTAGAAGTTTTGAAGGACTTTTCTAATTCCGAAATTTCAAACTTTTCAGAGGGATGCTTACCAAACTTAAAAACGCTCCGCGTATTCTAGCAGACTTTTGGATATTCTTCAAAAATAAACTTAGTGGTGCCTTACTTTTTGTGATAAGTTTCAGTCAGAGGATTAGCACTATAACGTAGATTTTGATTCGGGCTTTATGTGAAAATTGGAATCTTTCGGAGGCCGAGGAAGATTTTGAGACTTGAACGATCGCGGCAGTCATCATGTTATTGTGTTTGAACTTTGATGTTGCTTGCTTATAAATTATAATAGCCTAAAGTTGCCTTAGGAAATCAATGAATGACATGATGATAGTAAGTTGGCACGGCGTCACCATCATTTCCACCACCAATCACCATAGCTTTCTAAGTATTGGAAAGTTATTCTGTTGACTTTCACACATTTTAGCAGACTTGGATGCATCCATTTAACCTTATTTGAATAGAGAAGTAAAATGACTGAACTTCTAAAGGAAGGCAAGAGTAGATACTAGTTTCAAATTTAAATTCAACTATCAAAATTTTACATAGAAATGTAATTTTATTCCATTTATTTTACGAAGATGTAATTTTATTCCATTCTGTAAAAATGCAATTTTATTCCATTCTGTATGAATGTAATTTTATTCCATTCTGTAAAAATGCAATTTTATTCCATTCAGTATAAATGTAATTTATTCCATTCTGTAAAAATGTAATTTTGTTCCATTCCATGAAAATGTAATTTTATTCGATTCCGTAAAAATGTAATTTTATACCAAACTTATTAATCCTTGTTAGACAAGTAAACTCCCCTTTGAATGTAAGTTGGATGCAATGGCACTTGTTGAATCTACTTTCAATTATAACAATGAGATTGTGCTAGTTGAATGGCATGATCATTGGCATAGCCAGCCCATAAATTTGGTTATACTATGCAAATATTTTGTTCTGTCATTGTAAGTACAAACAATTAATAGATTTCTAAGAAATCGATAATGCTAACTTATCTGAGATTTACGTACATACATTGCCCTGATTGCAGGCTGGCTACGACAGAGGATAAGATGAACAATAACATATGATGTATAAAGGTACACCTGTATAATGGTAAAGTGTTGATTGCAGTTGATATTTATTTAAATTTCTGAGTTAAACATCAACATAAAACAATTTGACATACTGTACATCCAAAACTGAAGTCTGAACATATGAAACTGTTTTGCACTTCCTTAATGAAAATTCTACATCATAACTTGCACTTCCTTAATGAAAATTCTACATCATAACTTGCACTTCCTTAATGAAAATTCTACATCATAACTTGCACTTCCTTAATGAAAATTCTACATCATAACTTGCACTTCCTTAATGAAAATTCTACATCATAACTTGCAATTTCTAAACTTGAGTTAAGATTTTTCAACTCAATCTATAAATTGTAATGATCAAAGTTAACTTATTCACCTTTGATGTTGTTATCAGTCTTAGTAATGTCTAACAGTGACTCTTCAATAACAAAATTTTGTATGTCATCATTTGGAGTTCTATTTGTGTCTAAGAGCCCAAATGAGCCTTGTATATAAGTATACTCCTTACATAACATGCTACACGTTCCTGGAGTCTGTAGAGACCCATTATTCATTGATTAAAGAATCGTATAACAAAGATGAGCTGTTTCTGAAAATTTATCTTTAATTTTACAATAATTTGTTAACAATACGGCTTGATTTGCAATTGGACATTTAATATTCAACAACATATTGTACAATTGTTAGTATAAATTACAATTGGAAGCAAATTTTAATGAATGGCATAGTATATAAACACATATATTTAACTTCCATAAGTTCCGTGATATTTATTTCCATAATACCTTTAACAACCTTTGACGCCATTTCATTTGTTTTCGTATAATATATTATGCTATTGACTTTAACGAACATTTGCTATTTACTTTTATTCAATTATATTTTTTTTTATGTTATACTTGAGCCTGCAATCTACCAACAAAATACGTGATTTGGCGATTTCACAATTTTAGGTCTCTGACAGAGGTGATTATGGCCTAGCGTTTATGAATTGGCCAACTGTACGCAATGGATTTCAGTAAAACAATTGTCGTTTTAAATCCTCCATCAGGAGTAGGTGAAGATGAATTCACGATTCACTTTCAGAAGAAAAAGAATGGTGGAGGTGACGTTGATGAGGTTAAACTGGAGAAAGGTGTTGCTTTTGTAATCTTCGACTCTTCGGAAGGTTTGTGGTGACAAATAAATTTATCGAAAGTAAAACTTTATATCAATTATTTAGTGCAGTATCTTTTCCGCCTTTTATAGTTGAGCTCAATCATCTGACATTGGATACTACACTAATACAATTGTATTTTGTGAACTTTCGTTTTCACTCATTCACTCTGAACGTTTTAAGAGCGATTGAACGGTCCCCAGCTTGTGTTTCTTTTATCTTAATTCAAAGTTTGACATGCTGTATTTCTATACAATTGGTAATTCTTGTATCAATTACTATAGAGTAAAGATGACTGAAAATAAGTGGTATAAAGCCTGACAATCAACTAGCTTCCTTCATATCAATACTGTATTTTTTTTCATAGATTCCGTAAAAGTCTTAAATCATCCTCAAAAACAAATAATTAAGGGTTGTGAACTTGATGTTCGGTCATACAGTTCATGGTTGGAAACTACTCAGGTATTTATATTTTATGGTTATATTTTTTACTAAACTATATGGTCTGTGAGCACGAGTTATGCAAACTGTGCTATTCATCAAGTATGATTGCTTTCGTTTAGGAAAATGAAAACAGTGCCTCGGCAACAGTGACGACGTTGATTCAGTTCCTACAAAGATGACGAGGATAAAGCCACGATCTATGTCAGCGGTCTTAAAGAGTCAACGAATGATGAAACGATCACACTATTTTTGAAAATAAACGAAGAACTGGTGGAGGTGAACTTCGTGATGGGAAAGAAGGATTTGAGCGATTGTCACCAACCGTCGCTCGTTTGACTTACGTTTCCTCAAAAGGTAATGTGGAAACTCAAATGATGAAAAGGAATTGAAAAAATAATTTTTAAGAAACGTATTTTGTCTGAACGAATCTCCCTAGACGCTGAAAACGTGCTGAAAAGGGCGAAAGAAAAGCCCCATGTACTCAATGGGTGTCCTGTACAAGTTACCGCTGACTATATAACCACCGAGGACCGAAGTATATTGATGATTACAAATCTCAGTTCTGATATCAACGTGGAGACATTGACTAACTTTGTTGAATCAAAGAAGAATACAGTTGTCTTCAAGATATTTCTTGGAAAAGATGGAAAAGCTGTTGTTATCCTTGAAGAGGAAATTAAAGGTATTTGTGGGTCGATGATCAAAGATTACAGTACACTTTAATGATTTTAATAGTTTGCACTTTATTTTTGGCTTGATTGAATACTTGTACTACGTCATGGAATATTGAGTAAATTTTGAATGATTTCTAGATGAAGATGATTATAAAGAAAAAAACAGCTCCAAAAATTTGACCTTAGGAGAGCGTTCAGTGTCTTTGAAATTTGCTCCACTGACCAAGGGGATAAGAGTGAAGAAAATACCAAAAACCACAACTAAAGATGATGTCAAATACAAATTTTTAAATCATAGATTTGGTGGAGGTGAAGTCATCAATATGGATTATGATCAAAATAACGGAATTGCCGAACTTTTTTTTGAAAGTTCGTCAGGTATGTCAACTTTTTCTTTTTGTAACCGTTTTTACTTCAAAAGGATTTAATTTTTGATTAAATATTGAATTAGCTTTGTAGTATACTAACTTTAAATGTGAACCTCATGTGTCATGATCTATAGATACTTAAAAAGACCCTGTGATTTGGTATTGCTCAACTTTCGTTTTATATGAAAATTGACATAATGTGGCTGAACTTGAATTGAAATTTCATTTTAGTTGTTTCCAACTTGGTAAAGAAAGATCATGTCATTAAGGAGACATCTTTAACTGTTCTGCCTTTATATGATGATTTTGAAGAATTGGACGAACCTGAAACCAATATAACAGAATTTCATGGCGACATCCCTTGTGAAAGCAACGTCGCTGACTATATGATGCGTCATCACAATATGTCTCAGTTTGATTTAAAGACAATGACATACGATGAAAGCATGTCGACTTTTCATTTTACAAAGGATATTGAAGATCCTAAGGATGGAGAAGATCTAAGTAAAAGGTTAAAAGTATACGTTAATTCTTTTGGAAAGGAAACGTTGGTAATTCCCACAGTTGTTTTCGATCAAGTAAAGCTGAAGGTTCTTGAAAACAAAGTTGACTCAGAAATCGAGGTAAGATTTGAGAAGCCAAACGTTGTTCTTTTTGGACGCAAGAAAGAAATTACGATGAAAAAGAAAGACATTGAAAAATTGGTCGATGAGCTCACATCTGCCGCCAAGACGGAATCCGTTAAAATTACGGTAAGATATAAAAATGTTTAATAATAGAAATCACATTTGAAAACGTTTCTGGTAATTTTCGTGTGGTTATTTTTACCTAATTATATCGTCTATGAACACGAGTTTTGCAAACTGCACAGTTTATTACATGTACTCCTGGAGTCAAAGTATTCACTTTACCGCGCAGTTTATCTTATGCTTAATTTTCTCCAACAAAAGGAAAATGCCAAACATTGTCTTGGGCAACAATGACAACGTTGATTCATTTCAGGAAGAAGATGATGAAGACAAAGCCACAATTTATGTTAGTGGTTTTAAAGAGTCCTGCACCAAAGACTCGATTACACTATTCTTTGAAAACAAACGAAAATGTGGTGGAGGTGAACTTCGTGATGGGAAAGAAGGATTTACGCGATTGTCTCCAACCGTAGCTCGGTTGACTTACGTTTCCTCAAAAGGTAGTAGATATAAACTCAAAGGATAAAAAATTATATCAATATGTGATTGTTTGTGGTAATGTATATGTTGCTTGAACGAATCTCCTTAGACGCTGAAAACGTGTTGAAAAAGGCCAAAGAAACACCCCTTGTACACGAAGGGAGTCCGCTTCAAGTGACCGCTGACTACGTACCCACCGAGGACCAAAGTATATTGATGGTCACAAATCTCAGTCCTGATATAAACGTTGAGACATTGAAGAACTTTGTTGAATCAAATAAGAATACAGATGTCTTTAAGATTTTTCTTGGAAAACATGGAAAAGCTGTTGTTATCCTTGAAGAGGAAATGAAAGGTATTTGTGGTTCGATGATCAAAGATTACAGTACACATCAATGATTTTAATAGTTTGCACTTTATTTTTGGCTTGATTGAATACTTGTACCACGTCATGGAATATTGAATTAATTTTGAATGATTTCTAGATGAAGATGATTATAAAGAAAAAAACAGCTCCAAAAATTTGACATTGAGGGCGTTCAGTGTCTTTGAAATTTGCTCCACTGACCAAGGGAATAAAGGTGAAGAAAATACCAAAAACCACAACTAAAGATGATGTCAAACACAAATTTGGAAATCAAAGAATTGGTGGAGGTGAAGTCATCAACATGGAGTTTGACAAAAATAACGGAATTGCCAAACTTTTTTTTAAAAGTTCGTCAGGTATGTCAACTTTCTTTTTGTAGCCGTCTTTACTTTAAAAGGATTTAATTTTTGATTTAATATTGAATTAGCTTTGTAGTATACCAACTTTAGATGTGAACCTCATGCGTCATGATCTATAGATACTTAAGAAGACTCTGTGATTTGATATTGCTCAACTTTCGTTTCATATGAAAATTGACATAATGGCCTGAACTTGAATTGAAATTTCATTTTAGTTGTTTCCAACTTGGTAAAGAAAGATCATGTCATTAAGGAGACATCTTTAACTGTGCTGCCTTTATATGATGACTTTGAAGAATTGGATGAATCGGAAAGTAAAATAAAAGAATTTCATGGCGACATCTATGCTGACAGTGACGTCATCAAACATGTATTGTTTCATGGCGATTTGTTACAGTTTGATTTAAAGTCAATGAAATACGATGAAGCCAAGTCGACTGTTCATTTTACAAAGGATGTTAAAGATCCCAAAGATGGAGAACATCTTACTACAAGGTTGAAAATATTTGTCGATTCATTTGCTAAGGAAACTTTAACGATTCCTACATTTGTTTATGATCAAGTAAAGCAGGATGTTCTTGAAAATAGAGATGAATCTGAAATCAAGGTTAAATTTGAAAAGTCCGGCATTGTTCTTATCGGACGCAAAATCGATGTCAAAATAAAAAAGAAAGATATTCAAAAACTGGTTGATAAACTCACAGCTGCCGCCAAGAAGGATCCCCTTGATATTGAGATAAAAGATAAAGATAAGTTTCATTTTTTGATTGCCATTGGATATTTCACAGACCTGTTGGTCGAGTTTCCAGATGTGGAAATTCCTGGTATTGAAGGGAGTACCGGAAGTAAATTGACTGTTCTTGGGACAGCTGAAGGCGTTAAAAACATGAAGTTGAGAGTTTTTGAGGATCTTGATAAAATACACGTTATTAAAATTGAGATGAGTGATCGTCAAATTGATTTCTTAAAACGCACAAAATGTAAGATAGCCAACGAAGCATTAAAAAAAGACAAGATAATGTTGATTCTTAAAGAGGTTGAAGGCCATGTTGGCGCTAAAGGTTTACAGCCTCAGTTGATGTTCTTGAAGGAGCCTGGTAACGTCGAGGTAAAGTGAAATAAATACGAAATTCTCTTTTATAAAAATTATACCGCAGTTAACTTATCAGTGAATATCGCGTAACACTTTCGTTTTCACTATCACTAATTAACATATCTAAATATGGTGTAAACATGCTTCTTCAGGCAGCTCACTCCTTTATAAGAATTTTTTTTATTAACTTGAGCTTGATTAGGTGCGTCATTCATGGATGTTGTTATCATACATATAGTTGTATATAGTGCGTAAATATTTTTAATGTCGGTGTCTTGACAAATTAGGAAGAACGAGTTGTTGAAATCATAAAATCGAAAACGTCAGAAAAGTTAGTAAAGATTGATAAAGAAACTGGAAAATTTTGGCAAAGTCCGACCATTTATCGACGTTTATAAAGAGCAATTGAATAAAACAAGGTTTTATATGCACTGAACTCGCGAATCCAGATAACATCTGGATTATTTGTGAAGAATCTAAGATGAAGGATGCCGAACAAGATTTGAGAAATTTAATTGCCGAAAATGAAATTGACAACGGCGTCTTTAAACCAGTGATATCCGCAAAAGTTCGTTTCCTACAAGAACATCGTTGGGACAGAATCATGAACAAAATGCAGGAATTGAAAAATGAAGGAGTTGATGTTGAAAAAACTGCCGATACAAATTCACTTCGAGTGAAGGGAACTCCAAAAGGAAAAAAGAAAATGATAGAATATCTTGATAAGAAGGCAGGGGGAATTAATTCAAAGGTTCGTATTTCTGGTTTTTTTCTTTCGAACAACTCTTGATTTTTTTTATTTCGGACAGTTTTGGTTTGTTAATTGATCTTGTCAAAAGATAATTACAAGCTTTTGGATTCGTGACCTCAATGGATCGCAGTGACGTAGAATAAGTGATCTTTTCGGTCGCTTTTATGTGGTCGAACATATAAATTTCAAAATAATTTTTCCGAAAAACCCTGTATATGTGATGTATATGTGATGTTTGGGTTTCTTGATTTCTGTGAGTATTAAGTTACGTTTAGAGCACATGTCCTTGCATTGTAATCCATAAAACTTTGTTAAATGGATTATAGTTAGATATTAACTAAATCGTGATCCACATGATCTAGTGTTGTTATGTACGTGGTCAATCACTTATCACTTAAAGGTCTTGATCTATGAAAATTTGTGGAAATTATTAAAATAATGTCTTTCCTTCACATTTTAGACCTTCCCGCTTTCCAAACCGGGAATGAAGAAACAAATGAGTTCGGATGCAACAAATGCCATCATTAGTGGAATTGAAAAAAAACATAACTGTGTGATTGAGAAAATTATGGCTCACGATCTTGACGAAGCCAAAGATGATTTCGCTGTTGCTGAGGATGATCATAAGCCGGATGGGAAATCATCAATGAATCTTCCATTCGATTCTATGTCTTACGTTAATGATAAAGTTGTAAAAATGACTTCCGGTCAAAGAATCACCATAGCTGTTGGTGACATTGCAAAAGAAAAGGTAAGCTGGCCATAACGTTGTCAATTTACAGACCTGTTGGAAGAGGGTAAGAGAAATGAGCTGACTGCAGCCCCTGGGATTTTTACTCTTCCTCCCTTAATGGTGCTTGCTGCTGATGGACTTGTATTATCTTCTGTAAAATATGTAATGCATAAATTATACATGTTGCCTCTAGGTTGATGTTATTGTCAATAGTACAAATGAAAAAATGGATTTAAATGCGAATCCTGTTGGAAAGGCTTTACTTAAAGTTGCGGGGACGACTTTTGGAGGAATGCAAGAAAATTGGTGAAATTAAAGTTGGAGGTGTTGTGGTAACTGGAGGTGGAAAACTCAACTGCAAAAGTGTTTATCATGTTCGTTTATCTGAATGGCAACAGGGCGATGGAGCCAAGGTAAACAGAGAATATTAGATGATCTTAGTTGACATGCTTTGGAGAAAACAGCCAGCATCATGTTTAAAAATGAGTACTACGAGTAAAATTGAATGATTTGTGTTTCATTCTTCTATGATGCATTTTCTGACAACACATTTGTTTATTTGGGCTTTCGATCTGCAGTGGTTACAACATTGTAGGTCTTAATTGTAACTTTTTATAGTGACGTAGCAAACTCGACTGTTGTGGGTCACATATATATTGTGCTGTATTATGTTCTTTTCAAGTCAATTGTTTTTTACGGGTTATATAGGAAAATGGTGCCCCTCTCCTTTATCGAGCTTGCCACCCTACTGTTGTAACTTTGTTTGTTACCCTATTCATTTATTCCCTTTCACTCGTAGACTGCAGGTTGGCAGGCTACATTCATGCGTCTTCAATCATATAATTTTTACATACGCAGGTTCTCAGGTCTATAGTAAAGAATTGTGTCACGAAAAGCGAAAGCCAAAACTTCCATTCGATTGCATTTCCGCCATTGGAACTGGAAATTTGAAATTCCCACGGTCGGAGGTTGTTAAAATCTTTTTTGAAGAAGTCACTTCTTATTTTACTGTGAATCCTCAATCGAAAGTTAATAATGTTCGATTCGTGGCGTACGGTGGAGATAAAGAAACCGTTGATGCATTCTTAGGTTTGTTAAATAATGATGTAGTTTTTAAAGCGAACTTAAGTCAAACATTGATGGTGTTTTATTCGATGCAATAATAAGTATGACCACCAGGCATTGCCTTGGCAACACACTTACAATATTTTTTGTTGTATTCAGGTGCTGTGGAAGAGATGAAGCCTATTTTATCAGCAACTAAAACAAATATTCCATCACACGATCTGGGTTTTCCTGGCCAATCACAATCTGAATTTGTACAATCCTTTACACCAAGTAGCGCAACAACAAGTGAAAACCCAGACGGTAGCCTAGAGGTAAAGTTTCCAAAACAAACACCTCGAGTTGAAATCGTCTGCGCTGACATCAGCCAAGAAACCACTCAATTGATAATGCACGTGACTAATGAAAACTTCTCGTTGCAAGGTCGCCAAGGCTTTGGTCAAAGCTGGTGGTGATAAAATCGAAGAGGAATGCAAAGCCCTTGGAACAGCCCCTCTGTTTTCAACACAGTATACTGGTGCTGGAAAGTTGTTAGTTAATCAAATTGCTCATGTCATAGGCCCTGGAACACCCAGCTATCAAGAGCTGAAGAAATGTCTCGACAATTTTTTCGATGATTTGTCAGGAAAAGGCATTACAGATGTATCCTTTTCTGCCATCGGTGCCGGTGCAATGGGTTTCTCGGAAAGGGAATCTGTGACTTTGATATTCGATAATATAAGCCGAATGGCCCTTAGCAAAAATCCAACTCTTAATTTGGTTCGCATCGTGATATTTGAGACGGGAAAGTTTGATCAATTTAAAGATGCAACGAAAACATATTTTTCATCTAAACCAGACGCAAGAAGCAATCCAAAAAGAAGTATTGAAAGTTTTAATGTTTTTCGTTCGAAGACATTTGGTAAATCAAAGATTAAGGTAAATGCTCCTGAAGCGAGTGGTTTGTCAGTCAAGATATTTTCCGATGACATGGAGTTTGTTGACAGTGCTTGGTCAGACTTTTTAAAGAGAATGGAAGAAAATATCGTAGAGCATAACATTCGTAACGAAACTATCAAAAAATTTGGTGAGAGTGAAACGAAAAAAATTTCTGAAGTAGAGCGTAACTTTGATGTCACAATTAAGGTAGACTTTACCAAAGGAGAGGCCTGTATTAATGGTCATGTTTTAGATATCCCTGAAATTATCGCTGCATTGGGCGATATGTTTAAAGAAATTGAAGAAAAAGAAAACAGCAAAGGTAGGATCATTTTAAGTGCGGAAACTGTGCGTTAGAAGAGTAAATTTCAATTCTTGCTCAAGTGGAATGGGAGAATTTAACGTGTTAAAATTTAGTGGTATATTTTTTTGAGAAATATGAACGAGTGGGTTGAATGAGTTGAATGCTTTGATCTTGCACTTTTTTTAAGCTATTTCGAATGAATTAATCTTTTTTTCACACTGCATCTTCAATATTGAACTTTTAAATGTTTCGTCTGGTTTTGTAGTTCCTGACTATTGGGAAACCCCTCCAGACGATAATGTATATCATGCATTCGAACTTCAACCTAAGAGTGATGAATATATGAAGGTGAAAAACGCATTTGACAAAACGGCAAGCAAGGAAATAGTGAAGATTGAAAGAATACAAAACCAGGGTATATATGAGCTGTATAATGTAAAACGTAAGGCTATGAAAGAAAAATATGGCAACGCAGATTTTCCAGATAAAGAGAAATATCTCTTTCATGGTACTTCGAAGGATAATGTTGAAAAAATTAATTCAGGTGGACTGAACAGAAGCTTTGCTGTAATACATGGTATTGTCTTGGGATGTTAAATTTTTATTTTTATTATTTTTCATTGAATTAACTCCAATGTTTTTTTTATGTTTTCGTTGGTTATTTTTTAAATCTATAGCCACCGCTTTTGGTAAAGGTGTTTATTTTGTACGAGATGCCAGCTATTCCCTTGGGGAAACATATTCTCCAAAAGATGCAAATGGATTACGTTATATGTACTACGCTAGAGTTTTGGTTGGTGACTACGCTAAGGGTAATTGTACCATGTTGATTCCACCATCAAAAAACACCGCAGATCCAAACGAAACCTATGATTCTGTTGTCAACGACACCAAAGATCCTTCAATATTTGTCATGTTTAAAGATTACCAGTATTATACTGAATATCTTATTACTTTTAAGTAACTTAAGTCAATTATTTTAAGATGCACGAAATTTTTCTTCTTTCGATCATGTATTTATTCAAAATGTCTCAATGAACAATTGCATGTGAAGTAGGGATCATAATAAAATGTCCAACATAATCAATGAGTTATTTTATTGTAGAAATGAAAAATTCATTGCACCAAAAGCTGTTTAGTAACAGTAATTATTGAATTATCGTATTTACGTTTAATCAATGCACTTATCGTAAAGGTTGACTAAGCTGGGATTAAGTCCCACCAATAAATTTCCTGCACATGATTTATTGATTCTGATGTATTTTAGTTCCACTGACTTTGCTCAACGTTTTTTGCCTATATTCAAACATTCACTTAGAGAAGTATTTGTATTGTGTTTTATATTTTCTGCACTTCTTACTTCGACAATGTATATTCCAATTAAAAAAATGCTCAAGTGTTGAGATTTTTTACAGTGTTGTTTTTTCGAGTGATTTTCTCTGTTAATGCAAAAAGCTTTTTTCATTTGTTTAAACGTGCATAAGATAGGCATTTCTTGATACGCGTTCTGATTAGAAGTTTTGAAGGACCTTTCTAATTCCGAAATTACTTTTCTGAGGAATGCTTACTAAACTTAAAAACGCTCCGCGTATTCTAGCAGACGTTTGGATATTCTTAGTGGTGCCTTATTTTTTGTGATAAGTTGCAGTCAGAGGATTAGCACTATAACGTAGATTTTGTTTCGGGCTTTATGTGGAAATTGGAATCTTTCGGAGGCCGAGGAAGATTTTTGAGACTTGAACGATCGCCGCAGTCCTTATCTTGTTGTGTTTGAACTTTGGTGTTGCTTGCTTGTAATAGCTTAAAGTTGCCTTAGGAAATCAATGAATGACATAATGATAGTAAGTTGTCACCGCGTCACCATCATTTCCACTACACAACATGCACGCCGTGCGGACCTGCTTTTTCAAATCTGTAAGTCGCACTTTTTCATGAGACAGCCAAGCGGACGATTGGTAAAATGCACGCGCAATGAAGCAATTAGTAAATTGGCGGAAAATGGCCGAAAACGTGCATCATAAACGAAGATTTGTATAAATGAAAGTTCTGTTTGAAGAGAATGAAGTCTGGTTAGTGTCGGGTCGTGATTTAATTTTATAAACTTAGAGGGGTTAGAGAAGAGGGATTCAACAGAAGATATATAATCAGAGCGGTTTAGTATAATGCCATTTCCCTTATCAGGCTTGAGAATGGCAAATGTTTCGGTTAATTTGAGCAGAATATTTCTCTTCATGCGCCCTAACTTAAATTCTTTTAGGTCTAAATCAATATAATTGTATGTAAAAGAGCGAAGTGAGTTTTTAACCTTATCTTCAACATATCGTCCTTCCTTAAAAGAATCCAGTCTTGAAATTTGTCTCCAGACGTCTTCAGCAATAGCCATTTACTAGTTGGTTCGGTCGAGTGGAAGACCATATCTGAGTCCTAGTTTCAGCACATCTAGTTCATCAGAAGAGAGTGAGAATTTGTCAGGTTCACTATGGTTTCATTAGGGTTTGCGGTGATGCCATCAGTTGTTCGTTTAAGAGAGATTAAGACACAGCTTTTTGATGTTTGGAAGCGATTTTGGTTTTCTCAGATGAGAGCAAACGGTTGATGGAAAAGCATATGAGTTTGCATTTCATCCACGTGGTGCGTTGAAATAGTTGATGTTTAAGATCAGTGGTTTCTGTGGTAAGTTTAGAAAGTGATGTCTTTTTGTCATGAATGGCGTCGTTCAACAGCAAATGTAAATATCGTGCTTGAGTTTTCTTTTTCTTTATGCGTGTGATATTCTTCCATCTTACAAATTTCGGGTAGACTTGATTATTCTTACTCTATTCTGTCTGAGGATGACTTTGAAATAAAGTCGAAAATTTAAAGTTCTGTTTGGTGCGCGCTTTTTGCCTGCTAATATTATTTGAATCCTCACATATTCAATGATATAAGCGGATGATGTCTTACAGAGTGTATTTTGGAGATTACCGGAGGCCCTGACACAAGATGAATTTGAAAAGCTCATAGCTGAGTTTGGTAAGGCGAGAAACATTGAATGGAAGTCTGGCTTTGCCTATGTTGATTACAAGCACGGTTCTGATGCATCAGAAACTGTTCAAAATCTCAATGGGAAGAAAAATCAATGGATATCCTTGTTGAACTGGCACAAAACGGTGTACAAGGGCATGCAGTTGCTGGGCCACGTAATTACACAATACAAAAAGAAGCTCTTGGTATGAAGAAATAAAAAGTCACATGCACTAGAAGGTGTCAAATCAGTAATTATTCATACCAACCACCATAGCTTTATAAATATTGGAAAGTAATTCTGTTGACTTTCACACATTTTAGCAGATTTGGATGTATTCATTTAACCTCATTTGAATAGAGAACTAAGATACACAGAACTACTAAAGGAAGGCAAGAGTAGTTACTAGTTTCAATTTTAAATTCAATGGTCAAAATTTTACAAAGAAATGTAATTTTATTCCATTTATTTTACGAAAATGTAATTTCATTCCATTCTGCAAAAATGTAATTTTATTTCATTCTGTAAAAATGTAATTTTATTCCAAACTTATTAATCCTTATTAGACAAGTAAACTCGCCTTTGTATGTAAGTTTGTCTTTGATGCAATGGTACTTGTTGAATCTACTTTCAATTATAACGATGAGATCATGCTAGTTGAATGGCACGATCATTGGCATTTATGCCACAAATTTGGTATTGTAAATATTTTGTTCTGTCATTGCAAGTAGAACAATTAATAGATTTCTAAAGAAATCGATAGTGCTAACTTTTCTGAGATTTACGACATTGAACTGACTTGCAGGCTGGCTACACAGGGATAAGATGAGCAATAACATATGATGTATAAAGGTACACCTGTATAATGGTAAAGTGTTGATTGCAGTTGATATTTATTTAAATTTCTGATTAAACATCAACATAAAACAATTTGACATACTGTACATCCAAATTGAAGTCTGAACATATGAAACTGTTTTGCACTTCCAATGAAAATTCTACATCATGTAACTTTCATTCTTTAATGAAAATTCTACATCATAACTTGCACTTCCTTAATGAAAATTCTACATCATAACTTGCACTTCCTTAATGAAAATTCTACATCATAACTTGCACTTCCTTAATGAAAATTCTAAATCATAACTTGCACCTTCTAAACTTTAGTTATAATTTTTCAACTCAATCTATATCAATGATCAAAGTTAGCTTATTCATTTCTGATGTGGTTATCAGTCTTAGTAATGTCTAACAGTGAGTCTTTAAGAACAAAATTCTGTCTGTCATCATTTAGAGTTCTATTTGTGCCAATGAGCCCAAATGGGCCTTGTATATAAGTATACTCCTTACATAACATGCTACAAGTTCCTGCATTCTGTAGAGGCCAATTATTCATCGATTAAAGGATTGTACAACAAAAAATGAACTGTTTCTGAGAATTTATCTGTAATTTTACAATAACTTACAATTGGACATTTAATATCCAAGAACATATTGTACAATTGTTAGTATAAATTACAATTGGAAGCAAATTTTAATGAATGGCATAGTATATAAACACATATATTTAAGTTCCATAAGTTCCGTGATATTTATTTTCATAATACCTTTAACAACCTTTGACTCCCTTTCTCAATGTAATTAAGCCATTTCATTTGTTTTTATATAATATATTATGCTGTTGACTTTAACCAACATTTGCTATTTACTTTTATTCAATTATTTTATTATTTTATGTTATACCTTGAGCCCGCAATCTACCAACAAAACACGTGACAAAACAGAGAATCCACGCGATTGTTTATACTTTTCGTGGAATTGTAGTGAAAGTGAAATTCGATTTGGCGATTTCACAATTTTAGGTCTCTGACGAAGGTGATTATGGCCTAGCGTTTATGAACTGGCCAACTGTACGCAATGGATGACAGTAGAACAATTGTCGTTTTAAATCCTCCATCAGGAGTAGGTGAAGATGAGTTCACCACTCACTTTCAGGAGAAAAGTAATGGTGGAGGTGACGTTGATCAGGTTAAACTGGAGAAAGGTGTTGCTTTTGTAATCTTTCACTCTTCGGAAGGTTTGTGTTGACAAATAAATTTATCGAAAGTAAAACTTTATATCAATTATTTAGTGCAGTATGTTTTCTGCCTTTCATAATTGAGCTCAATCATCTGACATTTCATAGTGCACTAACGCAATTCTATTTTGTGAACTTTCGTTTTCACCTATTCACTCTGAACGTTTTTAAGAACGATTGAACGGTCCCAAGCTTGTGTTTCTCTTATGTTAGTTCAAAGTTTGACATGCTGTATTTCTATACAATTTGTAATTCTTGTATCAATAACTCTAGAGTAAAGATGACTGAAAATAAATAGTACAAAGCCTGACAATCCACTAGCTTCCTTCATCACACAACTGTATTTTTTTCATAGATTCTGTAAAAGTCTTAAATCATCCTCAAAAACAAATAATTAAGGGTTGTGAACTTGATGTTCGGTCATACAGTTCATAGTTGAAAACTACTCAGGTATTTATATTTTATGGTTAAATTTTTTTACCAAACTATATGGTCTGTGAGCATGAGTTATGCAAACTGTGCTATACATCGTAAGTATGATTGCTTTCATTTAGGAAAATGAAAACAGTGCCTCTGGCAACAGTGACGACGTTGATTCAGTTCCTACAAAAGATGACGAGGGTAAAGCCACGATCTATGTCAGCGGTCTTAAAGAGTCAACGAATGATGAAATGATAGCACTATTATTTGAAAATAAACGAAGAACTGGTGGATGCGAACTTCGTGATGGGAAAGAAGGATTTGAGCGATTGTCTCCAACCGTAGCTCGTTTGACTTACGTTTCGTCAAAAGGTAGTAGATATAAACTCAAAGGATAAAATATTATATCAATATGTGATTGTTTGTGGTATTGTATATGTTGCTTGAACGAATCTCCTTAGACGCTGAAAACGTGTTGAAAAAGGCCAAAGAAACACCTCTTGTACACGAAGGGAGTCCGCTTCAAGTGACCGCTGACTACGTACCCACTGAGGACCGAAATATATTGATGGTCACAAATCTCAGTCCTGATATCAACGTGGAGACATTGAAGAACTTTGTTGAATCAAAGAAGAATACAGTTGTCTTGAAGATTTTTCTTGGAAAACATGGAAAAGCTGTTGTTATCCTTGAAGAGGAAATTAAAGGTATTTGTGGGTCGGTGATCAAAGATTACAGTACACTTCGATGATTTTAATAGTTCGCACTTTATTTTTGCCTTGATTGAATACTTGTACCACGCCACTGATTATTGCGCAAAATTTGAATGATTTCTAGATGAAGATGATTATAAAGAAAAAAACAGCTCCAAAAATTTGACACTGGGAGGGCGTTTAGTGTCTTTCAAATTTGCTCCACTGACCAAGGGAATAAAGGTGAAGAAAATGCCAAAAAATGCCAATAGCGAGGATGTCAAGTATAAATTTTCTAATCGAAAAACTGGTGGAGATGAAGTCACTAATATGGAGTTTGACCAAAACAACGGAATTGCTAAAATTTTTTTGATAAGTTCATCAGGTATTGAACGTTTTTCTTGGCAACTGTCTTTTTTTTAAAATGATGTTATTTTTTGATAAAATATTGGAATGGCAAGCTGAGCTGGATTTAGGGGAGCCTTGGCTAGAGTGGGTTGCGGTAAGGGTGCTAATTTCCCAACAAAATACTAACATACCAAACATTTAGCCAAAGCAATTGCGAATAGTATTTGATAGAGCACACTTCCATAAATCTACTAATCATATCAAAAAGATATCAGAATTTAACAAAAAAGTCTGACATACACGCGACAAGTAGCCATCAAAAAATAATCAAAACCAGAGCCCTTCCCCCCCTCTAAGAAAAGCATTGTGAATCTATCCCTGATAGCTAGCTTGCAAACTTTAATTTTGAATTCCAATTTCATTTTAGCTGTTTCAAACCTGGTGAAGAAAGATCATGTCATTAAGGACACGTCTTTAACTGTACTGCCATTATATGAAGATTTTGAAGAATTGGACAAACCTGAAAATAAAATAAAAGAATTTCATGGCGACATCTATGCTGACAGTGACGTCATCAACCATGTATTGTTTCATGACATTTGTTACAGTTTGATTTAAAGTCAATGAAATACGATGAAACCAAGTCGACTGTTCATTTTACAAAGGATTTTAAAGAATCCAAAGATGGAGAAGATCTAAATAAAAGGTTGAAAGAACTCTTTGATTCTATTGGAAAGGAAACTTTGACAATTCCTAAAATTGTTTTTGATCAAGTGCAGCAGAATATCCTTAAAAACAAAGATGAATCTGAGATCGATATAAAATTCAAAAAGTCAACTGTTGTTTTTATAGGACGCAAAAAGGATATCAAAATAAAAAGGAAAGATGTGAAAAAGTTGATCAATGAGCTCGCAGCTGAAGCCAAGAAGGAATCTTTTGAGATTATCATAAGCGAAAAAGAAAAATTTAATTTCTTCATTGCCATTGGATATTTCAACGACGTTATGATCGAGTATCCTAACGTAGAAATTCCGGGTATTGAAGGAAGTACCGAAGGAAAATTGACTGTTCTTGGGACAGCTGAAGGCGTGAAAAACGTGAAGTTGAGAGTTTTTGAGGATCTTGATAAAATACACGTTATTAAAATCGAGATGAGTGATCGACAAATTGATTTCTTAAAACGCACAGAATGTAAGATAGCCAACGAAGCATTAAAAAATGACAAGATAATGTTGATTCTTAAAGAGGTTGAAGGCCATGTTGGCGCTAAAGGTTTACAGCCTCAGTTGATGTTCTTGAAGGAGCCTGGTAACGTCGAGGTAAAGTTAAAAAAAAACGAAATTCTCTTCTATAAAAATTATAACGCAGTTAACTTATCAGTGAATATCGCGTAACACTTTCGTTTTCACTATCACTAATCAACATATCTAAATATGGTGTAAACATCTTCTTCAGGCAGCTCACTCCTTTATAAGAAATTTCTTTATTAACTTGAGCTTGATTAGGTGCGTCATTCATGGATGTTGTTATCATACATATAGTTGTATATAGTGCGTAAATATTTTTAATGTCGGTGTCTTGACTAATTAGGAAGAACGAGTTGTTGAAATCATAAAATCGAAAACGTCAGAAAAGTTAGTAAAGATTGATGAAGAAACTGGAAAATTTTTGGCAGAGTCCGACCGTTTATCGATGTTTATAAAAGAGCAATTGAATAACAACAAGGTTTTAATATGCACTGAACTCGCGAATCCAGATAACATCTGGATTATTTGTGAGGAATCTAAGATGAAGGATGTCGAACAAGATTTGAGAAATTTAATTGCCGAAAATAAAATTGACAACGGCGTCTTTAAACCAGTGATATCCGCAAAAGTTCGTTTCCTACAAGAACATCGTTGGGATCATGAACAAAATGCAGGAGTTGAAAAATGAAGGAGTTGATGTTGAAAAAACTGCCGATGCAAGCTCACTTCGAGTGAAGGGATTTCCAAAAGGAAAAAAGAAAATGATAGAATTTCTTGATAAGAAGGCAAGGGAAATTAATTCAAAGGTTAGTATTTCTGGTGTTTTTCTATCGAACAACTCTTTATTTTCAGACAGTTTTGGTTTGTTAATTGAACTTGTCAAGAGATAATTACAAGCTTTTGTATTTGTGACCTCAATGGATCGCAGTGACGTAGAACACGTGATCTTTTCGGTCGCTTTTATGTGGTCGAACATATAAATTTTGAAATATTTTTTCCGAAAAAGCCTGTATATGTGATGTTTGGGTTTCTTTATTTCTGTGAGTATTAAGTTACCTTTAGACCACATGTCCTTGCATTGTAATCCATGAAACTCTGTTAAATGGATTATAGTTAGGTATTAACTAAATCGTGATCCACATGATCTAGTGTGGTTATGTACGTGGTCAATCACTTATCACTTAAAGGTTTTGATCCATGAAAATTTATGGGAATTATTAAAATAATGTCTTTGCTTCACATTTTAGACCTTCCCACTTTCCAAGCCGGGAATGAAGAAACAAATGAGTTTGGATGCAACAAATGCCATCATTAGTGGAATTGAAAAAAAACATAACTGTGTGATTGAGAAAATTATGGCTCACGATCTCGACGAAGCCAAAGATGATTTCGATGTTGCTGAGGATGATCATAAGCCGGATGGAAAATCAGCAATGAATCTTCCATTCGATTCTATGTCTTACGTTAATGATAAAGTTGTAAAAATGACTTCCGGTCAAAGAATCACCATAGCTGTTGGTGACATTGCAAAAGAAAAGGTAAGCTGGCCAGAACGTTGTCAATTTACAGACCTGTTGGAAGAGGGTAAGAGAAATGAGCAAACTGTTGCCCCTGTGATTTTTACTCTCCCTCACTTAATGGTGCTTGCTGCTGATGGACTTGTATTATCTTCTGTAAAATATGTAGTGCATAAATTATACATGTTGTCTCTAGGTTGATGTTATTGTCAATACTACAAATGAAAAAATGAATTTAAATGCGAATCCTGTTGGAAAGGCTTTACTTAACGTTGCGGGGGACGAAATTTTGGAGGAATAGGAATGCAAGAAAGTTGGTGAAATTAAAGTTGGAGGTGTTGTGGTAACTGGAGGTGGAAAACTCAACTGTAAAAGTGTTTATCATGTTCGTTTATCTGAATGGCAACAGGGCAATGGAGCCAAGGTAAACAGAGGAAATTAGATGGTCTTAGTTGACATGCTTTGGAAAAAACAGCCAGCATCATGTTTTAAAATGAGTACTACGAGTAAAATTGAATGATTTGTATTTCATTCTTCTACAATGCATTTTCTGACAACACCATTTGTTTATTTGGGCTTTCGATCTGCAGCGGTTACAACATTGTAAGTCTCAATTCTAACTTTGTATAGTGACGTAGCAAACTCGACAGTTGTGGGTCCTATATATATAGGCATAGTCTGCTGTAGTATGTTCTTTTCAAGTCAATTGTTTTTACGGGTATATAGGAAAATGGTGCCCTCTCCTTTATCGAGCTTGCCACTACTGTTGTAACTTTGTTTGTTACCCTATTCATTTATTCCTTTCACTCGAAGTCTGCAGATTTGCAGGCTACATTCATGCGTCTTCAATCATATAATTTTACATACGCAGGTTCTCAGGTCTATAGTAAAGAATTGTGTCACGAAAGCGAAAGCCAAAACTTCCATTCGATTGCATTTCCGCCATTGGAACTGGAAATTTGAAATTCCCACGGTCGGAGGTTGTTAAAATGTTTTGAAGAAGTCACTTATTTTACTGTGAATCCTCAATCGAAAGTTAATAATGTTCGATTCGTGGCGTACGGTGGAGATAAAGAAACCGTTGATGCATTCTTAGGTTTGTTAAATATTGACGTAGTTTTTTAAAGCGAAGCTTAAGTCAAACATTGATGGTGTTTTATTCGATGCAATAATAAGTATGACCACCAGGCATTGCCTTGGTAACACACTTACAATATTTTTTGTTGTATTCAGGTGCTGTGGAAGAGATGAAGCCTATTTTATCATCAGCAAAACAAATATTCCATCACACGATCTGGGTTTTCCTGGCCAATCACAATCTGAATTTGTACAATCCTTTACACCAAGTTAGGCAACAACAAGTGAAAACCCAGACGGTAGCCTAGAGGTAAAGTTTCCAAAACAAACACCTCGAGTTGAAATCGTCTGCGCTGACATCATCCAAGAAACCACTCAATTGATAATGCACGTGACTAATGAAAACTTCTCGTTGCAAGGGGGGGTCGCCAAGGCTTTGGTCAAAGCTGGTGGTGATAAAATCGAAGAGGAATGCAAAGCCCTTGGAACAGCCCCTCTTTTTTCAATACAGTATACTGGTGCTGGAAAGTTGTTAGTTGATCAAATTGCTCATGTTATAGGCCCTGCGACACCCAGCTATCAAGATCTGAAGAAATGTCTGGACAATTTTTTCGATGATTTGTCAGGAAAAGGCATTACAGATGTATCCTTTTCTGCCATCGGTGCCGGTGCAATGGGTTTCTCGGAAAGGGAATCTGTGACTTTGATATTCGATAATATAAGCCGAATGGCCCTTAGCAAAAATCCAACTCTGAATTTGGTTCGCATCGTGATATTTGAGAAGGGAAAGTTTGATCAATTTAAAGATGCAACGAAAACATATTTTTCATCTGAACCAGACGCAAGACGCAATTCAACAAAAAGTTTTAAAATTTTTAATGTTTTTCGTTCGAAGATATTTGGTAAACCAAAGAGTAGGGTAAAGAATCCTGAAGCGAGTGGTTTGTCAGTCAAGATATTTTCCGATGACATGAAGTTTGTTGAAAGTGCTTGGTCAGACTTTTTAAAAAGAATGGAAAAAAATCTCAAAGAGCATACCATTGGTAATGAAACAATCAAAAAATTTGGCGAGAGTGAAAAGAAAAAAATTCGTGAAGTAGAGCGTAACTTTGATGTCACAATTAAGGTAGACTTCACCAAAGGAGAGGCCTGTATTAATGGTCATGTTTCAGATATCCCTGAAATTACCGACGCATTCAACAATATTATTAAAGAAATTGAAGAAAAAGAAAACAGCATAGGTAGGATCATTTTAAGTGCGAAAACTGTGCGTTAGAAGAGTAAATTTCAATTCTTGCTCAAGTGCAATGGGGGAATTTCGACTTATTAAAATTTAGTGGTATATTTTTTTGAGAAATACGATCGAGTGGGTTGAATGAGTTGAATGCTTTGATCTTGCACTTTTTTTAAGCTATTTCGAATGAATTAATCTTTTTTTTTACACTGCATTTTCAATATTGAACTTTTAAATGTTTCGTTTCGTTTTGTAGTTCCTGACTATTGGGAAACCCCTCCAGACGATAATGTATATCATGCCTTCGAACTTCAACCTAAGAGTGATGAATATATAAAGGTGAAAAACGCATTTGACAAGACCGCAAGCAACGAAATAGTGAAGATTGAAAGAATACAAAACCAGGGTTTATATGAGCTGTATAATGTAAAACGTAAGGCTATGAAAGAAAAATATGGCGACGCAGACTTTGCAGACAAAGAGAAATATCTCTTTCATGGTACTTCGAAGGATAATGTTGAAAAAATTAATTCAGGTGGACTGAACAGAAGCTTTGCTGGAATACATGGTATTGTACTTGGGATGTTTAATTTCTATTTTTTATCTTTTTCATTGAATTCACTCCAATATTTGTTATGTTTTCGTTGGTTATTTTTTAAATCTATAGCCACCGTTTTTGGTAAAGGTGTTTATTTTGCACGAGATGCCAGCTATTCCCTTGGGGAAACATATTCTCCAAAAGATGAAAATGGATTACGTTATGTGTACTACGCTAGAGTTTTGGTTGGTGACTACGCTAAGGGTGATTCAACCATGTTGGTTCCACCATCAAAAAACACCGCAGATCCAAACGAAACCTATGATTCTGTCGTCAACGACACCAAAGATCCTTCAATATTTGTAATGTTTAAAGATTACCAGTATTATACTGAATATCTTATTACTTTTAAGTAACTTAAGTCAATCATTTTAAGATGCACGAAATTTTTCTTCTTTCGATCATGTATTTATTCAAAATGTCTCAATGAACATTTGCATGTGAAGTAGGGATCATAATAAAATGTCCAACATAATCAATCAGTTATTTTTTAGTAGAAGTAAAAAATTCATTGCACCAAAAGCTGTTTAGTAACAGTAATTGTTGAATTATCATATTTACGTTTAATCAATGCACTTATCATAAAGGTTGACTAAGCTGAGATTTATTCCCACCAATAAGTTTCCTGCACATGATTTATTGATTCTGATGTATTTTATTTCCACTGACTTTGCTCAACGTTTATTGCCTATATTCAAACATTCACTTAGAGAAGTATTTGTATTGTGTTTTATATTTTCTGCGCTTCTTACTTCGACAATGTGTATTCCAATGAAAAACAATGCTCAAGTGTTGAGATTTTTTACAGTGTTGTTTTTTCGAGTGATTTTCTCTGTTAATGCAAACGATAGGCATTTCTTGACAGGCGTTCTGATTAGAAGTTTTGAAGGACTTTTCTAATTCCGAAATTTCAAACTTTTCAGAGGAATGCTTACCAAACTTAAAAACGATCCGCGCGCATTCTAGCAGACTTTTGGATATTATTCAAAAAGAAACTTAGTGGTGCCTTATTTTTTGTGATAAGTTGCACTCAGAGGATTAGCACTATAACGTAGATTTTGATTTGGGCTTTATGTGGAAATTGGAATCTTTCGGAGGCCGAGGAAGATTGTTGAGACTTGAACGATCGCGGCAGTCCTCATCTTATTGTGTTTGAACTTTGGTGTTGCTTGCTTGTAAATTGCAATAGCCTAAAGTTGCCTTAGGAAATCAATGAATTACATAATGATAGTAGTCACCGGGTAACCATCATTTCCACTACACAACATGCACGCCGTGCGGACCCGTTTTTTCAAATCTGTAAGTCGCACTTTTTCACTAGACAGCCAGCGGACGATTGGTAAAATGCACGCGCAATGTAGCAATTTGTAAATTGGCGGAAAATGGCGGTTAGCACTATTTTCCACCCAGCAAACCGCCTTTACTTTACACAATCGTTAATAAATTAAAGATGGCGGCTAATGGGAAAGAACCAAAAGCTAAAAGGAACCATGCATGCACTGGTGCTAGTCGTTTTGAGATGGCGAGTAATTTTATATTTTATAATACAGTTTTAATATCAACATATATGAAAATATTTACAGATAAATGTTGCAGTATAAATTTTCATGCAACCAACCTAAGTTATAAACTTATAATCCAGGCTGGAAAATATGTCGTTTTTCGACGATTGTGTAAAATATTATATAAAATATTATATTGTGTAAAATATTAGATTGTGTAAAATATTATATTGTGTAAAATATTATATTTCAAATAAAGGGCGGTTTGCTGGGTGGAAAATAGTGCTAACCGAAAATGGCCGAAAATGTGCATCATAAACGAAGATTTGTATTAATGAAAGTTCTGCTTGGTGCGCGCTTTTTGCTTGCTAATATTATTTGAATCCTCACATATTCAATGGTATAAGCGGATGATGTCTTACAGAGTGTATTTTGGCAGATTACCGGAGGCCTTGACAAAAGTTGAATTTGAAAAGCTCATAGCTGAGTTTGGTATTAAAGGCGAAAAACATTGAATGGAAGTCTGGCTTTGCCTATGTTGATTACAAGCAAGGTTCTGATGCATCAAAACTGTTCAAAATCTCAATGGGAAAGAGGTGTTATGGAACAATATTCTTGTTGAACTGGCACAAAACGGTGCAGGAGGGTATGCAGTTGCTGGGGCCATATGATTACACAATACACAAAGAAGCTTTTAGTATGAAGAAATAATAAGTCACATGCAATCAGAAATTATTCATACCAACCGCCATAGCTTTATAAATATTGGAAAGTTATTCTGTTGACTTTCACACATTTTAGCAGACTTGGATGCATTCATTTAACGTCATTTGAATAGAGAAGTAAGATGACTGAACTTCTAAAGGAAGGCAAGAGTAGCTACTAGTTTCAATTTTAAATTCAATTTTAAATTCAATTTGTCAAAATTTTACATAGAAATGTAATTTTATTCTATTCTGTAAAAATGTAATTTTATTCCATTCTATAAGAATGTAATTTTATTCCATTCTGTAAAAATGTAATTTTATTCAATTCCGTCAATATGTAATTTTATTAGACAAGTAAACTCCCCTTTGTATGTAAGTTTGTCTTTGATGAAATGGCACTTGTTGAATCTACTTTCAATTATAACAATGAGATCATGCTAGTTGAATGGCACGATCATTGGCATGGCCGCCTACAAATTTGGTTATTCTGTGCAAATATTTTGTTTTGTCATTGCAAGTACAAATAATTAATAGATTTCTAAAGAATTCAATAATGCTAACTTATCTGAGATTTAAGTACGTACAGTGGCGTGACTTGCAGGCTGGCTTTGACAAGGGATAAGATGAGCAATAACATATGATGTATAAAGGCAGTGTGCGAATTAGTTCAGAAAAAACGATGTGCAATTTTTTTGACAAAAGTGTTTCTTTAGAGGCATAATCAAATCGATATTACGTTAATTATTATATAGCATTAATTGCTAAATTAATATTTTGGCAAAACAAATTCATGATTTACGACAGTGTTTTTCATTAAAACCACTAATTTTTGCATATCGTTTGAAAAAGTGATGTGCAATTGTTTTCATTATAGCTAAAACAATGTGCAAATTGCACATTGCACACCGTTAATTTGCACACTGTATAAAGGCACATCTGTATAATGGTAAAGTGTTGATTGCAGTTGATATTTATTTAAATTTCTGGATTAAACATCAACATAAAACAATTTGACATACTGTACATCCAAAATTGAAGTCTGAACATATGAAACTGTTTTGCACTTCCTTAATGAAAATTCTACATCATAACTTGCACTTCCTTAATGAAAATTCTAAATCATAACTTGCACTTCCTTAATGAAAATTCTAAATCATAACTTGCACTTCCTTAATGAAAATTCTACATCATAACTTGCACTTCCTTAATGAAAATTCTACATCATAACTTGCACTTCCTTAATGAAAATTCTACATCATAGCTTGCACCTTCTAAACTTGAGTTAAGATTTTTCAACTCAATCTATAAATTGTAATGATCAAAGTTAACTTATTCACTTCTGATGTTGTTATCAATCTTAGTAATGTCTAACAGTGAGTCTTTAAGAACAAAATTTTGTATGTCATCATTTGGAGTTCTATTTGTGTCGAAGAGCCCAAATGGGCCTTGAATATAAGTATATTCTTCCATAACATGCTACATATTCCTGGATTCTGTAGAGGCCCATTTTCATTGATTAAAGGATCATTCAACAAAAGATGAGCTGTTTCTGAGAATTTATCTTAATTTTACAATAACTTGTTAACAATATGGCTTGATTTGCAATTGACATTTAATATTCAACAACATATTGTACAATTGTTCGTAGAAATTACAATTGCAAATTGTAATGAATGACATAATATATAAACACATATATTTAACTTCCACAAGTTCCATGATATTTATTTTCATAATACCTTTAACAACCTTTGACTCCCTTTCTCAATGTATTTAAGTCATTTCATTTGTTTTCGTATAATATATTATGCTATTGACTTTAACCAACATTTGCTATTTACTTTTATTCAATTATTTTATTATTTTTATGTTATACTTTGAGCCCGCAATCTACCAAGAAAACACGACAAAACACAAAATCCAGATGATTGTTTATACTTTCGTGGAATTGTAGTGAAAGTGAAATCGATTTGGCAATTTCACAATTTTGTCTCTGACAGAGGTGATTATGGCCTAGCGTTTATGAATTGGTCAACTGTACGCAATGGATGACAGTAGAACAATTGTCGTTTTAAATCCTCCATCAGGAGTAGGTGAAGATGAATTCACGATTCACTTTCAGAAGAAAAGTAATGGTGGAGGTGACGTTGATGAGGTTAAACTGGAGAAAGGTGTTGCTTTTGTAATCTTCGACTCTTCAGAAGGTTTGTGGTGACAAATAAATTTATCGAAAGTAAAAGTTTATATCAATTATTTAGTGCAGTATCTTTTCTGTCTTTCGTAGTTGAGCTCAATCATCTGACATTTCATAATGCACTAACGCAATTCTATTTTGTGAACTTTCGTTTTCACTTATTCACTCTGAACGTTTAAAGAGTGATTGAACGGTCCCCAGCTTGTGTTTCTTTTATCTTAATTCAAAGTTTGACATGCTGTATGTCTATACAATTTGTAATTCTTGTATCAATAACTCTAGAGTAAAGATGACTGAAAATAAATGGTACGAAGCCTGACAATCAACTAGCTTCCTTCATATCAATGCTGTATTTTTTTCATAGATTCTGTAAAAGTCTTAAATCATCCTCAAAAACAAATAATGAAGGGTTGTGAACTTGATGTTCAGTCATACAGTTCATGGTTGAAAACTACTCAGGTATTTATATTTTATGGTTATATTTTTTACCAAACTATATGGTCTGTGAGCACGAGTTATGCAAACTGTGCTATTCATTGTAAGTATGATTGCTTTCGTTTAGGAAAGTGAAAACAGTGACTTCGGAAACAATGACGACGTTGATTCAGTTCCTACAAAGGATGACGAGGATAAAGCCACGATCTATGTCAGCGGTCTTAAAGAGTCCATGAATGATGAAAGAATCACACTATTTTTTGAAAATAAACGAAGAACTGGTGGAGGTGAACTTCGTGATGGGAAAGAAGGATTTGAGCGATTGTCTCCAACCGTAGCTCGTTTGACTTACGTTTCGTCAAAAGGTAGTAGATATAAACTCAAAGGATAAAAAATTATATCAATATGTGATTGTTTGTGGTAATGTATATGTTGCTTGAACGAATCTCCTTAGACGCTGAAAACGTGTTGAAAAAGGCCAAAGAAACACCTCTTGTACACGAAGGGAGTCCCCTTCAAGTTACCGCTGACTACGTACCCACTGAGGACCGAAATATATTGATGGTCACAAATCTCAGTCCTGATATCAACGTGGAGACATTGAAGAACTTTGTTGAATCAAAGAAGAATACAGGTGTCTTAAAGATATTTCTTGGAAAACATGGAAAAGCTGTTGTTATCCTTGAAGAGGAAATTAAAGGTATTTTACTTCGATGATCAAAGACTACAGTACACTTGGATGATTTTAATAGTTTGCACTTTATTTTTCGCTTGACTCAATACTTGTACCACGTCATGGATTATTGAATAAATTTTGAATGATTTCTAGATGAAGATGATTATAAAGAAAAAAACAGCTCCAAAAATTTGACATTAGAAGGGCGTTCAGTGTCTTTGAAATTTGCTCCACTGACCAAGGGGATAAAAGTGAAGAAAATACCAAAAACCACAACTAAAGATGTTGTCAAATACAAATTTTTAAATCATAGATTTGATGGAGGTGAAGTCATCAGTATGGATTATGATCAAAATAACGGAATTGCCGAACTTTTTTTTGAAAGTTCGTCTGGTATGTCAACTTTCTTTTTGTAACCGTCTTTACTTTAAAAGGATTTAATTTTTGATTAAATATTGAATTAGCTTTGTAGTATACCAACTTTAAATGTGAACCTCATGCGTCATGATCTATAGATACTTAAAAAGATCCTTTGATTTGGTATTGCTCAACTTGCGTTTCATATGAAAATTGACATAATGGGGCTGAACTTGAATTGAAATTTCATTTTAGTTGTTTCCAACTTGGTGAAGAAAGATCATTTCATTAAGGAGACATCTTTAACTGTGCTGCCTTTATATGAAGATTTTGAAGAATTAGATGAACCTGAAAACAAAATAACAGAATTTCATGGCGGCATCCCTTGTGAAAGCGACGTCGTTGACTATATGATTCGTCATCACAATATGTCTCAGTTTGATTTAAAGTCAGTGACATACGATGAAACCATGTCGACTTTTCATTTTACAAAGGATGTTGAAGATCCTAAGGATGGAGAAGATCTAAGTAAAAGGTTAAAAGTATACGTTAATTCTTTTGGAAAGGAAACGTTGGTAATTCCCACAGTTGTTTTCGATCAAGTGAAGCTGAAGGTTCTTGAAAACAAAGTTGAATCAGAAATCGAGGTAAGATTTGAGAAGCCAAACGTTGTTCTTTTTGGACTCAAGGAAAAAATCACGATGAAAAAGAAAGACATCGAAAAATTGGTCGATGAGCTCACATCTGCCGCCAAGACGGAATCCGTTAAAATTACGGTAAGATATAAAAATGTTTAGTAATAGAAATCATATTTGAAAACTGTTCTGGTAATTTTCGTGTGGTTATTTTTACCTATATGTATCGTCTTTGAACACAAGTTTTGCAAACTCTACAGTTTATTACATGCACTCTTGGAATCAAACTATTCATTTTACCGCGCAGTTTATCTTATGCGTAATTGTCTCCAACAAAAGGAAAATGCAAAACATTGCCTTCGGCAACAATGACGACGTTGATTCATTTTAGGCAGAAATTGATAAAGACAAAAACAAAATTTGTGTTAGTGGTTGTAAAGAGTCCTGCACCATAGACTCAATTACAGTACTTGTTAAAAGCAAACGAAAATGTGGTGGAGGTGAACTTTGTGAGGGAAAAAAAGGATTTACGCGATTGTCTCCAACCGTAGCTCGGTCGACTTTCGTTTCCTCAGAAGGTAGTGATATAAACTTATAGGATAAAAAATTATATCAATATGTGATTGTTTGTGGTAATGTATATGTTGCTTGAACGAATCTCCTTAGACGCTGAAAACGTGTTGAAAAAGGCCAAAGAAACACCTCTTGTACACGAAGGGAGGCCACTTCAAGAGAGCACTTACTACGTACCCACCGAGGACCGAAGTATATTGATGGTCACAAATCTCAGTCCTGATATCAACGTGGAGACATTGAAGAACTTTGTTGAATCAAAGAAGAATACAGTTGTCTTGAAAATTTTTCTTGGAAAACATGGAAAAGCTGTTGTTATCCTTGAAGAGGAAATGAAAGGTATTTGTGGGTCGATGATCAAAGATTACACTACACTTCAATGATTTTAATAGTTTGCACTTTATTTTTGCCTTGATTGAATACTTGTACCACGTCATGGATTATTGAATAAATTGTGAATGATTTCTAGATGAAGATGATTATAAAGAAAACAACAGCTTCAAAATTTTGACATTAGGAGAGCGTTCATTGTCTTTGAAATTTGCTCCACTGACCAAGGGGATAAGAGTGAAGAAAATACCAAAAACCACAACTAAAGATGATGTCAAATACAAATTTTTAAATCATAGATTTGGTGGAGGTGAACTCATCAATATGGATTATGATCAAAATAACGGAATTGCCGAACTTTTCTTTGAAAGTTCGTCTGGTATGTCAACTTTCTTTTTTTAACCGTCTTTACTTTAAAAGGATTTAATTTTTGTTTAAATATTGAATTAGCTTTGTAGTATAGCTACTTTAGATGTGAACCTCATTCGTCTTGGATCAATAGATACTAAAAGACCCTGTGATTTGGTATTGCTCAACTTGCGTTTCATATGAAAATTGACATAATGGGCTGAACTTGAATTGAAATTTCATTTTAGTTGTTTCCAACTTGGTGAAGAAAGATCATGTCATTAAGGAGACATCTTTAACTGTGCTGCCTTTATATGAAGATTTTGAAGAATTAGACGAACTTGAAAGTAAAAAATAAAAGAATTTCATGGCGACATCTATGGTGACAGTGACGTCATCAACCATGTATTGTTTCATGACGATATGTCTCAGTTTGATTTAAAGTCAATGAAATACGATGAAACCAAGTCGACTTTTCATTTTACAAAGGATGTTAAAGATCCCAAAGATGGAGAACATCTTACCAAGGTTGAAAATATTTGTCGATTCATTTACAAAGGAAACTTTAACGATTCCTACATTTGTATATGATCAAGTAAAGCAGGATGTTCTTAAAATAGAGAATGAATCTGAGATCGAGGTTAAATTTGAAAGTCCGGCATTGTCTTATCGGACGCAAAATCGATGTCAAAATAAAAGAAAGATATTCAAAACTGGTTGATAAACTCTACTGTGCCAAGAAGGATTCCCTTGATATTGAGATAAAAGATAAAGAGAAGTTTCATTTTTCATTGCCATTGGATATTTCAAAGACCTGTTGATCGAGTTTCCAGGTGTGGAAATTCCTGGTATTGGAGGGAGTACCAAGTAAATTGACTGTTCTTGGGACAGCTGAAAATGTAAAACATGAAGTTGAGAGTTTTTGAGGATCTTGATAAAATACACGTTATTAAAATCGAGATGAGTGATCGTCAAATTGATTTCTTAAAACGCACAAAATGTAAGATAGCCAACGAATCATTAAAAAATGACAAGATAATGTTGGTTCTTAAAGAGGTTGAAGGCGTTTTTGGCGCTAAAGGTTTGCAGCCCCAGTTGATGTTCTTGAAGGAGGCTGGTAACGTTGAGGTAAAGCAACAAATACGAAATTCTCTTCTATAAAAATTATACCGCAGTTAACTTATCAGTGAATATCGCGTAACACTTCTTTCACTATCACTAATTAACATATCTCAATATGGTGTAAACATGCTTCTTCAGGCAGCTCACCTCTTTATAAGAATTTTTTATTAACTTGAGCTTGATTAGGTGAGTCATTCATGCACATAATGCGTAAATATTTTTAATGTCGGTGTCTTGCCAATTTAGGAAGAACGAGTTGTTGAAATCATAAAATTGAAAACGTCAGAAAAGTTAGTAAAGATTGATGAAGAAACTGGAAAATTTTTGGCAGAATCCGACCATTTATCGACGTTTATAAAAGAGCAATTGAATAAAAACAAGGTTTTCATATGCACTGAACTCGTGAATCCAGATAGCATCTGGATTATTTGTGAGGAATCTAAGATGAACGATGCCGAACAAGATTTGAGAAATTTAATTGCCGGAAAAAAAATTGGCAACGTCGCCTTTAAACCAGAGATATCCGCAAAAGTTCGTTTCCTACAAGAACATTGTTGGGACAAAATTATGAACAAAAAGCAGAAATTGAAAAATGAAGGAGTTGATGTTGAAAAAACTGCCGATGCAAAGTCGCTTCGAGTGAAGGGAACTCCAAAAGGAAAAAAGAAAATGATAGAATTTCTTGATAAGAAGGCAGAGAGAATTAATTCAAAGGTTAGTATTTCTGGTGTTTTTCTTTCGAACAACTTTTGATTTTCTTTATTTCCGACAGATTTGGTTTGTTAATTAACTTGTCAAAAGATAATTACAAGCTTTTGTATTTGTGACCTTTTCGGTGCTTTATGTGGTCGAACATATAAGTTTTGAAATAATTTTTCCGAAAAGTTTGGGTTTTTATTTCTGTGAGTATTAAGTTACGTTTAGACCACATGTCCTTGCATTGTAATCCATAAAACTCTGTTAAATGGATTATAGTTAGGTATTAACTAAATCGTAATTCGAATCCTGTTGAGTCACCTGAATTTTTCAGGTTCATGAGACAATTGCTTAAATTGTCCAGCAAAGTGCGAAGATCATATCTTCATTTAATTTCATTTAATAATCTAGTGTTGTTATATACGTGGTCAATCACTTATCACTTAAAGGTTTCTGATCAATGAAAATTTGTGGGAATTATTAAAATAATGTCTCCTTCACATTTTAGACCTTCCTCTTTCCAAACCGGGAATGAAGAAACAAATGAGTTTTCATGCAACAAATGCCATCATTAGTGGAATTGAAAAATCATAACTGTGTGATTGAGAAAATTATGGCTCACGATCTTGACGAAGCCAAAGATGATTTCGCTGCTGCTGAGGATGATCATAAGCCGGATGGGAAATCATCAATGAATCTTCCATTCGATTCTATGTCTTACGTTAATGATAAAGTTGTAAAAATGACTTCCGGTCAAAGAATCACCATAGCTGTTGGTGACATTGCAAAAGAAAAGGTAAGCTGGCCATATCATTGTCAATTTACGGACCTGTTGGAAGCGGGTAAGAGAAATGAGCAGACTGCAACCCTTGGGATTTTTACTCTCCCTCACTTAATGGTGCTTGCTGCTGATGGACTTGTATTATCTTCTGTAAAATATGAAGTGCATAAATTATACATGTTGTCTCTAGGTTGATGTTATTGTCAATAGTACAAATGAAAAAATGGATTTAAATGGCAATCCTGGTTGAAAGGCTTTACTTAACGTTGCGGGGGACGACTTTTTGGAGGAATGCAAGAAAATTGGTGAAATTAAAGTTGGAGGTGTTGTGACAACTGGAGGTGGAAAACTCAACTGCAAAAGTGTTTATCATGTTCGTTTATCTGAATGGCAACAGGCGATGGTGCCAAGGTAAATGAGAAAATTAGATGATCTTAGTTGACATGCTGGAGAAAACAGCCAGCATCATGTTTTAAAATGAGTAGTATGAGTAAAATTGAATGATTTGTATTTCATTCTTTATAATGCATTTTCTGACAACACATTTGTTTATTTGGGCTTTCTGATCTGCAGCGGTTACAACATTGTAAGTCTTAATTGTAACTTTGTGTAGTGACGTAGGAAACTCGACAGTTGGGGTCCCATATATATAGGCATATTCTGCTGTATTTCTTTTCAAGTCAATTGTTTTTTACGGGTAATATAGGAAAATGTTGCACCTCTCCTTTATCGAGCTTGCCACCCTACCGTTTTAACTTTGTTTGTTACCCTATTTATTTATTCCCTTTCACTCGTAGACTGCAGGTTGGCAGGCTACATTCATGCGTCTTCAATCATATAATTTTGCCCATACGCAGGTTCTCAGGTCTATATAAAGAATTGTATCAACGAAAGCGAAAGCCAAACTTCCATTCGATTGCATTTCCTGCCGTTGGAACTGGAAATTTGAAATTCCCACGGTCGGAGGTTGTTAAAATGTTTTTTGAAGAAGTCACTTCTTATTTTACTTTGAATCCTCAATCGAAAGTTAATAATGTTCGATTCGTGGCGTACGGTGGAGATAAAGAAACCGTTGATGCATTCTTAGGTTTGTTAAATAATGATGTAGTTTTAAAGCGAATCTTAAGTCAAACATTAATGGTATTTTATTCGATGCAATAATAAGTAAGACCACCAGGCATTGCCTTACACACTTACAATATTTTTGTTGTATTCAGGTGCTGTGGAAGAGATGAAGCCTATTTTATCAGCAACTAAAACAAATATTCCATCACACGATCTGGGTTTTCCTGGCCAATCACAATCTGAATTTGTACAATCTTTACACCAAGTAGCGCAACAACAAGTGAAACTCAGACGGTAGCCTAGAGGTAAAGTTTCCAAACAAACACCTCGAGTTGAAATCGTCTGCGCTGACATCATCCAAGAAACCACTCAATTGATAATGCACGTGACTGATGAAAACTTCCCTGCTGGGTAATGCCAAGGCTTTGGTCAAAGCTGGTGGTGAAAATCGAAGAGGAATACAAACCCTTGAAAGCCCTCTGTTTTCAACACAGTATACTGGTGCTGGAAAGTTGTTAGTTAATCAAATTGCTCATGTCATAGGCCCTGGGAAACCCAGCTATGAAGATCTGAAGAAATGTCTCAAAAATTTTTTTGATGATTTGTCAGGAAAAGGCATTACAGATGTATCCTTTCGCCTACATCGGTGCCGGTGCAATGGGTTTCTGGAAAGGGAATCTGTGGCTTTGATATTCGATAATATAAGCCGAATGGCCCTTAGCAAAAATCCAACTCTGAATTTGGTTCGCATCGTGATATTTGAGAAGGGAAAGTTTGATCAATTTAAAGATGCAACGAAAACATATTTTTCATCTGAACCAGACGCAAGACGTAATTCAAAAAAAAGTTTTAAAAGTTTTAAAAGTTTTAAATTTGGTAAACCAAAGATTAAGGTAAAGGATCCTGAAGCAAGTGGTTTGTCAGTCAAGATATTTTCCGATGACATGAAGTATGTTGAAAGTGCTTGGTCAGACTTTTAAAGAGAATGAAGAAAATATCGTAGAGCATACCATTCGTAATGAAACAATCAAAAATTTATGAGAGTGAAAAGAAAAAAATTCGTGAAGTAGAGCGTAACTTTGATGTCACAATTAAAGTAGACTTCACGAAAGGAGAGGCCAATGGTCATGTTACAGATTCCCTGAAATTATCGCTGCATTGGGCGATATGTTTAAAGAAAAGAAAAAGAAAACAGCAAAGGTTTCCTTCACATGATATAATGATTCTGATGTATTTTAGTTCCACTGACTTTGGTCAAACGTTTTTTGCCTATATTCAAACATTCACTTAGAGAAGTATTTGTATTGTGTTTTATATTTTCTACACTTCTTACTTCGACAATGTATATTCCAATTATAAAAATGCTCAAGTGTTGAGATTTTTTACAGTGTTGTTTATTCGAGTGATTTTCTCTGTTAATGCAAACGATAGGCATTTCTTGATAGGCGTTCTGATTAAGTTTTGAAGGACTTTCTAATTCTGAAATTTCAAACTTTTCAGAGGGATGCTTACCAAACTTAAAACGAACATTTCCACTACACAACCGTCACCATCATTTCCACTACACAACATGCACGCCGCGCGGACCCGCTTTTTCAAATCTGTAAGTCGCACTTTTTCACTAGACAGCCAGCGGACGATTGGTAAAATGCACGCGCAATGAAGCAATTAGTAAATTGGCGGAAATGGCCGAAAACGTGCATCATAAACGAAGATTTGTATAAATGAAAGTTCTGCTTGGTGCGCTTTTGCCTGCCAATATTATGAATCCTCACATATTCAATGATATGATGATGTTTACAGAGTGTATTTGGCAGATTACCGGAGGCCCTGACACAAGATGAATTTGAAAAGCTCATAGCTGAGTTTGGTAAGGCGAGAAACATTGAATGGAAGTCTGGCTTTGCCTATGTTGATTACAAGCACAGTTCTGATGCATCAAAAACTGTTCAAAATCTCAATGGGAAAGAGGTTGGCGGTAACAATATTCTTGTTGAGCTGGCACAAAACGGCGCAGGAGGGTATGCAGTTGCTGGGGCCATGCCATTACGTTCACGGAAAACCCCTGCCCTCAAGGCCTGTGCGTACCCCTCATCGAATACGCATTGAAAACCTGTCCAGTCGGGCTCGGTGGATGGAGCTGAAAGAGTTGGTATCTTTAGCTGGAGAGGTGATGTTCGCAGACACGCACAAACGAAAGACAGGCGAAGGTATAGTGGAATTTGCATCAAGAAAAGATTTAGAGGAAGCAAAGATGTTTCATAACACCAAATTTTATGGTAGAACAATCAAACTGTATGACGAGTCCCCAGGGGCTAGGTCAAAATGATAGTAACGATAAGTCGCCCCCTCTCGTCATCATTCAAGAAAGAAGAGGGGAGGAGCTATTCAAAATCACCTTCTCCGAGAAGGGAATCTAGGCATGGGTCCCGATCAGCTTCATCGGAAATCATCCAAGTCAAAATCAGAGCCATCTGGATCTCGCTTCTAAGAACAGATCACGCCACGTTCAAAAAGAGATCCAGGTCAAAAGAAAGGAAGAGTTCATCAAAGAAAAGATACTCCAGGTCCAACAGCCCACAAAGCAATTCTCACAAGAAGTCCAAAAGTCCAAGCATTCCCATTCACTTAAAAACAAAGATAGGAGAAGTCTTCGAACTCACATTCGGCTCTGAAAAGAATAGCAAAGAAAAAATCAAAGACAAAAATCAAAGCTATTCTGTCTAGGTCATCCTCAGATAGCGAAAAGTCAGAGTAGATTTTAAATATTTTAAGCGTACCCCACGAATGTATTCTCATGCAAACAAGTCTCAATTTTTCAATGTTTCATGTATTCTTGTATAAATAAAGGTATATTTTGTGGTATTGTACACTTATGAGGCTCTGGTATGTGTCACCACTTTAGCATGCATTTCAATGAAACATGGTCCATACCTATGACAAAAAAGTAGTCTCCGTTTATGTATTTTACATTGACATGCTCCTAAGTATGCTATTGATTGAAGACTTTAGATCTGTTTTCGTCACTTTTAGCTTTGTTTCTAGTACTGCTTGCATTGTTGTAATGCTCTCGTGATATATCTCTGAAAGCTTCACGGTAATTATCTTTGACCGTGTTATAAGACTTCTTAAATGATTTTTTGCTGCTAATCTTCAGGTCTTCGATCCTTCTTGACAAGTCATCATAACAGATTGTCATTTCATCCCTCATTTGACCTGATTTGTCATTAATTGAAGATAATTCTTTGGTGGTTGCCTGAGTCCATACTTGATATTCCTCAGCAAATTTTCAATTCAACCTCAAGTTTCTTCAAAGAATCCAAACAGTTCTTTACTTCAACACCAGAAGTTGCTTCAATAAGTTCACGATTCCTTATTTCCTCAAATGCACCTTTGTTTATTTTTTGAACACTTTCAAGTCTCCTCAACTGTTGCTATCTTTGAATAAATATCATCCTTTAACAGTTTTAACTTACTGACCAAGGATGTCATCTGACTTTCACATTTTGAATCTGCATTCTCCTTGTCCATAGAAACAGAGTCGATTTTCACTTTTAACTCATTCACATGTCTTCTCAAGTCGCTAATGTCCCCAGAAAGCTTGTTTAGTTCACCATTCACTTTGATCGCATTTAAATGGGCAAAATTGAGTCTATTCCACAGGTCGTTGGAATTTAATGCTTCAAAGTTCCTTTCATGCGATCTTTGATGTTGATCAACTTCACCTTGATTCATCACTTTCACTTGTAATTGCGAAATCTCATTACCAAGCTTTTGCATGTTTGATGTCAGCATTTCCACATGATCTTGCAAGGCATTGCGTTCCCGTTTCTCTATTTCAAAAACACGTTCGAGAAATTTCAGTTTATCCATAATATAATCCACTGAGTCTTCATTCCTATCTCTTGATGCGGTCTTGTGTCCCTTGTTCTCATGATATTCACTCGTACCCGTGTTGATCCGTGGAAATACGATCGATTTGGGATAGCTATTGCTTATTCTCGAGTTGGAAGCGCGGTTATCCATCTTATCCAACAGAATTTGTTGCAAATTGTCAAGTTTAGAACAGATCGAAAGCCGATATCATACGAAATTCACAAAGAAAAGTCAAAAGCATACTATCTTTAATTGCCTAATGTGAAACTAGAAATTTGCTATGTAGTTCTGCATGATTTTCATCAAACGGCTCGCGTAGATAGAAAATCTGTCGTCCGATAATTATGTGTAGTTAGTGTACATCATTTATCAATTGAAAGAGTTAAATGCTCATTTCTTGAATGTTATAAACGCCATTTCCTGTGACTCTGTAGTCACATGTCGTGTGGGAGGGAGGTGCGCGAGCCTCAGCCGACCTCTGTTTTCCAAGTACAAAACCACTTATCCTCACTTCAAATCTCCGAATTAACACAAAGAGTTGATGACTTCGTGTCGTGTGTTCGTGACAGGGTTCAAGAACTAGAGGAAGGATTTTGGTTTCTTTCAAAACCGTGGAAAAAATGTCGAACGAAAGCGACATAATATATTGTGAAGATAGGCATGTCATGCATGAGGATGGTACGATATTTTGTCAATTAATGTTACCTCAGTGAGACCGTTCAATATTCTAGCATTATGTTTTTAAAGAGGAAAATCTACCCGAACGTGTCTGGCAACGAGATGGACGAACAGCGAAAGCAGCAAATGGCCTATCAATATCTCTGCCATCTGGAAGAGGCAAAACGTAAGTGAGAAGATATATTGGTGAACATATTTCAACCGAGTCATTTCACCGTCAACTGTGGTGGTTTTCTTTTCACCATTAATAAAGTTGGATGGAAGCTTGTCTCGACGACGAACTACCACCTACAACCGAGTTGGAAGAAGCTCTGAGAACGGGGGGTTATTGTAGCAAGACTTGGTAATTTCTTTGCTCAAGATGTTGTTCCAATTAGGAAAATCTACGATCGAGAACTGAAGCGATTTCAGGTAAATGGTTATGTCACATAATTGCATATTGTTCATTTAACGTTTACAGACGATGCGTTTTTGTTAACTCAAGTGTTTTTGAAAATACATATGTTATCTTTGCTATTTCTTCTTTCATTAGGCGCGGGGTTTACATTTCAAGCACACCGACAATTTTATGTATTTCGTGCGAGCGATGGAGAAAGTTGGCCTTCCAAAGGTAATTTATCGTCCTTACATATTTCATTACTGTTTAAATCAATCTAGAATTTCTACTCTTACGTCCTTGAAGTGTTTCAAATAACTTGCATAATTTCGTCATTGTTTGTACAACGAAGAATTCTGTATTATAATTTCGCAAGCTTTTTGTTGTGCCTTCCAGGTGGCTCTTTGGTTTTCACGTAATTTGTTATATTTTCTGTTATTTTGTTCATTCCAAATATTCCTATTCACTGAAAGACGCGTGCAGCTTGTGAAGTAGGAAATAAGGGCTTTACATAACCTTTACATAAGTACAATGTGACAATGTATTGTTAATTTTACACACTCAGACCTAATTTTATTTATTGCAAGAAAGTGTAAGTTTAAGCACTGGCATAGTGCTTATTATTATGTCATGTAGTTGGGCAGATTCAGGGTTTGAAACCATTTTTCGATAACTAATATGCACAAGTTTGTTCAGAAACAATCTTCAATGCATTAAATTCATACATAGATATTAAAATATATGTATATATTACAATTAATACAATGATGTTGAGTAGGTTTGCTGCACTGTGTTTCAAATACAAATGTTCATCAGGCTATGTAAAACTGTATAGCTAGTTTACTTCAATTTTTCTGTTGTATTTGGCTCTGGCAGTTTGTTGATGTTATGTAGTCATTACTTTGATATGATATTATTATTTGTATGGTGGGTACAATATTTTATTATGTAGGTGAGGTTCACAAGTACATGGAAGTGCAGGATACAATCCTAACAACAATCAAAATTTGCAATTGAAGAGGTGAAAATGCTTTAGTTGATGGGTAAAACAGAATAGTGCAGTATTTTAAGAACGGTATCTAAAGTTGACTAAGAGTCCTTCCTGTTAAATTTTGGTGAGTTTTGTTATTCAACATGCATTGGACAAATTTCCGAGTATCAAAACGTGTGTTATACACATGAAATAAATAAAATAAAGTAGAAACTTTACTATAATGTGACAAAATTCCAGATCTAAAATCTAATGCTCGTTCTTTTCAAACTGTTCCCGAAACAATCCATTTACGACAAGAAGAACATGCCTAAAGTTATTTATTACGCTTATGTTTAAGATTCGATCACCCTAATTATCTGTGGAAAATTGTTGTTCCCCTATTGAGTATCTAATGTGTGATTATTTGATTATTTTCTAGTTTGTATCTTTTCAAACTGCTTGGCACCACAGATGCAAGATCTGTATGGCAAAGTGAAATTTACGTTTTAATTTATACAAAACACATTTAAAAATGTCACGTTCACATTAAGATTTATTTCTAATATTATTCCACAGTATATCTTGCAAACCATTAGCACGGGGATAATTTCTTTATAGTTTATAATCAAACTTGCTTTTTCTTCAGATTGCTTAATAACTCAAAATTGTTCAGTGTTCATCTTTTCACATGATTCCAGAGTCTTGTGAAATATTTGAAATTCTGTTATTCATGTCTTAAGAGGAGGAAATTAGTGAAATGAGAAGGAGTTGGAGAAATATGGCATTCAAATGCCTGCCTTCAAAGATTGGTGGAATAATTAGAGTGGTATGTAGCAAATGTTGTCATGAAACTTTTCACCATTGCATGTTATGAGTTTATAACTGTTGTTACAGTTCTAGTCAGTTATATCATGAAATGTTCAATCATAAAGTTATTGTTATCATGAAATGAAATGTTCTGTTATTGTTCAATCATAATATTTGTTGAACAAAGTTATCATGAAATGAAATGTTCTGTTATTGTTCAATCATAATATTGTGAAATGGAAGTTATCATGAAATGAAATGTTCTGTTATTGTTCAATCTATATTGTTGAACAAAGTTATGGAAATGAAATGCTCTGTTATTGAATCAAATATTGTTGAATTGTTGTTCAATGAATAATATTGTTCAACATGAACAAAGTTATCATGAAATGAAATGCTCTGTTATTGTTCAATCATAAGATTGTTAAATATTGTAAATGAACAAAGTTCTGGTATTGTTCAATCAGAAATGGAATGTTATCATTGTTCAAATGCCTGTATTGTTCAACTGATAATATTTGAACAAAGTTATCATGAAATGAAATGCCTGTTATTGTTCAATCATAATATTGTTGAACAAAGTTATCATGAAATGAATGTTCTGTTATTGTTCAATTATGATATTGTTATCACAACAATCTTATGTTGTTATTGTTATTAATATGTTGAACAAAGTTATCATGAAATGTAATGTTCAATTGTTCATCATGATATTGAAAACAAAGTTATCATGAAATGTAATGTTTTGTTATTGTTTGCGGACATGAATGAAGGGTCATGAAATGTAAGCCTGAAACATATTTTTGCCGCGATGAGGTGAATATTGAGCATTTGCAGTTATTTGGATGCCTGTAGAGAATTGTAAGTCTGTTATCTCATTTCTTGGGTATAGACATTTTCTATTTTGTATTTTTTGTTTAGTGCACGCTGCCATCATCGTGATCAACGATGCCATCGACCACGGAGTCGCTCAGGATACGTTTGCAGCTTTGAAGAATCCCAATGCTCATCTAACTGATCTTGATGCCAAGAATACGGAGGAATACCAGAGTCAATTGTACGAGGCAAAAAAATCCAAGTGTGAGACATCCCTCCTCAGGGTGAGTGAAATTTTGTACAACCACTACATCACTGGTCAATGTTTGTTAAGTAAATAGTGATTTCATGATGAAACACACAGGAGAGGATCATATGAGAACTAAAATTTAACGTCTTATCATTCTTGATAAAGACAACAGACTGGAGTTTATAAGGACTCAAATTTTAATGTCACACAACTCGCGGATCAGATTGAAGTGTATAGAAACTGAAATTTCAGCTCAATGAAGACTGGCGTATTGTAAGCTCTTTTTACATGATCATTCGTGATTGGATCATCAGACTGGAGTGTTTTAGAATTCAAGAGTAAACATCGAAACACTCTTTACCAATGACTTGTTTCCACAAGTGTCTTTGATTTTGCAAATCTCAATGCCAAATCTTTTTTTTAACACATTAAGTTTGAGTTGTTATAAGGATTTAAGCAGCAATGTCAAATCACGCTATATGCAGGCGCTAGACTGTGGAAAATAAGACTGTGGAAAATAAGAAAATAAAATCAAGTTTTGAGGTCAGATCGCTTCTTCTGAAGACGGTAGACCGGCATTTATAAGTATTCAAGACTTCAAGTGTCATCTTCACGAGGACACTTGACTGATATAAGGTCTCAAGTTTAAACATCAAAATACTTCAGATTAAGTCACTAGCCTCAAGTAATTAAGGACTGGAGTACTATCGACCTCATATCTCCAGATGAAGATGTCATTCGTATATACGTATAAATGCTATAACGTCAAAAAATTAATCTACTTCTATCGCGTGGTGTATAAGAAATTTATTTAAGTGAAACTTCAAATGTGTGGTCTTTAATATTGTTTACTGTTTTTCAAACTCCAGTCACCAGGAAGTGAAGATGTGTATGATAAAATGCTTACACAAGCCGAAGTTCAAGGGAACATCGCAATGGCCAATGAAGTAGTTCGTAAAGAGAACAGGACAAAGCGAGTAAGGAGATATTTTCACTTATTTTGCTCGAACTCGTTTTCAAGGTTTCATTCATTATTTATCTTCCATGCCGTTCGTAGTTCTCGAAATAAATGCGGCAATAGACAGCGAAGATCTTGGCCTCTTGTTGAAAGCGCTGTTGAACGAAAAAGCAAAATTAACTAAAGTTATGGCAGATAATGGTGACTGGTATCAACAGACATTAGTCGAAAATAAATCTGATAAGGTAAGTGGCGGTTTTTTACAATAAAAAAAGTCGTTTACAATAGCTATCCCTTCAGCAGCAATTCGTACAAAATGTTTCTTATTGGAGCCTCTTAGCTAATGCCATGCATTTTTTGGTTCGTGAAATAGTGAAAACGACCATTATTGACGTGTCAGTGATGTATGATATGTTTCAGGGAAGTGAACTGTCACACGGTGAAATCCAGCAAGGCATAAACAACGCAAATAATGTTGGCGAGCAGTTTAGAATTCGTGAGTTCGAAAAGTGTATATTCAACCCGTGTGATTCATCTTTATAACCATTCCTGCACGAAGAAGCCATTATTCAATAAAAGTCGTTTCGAGAACTTCATGATCCGTAAATCTCTTCTCTTGCAGTGGAGACCATTATGAAATCTTTAAACAAAGCCTTGGAAACCGGGAATGGAAGAATGCCACGGATTGCTGATGAAGCCCGAAGCTCTTCTTCCAACCGTGCTCAATCGTAGCTCTTACCTTTACTACAGCGAATTGAAGAAGGAGAAGACTAAAAGAAGAGGTTTGTGTTTCGAAAACGGTTAGATATAGCTATCATTCATTATTGTATTCTCTCGTCTCGAGCTTTGAGTGAAATATTTGTTTTAAACTGTTTGGTTCGCTTTTTGCTTCACTTTACATAATCACATTATCGGCTTTTTGCAAACCGACGCCACTTCTGTCGATAATTTTCGTTGTTTCACAAGTGTTCGTTTACGTCAGCATGCGTACAATGTGTTTGACAATGAATTTATGGAGGACCGCGCTGTTGAAAAGTCAAAACTTATCATCCACTAACCGGAAATATGTGTTTGTGCTTAAAGCAAAATCCTATCCCTGTTTTCAGTCTCTGCTTCTTTTCTTTACAGCGGTCGGGTCACGTGGCAAGTCTCACTCACAGCGAGGTCATTGAACATGTCAAAGGTGAATAAATTTTTCCATTTTTTATCCGCATTTTTTTCTTTCCTTTTGCTGTGGTATGTCATTTGTATTACGGAAGTATGGTAGCTCACACGTGATCTTTCAATCACACTTCAGTGTTGACGGCTGTGGCGAGTATCAACCAGGCTATCGAACAAGGCAATGCCGCTCACTTGCTTGGTTGTCTGAAACACGAGTCGGCGGGTCTTGAAAACCTCGAAGACGACGCCGTGAATCGATATTTGGAACAGTTGGTGGCTGTGAAGAAAGAAAAGGCCCAGGTATGCTAACTTTTACAAACCGTACTTTTAGTTAGAAGTTTTAGCGTTGAAGAATGTCGCCAGCGAGGAACAGTCGAAACAATTCATTTCAATTAAGAAAACGCCGTTATGACTTGGTTTCCTTCGTAAAAACAAAAACAAGCGGCTGCAAAATTACCCAGTGGAAATCACCTGTGATTTGACTGCATACATTGTTTCTCGGAATCTTGTTTTAGGATTGCGGTCAAGGGAAGGACGACTTGAACCAAGTGGAAGTTCAGTTGTGCATCGATTATGTCAATACGGAGATTGCCGAGGAACATGCATGTAAGTTTGTAATTTATTCATATATGGGGACTCTTGCGCATTTTCTTGCCCAACAAAGCTGGCAAGCTTTTCTAAACTGTGTAAATGCAACGTGCTCTTCCACTTAAATGCTCACATTTCGACCGTCCGGTCATCATCCAAGGACATTATTTTCCTAGAATCTTTCGATTGAGAGGTCCCACCGCAATTGACGAGACTATATCTAGAAAACTGTGTTGAGTAGCGTTCTATTTCGTCTAATGCTTTCAAAACGTTTCTCAAAGATTCCAAGTTTGGCGCTTTGCGTTTGTCTCACATCTACCTAGTGTTTCAATTGCTGCTATTTTTTGGATTAGGATAATATCTAGGGTGTTTATGTTTACATTGTCCTCAACTCATTCATCATAAAAAAGGACAACAGGCAAATTATTTGCCGGTGTTTTACTCTATATTTGACGATTTATTCACGAAAGGTGTTCGTGCACTTCGAAATTATTCACCGCAGTTAATGTACTATCATTTTCTATTCGAAAAATCTTTTCGGCAAGGGAACGTCGGATTCAAGTTTTTTTTTTACTTTCGATTAGAGGCCATTTGTCGTGAAATTGTTGCGCATAGATTGTACGACATGTATCAATGTTATCGTGTGTAACTATGTCATCAACTTTTCGCTATGGCAACATTATTGACAGGTGTTGTGTCAGTGTTTGTTGTTGGAATCTGAATGTTTGAAAATATTTTCTTTGCTCTAACCAGCGTCGAGGTGGATCGAGGAAATTGACCGAAAAGGTATTCCACATTTCTTTGCGAAAGTGCGTATTTTTGGCGGTATGGTGACAGTTTTTGAGTTTAACGTATCGCGAAGACTTCGAGGATTCTAGTTCAACATAAGAGTCAGCAAAAACCGAATGAAAATGGAACAGTTCTTCACGAACAATGGCGAAGACGATTGGTTGTATGAGTATGTATGACGGGAAAAAGTCTCCCAAAACCATACATCAGCGAGAGGCGAAGAAATCATTCCCAAGATGGAACGAGGGCAGCGATTCGATACGATACGGAATACGATACAGATTTGGAAACAACGATAGAAAACGAAGAGCAATCTTCGTGCAGAAAGATTTACATTCATGTTTGTCGAGAGCTCAAAGTTGTTCCATGTCAGTCGTTTCTCAGGCAACTCGATAACGAAGAAGTGAACATAAGCCATTACCAAATTGGTCCCGTGGGCTGCGAAGCTCTTGCACGAGCCTTAATGAAGAATATGAACGTTTTCACTCTAAATTTATCCGATAACGCCATAGGCGGACAGGGAGCTGTTTATATTTCGAAACTGCTCACCGAAAATCGCTGCATATCCCGCCTGGACGTTTCCAACAACGGACTTAAGACGCAAGGGGCTTATGCCGTGTCTGAAATGATGAAAGAAAATACTCATCTTTCGGAACTTAATGCATCCACTAATAACTTTATAGGAAAGGATGTCGAACCTTTCGTGGAAGCACTGCGTGAAAACTTCACGCTGAAGATTCTTAATTTAAGTGGAAACAGTTTCGATGCACTCTCCGGAAAGTTAATTGGGCTTGCAATCCGTGAAAACGTTGGCTTGGAAGTACTTAATTTAAGCTGGAATAACATCCGCGGTCACGGAGCTACAGCCATAGGCGATGCACTTCGAGTAAATTACTCGTTGAAGATTCTAGATTTGTCTTGGAATGGACTTGCAGATGACGGGACAGCGGCTCTTTCCAAAGCGTTAATGGTAAACGATGTTTTAGAGGTGCTAGATTTAAGCAGTAATAGGCTTACGGCCCGTGGGCGGGCGATTTAGCAAAGGCCTTATCGGTGAACGCAAGCCTTAAGGTTTTGAAAGTTGCACAAAATTCGTTCAGTTGGAATTCAGCATTGGAAATTGTGAAGGCCGCAGTCGACAATGCGGATAGTCGTGCCCGAGCATTTTATTTTGGTGATATGCCAGTGAGTGAGAAATTTAAGAATGAGCTTGATGAGATAATGTTGAGATATCCTGACTTAACGGTTCAATACGGCACCATAATGAGAGGCAAAGAAAGAAAGAAGAAAAGAAACGGGTATTGTAGCTTTAATGTTTCATATTCAACTTATCTCTGCATTACCATAGAGTATTTATAAAACGGATAGGGATTAATTAGCCATGGCTTGTTGATTCAATTACTTCTGTTTTTGGTTGTATTCGTTGACGAGTTTTTTACGTTTATTTGTTAGGATCTTCTCAATCTTCTTTTGGAATACATCGAGATGCGCGCATGCTCGACATGTTTAAGCTGCTGGACAGGGACAATGACAGTCTCGTGACACAAGAAGACTTCGTGCTTGGCCTCAAGCGCACTGGACTTCCGATGACGAGGGAGGAGATACATCGACTTATCACGCTACTTGATCGGAACAACGATGGAGTTATAAGTTATCAAGACTTTCTTCAGATACGGAGAAAGAAAGTCTTTAATGATTTTCACTCGCGAAAGGCGTTGAAAACGAAGGATGGCGCCGTCTCGAAACGGAAGATCGGTTATCCTAATAAGTAAAGCAGAAAAAAACGATTTACAGATACAACTGTTTTGAGATAGAGAAAGCATTTGAAAGTTAACCACAAGGCGATGATTCTTCGATACATTAATACGTTGTTCAGTTTTTGTCTGTTTATTCATTGATATTTTTGCTTTAAGGTTACCAGAAAGCCTATGTAAAAAGATGCCAGTCAAACTTTGTGAATAAACTAGTTAATCGTGTCTTCGACGTCTTTCCATTCGATATTTCATAGTAATACTAGACATTTCGAATCAGAGTTAGAAAAAGAGTTCAACCTCATTTCTAGAAATATTTATGTTTCGAAAACTTCCTCGAAATGACGTCACGTCACTCACATTATTATGGGTGGGTGGAGGGAGACATATACATTTGGTTAATTGAAGTGCTATACTTTAAACCTTCCTCATTCAGAGGAATTCTTCCTCAAGAGTGGTAGCCGTACACCCTCGGCTTTTTTACAGTTGTAAATTCCATATGTCCGACGAAAGCCGTTTGCTATTAAACATTGCACATCTCATACTTTAGCCAAATCTTTACTAAATGGTCTCTTATTTGTTCAGTAATCGCGGCTGTGCAGACCGTCAACAACACGCTCGAGGAAGAGGATCCCGACGCCACGTTGAAGTCTCTTCAACAAGAGCCCGCGAAAGTGACTAACGTACACCCCGAAAATGCGATCTTGTATCATACATGGCTCCTTGCCGAGAAAGAGGACAAAAAGAGGGTAGCGTAAATCATCTATACGTTCACGTGCTATACGTTCACGTGCTATACGTTCACGTGCTATACGTTCACGTGCTATAGCACGACTATCTATTTTTGTGTTCTTTATGTTTCACGGAGAAGGATTGATAAATTTTCACAAAAGTTTTTTTAGAATATAACGAGCATTAAAAAGGTAAATAAACATAACGTGAAGAAACTGGTCGTTTAAAGATGTAAATAAGCGACGTTGCCTAGTGTAAAATAGCTAGCTTTCATTAAAACTATAACTGTTCGTGTTTTGTTTGCTGGGATTGTAAAGTAAACCGGCGAACGAGCCTTTAAACTAAAACCTCAATACTACGATTACTTCAATGTATTGATATTGCATCGACGCTGTTAATTTGAATGCCAGCTTGCTAGTTAAATTAATAAAGTAATGTCTTCAATTAAATCAGTAGTAACTTCTTCGTAAAGTTAAAGTAAAGGATTAGTTAAAACAACTAAATCAGCAGGAACTTCCACATAAAGTATCAATAAGTTAAAGTAAAGGATTAGTTAAAACAACTAAATCAACAGGAATTTCCACGTAAAGTATCAATAAGTTAAAGTAAAGGATTAGTTAAAACAACTAAATCAGCAGGAATTTCCACGTAAAGTATCAATAAGTTAAAGTAAAGGATTAAAATAACTAAATCAGCTTCATTTCTTAAAGTAAATAAGTTAAAGTAAAGGATTAGTTAAAACAACTAAATCAGCAGGAATTTCCACGTAAAGTATCAATAAGTTAAAGTAAAGGATTAGTTAAAACAACTAAATCAGCAGGAATTTCCACAATAAAAGCAGGGTCTCAATACAGCCAGAGGCCACATGAACTTTCATCCAGCATGTTGAGGAACGAACCGTATAATTGGTCAAAGAAGATGAAGAAGTATTTTATCACGTTTGAAATCACCACATTATCAATACAAAGTTTATTTTAAGTAAATATTATTTTTTTCAGTGTCTCGGCGGCCAGATGGAATTAACGGACAGTGGCCCGCGGGCCGTTTGTGACCCCTGAGTAAAGTAAATTTAGTCAAAACAACTAAATCTGTAGGACCTTCCACGTCAAATATAAAAAAAAGTTATACTGCAGGATTAGTTAAAAATTATGGACAAGTAAATTCAGCTTTATGCTCAACAAGTTTAACTTCAAAACGTGTATGCTTGAATTTATTCCTGCCGACGCCGTGAATGGAGTCGAAATTGATATGTGAAATTACGTAATGCTTTATCTTAGAAAACCAACGATCCGTCGGCCGAACTGTGGCACGACGAAATTCAGAGAGTCATTGATAGATGTAACCTATACGCCTCAGAGGCTCACAAACGTAAGCTTGATCACCCTCATCGTATAGTATCCAGTTATTAATTCTGCGTCTTTAACTGATGTTCTGACGCTCTGTGTAGTTGTTGCTGGTGTCGCTGAAATCAACGCGTCACTCGAGACTGGAAACGACCAGAGCACCATGGAGGCCCTCGAGAATGCTGACGTAGCACTACGTGGGGTGACACGTGAATGCCAGGCTGCGTATCATGCAAGCTTGAAGGAAGCGAAGGCGGCCAAGGGCAATGAGGATGGTCCGTGGTTGAAACAAAAAATCTCTCAAGGTTTTCTGTTGTTTTATAACACGAAGACGAAACAATCGAGCTGGGTAGAACCCGATGACTTCACTGATAATGCTGGACTGCTAACAAAAGAAGAAATTCAAGTAAGCTTTACTTTGCACTTGGATGTTATGAGTTAAATTTGTTTTAACAATGCGCTCAGCCATGCCAATTATTGATGCTTGGCATGTTTGGAGAAACCTCGTGCATTTTTCATATTAATGTTGTGGTGTGGTTAATGGTTGAACCCGGGAGTATCGTTACATGTTTTGTACATGTAGATGGTCCAGGTTAGTAGAGTCCAGAGCAGGACTGTTGGTGTTGATGTCGAATGACGTTTCGACAACCTTAGCGGCAGTCATCTTCAGAGTCAAAACTGAAGATCACAGCACTCAGTTGGCATCAACACCAACGGTCCTTCTCGTGACTCTACTAATCTGGATGATCTCCATCTACAAACATGTAATGCTTTGGTATTATAGTTTTTCATTCATCGATTGTTGTTTGAGTAACGATGTTCAGGGTTCTGTCTTCGAAATGAATTTCGATTTAAAGCTTTTTTTCCTTCAAATATGCATCGATGGTAATGCCACCATGTATAGTGCTGCCACTCGTAGGGGGAAGTAGGGGAAAATAAAGTTTTGGTAGGTGAAATGTGCATACACCTAGTGGCAGCACTGACCATGTATAAGAACATGATTACAATGAAATATGAAGTTTTTAATTTACTAAAGGTTGCCTAAGCTAGCAAGGCCGTCTTTAGTATCTCTCGCTGAAATGCAATAACAATTTCCGTGCGTTCTCTTCTCTAGGAGATCGTTTCAAACGAGACTTCGAAACACGGCAGGCAAGTTTACCTGCAAGCAAACGAACAATCAATCGTGAGGCTTCAAGCGCATTGGAGAGGATATTTGGCAAGAAAGGCGTTCAATGAAAGGAAACAGTTTATGACCAAACAACTGCCTGCCATTATTAAAATTCAAGTAAGAGCTTTTCTTCGATGATATTTCACTGCTCTACTTTCACTATTATCCTTATTCCGAATAAGGATTCGGGAAACGGTTCACTGAAGAAGTCAGCTGAATCGCCAGCGTATTGATGGAGGAAGGGTTTAGGGGGGGGGTGTTGGTGTTGGGGGTGTTTACTGCTAAAGTCATAGCCTGATATTAAAATTAACTGTTGACAATTGAGAATTGCTAACTGCAGATTATTTTAGCTCTCCCTACAACTCTTGGAAAAAGTTAGGGAGGCTCCCATTGTAAAAAGTTAGGTAGGTTTAAATTGTGAAAAGCTAGGGAGGCTACAATTGTAAAAACATCTCGAATGATGTGTTTCCATGCTTCATTCGTTCATTAAAGTTCACTTTCATTGAAGACTTTCATTATTACAGGCGAATCTAAAAAGATGGATTCAACATAAGAAATACCGTGAAAGATTGGCAGTTCTTCATAACAACGATGCTGCCATTATCAAAGTATATATTTATGCACACACTTTGTAAAATTTCTTTCGCGTAACGTCGTTAACGAGTTTATTACATTGACAGATTCAAGCGTGGATCAGGATGTGCTTGGCTCGCCGCAAATATTTAAAACGAAAACAATTCTACAAGGACAACGTAAGTATTTATTTTCGTTTTGTGTTCGTTATCATTGATCGCGGTTCGCAATGCATCTACTCTCACGTGTAACTTTTATTTATATTGTTCATGCGTTGATTTAGTTGCCATCAATTATAAAGATACAGGCATTTATGAGATCCAACCTCGTAAAACATGATTATCGAGCCTTGTGTAAGTGTCATTCGTTTTCTATCAACAGTCTCTAACGGATTATCTGGCCATTAGGGTTTTGGGTTGTGGGATCGGGTCAAGATTAAGGATTCCATCTGATTTTATACATAAGAGAAGGCGAAATGTCTTGAATGAACCATTAGGAAGTAATGTGAAGCGAGTCATGTTCTGAAAAACTGTTCTTGCTTACGTTTGTTTGAAAATGTCTGTGAATCTATTCATCATAAGTAAGAATGGTATCTTGTGTAGCTAAGGTCTTTTTTCAACTTGTCAGTGAGCTCGCAAGATCCGTCTATAAAGATTGTACGCAAATTTCTTCATCTCTTGGATCAGAGCGACATCGATTTTGAAGAAGAATTAGGTAAGTTTATCATTGAACTTTTGAACGTCTAGTGAATTCTTCTCGACCCGCCACCACCCTTATTTTCTGTGTTGTCCTTATATTTATTCACGGTCATCGCCGACCGAAATTTGCAGAGCTTCAGAAACTGAAGGCGCAGGTTGTCACGGAAATTCGCTCCAATCAGCAACTGGAACAAGATTTGCACAGCATGGACATTAAGATTGGCTTGCTCGTGCGAAATAAGATTACTCTTCAGGTTTGTATTGCCAGTACCTGTCGCATGCACGCTTTAACGACAAGTCAATGAAAAATTGTTTGGTCACCGGGCATTGATTTCTACAAATTTTGTGTTTCGCTGCACGACCATACCAGAGGACAAATTAATTTCTGAGTGTAAAGTAAATTGACGAAAGCCCGTTTTCCTAAGGTTTTGTTAAGTGCTTTTATTGAGTTTTGTTGCTTTTGGGAATTTTGTCTGTGAACATACTTTCCACCGAGGATAATCATGGAAGCACCAAGGTCAGTATGGAATTTTTTTGGAAAAGCTGTCAAGCGGTAGATCGATATAAAAAACAGGGCCAGCGGGGGGATATAAGTTCATGAGGTTACCCGGGTAAATAAATTTTAAAAAATGCTACTGAAGTTAATATGGAATCGCCGAGCTTTTGGTTGACGCACTCTGGATAACAAATCTCTACTACAAGTCGCTGCAAAAAATCGTTTAGCAAGCGTCTATAGTTCGGCAACTGGTCTTTCAAATGGGTGGTGTATCGATGATTTAGAACCCAACCCTCTAGATTTCTAACTACCGTGCCTAGGTGAGGCAGGGACGCCATCTTGAAAGGTGCAAAACTCAAAATGAAAAATAAGCTAAAAGAAGGTTTAAAAACCCAATGTTATCAAACATTTTAAAAATTAAACCTGAACTATCAACTTTGCAACTGAAAAATTAAACACAGAGAAAGCAGATATTAATCATAAACATCGTCAGTTTTGCCACCTTTCAAGATGGCGGCTCCCCCCACTTATAACTATAGAATTTTGGCGGAGTCTGATATCTAGCAGATTGGGTTCCAGGTCATTGGTGTGTAAGTGTCACGCAAGAGATCTTATTGATCTCGTCTCATCAAGTTGATTTTGTGCGACATTTTCCATTGCTTCAAATGATCTTCTTTCTTTGTATTTGAATACGTGTATTTTCGCATTTTCATCTTTTACCCTACCAGGATGTCGTTATTCACAACAAGAAATTAAGGAAGGACCAAGATGTGGATGGTCTTGGAAGCAAAACGAAAGGCATCCGATCCTTAAGTAAAGAAAGCCAAGAGAAACTTGAAGCGTATCAGAATCTTTTCTATCTCCTGCAAACCAACCCGGTGTATCTAGCAAAACTGATCTTTGAAATGCCACAGAGTCGATCGACGAACTTCATGGAATCCGTCATCCTTACTTTATACAATTATGCTTCGAATAACCGCGAGGAATACTTACTGTTGAAGTTGTTCGAGACCGCTCTAAGAGAGGAGATCTTGTAAGTTTCTTCGCATGAGTTTATTCTTGTCGAGGATGTTTTCGTGTTTGCCATTACTTATCGGGTTAATAATATACGTTTGCTGCTCATGGCAGTAAGGAGGAACAGCGAGTGGAAGGTTTGCAGATATTGTTTTACATGATATGCTTATTAAGTTGAGAAATGAAAAACATGATTTTGGTGTTTTACTGAAAACGTCACTCGCAATAAGCTTAGTCAACTTAACCTGATATTTATGAATAGCGAGTGTGGCATTAAAAATGATTTGCCAATACTTATCAGTGTCCGTGTCATAAAACTTTGTTACTCAGCTAGTAATTGCACTCGGATTGCACAATCGATTCGGGCAACATTTGATTAGGGTAACGAGAAAGAATTGTGACCCAGGCATGCAATTTTTAGAAAAGTTAACTTGCTAGCTTTTATAATAGCTCGCGTGAACGATTCTGCGGACTTTCGTTTATCGTATACTTTCTGTTTTCAGTTCAAAGATTGACAGTATTCAAGAAATTGTAACCGGTAATCCTACCGTTATCAGAATGGTCGTCGGTTTTAACAGGTATTCGCGCATCTCTTCCGTAGATTCAGGGGGGTTTCTTAGCATTTCCACACGGCAGCTTGTTTTTTTTCGTATGTAACCATGAGAGATTTCAGCCAATGGATGTATATACAGCATTGATTGATGATGCAAGCTTTGATCTTTCTCAGAGGTGCACGGAATCAAGGCTCGCTCAGAGAGCTTCTTCAACCATTAGTCCAGGGAGTTCTTGACGATACAACTCTTAGCACGTCCACTAATCCTGTGGAGATCTACAAGAACTGGATCAACCAACAGGAGTCGGAAACTGGTCTACCAGCGTGAGTGGATTCATTGACCACGTTTGATTTTGTTTTCGGATGTTGCAATACATCAACTTGAACGATGTCTTTGACGAAATCGTCATGCATCATATGATTGAGAGAAGCGAAATTAGAATTATTAAAACCTATATAAAATATCGAATTGTCTAATTAGTGTTCTCATCGCATTTCTTTATTAGCAAGCTTCCTTACGATGTGGACCCTGAGAAAGCATTGGAACACCCCGAGGTTCAAAGCAAAGTTGATGCGGCCATCAGTAGACTGACGGCAGCAACTGACAGATTTTTAGAAAGCATCACTTCGAGTGTGAACAAAATACCGTAAGATCTCTCGAATCGTTTCCAACTTTCTTAATGGTCGTGTTCTTTCGTTTTGTTCGACATAAAAAATGTCTTTCTCATTCCGCCTGCCATTACGAATGATAAAGTCCTTGCTTGTACCACGTTTGGAATCGTGTCGCTTCACAATTTATGTGAAATTTATGTGCGCTTGCAATGATCTTTTCTTTAGTTATGGTATCCGCTATCTTGCCATGACCTTGAGGACTTGCTTAGCGGAGAAATTCCCTAATGCTGGAAATGATGATATACTTCGTGTAAGTGCATTGTAATGAAGTCCATTCATATCACTAAACTATTGAATGTTTTCGCGACCAACAAAAATTGTCGACTGAACAGAATTAGCTCGTGTGAACGATACTGTAGACTTTCGTTTATTGTATACTTTTTGTTTTCTTCTTTCATTTCTCCTCCCGTGATCCCACCCCTCCTTCCGTGATCCCACCCCTCTTCCGTGATCCCGGTGATTTTATCACGTGGATATCTTCTCTCCTTCTGTAGGTTGTTGGTAACTTTATCTACTATCGTTACATGAATCCGGCGATTGTGGCCCCCGATGCTTTTGACATTGTCGATGTGTCTATTGAAAAAGGTCTAACTGTCGAACAGGTATGAAACTATGAAAGCGACATATTGCCGAAGCTTGCACGATGAGCGTCGTGTAAGGCAACTCATGAGCGATGTTTTAACTGTCATAAGCGAGAGTCTTATTTGATTGGTCAAAAATATCGCTGGAAGTTCCACTTCCACTTATTTGTTCGTGCTTCGATTTGCAGAGAAGAAATCTTGGCTCCATATCGAAGTTGCTTCAAGACGCTGCTTCGAACAAGAAGGCGAGTTTACCTCAGCGATGGTTTTATGTGCGGTAGTGTTAACGTTTCATAGATTTATTATTTTATTTACTTTTAGTTTGGCGGAGAAAGTTCCCATTTGAGCGACTTGAACCCGTACTTGGAGAAGGCGCATCAACGTTTCTTGTACGAACTGCGATTATTACGTTCTTATGCATTCCCCCCCGTCCCCCTGATGTTTACAACTTTGATGGGAACTTTCATCATTTTTGTACTTTACCATAAATTACAGGAAATTCTTCATGGAAGCGGCGAATGTCGAGAAACCCGAAAACAAATTCAACATTGACGAGTACAGTGATGTCGTGATGTTAACGAAGCCGGTCATTTACATATCGATAAAGGAAATCTGCGATACACATAAGTTACTACTTGAACATCGGAACGCGATCGCAACCGAGAGTAATGATCCGCTGCAAGAATTGTTAGACGACGTGGGTGATCATGCTGACGTTAAGGAACTATTAGGTAAATGGGGCAAAGCACTGAATTAGTGCTTGCATGGTAAGGGTTCAAAACTACTTGTATGATGTTGTATTATGTTAATATGTTAACTACTTTTATCATGTGTTGTAATATGTTAATATGTTAACTACTTTTATCATGTGTTGTAATATGTTAATATGTTAACTACTTTTATCATGTGCAGTATGTTGATATGTTACCTACTTTTATCATGTGCAGTATGTTGATATGTTACCTACTTTTGTCATGTTAAGATGTTAACCACTTGTATATTGTGTTGTAATACGTCAATATGTTTCAGTTTTAAAGAATTATCTGATGTAGTAGTCACATTTGAAATTCAAGCCATTCCCTTGGTTAAACAACCCTGCGCAATTATTTCACAGGCCAAACTTGCCTCAGTTTTTACTGTAATATTGACTGATGTCCTAATGATCCCCATAGCTACTACCGATTCTGTTTCATTGTCCTCGTGGGTCCCTTGCTGTACCTACCGCGCCTCCAACGTTTTACCCACTGATCCAGGAATGCGTTGATATTTGTAGGTGAGGTTGTCGTTGCCGAAGGACAGACGGAAGAAGATGTGCTGCGTGAACAAGAGAAAACGGAGATATCTCTGACTTTATCCAATAAATTTGAAGTTCCCGATGACGACGACTCGGATCTTCGTGCACTTTTCGTGAGGTAAGCGATTGTGACAATGGAAAAAGCGGGTCCTTACGTACTTCGACGTTGCTGAGCAAATTTATAGCTAACGTGTGTGAGACCATCATCTTGTGTTTAGGACGAAACATCTCATCATTGACGTAATTCGTGTCCAGTCCGGTGACACGTTGACGGAGATCTTGGAAACTCCCGCCACAGAAGAGCAGGTATGATTAGTATTTGTTTGTGTTACATTGAATTTCATAATCATGTTGTCAGGCTTTATATTTTTTTTCTCAGGAAAAGGAGCACATGTCTTTCTTGAAGCAGAAAGAAATACAGGACTCGAGGAAAGAAAATAAATTGAAGAGAAATGCTTCGATTCACAGCGATTCCAAGTACGGAAGCTTGTTCTTTTTTCCTCGTTACAATTGTAATCGAGTTTTCTGGTCTAGCTTTAAGTGTTTCTAACTTTTGTTATTGTTTTTATTTTTGTTGTCGTTTGTCTTTCCAGTTTGCCCATTGAAGACATCAAGCGTAAGATAATCCGAAATCTTCGAGTTCTTGAGAACCAGGAAATCGTAACGACGAAAAATAATTACCAAGATATTGTTAATGTCATAGCCAGGGTACGAATGTTGGCTGTAACTTTTTACACACGTCGTCTTTAGATAAAGAGGGGGTGTATCGAATCACGTATGCTATCCCCATCATTATGTTGATATATTTGTTGTAAATGTCATTGCTGGAGTGTGGATGTTGCTTGTATTTTTTCACACATAGCTTTTAGTAAAGAAAAGCTTTGTTGTTAATCATGCACGCTATCATCGTCTTAATGTTTGTTGTAAATGTCATTGCTGGATGTGGATGTTGCTTGTATTTTTTACACATGGCTTTTAGTAAAGAAAAGCTTTGTTGTTAATCATGCACGCTATCATCGTCTTAATGTTTGTTGTAAATGTCATAGCTAGGAAACGAATGTTGGCTGTTACTTTTTACACATGACTTTTTACACTGGTGTGAATGCTAGGTCAGGAGAGTTGGTGTAACTTTTTACACATGACTTTATAGAGAAAGCAAGGGCTTTATTGAATCATGTATGCAATCCTCATTGTATTGTTTGTTGCGAAGGAGTGAATGTCATAGCTAAGTTGCAAATGTTGCTAAAATAAGGCAAGGGCTTTATTGAATTAATTTACCTCCATACAACCTATTGTTTGTGTACAAAAGGTACAAAAGAACTGAACGAAAAAATAGTTATCTCGGTTAAAACACATCCTCGTTATCTTCACAACGTTGGCCGTCTTCATAATTTGACTTCTCTTTATATCCATCGATCACAAGAAATGCATATCATATGGATTAAGTATTAATGTCGTTGATCGTATGGATTAAGTATTAATGTCGTTGATCATATGGATTAAGTATTAATGTCGTTGATCGTATTTAGGATGTACGTAACCAAAGACGATACCGCGTCCGACGTAAGCAAGAACTTAGGAAACTGGAAACGACTTTGGAGCGTTTGAAAACGAAGGCAATCTTCTACGAGGAGCAAATGGATTATTACAACAGATATATTGAAACTTGCTTAGATAATCTTGCCGGGAAGGAATCAATGTACGCTCTTCGACTTTGTTCTATGAATTTTTTCTAATGTATTTTCATATTGTTTGTCGAAATTTCTTTTTAGAGGGCAAAGCAAAGAGAAGAAGAAACAGGATGGATTTAAAACAGCTGTTAAGTACAGCGCCCAAAAGTTAGCCGAAAAAGGAGTTGTGTTGGAAATTGAAGGTTTACCGAAAAGCCAGTAAGTATGAACAAATTTTTGTGACAGCCGGAAGGCGGCCCTCTTCAATGGTCGCAATTTCCGACTTCTTGTAATTTATATTGTTTTTAGGTTGAAAAATGCTTCGTTTGAAATTGTGCCCGCTGACTCAGGTGTGTTTTTGGTCTCCGCGAAATTCATGGGAATTTCTATGGAAAAAGTTGAAATAGTATTTCAGGTATTTGTCAATGACTTACATTATCCGCTCTCAAGTGTACGCTTAAACTGCAATGACTGCCACGTTTTCGAGAATGATTCAGATGAAGTTCGTTAGTTTTGACCCTTTTCCATGGTCTTTGGGGAATCTTGCATCTCCCAAACCAGCTTCCACAACCCATGTTGCCAACATTTGCATGTTCAGGAAATTCAATAGTTCAGGAAATACGCATGAAATAATGGAATGTTTGTCAAATCTCATGACGTCACATTTGAAAATTTTCCATATTCCAGGACTTACTCCAACTTCAGTTCGAAGGCGTTGCGGTCATGAAGATGTTTGGTAAAGCCAAAGTGAACGTGAATCTTCTCATTCACTTGTTGAACAAAAAGTTTTATGGTAAAACATAAAACGATCGTGTGCGATAGGAAATTTTTCATGTAGGTTAGAAAAATTATGTGATGAACATGAAACGTGCAGTAACGTACGAAATCTGTTGTTTAAGAAGCTACTTCCACGATCGGAAGTTCTTTCTGGGAAATTTGGGAATATTGGGAATATTATTCTGTTGTCTATGTAGAGTGGCCTACCATGAAATGGGGACCTAATGCGTTGGTTCACTTTCCTTAGGCATAGAAAAGTTTTTTCTTAACTGTAGAAGCAATTTGGCGACAAGCACTCACTACAGAAATTTCCGAAATTGAAAGAATTTCCGATCGACTTCGAGTGTCTCCGATTAAATTCCGACTTTTTTTCTACTTGCCATCTCATTAATGGAAATTTTTTTTGGCCTCGTGTTTTTGCCGACTGGAAGACTCCAAGTATCGTTAAGACATGAATGAAATCATATTGTAGGGAGGATTCTAATTTTATACTAAGTATTCGAATCTATCCGACGTTGATACCAAATATTTTCACATTATATCATGTTGTACGTACAGAATTTTGTTGGCGTAACGTTACATTGATGTTTCTCTGTTACTCTTCTTCTCTTTTTGGGAAAGACGTAATGGCGAGATAATTCAACTCCAGTGCTTAATTCTTTGTAATTTATTTCGAGATGATGTCGAGTGGAGCTTTTTTCAATGTTGGAGATTTTCGCAACAAGATGAATGACTTTGCTTTTTGTCTGTTGAAAACCGCCGTCCAGCCGACAATTTTCGAAATATTCAAAGAAGCAGATTCTTAAGAATATAGCCATTTTGAAATTGAAGATTTGAATTAAAACACAAGACTACGAATTAAGTGTATATTAACTTCGTTTCAAAGCCACCTGCGTAGATGATTTTTTTAGGGGCAGTGTGAATAAGGCGTTCGGATGTCTTGAATGTCAAGATTGCTATATTCTTTGGAATTTGCTTCTTAATTATATTGTCTATTGCTTATCAATGTTGCTATACAAGCCAAAACCGGGTAGTATCAACATGAATAGAGGATTTCTGGCTACTTGTCCACTGCTGATGACGTCTATTTTGCATACGTATGACCATCTCGAGCGGTTTCCTTGTGATTGTGGATTCCTTTGATGATGTCACTCTCCCACGTAAGAGCGCTAAAAAAGTGATGTACGTGTTGTTGTTTTCATTTATTTACACCAAACATTCAAGTTCATTGCATTGTTGAACGTGTTCCTCGATTATTCGTGCATGGATAAAAAAAAATGCATAAACATTCCATAATGTCGTATTTAGAGACTATTCGCTAACCACGTATTAAATGTGCCGTGAACTTGAGACTTTTGGCGATTCAGTATTCCAATGTTTTTACATCAAAGTCCACTAAGAAAATCTAATATATTTAGCATTTTAACATTTGTAAACATCCGGTAGGATTTTAGCCTACGTTGACATTTAACATTTTGCAAAGTTTTGTAGCCGCGTTGTCAAAGGAATGCGTGACAACAGTCAAGTGTCTTGTTGCGGAGTTACGTCACGATGAAGTGCAGCAGAGACAGAATTTGTTTGATTGTGGTTTCACGAAAATGCGTCAAAACTCAAAAGCTTTGTTTGTGGAAAAGCAGAGAGAGAATGAAATTCCTCCGCTTTGACGTCATACAACATAAGCATTTCTAATGGTTGCAAACAGTCTTTTCATCTCATCTGTTCCGGGCAAAGACACTTCTGATTTTAAAATAGTAACTTTTGTACAATCATTGCACTGACTCGTTAAAGTTTAATAACCTCTTCTGATTGGTTCGCCCTAACCCGCCGCGCGCTTTCTCAGCCTGCGGATGTTGTCATTACGCCGAAAGGAGCGCTGAGTGGCGTAGGTCGAAGTATTTTCAAAATGGCTGCGAGTAATCCTCGAAAGTTCGAGGAAAAGATAGCTCAGCACAAGCTGAGACAGGCCCAAGAAACGAAGGAATTCGATATGATTATGCAAGAAATGTCCAGAGTTACAGTAAGTAATGATTTTGTGCGAATGACGTGTTGTTTTGCAATGTTATTTACTCGCGAATTTCCACATTCATATATTACAGGCGAAAGTGAGTAGCGAGAAACAAACTCGGAACAGATATGGTGGCTCCTTGCCCGACTTCAATGCTGCTCAAAATCAAACAACTAGATCTGTAAGGGGATGCTTTTGATTCGATTTTGTACATAGTTGTTACAAATAACATATTTATACACGCGTTCGTTGTGTTGATATTCCAAGAGTCGCAAATGTTTCGCTTTCAGGATAATCTGAACGATTTGGCTCTCCGGCATAACATGGACATCCAAGTACCACACAGAGATCGCGTTTATCATCCGAGGACAAGGCTGATGACAAGCACGAGTAGACGACATATATCCTTTATGAAATTTGCTTTACTTAGCCCAACAAACATAATCGTGCAATGCACGCTACGCGTTGTTGAATTGCTTCTGTTTAAATTAACAAATGGTTTATTACTAAATCGAAGTTCTCAATGTGTGAACCTCTTTGCCCGCAGCGTCACCATTCATTATTCGTGACAATTATTAAAGTGTCGATCGAATTTTTCGAGCAATTTTGAAATCGAAAAGATTTGCCCTATAAGAAATGTGTTAGTTACAACGAAGAAAAGATATTATTTATAGTAATTTCTGCCCTATTTTTACATCTTGCCATGCAGGATTTCTTTGATTTCGTCACTTATCTTGCACGTTTAGTAGTACTATTTGTTTTAGTACATATAAATTATCAACACGCGTATTGTGATATTTCTGTTACAACTTTCCTTGACTGTTTATACGCCGATTCTGCCTCGCCGTATCACTTCAGCCCGTATCTATCGCCACCTCAAATGGACGCGAACTGGCGAAGGTATTTATCTTTGAGTGTTAAATTCATTGAATTCCCGAGCAAAAACGTGTAGAGTTTGTGTTCTGTTGCCTCCACCCGGGGTCCTTTGAAACACTCTAATGTCACAAGCCGTTGCATTTTGTGCTCATTTGGCTCGAGCGATTTTAAAACGACGCGTTTATAATTCTTCTAACGTGTGTAGTAAAATCTGTTCTTGGCGGTAAAAATGCACCCCCTTTGCGCTTTAGGACACTCAAATTCTCGGATATCAATAGTGAAAGTGTACTGTACAAAGTATGTGGGTTTCTTTGCAGACATGACGTGCATATTTGTGGGCATTTTACTATTTTCCTACTAATAGCTTCGACTATACATTATTTATGTCACGAAAGAATGCCTCTTTAATTTTGTACTAGATAATATTGTTTGCTTAGCGTAGATTTCTTGCGCTTGTAAATTGATCGACACATCAAATGTTCACGTTTATGAGGTGAATATTCGTGGTTGTGGTTTCGTGCGGAGTGCAATTTTCAGATTGTCTCCCATGTCTTTTAGCACACTTGTTTCTACGACACCCGAAGACATGTGCATCGTTGTGCGTCTAATCTGCCGTGTATGCAGGAATATCTGATTTTGCATTTGTGATAATGAGTTATGAATAATTGTTAGCAAAAGCCTCATTGTAGTGGTGCTCGTGGGAGGAATTGATTTGTGTTTGATGCAGTTCAGAGTTTATAGAGAGTGAACAAGTGCCTTGTTTTTCTTGTTGCAAATCTTCTGCTATTCCCGAACAATTGAAATCAAATGAAATTGTCATATAATAATTTAATGTACCACCTTATTATTTGTGGCGGTTTTTGCATGTTTCACAATTCAACTGACAACATATATTCTGTGCCAGGGTATCTAATTTGCTGGTTCTTTTTTTTAGGACAAATTCAGATTCTTCTATTTATCACAATTTGACCAACCCAAATGGTAAGATTGCATAAGATTTGGAGATATGCGTTTTTCATTCTAGACAGTGTAGTTTTTGCTTACAAAATTTGAATATACTAAATCCCCTTTGCATTTTTTCACACTTGCTTTGTAGTTAATAAAGAATATTGTGGTATTATTTCAATAGTTTGTAGTTGATCAACACTGAACTGATTTCTTGCTGTAATGATCTTTCTATTCGTAATTACTTCTAGTTGTAGTATGTAAATGATAATTTCTCATTTCCGTGTCTTTTCATTTGTTGTTTTAGCAAGTAGGAGAATTTGTGCATCTCCTGATGGCAATGTAGATGTAAGTAGTATTTTCTCTCAATTTTCTTACTTCAAAGACTCTATCGAATGACATTGTTTTCAATTCTAGTTAGCCAATGGCAATGCAGCATTTGCACTGCCTTAATGAGTATTCACTGCATTTTACTTTAAAAAGAGACATTATAAAAGGCATAGAATGTCTCCCATCATTAATCTGTTCCAACCACCAGAAATACAATTGATGAGCGAGAGACTCTAATCTAAAATAATGACATTTGGCAATGCTATCTTTTTATTTAGGTTGGGAGTCTTCTTGCTCCAAAAGAGAACATGGAAGACATGAAGTAGGTCCCATGCACTGAGAATCTTGCTTTGCATTCTCAACTTTATCATATTTGATCACTTTAGGCTGAACAGTAAACAACCTCAGCAACAGCAACAACAGGTCTTCAACTATTCCTCTAACAATGGCTCATTACCAGACCTCTCTAATCTTCACATTCCATCACCATTTTCTGTGGGAATTGATCAGGACGAGTCACAACTATACAATCCCAGTTTACCTCAGGCCAACTCAAATGTATTTGCAGCACAGCCACGGCGGCACACCACCGGCTCCAGCAGTAAGCGACAGATCTATCGGCCCCAGCCCACCCCGACTTTAGAACATATCTCCCTGGCTTCATGTTCCAACAATCAAACAACACATCAAATCCTGCCTCACCCACAGTGGCATCCATGTACCAGGCCCCAATGTCTCCACTTGCCAATGGTCCTGGTTACCTGCACTATTCATCTCAAATGGGCTCTCCCAGCATGCAAGTGCAGCAGCTTGAGCAAATGGCGACCATAGCGGAAAACATGAAGCCGCCTTTAAACATGCATAATGGTCAACTGGGCCAGCAGACCGTACCGCCTTCGTCACCGAATACATTCCTAAACATGATGACCCGGAGTCCGGGGGCCATGGAAGACATGCGACAAAGGTTTCAAGATTATATTAGTAGCGTGCCTGCTACTCCGGAAAGTAGTCTCGCGTCCGAACTTGGCAACGCCATTGGTGGCCTGGACAGTCTACCCGGATACCCAAACATAAATAGCAACTCAGTTAGCGAATTGACGGGCCTGGGATTACAGCCGTTGGATATTAACGATTTGCAAGTACTTAGCGGCGACAACGTAACTCAAGCCGAGGTTGAGGAGCTGTTCAAGCGAGAAGGGAACAATCAGCAACAGGTAAGAATTATCAATCAGTAACGCCAAATATAGCGCACATGAGATTACACGGTTCTGTTGGTTTCCGGACAGAAAATATACTTGACCGAAGTTGTCAAATGAAAGTCAAAATAGATAACGACAAGATGAATGGTCTGAAAATGTTGATGTTCCTTAAGGTTTTACAAGCTTTTCCATTTTCTTATCTACTCGTCTCGCTTATTAACGATGGAGCAATCTTAGAATTTCTGTAGATCTCGGAAGACGAACGTACATACATACGCATCTTAGAAATTTAGCAAACACTACGTTCTGCCTTAAGTTGTTTAGAAGTTGGTGTGTAAATAGTGCGAAACGCCTTTGTAAATTGTATGGATGAGTCCATGTCGTATGCTATGTTCACGACTTTATTATAACGCTTCGCAACTTCACTGTATAGTTACGACTGTTTGGTGACAGAATTTTCCTATGTTCTTAGTTGGCATGCAAGAAACTAAGTATAGACAGCGGGCTCGTAAGTCCAGCAGGAATGTATCAATGACCATTTGTAGACATGAATAGTTTGCAATTCGTATGATTATTGTGGGTAATTGTACAATTAGATGGTCTTGGTTTGATATACGCTTCATATATTGATGTGTATCTTTCAATAACACCGTATATTGTATGCAGTCGTATTGTATTATTTTTTTTGAAAATTTCTCGGAATGCGCGTTTCTTGTAATCGAAGTACTGGTATGCTAGTCGCGCCAAAGGGCCTATCGTATTTCATTGATTGTTCTTTGATTTCGCCGAACTCAGCATGTCCATACGATGTGCTTTTTACAGTTTTCACTTAGTAAGCTTTTCCTAAAAAGTAGTTCCTTCATCTGTATATTGCTTGTGGTAGTAGTAATATTGACGGTAATGGTTATTAGTGGTGCTAGTAACATTTATGGTAGCAGTACCATTAATGGTTGTAGTAATATTGAGGGTAGTGGTTATTAGTGGTGCTAGTAATATTTATGGTAGCAGTACCATTAATGGTTGTAGTAATATTGAGGGTAGTGGTTATTAGTGGTGCTAGTGACATTTATGGTAGTAGTACCATTAATGGTTGTAGTAATATTGAGGGTAGTGGTTATTATTAGTGGTGCTAGTAATATTTATGGCAGAAGTACCATTTGTGGTAGTGGTTATTAGTGGTAGTAGTAATATTTATGGTTGCAGTACCATTAGTGGTAGTAGTAATATTGAGGGTAGTGGCTATTATTAGTGGTGCTAGTGTAATGTTTATGATAGTAGTACCATTAGTGGTGGTAGTAATATTTAGATTGTTAGTAATATTTACGGTTGTAGAATTATTAATGGTAGTAGTGTAATTAATGTTTGTAGTAACATTAATTGTACCAGTATAACTAGTGATGGTTGTCTTACTTATGGTAGTTTAATAGTTTTATGTGTTTGTGATACTTTGGTGAAAATAGATTGGGTTTTTTCTCGTTTTCAGCTCATGCATTGATTTGCCTCTTCGAAAACACTGTACATGTAAGAAACTGAATTGTCCGAACATTTGCTGTGAATACGATGTAGTGATGTCGAAATGTCCACTTACGGGATACACATTCTCGAATGTAATTTTTGCATGGATTTTCTGCCTCTGATATGGAACGGATCGTGCAGAATCGCTTGTTCTTGCTTGATGGTCATTGGACAACTTTATCAGCTTCCATCAAATGTCGCGCTCAAAGATGGGGTCGCATAACATGGCTAAGTGACCACTTTGTGACGTCATTTATGTAAGTCGTCATTTTTTTGTGATGTCATGCACTGAATCTAATAGGTCATGTGCTTTACGAGCTATGATGTCATTTGTGATATATTAGTTTGGGACCTCGTGAAATGACATCCGTCGTAATGTGAAGTCACATGGGAAGCTCGTGCTCGACGAGTGATAATAGCGTGTACCAAACATCCTTAAAACGCAAAAGCAAGCATAGACTTTGGAATTTAGATACTTTTTATGGTAGAATAATAGTCGTGAGACGTGTTGTTTGTCATGTGAATTATGTACGTATTCAAGAACAATTATGTATGATTTATGTAGAATATTATAAGATAGTTATTGAACGCAGTGAGCTGATCTGACCACGTGAAAAAGTGTTGAAATCAACAATCGGACCATGTTAAAAAGTGTTGAAATCAACAATGAAATATTTTGTACTTGCGGTGTACTTGCGGTACTTGATGGTGGAAAATATTTCTCAAAATGTGCTATGGAGGTATGTTTTTATGACGTGAAGTGATTCCAGTCCTTTTTTGCGTTCTCAGATCACTTGATAAGTCAGTAAGGATATTGAAAAATCTACTGATTTATGCTACATTATTTTTTGGGGGGTTTTTCGCATGTTTGTATGAAATCGTCGAATTATGGCTCCCTATCCTCATCTCTCTGAACCTTTTTGTTACGTGGTCTTTCTTGAATTCGATCAAAAATTTTCACTCGAAAGCCATGGTTGTACTTGTGCGCTTCTTATGAACACGTTTATATGAAGTCAGTTAAGGTATGATAATTTGGCAGAGGGGGAATTGACGAAAATGCTGGTACAGACTAAGATCACGGTATAGAGAGCATACAGTAGGGCCACTCCATTGAAATTTTTCGTGTCACGCATATCTTATTACGCGTGTGATTACCATATTGGCAGCTAGTAAATTGCTTTTTTTGACCAATAGGATTGACGATCTGGCAAACGGCAGCCAGTAAACTAATTAAATATACAGCAGCCAGTTGCAGAGCGAAGTGGCCCTACTGTATATTCCAATACTGTGTTAAGATTATAAAGAAGGCTTGCTCGGGTCTGCAACGCGTCATCTCGTCCGCCATTATTCCAACGTGCTGGCTAGGGTTTTTCACTTGTTTCCAACCACTAAAATGACCCGAAGTCATTTCTGAGTGACGATTCGAGAATTTTAGACTTAAGAAATGACTTCAGCTCGTTTTAGTGGTTGGGAACGAGTAACAGACACTTATCAACTAGCTAGAAAAATGGCGGTTGATATGCGCAGCACCCTTTAGTGTCTTTAAAATTCTTCGACGTTGCACGAAAAAACTTTGGGCCGTGTGGGAGGAGAGAGTACAGGAGACGTATTTCAAAACGTATAGCTACTGTTCGTCAACCCCCACCACACCCCTCGTGGAACGGAGTCACCCGTTATTGTGTTATGGTGATTTCCGGATCACGTGTTAGATTTTGATCCGTATTAAGTATATATTAGTTGTATTATTGCAATGTAATAACACGTACACATTGTACTATGCGAAAACGTTACCGCGAAAAATACTTTGCAAATATCCATGAAGCCCGATTGAGGGAAGACGTGTCGTAATAAATACACCTTTAGCATTCTACGAGCTTTCAATCACGGGTTTTCGAACTTTCTACGAGCTTTTAATCCCCGGACCACAGAGCCCTGTATTTATAAGAGTTGGGACACGTACAGTTCTCTGCATTTCCCATTATGATCATTATGATCGGGTAAATATGGTCACGTGGGCATTCAGCCGCCATTTTTGTTCCAAAAGCGCAAACTATAACCATTTTCTATAGGAGATTGATGAAAAAATGTTTGCAATGATTTTATGTCACGTTATAATAGTGCCAATCAAAGCGATGAAGAATAGAAACATACGCGCTCCCTTGTGGCAAAAACAGTATTAAAGGCGTATAAATTACATCCACTGAATTAAATATTTTTTTTATCATTATGACATCTATAAACAACTAAATTCCTAGGATAGTGATCGCTGTCTATTTATGAATAAAAAAACACAACTGGAAAATTGTCTTACCACCATTTAATGCTCCATATTTGCTGGCTTTTGGAAAAAATGGCGGAGGCTAGGCAATCTTATTTCCGGTGTCCCGCCTCTCCTAAACAGGGCTCTGCCGGACCATACTTTGTGATACTTTGTGCATTGGTCTGCGAAGGCCATTGCTCTGTTTTTGAAAGCTTGTATGAATAAAAATGTCTGCAAAAAAATTCCTCCAATTATATGTAAGAAACGTTCATTGCTAGCAAATAAATCTAATAAAGTAAATGGTTCGAACCCTGGAGTATCTTAACGTGTTAGTAGATGTAGATCGTCCAAATTAGCATGCAGAGTCCCGAGAGGAACTGTCATGGTATTGATTTTGACAGTTTCCACAAACTTACACTTAACTCTTGAAGGTTGTTTGCTAAGGTTGGCGAAACGTCAGTCAACATCAACACCAAGATTCCTTCTCGTGACTCCCAACCATTCTGGACGATCTACATCTACGAACATGTAAAAAAAGAAATCTGTGATTTATCAGATATCTTACTAGCTACAAAATTAACGCTTTGCCTTAATTTTGGAAAATTGGTTCAAAAGCTCGAGTCGATCTTCGCCGATCTCATAGTGTAGCTTTGATCCTGACTTGGCTTTTTCTTATGGAGGATGAACGAAAGTCCTGTACAATCCAGTTGTCGATCGTGAGACATTCTTTGGATTTTAGAATTTTCTTTAGATTTTAAACATCCTTTAGCTTCTTCAAAAGACGACGGGAAATCTTACGTGTAGAGTAATTCGTTTATAATTGTGAAGCTCACGTGGGAGTCGATTTTAACGTCGAACAATTATTGCGCCCACCATCCTCGTGGTGGCTTAGAGGAAACCGCGTGGGTCCCACGGTCTTCGGTGGAAACCGATGGAAGCTATAAAAAGTATTGGATGGCAGATTGAACCATTTAACTCTCGCCCTGAGTATTCCTGTGCATTGAGTATTTGTTCCTGTTGCATTGCCGAAAAACTCGAGCTTCACAACCGATGGAATTTTCTTTCACGTAGCCAGACCAACCACCTTTGGGTAAAAAAATTTTGAGCTGTTAACAGTTAATTAATCATTCGTCGTTTCCTTTTCGCCATGGCAACTTTTGATGCTCGATGAGACATCGCCTAATTTTTTGTAATTTTTCATTTTTTTTTATGTGAGCACTTCCCCCAAGAGTTCTTACGAAGAAAGCATGCCTGTAGGCTGTACGAATTCCACGGAACACAAGAGAATGGCAAGAACTAGGTATGTGGGATGCGGACGTTTCTATGCCACGTTCGAAGTGAGTGTGTTCTCTCTTCTCGAATAATTAACGTTTGGCAACGGCATCGATTATATTGATTCCACGGATAGCTTTGTAATCGCGATTCGGTCGTTTTGGTAATCGTCTTGCATGAAAGGGTTCTCAAGGGTCATTTTGTCATGTTTGATAATTTCCTTGTGAATATTGGTGTCATGGGCCGTTCGCTGTTATCACACGAATCCTTTTCGCTCGAGGACTGAAATTTAGAATTTACGTATATACGTTCAATTGTGTGTGTCTTGTCTTCGTAAGATAATAGTCGTCTGCTTTGAAACGGAGGTGGTAGCAATTAAATTTGCATTAACGTCGACGACTGAAAATCATTATAAGGTATGTTAAATTACGAAATAATTACAAAATGCTCCACTGCCGCTTCGATTCGCCGTCGTATCTAAGCCTTGTTATGTCACGTTTTTCAGACAGTTCTGTCTCGAAGCATCCGAGTTTCGTATCGTAGAAAAGTCCCAGACACTCGTCTCCTATTGCGTTCGTGTTCACCTGGTTTCTTCGTCAAACTGATTTCTTATTGTCAGCGGCCGTTATTTTGCCTGCAATCAAATTGTGGGTGAAGAAATATCGATATTGTTGACGACATCAAATGATACAAGATAAAGGTAAGCACTTTACAGGCACAATCGGTTAAATAATTTAAGTAGGGCGTCGATAAATAATAAGTGAAGTCGCTTCTACCATTACTCGTGTATCGGATTCCTGTAAATCCGCTAATGCTGACCCGTGATCCGCAATTCACAGTAGATCCAGACGTATTAGAGGGAGGATGGGATTTGGATAGGATATGTACTTCGCGTCTCGCTCGCGGCAAACATCCGCGTCCTTGAAGCAAAAATTAGACTTTCAAAGTAGATTGCGAGGAGTTTTTCCCACGGGTATTTGTAAAATGTGAAAGGGACAAGATCACTGGTCATCGCTGATCTTTTTGTACATAAACAGTCGAACCCGTTTGCCCTCATGACCCCCGGAGACTTGTCCCATGACTGTTCAAGACAGGTTAACCGTTTAAAACCCGGTCATGTGGAGATTATCGCCACATTTATGATTAAACATCTAATGGAACAAAATTTGAACAGCAAGCATTTTAACACATATACAAAAAAAAACAATCATAAACTTAGTAAAACTTTTTCTCACCCGAATCTAGCTTGAATTTCCAAAGTCAGAGCTTTAACTTCCAAAAATCGCCATGAATTTTGTTTGTCTTCCACACTTGGACCGGCTGAATTTCACTTTTTAAATTGGTTGTCATGGCAATTTCACTTACAATGTATTTTTCAGTTTGTGGTCGGTCGTTTTCGTATTTACATATCCTTCATTGTCATTTATTCTCTTCGATGCAAATTTTCTTTATGTCAGCGATTAAAACTTCAATAAAGACCAAAGTTTAGAAAAAACACAGGCAACCTTGCAGCGTAAGTAACGAAAATATACACGATTCATTTATTCGCTCGCTTGCATAACACAAAAATTTCAATAGTTCCAGAAAAAGCATGCAAATTAATTTTGCGAAGAAAACGATTACCACCATCTAAGTTGAAAGTTATGAAAGTTCACAATTGAAACGCCAGACACAGTACTGCTGAGAGCAGAGCGTTTTAACTCCCCGTGGATCAGCCAAATCATTGAAGAAGCACCTGCTGTGCTCTTCCAAACAAAATCACTTTCTAAAAATTCTTTTTACGCCGACACGGTCACCAAGATAGACCAACATGGCGATCATGTCCATGAGTGACAACGGTCTATAGCTAATACGACGGGTTACAAGCGACACTGAAAATGCAAAAAAAAACGAAATGTTTTTTTGCTATCCTGCATCTTTACTTTAAGTCATCCTACCTGTGAAATCCAGAATGCTCGCCATGTTGAATTTTAAAAACTTTTTCGGAAGCATGGCCGCCGACGCGAAAGTTTTTGTTGTTTGTTTAAGGAGCCAACGATTTGAAAAATTCCATTCTCGATGATTAGTTAAGCATCGTTCTCATTCACAAAGCGAGTGTCGAAAACATTTCGAAGATCGTTTCGGATACTTTTCCTCTCGTGTAATTTGTATATGTTGGCCTTTTCGTGTGGACCTTCCCAACGACCATTTTCTAGACATTTCCATGACAATGCACTCCATCCGCTAATCACTACTTTTTGTATTGTGCTTCACTTTCGATTTAAAGACTCTGCGTTTTTGTGGGTGTTTATTGTTCAGCAATATAATTTTCGAGAGAGTACGGATCTTTCATATGCGGTGCTCGAATGCTCTGTTTGTCGAAATATTCTGGTGGAATTCTCCGGTTGGTATCATGCGTGGGATTCCGAAAACTTAATTACGTCTTAAGCACAAAACCGGACAAAAATGTTATGCAGATTGCTTCCTACATTGATCCTTCATTGATACATTTTTCACACGATGGTAAATAGATCCTAATCCTAAATGTTAGCGATCATTTCTATCTATCTTTGGACTTGCATTCGCTGTCGAATGTTCTAACAAGTGCAGTGTGCTCGTCGAGTTCATTTTGCCATGCGTTTCGATACGGCGTCAAGATTTGTCTTTCGGTAAAATCGCTTGTGTTTCATTATGTTATAACTGTAAGATATTTACATAATATTGCTGAATGCATTTTGCGTTAATTGTTTTAAACAAAGATCATTGTCAACGACTCCAACAAATTCACTCGACAAATCGCTATGATCGTGCGCGTTCGCTCTTCGCACTCACTCGAAGGATTGAATTGATTCAATTATTGCTGCAAATTAAGGTATTGATGATTTTTCTGTTTACATACAGCTACACCGTTCACTGACGCGTTTTTTTCCGATAAAGTCAACTCTCATTTCGGCAGTTCTAAAGGATCCACTGAATCAGAAAATATGAAACGTCAGTTTTAACACGCAGCCCGAAACTTCTCTTTCTCGCTATTTCTTTTAGCACTTATTACTATTGTTAGAATCTTGTGTAATGACGCTGATTGTGTGGGATTCAATAGCAAAATACGTCATGCTCAAACATGTTTGATTCCCATGAACTTTGAGCGTTAATATCGACATCCCCGAGCGAAGATGTGACTAGTCTCTGGGCTTCCGCGTTTCTTAAATCATATATACCATAATCTTCACAAAGTATAACATAGATCTATGGGCTAGTTGTTTATATGCCAGGGTTAACCCCTGGAAGTCCTTCTTTTGAAATATATTTCATGATTGACAACTGATTGACGGCCAAAGTGACTCAGCGCAAAAGCCTTGGTAACGGCAGTTTGAATTGCCCTGTCGAACCAATCAGACTTTCACAGACGTCTTTAGAACCAATGAGGCTAGGATTTTGTAACCGTTCATAAGTAGTATTACTTCGCAATATATTACGTTTTGACTGCCGTGCCATTTTGCATTTCATTTTATACCGACCTCTGATTGGTTTTCGCCAGACACAGCTGTGGTTCCACAATTTTTCCTTGTTTACTTTAGTGCGAGTGAAAGCTAGTCTGCATTTAAACAAGATCTTAGAGGCAACTGCAATCAATGGACGCGAAAATTCTGCAAGAGAAACCGGAGTAGACTGAATATGGAAGTTCAACTTAAATCACACGGGTATGTTATACATGCACTCTCCTGTTTTAGTCAGGCAACATTTTAACCAAGACGACGATGAATTTCCTATACGCACGGAACAACTTGACAAGGAAACTACTTCGGTTTTGCAAGCTTTGGTTTCGTCGTTATGGCTATCTGTGTGTTGTGTTCCTCGTGCATCTCTCGACTACCCGTCTCCTTTCAAAATTTTATATATTTGTAAACATAGCATTTTGAAAGCAATTTAAATCATGCATATTTCAAACCCGTTTGTGCGATTGCACATCTAAACTTCTTGGCGACGTCGTGCTCGGAAAAAAAAACACGAAATTCAGCTTGCAAAACTCTGTTCTATATATTTTTCCTGTACATGTCGTGTATTCATATATATTTATATTTCGAGCGATAGCGAATGTATTTTCCATACGCGTACAAAAATACACCTGTACGCCTGAGAAATGCTTTCAAAATATCCGTATTCTTATGCAAATGAACGCGAATATATGATTTTGCACACGAAGCTACACGTATGGGTAACTGACGATTTTGCAACGGGTTTTTTTCCCTAGGTTCACGAAAGTTCTGCTCTGTCGCAAGCGATGCAATTACTGCGGAAAGGCGATTCGTCTGTTCGGACTTCGCTGTCGATTTTGTCGGTGAGTTGTCGTGCGTGTGTTTTTGTCGTTTTCGACGTATTTTGCTGATGATCCGATAACCCGATACTCGTCTCCGACGAAGACATTTAATCGTAGCATTCCGTAGTGAATGACTCAACGATGCGTTGTTGCATAATCATGCGAACGTAACCCGTGTTATGGCGGCGAGAAAGCAAGTCGTTACGCCTTGTATTACATGGAATCAGTAATTAATATCGCAGCACCGTGGCTAGTGTATAAGTAAGATTAACGATTGGGAATTTTATCTAATTGTAATCGGACTTGAAAGACTTTAATGGAACGGTTTTCGTGCAAACTACACAAAATCATACGTGCAACTTTGCCCCGCATCACTTTCTCTTAGGACCCCAGAGATATCCCAGAGGCCAACGCGTTCGATTGCCTTGCAATGCAAACACCAGCAGATACATTAATCATTGCCACAGACAGCTTGAATCGCGCGTGACAGGATCTAGACGTAGACCCCTGCTTGTCTAGGGCTGTGTTCACAAAAGCTTGTGCTATCGATCATACTGACTTATAAAAAATTATGATAAAGTATCGTATCTCTTGCTATAAATAGTCTATTATCACATCCTTTTTATTCCCTGCCACGCGAAAGTGAAATTATTGATTAACTGCCTTTAGTTCCGCCGTAGTTTCTCCATACGGTCCAATCTACTCTCCGGGCGCACCGTACATGCGATTGGCTGGAATGAAATGAACTTTCTCTTAAAAATTATGTCACTCATTCGATCGAAATCGCAAAGAAGACATTTCAATCTTCTTTTATTTGCAATCACATAGAACATAAAGCGGTTTGCAATGGTTTATTGGAGAGTGTATCCTAAAACTTTCAAGCTGCATGACAAATTCCCGGGTATTGTCTTGGATAGTCGATTCGACGTTAGAACTAGAAGATTGAAACTCTGTTTTACGCTTAATGCATCAAAAATGCAGTCGATGTGAGAACTATATGCGGTTTATAATTAGAGAAATTGATGTGATTTCAATTTGATACTTATATCAAAAGCCAGTTGATAACCTCTGGCTCTTCACCGACTAAGCCCCACCCTTTCCTTGCTGTCCATCCCCTCTAGACATTCCTTGCAAGGGAAATTCGCAAAAAAGTCAAACAACGATGAGAATATCTTCATGTCGTGCGTTTTTGTGGTGTGGTTTAGGAAATCAAACACTTTTCTTTATTTTCAGCCAGAAGTATCATAAACATTGTTCAACATTAGCACCTCAACAATGCTATCCCTGCGGCAAAAATGGTAAGAGATTTGGCCATTACATCGAAATTTAATCAATTTGCTCAGTTTTTCTTTTCTTTTTTTTTTCAAGGAAAATCGAAGACGTTCTTGAAAAGACCTTTAGTTTCCAATCACAAAGAGAATAAAGCCAATGAATATGTTCTTTGTCCCAGTACATACGTCACGCGCCATGATGCTCGTGAGCATCACGTGAACGGCATAAATCGTTTAGATAGCTACAGAGATAACGTAATTACGTCTCCAGTCAAATTGAGAAAATACTCGCCTAACACGGGAACATTAGTGTCCGTAGGGGATGTTTACCGATCACATGATCGGCTGAGTCAAAACTCGACCATCACCAGTCCCACGCATTTTTATTACTCTTCCATGTTGACACCAAGTCTGAATCCAAAATCGGCCGTTTCATCCGGGTATTCCTCTGTGAACCATTCTTGCGCCTCCTCCGCCGGAAGTGGATCGCAGAGAAGTCGGTCAACGACTCCGGAAGAATTCGAAGCTTCGAGGGACGAGTTCACAATTGAAGAGAATACGAGCAAATTTGATGAAGCGGAAGAACTTCTTGTTTGCGGCGGAGAAATCGAATCACCCCTTACAGGTTCATAAATTTATGAAAATACACAAGTTTCTATGTTGTTATTGATTGCATGCTCTTTGTTGCACTTCCATTGGTTCTTTAGGCAGCCCATTGTTTCATCTGGAAAGCGATGAAGATTTGTCAGGTTGTTGGGATCAACAAGAGAGATCAGATAGGTAAGATAACTGGAGTGTGCAAAACGACGAAACAGTTTTTTTTCTATCTGAAGAGATGGTGTAAACTGATCCTATTTACATTTTAGCTTGGACACGAGATCGGGATTAAAGGCAAGCTTTTTAATTATTTTCTCATTAATCTCTGTTCTTACTGCAGTATTAGCACTCATTGATCTTGGCTCTTACTACAGTAATAACACTCTCTGAACTCAGTTCTTACTACAGTAATAGCACTTATTGAACTCTTTCCTTACACCAAGATTTGTGACGTGTTTTTTATATTTGTTTAGAAGTCGCTGAAAGAGTTAGAAATACCATATTGTGATTTGCAAATTCATTCTAAGATCGGTGTTGGACCAAATGGACCTGTCTATAGGTATGTGACTATTTGTAATCAGTAGAATATCGCCAATGTGTTGACGCAACGACTAAATTTTCAGTACGCACGACTTGGCGCGTTTGAATAGCAACATTTGAGTTGAAAGTTTTTATTCGCCCTCGTGCGTAAAAATTGGAGAGCACGTGACATGATCACGAGCACTTGACATGACGTTGACATTCTTTTCAGAGGACGTTGGCATGGTGACGTAATGATCCACACGCGTAGAACCTCGCAACCTGAGGAGGTGGAGAAATTTCGTAAGGAGGTAGCGTTGAAAGTGTATTATTCTAACCAGTGACGTACCGACCCGCAAGTTTAGTCGTGCTTTGTAAATTGCGGATCGATTGTTTTAACCGTGAAGCGAACGCCGAAACGTTTGCATAGCACAAGCAAACTTCTGGACTGGGTACGTCACTTCTAACGCAATCGTATCGAAAGAAACTGTTTGAAAAATTGACTTATTAACGTGACTCCACTTTGGCCGCAAATGCGTACCATAACTTTGGTCCTGCTCTTGCTTGGCAAAGAAATAGATTTCTAAAGAAATGAATGACTACGTGTTTGTAGATGTAGATCATGCAGGTTAGTATAGCACCGAGAAGCACTGTTGGTGTTGATGTTTATTGTGATAACCTTAGCGGTAGCCATCTTCAGAGTCATGAGTAATAAGCATTTTAACTGATTTTGAAGATGACACTAACGCTAAGGTTGTTGTAACGTCAGTCAACATGATTATACTAACCTTGACAATCTACAATCACGTGATGTTACTCTCGGGCTCAAACCACTCACTTGGAATAATGATTTTGCTCTTACATGTTCTTAGCAAGACGACATTTCCAAGAAATTATAATGATGCTAACAGAGGTGTATTTCGGAAATTTTAACGACTGCACCTCTCTGATATAAATTACGACTACTATGGACACTCTGTCGTGTGGGTCCACCAAACTTGACGTAGAGACTTGACAAAGGGGCTCAGCTCCCATGAGCTCCCATGCCTACAATACACCCCGGTATGGGAATGTGTTGAAATTAACGTAGCAGGACAGAAATTTGCTATCTGACCACTGCCCGGGTTTGCACACTGCACACAGCAAGTTTTGACATTAACAGTACCTTCGTTCATAAATTACTTGCTTTTGTTTCATGAACCATGTGTTTACATATTTCCGCTTTCTTTTGTATCATTCAGGTGTTTTTGTTAAGTATGATAAGACACGAGAATGTCATGTTGTTTATGGGTGCCTGTCTTGATCCGCCAAATCTTGCCGTTGTTGTGAGGTACGTTATTGTATTGTATTGTAGGGCGAAGGAACTGATGTGATTGTATCTTAAAAAGTTTTCGTGCCATTTTTAGCTTGCGTAAATGCCTCTCGATCCACCATCATCTTCACTGTCAAGATTCGCGTTGGTCGATAGCGATGCGACTGAATATCATGCGTCAAATTGCTCAGGTTTGAAATATCAACGATTTCATTGGGTCAATATGGATTACATATATCGTCCTTGCATGCTCAACCACGCTACTTGTCAAATTAAATGCTTGCTCTACATGTGTCATGATCGAAGTAGTCGCTGGCATGTAAATATGTCATACACTAAGTAGTCTTTGCCAGGTAAATGTGTCGTGTACTAAGTAGTCTTTAACATGTAAAAGTGTCGTAAACTATGTAGTCTTTACTATGTAAATGTGTCGTAAACTAAGTAGTTTTTACCATGTAAATGTTTCGTAAACTAAGTAGTTTTTACCATGTACATGTGTCGTGTACTAAGTAGTCTTTAACATGTAAATGTGTCGTAAACTAGGTAGTCTTTACCATGTAAAAGTGTCGTAAACTAAGTAGTCTTTACCATGTAAATGTTTCGTGAACTAAGTAGTTTTTAACATTTAAATTGTCGTAAACTAAATAGTCTTTACCATGTAAATGTGTCGTAAACTAAGGATTGTTTATTATGTGAATGTTTCGTAAACTAAGTAGTCTTTAACATTTACATGTGTCGTGAAGTAAGTAGTCTTTAACATGTGAATGTTTCGTAAACTAAGTGTTCTTTAACATGTAAAAGTGTCGTAAACTAAGGAGTTTTTACCATGTAAATTTATCATAAACTAAGTAGTCTTTAACATGTAAATGTGTCTTAAACTAAGTAGTCTTTACCGTGTTCAGGGAATGAGTTATCTTCACGCCAAGTCGATCACCGTTCCGTTTCTTCGAACTATGAACATTTTTCTCGAATCAAAAGTGAAACTATGTATGAACGATTATACTTCCTTGCATCATCAAGTAAAGAGGTATGGGAAGAATTCTTGTGACTTTATCATTCCTTGCATTGTATGTAAATTTTCTCTCTTTTTGTCAATTAGGAAGGGTTATGGTAGTGTACCACAAGGTCACCTCACTTATCTTGCGCCGGAAGTGATATCAAAAGTTCACATTGATGTTTTGTCAGGGCGGATTGTCGATAGCACTGTGAGAACTAGGAAAATGGACGTGCATGCTTTCGGGTAAGTGTATCCATTGCTTTGTTCTTATAGTTTATATCATCCTTACTATGACATGCATGACGAGATGAAGTACATATATTTCTTATGTACCATCGTCACTACGACATAAGAATAAAGAGATCAAGTACTTTGATTTCTTATGTACCATCGTCACTATGACATAAGAATAAAGAGATCAAGTACATTGATTTCTTGTGTACCATCCTCACTATGACATAAGAATAAAGAGATCAAGTACATTGATTTCTTATGTACCATCCTCACTATGACATAAGAATAAAGAGATCAAGTACATAGATTTCTTATGTACCATCCTCAATATGACATAAGAATAAAGAGATCAAGTACATGGATTTCTTATGTACCATCATCACTATGACATAAGAATAAGAGATCAAGTACATTGATTTCTTGTGTAGCATCCTCACTATGACATAAGAATAAAGAGATCGAGTAGATTGATTTTTTATATGTAATTTCCATTAAAAAAATCAAATGATTCTTCATTACAGGACAGTTATGTATGAAATCCTAACAGACAAATGGCCCTTCTCCAACTTGAGTCCCGAAACTGTAATCTGGATGATAGGAAAGGGATTGCCTCAATCGCTGTCCAAGGTCAAGGGTCCTGACTGTGTAAAGGTACATCCTTTCTGTCATCAACATTTCAACAAGTACTTGCCCAATGTGTATGGGTTTTCTCTTTGTGTCTTTCACACTACAGCAGATCATACCATAAACTACACCATAAACATTTCAGACTACACCATATAAACATTTGCTCTTTGACTTGATATTTGCTGTTTTCCGTAATGCAGCTCATTGTATCAATGAACGAATCACGAAACCTGGTGTTATACTGACCCTGTTCTTGTCCATTTCTTATTGCAGAACTTGATAAAAAGTTGCTGGTCACATGACCCGAGTCAACGTCCCGAGTTTGTCCACATAATTCAAATTTTAAACCAAAAAAATGTGAGTACGACATTGACCCAATTCCGTCTTTCCATTGCATCAACGTTTTGAAAAGTATCTGTAGTAATGTGTAAAAACACAGTTGATTTTATCTTTGTAAAGATGCAGACTAAATCAAATTCCCTTGTTTATGAAATCAATTTCTTTCGTAAAAGTAATAATCGGAACTTTTCTCTCGTAGATATCCACAAACTGCATCTCACGTCGTCACAGCATTTCTGAACCAAAGAACATGCAGTATACGGGTAAAATCACGGACTATTGTCAGCTGAAAAGAATATAGCAGTCTCTGAGTTGCACGTTCTCAAATTTAGCTTTCGAAATTGTTTACCATATCTTCATGGCAAAGCATTTACATAATATCATTCATAGGTGATTGAAGCTATTGCAGTAAAACATCTTGTTAGTTAATCGTGTTTTAGGGGTTAAATTGCAAGTTTATGTCGTAGAAATTTTTGCAAGATTGTATATATACATTGAATTGAGAATTTAAAGTAGAATTTTTGTAGTTTCAACACCTTTTTCGCTTGCAATTTTAGTTGTTATTGATGTTGTCCGTCGTGTTTCCATTTAATCGATGTAAATTTTTGAGATGTGAAGTGTCGTGAAGTTTGGCAGATATATAGAACAAATATCTTTAAAATTATTGGGAAGGGGGGGAATTTGTAATCGTATTTCGTTATAAATTAAAAACAAAGTTGCCAAGTATCTTTTCTTTTTTTATTTTGTTCTTGGCATGAGATGGTTATGAAAAGAAAATTTTCCCTTTTCAATATTCAAACTTTTATCAAACAGAACTTTTAAAATGAAAAATGGGTTTAAAATTTTTTGCATATCTTTTTCATGCATAATAAAAACCCTAACTACGTTTTTTCTGATATGTTTCTTCAACGTGGCACGTTTTCAGTCGTTGTGAAGAGTTAACGGCATAAAATTCTTTCCGAAAATCTTGAGCTGAAGTTGCCGGAAAACTGATCGATGAAACAAACTTTGCAATCACCATTATGCAGTGCGAAGTCACTGGTAGCGTGATTCGAACGTATCTTCTACGTTTTGAGAACGAAAAGAGGTATTGAAAAACTGTTTAATAAAATCTTCCGTCATTTCAAAAGTACTCTTCAATGAAAGTCACTTAAAGTAGCAATGGTGGGAAAAGCGAACAATAAAGTCTGCAACGTCAGCAATTTGTCATTCAAAATGGCCGCCGTTCAATGTGGACTAAAATCATTCTCCAACATAACAAGGCCATATAATCGGCTTTTTTCCAGTTTAAAGCCATTAACACATAGCTTTAAAGATAAATTCAAGCCCTTAGATTGTTCGAATGTCAATAAATATAGATTTACGTACATTGGAAGCTGCTTATGCCGTTGTAGACTGAAGTTTACTCTAACGCAAGCGGATGATGTAAACACGAGGTAGGTGAAGTGCGAATTATCATGTAGACTTTTTGACGTACTGCTTTCTAAGAAGCTGCTTTATTTTGACCTGTAAATAGGTTTGACAAAACATCAATAAGCGTACTTCCGAGAACGTTTTTCAAAAGCGTTAAGAGGAACAATTCGAGAACAGACTCAAGGTGCGAATACCGAATACATTGAAAAGGTGACATGACAGACTTTTTATATTTTACTACATTCCAAATCCTATACTCATAGCCCATCAAGTGCTGGGTCTTCGGGAGATGATGGAAACGATGAAGATGGGAGGAATGGGGACGATGATGATGTCATCATCGAGGACAAAGTTGAGAGTACCAATGTGAACCCGGAGTATGGTGCCCTTGCACCCGTGATGGTACCAGAGGTGTATCCAAGAGTACCATTGCTATGTGTTCATCGTAATCCTGTTTTTCCAAGATTTGTCAAAATGCTGGAGGTATGTAACACTACAATTTACATGCAACCTGTGAGTGTTGCAATCGGTGTAATGTTGCCTGTATTGAAATAACATTTGTCCCTTTCTGCCACGTTTTGTTGTATCTTTGCCATTAAGATCTCGGACAAGACTATAATGGACTTGATTCGAAGAAAGTGCAAAATGAATCAACCGTATGTTGGAACCTTTCTTAAGAAAGATGATAAGTATGTCATTATGAGAGATTATTCGCTGATTTAAAACACATTTGTGAGCATTTCATTCCTACATTATATGTTTGCAGTGATGAAACTGAGTTTGTACAAAGTTTGGATGAGATTTACAAGATTGGCACGTTTGTTCAAATTACAGAACTCCACGATACTGGAGACAAAATAAGGATGATCATTTTGGGACATAGGCGGTATGTTTAATCTGGATTATGATGATCATTTTGGGACATAGGCAGTATGTTTAATTTGGATTACGATGATATTTGGGGACATGGGCAGTATGTTTAATCTGGATTAGAATAATCATTTGGGGATATAGGAGGTTTAATCTGGATAAGGATGATCATTTTGGGACATAAGTGGTATGTTTATAAGGATAAGTACGGTCATTTTTGACATAGGTAGTACATCTATCATAACAAGGATGATCATTTTGGAATGATGACTGTAGCTATGTTTTTCGTGATGAGAATGATCATTTTTGAGATAAATAAATGCGAGAGAATGCCTGTGTTTACAAGAATACAAAATATCTTCATACGATGTAGATTTGCATTGGTTCTGCTGTCTACTTCGGTGGACTTGCAACTGCAGTGTCTCATTAATGACTAACAAAGTTTTTCGTGATTTCAGCATTGTTATAACTGACATTGTATCCGAAGAAGACGACGTCTCAGACGTTACCGAAGCGAAGAATGAAAATGGTACCATTGAGGGGAACAACCAACCAATAAGTGATCCTTCCACTGCGAAATCAAAAAGTGACGAACGCCAAATCATTCAAATGGTTGAAGTCGAGAACCTACTTCACGCACCTTTCAAACTGACCCAAGAAATCAAAGCAGTTGCGGCCGAAGTCGTTAAAACAATACGCGATATTATTGCCTTGAATCAGCTGTACAAAGAATCGCTGGCGCAGCTTATTGAAGCTGGAAAGAAAGTTGTTGATAATCCAACTCATCTTGCAGATTTTGGTATGATTGTGATTTTTGAACATAACGTTTGTCATTGTAGGTAGTGATGAATGAACAGCAGAGAACAGGAACTGTCTTTACACTACCTAAAATATAAACTAAGATAACGTGTGTCAGTGTAGGTAGTGATGAATGAACAACAGAGAACAAGAACAGTCTTTACACTACCTTAAATATAAACTAAGATAACATGTGTCATTGTAGGTAGTGATGAATGAACAACAGAGAACAAGAACAGTCTTTGCACTACCTAAAATATAAACTAAGATAACGTGTGTCACTGTAGGTAGAGATGAATGAACAACAGCGAAGGGAAATATTTAAAACATCTTCGAAAGACTCTAATAAAGAAATTTGATTCAAAATTATTCCAAAATAGGTGCCGCCTTAACGAGTGCCGATTCAAACTTGCTGCAAGAAATTCTAGAAGAAACCGAAGTACCAGTTAGATTAAGGAAAACGTTGGAATTATTGAAAAAGGAATACGCCATGTGTGTTTTGCAGCAGAAGATCGGAAAAGAGGTAGTGCTAAAATCATTTGAAAGATAATAAAGTGAGTGCAAAGGGCAGTAGCCGATCCAGGGTTAAGTGAAATAAATTACACACGCCAAATGTCATCGGCTATCAATGAATTTCCATGTAATAAAATTTGATCAATAGATGTGCTGAGGTAATTTATTTTGCCTAGAGGTGAGAGGTGGATCACCCCGGGGTCCGTCGGCGAGCAGGGAGGGGAGGAGGGTTTCAGGGATGTATTGCTATCGCTAATTGGGGGGGGGGTTCTTATTCATATATTCGTGATATGCTGAATTAATATCTTTTCAAATGTATTGTTATCTGCGGATTTATAACATGCATATATGAATAAGAGCCCCCCCCCCCTATTAGCGATAGCAATACATTCCTGGAGGGTTTGGTATCGGAGTGTGTATCTTAATTTTCATTAATAAAGTAAATAGTTTGAACCCGTGAGTATCGTTTCATGTTTGTAAATGTAGATCGTCCAGGTTGGTATCGTCCTGAGAAGGACTGTTTTTGTTGTTGTTGACGGACGTTTCGACAACCTTAGCGGTAGTCATCTTCAGAGTCAAATGATATTCATTTTAATTTTCATTCAAGACTTAATTTTCATTTAGTTTTCAATCAAGATACAATGATACTGTTTGTCTATGGAAGTTTGTCTGTATCGCTTCGAATTGCTTTGCTTCATTCCGAAGCGCAGATATATATAATTATGATTTATAGGATCCCAAGCGGAAATTTTGCCTCAAGCTCCACGATTTTCATCGGCGACCCGCGTCGATAGAAATGGCGCGAAAATTGACTGCTTTATTTTTGTAAAAAGGTTGAAGACAGAGTAAACAAGATGCAAAGGAAATATCTCTTGATGGAGCAGTTGAAAGTGATCAAGAGGGAGTTGGGCCTAGAGAAGGATGACAAAGATGCAGTTGCCGAGAAATTCAGAGAACGATTAAAGGATCGAGAGATACCCGAAAACGTGAGAGAGGTCATCGACGAAGAACTCAATAAACTTGGATTCCTCGAGGCCAACGCATCAGAATTCAAGTATGCCGTTGTGTGTTTTTATGTAGTTTCATGTTTTTGAGTTGCTTAGTTGGTGTTTTAAAGTGAGAGTGTTCATGGTTGCTTTAAAACTGCTTGCGTTTTCATCGCCGATTTTAGTTAAGATCTGGGTAAAAAACTTCGGCTTCCAGCAAAAATTTGTCGCTACTTTGTCTAGTAGTATTGTAATCAAGGGACGTGTGCGATATATTTGATAGGGGGTAAAAATTTGTCGCTACTTCGTCTAGTAGTATTGTAATCAAGGGACGTGTGCGATGTATTTGATAGGGCATGTAGATTGTGGCATATATTTATTCAGTCATATTTTTTGTACATGCCATCGTGTTTAATTTTTACTTCTTTTGTTGAGTATATGTCGTTTTGCCTAGGTCTACTATGTCATTGGGTGTAGGCTATCCTATGATGAGCCATATTAGTTGTATAGTGTATGCTATCCTGTAATCAGTCTTAGGTTATCCTGTAGTCAGTCATATTTGTGTAAGCTATTTTATACTAAGTCATATTAGTTGTGTGACGTGTGCTATCCTGTAGTCAGGCATAATAAGCTTTGGATATATTGTAGTCAAACATATTAGGAAGAAGATGTCTTGTTGTCAGTCTTATTTGTATAGGCTATTGTGTTGTAAATCATTCTGGGTGCATGCTATCATATTATCAGTCATTTTTCTATTCACATTTTTTGACAACATTTTCTGTAGCGTATCACGCAACTATCTTGACTGGTTGACCAGCTTACCTTGGGGGATTATGAGCGAAGAAAATTTCGATTTGACGAGAGCGAAGGAGATTTTAAACGAGGATCACTACGGACTTACGGACATCAAAGAAAGAATCTTGGTAAGAGAGTAACATGTTGCAATGCATCTGTTCTCTCATCATCTTTAGATCTTGTTTGTTATTATATTACGTATCATAAAGGTGTAGCTACGTAATATCGTGTTACATGAAGTAGTGCCGTCTTGAGAGTGAGTTTTTTCCAATGGTTTCTGCAGCCGTTACATTGTAAACATAAATATGATCGCTTCGATATCATAAAAAACAAAGAACTGTTCGTATATTACTGATGGAAACTTGATGACAAAATGGTTTCTTACAGTTTTGACGACCAACTAGTAAACTCAAAACAGTGAAACGACGACAACCAAGGCGACAAACGACGACAACCATATTTGTAAGAACGGTATTCTGATTAATGTAGGCACTGAAACAACGTCACAAACGAAGCCTTTTTACGTAATTTGTTCGTCAAGTATTCTGTAATTTGATATACGCGTGTGTTTCAGGAATTCATAGCTGTTAGTCAACTAAACGGTTCGGTGCAAGGCAAGATACTTTGTTTTACCGGTCCGCCAGGTAACGAAATGTTGTCGTCTCTTTCTTTTGTTACGCAGCACTTTCACTTTAGATTGCGTTCAATGGATAAACATTTATTTTTCAAAGGTGTTGGAAAGACGAGCGTGGCCAAATCAATCGCCCGAGCTCTTCAACGTGAGGTAAAGCGTAAGCAATTGACATCACTCGAATAAACAAAGCAATAAGTACACCTCTCCACTCATTTTACTGTGCAATAGACAACCGACCTTCAAAACAGTAAGCATTAGACCATCCTTCCATCGTTCTAAACAATGGAGACTCCCACATAATAATTAGATATGGTAAAACAGAGAGTTTGCTCGTGGTGACAAATTTAAAAATTGCCTATAAAAAAGCAAATACCATGGTGAATAGTCAAATACTAACGTAACAGTTCTTAAAAGAACTGTTTAAGTCAGAACACTAAACCGACAGTTCTAAAAGAATTGTTAGTCTAGTTTTCTGGCTTAAACAGTTCTTTTAAGAACTATTACGTCAGTATTTGACCATTCACATGTGGTATTTACTCTTTTTAAGACAATTTTTAAGTTAGATATGGACGTTTCCCATCACACTAAGCCAGACCATCTCTTAATCATACTCCCTGGACGTAGCTAGCAATGCCGAAGAAAATTGACAAGAAATAATGCGCGCATGGAATGATGGGAAATTTAAGTTTTATGTACGTACTTAGCTGCAATAAAATTTATCCAGGTATTTTGGGTTGGAACGAAGAAAGAAATGCAACTGATGCACATTACATTTATTCGATCAGTACACCAACATGGCAGTTGTTAAGCGAAGTGAAAGCATTCTATTGTATTTGGTTAATATTAAACCTTTCACTACACGATTTTGATAGCCTGTTGTAGTTGATCTTTCAATCAGAGCTTTATACCAGCCTTTCTACTAGATCTTTTCACCAGTCTTATCGCTAAACCTTTCTACTATACCTTCCACTTGACCTTTGTACCACTCCTTTACAATGTTTTTCTACCCTCTCCGCTATTTTAGACGATTTTATTGAACGTTTGTACTCGATAAGCGCGGTGCTTGTCTTAATGAACAAAGTTTAACTGTCTTGCTGTATTGTTTAGTATTATCGGTTCAGCGTTGGTGGTATGACAGATGTTGCTGAAATTAAAGGGCACAGGTTTGTGGCTGGATTAAACTTTTAAAGCGCTTAACTAAATTTCGACTTGTGTCCATTTTCTTCTCATTCAACAAACATATTTTTATGGTCCATTTTGGGTTGGTTGTTCGAACATACTCGAGTTTGCGTGGAAGTCGCGTTTTGTAAAAATCTTTCGCTAAGTAGCATTGTGTGTACAGTATGTGTCATGCGGCTGGATAAAAATTGTCGACGTTGACGTATCGGAAAAAGAAATCGAGACTTTTTTATGAAAAAATTGAGTATAGTTGAAGAGGTTTTGGGCGGTGAAAATTCTTGAATGTTGTTGATTTTTTACTAAAAACATTTCTGCTGCAGCAAACGTTTGTAAGGAACTATTGGTTGGGGAACACAAGGGTGAACATAAAGGAACACAAGGGGAACATTAAGAAGCACAAGGGGAACATTAAGGAACACAAGGGGGAACATTAAGGAACACAAGGGGAACATTAAGGAACACAAGGGGGAACATTAAGGAACACAAAGGGGAACATTAAGGGACATAAGGGGGAACCAAGGAACACAAGGGGGAACATTAAGAAACACAAGGAACACCGTTTGAAAAAAATGACCTGACGTTTTACTAGAAAATCTTCAACAAGGATTTGTTGATTTAGACGGACATATATTGGTGCGATGCCGGGGAAAATAATACAATGCTTGAAGAAAGTAAAGTCCGAAAATCCTCTGATACTTATTGATGAGGTATGTGACTACAGTTGAAAGTTCTATGAAAGATACACTTTTGCACATGTTTTAGTCCTTATATTGTTAGCAACTGAACAACATATATTCATTAATCTAGCGATGCCGAGTCCATCTTTAATTTTTTTAAGATGGATACGGAGCAGGGGAGGTGACGGAAGCACGATGTTAGCAGATGTTGATCGTTCAGGTTGGTTGGGTCCCGTGAGGTAATGTTGGTGTTGATGTTGACTGACGTTTCAGACTCCGAAATTGGCGATTCCTGGGGTTGTCGAAACGTCAGTCAACAATCATGAAACGATACTACCAGGCTGAAATCATTCACTTTAAAATTCAGTGTCTGGCATACAGAGTATATTCTCGTGCTATTCTCCCCACACACACATTTTCAAACTGACTCCACGGTCAATGATGTACTTCTTTTATCACGACCTCATAATGTGCATATGAAGAAAAGCCACAGCAATTGTCATGTTGTTCAGCTACACAGTCCATTATGCGATCGTGTTTAGGACAAAAAAACTTATAAATTTTTCTAATACATCTTGAACGTACGTATCATGTGGCCGTCGATACAGAAATATGTCAGTTATCTCCCTCACCCATGAAACGTTCTTCTGTTCTTTTATTCGGTTCAACTGAGTATTTGAAATTCTTCTTAGATTGATAAAATAGGTCGAGGTGTGCAGGGTGATCCGGCCTCGGCACTCTTGGAGTTATTGGATCCCGAACAGAATTCCGGATTCTTAGATCATTATCTTGATGTGCCCGTTGACCTTTCAAAGGTTTTGGACGAATTCTCTTTTGTATTTATCTTACCGGATGTGCTCATAGCATTCATTCGTTCTTTCATCTTCTATCGACAATACAGGTTTTGTTTATATGCACGGCCAACGTTCTGGAGACAATCCCCGGTCCTCTTCGTGATAGAATGGAGTTAATCCCGGTATCTGGTTATGTCGAGGATGAAAAAAAGTCAATCGCGCAGGTAAAGCGTCATTAGTGTCAGGGCCGGATTAAGATGTGTGGAGGCCCTGGGCAGCGAAAATTTGTAAAGGCCCTTTCCCTTCCTGTAAAGGCCATGGCCTGCCCATTTTTCCAGTCGCAAAATTTAAATACAAATTTCGTGAAGCATCTGATAGAAGTATAAACTTAGAATATAGCGTGTAAAGCCTTTGCATACGATGATGGAATGCTACTTGAGATAGAGTACTTAATGGGATTTGATTCTGGCAGTCTTTGATAAGTTCGTCCAAGTTAATTTCTCTTGGAATATCGTCCCCAATGCTCGTCAAAGATAAATGGCCTAGTTTACCGTGATTCATTGTCATACGTAGTCTGTTCTTCATCAACTGAAATTGACCTAACGAGTTAACAAAATGTTTTTCCTTGTTGTGCAAAGCTACAATGTTTAAGTTTCTTTTAAATAATGTGGAGGCCCTTGTTTGTGGAGGCCCCTGGGCAGCTGCCTTGTCTCGTCCTTTGGTTAATCCGGCCCTGACTAGTATATGAACATTACTAAATGTAGACCGTTTCGTGACGTCTTTAGTTTTTTGAAATATCCTAACTGAGGTCTCGTGCTGTAAAACGTGCGACATGCAGTTTGCCATTTACGTTATGCGTTCAATTTTTTGTTCAATTTTTCTTTACATAGAGATAATTTCACCTTTCTTAGAAATACTTGATTCCTATGGCTCGTGAAATTTCGGGATTGAAAGATAGGAACATTGAAATAACGGACGATGCTCTGTCCACTTTGATAAAGTCATATTGCCGAGAGAGTGGCGTTAGAAACTTGCAGAAACATATAGAGAAGGTATATAAGATAGTGAATTGTAAATGCTGCCTTTCGTGTCTTCACGTGTCAGCCTCGCACGACACTCGGCTATCGCTTCACTTTGGATAACAGCTTCTCAAGTGCGGCAAAGGTCGTTATGTTTTTTTTTGTCGCCCGCAATCCCATTTTTTTTATTCTCTTATTAAAGTTTCGTTCCATTTTTTTCAAGTATCATAGCGTCCATTTGTAAACACCCCTTCCCTCGATCATCGATATTCCTACCTTCGCGATTCGTTGCTTTTTTCTGAAAGAAATCGTGCTTGTAGAGGAAAGGCTGTCTGTCGTTCACTGCTGTGAAGTTATTTAGAGCGCAGTCACCACTTCGGTATTCGTCATATTTTTTCCCGTTGCTTTACTTTTAAGATCTATCGCAAAGGAGCTTTCAAGATAGTTCACGAGAAAATGTCGGAGGTTTTGGTAGACACTGAAGACTTACATGGCTATGTCGGTAACCCCTTATTCAATACTGAACGCATCTATGATATAACACCACCAGGAGTTGTCATGGGTTTGGCGTGGACGGCTATGGGTGAGATTAATTTGTGGCTTAACGCATTGTTGTTTTTAGTCTAGAAAACATTCAATATCATATGAGTTCAATGTCAGATGATTTTTTATGTCAATAACTACGCTTAGGTAGCGGATTACTGTTGAATTATACTGGTGAGTTTTTGTGTGAGAAACTTCGCTTAGGTAGCGGATTACTGCTGAGTTCAACTGGTGAATTTTTGTGTGAGAAACTACGCTTAGGTAGTGGATTACTGTTGAATTTGACTGGTGAGTTTTTGTGTGAGAAACTACGCTTAGATAGTGGATTACTGTTGAATTTGACTGGTGAATTTTTGTGTGAGGAACTACGCTTAGGTAGCGGATTACTGCTGAATTTGACTGGGGAGTTTTTGTGTGAGAAACTACGCTCAGGTAGCGGATTACTGCTGAATTTGACTGGGGAGTTTTTGTGTGAGAAACTACGCTCAGGTAGCGGACTACTGCTGAATTTGACTGGGGAGTTTTTGTGTGAGAAACTACGCTCAGGTAGCGGATTACTGCTGAATTCGACTGGGGAGTTTTGTGTGAGAAACTACGCTCAGGTAGCGGATTACTGCTGAATTCGACTGGGGAGTTTTGTGTGAGAAACTACGCTTAGGTAGCGGATTACTGCTGAATTCGACTGGTGAATTTTGTGTGAGGAACTACGCTTAGGTAGCGGATTACTGCTGAATTCGACTGTCGATTTTTTGTGTGAGAAACTACACTTAGGTAGCGGATTACTGCTAAATTTGACTGGTGAGTTTTCGTGTGAGAAACTAAGCTTAGGTAGCCGATTACTGTTGAATTCGACTGGTGAGTTTTCGTGTGAGAAACTAAGCTTAGGTAGCCGATTACTGTTGAATTCGAGTGGTGTATGTGAGGAGTTCAACATCAGATCACTACTGACCTAAACTCTGGAGCATGATGTGAACACTGTAACTTCAACGTTAGCTTGCTGACGACTGTAGGAGAATATATGATCACATGTATGATGAGGATGCTTTGATTCGTGTTTAAAAGTCACGGTTAAACATTTTGTTCTTCAGGTGGTTCAACACTTTACATTGAAACTTCTTTGACGGAGGCGATGAATAAGTCGGACGAAGACAAGAATTCTCCATCACTAGATCTTACTGGGCAACTAGGTGATGTCATGAAAGAAAGTGCGAAAATTTCTTACACATTTAGCAAGGTAGACTAAATACACGTTTTGCATTCGTCGGCACTAAGGGCCTCTTTATATAGAGCAGAATTGACTGCTGCCGTGTAAACAGATCGCTTACCCGCAGCTGAGCGCGAGTTAAGCTTTCAGCCGGGCACTCGATTCCATGTAAACAGGCCTTTGAGAAGGGGCCTTTGTGTGCTGGAGTATTTCAGATGTCCCACGCATTATTGTCAGCTACACGGCTAAATTAATGATGATAATAATTGACAAAGTTCTTCAAATTCAAATTAGTCAGTTTCCGTCACACGAGCAAGAAATCGCCCTGCGTCATGGGATCGAGCTTGCGTTTTCAATTTCATTGGAGTCTATTAAATTTATAGTTGCTGATGATGATGTTGATGATGAGAAAAAGACCGTGGTATTTTTTGTGTGTTCTTTAGGGTTTTCTGGCAAAACATTACCCCGGGAACAGGTTTTTCCAAATGGCTTCGATTCACCTCCACGTCCCGGAGGTAGGCAAGATTTTAACGATGATTTGAGCCTTCAAAAAATGCCCTGTTTCTTAACCATCCCATGTTGTTTTAAGTCTTTGTTTTGTGTACTTCTAAGAACTTCTTGAAAACGAATGAGTTTATGTGTTATAAAATAAAACAATCCGAAAAAGGACTTCTTGTTAACTTAAATTCAATTTATTAAACAAGACAATTTTAAAGTGTAATATTTCGGTTTGAATTCAAAATAACTCGAATTTAAGTTTACAAGATGACCTTTTTCGGATTACGTTTTATTTTACATGTCATAAAATTGTCGTCCGGTCCAAGAGTCCAATGTTATTCCTCGTGTAATTACACGAGGAATTACACGAGGAAATTAACAATCCTGCATTTGTGGGAGATTATGTAGCTTTGTTTTTCAAAGGCTGCTGATGAGACATTTAAACGGACCCATCTGCAGCCGGCTGTTCGTTGCATACTGTTAGTTTGAAAATCTCTGAAAAGCAATAAAGTAAATTTACCCTTCAAACAAAACAACTAATACAGTCTTTCCTTCGTCTTATTTGCGAGTCATGGGCTATAAACATGTTTGTGCAACCACCTCTCGCTCACTTTTTGTTGTCACTGCAAAATTATGTGTGATGTTACAAAGGAGCTATCTTTGATGTTATGTTATATATCAACCTATTCATTATGACGTTTACTGACGTTTACTCCTCATTTGACATTGAAGATGACTTCCGCTAAGGTTGTCGAAACGTCAGTCAACAACAACAAAAACAGTCCTTCTCAGGACTATACCAACCTGGACGATCTACATCTATAAACATGTAACAATACTCCCGGGTTCAAACCATTTACTTTAAACACCAAAGAGTTGCATTATTTTGTATTTCAGGGGGCAACTCCAAAAGATGGACCGTCTGCTGGCTGTACCATCATCACAGCGTTGCTCTCTCTTGCCATGGATAGGCCAGTACGACAAAATATCGCCATGACTGGTGAAGTGTCTCTAACAGGAAAGGTATAAACTCTTTGAAATGAATGTCATTAATATTAAGTAAATGCAAAAAATATGACCTTTAATGATCGCGCGTTCTTCCAAGTATGTGGACATGCGTACATCACCCGCCTTCTGGAACAAAATCTATTCAAATTTATGCTCCTGGTATCAGTTGTGAGAATCTCGATATTGCTGTTTTGTCAAAGGAGTAGGACTCTATGATATGTTTTTTGAACTTTGACACATCCCAAATAATATGGCTGCTTGAAAGATTCACGTGTCGTTTTCACTTCTGCATTTAACACGATTGTTTTGTGTTTGTGTGGGAAGGGAGGGGGATGGGCTCTAGTTTGGACAAGAATTCGATGGCTACTTGTTTCTCTATCTGTGGCACCCCTCCTGCACCTTCTCTACCCGTGGCATCCCTCCAGCACCTTCTCTATCCATAGCACCCCTCCGGCACCTTCTCTATCTAGGGCACCCCTCTTGAACCTTCTCTATCGAGGGCACCCCTCTTGAACCTTCTCTATCAATGGCACCCCTCCTGCACCTTCTCTATCTAAGGCTTGGAAGAGTGCATGTTCCCCACTCCGCACCCTTCCCTCAAATCCATTCCAGGCTTTCACAAAACTTATGACTCTATAGGTTCTTCCCGTTGGTGGAATCAAGGAAAAAACTATTGCGGTACGTACTTAGCTTAGGTCATTCCATTCTCAGTTGTTTACGATTTTCAGTCATTCACGCCACCATTTTCAACATGTTCTTCAGGCGAGACGTTCCAACGTCGAATGCATTATGTTACCGGAAGGTAACAGGAAGGATTTCGAAGAGCTTCAAGATTTCATCAAGAATGGACTCGAGGTGCATTTTGTCAATGACTACAGGGACGTATTTCAAATCGCTTTTCCTTAAAATGCACGAGAAATTTCACCCGAGCTCGTAATCTTACTTAGTTAGTTAGGTTTGTGATAATCTGGCTAAGTTCATGTTGGATGAAATAGAACGGGGTGGTTAATGGGATAGTTGGTGGTAATCATGTGAACTTCGGATGAAATACAACGGGAAGTATTGATGGTAATTAGTGTTTGTAGTATGTTTGTGTTGTTATTCATATGAAAATGGCAGCAACATTCTTAGCATGACATCCTGCCACGTCCTCTACACAAATGCCGAAATATGTACGTTTGCCGTTTGAATTTTAGAAGATGATGGTATGAATTAGCAATGACATTTCGCTTGTACAACATGTATCATCAAGATTATATTAATGCGAGGCAATATATATATAAAACAGCAGTGCTTTTTTAGCAAATGTATTGCGATACGATGCAAATTTCTTTTCACTTTTCATGTGTGACGAAAAGAAAATTTGCATGACGTCGTGTTCCGGTGTTCCCCTTTGCCTCGGTGTTATTTGATATCCTCTGTTTACGATTGACGTTCTTTAACCCAGAAGGTTTCGTGTGATTCATATTAGTTCGCACGCGAAGTTTTCGCGGACTGTTTGTATGATTTCGTTCCCAAGGGAAGAATAGGTGTTGAGCGCGAGACTTTATGGACGGACATGCCTTATCGAAAGCGATTTTGACGATATTACAATAGCTGACGTTCTCGTGATAAAGGTCGTGGGGATATTGATTTTTCAGTACTTTCTAAAGTAACATTTTAAAGTTACTTTCATAAGTTGGATTGCTCCCATTCAATACTGTGAAGGAAGGATGATGGAACCAAACGAGTACACTAGTCTGATGAGGTCGGAGGATGGCTTTATCGATATAGACCCCGGTAAGTTGATAAAAGTCTTCCGCATCCTGTGTATCTGTGTCATGTCGGTCGCTTGTATGTGAATATCGTGGAAATAATTCGATATTGAAATGTCAAATGATCTAGCGACACATTTCACCTACAATTTCCTGATAATGCGAAATATACTTGGCTTTTAACGTGATGTGTTTTCTTAAGAATTTACTGCCGGGTTGATCAATGAAGCATTTAAGGTACCCTGTCTTATGATCATTCAATTCAAATCCTGTTTGTTTGAGTTCCTGTTTAAACTTCCTTAACGACCTCAATCAATTTACCTTTTTCTGAAGGCACTTAAGTAAGCCGTGCAAAAAAATTCTACTGAGCTAACTAGTATGAGAAATATATACTTCTGTTGCTGGCCTATTTTCTTGCCATCACACGCATGTACGGGAGCGAAAAAGTGCCAAAGCTTTTTAACTTTGTTCATTAAATTATACCTGTGCAATTTAGATGTTATGTCCACATCGCCAAAAGCTTGCGTGGAATTTCTTAACCTCGAGGATCGAGTTTTTAAAAAGGTACAATGCCGAAAGGGAGGCCACGCCCGCCAGATCATCGAAGAGGGACAACCAGTCGAGATGAAGGCCATATACAGCGCAGGCTCTTCTTTGATGGCCATTAATGGGTGGATACGTCGTATGTATCCCGAGAGCAATTGCATTACTAGGGGAAGCTGTGATCTGAACATTGATTCTGCTATCTTCAAAGAGAAAGATACAGTTTTGAATATGCTTGAAAATCGTTTGAGCAAGGAAGGCGAAGACGAGGCCGGGATCGAGGTCATCGACGGTCATGAATTTCAAACCGTGAGTTCATTAGAGTTTGACGTATTTCCTTTCCACGTTTAGATTTTATGCACTGAAAAACTATTCTTGTTCTCTTTTCTTTATGTATATCATCACTACCCACGGTGATACACATTATCTCAGTTTATATTTTAGGTAGTGTAAAGAATGTTCTTGTTCTCTGTTTTTCATTCATCATTACCTACACTGACACACGTTATCTTAGTTTATATTTTAGGTAGTGTAAAGACTGTTCTTGTTCTCTGTTGTTCATTCATCACTACCTACACTGGCACACGTTATCTTAGTTCATATTTTAGGTAGTGTAAAGACAGTTCTCGTTCTCTGTTGTTCATTCATCACTACATACACTGGCACACGTTATCTTAGTTCATATTTTAGGTAGTGTAAAGACAGTTCTCGTTCTCTGTTGTTCATTCATCACTACCTACACTGACACACGTTATCTTAGTTTACATTTTAGCTAGTGTAAAGACTGTTCTTGTTCTCTGTTGTTCATTCATCATTACCCACACCGACACACGTTATCTTAGTTTATATTTTAGGTAGTGTAAAGACCGTTCTTGTTCTCTGTTGTTCATTCATCACTACCTACACTGACACACGTTATCTTAGTTTACATTTTAGCTAGTGTAAAGACTGTTCTTGTTCTCTGTTGTTCATTCATCACTACCTACACTGACACACGTTATCTTAGTGTATATTTTAGGTAGTGTAAAGACCGTTCTTGTTCTCTGTTGTTCATTCATCACTACCTACACTGACACACGTTATCTTAGTTTATAGTTTAGGTAGTGTAAAGACCGTTCTTGTTTCTCTGTTCATTCATCACTGTCTACATTGACACGCGTTGTCGTTTTTTTCTAGACTTAAGAAGCAACGTTGATTAATTATTTACGTCACCCTATCTTTAACAAATGACTTTTTTGTAGAACAAGTTCTTTGTCGACTTCAACCGTGTGTACGAAGAAGATCCCAAGAATTCAATGTTTAATCTATTTAAGACAGAGGGCGACAAGAAAAATCGCTTTATCTTACGTATTCAATTGGTTTTTCGCGGAGAATATCCATCGGATATTTTTGACAGTCCCGTATTTCGTTGTCGCACGAAAAAGAAAACAGGTATTTACAATGAAAAACTTAATGACGATTATCTTTTTATGAAAGGTATTTGTCGAAACGGATGCTTCTGCCAATTTTATCTTTTTTCTACCAATTTTTAACTAGATTCACCCTGAGGATCATTCGTGATCCTGGTAATGTAGTCATCATTAGGGATCCTAATGTTGTGATCATTAGTGATCCTAATGTTGTGAGCATCAGTGATTCTAGTAATGTAGTGATCATTAGGGATCCTAATGTTGTGAGCATTAGTGATTCTAGTAATGTAGTGATCATTAGTGATCCTAATGTTGTTAGCATCAGTGATTCTAGTAATGTAGTGATCATTAGGGATCCTAATGTTGTTAGCATCAGTGATTCTAGTAATGTAGTGATCATTAGGGATCCTAATGTTGTGAGCATTAGTGATTCTAGTAATGTAGTGATCATTAGTGATCCTAATGTTGTTAGCATCAGTGATTCTAGTAATGTAGTGATCATTAGGGATCCTAATGTTGTTAGCATTCTAGTAATGTAGTGATCATTAGTGATCCTAATGTTGTTAGCATCAGTGATTCTAGTAATGTAGTGATCTTTAGGGATCCTAATGTTGTGATCATTAGTGATCCTAATGTTGTGATCATTACAGTGATCCTTGTTATTTAGTGATTATTTTACAAGGCTTTTTGTATTTCTTTATGTATTGTATCATCAAGTTTGGAGTCTGAATAATTCATTAGAATCTTTCAAAATTTTTCTTTCAGATAATGATCCGATCGAATCGCCATCCAAGCCGCCTCCTAGTCCGGCTTCTCCACGTACGTTATCATTCTCTTGTCATAACTATAATTTAAATTTATCACTTATTGATGCTCGCTGGTTGTATAAAAGTCGAGATCTTAGAAAGATTTCACGTTGTCTAGACAGCATGGAGGAAAATTTTTTGATAGTTGCAACACTATTTTTCCACGTTTAATCATGACTTGAAGGTAGCCATCTTGCACAATTCTATAAGCTTACCCTAAGAATGTGCTCAGGAAATCGAGTCGCGATTTAATAACACTGTAGATGTAGCCAGGGCCGAAACTAGAACATTCATTGGGGTAAATGTTCATATCTTCAGCATTGCCCGACTGATTTTGCTTGTTAGCGATTTTAATTTCAAAGGAAATCAGTCGGTAAGAGCTGAATATATAAATATTCACTCCCCAATTAACGTTCTAATTTCGGCCCTGGTTGTAGCCTGTGTAGGAAAAAAGATTTGCCAGGATTTCTGATGCCTTTGTCCATCCGTTTCTTTGTAGAATAACTTACTGTTAAGACCTAGTCGAGGGCACGTAGGCTTTGGGTCCAGCTTATTACTTAATCAAAAATGAACAATCTCATTAACTATTTGAGATTGTCAAGCACTTTATACTGTAACTTTACCGGTTTGCGACGTTCACGTTTTCTGTTTTCTTTACACACATTCATTGTCCTATAAGAATTATTCCCCATGTTTTGCCACCATTCAAGATGGTTGCTTGCCTCAATCAAGATTTTGAGGAGTCTGGTATCTAGTAGACTGGGTTCTAGGTCATCGTGACTCGCTCTTTAGATTCATCATTTCCGTAGCTTATTGTACTTCATTGTACTACCAACAAATCGTAAACCGTGATCATGCCTGTCGGTCGATACAGACCCATCCTTAGGTCATGTAGCAAGATTCAGTTTATTTCTTGATTTCGAATGGTATCATAAGATTGCCCTTCACCGGGAGGCATTGGTGAAAATGCAATTTCTTTTATTCAACTTAGCGTTGACAACCTTGGTGACGGATAGTTTGATTGCAAGGACTGCCATAATCGATGATCTAGTACTTGGCAATTTATCTACTTGTGGAACAATGTCTACCTCAAACGCTGACATAGCGTACCACCTTAAATAAAAGATGAAGAAGTCGGGATGGAGCTCGAAGAAGGAGACGTCGTCGGTTTCTTCACTGACAAAGACGATGGTGGTACGTATATCAAGTTGTTGCGGAGCAGTGATGCAGAAACCGCTGTCCATGCCGGAGTCGTGAGTCGCTCGGCTTATATAAATGCAAATAAAGCCATCCAATCAGGTATATATGCTTTAGCTCACTACCTACACTGAGACACGTTGTCTATGTTTATATTTTAGGTAGTGTAAAGACTGTTCTTGTGCTCTGTTGTTCATTCATCACTACCTACACTGACACGTCATCTTAGTTTATATTTTAGGTAGTGTAAAGACTGTTCTCGTTCTCTGTTTTTCATTCATCACTACCTACACTGACACACGTTATCTTAGTTTATATTTTAGGTAGTTTAAAGACTGTTCTTGTTCTCTGTTGTTCATTCATCAATACCTACACTGACACACGTCATCTTAGTTTATATTTTAGGTAGTGTAAAGACTGTTCTTGTTCTCAGTTGTTCATTCATCACTACCTACACTGACACACGTCATCTTAGTTTATATTTTAGGTAGTGTAAAGACTGTTCTTGTTCTCTGTTGTTCATTCATCACTACCTACACTGACACACGTCATCTTAGTTTATATTTTAGGTAGTGTTAAGACTGTTCTTGTTCTCTGTACTTCATTCATCACTACCTACACTGACACACGTCATCTTAGTTTATATTTTAGGTAGTTTAAAGACTGTTCTTGTTCTCTGTTGTTCATTCATCACTACCTACACTGACACACGTCATCTTAGTTTATATTTTAGGTAGTGTAAAGACTGTTCTCGTTCTCTGTTGTTCATTCATCACTACCTACACTGACACACGTCATCTTAGTTTATATTTTAGGTAGTGTAAAGACTGTTCTTGTTCTCTGTTGTTCATTCATCACTACCTACACTGACACACGTCATCTTAGTTTATATTTTAGGTAGTGTAAAGACTGTTCTCGTTCTCTGTTTTTCATTCATCACTACCTACACTGACACACGTTATCTTAGTTTATATTTTAGGTAGTTTAAAGACTGTTCTTGTTCTCTGTTGTTCATTCATCAATACCTACACTGACACACGTCATCTTAGTTTATATTTTAGGTAGTGTAAAGACTGTTCTTGTTCTCAGTTGTTCATTCATCACTACCTACACTGACACACGTCATCTTAGTTTATATTTTAGGTAGTGTAAAGACTGTTCTTGTTCTCTGTTGTTCATTCATCACTACCTACACTGACACACGTCATCTTAGTTTATATTTTAGGTAGTGTAAAGACTGTTCTTGTTCTCTGTTGTTCATTCATCACTACCTACACTGACACACGTCATCTTAGTTTATATTTTAGGTAGTGTAAAGACTGTTCTTGTTCTCTGTACTTCATTCATCACTACCTACACTGACACACGTCATCTTAGTTTATATTTTAGGTAGTTTAAAGACTGTTCTTGTTCTCTGTTGTTCATTCATCACTACCTACACTGACACACGTCATCTTAGTTTATATTTTAGGTAGTGTAAAGACTGTTCTCGTTCTCTGTTGTTCATTCATCACTACCTACACTGACACACGTCATCTTAGTTTATATTTTAGGTAGTGTAAAGACTGTTCTTGTTCTCTGTTGTTCATTCATCACTACCTACACTGACACACGTCATCTTAGTTTATATTTTAGGTAGTGTAAAGACTGTTCTTGTTCTCTGTTGTTCATTCATCACTACCTACACTGACACACGTTATCTTAGTTTATATTTTAGGTAGTGTAAAGACTGTTCTTGTTCTCTGTTGTTCATTCATCACTACCTACACTGACACGCGTCATCTTAGTTTATATTTTAGGTAGTGTAAAGACTGTTCTTGTTATGTGAATGTTTTATGCAGTGCGGTGTTTGAAATTAAATGAAGATATGATCTTCGCACTTTGCTGGACAATTTAAGCAATTGTCTCAGGACCTGAAAAAATCAGGTGACTCAACGGGATTCGAACCCATGACCTCTGCGGTGCCGGGGCAGTGCTCTGACCACTGAGCTATGAACTCACACAGTGGTGAGCAGATCAATATTGTTGGGCTCATGTTCTCTCGTGAAATGAATGTCATGTGAATGTTTTACATGTAGTGTAAAGACTGTTCTTGTTCTCTGTTGTTCATTCATCACTACCTACACTGACACACGTCATCTTAGTTTATATTTTAGGTAGTGTAAAGGTTGTTCTTGTTCTATGTTATAATTTACGTATTAAAATTGATGTTTTGGTCTCCTCTTTGTCGTTAATACTGGATAACCTTACATGTTACTTTATGTAAATACACATAGGAGCCTGCACTGCGTGAATAACATCCATTTTGTTATTTAGAGGACGAATCCGATACAGTTTGTGTCATAGGAATAGTAAATGTGAAAGTCATAGGAAGCGTGGAAAACGGCGAACGGATTTATTCGTCTATTAACCGACCGGGCAAAGCGATTCCTCAGTCACATTTGCCGGTCGGTAGCTTTCTTCGAAAGAAGCACGTGCTCCTTGGCACAGCGATGGAGCGAAAAGATCCGAAGTCTCTGGACGAGGAACATTTGGTAAAATGCTTCGTGTGTATAGTCCTAGATGTTGGTCGAATGGACGTGCTGGAGGAGGTAGAAGTTCTTTACGAAACTTCCGAGAAGCAGACTCATTATAAAATCAAAATGGCGTCCAAAAGGGCATGGGGACGTAAGTATTTTGAATTTTGCTCGATGATTTTAAGCTCGGTGAAATTTTAAGCTCATAGAAAAACTTTGTGGGCTACATTTTTGCCTTCAACTTCACCAGTGTGAGTTTTACTTCCGTGTTGTGTCGTATCTGCGCACATCTTTTCTAAAATATTTTGTTTATTATTGCTTTAAGAACGACCGAGTTTGGGTAGTCTTTCCCCACCTGAAATTCGCTCGTTAAATCGATATTTAAGTTTCTTGCCGTAACCAAGTTTTTCTTTTATGAATATTGTACTTTTCGACCTAAAGAAACTCGTTGGCGTTGTTTCGCTTTTGTTTGTTTACATCAGCCGTAGGTTGAACACAGAGCAGTCCAGAGAACTTGAACTGGAGGGGGGAGGGGGTTATTCATATACTTAGCTTTACCGAGTGATTTCTTTTGTTAGTGAATTGCTTAATTCATTATGTGAATTGCTTTAAAATAAATCAGTCGTTTATCTTAAATAAAATCATCCATATTTTTTTTGTAGGATTAAGATGTTGCTTCGCTGTAACCTTCGTGTTTTTTATCCTCCTGTGCACTCTCCTGTATCAGTTTTTTGTGCCGGGAACTTGGTTCCGGTATTGGTTGTGCAGTAGGGGATCTTTGAATGGGGAACTTTGGGTGTCTGTCGTGCCCTACAGAACCGTGACACAGGTACATTAAAGAACATCGTTAATACTATATACACACATATCACATGGAGTGTGATGGAAAGCTTGTCTGCGAGTAAAAATAGGTTTCATTTAGGCGTATTAAAGTGTGCATACCACAATAAGAAGGCTAGAACCATGTATTGTTTACATGCATTGATTATTAAAAATAAATATAGTATCTTGCGAATGTGGCAATATCGAAAATATGGAGTGCTCAACGTGAATAAATCCTGAGTAAAAAAAACAATACAATAGCATGTTCTCGATTCAGTACTTTCGCTACGGACTCGTTCCAAAACACTTAACTACGAAAATGTTTTAATACACAGTTGATGACTTGCGCTGAAGTAATTCTATAATCGTCGTCTGTTTTCGTTAGATCATTGATGTACACGGAATCCGTTTTTCATACGAAGGTTTAAAGAAGAAGGTCCCCGATCGTTTCACGGAAAATGTGCACACTGGTGAGTGTTGGTGAAGTTCAAGTTACAGTCCTAGGGCTTGTCTCTTTGTACATTCATGTGATTAATCCATTGGGCCCTGGTATGCATGCGTAATCTTGCGTGTGCTGTTATGAAGGGGTTCATCGTAAGGTCTCGCATTTTGCAAAATAAGCAGTTCTGCTTGGAAAGTGGGCAGTTCTAAACTGTATAAACTAGTATTCAGAACGTGTGTTCCATGTTTTTCGTATAATCACCCCTGCTTTTAAGTGCTCTAGGTTGCCCCTGACATAGATTTTAGGAGAGTGGTTGATCTAGTGCCCGTTCATACTTTCAACCACTTTCAGTGAAATTTCATCGCCCATAGCATCGTGATAGCATCGTGATAAAAGTAGTTGACGTTTGAACTTGAGCGATTATAGGATATATTTTGACTCAAGTTATTTTCCGCCATTGAAATTGCGGATCACGTTTGATGGACTATATACATTTTGTTTCAGGCAACAAAACCGTTTATTATTTTTTGAATTTGGACCGCTGTGCTTACTTCGGTGACTACGGGCCCGTGAGAGACTATATTTCAGGACAGTATAAAGAAATCGGCGGTGGAAAAATTTTGAGCCTCAATCACAACTGCACAAAGGTTTACTGGTATGGTCTGCTCAACGATACTAAATACAGAATAGATTGGCATCCGTACGTGTCCGCTCATAATTTAGAATGTTCGCCTAATCCACCGTTTCGTTAGTATTTTACAGCGATCCTTACGTGTAAACTATGACGTTATCCTATTATGTTGCCCACGATCCTCCGTGTCGGTTGTGATCCTTTCATGTACTTGTATATTTGTCGATATTTATTCAATTCGATAACAAAGTAATATCGAAAAACGTTCATTCTTTTGGCACTGTTTGTATTTCGCTAGTTTTCGCCTCGTCAGATACTTCAATTAGTTTCAAATTTGCTGATGTATATATTCTGACTAAGCAAATATAAAATTGCAAGCATAGCTACAACTTATGAATGTATAAATAACTTTGAAACGCTCGCCAACGCAACACAATATGTAGTTTGTGCAAACAGAAAATTCGATAAATGTGAATATTATTTCTTATCTGTGTGATATTTCCTCAAAACATTCGGTATGTAGACGCGAAGTCGTTGTAATTATCAACTACGACAAAACATTTTGTTGTGTTGGCGTATTTTTGGTGCGAGGAGGGGGAAAACCCTTTCATGACTTGCCATTTATATATAATGAACAATTGAGGAAAACATCGAAGTTCGAATTAACGATTTGTGAGTCTTGTGTCATTTTGGAGAAATATACGACTCATTTGATCCAATCTTCTTACGAGTGGCCCTTCTTGCATATTTGAAATTTGTGCCATTCTGTAATTCTCAATAAACAGTTTACTAAACAGCTACGAATCCTGTTGGTCAGTCAACGTCGATGGCAGGCGTCATGTTCAACGTTAAATTTGACGAGAACATGAAGAGGATATTGAAAGATGATGAATACCGGAATTTAGAGAAGGGTATGCCTGCGATCAATTTTGGTCTTTTTATCAATGAAAAAGAGAAATCATGTTATAGGATGCGCGTTGTTTTATCGATTTATATTTCCCAGAGATTATTCTTTAGATTGCTAGCTTTTAGCCCATATTTCATGAACTTTTCTATATTTGAAAGGAAAACGCATGTTTTCGAAAGATTTCTACGGAATAAAAGTTGTTCCGAATAATTCAATAAGTTGTATTGCATCAAATTACGAGTTAATTTAGAAAAAATTTGGACAATGTTGAAAGTGACAGAAGTTATTAACTATAGGTTTAGGAAATCTTCACAACAGAACTCTTCTTGTATCTACTTTCTTTGGAATTTTCAATTGATTGTAACAATTTTTTCACCTCCCAGAATCAGCGAGTTCATCCCCCAGAATGAAATTTCGTGGAAACCGAATGATTTGGGATGAGTTGCTGCTCTACACGCTACGCAATGTTGTATTTAACTGAATATTGCGAGAACTCTTAATTTCAAAACTACCTGCAACAATTCAACAGCCTTGTATACGATTTTCCTAAAATTTTCGGTTTTTCGAACTGTCATAAAGGATTGTTTCGTTTCCAGGCTTTGACTTTGTCCTCTTTTAGAATGCAATGACGTTTAGCAGCTAATCGGCTGATGTTTACTTTCTGTTGATAAATTATTGAGCAGGGCCCAAAGTTGCAGTAAAGCAAGGGACAGAGAAATTGGCTACATTATTTTTATGTTATATTAACCCAATTGAATTTTTATTATTCATTGATTTGTCCAACAAGAAACTTGTTTTCTCCTTATATTAACGCAATCTTTGATTCATGTCTCGAAGTATTTCCATCGAACGGCGAAGTTGCAAGCTTGGAGCACGAGGAAACGGCAAAAATAGTGAAAATCAACCTTAAACAGGAATATCTGAAGATCCAACGGAAAAAAGTGGAAGGTTCTCAGCAGCGAATCCAAGACGCGATGGTCTACTTTACCGTGCGCTCCGAATTGGTCATTTTGAACGTGCAGACATATGTTCAACGCTTTTCTGATTGGATTGATGACATAATGTTTAACAAACCCGATAATGGTAAGATTGGGGGATAAAGCGAAGTCTACTTTATTGCGTTATGAGTTATGATATCATTACGATCGAATTGCATCATCTCGTTGAAAAAAGGAAATAATCATGTGTGGGAGAGTTTGTTCTTAAGAAGCAATGCGGCTTTGCGGTTTTTCTTATAGGCAAATGCTTTTTTTACTCTCTGTAGGAAACTTAAGTTAAGATGTTCTAGAAAAGGCAGCAACGTTTTCTGATAAAAAAACCGCAAAAATGGTCCTCTCCCCAAAGGTAATTATAAATACGTGCTACAAGACAAAATCCCAGCCAGTCTCTCAAAACCCAATTGCCTTTTCTCTGTTTTGATACAAAAATCTGGGCAATCTTTAAAATGCCTTACATCGCGACAGTTACCAACGAATAATAGAGAGTTTAGCAAACACGACGTATCGTCTAAGACGTCGTGAAAATGGCGTAAAAATTGCGTGATAATTCCATTTATCTCTTTTTGCGTTGTGTTTATTTGAATATTCTCGATGAACTGCCTTGTATAGGATGGTTTGAGCTTTACACGAAAATGACGAAACAGGAGAGGTTAGAAAACACGTACATGGCTGACTTGGACAGCGTTTACACGACTCTGGAAGGAAGCAACGTTTACAGTCTTTACAAACACAAAGGAAACAGTGCAAGGAATATTTACGTGTTCTTTGTGCAAGTTGAGCTGATCGACAAAACCGTTGAAACATTTGCTTGGCCTTTCCTCTTGAAAACAAAACCGGCTGCTAGGAAAACGTGATTGTCGCCACCTATACATGGTATGTGACGGAATTTTAAAATGCGTTTTAGTCCGTATTGATTATGACTTAAAACTACAAAAAATTTTTCTGACGTCTCTTTAACGTGCTTATGGAAAATATTGCCTCGCCATAGAACTTTTTCTTTGTTTTGTATTTTACGTTTCCCTCCTACTCGCGTGGTACTCTTTATGAATACTTTATTATTCCATATTTGTGGCTCTAGAATGCAATTTTTGGCTCTAGAATGTAATTTTTCAAATTCCTTGCATTAGGCGTCTGTTTTGGGAAATTTCCATGTTGTGTTATGTAACTTAAGTCGTGTTTCGAAACTATAACTCGACTTGTTTGTTTCTGTTTATAGCGACAGTTTCCTGAGCAAATGTGGAAAGTTTATATCTGGCTTACGCTGCCAAATTACAGCACCACGCATTGGATTTATACGAATTATTGATGCTAGGGATAGTGGTAAATTTAAACGGCGTTAAACTCTAAACATAGCAAAATAATGAAAACTAAGCTTTGTCTACATTCGGCACAAGTATCGACCAAGCCATAAATCATAGTTTACAAATGCTTATCCGCTTATAAGCTTATTTAATGGACAGTAAATAACTTCTTTCAATCGTTTTTGAAGTCGTTTCATTGTAAGCATATCATTCATATTTGACATTACCCGATGGCATGCATGCGAAACTTCCGCAGTTTTCGTGTTCATTTTGAAATAACTTTAGGTTTAAATTTAGAATGCATTTTGCTGTGTCTACTTTTGGCAACACCAACGTTTTCCATTGTATAGTCTACAAAAATTCATTTTTAACAATTTACAGAAATAAGCAGGCTTTTCCTTTTTTATGCGTTGAAACATTAGTTAGACAAGTTTTTCTTCTGACTTCTCTCGTTGACTCGAAGTAACTTGTCTCATTTAAATAACGTGCGCTTGCCTGGATGAGATATAAGCGGTTACTCCTGACTATAAAGGTGATGCTCTGACATTAGATTTGTTCTTAAAGGCGAGTTGAGAATCTAAGAGCTTATGTCTCCGAAGAAAAACGAAGGATCAACGTGAGAACAATAGCTATGTCTTCAAAGGTAACTCGCACTTGAAGCAGTGACGATGTTAGAGTCTTAGAGATGGTGTGTTGACATTTACTAATGACTAAAGTTTTCCTAACTGGTGTGAAATGCTCGCATCTCGTTCAAAGTAAAACAGCTCTAATGGTGTCTACGAACCACGAAGACGAATCCGAACGATCGTATCTATCTAGGCACACGCACCGTCTCACATGACATGCGCTGTCGGACACAGTCTCCAGATCAATGGAAAGCAGCTTTCACAAATCTTCTGAAATCTTAGATATGTTCATAAGACACCTACGATTATCACGGCCTGGAAACAAAAGATTATACCTATGTATAACTATGCAGAAAATTCAGTTTCGTTGTCTTTATCATCGCCTAAGTGCAAATGCCTTCCCATATTCTTCTCATCGAAACAACACGATAGTTAATCCTGGCTTTAGATAACCCTGGCATTCATCATCAGGTCCACTCCACGTCCGCTCTTAGCTGGCTTGACACTGGGTTGATCTGGGCTCGAAATCAGTTCCGCGGGTCGAGATAATATTCTAAACATCCTAAGCTAACCACCATTAACACCTTTACACTGACAAGATGGAAGAAAGAACACGAGAGTGTGCTCGTGCTTCCGACTTCCAGATAAGTTTGATGGACTTTTGAGCCCATGCATCATATAACCCTTACCCTTGAGATGTCTGCTGGGCTGACGTTTGTACTGTTACGTACGAGGGTCGTCCATTATACGTGCATTAAATTTTCGAACTTTTAACACACGCCACCCTTTTGTACACAAACTCTTTTTGTAAATGTACGTCATGATCATGATCCCTCGTGATTACTTTACAAATTTAGTGTAAAGAGAGTTCTTGTTTTATGTTGTTCATTCATCACTGCCTACACTGACACACGTTATCTTAGTTTATATTTTAGATAGTGTAAACACAGTTCTTGTTCTTTGTTGTTCATTCATCACTACCTACACTGACACACGTTATCTTAGTTTATATTTAAGGTAGTGTAAAGACTGTTCTTGTTTTCTGTTGTTCATTCATCACTATCTACATTGACATACGTTATCTTAGTTTATATTTTAGGTAGTGTAAAGGTTGTTCTTGTTCTATGTTATAATTTACGTATTAAAATTGATGTGTTGGTCTCCTCTTAGTCGTTCATACGTGGTAACCATACATGTTACTTTATGTAAATACACAATATGTAGTTTGTGAAAACAGAAAATTCGATAAATGTGAATATTATTTCTTATCTGTGTGATATTTCCTCAAAACATTCGGTATGTAGACGCGCAGTCATTACAATTACCAACTATGACAAACATTTTGTGTTGGCGTATTTTTGGTGCTCGGCGGGTGGAAACCCTTTTCGTGACCTGACATTTATATAGAGTAAACAATTGAGGAAAACATTGAAGTTCAAATTAACGATTTGTGAGTCTTGTTTCCTTTTGGAGAAATATACGACTCATTTCATCCAATCTTCTTACGAGTGGCCCTTCTTGCATATCTGAAATTTGTGCCATTCTGTAATTCTCAATAAACAGTTTACTCAACAGCTACGAATCCTGTTGGTCAGTCAGCGTCGATGGCAGGCGTCATGTTCAACGTTAAATTTGACGAGAACATGAAGAGGATATTGAAAGATGATGAATACCGGAATTTAGAGAAGGGTATGCCTGCGATCAATTTTGGTCTTTTTATCAATGAAAAAGAGAAATCATGTTATAGGATGCGCGTTGTTTTATCGATTTATATTTCCCAGAGATTATTCTTTAAATTGCTAGCTTTTAGCCCTCATTTCATGAACTTTTCTATATTTGAAAGGAAAACGCATGTTTTCGAAAGAGTTCTACGGAATAAAAGTTGTTCCGAATAATTCAATAAGTTGTATTGCATCAAATTACGAGTTAATTTAGAAAAAATTTGGACAATGTTGAAAGTAATAAAGTAAATGGTTTGAACCCGGGAGTAGCGATACATGTTTGTAAATGTAGATCGTCCTGGTTCGTCAATTTTGACATTTTGACTCTGAAGATGACTACCGCTAAGGTTGTCGAAACGTCAGTCAACAACAACACAGTCCTTCTCAAGACTATACCAACCTTGACGATCTACATTTACAAACATGTAACGTTGAAAGTGACAGAAGTTGTTAACTATAGGTTTAGGAAATCTTATCCATCACAGAACTCTTCTTGTATCTTAATATTTCGCAACAGTATAACTTACAATCAATACAAGCAAAATGCAAGAAATATATCAGATTGGAATGTTTATAGTTTTTAAATTCTTTAAATACCTCAACGCTGACAATATATAGACAACAGATGTACATTGATGATTGAGAAATATTGTTTAAAGCCTTCGTAGATTGTTTACATGTTAGTATCACTTTGATTATAGCCGCATTATTAAAAAATGCGTCGCTAAATATGGCGCTTTTATGTGTCGAAAGTTTTAGCGAAAATTTGTTACATGTCTGTAAATGTAGATCGTCCAGGTTGGTATAGTCCTGAGAAGGACTGTTTTTGTTGTTGTTGACTGACGTTTCGACAACCTTAGCGGTAGTCATCTTCAGAGTTCAAAAAAATTTGTTTTTTTACAAATATCTATTATATGTTTGAAATTTTGTAATGCAGGCCTATTTATTAGACGGATTATTGATGTCTGTCAATTGAAATCTTCGCAGAGAAATCTTTATTTCTCTACTTTTATCTATTAGTACAGAAAAATATGAGAAAATAGTGGTTCAATATTTTAATAATTCAGCATATTGCATTATATTTTTATTGAAATATTAACTATCGCATATTTATGTAAGTATTGTATTGTATACAATAATACAGTATTGTAAGTATTGTATATGTAATATGATGTGTAAGTATTGTATATGTAATATACAATACAATGTAAGTATTGTATTGTATACAATAATACATATGTATGTATTATTGCATTACAACAATATATGCTTAGTGTGACTGACAGTCTACAGAGGGGGTACATTGCTTGTTTATTTTCTTCATATAAAAAATCTTACTTCCTGAGCTTGACAACTCCACGGCTAGACTGTGTTAACCAAGTTATTCATGAGTTTTTCCTTTTCAAACTCCCGGGTCAAGATTGAAGGTTCCATGCTTATTTGCTTAGGATACTAAAATGCTTTCTATTCATACAGTGCTTTATAAGTGAGCATATTTCTAAATTAGCCACACTGCATTATGATCACAGAAAAGTGCATAGCAAGACATTCTGTCTACCAATATATCACATGTGGTCTTTACATAAATATTCTGAGCTTAAAATTATTCCATGTACATATAGACATTAAAGCAATTAGAACTTTCAATAATTCAGCATATGTCAAAATATTTTATATCACAACTTATTACTGTTGCATATAAGCAGGTGTACATCCTGTGTCCTAAAAACAGAAGTCACCCCCACTGCACTTTGGTGATGGCCTGAAGTGCACATTGTATTTTACTTGTTGCCTATCAAAGTTAGTCTGATGTGTTAGGCCGTTATAGTATAACACTGGCATTACCTTGTTGAAATTTATATATAAATGAATATATAACCGTACGTCCTGTGTCCTAAGCGCAGGAGTCACCATTTTAGTATGGTGATAGCCGGGAGGGCACATTGTATATACACTTTGTAGATGAATATATATATATACAGATTACAGTATATATGTATACAAAAAAGGTATAAACAATGTGCCCTATTAGTCACATTAAGTACTTGTTAAAGTAATGGAATGTATCTTGTAAAACTTACAGTCTTATACTAGTAAAGTGCAAACATTGGTGGCTTCTTTTAAAATTCTACCAAATTTTCCTTTATCATTTTTGACTGACAATAGCAATTTTGTTCAATGATTTTCCTGACTTTTTATTTGTTGGGCAAAACTAAATGTACTGAGAAGTGCTTAGCTGTATATAGTATGCTCAAAATGCTATGTGATAAAACAGATACGCACTCGCAGCTGCGTGGTGCTGCGAGCATTTTTCGCAAGCAAATTTTTGCAAATTATACCGTAATAGCGCAAGAAATCGCGTTTCCAACGATCTAAAAATCTAAATTTTCCTCCGGGAGCATGCCCCCGGACCCCCCTAGAGGGTTCGCGCCTTCGGCGCTCAAAGTGCATCAGTCACAAAAATTGCTGGATCCGCCCCTGGTTCATCCCCCATAGTGAAATTTCGTGGAAACCGAATGATTTGGGATGAGTTGCTGCTCTATACGCGACTATTCTAAGCAAGAACTTTTAATTACAAAACTACCTGCAACAATTCAACAGCCTTGTATACGATTTTCCCTAAAATTTTAGGTTTTTCGAACTGTCATAAAGGATTGTTTCTTATCCAGGCTTTGACTTTGTCCTCCCTTAGAATGCAATGACGTTTAGCAGCTAATCGGCTGATGTTTACTTTCTGTTGATAAATTATTGAGAAGGGGCCACAGTTGCAGTAAAGCAAGGGACAGAGAAATTGGAAATTAGTTTTGTGTTATATTAACCCAATTTAATTTTTATTATTCATTGATTTGTCCAACAAGAAACTTGTTTTCTCCTTATATTAACGCAATCTTTGATTCATGTCTCGAAGTGTTTCCATCGAACGGCGAAGTTGCAAGCTTGGAGCACGAGGAAACGGCAAAAATAGTGAAAATCAACCTTAAACAGGAATATCTGAAGATCCAACGGAAAAAAGTGGAAGGTTCTCAGCATCGAATCGAAGACGCGATGGTCTACTTTACCGTGCGCTCCGAATTGGTCATTTTGAACGTGCAGACATATGTTCAACGCTTTTCTGATTGGATTGATGACATAATGTTTAACAAACCCGATAATGGTAAGATTGGGGGTAAAACGAAGTCTACTTTATTGCGTTATGAGTTTATATGATATAATTACGATCGAATTGCATCATCTCGTTGAAAAAAGGAAATAACCATGTGTTGGAGAGTTTATCCTTAAGAAGCAATGCGGCTTTGCGGTTTTTCTTATAGGCAAATGCTTTTTTTACTCTCTGTAGGAAACTTGAGGTAAGATGCTCTAGAAAAGGCAGCAACGTTTTCTGATAAAAAAAACCCGCAAAAATGGTCCTCTCCCCAAAGAAAATTATAAATACGTGCTACAAGACAAAATCTCAGCATGTCTCTCAAAACCCAATTGCTTTTTCTCTGTTTTGATACAAAATTCTGGGCAATCTTTAAATGCTTTACATTGCGACAGTTACCAACGAATAATAGAGAGATTTAGCAAACACGACGTATCGTCTAAGACGTCGTGAAAATGGCGTAAAAATTGCGTGATATTTCCATTTATCTCCAATTTCACGGCGTCTTAGACGATACGTCGTATTTGCTAAATCTCTCTCATATTGCTGATTACCATTGCTGCGCAGATGTTTAGTTATCTGAGACTCGTTTATTTAGAATTTATGACAACAAATCTTGAGAGGGAACTTTCTTTTTGCGTTGTTTTTATTTGAATATTCTCGATGAACTGCCTTGTATAGGATGGTTTGAGCTTTACACGAAAATGACGAAACAGGAGAGGTTAGAAAACACGTACATGGCTGACTTGGACAGCGTTTACACGACTCTGGAAGGAAGCAACGTTTACAGTCTTTACAAACACAAAGGAAACAGTGCAAGAAATATTTACGTGTTCTTTGTGCAAGTTGAGCTGATCGACAAAACCGTTGAAACATTTGCTTGGCCTTTCCTCTTGAAAACAAAACCGGCTGATAGGAAAAACCGGTGATGTGTTACTTAAGTCGTGCTTCGAAACTATAACTCGACTTGTTTGTTTCTGTTTATAGCGTCGGTTTCCTGAGCAAATTACAGCACCACGCATTGTATTTATACGAATTATTCATGCTAGGGATAGTGGTAAATTTAAACGGCCTTAGACACTTAGACTCTAAACATAGCAACATAATGAAAACTCAGCTTTCTCTACATTCGGCACAAGTATCGACCAAGCTATTAATCAAAGTTTACAAATGCTTATCCGCTTATAAGCTTATGTAATAAACAGTAAATAACTTCTTTCGATCGTTTTTGAAGTCGTTTCATTGTTAGCATACATTCATATTTGACATTACCCGATGGCATGCATGCGAAACTTCCGCAGTTTTTGTGTTCATTTTGAAATAACTTTAGGTTTAAATTTAGAATGCATTTTGCTGTGTCTGCTTTTGGCAGTACCAACGTTTTCCATTGTATAGTCTACAAGAATTTATTTTTAACAATTTACAGAAATAAGCAGACTTTTCCTTTTTTATGCGTTGAAACATTAGTTAGACAAGTTTTTCTTCTGACTTCTCTCGTTGACTCGAAGTAACTTGCCTCATTTAAATAACGTGCGCTTGCCTGGATGAGATATAAGCGGTTACTCCTGACTTATAAAGGTGATGTTCTGACATTAGATTTGTTCTTAAAGGCGAGTTGAGAATCTAAGAGCTTCTGTCTCCGAAGAAAAACGAAGGATCAACGTGAGAACAATAGCTATATCTTGCACGGTAACTTGCACTTGAAGCAGTGACGATGTTAGAGTCTTAGAGATGATGTGTTGACATTTACTAAAGACTAAAGTTTTCCTAACTGGTGTGAAATGCTCGCATCTCGTTCAAAGTAAAACAGCTCTAATGGTATCTACGAACCATGAAGACGAACCCGAACGATCGTATCTATCCTGGCCCTCGCACCGTCTCACATGACATGCGCTGTCTGACACAGTCTCCAGATCAATGGAAAGCAGCTTTCACAAATCTTCTGATCTTAGATATGTTCATAAGACACCTATGACACGGCCTGGAAACAAAGATTATACCTATGTATAACTATGCAGAAAATTCAGTTTCGTTGTCTTTATCATCGCCTATGTGCAAATGCCTTCCATATTCTTCTCATTGAAACAAAACGATAGTTAACCCTGGCTTTAGATAACCCTGGCATTCATCATCAGGTCCACTCCACGTCCGCTCTTAGCTGGCTTGACATTGGGTTGATCTGGGCTCGAAATCAGTTCCGCGGGTCGAGATAATATTCTAAACATCCTAAGCTAACCACCATTAACACCTTTACACTGACAAGATGGAAGAAAGAACACGAGAGTGTGCTCGCGCTTTCGACTTCCAGATAAGTTTGATGGACTTTTGAGCCCATGCATCATATAACCCTTACCCTTGAGATGTGTGCTGGGCTGACGTTTGTATTGTTACGTAGGAGGGTCGTCCATTATACGTGCATTAAATTTTCGAACTTTTAACACACGCCACCCCTTTGTACACAAACTCTTTTTGTAAATGTACGTCATGATCATGATCATGACCCCTCTTCTGTGCATGCTGACTAAATGGATGACGGCTAGCTTGTTCACTCGGCTTATATGCTTATGGCATGCACTCTCATAGGGAGTTATATGGTGTTCTTAATCCAGTATTATTTTTGAGATCAGTGATTGCTGATGAAGTCATGTTTTACTGGTCTATTATTATTGTCACGAATTAATTGTAGTAAATTATCAGTGAAGTGTTGAGGACGTTGTACTAAAAGCAAAAGCTCGTTGAATTCTAATAACTTTGGCAAATTGCAGCCGGTTTTCTTCAAATATATATCAAAAATTTGAAATGTTGAAGTTCTATCTCGCAAAGTAAAACAATGTCTTTATTATCCTACGTGTCGTTCGTGGCGACTGTGAACAATGTTTTGTTCTTCTCCACTGGAATGTAAGTACAGAACTTACTTATTTTGATGTGACAGAAGTCGTGAGCGATTTCAAGTTAGCATGCTTAGGCGAAGTATCTACTTTGCTTTAACCTGTAAGAAGATGTGGGATATCTATCACAGCTACTATATTTTTATAAACCAGTTTCAGTTCCATTGTGTTGTGATTTGTAATTTACTTTTCTTTTTTCTTGTTGTTTTGCAGTCTCACTTGTCGAAAGATTATTAGAAGCAACAGCACCGACAATGTGTCTCATTTACCTTTTCTCATTACAGCATTCAGGTCTACTTTTGTCTTATAATAAATTTCATTTATAACAAAATATTATGACAGTCATAAACCATATAACATCTATTATTATCCTGTCGATCATTAAATATCCACCATTATCCTGTCGATCATAAGATATCCTTCTTTATCTTGCTAATCTTAAAACATCCACCATTATCATGTCAACCATAAAATAGCCACCATTATCCTGTCGATCATAAGATATCCTTCTTTATCTTGTTAATCATAAGATATCTTTCTTTATCTTGCCAAGATTAAAATATCCACCATTATCTTGTCAACCATAAAATATCCACCATTATCATGTCAATCATAAAATATCCACCATTATCATGTGTGTTTCAGCTCGTTTATGTGGGTTATGTATGGACTGAGCAAAAAGGATTCAACAATTGTCTTAGTGAACACAATTGGAATGATACTACAATGCACATATTTAATTTGTCATTTTATTTATTCTAAGGTAAGTTGTGTGTTGTTCTACTGCCTACCCACTCTAACACCCTCCCATTCCTTTGAACACAAACTCATTTGAAACTGTGGTGTTATATTGTATTATGATATCAGTAATTCAAAAGAACATATGCCTTGTGTTTATCTTCATTGACACATGCAAATAGTGGTACAACTTATCCAAAAGATACTTATGTTTACATATGTTATATATTTGTCTATATGAGCATTGCTTTTATTCTGGGCCTTTTGTACAATGAATATTTATGAATTAAAATAGTAGTACCATTCAATTCATGCCATTGGCTAGGAGGATTATTCATGTCAAGATGCCCAGAAATGGACGAAAACATTATTGCAAACTTCTTATGTCAAGCAACCTTTCACTTAGAGGGATACGGAAGGGGGTTGGTTGTTTCACCATCCTCTGTATGTACTCACCCATATGACTATGCCTTGCTGACACTGTAGTATATACCTAAACACTTGCCATTTTTATTTTGTTTAGTCAGAACCGGTGTTTCGTCACACAGTTTACATCATGCTGCTGACATGCAGCCTTCTTAGCTATTTCAAGTTTTACCTCCCAAACGAAGAAGAATCTGTTAATTTGATGGGGCTGACCTGCGTGGTCATTACAGTCATTATGTTTGGATCACCTTTGCTTTCTTTTGTAAGAAATTTCATTGAAATCTGCCATGCTTGTCAGAACTTTGAATGGCTTTCTAATATCTTGCAAAATTGATCCATGTCTATGTATATGTGTTTGAAAATCTCATGCGATGTAGCTGAGGTGGATTAATGTTTTCACAGGCAGATGTCAGACACTGCATTCTTTTTTTGAATAGTTATGAATCTCACCTTGCAGTGGTTTTTTCTGTTAGATTTGGACATGAGCATAGCCTGGGTCTCGAGATTTATGAGGGGTTGGGGGTGGGGACATAATTTGCCTGAAGAAAAGGTTTGCTGTTTATTATTCCTTTAAATAAGGAGGAGTTATAATGTTGTATATTATGACTAACATAGTTGCTTTAGTTATAAAATTTTGTCGAAAATTTGTTATAGCAATATTGTACGCAATGGCATTGAGAATCGACATAAGTATCATCTTCGTTAGTCATAATATGTCTGAAAAATTTTGATCCTTATCGAACTGCTAACTTTAAATTTTTGCGAATTTTAGCTACCCCTAACCCCAGGACTTAAACCCCGGGTTAGGAATACTTAGACTACATGGCTTTGAATGCCATGAGGTAACACCTTATTGGGCTTTTCGTACGTGGCGTTTTTGTATCGTAAAGGATATTATATCATTTGCCGCATTAACTACTTGCTGTTTGCATTATTTTCTCATTAATATCCTCAGTAGTCATAACAAAGTGATGATCATTTGAATAATGACGTGTGTTTGTATCATTGTATAGGCAAAAATATTGAGAACTAGGAGCTCGGAATCTCTGTCGTTTCCTTTGTCCATGATGACCGTGTTGAATTCTGGTTTATGGCTCTTGTATGGTCATCTCATTAACGATGTTTATATTGTTGTAAGTTTCGTTTTGTTTTAAGTGAGAAAGCTACAACTGAAAACTCGCCGCAAAATTTCAAATGTCGCGCTCCTTCAAAGACGAAAGTCAACCAACCAACGCAAAGTTCATAAAAGTCCGCATAAACTTCGGTGAAAACCGAAAGATTATTTGATTTTGTAGCTTGTTGCTATATAATTTCTCTCCCTCGTTTTCTATGTGATGCTACACGTATATTCGGAGAACAAGTGTTCTTCTGTATTTCATGAAATAACTGTGATGAAATTTTTTGAAAACTTTGAATTAAATATTGTATGTTATATTTTCTTTTTATTTGAGCATGTTATTCGAGAAAGCGTCCTTCTTCAATAAACTTTGTTGAACGTAGTTGACAGTTCATCGCCTAAGTAAACGCTCGTCACTTTTTTCTTTCAGGTACCGAATGTTCTTGGTTTAATCTTGGGCCTTTTACAGATTGTCTTGTTCTGTTTGTTTCCATCAAGTGGCAGGCCAGTTGTTGTTTCATTGTGAATGATTTTCATATAGTTTTTCAAGGATTTACAATTGTATGAAGTGCGCTACGATTTTATCCGATGGATTTCTTAATCCTGCTGCAAGCACAAGAGGAGGGAGGGGGGGGGTTGTGTGCTCAAGTATGGTGGCATTTTCTTGTTTCAATGAAATAACGGAGAATGTAATTACATATTTTTATTGATTGAATCAGTATCATGTGCCTCTTTTTACAAAAAAGTAGCGATTAAAATTACAAAATTCATTTTGATTTTAATGACTGCTCGAGACAAGCGACGCCCCTGTCATGGTCGGTAAATTACAGCAATCTTTGTCGAGAAATTTGTGGACAATTTTCACTGACGTACACCGTGAAAAGTTAGCGGAAGTGAAGTTACAACTAGCTCAATAGCACAACTGACGAACTTTTATTGTATAACATACAATGTATAACCTACAACCTTGAATAAAATGTACAACTTTTTTCAGCGCAACTAACAACAACAACCACCTACAATCTCTAATAGAACGCACAACCTTCTTTAATACAATCAACAACAACCTATAACCTCTAATAGAACGCACAACCTTCTTTAATACAACTAACAACAACCTACAACCTTTAATAGAACGTACAACCTTCTTTAATACAACTAACAACAACCTACAACCTGTAATAGAACGTACAATCTTCTTTAATACAACTAACAACAACCTACAACCTTTAATAGAACGAACAACCTTCTTTAATACAACTAACAGCAACGAAAACCTACAACCTTTAATAGAACTTAAAAACCTTCCTTAATACAACTAACAACAACAACAACCTACAACTTTTGATGCAGTCTACACTCTTCAATACAACCTGCAAACTTCAAAATTACATACTTTAACCCACAGCCAACAACCTTCTACAGTACAAAACACAACCTGTTTCGAGCGGTGTAGTAGCAAAGTCAAACTAGAAACTGAATACATAAAACAAACTTTTTTATTACAGACATGTTTCGGCAAACTTATGCCATCGTCAGTGTAAATGAATGATGGCATAAGCTTGCCGAAACATGTCTGTAATAAAAATGTTTGTTTTATATATTCAGTTTCTAATTTCAATTGTGCTTTTACGTAAATATGGAAAGTTTGACTAATTGTTCAGCTTTTATAATGTATATGATGGTCAGTAACCAACGCAGAATGTTGACGCCAGCAAATGCTTTAACTTACCGCATAACTGAGATTAAGTAACGATTAAATACGACAGGATCTCGCTTTTATATGTTATTTCCCATACCGAGAGAAAACAGAAGTTTGTATTAGTTATGATATGGCAAAATACTTTAAAGAGAAAAAAACAGTAAAAAGTCGTTTTCTATATAAAGCCATGCACGAGGAATAAAAACACCATGCTGACGTTGAAAAAAGTCGGAAATGATGTGTGGTTTTGGAAAAGGTTCTGTGTCGTGACAACGACTAAAAATTGCATAAAATTGCGCAAATCAGAAAAAAGCCCAGGTCAAAACTAGTGTCAGCCATCTTTTTCACTAAAAGCTTCATCGAGATATTCTTTGCATGTGTGGAAGTAGTATTCAAGAAGTTTTTTCTCAAACGGACTCCATTTTTTATTCACCAAAGAGTTTACCTGGAAAAAATGTTATCCGTTCAAACTTTCTCGCGCATAACCTCCGCTGACATTTCCTGTTTCGACATTCAAACACACTTCAGCCATTATTGATACCTTTATCTCTGTGTTTAGTACGTGCGTTTAAATAAGTTATGGTTTCGCACGTATAATTTTTTTAACATAATAAGCGTTAAGCGGTCACATCCGAAATCCGCATAATGCAGCTTTGAGTGCAGAACGTTCGTACATCCGTGTATGATTCGTTTCGTATTTAATACGCAAAGGAAGTTCTGCAAAATGCTATTTCTACGAAATAGAGGATTCCTGTCCTTTTACATAGCCAACCAAACCGACATGAAGTCCCGCAAAATGATATTTCTACGAAATAGAGCATTCCTGTCCTTTTACATAGCCAACCAAACTGACATGAAGTCCCGCAAAATGATATTTCTACGAAATGGAGCATTCCTGTCCTTTTGCATAGCCAACCAAACCGACATGAAGTCCCGCAAAATGATACTTCTACGAAATGGAATTTTCTTGTCTTTAAATACCCGACTGAAGGCCTCCACCACGTTGCCGTTTTTTCTTCAATAACCATGGGTTGTCGTTACTTTACGGTGGAACTAACGTGATGGTTCCTGATGATTCGATTTTAGAATTTTCATACTTGCTGTCGACGTCGTACATTTTCTTGTTAGCAGTGTCCAACGTTACACGAGTGTTATGTAAGACTGTAGGCAAGAACAGCTGTCATGCTAGGCTAGTTGTACTTCTCCCTTCATCAGTGTTTCCTTTAGATTCTGCTATATTCCTCTTGCTAATTCTATAGGTAAAGCACCGACAAAGCAGTGAACACATTAGGTGCTAAGATAAAGGTATCCGGAATAATGGTTTGAATCATCCTCGGGTATTATTGGTAAATCCTCAGTTAATGAGAATTTTTTTTTTTTTGACGTCGATTGACATGTCCTCAGAATTAACCTCGGGTGCACTATCAAATATCTACCCATAACTGAGTGTGTGTATTGTTTGTTTCATTTGTCCTCGTTCACCGTCATAAATGAGAAACTAACAAGCGTGCCTGACCGCACGAGAGAGCAGACCTTCTGCATGTGTTTGTGCTTCGCGGCGCGCAGGCAAGAGCTCGGCATACCAAGACGGAGGCATGATTCCGGTGGCCAAGATAGTGAAGATATTTATAAGTATTATGATCGAGCTTAATAAATCGCGCTCAGCTAGAGGCTCTAAAAATATTCTGACATGTGATGAAATGCACTGAAACCAGGGCAAAACGTAAGGTCATATCAAAGGTGCTGGCTTACCGCCAGCGATTCATCATAACGTTTAATTGTTCTCAGTTCAGCTCCTTCTATTTGATAATAGGCAAAGGCATGCTCAATGAAATCCTGAAATATATTGCATCTGCTTGTATGTTCAACTGCAACTCGCTTCAAGATTTGTGTTGTGATTTATTGTCCAGTATGAAAAACTCGTGCATGCGATTAAGAAACTTCTGGCGTTTATTTCGATGTATTCTGTTTCACTTGTCGTGTCTAACGACTGGCTTCAGTTCAATCTACCAGAAATCTGCCAAGTAAAAAAACAAGCGTCGGACCAACAGCAATTTCCAAGTTAGCTTAAACAGTAGCATGTATTGTATGTACACTGTTGTTTCCCGTCTTTGAGAGGAGCATTGGGGACTTTTATTTGACGGGTGTATTTTAAACTGAGAAGGAGGTTTTGCTGGAGATGTTGAGGATGAGCGAAATCTGTTCATGGATTATAAAACATGGCAACAAGATATTAAACTTGCACGAAACCTGTCGAAAACCGCATCAATGTTGTATCCATGTGAAAATGACAGGACGAAAACGCGCTCTCGATTTTGTCGAATATTGATGTGATAAATGGGGTAACTGTGTGTCGGGCAGGTTGGAGCCCAGTTGTCATTTAAACTCATGCTTGTGATTGAAGATTGGTCTCAGCTGTGTTTCTTCTACAGTGTATGACACCATTATCAAAACATTTCAAACCACATCCGTTCTTCTGGCTCAATTTAGCGCACCGCGAGGCAACAAACTGACATTCACCAATTAGCGTCGAGTGCGCGCGATCAGGTTACCGTCCGCTTTCATGCAGTTGTGCATTTAAATGTTCTCCAAACTTCCCGGACTGTCAGATCAGTTGGTTAGACAAGAAGGCGTGGGAGGATCACGAATCCAAAGAAAAGAGAATCGTCAAGGTATGTGATGTCTCATAGCGTTCGCGCGCCTGTGATTAGCATGGGGCATCGACAGCTGTACTCTACAGCTAGAAAAAAGCGCGCATCTGTTTGGCAAAAGTCAACCGCAGCTGTTTGACAAACCAAACGTAATGCGGTTTTTCTAAGAGCTCAAAGAATTTGGAATAATAAGCAAAAAGACCATTTGCTGAAGTCTTTTTTTTCACAATCGAATGACAAAAGTGATGTTTCTACTTCCGCATGATGCTTCAAGCGAATGCTTGGGAAACGACTTCGGTTCGAAAATTACGAGTTACGAACCATTTGCAATCCCGGCAATGGCGATTATGTACGTTGGCTATTATTGTCATGCTAGTGCATGTCTCGTCACACGATGATGATTCCTTGTTGCTTTACAGAATACCGGATAACGATGACGAAATGGCTAGAATCTCAGCTCTTGCTCGACCTCCTGTTGGCCTGGAGTGAGCCTGGACAGGAAGAAGACGACAGTAAACCGCTAAGTGATTATCTGAAACCGAAATGTAATTACATCAACAATTGCTTCGAGTTGGCAATGATTGACAAATGCGATTTGTTCCGGGGGGGAGTGTGCGCATTACACATAGTATATGGTATTGTATGCGATGTGCTAATTACATAGCTGGCTCACGCAACGATAAACCAAGAGAAATATCTCGTTTCGGAAAGTTGATCCCAATAATGAACATGAGAAAAACAACCCTGCACGTAAAATTCGCGAGCCTATCGCACGAATTTTTTGTTCTTTTTGAAAAGATCTCCCATGTTACTGACTTACGTCTTAGCATCGTAGTTTTCGTGGATGTTTCTTGAAAAATTGATGTTATTCTGTGATGTAAAGTAAAGAATTTATACACACGCTCATGGAAAAATTAGAACTTATCGGAATGGTTGAAGTTTTGATTTCGTGATGGATTTCGATATAAGACTGCTTACGCTCAAAGTAATGGAGATGAAAGAATACATCGTCTTCCTGTTTTGACCAATGTCCAGATTTTTCTTAGCATTCTGTATAACGATTGCACATGATTGTATTAGTTGTTGCACGCGATTATATCGCTGTCGCGCGTGAGTGTATTTGTATAACACGTGATCATATTAATATTGCACGTGTTTGCGATGGTGTTTCACGTTCATTGCCAAATAAGAATTCCTCTGGCATCCTTTCGATTCCAGATTTACTTTGAATCATTATATAGCTGAGCAGCAAAGCCTTCACGTTTCAAATAATAAATGTTCTGCAAATATATTTCAGTCGACATTCCACGAGAGTCCACCGATCAGGTGACGAAAAACACCGTACAGTTTTTGAACTTAAAAAAATGCTACGAAAAAGTTCAGAAGCGATTCGAGGGCGTGTCGTCGCAAAGGCCTATGGACTGCAACATACTCATGCTAGCTAAATTCGACCCTACCTGGACGTCACGACGCATCGATGTTTATGTACAGCGGCATCCGGACAGTGCAAAACTCTGTGGAGACTTCAATGGCCGAGTGAAGCTCTTGACTAATGTGGAGAAGGAGAATGATGACACGGTAGGAAGGATTTTAAGTTAATGGATGCTAATCACCCAGTCTCGGAAGATACAATAGATTGGAAATACTTTGTGTAATCGATTATCATCATTTAGTTGTATGGTAATTGTGACAAGAGTGCTCTTCTTCCCAAATGTCCAGGATGTCCTTTTTTCAAAAATTGAGACGTTTTATGACGAAATTCGTAAATCAGTAAATTAATTAGTAAGAGTTATATTTACTGTAAAACTTAAAAAGGCATTTCTAGAATTTTTTTAACACGATTTTAATTAAACCTCTTAACAAACCCCGCATTAAATTCATTACAGGTGCGTTTTTTTGAAATTCTACTCGCTTCAAACGTCGCATTTTGCACGCGCCGAATGCATTTAAAACAAAAGAAAATGAGATAAAATTCCTCATTAGCTTTTATTTCAAGTGCATTCGCCACATGTAAAATGCGATGTTTGAATCAGGCCTTATGGCTCTTTTCCACTCATCGCCAAATGCTCTCGCTGCGAGCTTGCGAGTCTTTTCGCGCGATCAAAGAATTTTTTTCAACTAATTTAACTATGCTGCAATTCATAGCATTCACAGCTCGCTGTGAGTAACTCGCAGCGAGCTTGCGAGTACGATTTGCGATGAGTGGAAAAGAGCCTTTGTTCGCTTCATTCGACCCTTGCCATTTATATATGTGAAAATTTTATAGACGTACTTTTCCGTGGATCTCGATAGCGTGTACAGAAGCGATCGGAATATTCCCGTTTACAAACTCTCGACGGTTGATCCTTTGCGAAGGAATAAATTTATTCTCGTGATACGGCTGGTATCCGATGGAGGAAATACGGATGAACAATTCCTCAGCCCTGTTTTCCACATTCGAAGTCGAAGATCAACCAGAACGACCGCAAAGGCCGAACAAGACGATCGTGGATAATTGATGAGGGATATATCATGATATCCATGGATATTTTCCTACCTTAAATCGCACACACAGTCTTTTCATCACGATTTTCTTCCATTTGCAGTTCATCGTTAAACGTAGTCGCGTTTTCGCTGTGTAAAGTAATGTTATGAAACTTTTCTAGAGATGTATTACCTTATGTGCAAAGCGATGTTAACATGTTCATATTTGATATATAATTGTTCAACACAATTAAGAAATTAAAAAAAATTAACACAAAATTAAATTGTCAAACAATATATTTAGCGCCTGTTCTCCAGCAGTGTGTGCTTTCATTTGTACATGCTTTTTTTATATTATTCTTTACGTGGGTCGATTAATTTCATATTATAAATTGCTTGTCCGTGGAAAAGTGCCCTCTCCCCCCGCCCCCCTGTTTTGCGGGCCCTGCTTCTAGGGATGGGAAACTGGAAACGTCGGACTGGACACGTGACATGTTGAATCTTGAGCGGGAAAGGCGAAAACAAATATTACAAAATGCCGACAATTTATGTGGTTTTAGGTCGCTTTTTGGTCCTTTATAGCTATAAATCTCGGAAGAAGAAAGCTCTAAAGCACGAAAGAAGTTTAAAGGTACGTTATTCTCAATTTGAATAACTTTTAAGCCCTAAGTATGGTGACTAATGGCGAAATTTGAAGGGAACACACGAGGCTTGCTGAGCGTAAGAAGTCAAGTTCCATTTGCGTTGGTATTTCGCCAGTAGCTTCTGTAATATAGGTTTGGTTGTTCGGAGGAAAACCAAAATCCTTTACCAACCGACAATTTGATTTTGATATAATATAATTACATAAAACGAAAGAAACTCCGAACATAATATCCCACTTCGTAATAAATTCGAAATATTACTACGTTAAAGATATGGATATTTTATTCGGAGTTAGTTTCATTTTATATTACATCAAATTCTCAGCTTGTAATGGATTTTGCTGAGCGTTTATCGGAGCTAAAGCGGGGATAGGTGCTTTTAAAAAATTTATAAATGCAGATGTTTTGACTCCAATGGAATTAAGTTCTATAAGACCATTGTCTCGTGTGATGGATAATTTGAGTATAAATTAGATTAATTACACCAAGTATGCCAGATTTCTTAGTGACGACTGAACCAGGGTAGAGTGGTTTACTTTTGCTAGAGTATCGCTCGGATGTAATGTAACAGCTTACATTTGATGAAGTAGACGAGTACCCATGAATTTGTTGATATTATTTATATTACGCCTGTTGCACTTGGCCATTAGTGCACTTTCTGTATTATGTGTCAGTACAAAATCAAGATGAGTGAGAAAGTTGAAGAATCGCTTCGGTCAACAGGAATAAGCACAAAGATTAAGTTAATGAACGTCATAAGATAATCACGAATAATGAATGTGTACATTCACATCTTGATGATTTCGGCAAATTTGGAATTTTTCGGAAAAGAAAACGGGTGTTGTAGGCGTATAGAAGGATCTCTACTAGAGAGAAGAAGAAACTGCGCAAATGTTGAAACAATCATCATAGGAAAAGTCCACGTAGACCAGTGAGCGATGAAAATTAAAATTACATAACTGGATTGTCAATTGGAAAGTTTTGCTCCACATATGGCCATCAGACACTGTTTGAACACACTTCTTATTATCGAATCTCAGTTGCCATTAAAAAATACTTATGAAAACGTGCAAATTTCAGCCAATCGGGAGGGGAGGTTCTACGTAATAAATCTCGAGGGATTCACGCGCGACGCACATTTTTCGCTCGTTTGCGTGCTATTCAAAGAAGGCGAAACTCTTTTCAAGTGAAATTTTTATTTCAGAACTAATTTATTTCAATAAATAGCATGTCTCCTATGTGGTAAGTGTAAACTATGTTCATAATTTACACCACTCTACTGTACAATAATTACTCATCTTTCTATGTGACCATTCGTCGGATTGATTTTCCCGCCTGGCTTTATTGTGTTTTTAGTCTTTTGACTGCAGTTTTTCTGCCGACCTTTACGTACTTGTAATAAAAAGGGGAAGTATCACTCCAAAATTGCGCGAGATCAGTGAGGGCTTTTTAAGTAAGGGCATTTTTGAAATGTAGCTATTGCGTGGGGGTATTTGCTCCCACTAGGTTCAAAGTTTTCCACAGTAGCCAACTTTGTTTATACCTGATAGAATGGCCATTATTGTCACTGTGAAGGATTGGTTTTTGGTTATTAGTTTTAACATTTAACATGTCGCTCTGTAAATAAGTGCGAAGAGATATAACCAGCTGTACCACAGACTAATTAAGATCACCTCAGTAGTTCACATTCCTTAAAAGAAATTTTTTTTGGAGTGATACGTCACCTCTAGAGCGAGACCTTCAAACAAATTCTTGACTTGCTGAAAAAACAGCCGAGAAAACTTTCAAATGACGAACGATTCTTGAATGATTAAATTCATCTTGGATTAAATACCTAATAAAATTTCATAAAAGGTGGAAAAGAAATCGCATGCACATGATTGGTTGTCATGATTATTGACGACCAATCACATAAGTTATTCAAAATTCCCCCTTGTGGGAATCACGGTCTAAGCACTGATGATAATGAAGAGTTTGAATTTATTTGAAATGGTTTATCGGTAGCCAAATCCTGCACTGTGTTCAAGTGCTTTCCTTCGTAGGTGCGCGATACTGGTGCCACGCCAGTACTCCCCCCCGTTCGGCATACTGCACTGCAGGTCTTGCAGGGTAGGGGACGACGATATAGGCATGTCCCTTGTGGGAAATCCCCCCGTTTGATAGCCCAGTTGAGGGGTCTGTGCGAGTTGTTGATTCAAGCCACTTAAAGTCGATCTCGGTTGATAGGGCTGTTGAAGAAGATCGTGACTTGATTGGTTGAAGTTGCTCGAAGGAAGTGAGGTCGTTGCCATGGTGGGCACGCCGGACGGTGCGATTGCGGACCATCTATGATCGTTGTGGTAAGTACATAGAGGGTCAATCGGGTTGGGGTTGTAACTCTGTGCTAGGTGGGAAGGAAGGATCGGTGCAGGGGGGCGAAGGACCGAGGTCGTCTTCTTACGTTTCTTCCATTTGGCACGACGATTTTGAAACCACACCTGAAATAATGAGCGAATGAAATCAAATCGGGGCACGATAGTAATTCTTGTGATATACTGCATACATGTAGCTAAATGTTGGCAGCAGTGAGTATCCACCCCCACCCCCCACCCCACCCCTCGAACTATTTATCAGTACATATTTCTATATTCAGTTCAATGGCAGCACCCATGCAATACAGTACGCGAAGCATAAGGAAAATGCGTTTCAGCGTAGTTTCATCGGAGAATGTGTAATATCGCACTGATCTTTATAATTAGCGAGAATCCATAATACGAACTACTAGTAGAACACACTTCATACGAAATAAAATATAAACCATAAGATTTTACGTAGTTGCACTCTGTAGATGTTTATCGTCCGCAAGTTAGTTGTGTCCTATTTGTTTGTTTTGACTGAGGTTTTGACAAACTTAGCGTTAGTCCTATTCAGTGACCAGCGAGGAATTAGCGTCTGACAACAAATAAAGAAAACCTGATTTTTACTCTTCGCTTGACTCTGAACTGATGACAACCGCTAAGGTTGTCGAAATACAAGTCAAAACCAATACTGACAGTCCTTATATGACCTCTACTGACCTGGACTATCTATATCTACAAACATGTAACTATACTCTCTTGTTCAAACCATGCTTTCACTTCAATAAGATGAGATGCGTCATCCATGGTGTCTGTTGTGATAGTGGAAAGCGAAAAAAAGAGCAGCTCTGAAATGAGGCTTTTTCGCTTCACGATGCAAGTTTAAAGAAGGAAGCTTGAAAATAGTTGACGCTTGATTTTTTTTTGAGGGCCCTCTTTTGAAATGACGAGCATTCTACTGCATCGCCTTTCGGAATTTGTTAGAAACAGCTCACACAATGTGCACTATGCGACGCACTTAGCGTGCGAGCCGTGTATTCTACTTCAAAACAATACTACCCGAAGAACATTTATTGAAATGGCAATAAATATGCTAGTTCTATTGAAGTCGTGCCGCCTTATATTAACCGTCTGTGAGACGAGAAAGAATCGTGTCGTCCTTATACCATCTGGTGCTCACGTTAGTCGCCACGCGAAACCTATTTTCAGCGCAGATACACTGCTGCGACGCATAATACATTGAAAGTTTTGGCGCACTTGAGCAAGCAGCTGGCACATAACCGCTTTATAGTGATGTCGATAAAACTGTTCTCGCCAGTTTAATGCACGAGCTGTTGACTTTCAAACGTCTTTAACAGATAGCTACATAGCGTCATAAGCAAATAAATACGGGAACAGGCGATACAAGTACTAAGCTTTTCTAACTTTGCTATACTTTGTTTGTTTAATGTGTCAACTTGGCAAACGTTGGTAGACGCTGGCGACAATTACAGTCAACAGGCTTTGCATCGGGTATTCTCTTTGAAACTCCTCCGGACGCCGATTTCTTTATGCTGAAAAATGTGCAATATGTAAAGGCTTTCGAAGACAAATATTGATTCTATGCTGTTTATAACCACTGTATATTTTCTTCATAGAATATTCAAAAAGAAAATTTATACTTATTATATGAATTTTCTGTTTGTTTAAAGGGAAAATGTAAAAAACTTCGGTATATAAAACCTACAGTGTTATGCTCAGTATTTCAATAATTGGCTTAGTTCCTATACACCTTGATACATAGTCGAAGATCTTAATTATACAATGCAATGACTATCGCAAGGTAAATAAATAAAAGTCCGACTATCAGCTAGCTACTTAACCTAGTGACATTAAGGGAAACACATGTCAGTTGCATGCACAACTGTCGAATTCTAGGATACGACCAAAGTTCCTATATAGGAGCAAATCTGAATTTCAAACTGACATTGAAAAATCAACGCGTAATTGCTATGACATTGGATCGATTATCGCAATTCATTAAGCGTACGGATAAATTTGCCGACTATAATGACTACTAATGATTAAATAATCGCTTGATGCTTTTGAAATAGAAATTTTTAAAGTCACTCCTTTGTGTACAGGCGACTTCTAGCTGTCGAAGACACCCAATGGTCAATCTAACCCACATGATCTTCCCAAATTTTTTACATCGCAGCTTTGCTGCTCGTTTCATTAGCTGCTTGAATTTACCTATTTGCAATTTTTTATCGGTTCTATCATAAATGTGGTTGTCTGTTTTTTATTCCGGGTTTTTTTGTTTTTCTCTTAGAAAATATGCACTGTTTCTTATGATTATTGATTCGTACATGCTTGATGACGCGACGTGTGGAAATAGCTAACAAAGTAACATACATGTGTTTGTGGATGTAGATCGCCCAGGTTAGTAGACTTCTGAGAGGGACTGTTGTTGTTGATGTTGACTGACGTTTCCACAACCTTAGCGGCAGTGTCATCTTCAGAGTCAAAAAAAACCGAGTCCGAAGATGACTACCGCTTAGGTTGTCGAAACGTCAACAACAACAAAAACAGTCCTTCTCAAGACTCTACCAATCTGAACGATCTGCATCCACAAACATGTAACGATACTCCTTGGTTCAAACCATTTGCTTTAAAGTAACTTGTATGTCCACATAATAGAGTACATTGGACATTTAGGATCAACTTGTGTAAAAACGTTATGTTTTGGTAAAGCTTGTATTACTCTCTACATGATTTAACTGTTTGCTCAATAACTGTTGAACTTCATGATATAATGAAGTAGTGCTATAAGTCTAGATACTTTCTCAGCTGTCGATTTCACTGATAAGTTTTCATTTCAGCGAACAACTCATATACAATTAGCAACGAGTCCCCTCTTCTCAAAGAAAACTAAGCTAATCTAAAACGACGTGTTTACACATGCAAGTCAATAAGGCAAGTTTCGTCAAGTGCTTTAAAGCTTGTGCTTATAAAATTCAGCTGCATGTGAAGTACGTAAATACAGTTTATGATGAAACGTGAGACGTGGGATGTTAGTCACAGAGGCGCGGCAAACCTTAGGAGCGCCATGTTTGTTTTGACTTATGTAGCTACGTAACATCACACCGCAATCGCATTGACGCATCCTTGAAAAAATTTCATTGTTTTTGGTACCAAAATTTATAGCTAAATTTGCGAGTGGATCTTTTTTGGAGTCCCGTCAACTTTTCGTGAATATAAAAGGTCTGCTGTTGTTTGATGTTTTTAGCTAATGAATCTACTCACAGCAGCTAAACAAACAAGTTTAAATAAATGCAATGCACATAATGATGTTAACGCATACATCTAAATGAAATACTGTACAGTCAATTTTGTCATCATTCAGCTAGGAGTATCTTCTTCCCCCATGGTGTACGGCTTGTCAATTTCAATAATCAGCAAAAACGAATTGTTAATTTACGAACAATTAAGTTAAACTATAGAAGACATCTTTATATTAATTCATACACAACGCCAGCTATCAAAAACTATTACAGTCAACCCCTAGGCTATTTTGTTGTCGTTATTGCGTGAATACAGTCATTGAACGTTCACGTTAACACGATAATCGACAATATATATCTGTAAAAACACATCCCTTTCTTTGGCATTAGGGTGTGTGTTTTTTTGCTGTGCGTGTCGGCTTTTCGCGTGGTAATATGCAAGTCAAGTGTTTAATAAAATTTTTGTTTTCAAAAGGACGAGAGAAGAATGCGGAATGTATGCTTTTGTGCCCACCTGCGAGTCGTATCCAATAATGTCGTCTCGAGCGAAATCGTGCTTCGAGAAGCTCTTTGTTGGCAACTCGAAAATGTTTTTGCGTAGCTTATTAATTTCATGCCCAATGTGGTCCATGATATGCATGCAGTGCCGTGTAACAGCACAATCTTGAACATTACATACATTCAGTAATGAACATTCTATGTACTTCTGGATTTTAAAACCATGTGATATTACCTAAAGCTTTCGGGATAGTTTAATGAAATACGTATATGTTTCAAACGTGAGACGTTATGCATGTGGACGTGTATGCAGTCAGTACAAATCAGCAGCAACCTTTATGATAGTCTCGAATTCTTTTTCCAAAAAAGTAATATTGTTTCGCAAGTTTGAATCATTTCATACTTAAATTCAAACGACTTTCCGATACATCGGTTGCACGACAGCGTAAGCAACCGTTTTCTTTGTACGCCACCTTGGAAATTTGATGTGTAAGCTGTATAGGCTAAGTTTATTCGATCTCCAGACTCGATTTATGCAATCTACGCAATGGAAGATGTTCGAAAAACAAACTTCCAGGTCTACTGCCGTCATCTAGCATAAACTGACGAATTGAAACAACACGATTATTAGACAATTTAACACCCCAGTCCAAGCAAGTTGAAATTAATGCACCTGTATGTTTACGCCACAGTACGAACATCGCTTAACTCGTGTCTTTAATGTGTTCGACACGAATAAAATCATGCACCGAGAATGCTACTAAAGTTCAACCTATTTTCCAAACGAGTTTTCGTTTTGTTCGGTAATCTCCACCCGCGAGCACAGTAATTTACAAACATTTAGTTTTCATTGTTTCGACAAGTAATGTATATAAATTTTAATTGGTTTGCCGATAACACGGGTAGTAATCCTTTTTCATTATCACGCAACGTTGGCTGGAACGGACCCGTCCCTGAGATATTTTAGTCGACAATTGCGAGTAAACCATGAAAAATATATATTTCGGGAACAACCCGAGCCAATTTTGGGAACGTCTCCTCCCTAACGATGCACAGAGATTGTCTTTCGGATTTCTTATGCCAATATCGCTATCATTTCGTGGAAAGTTTCTTATTTAAATACATCCGGAAAGTATTCGTGATTTTGCAACAGTTTGTAGGTGTATAACTGTGCATGTGCCTCTATTTGAAGCCACAGATAAATTTTTGTTATGCAGTACAGGGTAGAATGAGTTGCTCAACGAGTCTCGGTGAAATTTTCTTCGGTATTTGGCATGGATGTATACGTTTTCATTCGTTCAATGTCGAGTCTACTTCGTTACTGCTTATATATTCATATAAGTTTTTCGTCTTTAGACACGATTCAGAGATTAAATGATCAGTAGCATGTTCTTCATTTACATGCATTCGTGTTTTTTTCCCCTTTACATAATGATTTTGAGAATCCTTATGCACTTAGGCAGTCGCCAGAAAGCATTCAGTGCAGTTGTACAACTTTAATTGTCCAAAAACGATACATGCTTGTAATTTTTATTCATTTTTGCACACGACAAGCTGTTATACTTCAACCTAAGTCGACTAAAACCGATAGATAAATTAGACACTCGAGTGACCACATATAGATCTTCGCACTCAATTTTCGACAACTTGAACTTGATCAAAAACGACGATTACCCAATATATTGCGCCTTCATTCAATAAACACACGCTTGCGCGCACAAATGAACTGACCGACGAACGAAAAATATCAATGATAACCTATTCGACTCCGATATCAACACCTGAACGGTAATGTCAGAGTAAATTGAGCTCGGGAACAGGTTTAAAGTAAGACTTTTGATAAGTTTACAAACCTGTACTCTTGATTCGGTCAAACCAATGCGTGCAGCAAGATCCTCCCTCATGAAAACGTCCGGATAATGCGTCCTTGCAAAGCATCTCTCCAGCTCGTTGAGTTGAGTCGGAGTGAAACGGGTTCGATGTCTTTTCTGTTTCGAGAGATGCGACTCCGACGATTTCAGGTCGTTGTCTTCCGCGGGTGCGCTATCCACATCGCTGCCATCTCCTCTCTTGATGTCCGTTGGCGTTAGTTTCCCATCGGGAGACTTGCAATTGTTATCTTAAACGGTACAGATAAAGGATATAAATTAGCACAGCACGTAATATGGCATGCCACATTAGCTGCTTCATTTGTCTTAACACTTCGAAATAATCGGCGAAATTACTCCGAGTTACGACGAAAAATGAGCTTTTACTTCAAGATGAGTACATGCACTAACTAGTCCGGCAGGATCGTGCATCCCTACTGTCATATATATCCGCCGACTTTCTAGATAGATACTGACCAGAGCTACAGAGGATGTTACTAATGTTGTGTTCTATGTTTGGAACAAGATCTAGAAGATACATCGTGTCAGTGCTCATGCCATGACTTCTATCCAAATGATCTCGCGATATTAGCGTACTGCCTGTGTCCATCGCTTAATCTTGTGATCCCGCTCAACATTGCGGCTTCTCTTTGTGCGCGCACTTATTATACCGGGATTAATAAGTTTCATGGCAGGTGACCAATCGGAGCGCGGCCTGCACTCGCTTCTAATAAAACTCCTTCAGGTGTCGTCGGACCGCGACGAGGAACTCGAATGAAGGCAAATCACTTCGAATTAATATTTGATAGTGATAATTGGGCATCTCGAACGCCATAAATGATTTGCTTCATTAATGTCTTCCTAAATCTTTAATTCAACCCTCTCCTCACTTTTGACGCGTTGATCTGTCGTCTGTCGATGTTAGGGAGACAGCCAGCTTCTATGTACAAACACAACTCGCATGGAAACAAACAATTCAAAATTTAATAATACGTTGTTTCCATGTGGCTGCAGTTGCACGCTCTAGCTTCCAACCATCTTATTTTTTTTCATTGTGAAATCGTGTGTCGTCCCAGATTCGACGCGTTAGTTTTTCTACGTCGCCTCCATATGAAGCCATTTTGCGTATAGGTGAATTCTATAGCACCTATTCTATCTCATAAAACGCGGCGAGATATGACTTCGTGTTGATGATTTAGCTTCAGTAGAATACGGTTTGTTTGTTTTCGCGTATATTAACTCTCCATTCTTTTTGTGCACGCCTAAGAAACGTGTTTCTCGTCTTGTATGTCGTAGAAATGTTTTCTATCGAGTGGACGATTTCATTTTTTTGTTCTCGTCATCTCGTGAAGTGAACAAGTTTGAGAAATCACCTCTCCGTTTTGTATTTTCTAGCATACTTAGTTGAATAATTTTTCTGCTGTGCATGCAGTTTCCGACTATCAACCGATACAAAAATTAATGCACTTGATCTTAAAATTCCTTTTTGATTTACATGAACAACATAACGCTTGTGTTTACCTAAACATGTCTGTCCTTGTGTGGTCAACGATATCTTACTTTTTATGAAATATGTTGTGTCGTAGCCAGCTACTTTGAATACAAAACTTGTATCTTCCATAGTGTATTGGTTATCATCTGTTCATGCAACTGTAGCTTAATGGTGTTTTTAGCACGTTTTCACCTTTTGCATGCGTCATAACTGTCGAAAATGGTTTTCATTCAAGTCATTATGTAGCTATACGTTTGACGTCTGTGATTGCGATCATGGGAGCTTCAGCGTCAACGAAACATGTAGTTGGTTATATAAAACAAATATCTTTCATAACATATATATATATAGGCATTTCGTAACTTCAACCTCTTACATTTCCGTACTTTCTCGAAGTTTTTCTATGATATATTGTTGGGTAAATGTTGCGTCTTAAAGTCACGCGTTGTCTAGCAGAAATAAGCCCCGCGCTCTTGTCAGCTGAAGTGCGTCATGCAATTTCTCGATATTGTAAATGGAAGTTTCATTCTATGCCCAGCACGCATAGTTGAGAAAAATATCAGACAATTCAACGTTCGCCGTTCGAATGTTTTTCAAAATTGATTGCTCGCCATACGCAGCCCAGAAAACGCAGTTATTATTTTGATTAATAAAATATTAATTGCTAATTAAAAGAGTAGCCTCACTACCCACGAACATTGCGCAGTTCTTGTCCGCAAATCTTTAGCTTCGACGCTCCAATGTTAGGATACTAAGCCATAAAGTAATACAGACTCTCGCGTATATCAAGATGTCACAAGTGCCATGCGAAGACGAAGCTCCTTCTTTACGAAAACATCTCATTAACAAGATCTATAAAGGTCTCGATAAAAATTTTGCAAGGCAAATTTTCAACATTCCACATCTCTTTATACAAGGGAAAGGCTTATCCAACGAGCGCATTTATACATATACACGTCAATTCATTATCACAAATTTGAGTTGGTGGTTTTAAAGGGTCATACATGCGAGACAATACACTTATTCTGCTCAATTGTGGTTTACCAGAGAGCTTTGTGGTGGTTTCGCCGTTTTTCTACATGCGCCTGTGCTTTATACTTCGTTCATTCTTATTAATATCAGTTCTACATAGCTATGTCTTGTTCTTTGAGAGATTCATCTTGAAAATGTGCATTGTAATGATGTTGCATGCGATTTTGATTGCACTTAAAGAAAACACTTTCGTCTTGCAATAGTGATATAGCGTATATTAAAACCGTGGGATCTTTCCCTGCAAAAATTTTCAATAGCCAAGAACATTAGTGTGTACCTGCCACTCTAAAGTAATTTAAAGGCACCTAAAAGGAATACTGTTTTCCCCTGATCTATAAAGCGATTTAGTTTACAGTTGCTCGAGCCCCTTCTATTCGATGAGGGTTTTAATTATTTTAGAGGTCTTTAAGTGTGCTTTTAGCGAGCCAATGAAGTAATCAGTTAACTTGTGAACTGCATGTATTCTTCAAAGCTCACTACACTCACGCTCACTGATTTCAACGCTACAACTAATCCATACGGCTAACTCATTTCTCCATCGTTGGCAAAATTTTTTGATAAAAATGTTTTTCGAATCATAAGCAATCGGTGGAGTCCGAATGTCGTCTTTGTACAGTTATGAGGTGATTCTGTTAATGCCCCGCTCATGCAGTAAGTGTTCGTTGAGCTTTTAGAATACATAGACCACGGTCTCTCTATCGCTTGTTATAGTCACCTCAAAGTATCGTTACTATAAATTGAAGATGTTTTTACTTTCTCATTTCCTCATCAAATAGTGTTTACAGGTTTATAACCCAAATCCAATAGCGTGTATTAATTGTCAGTCCTGTCGATAGTGATTGCAATTGCTTTCATTCTTATAGCTGCCGCTCAATAAAGGGACATTTAACCTAATTATTTGTGGAAAACCATGCCCAACCGAAAAGATCTCGTGTTTGCAAAGTGGATGAAATGATTCTTCGGGAACTTCATATCAACAAATTAAAGTATGTGGAAGCGGGACTTCATCGTGCTAAGGTAAACGATATTCATTTCTTGACATAGCTACGATGTTTTCTTCCGTCAGTTTAGTATCAAACGTTTTGTAGAGGTCAATATGTTGATCAAGAATGCCATTTTTTAGCAAAGTAGTACGTAAGTGCATTTGCTTGAGTTTTATGGTTTGGAAATTACATTAAAATGATTGCAATTAATGTTGAATTGGATTTAGTGGCATGAAATGTATCATAAAGAATGCTCTTTCGAGTTCTCCCATGCAGATATTGTCAAATGTTTTCCGCTTTGGTTGTATGTATATACAGTTCGTTTTGAGTCGACGCATTTGAGGCAATTTTCGTGCATCTATGGTAAAACGGTCGAAATACACTCAAAGCATTAATTTGTCTTGAACCTTGTGAAAAGTCAGGTTACTGACATTCATCAAACACTGTTGATTTCCGAGTTTGACCAAGAAACTTGAAGAACAATCACACTTCTCCGTAAGTTAGTTATATAGCTATCATTCTCTTACTATATTACTATCAAAGGCATTCTCAAAGAGACTGTCGTGACTTTGAACAAACTGAGTTTCTTTTTCTAAAAGTGTTGATTGATCTATACGAACGTGTACTCGTCACACGCCATTGCTGTTTCGGTCCTATTTGGCATGAACGTTTGCTTCAAAACTCCTGACTTCCTGATTATTATATTTTGTCGAAAAGGGCCTCGGCAAACTTTTTGCTGGATGTCGCTGGATGCTTTGTTGAAATGTAAACACTCCGAAACAATGTAGGGTGTAGGAATGGCTTTAATCGACGCAACGTTTTATTTGAAGTCATGCGAACGGGCCTATTGCGACGCGCCTGCGTTATTAAATCGCCTCTCGGCACACCACATGAAACGCACCGCGCGGTGTATTTGAAGGGAACATATGAAGTGGCACCGAACTGACTTTTTGAATAGAGACTTGACTTCTTTAACCATGCAGCTGCGTGCGAAAAGCGCCCAAGCGCCCGAAATATCAACGAATTAACACAAAGGTTTCCATTCTAATCGAACGACAAGGCGACTGTAGCATTTGCGAAATTGATTGAATAATTTGAGGTGCGGGAGGAACGTGTTCATTTCTTTTTTTATCGTCGATCCTATATTTGCAATACTTACATATAAAAGACGGGTTTTCGTCTGTGTATTATATGGAATGGCAAGTTTTCGAATGCCTCAACGTGAGCTAACTTCATGTAAGCTAGATTACCACGCACCGAATATCATCAGTATGAGATTACTGAAAGTCGTTTCAACTTTAATCATATGCTATGAGTTTGTACATAGGCCGTATTTATATGATGTAATCTCTCTCACAGGCGTTTCTTTCGCTGAAGTTCGTGATATTTTAGCAGGTTGCGAACTTGTTGTTTTGGGTTTAGAGAATGACATTCTTCCAATCACGTTGCACGACGCTTAGGAACACTATATGTATATATATATATATATACATATATAATGATTCTCCGTTCTAACGCGGCTTGATTGCTATGAGGATATTATGACATGATATGTTTCTATATATATGTGTATTTATGTATTTATAGATATATATATCTATATGTGATGTATTTATATATATACATATATATGTATATATTTGGCTTGCTTACCTTTGATCATCATATAATAACTGGCTCGGTCTGCGGTACTCAGGTCTTCATCAGGCGTATGAAGCTCGCGCATTTGACTGCTGCTCGTTGCTGGTGCTGTCGAGAAAGTTTGAACACTGGAGCGAAGCTGCTCGCGAAATGCCAATTCGGTGTCGGCCTCTATTGCTGACGAGGACAATGGCTCGCATGATCGCTGCAGCATTGTTTATATACAGCTTAATGCAAATATAAATAGACCGTTTGGCGAGGCTCGCAGACAGTGCCGGGGAAAGAGATAGCGATGCAACTTTGGCTACATACGGAAGGCGGCCCACTCCATGGTAGCATATCCATGTATGTGCGCGTGTGTGGATATTTATACACGATTATATTATATTTATGTGTGCACATACATACACAGCTAAACACAGCTACCATACGCGCGGGGTAAAAACACACACACACACACAACGCTACACGGCGTGCGCGAAATTTTTAATTAAGGAACGATTTTAATTAAAAATCGTGCGCGGAAACTTCTTCACTTCGCAAAGGCGCTTTGTACGGCGACTGAAGACGCAATATTTCAAAGAGATAATGCCCGAAATTAGCTTGTCCAATGTTGTTTTTAGCATTAGAAAGAATTTTTTCTTTACTTGTTTTGGTGTTTTGAAAATAAAGACGTTGTCTTTATACGTCGTGCGTGTATTTAAGATTATCATTTGAAGTTTTTACGAAGATTTTCCCTTTCATCTACGATAAGTTGTAACTCTCTGTCTTCAGCATTCGAAATCATATCGATATCGAAATATGTGCATATACTTGTCGAAATACACAACACAATGTATTGCAGAGCATTTAAAATCGGTGAAGGAACACTCTTCGGATAGAATTGAACTGGCGCGCTGTGTTGAAACCGTAGGTAGCTTGTTGTTGCCATACGCTTGCATAAGAAAAGCAAATCGCAACGTATTACCTAATACATATTAAGACGGGAGAGAATACGTTCTTGAGTTAAAAATGAAATAACAATACAACGTTTGGAAAGAGTACTTTATGTGAGGAACTGTACTTGTATATGTGGCAAGCTTGGTTGTGATTTTCTTCTTTACCAAAGACATATTTTTTAAGTTATGCGGCTAAGAAGGATTTTATTAGCATTATATGAAAAATTCTGCGAAATGTTTACATTGAAACACGAGAGACAGACTCGTTTTCATGCATGATCAGAAAGGATCGTTTTCCCTCTACCATTCGTGGATATGACATACAACAATCGTCAATATTTCAGCTCTTTTTCTATTTTCGACAACGAGCCGAATAATAAGAGGAGATTAGCAGGAGTATAATGCAATGCGAGGCACTGCCACCTGACATTAATTGATCATAATCAAAATTTCGAGTGCTCAACAATCTATTAGGCCATTACGTTGTTGACTTTGCACTTGAGTTGTTAGCATGCGGATAAATGATTAGTCCAAGAGACCGTTCTCTGGAAAACACGTCTATGTTCGAGAGCGAACACTTTTTTCCAATCTTGTTATCAATATCTTTAAAATTTTTGGTTAGGAATGGGTACCCCATTCACTTTTTAATAAATACAATTTAAATGGGCATTTCAGCATCCTCTCTGACTAATTGAGGGATTAATTGATCGACAAGTGAACACGCCAGCCGACTTCTGAATTTTTGAAACGAGGGAAATTGAAATGCCCTTTGAAGAGTTTGCTTGGCTATCCAGCTTGTGTTTAATTGCACTTTGCGCTCAATTCTCGTCGCGTGTAAACATGTTCATTAAATAATTACCGTTTCGCTGCCAAACTTATATACGAAGCATTCGTGTATAATGGAAGCGAACACAGATAATATGAAGTCGCTTAGTTTGTCTATTATGCCCAATTAGTTTTCACCCAAGACATAACTGTCCTATATACACAAACGATTGTGCAATGTTTCATTTGAATAGAAGATACGGCCATCATGCTGATTTTGCCCTACCCTGACTTCGCTTCATAATACAGTTTTATCTTGCACAGGGAATATTTACATTACAATACATATAGTCTTGTTCCCATACCTTTGGGAGCATTATATTGCTTCAGACGTATTTTAAGTTTACATGAATAAGATATAGATGCCATTCCTTATCAAAATTGCTGTATTGATTTCGTTGACGATCGCCATAGGGGTCAGTCAACTTAATCTCTTACTACAGATACCAACTCCTTATAAAATTTCCCTCAAGTGTTTGAGTTTCTTGAATGATGTAAAAACACCGTATACTTCAATTATTTCCTCCTGACTACTTGCCTATGTGATCTATTTGCAAATGTATATCACAATGATCGATTGTAGAAAAGCTAGTTTCCTTAAAACGTTTTCTTATACAACTGTTACATATCTTATATTAAATATTATATGGTGCTTGACTACATGCGCAATTAGTCTGCATTATAACAAAGCATGAATGCGCATGCAACGAGTGTTAAAATCACAAGTGGTTCATGGTTAATCAAACCCAGCAAATTTCAAGAAACGAATATTTTGAGAGTATATAGTTTCAGTAGCTATAAACCAAAGGTTCTTTAAAAATTCCGAATAAGATCCCTAATCTTATTATCAATAGTACAAATATTTCATTTCCATTTCAACCTTGGATTTTTTTTTAACTAAATGTTCTTTTCTCCGATAGTAGAAATGCAAGTGCATCGATGCCGAGGGCTCGGACTGTGATAGAACTTTTCATGTATCGTTCGTACCTTCAAAAGTGCACGGAATTTCATTTGACCATATCAGATTTTACATTCACTGCATGAAAACCTTAAAAATTCTATTAAAATATCTTACTTGAAAAGCCGACGCTATAGCGATGTTCTGTTATCAAACTTACATTCTTGTTTCCAGCTAATTCAATTCGATGTCCTTCTATTTGTATAGTGAAGAAGAGCTATATGTGTCATGATGTTTTACGATTTGTGGACAAGATTTAACGAGATCGACTCGTGCAAGCGACTGAGGCCCTCAAACAAACGGTAAGGACTATAGTGATATTCGAGGAAAATTTATGCGGTGGTAATTTTTCTGCCTTGATTGAACGAAAATGCCTTAATAAAGTGAATGATGAAATGCAATAGCTTCGAAAAACATTGCCGTAACGAGTTTAAGTGAGAGCTGTTACTCCCGTTTATGTACGCCAATATAGAGAAATTTTTAATAATAAATTTCTTATGGAAGACGAACGCGCTTAAATGAATTAAACGACGAGCAGTAATTCGTCGCAGGTGCTCGACTTTAAATTGTTGTATGACAATTTCACGATGTGGTGGCTGAAGTTTTCAACTAATGTTCGCATAGTTTATATGGTAAAAGTTCATAATAGAGGGATAAGAGCGACATAACGGGATACTTTTCTTTAATTAGAATCGCCGGGATAAAATTTTTGAGCCGCCTTCTAACTCCACTGTAGTCTCCACGTAGTTAAATATGCACTCCGATGCATAGACGATGTTTTGAGAAAGCGCTACACTCTCTGTTTTTCTTCTTCTTGAGTTACAAACTGCGTGCCTGATGCGAGGAAAGATGGACAAATATATCATGTATGAGCAGAATAAAAATTACTGCACTGAATGTACGAGTTATGATCCAGGGGCTCGAGCATTTCGAATGAAAAAGGTATTTCTCATACCAAAACTTCATACAAAAGCATTTAAAAATTTTTTGTGAAACTAAAATAGTTTTTTCCTCGCAACTTAAAGTTTATTTAGACAATTTCCTTTGCTATATTAGATTTATAAAAGATATTACCTGTCATCAGGCGATATTGGTCTTGTCTATTACCCGTTAATAAACTGTTTGTACAATTAATGTCTCGATGCAGAAGTTTAATTCGATTCTAGCAAACTATAAGTGAATTATATCCTGTAGCATGTGACCACCTGTAAAAATGAACACAGAATCTAGTAAACACGAAGCGTAAGAAAAATATAGTTTACAAAATTCTTTTTGGAAAACTGATTTTTGGGACTGAATATTCAAAGTGACGTTTAAGTATACATGTACATAAACAATATATATACAATTTCATCCCGACAAGCCTGTTTCGTGATTTCTCGCTCTTCAGGGGATAATATGAAATTGCAGTTTTGTGTACTTTCTTCTTCTTAACAATATTTACCCTCTGCTCTAACGCATCGAGCACTGTAATTACGGAAAATCAAATAAACAAAACTTCCTAAACAATATATATATATATATACGATAAGATTAGAAAGAAGATCCCCGCATGAGATCTCTTGGTTAAGGTGAAGTTAGGCGATATATAAGGGAATATATTTGCGAAAGAACGTCTTCATCCAACTTTAATTTTTCATCTGGGAATGCTATGCACCGGAAAAATTTTAATGATACTCAATGACAAGGACTTTAAATAATAGAAAAATAACGACCACAATATATAAAATCGCAACTAAAACATAAAAAACAAAGCATCAATTGATGTTTATATAGTTGCAATAGTCATAACCATGTGTTATGCATCGTGTATAGCTATGAAAATCATGACATTATTTCACAAGTCACATGTTGGTATATTCAAATGCATTTACCGAAAGGAAAATTATTGCATAACGTAAATTTATATGAAGTGCTTGCATCGTGTGCAGTGGCTATACTACTACATGTGTTTTGTATGTGATAAGAGAAAATCACCATCTCTATATATTAGATATACTTGAATCGCTTGTTTTTTTTGTACAGCATTGTATGCTTGTATTTTCTATGCAAGTTGACTGTCGTCCATTTATTTATTGCTTAAAGAAAAAGTGATCACCGAACTTGCGTTATAATCAACCGCAGACAAAGATTGTATAATGACTTGCGCAAATATTGTGGCGAAATTGTCGACTGCAATAAATCGCGATGTCTTTGTTTCTCCATTCACTTCGATGTGAAGAACGCGGGTATCTCGAGGAAATGCAATTAGAGCAGATTTACTAATTAATTAAATGAAACAATCAAAAGCTCTTCTAATTAAGAGAACGTACAGCTCTACGGAACATTCTTATTAGTTCAAAGTCGACATCACATCATCCCATTGTTTATGGAGACAGTCCAGACTTCTGACGAGTTCACTAATATGAACCAGGTGATACGACGTCAAGAATTCTCCAGGCATGAATCTTTAATGTTTCAATTTGAACTGAGACAAAAAGTATATATGACGAAGACTCGTGACACAACTTAACAGCCGTCAGACATATGGCAAATGGGGACCAATATTAGGAGTCTATACACTTATTTTAATGTTTTATAATGTTTTATTGTGTACATTTTCAACTTCTAATTTCCATCAATTGAGAAAAAGCAAAGCACAGCACAATATCTACCTTCGCACAATATTGATATAAATTGTTTCGAAATCGCAAATACCATGGTGAATGGCGAAAATAATAACTTAATTATAAAGAACTTTTGAAATCAGAACACTAATCCAATAGTTCTAAAAGAAGTGTTTTAAACCTAACCTCAAACTCAACCTTCAGTCTTTTTTTACAAGGCTAAATACGCTGGCAGTTGAAAAGAACTGATCGCATGTAAAATTCACCACAACCAGGCATATGCATTGGGGAAAACATCCAAAAAGTTCAATAGTTTTTGTGGGTCTTCTTTTGATTTGATCATAGCGTTCAGTCTTTTGCACGTGCTGCTTTATTAATTATTCAGATCATCTGTCGGACAGCCTTGCCATTGACGTAGCCAGAGTGGAGCAGGCACGGGCGTGGCCCCCAGGCTAAATTCTTGTACCACCAGTCAGTTGTCCAATCTTTGCATCGGCTGAGCTTCTTCTTAACGTGTGATTTCTTCTTTGGCTTGCAGCAAGCAAGATCTGCTTTTCTGAGATTTGTTTTACAGTAGAACACAGATGTTAATGACGTGTTCAATCTGCATCTTGGCTGTAATCTGTAAGTTAACCTCTTAAAGTTATTTGATATGCTTATTCTTACAATTACTCTGACCTACTTTTTATGTCACATACAGTTTCGTCTAGGCATCTTGGCATTATCACACTCCTAGTCAGCCTCTGTTTTGTCTACAACACACTCCTGTCATGTCTACAACACACTCCTGCATGTCGACACACTCCTGTCATGTCTACAACACACTCCTGTCATGTCTACAACACACTCCTGTCATGTCTACAACACACTCCTGCCATGTCTACAGCACACTCCTGTCATGTCTACAATGTCACACATGTCCATCTTGTCATGTCTACAACACACTCCTGTCATGTCTATCCTGTCATGTCTACATCCTGTCATGTCTACAACACTCCTGTCATGTCTACAACACACTCTTGTCATGTCTACAACACACTCCTGTCATGTCTACAACACACTCCTGTCATGTCTACAACACGCTACTGCCATGTGTACAACGCACTCCTCTCATGCCTACAACACGCACTCCTCTCATGCCTACAACACGCTCCTGTAATGCCTACAACACACTTCTATCATGCCTCTGTAGCTTTCTTCAGATAATGCTTTAAAACGTTCCTACAATTTTATCAAACAGATTCTTTTGCACCTTTCATTTTACATCATCCTATTCTTTTGTCAACCAAGCAGTTCGTTGACGACAATTAGTTTGCGTATCATGTCGCATGGTGAACCAGCTGTACAGTGGTAGCAGGACATATCTCAAATCCAATTGTTATTGCCCAGACAGCTACTGATCTAAACTCAGTTCTTCACAGTCAATGCAAGCATTAACATTACAAGGTAACATTACCATTTACTTGATCAGTTCTTTAAATGCCTGTATTCAGGTATACGCATGTTTTCCCAAATTTAGAGCTCCAATTGTAAGTTCAATTTAATTTTGTTTACTTTCAAATGAACATCACAGTGCGTTCTGCTATTGGATGTAGAACGTAACAACACCACAATATCTTCTCCTATTGGATGGTGAACGTAGCAACACTAAAATACGTTCTGCTATTGGATGGTGAACGTAGCAACACCACAATACGTTCTGCTATTAGATGTTGAATGTAGCAACACCACAATACGTTCTGCTATTGGATGGTGAACGTAGCAACACCACAATACGTTCTGCTATTGGATGGTGAACGTAGCAACACCACAATACGTTCTGCTATTGAATGTTGAACGTAGCAACACCACAATACGTTCTGCTATTGAATGTTGAACGTAGCAACACCACAATACGTTCTGCTATTGGATGGTGAACGTAGCAACACCACAATACGTTCTGCTATTAGATGTTGAATGTAGCAACACCACAATACGTTCTGCTATTGGATGGTGAACGTAGCAACACCACAATACGTTCTGCTATTGGATGGTGAACGTAGCAACACCACAATACATTCTGCTATTGGATGGTGAACGTAGCAACACCACAATACGTTCTGCTATTGGATGGTGAACGTAGCAACACCACAATACGTTCTGCTATTAGATGTTGAATGTAGCAACACCACAATACGTTCTGCTATTGGATGGTGAACGTAGCAACACCACAATACGTTCTGCTATTAGATGTTGAATGTAGCAACACCACAATACGTTCTGCTATTGGATGGTGAACGTAGCAACACCACAATACGTTCTGCTATTAGATGTTGAATGTAGCAACACCACAATACGGTCTGCTATTAGATGTTGAATGTAGCAACACCACAATACGTTCTGCTATTAGATGTTGAATGTAGCAACACCACAATACGTTCTGCTATTGGATGGTGAACGTAGCAACACCACAATACGTTCTGCTATTAGATGTTGAATGTAGCAACACCACAATACCTTCTGCTATTAGATGTTGAATGTAGCAACACCACAATACCTTCTGCTATTAGATGTTGAATGTAGCAACACCACAATACGTTCTGCTATTGGATGGTGAACGTAGCAACACCACAATACGTTCCGCTATTAGATGTTGAATGTAGCAACACCACAATACGTTCTGCTATTGAATGTTGAACGTAGCAACACCACAATACGTTCTGCTATTGAATGTTGAATGTAGCAACACCACAATACGTTCTGCTATTGAATGTTGAACGTAGCAACACCACAATACGTTCTGCTATAAGATGTTGAACGTAGCAACACCACAATACGTTCTGCTATTGGATGGTGAACGTAGCAACACCACAATACGTTCTGCTATTAGATGTTGAATGTAGCAACACCACAATACGTTCTGCTATTAGATGTTGAATGTAGCACCACAATACGTTCTGCTATTGGATGGTGAACGTAGCAACACCACAATACGTTCTGCTATTAGATGTTGAATGTAGCAACACCACAATACCTTCTGCTATTAGATGTTGAATGTAGCAACACCACAATACGTTCTGCTATTGGATGGTGAACGTAGCAACACCACAATACGTTCTGCTATTAGAATGTAGCAACACCACAATACCTTCTGCTATTAGATGTTGAATGTAGCAACACCACAATACCTTCTGCTGTTAGATGTTGAATGTAGCAACACCACAATACGCTCTGCTATTGGATGGTGAACGTAGCAACACCACAATACGTTCCGCTATTAGATGTTGAATGTAGCAACACCACAATACGTTCTGCTATTGAATGTTGAACGTAGCAACACCACAATACGTTCTGCTATTAGATGTTGAATGTAGCAACACCACAATACGTTCTGCTATTGAATGTTGAACGTAGCAACACCACAATACGTTCTGCTATTGGATGTTGAATGTAGCAACACCACAATACCTTCTGCTATTAGATGTTGAACGTAGCAACACCACAATACGTGCTGCTATTGGTTGTTGAATGTAGCAACACCACAATACGTTCTGCTATTGAATGTTTAACGTAGCAACACCACAATACCTTCTGCTATTGGATGTTGAATGTAGCAACACCACAATACGTTCTGCTATTGAATGTTGAATGTAGCAACACCACAATACGTTTTGCTATTAGATGTTGAATGTAGCAACACCACAATACGTTCTGCTATTAGATGTTGAATGTAGCAACACCACAATACGTTCTGCTATTAGATGTTGAATGTAGCAACACCACAATACGTTCTGCTATTAGATGTTGAATGTAGCAACACCACAATACGTTCTGCTATTAGATGTTGAATGTAGCAACACCACAATACGTTCTGCTATTAGATGTTGAACGTAGCAACACCACAATACCTTCTGCTATTGGATGTTGAATGTAGCAACACCACAATATCTTCTGCTATTAGATGTTGAATGTAGCAACACCACAATACGTTCTGCTATTAGATGTTGAATGTAGCAACACCACAATACGTTCTGCTATTAGATGTTGAATGTAGCAACACCACAATACGTTCTGCTATTAGATGTTGAATGTAGCAACACCACAATACGGTCTGCTATTAGATGTTGAATGTAGCAACACCACAATACGTTCTGCTATTGGATGGTGAACGTAGCAACACCATAATACGTTCTGCTATTAGATGTTGAATGTAGCAACACCACAATACGTTCTGCTATTAGATGTTGAATGTAGCAACACCACAATACGTTCTGCTATTAGATGTTGAATGTAGCAACACCACAATACGTTCTGCTATTGGATGGTGAACGTAGCAACACCGCAATATCTTCTGCTTTAGATGTTAAAGGTAGCAACTTCATAATATCTTCTGCTATTAGTTGTTGAACGTAGCAACCCTACAATACTTACTCCTAATGAATGGTGAACGTAACAATGGCACAATACCTTCACCAAGTCTGCAAAACACCGACCATTGTTGTTTCCGAGGTGAAGCAGGGTCTCAGAAATCAGTGTTTTATTATAAACATCAATATCGTCATTGAAATATAAAATTTAACACAATTAGAAGTGAAAACTTGATTAGAAATATTGAAGGGAACGTAATAAGGAGAATTTGAGAGACCAATTAGAAACATTATTGAATGAAGATAGACGGAAACGTAGGGTTGTGCAGACAAATGAAGAAATGAGTAGATATAAAAAGAAATATTAAAGAAAATTTAGATGAAAACAGATGAAAATCAGATATGGATAATCGATAAAATTTTGGAGGAATAAAATCAGAGCAGCCGACCCAAGTACAGTGTGAATGGGAGTAAGGTTGTTTGAGAAAATGAAAACCTTTAGTTGGGTAAGAAATTGTTGCGTTTAGGAAAAGTTAAAATATAAAGGTCCCTCCTTTTCATTCCTTGACCTCGATGTTTTGCTCACATTTCGCATAGAAAACATCGTTGTTTCATAAGTCTAACAAGATTTACTTTCGATTAATGAAATTCCAGAAAAATGCAGCTCCCATTATTGCTTTACAACAATTTGACTTTATTTCAAACCTTTACTTGGCGGTGCTGCCGATCAGCAACAATTACCCACAATTACCAAAAAAAATGTGCACAAACTTTTCCATGTTTTTTAAAGGATTATTTAGATTTTATGGAATAAGAGCAAACAACTGAGTTGAATTCTCTTTTTCTTTGATTTCTTTGCAGCAAACCTTTAACATGCATTTACATAAATTGAAGTTTTACAATTCTAAAACCAGAGTTTTCTGGCTCTTGCATCTTGAGGTGGAAAAATTTTATCTTCAGAGAAGATTGAAAAAGACAAGCGGTCGCTTCAGCTGCCCGACCAAACTTTACTACCTTTTTGTGGTTGTGTTTTGAGTTAGTGGAATCAGTCATAGTAATGTGGTCGCTTTGAAGTCAGTCAGCTTTTTGAACTTTTGACATTGTGCACTGAATCGTTTAAATTAGACTCGTTCTTAAGTTCAGAGACATGTACGGACGACAGAATTATAATCATGAAAATTACCAAGGTTCACAACAAAATGCAGAGTTTCGAAGAAGCTTCATTAAATTCACACAGAAGTCATTTTGTATCCTACCTCCTTTATCATCGACCAACCAAGAAAAGTACCCTTTATCAAATATTTGGAGAATTTTACATACTAGAAATAAAATCGTTTTTCATCTCCTTGCATCATGGCCTTGTGTTTCACCTTCAATTTAGCTTCTTTCAACTCTTCAGTTTCCGCAACTGTCGGACGTTAGTCTTTGCTAATCGCTATCAAACTCACCCAACAAAATGTGATTAAAAATAACGTTGCGATATTTCCCTTCCCTCGCCCCACTCCCTTCGCTTCATGTGCCCAATGGATTTCAAGTTGAGCTGCGTTATTTATCACTGGATAGATTCATCAAATCATAAATATAGGTCACTGCAATGTAACTCTAAAGTTTTAAAACACAAACACAGCTTGATATATTTGAAAAACTGCACTTCATTGGACGGCCATTGTCATGTTACAACAACGAATTTTACTCTTCTCAGCACTTCATTGAAATGAAACAGAGTGCGGAGATTTCACAAGGGATCCATTTTATTGTCTTCATGCGCATATACTCATAGCCTTTGTCAATTGATCAATGCCTAAAGCAGTCTCGTGGTGATAGAAATTAATATTAAAATCTCGCGGCATGCCATTGAAGTACACGATTTTCGTTACTGTGAGCTTCGTATAATGTTACGATCAATTTATATCATCAATGTTTACATATCTTGGCTCTCGCCCACCTCTACGTCATCTGAGGGTAGGAAAATAGGCACGGCTTCGCAAAGAGGAACATTTCCAAATGGAAACAGCATGCGATTTTCATACGGATACACGAAATGGCAAAATTATGAATGACTTATTCATACTGAATGGTTCATTTCTTTGCTAAATGTATGAAATGTTGTTTCTTTGCAGTCGTTGTTTGATATTTATAACAGACAGCAGACTTTGTCCTCGAGCATTTTGCTTTTTGTCAGCGAAGAGTTTTTTCTCGTGATCAACTTTTTTACTTCATTATGTCATTGGGCGACGAGAAAGAATCATTAACAATGATCATGCATGGTGATGAAACAAAAGGTTCTTTTTCTTCTGATGTTATGTTGTTTGTTGACGTTCAATGTCGATGACAGCTAAGAAACATTTGTAAATATTACACAATTTTGTCAACAAACGTGCTGCCTTGTCACACATGCAAGTTAATTGCAGATATAAAGCAAGTTGTGGCTGTTATGCTATAAAGTGTGATGGTCAATTGATCATCACACGTATTTGATTTGGTTTTTTTTAGTTGATCATCAGTCTTTCTTTGATTCTCCTATAGTTTAATCTTTTCTTCAACGAAAAGTAATGAAATGGATCTCTTGTTAAGTTTCTCAGACCAAGAGAAATTCGGTTGACCAGCATATGCAAAATCGATGATATTCGTTAATACTTCATACAATACATTATACAAGTATATCTGTATACACTCAGTTGAGTACATAGCTACAACTTATACATCCGCTGTAGTCATTGCAATAAATAGTTCGACTCATACTGCGTTATTTGAAAGCGGTATCAGTTCGGTCTGCACGACTTTAAATTATTGTTTGTTGATTATTTGCATTTTCTTTTCAAGTTCACATCGTCAACGTGGCATGGACTGTATCCATTGTATTGAAACTTTAATTAATGAGAAAAACTGTTATCGTCTTGATCAAAATTCATCACTTTTTTTTAAGCACACGCGGAATTTGATTTTCCCAGCATGAGATGGCTATTCGGCTCGCTTTTTTGTAAAGAATAATACATACGATATTAAATGTCTTTTTTTTGTCTCTTGGCTCTTTCGCATAGCATTCACACATAACTAGAAAGGTTCTTTGTAGTTTACAGATGTACAAAGTTGGATTCTAATCTTCAAGTTTTTCTTTACAGAAAGGAAATTCTTGCACACTCGAGTCGTGTGTCTATACATCCTGAAGTGAAAGCAATCATTATAGGCTATGTATATTGTTGTGTTTACGTATTCAAGACAGTTCTCACAAAGATCTTTTATGTAGCTATCACACGTCGAAGATTTTCGACTTCAAGTTTCTCTTTCAATTTCTCTATCAATGAAAATTTTACGAAATGATTTTGATTTAACTGAAATTCTTATCCGATCTTTGGACCAGCTGCACAGTGCTTAAAAACTAGTTACGTTACACGGTTGAGCATACAATTTTACGTATAGATATAGTGAGGTATGTTGAGTCTTCAAATACAAGTTAATTCTTTAGTAATGATTTGATATTAAGCTACCATAACTGTATATGACGTTTCACTCTATATATGTATGAAGCTCGACACTTGAGATCGGTGAAGATGCGTAGAAATTTCCACAATGAAGACTGTCGTCATCAGACAAGCACTTCATTCATAAAGATGAACGGACAAGGTTAGCAACGCATTGATTTGAAGTGAACTTGAGGGAGGATGTTTGAAAAAAATGCATGGTAACAGAACTTTCATGAAAAATTTGATGACATGAAATTAGTTAAAAAAAAACTATTGTTAAAATTCATAATCTTTTTTTTATTTTCGAAAAAGGTAATTAGCTGTCTATCGATCTTATGTCTAGTCGAAGCAACAGGCAATTTAGTGATCGATAGCTCATCCATTTTGTTCTGAGGTAATTAGCCTGAACAAACTTGAACTGCTTATCTATACTTTATCTTTTGATAGAAAGTCGTTTAATTAATTATTCCTATGATATGACTGCATTCACCTATTATCTCCAAAAGCTCACACGTCATAACTATTCTGAGACGTTGTCTCCACCGATTGTGTGATTTGAAATGTTTTAGAAAAAATCTTGCCATTCACTAAGAAATGCGTTGCTATCTATCAGTGGGAGCGCAATGCGAGTGTGAGTGAAATACGGGGGGTTGGCGATGTTCAGACAGCTCTGTACATCGACACGTTGTGATGATCATATGCCGCAAGAACAGTTCAACTTTTTCCTTAACCTCGTCTGCCATTTACAGCGACCACTTTTATATAATTCTACAGCGATCACAAACGAACTTATGAGAACAAATGCAATGAATAGTCCGATAAACATATACAACGATACGTTCTCGTTGTGAAGGGGGGGAACATTTTGTTTGACGGAAGGAGCTCTACTCAACGACGGGGACAACGTTCCGGTGTACATTGCCCGAGCGCTCGATGTTCTCGTAACGTTCAAGTAATCCGTTCCCGTTGTCTTCACTATGTGCTTCCTAAGTGATGCATTTCCATGTATGGATGTGATGAATTGGCTCGAGATGTTTGCCATCGTCCTTCTTTCCTTTCTCACTAATTCTCCGCAAAATTCTTCGTAGTATTTTTGTCTATCTACTTTGAAACGTGTCAAGCAGTACTATTATGCATGGCTGAACGAACGAATAGTCCAATCGACCATTTCTAAATCGAAATAAAGCAACAACGCACATGTTTTTTAAACTTTTGCTTTCAATGAAATGGAGGAGGGAAAAATCTCAACTCAAGTGAATTTAATCGTTGATATTAATTATCTATGGCTATCATAAGCACATACATATATTCCACAATTATAAAAGTTTATTTTACAATTAAAAGATTCAATTCATAACAAATTAAAAATCTATGTGCTAAAAAAGCAAGATTTTTACACAAACCTTAAAGGTGTGGAATCTCTTACGGAGTATGGACTCTATACGGTTGTATTTATAAAGACGTTCGCGAAAAGTTAACAACGATTTATTTTTAATTATTTCGAATCTTGTCTGCCCAATAAATAATGAAATACCCTGAACAGGTAGCACTCTTAACGGAAGCGATGACCTGTCCTGTACTTAAAGCTATTACAGCAACGTGTCATATAAGGTGAAAACGGCAGTTAGCTATAGAACGAAAGGAGTTATTCCTCATGGTATTTCCTACTAACGAAGAGAATATTTGCGAGTTTCATCCTTTCAGAGTGGATGTGAGCTTGCAGTTCGTGGCTTTCGAGGATTCGGCGAGATTTTTCTGCTTCGGATAAGAAACGGTTCGCTATCGAATTGCGCGATGCTATTGTCCGGGAAGATGAGGTACGCGTGCAGGATAAAACGGTTCTTGCGTTGTCTGTCTGTTGTGCTGAGCTGGTAGAATCTGTTGCCCAACGATGTCAAATAGACCGCATCCAAGTTGACTGAGAAACATTGCTAAGAGGAAAAAAATGTTGTCAGTCTAGATGTCATCAAGAAACATTTCTTGATTCCTCTTTCTTCAAGTGCGATCTTTGATCCCAGGTCTTTCTATTCTGCATCAGTAATATAGACCCAGTTTGAAAGGTCATATGAAGGGTATAACAAAAAGAATTTCACAACACAAATATATGTACATTTTAGATGATCCCTCCCTCTTCCTTACTCTTCCTCTCCTATCCCTCCTTGTTCCTCCTGCATCCTTACTAACATTGTCTATGTTTAAAGCTTCTTTCAATACCGCCGCAATAACTACTCTCACTGTTTTGAATATAAGTGATTTAAGATTAATAATGCAACCCAATACGCTCGCCTTTGCCTCATATAACGTACCATAGTAGGTAAAGTCTTTTCAACAATCACCGGAAGTTGGACATAATTTTGAAAGCCCTTGATTTCGGCGAATCTCTGCACCCAGACTTGTACGTTACACGGTTCGACTTGGAAATTTGAGATCATGTGTATACGACAGTCGACCAATCGTTGCTCCGAAGTTCCTTTTCTTCTCACCTGGGCCTTCTCGTAAAGGTTTTTCAAGTCGATAAACTGAACCAATGCTGATTCAGCTTGCGTAGACTGAACCAATGATGATTCAGCTTGCGTAGACTGAACCAATGATGATTCAGCTTGCGTAGAGGAAGGAGGCGTTAGCTCATTCGGTGCGATCGGGTTGACCTCCTCCTTCAGTTGAGGTAACTCTTGGGGTTGCTGAGGTATTTGCATTGACGTTGGTGACGGAATGATCTCGCTTGCCACTAAAGGGCTCTCCTCGGTAAACAGGGTATCTAAATGGATCGGAGGGAACAAGGATACGGGAGATTCACAAGGAGATGGGCTGCTAGGGTACATCTCATTGAAGACTGGCTGTTTGGGTACTGTTGACAGCGTACACTCAATTGGACTTGTGTATCCTTCGGGTTCTAGAAGATAATAAAGTTTTATTACATGTTTGTAGGTTTAGAAAGTGCAGGTTAGTGGAGTCCGAAGAAGGACTGTTGGTGTCGACTGACGTCTGGACAATCTTAGTCATCTTCAGAGTCAATCTTCATAATCATGTTCGCAATGTTACGGTCAGAAATATTTTACTATAAAGACGCCATTTTCACTTCATTGAAAAACTCGCTCCGCCGTGCTAGCCTTTCTACAATGATTTTGCTTTTAGTCAACCAACATGAGCTTCCCACTTGCATGTCTATCCATTTGCATCCTTTTATCCTATTTGTATCCTTTTATCCCATTTTACTATTTTTGTAGTGTAAATGTGCTACAGGATGCCTGCCATGAATAGTAATTAAATAGTACATCCAGCCACATATTTGTACTACCTGCAAGCCCGAACCTATAACCCTATTCCTAATGATAACCTAGCCTGATAGTTATTGGCAGTCTTTGCGACATGGTATTCTGTAATTGGGCCAAAATGTCTATGAATATATAGCGTGGCAGCTGTTAATAAATTTTCACTCGAAATATTGGTTTCTTTTAATTTCTAAATGAAAATGCATTGAAAAAATAACATTTTCCACTTCATGTCGAAAATTCCAATCTAAGACATACTTCGCGTTCGTCTGAAATCTTCATGAGAGAATGAATTGATTTCTAGTGTTTATGTCATAAAAATACCATTTCTTTGTACTTCTATAAGAGCTCGTTAATTAAGTATTTCCGATACAACGTATACTATTAAGAATTCAACTTTTTGCTTTGCGTGGTTCAACATGCGATTCAAGTCACGAATACGACAGTTTTGTCAATCAGTAATTGGCCTTATAAACGAAATTTCACGTCAAATTTTACTGCAAATCAAATATAATGGTTACGCGCTGTGTTTAAGTCAAAACGAATAATCATATGACAATCATTATAATATGCGTTTGATTGAGACAAACTCATTGATAAGTCATACACATCCCTGCTCAACTTTTCAGTGTCTAAATCCAAGCTGAGTATGGAAACTCTTTATAGAAACATCGTTTTATATGGCAGATTTTGGGGAATGGATCTAAAGGGGAGATCATTTTTCTTTCTTTAAAATTCACGTCAACAATTTGTAACCTGAAGGATGTCGAGATAAGTGACGAAAACGTTGAAAGTAACCAGTCGTGTGTAAAATTAGAGGCTTTTTTTCATGCTGAGTCTTACTTACACCGACTCCGCGAGAGTATGTATCAACAATGACATGGTGTTGTTGCCAAAAAACTTGACGAATTATGGTAATTTTTGATCTTTGATAAGAACACGATTGTTTACAGTTTCTCCATCGTACTGAAACTTCCTTGGCAAAGTATTTTCGCCCACACCTCGACGAAAATTAGTTCCCAAGTTTATTTTAAGTGATCAGATTCTTTATTTATGAGAATCACTGTAAATTAGTTTAACTGATAAATCAGTTTGGAATTCGATTGTACTCAACAATGTCAAGCGTATCCTACGCTAACCTTCATCTTCATAATACTTTGTTTCTTCTTTACTATAATTTGACTTAAGCGTATGGCTCGCTACTACATGTGTATATATGGGTTGTACGCTAGAAATAATCGTGTTTCACATAATTCCACTGCTTAACGCAGTGGTTAGCGTGCCATCTTTGTCTAAATGCTCATCCAGATAGCGTAGAAAGCGCACACACAAGAAGCATATTGTACATATACAGCTTATTTTGTACTGCTTTACTTCAACAGTATTCATCCCAGAGATTCGTTCACCAAAAATGAGCTCATATTCTACCGAAAGCCTCTCGTCAAAAGCTCCGAGCCTCTACTTTCATTACACACACTCAGCTTCCTCGGGGATTTTTACAAAAACAAAGTGAAGAGCCCGATTTCAGTAAAGACCAGGTTTCATTCATTTTTCGACACTTTCACGAGAAGTCATTAAGTTTTATTTACAGATCGGTGTCTTATGTTCTGCATGTATTTACTTTGTGCCATCACGTCATGATACTCAAACACTTTGCCCGAGAATTGTTTCAAAAACAATGGAACGATAATCGACACAAGATAAAGTACTTTTTTTCCAAAGTGACTGTTTCAAGACTGAAAGACTAATGCTCATTTGGTGATTGCGCAAAGTCTTGTCTACTTTGAAAGCAATTTGAGGGCTTTCGTTTTGTCGACCTGGAATTTCTTCCGTATTTGTTTGATCAACACTGAGAAATTCTTTCTTTTCGAGAGAATTCATCCCACCTTCGAGGGCGGTTACAAGGTTGTTTTACCTCAAATGGCATACCGTGCATATTCTTAAAATTAGGACTAAATATATAGAACTAAACACTTCTCAATATGTCAAGGTTTTTGTCTTGACATACAATTTTCCTGTATAACTCATGCATAAAATATCAAGACAAATGTGAAATTAGTCCTCAAGTGTTTTTTAAATACACGTCTCTGGTTTATGTTATCAGAATGGTGTCTCGAAATGATTAGCAACCTCTAATTTCGACTTCCCACATCCGTGGGGACATTTTTCTTATGTACGAGCTCTTCCTGGCTATTTGTTTTTTATGCCCATTTCGAAAAATCGCGATGTTTTCATCGCACCCGTCTGCATTTAAAATCTTAAAAAAAGTAATTACACATTAAATGCTTCAACGAGCCTCTTTTGTTCTGCGCGTCGTACGATCGACAATCCCGAGCTTAAACACCAACTGTGCTACAGATCTTAGTGATAACTAGTTCGCACAAAAACTTGTTTCCGACAGTTTAATTGTACGATAGAAATGCAAAGTGTTTCTAAAATACACAAGTCACCCACCTTCGTCATAATCGAAAAAGTCCACAAGCGGGATATCTATTGATTCCTCGCTATCATCTTCGGAACATGTCCTCTCCAATCTGTCGCTGAACTCTCGACTGGTTAGCTTCATAAATGTCTCGTAAAGAAATTGCTCATCTTCAGGGCTTAAGGGGCCGAAATCCATATTTTCATTCACACTCCTGCAAATATGAATTTGATTCGAATTGACATAAGTTTTTTTACGGAGCTCAGTCTGGAATTTGGATTACGGTAAACGGTCTGTTTAGCTCGGAGAATGACGAAGTTTCGTCCACTTGAGATAGAAGATCATTTATTATAAGTTCATGCATAATAATCAAAGATAAAGCTATACATATCGTTATGTAGCCAAGACTACCTTCTGCCTCATTTCTTCACCCGACTCGCATCGGTTTCTTACGTTTTACATCAAGTCATTAACTACTGCACACACATACACACACGTTTTTATCAAATATGTTCATCCCGGGATTATATAAGCCCATGGACGGTGTTTTGCTCACAAATGCGAACGACAAGGTTCAAATGGTAGAGATAAAGCCAATACAACCTGCTGTGAGCCCTGTCTTTCATAGTTGTAAAAACACTTTCAGCTACTAATTTAAGACCATGCTGATTTGGCGTACGAAACATGACATCATGCACAGTTTTGTACACATTCATCACCTGTCGAGTTCGTTTCACAAGATGAGAACAGCAAAGGCAGATAAGAGGCACTGCTTGTTTAGTCAATGTGGCTTTTAACACTTGGCTCCTCCAATAATCGTTGCAACAAAGGCATGCAATTGCTCTGCATAAGAAAGCTTATTAAAATTCCTGACATCGTCAAACAAACTAAAACAGGACGTCGAAAAAAATACAAGGCGTGCAGAAACATTACCCACACAAAATTGTTTGTCTCGAAAAAAAAGATCAAGTCTTACTTTCAAAATGTAGCGCCTGCCAATTTTCCTGTTTTCTTATGACCTCTCACACCTCTTTTGTTGGGCCGTCTCCTACGACACTGACATGCTGAAACCCACGCTTCACTCTATTAAAGACGCCACGTCCAGTGTCGACTTCCTTTACGTAGCAACTCTTGATGTTTTTTCATCGCTCCGTCCCAGAATTCCACACGATGCGGTTCATCGACTCTGCATCATGTTAAAACACGAGACTGCTAGATGACAATTATCTCATCAGACTTCGATTATGAAATAATTCGCTTTTTTGTCATTAGTTGGCTACACTGACGAACGTTTAGTTCATAGTTTGTACTGTGTACAGATTGACCTTCACCCTTTGTTATGCAGCCAATACTACCCAACTGATCATCTTTACCTACATAATTTACTCTGTGCAAAGCTAGCTCTCGTTCTTCATTGTGCATTCTTCGCCACCATGTAGACTAAAATTATGGAATTTACAAATGTAGCTCGTTAACAGGATTCTGATATTTTTCTCTGTCTTCACATACTTTGCTATGTTTCGATAATTTCTTAAAGAAGCATATTGCATATTCATCAAGAGCGTTATTTCCAAGTAAATGTAATTTGTTTGACAAATAAATCGCAGCATGGCATCAAAAAATTGCATAAGTTAATATTTGTATATGAAAACCTCTTTAATTAGAACTGGCGACGCTCGAATTGTCATCGTGCTTTCAAAAGGTAAAATAGCGATCGGCTTTGGAAGATCTTTTATCAGATTTCTATACGGTTATTCGGTTATTCTTAGGTTATAGTGTCTCGCGAAAAATTGATGACCTTGCCTAAAGGACGATGAAGCTAGAAAGGGGTCTTCATTGTCGCTGTGACATTAGAGATCACGAAGCATCGAGTTACCCAGCTCTTTGTTCTTGTGTGTGTGTTTCTGTGAAATCACAAATTTTCACCTAAAGTGCTTTCCGGGTGATATGGACTCGTCAGATGCATTTGTCGGTGATCAAAATAAAGAGTCGTTGTCAAGTGCCTTACAAGGGCACTTCAAAATTGTCGTGTCAGACATTTTCATTTTTATGAACATCTGAAAACAATCGATGATAAGTTTCTTTGTGCGAGGAAGAATATTAAATTATGCTAAGCACATTCCAATTTGTAAAAAACGCGAGAGGTTTCGTTGTGTGCGCAAGTAAAGTTATTCCTAACGATATGTGTGTATGGATGGTGCAGTATCCTTTCAATTAAGCTATTGGGGTGTACAATTTTATTTTGAAAAGTCCATACCTTATCAGATTGAGCAAGTGCTTTTCACATTGCAAACTTTGCTGAGTAACTTTGGCGTGTTGATCGAGTTGCTAATCGAGTTCTGTTTAGTTCTCTTGGCATTTGAATAAAGGTGCAAGGGATTGTTTGCTGTGGATAATAAAGAGCTTTTTAGGTGACATACTGAACATAATTGAGTTCTGTTCAGTTCTCTTGGTCTTTGAATTAAGGTGTAAGGGATTGTTTGCTGTGGATAATGAAGAGCTTTTTATGGTGACATATTGAACATAATTGAGTTCTGTTCAGTTCTCTTGGTCTGTGAATAAAGGTGCAAGGGATTGTTTGCTATGGTTAATAAAGAGCTTTTTAGGTGACATATTGAACATTTTCATTATTCCATACACAATGGAGTCTGCACAAACCAATCGTTGGAGGGATTTAAATTTCACTGCGCAAACATATCACCATGATGTCGAAAATACCTCTTTGAAAATAGGCAGGCCTGTTTTGACTCTGACGGACTTAGTTCGGGAGAACTGACCAAACGAGCTTCTTATGACAATGCATGCGATGAAATAGTGAACTGATAACTTTCTTCTCGAACTCTTGAAAACTTCATGAGCACACTGAGGAATTTAATTTTTGTCTTGAGGCTGCAAGGCTCAATGCAGCATACTTTCTCATCATCGACAGGAAGTTGTATTGAAAGTAAATATGTTGTATATCAACAATGCTCTACCTCCGATTTCCTCAAATGCTCCATCGCCGATTTCCTCAAATGCTCTACCTTCGATTTCCTCAAAAGAAGCTTAACATTTGGTCTGTAGAGGAGGTGTTTTTGCAAAAAACCAACGTTAAGGAAATGGCAGAGACTTCAAAACTTTTGAAAGTCGAGAAGCATGTTCTAATTTTGTCAAAAATTACAATCGACCAACATTTGCCTCTCTAGCAGCCTCTTTTATCGTATTGCTACCATCTCCACTGTTCATTATCATCAACGTGTAATTCATACAATGCCAATCTTTTTAATAAACACGACACAAAAAAGTGTACAATCCACTTAGCTGCAGGGAGCCGAGATGCTGAAGGAAGACTATTTTAATACGAAAAAGTAAATAATCCTTTCTTTTGCTGTCAAACGTTTCATTGTTAGTGCACAGCACCGGTTTGTGAGTGCATAATAAAGCTCGTGTGTGGGGGAGGGCAGGGTGGAAACACATACAAACACAAACACCATCATTAGATATAATAAACACTATCCTTAAAATACAAGACAAACGATTCCACTATAAAGCTTGCTTTAATATTACAAGAGAAACTTTAATGACTAGTTATGTATAAAATGTTAAACTTACGCACAACACCAGTATGAGATGCACAGAAACAGCATGATCTACTAATAGTCAATCTCATACTTTGCGTAAATCGTGCATGCAATAAAGCTTTTAAGGCCACACTTGTGAGATTATGAAAAAAGAAGATTAGATAGTCTGCTAAACGTAATCGAGTAAGCATGGCAAATCTCTCGTCTTGATTTGTAATGAGGTCAAATCAATAAAGAACAGGTGCGCTTAGCGTACGTCCTAAGAGCCGATGAAAGATGAATGAAGCAAATCTGAAAGGGGAGGGGGTTAGTTCCGCACCTTGTTAAACTCTATGTTTTATCTATGCACGTTCAGTAGATTCAGCAGATCGTGAAAAGACTAAATCCATAGATATTTTTCATGTCTTTCGAGTCGTCAATTTTAACGATCGTTATTTCAAACCTTTGTGTCTACCATAATGTGATTGTCTACATTTGTGTCTACCTTTTCATACGACAAAATCCTCATTTTGTTGAACACGACATTTGAAAAATTAGTCATTTCATAGTTGAAAGTAGGCAATGTAATCGAAGTAATTGAAGGTAGTCAATTCACGCATTGCTATGTGGTAAATCAAGGCAGTGACGAGCATGCCTTTGGTCATTTTTTCCGATGTAATGGCGTCGAGATCATTTGACTAAATGTTTGAACTAATTGAACTATTTTTTATCATCATAAGCACCAACCATATATTTTTTGACCGTTGGTGTTGGTTGCGCAAAGACAAGGGTTTAATAATACCAAACAAGCACAAAGAAATCTATGACATGACGTGTTTTTATGATATCGTCTTTTATGCAATGACAACTTTTTTTAAATGCTATTCTTCATAAAATGACAAGTTTTTCAAATGTCGTCTCCCATAAACAAGAAAGACGAAACAGCTGACACAACTGTTGAAAAGACGACTATTCTATTTGAGTACATTGACTACATTCGATTACGACTCCTAGGAAATGAAGACTTTTTAAAATGATTACTCTCAATGAAATAGGTAGCCAACCAGAAAAGAAAAAGATACACAAAAAGATAGATACAAAGGTAGACACGAAGGTAGAAAAGAAATTGACACAAATGTTGAAAAGACGAAACATCAGATGTTGTATTTAATAAAACGAGGACTTTATCCTATGAAAAAGTATACACAAAGGTAGACAAGAAGGTAGAAAGGGAAAACATTTAAAAATGTTGTCATTGCATAAAAGACGATATCATAAAAAGACGTCATTTCATAGGTTTCTTTGTCCTTGTTTGGTATTATTAAACACTTGTCTTGCGCAACCAACACCAACGGTCAAAAAAAATATGGTTGGTGCGTATGATGATAAAAAATAGTTCAATTAGTTCAAACATTTAGTCAAATGATCTCGACGCCATTACATCGGAAAAAATGACCAAAGACATGCTCGTCACTGCCCTGATTTACCACATAGCAATGCGTGAATTGACTACCTGCAATTACTTCGATTACATTGCCTACTTTCGACTATGAAATGACTAATTTTTCAAATGTCGTGTTCAACAAAATGAGGATTTTGTCGTATGAAAAGGTAGACACAAAGGTTTGAAATGACGATCGTTAAAATTGACGACGGGAAAGGCAAGAAAAAATATCTATGGATTTAGTCTTTTCACGATACTCTTCAATGGACAAAATTGATTAAGGACATGCGCGTCATGACCCGAATGCACCACATGTCAATGGATGCCATTGGACTTACTTTGTTCCTCTTGTTTCCTCATAGTAAAACATTTATTGCTTTGAGTTCGATCAGGAAGCCCTTGCCTTTAGAGTTCTACTATTGCTATGATGACGTCGAAGGCATATTTTCAAACACGTTGTAAATCAAAGCCTTATGTAATGAAAGGCAATGAATGCTGTTCTGTCGAAACACTTGATATGTTTTCATTGGTATCATGTCTCTCTCGCTAGGCTGAGCGGTACAGTTGACAGATTGGTAATCACTCCATCTCGTGTTCAAGACCGTTTCGTTCTCTTTAGCTTTTTAGAGTTGGATAATACGTAAATAACTAAGGGTAAAGTCATGGCTAATGTAGTTGCACCTTCTAAGGTTCGAAACCATCTTGTGTATTCTATATTTCTACTTCAAAGTTAAAAAAAGGGGCAAATATGCCAAGAAACTGTTAGTACTCGTTGTTGAGCTTCTGGCTTGACAGGCTCTGTCTGACCTCCAATGCACGAGGTCCTTGGTTCGTCCCGGTGTCTTTGTGAGTTCGGGTTGTAGATTGAGGATTGAGTGCAGGGTTGAGGTTAGGAGGGGGTGTGAAAGGGCGTTCGGTTTGCCCTCTGTTTCCTGACTGTTAAAAAATGACTTCCTTCGGGAAGTCATAGAAAAATTTGATCAAAAGACTTAGTTTTTTTAGGGCAAAATTTTTGCAACAGATCCTCTTTCCTTTTTTTTCTGAATATACTAAGTGTCGCATACCATTGTCGAAAAATCAACAATAGAATTACCTTTTGTACACCTTGTGTACATTATTTTCTGCCCTTGCTGTTCTTGATATTCACGGTACTCGTTCATTGCAAGTCTTATGCTCAACACACCAAGCCCAACAACAACCAACTGACCCTCGAAGGATTCGAACGTCACATCACAACCTGAGAAACCTCACTCTACACACTCGACCAGTGAGTGCGTTGAAGACAGATGGAAAATTTAATGTACTTATGATATTGTGTTTAAAGTAATAATAAAAAAAAATACAAAATCAAGGAAATAAACCAAACATCAGTCGCATCGACTTTTAAACCATTAACATCTTCACAACAGCAAACCAATAAAGATAAATCGAAAAAGTACTTCCGTCTCGGAAATAATCATTTAGAGTCAGTCGGATCACACGACAATGTAAATAGTACACCAATATTGCCCACGTAGCATTTTTTAAAACGGTGTTAGTACTTAGATTTCTGGTTAGCACTATTTTCCACCCAGCAAACCGCCCTTTACTTTGAAATATAATATTTTACACAATATAATATTTTACGCAATCTAATATTTTACACAATATAATATTTTACACAATCTAATATTTTACACAATATAATATTTTATATAATATTTTACACAATCGTCGAAAAACGACATTTTCCAGCCTGGATTATAAGTTTATAACTTAAGGTGGTTGCATGAAAATTTATACTGCAACATTTATCTCTATATATTTTCATATGTTGATATTAAAAACTGTATTATAAAAAGATAAAATTACTCGCCATCTTAAAACGACCTAGCACCAGTGCATGCATGGTTTCCTTTTAGCTTTTGGTTCTTTCCCATTAGCCGCCATCTTTAATTTATTTCCGATTGTGTAAAGTAAAGGGCGGTTTGCTGGGTGGAAAATAGTGCTAACCTAGATTTCTTTCAGCAACTGGTATTAATAGTTGTTCAAAAACTGATTTCCTGAATTGCTCTTGTGCATTTTGTGTTGCAACGGTCTCTCGAACGATGTCGAATATGCATGGCGTTGGTTTAGACAGCTGATAGCTTTTTTGAAAGGATGGAGAGGCGAGTTAAATGAAACGAGCTTTTTCGCATGAATGCGTGACGTCAGTCAGTTAGTCCGTCTGCTTCTCTGTAAGAGCGTATACACCATAACATACTGTTTGTTGGCTTCTTTGTTGTTTAGATGTTCCGCTCTGCGGTGTAGGAATGCTAAACTAAAACTTGAGAAATATTCAAGTTTAGGACAAAACATCTTTATTTTCGTTAGCAAATTTCACGGTAGCTTTCATAATGGCGTTCTGGTATGTTGTGTTCCGTTGACACTCGATGTGATAGCTTGTACCCACGACTTTCAAATCCATATTCACACTGCACCATATTCCCATAAATCTTTTCCGATAAACGTTATGAGCATACATTGATAACTTTCAATGTTGGCGTCGAGTTTTCGTCAAGAATTGCGTCCAAACACTTCACATGGTGCTTTCTCCTCCGCGTGGATTCTCAACAACCCTATATATCCTCACAAATATCGATAAATGATTCCTCTTGTTCTGTCCAAATCATCCCCGAGAAGTCTGCAAAATGACATCCAATCTTTTCCTTTCTTCTTAATTGTGTACTTCGATTTCTCACTCAAAAATACGTTGCTGTACTTCTTTTCATGGACACATTTCACGTTAACAGTTTATGCTTTAGAGTTAGTAATGTAAACATACATAAGCGCAGATAATCCCATACGGGACATTATTTGCCAAAGTATTAATGATTTAGAGCTGTGGTTTAAAAATTGAATGGTTTGTAATGAAGTATCGATATTGTTTTGTCCATTAATTTTCAATAGACGGAAGATATGATAAGGTTTTCCTTTTATAAGTTCTACCATCACAATGAAGTTACTAAAGCGCTATTGTTCTTCTGTAAGTCTATTGTCGATGTGCATGATGTATGAAAAAATAAAACCTTTAGAAAAAAAAACTATGGTGAAATTTCAATGCCTATATGATTATATGATAAACTCACTGTTGCATTCTGGGAATGCTTTGCTTTTAGGACTTACGTCAATTCTCAGGAGCAGAACAGCTTTTGTGCTAGTAACAAAAACTTGTAAAAATATATGTTTCACGTATTTCTTAATTAACATGTGTCAGTGTAGGTAGTGATGAATGAACGAAAGAGAACAAGAACAGTTTTACACTACCTAAACTATAAACTAACATAACGTGTGTCAGTGTAGGTAATGATGATTTGGTATATAGAAACATGTATTTTTGACAAGCCACGAGAAAACAGTGTCAACCGTAAAATATTATAATCACGTGGTCATCATCCTTTATTTCTGTCGAAGAAGCTGAAAATGGTACTAGTAAAAAAAAAGAAGAAACAATTCTATGCCTGTCGTTGATAAAGCTACTGCGCATAAGTGCATAACTGTCTTGCCTATACAAGAAGTAAACAGAAAGAAAGAATTTGCCGTACAATGTATTATGGAACTTCTTTGGCTTTCAAAATGACTTGTCTGGCTTTCCATGTAAACAGAATGACTTTGTTTCCCGACGATGTGGTCAAGTTTTTTTTTCATTTGTCTATATCTAAGCTTGACTGGGCCATAATAAAGCATACGTAACTTACAGATAATAATAAAGATCTGTACACGTTTTCTGGTTTATAATATTTCTTGGAAAAAATCGCGGACGGATCTTCAACTTTCAAATATGGAGATTTATCTTAAGACAAAACATCATAGTCAACAAGACAAGGTCGTTCATGGCGTCAAACCTCAAGGCAAAATGGTGTGGAAAAAAACACTGATACGAGATGGCTGCGAACTAACTGTAAATGATCTTATAACATTTTTATTACCTTAGTTCAAACAATCAACAACCAAATATATAATGATATTATTATAACAGTAATAGGGGGCGTCTATTAGAAATAGGGTGTGTATTAGAGGGAGGTGCCTAATACAAACTTATTCTCTAGAGTCTTTCCAAAAGCAATTTGCCATGTTTATTGGGTGATATTTTGTATAATTTGGCAATAAGAAGCTAATTAATTACACCACTACTTTCTACACGGATTCCATCTTTCCAGGATGGCGGTCTCGACTCTTCAGCCGATTGACGGAAACAGGGAAGCACCGTTTTTCCTCTCGCCTGTGCCACAGTTTATTTACACCATGGTATTTGAATTCGTATCGTACCTCTGTGGCGAGATAACTTCACGAGCGACGAGAGAAATAAGAAATGCCGGCATATTTTTCTCACAGACAATTAAATAAAAAAAAGATAAAGATGAAAAAGTATGCTTATTTTACAGTTCTAAGCATATCGTTCCTCAGCCTAGCCCGTGATACCACAAAAAAATAAACAACTGCATTAAATCGAAATGTTGATTCAATCAATTCCATCCTTTGCAAGCAAACGTATTGAAAATACCACATTCTTTCATTGCCCCGGTCCTATTGCTATCCGTGACATTTCTTTCGGAGTTCCTCGTCAACCTTTGAACGATGTCTTCCACTTCAGCAGCGCTTCTTTTAACTTCGTGTCTGCGCTCTCGTGCAATATATTCCTGCTTTGATTTCAAACGCTTTCTTTCTCGTTTTTCGTGCCAGTTTTCCTGGTAGAGACGATTTACAACATCTCGTACCTGCTCTCTGTTGAGTTTTTGATAGCCGAGTAATTTATCGGGATGTCGCTCCTTCGGGTGTGTTATCGTTCCCCAAGGCTTTCGTATGCTGGAACGCGACGAATACATTTTGCCAGTAACTTTCGGATCCAAAAATAAAATTGTCACCGATTTCCGTTGACTTTGTTGTACTCACCGAACAAACTGTTTCATTGGACAGAATCTATAACAATAACAAGGTAAGTGGAAAGACGCAGTTGAAGGATGAAAAATGTGTCCAAGAAGAGTAATGAACTATAATTTTGTGATACTCACTTTTTTCTTTCTAAATTGTGATGAGACTTTACTTTAGAAACGCGGTTCGAATCTTCAATCAAATGTACTTGAGAAACAAAAGCAGTCCCACTTTGATTGAAGAACAAATTATTTGCTTTCTCGGTTTGAAAGACGAGTGTCGAGAAGTGGTAACGATTCTGATGCACAAGCGTTGTCGGCAATTTGTACACAACAATCTCAGTTTCCATGCCAACAGTTTCGCTTTGTCGTCACACCAAAATCGCTGCATGCGAATTTCTCATCTTATATACACCTTACATAGATTGCCTGTGAGGACGGACTCACATTGCTTGCTTAGCTATGTGCATAGTTTGACAGTTTCTAATACGTCCGACCATTTGTTTGTCCGAATTTCGTAATTTAATCTCGTATTTTTGACACGTGTGTCTACCGTCGGAAAGGTGGTTTAGATGTTTCTGTAATCAGATTACCCTTGTGGCCCCAAAGCACAGATCTAATAATACACTAGATAGTGCAACGGCTTACATTTCATAAGTAGTGGAAAATATCTGGTCAAAGCTGATATCTTGCAATTAATTGCAAGTCACGACGGTTACATAAACTGGTTTACTCTATTAATGAAAAAAATCAATGTGACCATAGTTTTTCAAGAAAAAGATAGCAGAATACGCCAATATATCGCCGTAAAATTGATTTCAAGTGTAGCTCGATTTGAAAGCACCAGCAGCGACGAAGGCTTAAGATACTGGAATTTGCACATCTAAATATCGTATCACAGCACAATCTGCCACAAAATGTTCAATCGAACGTCGTAGAATTATCTTCCGATATTTATTGTTAAGTAAAACGAGTTGGAGATAACAGTTTGAAAGATTTTTCATGATTTATATAAAGTATATTGTTCACTGTACATAATTAAATATTGCACTGGATTATTGTACCAGAAATGCATTTTTCTGGTTTTTCTGGTCGGCAAACGAATATAGCTATGTCAAGATGTGAGTAATTAATACGTTCAGAAATTATTTACAGAAAGAATGTGAAGAGTCTACCTCAAAGATTCTATGTCTTGCTTGTCTATGTCTTGCTATGTCTTGCTTGTCTATGTCATAGAGTCTGTCTTGCTTCTTCGGAATTTGTTTTATATTATGAGTCTACCTCTGTTACACCAATTTTTTGTGAAGTATAAAATAGCAGGTCACTTGTGAAACTGTTGATACCACAGGTTGATACAATACTCTGTCCAACACGGGAAAAATATTTACTTGTTAAAGCAAGAGTCACCAGACTTGTAGTATTGACTGTGTTTTACACATATATATAAACAATGTATTGTCATAGTCTAAACCAGTGGGTTATATGGCCACTGCCCACAGTGCTTAATGTAGAGTTATGGTGATGTTATGCTACTGTTTTCAACATTTTTATTGTCTTTTTTACCATTCAGGCATGTATATGCATATAAAACTTTCTACACATTCTTGTTATTGAAAATATCAAACCTAAATTATTTATTCTGAGCAAAATATTTAATTTGTGCTTGTAACATGTGTCAATTTCTGACTGATTTTTGTAATATGCCTGTTCTATTACAATACATCCATAGATCGAGTATGATATCGCTGTATTTGCCACACGAACTAAGCCACACTATGGCAGATTGTGCTGTGATACGATATTTAGATGTGCAAATTCCAGTCTTAAGCCTTCGTCGCTGCTGATGCTTTCAAATCGAGCTACACTTGAAATCAATTTTACGGCGATGTATTGGCGTATTCTGCAATTTTTTTCTTACAAACTATAGTCACAATGATTTATTTCATAAATAGGGCAAAAAAGTTGATGCAACCTCCGCGATTTGCTAATAATAATATTAACTTGGACCACATATTTTCTAATACAACGCCATATTGATTCTCACTACTTTGGGGCTCCGGAAGTAAATTTGCCCGGCTTCAACTTGTAGGTTAGCACTATTTTCCACCCAGCAAACCGCCCTTTACTTTGAAATATAATATTTTACACAATATAATATTTTACACAATCTAATATTTTACACAATATAATATTTTATATAATATTTTACACAATCGTCGAATAACGACATATTTTCCAGCCTGGATTATAAGTTTATAACTTAAGGTGGTTGCATGAAAATTTATACTGCAATATTTATCTGTAAATATTTTCATACGTTGATATTAAAAACTGTATTATAAAAATATAAAATTACTCGCCATCTCAAAACGACCTAGCACCAGTGCATGCATGGTTTCCTTTTAGCTTTTGGTTCTTTCCCATTAGCCGCCATCTTTAATTTATTTCCGATTGTGTAAAATATTATATTTCAAAGTAAAGGGCGGTTTGCTGGGTGGAAAATAGTGCAAACCCAACTTGTATGTCAGTTGCACTATCTAGTGTATTATTAGATCTGTGCCCCAAAGGTATCTGATTATCAGAGGTTATTAGAAGCAACATTTTATTGGTAAGGACCCAAAAGGAGTGTCCGCTTGCGGAAAGTTGTCCGTTTCCTAGTTGAGATTCCCCTGTACCATAATACCCACGTATTGCGGCTATTGCCCTTTACAAATCCCAAAGTTTCACATGTATTAATAGAGAGTATTAGCTTGACGTTAACGGTAAACCGCAAAAAGTCACGCGATCACGGCCTTGTAGTCAACTTTGCGATCAAGGTTTAAATGGCAAGAAAATACGCCAGAAAATTGAAGAATCGATGGGAAGTATCGCCTTCGTCCTCGAACGTTTCGAAGCGAGGCGTCCGGCATATTGTTTGAATACAAAATGCGACATAAATAGCGATAATTTCTACACAAAAATACACATGTTTACCTTTACCTACAACCCGAGAAGTTAGACCACGCGCGAACTAGTGGTCACAACATCTTCGGAGGAAAAACTTAAGTTATTTTGTTGACTACAGCTGAGCTCAGAGAATCCAGCTGCGTGGTCCAACGATCCAGTGCGGTGAATCTACGAGTCGAGAGTAACGTAGAGAATAGACGTAGTCAGAATTACATTACGTAACCGTTATAAATAAACATTATGGTACAGTACCTTGCCGTTTCCTGCGACGTTTTGTCCAGTTCCAAAAGTTGATTCACCTGATCGATTTTCCCTGGTATTGTACTGTAAAATGATTAGCATGTTCGATTTATCGATAATTTCCATGGTACTCTTCAATTTGACGTATACTTCTATCAACGTTTTGTTGAATCATTCATTTCATGGATTTAGAATGTAGTACTAATGATTTAGACTGCGGATTATACGGTTGCAGTCTTTTTGACACATCCTGCATGCAGAACTGTTAACTTAAATAAAAAGCGAAGAGTTAACGTACCTATCCAGAATACATGAAACGAGTAAACTTTCGACCTCTTCTGGCGGAATATTCAGCTCCTTTGTAAAAACCAAAAACAAATGTAATATGACTTAATATGACTTAAAAATGACTTATGACATTATGACATCAAAAATGACTTATGACTTATGACATATGACTTAAAAATTTTACTGCTTAAATTATAGTTTCATTTAACGGAACTTTGAAAATGACAGTGCATTTTCTAAAACAGTTTGTGCATATCTCTTTTCATTCTCGAAATATTGAAGTTTTTGTAATGTGCGATCTATACAATTTTCTAGGTCATTTTGCATAATGAGTCCCTGCAAAGTTTCCAACATCTTTTATATTCAAGTCAACTTTTGGTTGAAATGATCATGAAATTGTTTATACCATTAACTCTTCACAATTATGGGAACTCTGCTCGGTTGAGGTAAGAAAACGGCAAATATACCTGCTATTTTAAATTCTCATTATGAAAAATGACGTAGAAAGTTGTATGGATCGGACATTAAAAAAACTTCAATATTTCGAGAATGAAAAGAGATATGCACGAACTGTTTTAGAAAATACACTGTCGTTTTCAAAGTTCTGTGGAATAAAGTTATAATTTAAGTAGTAAAATTTTCAAGTCAAAAAAGGGATTTCACTATCAACACAGTCGGTCCTCGAGTTGGGTAAGACATTCACTTCGATTTGTTTGATTGAATTGTTAATGTGCTGGATGCGTCTTACCTTAGAGATGAATGGAATGTGAATCCTGGTATACGGTCTAAAATGAATAGAAAGTAAGGTATTGCAAAAGTTTGATGCGATGATTGTAATAAAGATGTTCTAATCAACTTACTTTATCAACTTTATCAGAACTTGAGTTCTTATGTTGCGAAGCAAATCTAGATGTGATAGTCGATAAAAGTTGATAAGAGTGCAAATCAATTGCAACGCGAGCAAAACATCACTCGAAACCTTCAATGTGTTCCCGGATAAACTGATCGTCCATGATGTTTTTCCTTAGGAGGAAGAGATCAAGTTTTGTTAGGAAATTTTAGAATACGCTTGAATTCATTCATAGTCTGTAACGTCCAAACCTATTGGTTCTCAAGATTTTCTCAAATTCGTTGATGTCGTTGTTTTGATAAGCACTAAGTAAAAAGATATGTCGTACAGAGTACCGCAAAAAAAAGACTCAGGTGTTAGCTAAGTGGCATGCAGAGCGAACAAAATAACGACAAAGACAAAATAAAGAACAACAGAGAGAAAATAAAGAACAACAGAGAGAAAATAATGAACAACAGAGAGAAAATGAAGAACAACGAAGCAAGATGTCCGATGGACATTACCATGAAGAAACGATGATCATTACACTACAAGTTACCTCACTAAATTTGTCATCGCCAAGATTTCTGGATCATTCTTGTACGGCTTAGCCTTGAGAATGGAATGATCAAAAGCGCATTTAAAACCTGAGGTTATTGAATGCAAAAAGAAAACAGAGCCCATTACTTCTTGTGAATCGAAAGGATTTATGCCAGATTTCATCAACATATTGGCAAGGACAAGGTATTTTAGACAAGTGGTTCTCCTGGAAAAGTAAAGATGAAAATAAATCAAATTTGACGACTCTTCATGTTGTATTTAACAATTATATTACGAGCTCGAGATTTCTATGTGATGATAGCTAATGAGGGGCGAAGCACGAAATACTCAACTATACAAACATGGAAACTGACAGCGAGTAATCTAATTGTTTTAGTAGAATCATGCTTGTATTCATAAAGAAAAAGGTGGCTATTATTTTTCCTTAATTTTTTGTTTTATACATTGGTTTTTGTGGTTATCGTTTTTAAGAAAAAAGCGAACGACTCAAAGCGCGTTTAGTTATTTTAATTGAATTTTTCGTTCATTATATATTTAAATATCTTAAAGTCGTATTTAGTGGTAACATCAGTCTTCTATCTACAGGATGGCCATTTCAAGTAGACAATCAAATTAATCGTAAACGCAAGACGGCAGTCTTTTTTTTCGCTGCTTACGATCTATAATCTATTGCTTTGCTTGCCAATGAAATTTCAAAAATGCATTTGCAATAGAATACCAGTTTACCATTCTACTGTTTTATTTTACGCGTTACTCACCTTGGGCTCCCGGATTCGTCATAATTCTTGAAAGCCTCGAAAAAGTCTGTGTGTGCTTTGTCGTAATCCGCCTCGCGCAGATGCATTTTCCCACCGCATTCTGGCGGAGAAAAAAGTTTGAAAAAACATGCAAATGAAGTTATTTTTTTCGAGCTCAAAAACATCTCCATCAAACGACATACCTCTGATGACACCCATGATCAAAGGATGCGGAATGGCCGATTTGATATGCAAAGATTTTTCGTATAACTTCTACAAAAGTACGAAGTTAAAAGCCTCACATTTTGCCCAAGAACTATGGAGACTTTGAAAATCTTTGAACAAAAGAAAATATTTAACCTTGAGCTTCTTGTTGTTTTTCTAAAAAGAATCAATTTTAGGTGTTCAAAATTAGTACAAGCAAATTTAATGGGAACCAGTTTGTTGCAAGCCAGGCCTCTGAATTAATCAGGTCGGTAAATTTCAAATTTTCAATATCTTTCATTTGTTTTTGTAAAACGGGAACAAATTACAATAGTATATATAATTAAAGTATATACATTCGCAGAAAAAACACACGAGGGTATGTTTGCAGTAATTCCACAAGAAACTATAGCATAACTTGTTAATAGCACAACCAGTATTCAGAGGTCTGGTTCTTTGCGCACAATTCACAAAATGCATTTTCCAAATCACCTGAGCCGTATACATCTGAATTTCAAGAGCATAGATTTCGAGTAGCTGTGTTCCTTTTTTTAAATCATCATCACCCTCGTCTGTCTACACATTTGACAAAAAATTAGCAGTTTCATCGTAGCTTTTATTCTGTAATTTGCGTACGCTCAAATTGCACAGTTCTCTCGCGTGTGAATTACATTCACACATTTATTGTGCAGTTATTTCTCTTTAAGTGCTGGCAATAAATAAGTAAAGTAAGACCACACGCCTTCGGGAGCTGGCATTTCTGGAGAGGGGGGGGGCAGTAAAAACGTTTCCCAACTTTTCAATCTTAAAACTTTCATCTCCAGTACGCCTACGATAAAGTCTTAATAAATATAGAATATTTATTGTGTTTGATTTATCTAAAAACATGTAAGTACTAGTCTTCCTTTATCTTTCTTAGAGATAGAAAGGCAAATGTGCTACGTAAATGTGCTCTATGTAAGTTTGCTAGGTTCTTTCAACAACTGCCAAGAAAATTCTACGAACTTCGAGACGGTATCGGGTAAGGTAATGAAGCATACACGAAACACTAAATGCAATAATCCTAATTTAAATTGTAATCTATATTTCTGTAACCTACGTTCAAATTAATTACCTGGCAAGATTGATGAAGCTGCTTTAGGATTCTAGATAGCTTTGCGAACTCCTCTCTGTCGTAATATAATTTCCCAAGCTGGATTCAAATAACATCAACATTATATTTCTTAAGAAATGAATCGTCGTTCTTCACGTTCGATGAAATATTAACTTTAGGGCATTTCTCTTGTCGCTTGTGTGCAGTGTTAAGACATGCATGTTATGATAAAAAAATCCCACCTAATCAATTTTAAAGGATCTTAATTCGGCAAAACAAGTCCGTACATATGTATACCCTCCCCAATTAAAATCTGCATACGGCACTGCATTTGTGACATTAACGCTAGAAAGTACGTATAGGTATATATTATGTCCGAGGATAGCATCATCCGAATTTATAAAATATGCACGCTGATTGGTCTATAGGTGTGTTTACACTAGCCAGTGCAAAACAGATCTGAGCTCAAGTTAAAACGTTGGTTTTAGATTTGTCCTTTTCGCATTGCTGTTATTTAGTAAAAGAAAATAAAGATGCTTTTCGTCTTCGCACTGGCTTGTGAAAACTTCGGAGACGTTTGTTGGGAGAAGAACTTTGAGATGGCAAATTAATGAAACATACATAAAACGCTATATCCCATAATATTATTCAAATTGAAATAACACATTGTCCATGGAGTAGTTTTCAAATGTTTTCACGCGGATCCGGAGTTCGTCAAAATAAATGATAGCTGCTCGATTTTGAATTCAAAGTACTTTCAGAAATGCACTATTGGTTTCGAATTTCTAACGAATATAATCTTACAATTGGAATTGCCTCTTTAAGGCCTTTGGAAATGTAAACAACATTCCAAAAATGTACTGCAGTAATTTATTTTGACGAATAGTACGCCAGATCCGCCACAGTGTACGTAGATATACATAACAATTTATGAAAAATTTCATACTTTCGTGTTGGTTTTGAACCATAGCCTGTCATTTTTTGCATCTTTCAATGCGTCTAAGGTCGTTTCATAAAAATCTTGAAGCAACTCCATCTAAATTGAAATTTCGTAAAACATGAATTTCGACACAATGAACAAAACCCGCGCAACGAACAAGGTAAAAAAACCTGTTTCGAAGTTGAAATGTAGTCCAAAATGGAATTTATGGATTTCTCCGAATAATTTCTTGTCACAGCAGTCTACAGAAAATACATTAAAGCACCAATTGTGACTTTGGGTGTACTGACAAACGAGTTTGCCGGTACAATGTCCATTCGATGTTATTGCCATTTGCGTTCAACTGGTAAGTGTCCCGAATTTTTCGCGTTTGTTTACGTTTCAAACGTAACGTTTGCTCAGGAATGTGGAACGTTGTAGATATGACGTCATAGTTCCAGATATCGAGAATTAATTGAAGGTAGTTGACCAATCACAGCCGACATTGCTTGCATACCGAATAATAATGACAGCTACCCTGTCAAAGTTACTTCCATTCTCACAAGTAACTGCTGCATAATATATCCTGCAACCTCATGTAGGAATTTTGAGAAAAAACTATTTGACCAAAATTAAATTTTCAAAATCACAACCTGTTAAGTATTGGTGGTCAGAATATTTGAAAAGGCCCAAAATATTGAGGGAGATAACATTAAATGTACAAAAGCAGTCAATGAAAAGCAGCTCGCATCCCAACAAGAAATGAGGTGTTTGTAAAATTAGGTTTAGCATAAACTCAGTTAAGCATAAAAACTACTATTGTAGTTCAAGCATTAAAATTTTGTTCCGTAGAGACTGAAAGGAGTGATAGAATACTTTAAGTGAACAGTACTCTAAAGAGTCTTGTGATGAATTTGTAGTAAATTCTAAATAGTTCTATTGAAATAAGAATTGTCTTGTTTTATTTCTCAAATACTGAGTTAAACATGAACTTTTCATATCATTTAATGAATGGCGTTCTTTGAGTTAGTTTTGGGAGTTTTTAAGTTAGGAGACAATGTTTCTTTGGCTATTTGGATTTTCAATTTATTTCATTCAGAAGTCTTTGAACCCAGCAACTATTCACACTTGGGAAAGTTTGGGCATGGTCCCAAGTGCAATCCATTAAAATTTGACCTTGGTATGTATTGCGAAAATCAATCTTTTCCTACCTTAATGTATGTAAGAAGCTGCTTGTAACGAAGCATCATTTCCACATGCTTTCCCTAAATTTGTCATCAGAAAATCAGTTCTACATCAGTAAACAATAAACAATATACATTGAACACTTACAATCTTGAAATTTATTTTCGTCATTTGCTTTAAAGCTTTGAATCCCCATTCTCCTTTTTCTTCCTCCAACTCCAAAACCTTCCAAAAAAAGATCAAAATTTAAGGTTATGTGATAGTGCTCACAACCAGATAGCGCATACCTTTTGAAAGCTTTCCAATGCACCGCCAGGATCGTTCTCCTTCTGTGCCTTGGAATTATAATACTGGTTCTCCAAGTCTACATCTGGTTCAGAATTGCTGTCCTCTTCGTACTCCTACAAACAAAACGTTTTATATTTACAATTAAAACTAGCAAGTTGCAAACATTAGTTGCTTGCATCAGACTTGAAAACGTGGTTTCATCCCAATATTTGTACACATGGCATTTTTCAATTGTACATGCTTTACAGTTAAAGTGAGTAAACACCATTTTCAACAATGACAACTTAGTTTTTGTACAGTACTGCGTGTACTGTACTAAAACATGAAATACATACACTAAAAATGAAATTGCATAAAATAAACACAAACCAAATCGTACTCATCGTCTTCATCGCACATGAAATCATCATCCATGTCTGACATCGTGAAATCTCGCTGATATATTCGCAAAACAACAATAATAAAATTGATGTGATGTTGTACAATGCATGTGACTGATATCGTGACACCCGATTGTTAAAAAATGTCACCCATACTCCCTCCCCCCACAAAAAAAATACAAAACATCGTTTTATAATAAGTAAATTTTTACTCGGTTAAGTGTCCCTTTTTTTTGTTTTTAATGAAGCTGCAGGTAAAAAAAAGTTGAGCGTGATATTAATAGTGCAATTTAGTACAGTTTTACGAAATTCGTCGTATGTTTTCATGATAATTTCATTAATATCAGACACTGATACAATTCGTCTTATTCGTAGAAAATGTCACTTCTCCCCTCCCCCCTTCCTCAATAAAAAACTAACTTTACTTTAACAACAATTTACTGCGTTTATTGCGGCTGTTTTCGTTCTCAAAGCAGTTCGCAGTTATAAAATATTTCTGGAATTGAGTGATTCAGTGTTTTATCAATATTGCTTTTTAATACAGTTATTTCTTTCCGAATTTGTTTATTTTCTTCCATGTCATATTTTGACATTCATCGTGATTCACTCATCACGTGTTTGGCAAATGTATGAATCGGGTGAACGAAGAAGCCAAGATGGCCGGTCGTTTCGCTAATGACTCGGACTTTAAAGCTCTATTGGGGATTGCCGATGCCTGTCTACGGTCGAAACCTCAAAGAATACGATATTGTATTCATTGTTTGGAGGCGGCATTGTTGCTCAACGTGCCAATGCAGTACGAAGCGCACGTTAGAGTCCAACTAGGAAGTATTCTGTTAAAGTATACTGAAAATATCGACCTGGCACGAAAGTGTTTGGAAAGAGCGGTATGCTTAATTCAAATGCATTTTCTTGTAAAACGTATTATTTGCTATCGGAGAGTTGTTACTATTCAACATCATCGATTTTCTTTCAAAATACGAATGGGGAAGGGGGGTGTCGCCATTTGGCAGGGGCAGTAATTGGACACACCCTTGTATGAACAATGGTGATGTCTTGAAATTTTCATAATAGGACTTGAACTTATTGTGGAGTCTCACTGTCACATACATACCTAGAAGATTCCATAATTGGTCTTGCATACTGTCCAATCCGGCCTGTCTGGAAAGTATGTTTTTTGCACTCCACAGACTTTTTCAAATTATATTTCCACGCCAAAGCGAGAGACCAGCACATGTTTGCTTAAGATTTAATTTTTGTTTATTGGTTGCTTTTCCAATGAAAAATGCCATTTAGCTGCATGAGACCACAATTATCCTTTGTTCGAATGACCAGCTTTTATTTGTATCTCATTTTTAAGTCTGCATGGTGTGAAAAGATAACACGAAAAGGAATCTCCTGTTTGCAAGAAACATAGTTTTCCCATGGCTTATTTTCAGTTGCTTGGTCAGCTTGCAAGCCTTGGTCCTGCTCTGTAAATTTCCTGGAAATACTATTAATTCAATATTTGAAATTCAGTGTTAGTAAAGATCCTCCATTATTAAGGCTAACTATGCCAAAGAACTAATGACACACATCATTTATCTTCATTTGCTATTAGAATATCATAGTCTGAGTCGTGCAACCTATTCAATTTTTAATACTGGCCTACCAAGAGTTGCCACTATAAACTGAAATGCCTGCAATTTAAGAAAAATTTAAAATTATGATGATCACAGTTATTTTGACTTTCAAGACATGCTGCTTGCTTTTCATGCTGTTTCAAATATTTTCAAGCCTTGCTTGAGGAAATTGCGAGAAACAATGATGATTTTGTGTTTGAATTTCTGTTTAGGTTGCCATCATTCAGCCAGTATCCTTTCATGTTGATGCTTAATTGTTCTGTGAGTTATATGTATCGTAGCTAGCCACCAATGTTATTGAATTCTTCTGAGTGTATTGTATCCTTCATCTAATTTGCATCAGCTTGGTCCTGGTTTTGAAGAACTTTTATGTCAAGCTGTATCGGGACTAAAAGAAATTTTTAAAATTTGTGTATGGTATCATCGACTCTCTTGCAATTTTTGCATGAATAACCATCATCACAGTTAGATGCTCTGATTTTGAGAAAATATTTTTCTTCTTTAGAACGAACCACTATCTAGCATCCAGTATCTTCAGTTAGCTTTAAAAGAGACTACGCAGAAGTTAAATTGCTTACATTTGCACTTTCAAACTCTGTTCGAGTTGTCGGTAATGTTTCTAAATTCCTTTTCTCCATTCAGGCAATTTTCTGTTGGTTTATTCTGTAAATTTGTTATATTTTTCTGTGAGTTTTCATTGTTGGGACAGCCTGAACTATAGTAAAGTAATACTATACTTTTTATTTAAAAAATGGAAGATGTTTATTATTTAGTGTGTTTGCACAGGCTTATGCAAACCAAGGAGAACTTTGGGAGAACTTGAGAGCAGATCAGTGCCAGCCTGAGACCAAAGGTCGAAGGTTTGAACCTGCTTGGTAGGTTTGTATAAGCCAGTTCAAACACAAGAAAAAGTTTATCTCTTTTATAAAATAACAATAATGTGAAACAGATAAATTGTTTTAATTGTAATAAGAAAATGTTTTAATTTTCACTATAACATGTGTTTGTGATTGATTTACAAAATCTGTGTGACTGATTCAATTTGCACAGGCTAATGCAAACTCAGCTTTACACCAATCAGCACACTCAGATTGGTTTGCACAGGCTAATGCCAACTCAGCTATCAACCAGTCAGCACACTCAGATTGGTTTGCACAGGTTGATTCAAACTCAGCTATCAACCAATCAACACACTCAGATTGGTTTGCACAGTCTAATACAAACTCAGCTTTACACCAATCAGAGCGTGTATGTTATTGTTTTTATTTTAACGAATGTTTATGACAGTTGGGTCATGCAGCGGATGAAAAAAATCATTAAATACAATTCTTGTGAAGTGCCTTGGAGTATGTCCGTGTCAAATATATGATAAATTAAATTGTTGTATAGTGGGATCATTTGTAATAATTCCGTGGCGGGTCTGGGTGTGTGAAAATATATAACCGAAGCTAATTATTTGTAAATAATTACATATATGTAAAATAATTACGTTTCCAAAATCATGGAGGCAACTCCATCAGTAAAAGTTTGTCCTTCAGAAATGCATAACTGATAGTGCTGTTCTGAAGGTACTTTGTGAATTCTACCTGTAATTTATTTTTATTAACGTTTATCCGCCAGTGTAATAAATCTCTGCGACATTTCCATTTTTGTTTGTTTGTCTTAAAATGCACCCTGATCTTGATTGTCTTGTTTTACATATTTTTGTTGTCTGTAGGAAACCTATGTGAACTGCAACAAAATGCATGATGCAATTCAGAATCTTGCGCTTGGAGAGAAAGTTGCACAGCAATATGGATCAGAGTACATGAGGTTTTGTGAGATATACAGTTTATAATAAGCTGTAAGTTTGACTGAAAGAAAGTAATCAAACATTTGCTATTCTTTAATTTCTAGATGCTTGTTCGTTTTAAGCAGAATATTGGTGAGTTAAGTAACTTATCGTGTGTGCTCGGCTCATTGAAGGTTCAATGATTGGACCGAATATGACTATTAACTAGTCGCACTCCTTCCACTAACTGTCAAAAGAAAGTTCATCAGTTTGCAATGACAAAGTTACAATGCAGAATTTCTGAGGGTGAATTTAGTTTGGGGCAAGTACAGGCATATGCTATCTAAAGATAGCCTTCCAGTTATATATTGAGTTCAATGGCTGAGCCACACAGCTATTTGTATTCTTCATTGGTTGTAGTCCAGGAAAAGTTTGATCACAGAATCCTAATGTGTAAATGTGTTTCTCTTCTTTATGTGTTTTCACATGAGCAGTATTTGCTGGTTTCAAAGGACTACAACCAGGCCACCAAGTTGCTTGGCAGTTTTGCTTCACATTTTCAAACCTGGCGCGGACCAAAACTCCAAGTGGAGCACCTGAGAATATTTTATCTGACCTTGCAAACATGGTTGGGCATAACATCTGGTCAGGTATGCTATTGTTTTTTATTAAGGTTTGCATGCGTACGTACGCAGCTAAACTGAAAAAATCTGTGTTGCGATGAATTCTCTTCAGCCCAAAACGATGAAACCTTTTCTGAGACAACTTCAACAAAGTATTCAGGTTGTGACAACGCTCACACCTATAGAAGGTTAGCTACATATCGTATTTGTGGTCTTTTTTTTTGTCGCTTTTGCTTATGTACTAAGAAATATGCCACCTGGGCAAACTTTGCGTATGTTTCTTGGATTTTTAAGAGTTAAGACCGATTAAGCATTTTTCAATGAAGCGCTCAATTTAGAAGCATTGGGATGCGTGCCCTCGGACATCCACATACATACGTAGCTTTGTTTGTAACGCCCTAGAATTTGTGAAAATCGTGTCGAAAATCGTTTTCCTAGTGCATAAACATTCGAATTTCGATGCGCGGTTTTCAAAGCCAGATGAAATATGCAGGGGCGACCTTTCCTGAGCTTACTGCTTGCAAAACTTATTTTTCACTGATATAATGCATTTGACAACTTAAGAGAGAAGAATTGTTCTGGTTATAGAATACGATATATTCTTTATTGTTTCGTTAGAAGCACGCCAAATACCAGACTTTGAAAAGTTCCAATGGCTGCCCGTCGACCATCTTTGTATTATAGTTTATTTGGTGAGTATGACCATTTGAAGGAGACGTATCGAAGAACAACGATTGATATTGTTGTCCGTCTCTCTTGTCGTGTTTCAGTCTTCGTGAGAATTCACCTCTCTTTTTTCATAGCTCACTGTAATTCATTGCGTTCAAGCCGGTCACGTGGAGAAATCTTTAAAATACAGCGAGAAAGCGCTGGGAAAAATTGCGTCGCTTAAAGGTGTGATCATTCCGTGCAGGCCATTGTCTGGTAGTCTTCTTTTCGCTCAACTTTTGAATGTTTTTAGAAAATCAGTCAACTCATTTGCTGTCGGTATTCGAACTCGTTTTATTGGAGAATGTAATCGTGACGCACATCATAGAAGGGCAGTCAAATACTGCAATTAAACAGGTTTGTAAAAAGTTGGGGAGAGTTCGTTGTTTGAGCTTGTGCTTTTATTTTGTCGACAATGTTCTTCAAAATTTTCATTTGTAGATGGCATCTGCCTTTCGCGTCTGCTCTCCCAGATTATTGAACAGCCACAGTACAATGCTTCGCACGCTCTTGGTAAAGTACTTATGTATTCTTGCAATGTTATGCCAACCTGCGTGTTGCGACATATTTAAAACATAAGACAACACGCAATTGACATTCACGCACCCCCCCACACACAGTTCCTTCCAAAAACAACCTTGTGAAGTATGTACCTGACAAACAAATCTGGCAAATCCGACATTTACTCTTCACGTGTCTCTGAAGAAGACTACCTCGAGTGAGGTCGAAATGTCAGTCTACACAAGCACTTAAAGTCCTTCTCAGGATTGCGTCAAGAGCATACGCACCGATGGCTCAGACTGAGCGAATCCAGAGGCTCCACGCCTAACCTGAGGACCTTGTCTACAATATGCTGCAGAACAAGAAACATATTTGCATTGTAATCTTTTGCATAAAAAACGAGATTCAAACGCTTGATAGCAAAATCATGGCCCTTTTTACGTGTGGTGGGGGCAGATGTGGTGCCACCCCAGATGTTTTTCGCAACTGGACTACATCAACCTGGACCATCAACACCCACATCCAAATGCCACGATGTGTAGACCACCTATATGATTTCACACTGTTTCACAATGTTTGTCCCATGTCAACTTTTATATGGGAATTTTTCGTCAATTCCTCGTGTATTTATGTTTTTCTGAAGTAATTTTCTCTCGTCCATTCTAGGGTCTATATTGCATGTCAATGAACCAAATGGAGTTCGCTGAATTTCATTTCAGGCTTGCTCTTAAAGTAAGTTGAGCTCTTACGAATCTACTTTTAACATTTGTTCCGAGTTCAATGCCCACTAAAATGGACTACCGGTGCAACACGTGACTGCATTGCGGCAAACTAAATTAGATCCCTAGCGTAGCACATTGCACAAGCAAGCTTGTTCAACCCACCGATTGCTGAACTGCACACTCTAGGCGATTTATTGCAGACAGTGCCGTGGCCAGCCCGATAATCGGGAGGGCGGGGTTATTCATTTTTTCATGTTCTGTCGTATTGAGTTTCTTTGAAATCAATTGTTTTCTGCGGATTGTAACATGCAGAAATGGATACTCCCCCCACCCCTCAATTTGGATTTGCCCTTTATATATGTTCTAACTAGGAAATCCATTTGAGTCAAGTGTGACAGGTATTCGATATAAAGCTATCGTAAGCTTTCGCTCACGAAGATGTGGATATTATGAAGCGATTTTTACATGCTTTGCCAACTCGATGCATGTATGGCAAAAAAGGGGGTTGTTTGAGCACAGGAGTATCGTTGAATGCTTTTAGATGTTGTTTGTCCAAGTTAGTGCATTCTTGAGAAGAATTGGTGATGTTGGTGACACCGCCAAGGATGTCGAAACGTCTGTCAACATCAACATCACAAAGGACTGCACTAACATGAATCGATCAACATCTACCTACAAACATGTATTTGCCTCTATTATGAGGAATCTATCAACATCTACGTACAAACATGTATTTGTCTCTATTATGACGAATCGATCTACATCTACGTACAAACATGTATTCGTCTCTATTATGACGAATCTATCAACATCTACGTACAAACATGTATTTGTCTCTATTATGACGAATCTATCAACATCTACGTACAAACATGTATTTGTCTCTATTATGACGAATCTATCAACATCTACGTACAAACATGTATTTATCTCTATTATAACAAATCTATCTACATCTACGTACAAACATGTATTTGTCTCTATTATGACGAATCGATCTACATCTACGTACAAACATGTATTTGTCTCTATTATGACGAATCTATCAACATCTACGTACAAACATGTATTTCTCTCTATTATGACGAATCGATCAACATCTACGTACAAACATGTATTTCTCTCTATTATGACTTGTATATCAATCTATCGTGTTTTTTTTTTTTTTGAAAGGCGTGTCAGGATAGCGAACAGTACTCTTTGATTGCTCTTAATCTCTGTGTAGTTTATATAAGGATGGGGAAATCAAAAAAGGTATTAAAACATCAACTATTGGTGATATGTTAACGTCACCACTCTGTTATTTAGATACGAGTATTTTAATTTTGCTTAAATACAATGAATTCTTTTTACGAAAGCTTGAAGAACTTGTTCAAAACCTGTCGAATCCGTCAAAAGCTTCTTTGAGGTAAACTGTTAAGACGAAAGGATATAACAGATAGGCTTTACGTGATTTGCGATATTTTTGCTTTTATAAATCACACGAAGATCGAGCAACGTGCTGGCCAGCTACCATTACGTCATGGGTCTCAAGTCATTCTTCGAAACGAAATATACGGACGCCAGGTTTGACGTTTAATCTCCTCTTCCTTTTATTGACGGCGAACACTAAAGAATAAGCGCGGGGAATTTTCCTTCATAAATTTCCGTATATAATTTGACGTGCTTCTTTTTACAAGCCATTTCAAGGCAAACACAAGTGATTCTGTCACAAAAGGAAGATTCTATGTATTTTTTTATGTACATCTAGTTTGTTTATGGTCTCTTATTCTGCATGTGAAAGGTTTGAACCAGATCGTACTGACCTGGACGATCTACATCCACAAACATGTCTCTAATTCTGATAATCATACAGTCGATCCACATGCTTATAGTTTATAACCTTCGCAGTTTGAGAAATGTGCTGTTGGAAAGACCAAAATATTTTTAGCGCGTGCTTATGTCGACTGTTTATTAATACGAAGAGCATCTCGTGGGAATTTATCAAATGGAATGAAGGTAGTTATCATTTTCTTTTACAGACGATATTTGCGCGAAACTCTCAAGATTGCCAATGCAGAGGAATCCTATAGATTGGCGGCATGTTCCTTGATATTACTAGGCCATACTTTTCTTAAAGGTGGAAATATCCAGGTAAGATATGTATTTTCGATGATAAACTTGGTCTTTGTGTTAGAATACGACCGAGTTCATGTCAAATATAGGAACGTTTCCCAAGCGTTTTCTCTTATTATTTTGCCTTTCTTTTTTATAATTAACTCACGATGGCGTGCTTTTCAGGAAGCTTTGGATGTTGTAAAGTCGGGAGTCCAAATGGCAGATAAAATGCCCGACGCTTATATTCAACTATGGGGCGCGTCTCTACTCAGAGGTACGTTTAGTGCATTTGTAATTAGGGATAGCATCATAGGTTTGTTTAATCTTGTCGCTTTATGTCTATGTGAATCTTTACTCCCAACGTCAACTTTCACTCAGATCTGCTTTATTTATTCAGAGCAAAAAAGCGCAACAGTGCGTTTTTCATCGGAAAATCACCAAAGATGTAGGAAGATCGATCGTTTGTTTGGGGTAGAGATTTATGTACATGTTATAAGTAGAAAACAATAGATTTCAAAGAAAATTATTGTAGCACATCATACATACATGATTATCCCTCCCCAATTGTCTATCTTCCTACATCTTTGTTTCGTCTTCAAATACGTGTGCTGAGGAATTGAGGATTCTGTGTAAGAAAGCCTTAAAGGCGTACGTAAATAGTTTTTTGAAGGAATTAAAGAAAGTACATTCCATCACACCTTGAACAGGAAGATCGATAGGTTTTAATCCTCTTTAATATTTTAAGTTGACAAGCTTTGCATTCATGTGGGTTCTATAACCTTGCAAGCAAGCACACTTGTATATCTCCAAGGCGAGAGTTGAGTTTAAATCTGTTTTGAGCAACATACGAGTTCGGTTCTACTTTTAAGAGTTTGTACGACACGAAATTTTCCTCTCGATTTTCTGATTGCAGTGATGATCAAAGATCATTTAAAATGTCTGAACAATCTTTTCAACTTGATATAATACTTTATCTTTCTTCATTATGGGAATAACATTTTTATGACACTACAATGCATATAACAGCATTTTAAAAGCAATTTACGTTTTATTCAAAAATACAACACTTTATTGAATAATTGTGTGGACGAATATGGGCAAAGGTACCCAACTTAGATACCTAATGACAAACTGTTGATGAAAAATAGTATTTCTTAAAGCTTTTGTGTAACATCAAATCATGAACGTTTTCTTTGCCTAATGAGCAAATAAAGTGAATGGTTAGAACCCGAGAGTATCGTTAAATGTTTGTAAATGTGGATGATCCCGGTTTTTAGAGTCCTGAGAGGGGTTGCTCGTGTTAGTGTCGACTTACGTTTTAACATCCTTAGCTGCAGTCAAGTGAATTAAGGTGACTACAGCTAAGGATGTCGAAATGTCAGTCAACATCGACACCAACAGTCCTTCTTAGGATTCCACCAAAAAAGACGATCTGCATTTACAAACACATAATGATGTAAGTTAAATACCTCTGAAAAAAGTTTCCACTGAAGTTATACATTCATTATATCTTTATTATTTGATCTTTGCATTGCAATTAAAAAACTGCGTGATAAAATTTGGTACATTAAACTCTTAAATGATCTTTCTGGAGCTCATCCGTACAATAACAAGCCTTCTCGATCATAGATTTGTATCGACATATTGGGGATCACACGAAGGAAGCCGAATCATTTCAAATTCACCGAAGTTTTACCGTGAAGCTTTTAGATAGTAAGTGTAAATTATGGTGAAACGCCAGCATGTTTTATTGCATCCAAGATGTTAAGGCTATGCCCTTTTTGCTTCCAATTCGAGTACAGTCCCCCCTTACTCCTTCGAGACACGAGTGAATCTTAGCGTTATTTTGGAGCTTTTTTTCTGTGTGGACAATTTTGACTTGCATTTTAGATCATGGAAAAGCTATTAAAAGCGAAGAACATAAACTAATTGAGGTACGTATGTTATACTTCTAGTGTTTGCGTGTCTTACTAAGTGCAAATGCATGCTAATAACGACAGGCGAGTAGTTATAATAAGGACCTTGTTTATAAGAACATCGAAGTTAATCAACAGTACCACACAAAAACTGCTTACATAATTTTCAGTGGCACAAAGGAGCACCGAAAGTACCTCTCCAGATAGAATCATTACAAGGTCCAAGTGGGCTTCAGTCGGTCTCACAGCAATCTACGACCACAGGAATGATCCATCACACGTGATTTCAGTGCATATCGTCTTCGATGGATAAGGTACGTGATCGTTTTATCTCTGAAATGGACAAATGAGGACATTTACGGATCTGCCCTTCTCATATTTTGGAAAGGGGAACAATTGTAATTGATTTGCGAATGCATATAAAGCGAATTCGGTGGAAGAGCTTCTAAACGGTTGGAACGGCCAGATTCGAAGAGTCTTTAACGCGTGATTTCTGGTATTGCCAACGGTTTGCCAAAATGCGCAAATTCTAGCACAGTTTATAAGTCTCTCGCTGTTTTTATCGTAGTGTAGTTGGAACGAACTTGTTCTGAGAACTTAGGATATGTTTTAGTTAGCTATGTCGCGTGGATAATGTTTTTGTATTGGGAATTGTCGTGAATATGTTTTAATATATATTGTTAAATGTACAATTGTAAAATATGAAGGAAAAACACGCTTGAACACAAGACGGCTTTTACTTTCCTCCGGCCACTACTCAACGCAGTTTATGACGATTTATATTCATAAATCCATGGAAGTCATACTGTAAGTCTGTAACAAAGCACTGCATACCAGAAAATACTTCTTGAAGCGTCACTCGTGTTCTGTAAATAGTTTTAATTTGGCTTACGTCACCTTTTGTGTTCAAACGTTTGTTTGAGGCAGCTGACGTTTTTAAGTAGTGCAATATTTGATTGGCTTTACTTGAAAACATGTTACAATGAACTGTATAACTTATCATAATCTGTTTGTCAACGTAAGTTATATGTCTTGGCCTTTCATAGACTTTACAAGTGATACTTGTTACATCATTTGCATTGCCATCTTTTTTTGCACTTGGGATTCCAAGACTACACAACGCGATTGTTTGTATTATTGGCACATAATCTTTACTATATTATATATCAGCGCTTTGAGTCATGTGACTATTTGTCTTTATCTACGTAAATGATCGCTATTGGTTTAAAATGTAGCAAAGTGATTAAAGATTTCTTAAGCAGAGATTCATCAGTTTGTCGAACCATTTGTAAAATGATGGCCCTGTCAGTATATCTTTTTTTTTTCATAAATTGTTTGGAACCCTAATACCCTTAACTTATTTTTTTATATTGTGCTGTCAGTGTGCTGGGATACGTTCGTAGAATGAACGGAACGGCAGTTTTCATTTTAACTGGCACGACATTCAGAATGTATATATGTTTTCGACCTTGATTAATATTTCAATTCAGTAGCCATTTTTTGTTAAGTCAGGCTTGTGCGTCGGTGTCACGAACTGTCGTTTTTGTTTATAACTTACCATCAATGGTGAGTTGGTGTTTTTGGTAGCAGGCTGCGCTCATTTAACTTAATAGTAAGAACTTTGCAAACTTCTTGTAAAATATAATTAACTACTCACCCGTTAACGTAATATAACGTTACAAATGGGGGGGAGGTCAGGTGCCTCCATGTACGTAGGAATAAGGACTAAAGTTGAAGTGGGTTCATCGTATGTACTCCAGTTGCAACCCAACTAACAATGGTGTACTTGGCATATACCGTTTTCATTGTGTACTCCTACCCACCGGAGTGATACTATTGGATGACATCATCACCTCACGAGGATAACCACCTGTCTCATTCCGGTTTAAACCGGTTTGTTATTATATTTGTCAATTGTGTGAGGAACGAGAAGTTGCCATGGTGATGACAATGTCCGTACAATTTCGGAGTGATTGCGATTGGTTCAGAAGACAATCCACCTCCAAATAAGGTTGACGTCGGAGAAGATCGTAAGAAGCAAGAACAAGGGTTACAAAGGAGGACACACGTCCTTTGATCCCACCCTCGCCGAAAACATGTCGCCTTCAACCCTTCGCACGAGATAAACACGGAAGAATTCAGGGTTAAGGGAAGACCGCGTGATACAGTTTGGAGGTAAGATACTGAGTTGTGAAATTCGGCTGCTAATCGCCATAGCTTGTTTTGTTTCAAGTAATGAAGTATTTTTTTCAATCATTAAAAAGTTCGCCATGTTGCGTTACACACAGTGCTCGAGCGAATGCGGCTTTGTAGTAAGAACGTAAACGACTATTGGTGCATGAATACTGTTCTTCATCATTTAACATCATAGTCAGACAAGTAAATGTTAGAATATGTTTGGTTAATGAAGATGGGTATTCTCATTTAACCTGATTTATACGGATGTCAATACGCAACGCGAAAACCCGACGACTTTCGTACCACCGTAGTCGCAGATTACTCGTATCGAATCGTGAACAACTTGTTTCGATTTTGGCCGTGAATTTTCGGTATCGTTTCTTTGGCAAATCGACGCTTTTTGTATTTGGAACATGTTGGCACGCAACATTATCTTGAAAGGAGATTTATATGGTCAAGAACTTGTCTGTGTTGTTGAATTGTTTGCTTGAAATTGCCGCCATGTTGCTTCAAGATGGCGTCAGTAGGCATGACAGAAAACCTCAGCAACAACGCATGTGTGACATTTTTTTGTGAAGTTACGTCTTTTATTCTTCGTTGAGAATGATGTTGATTTTTATACGTAGATGCTTTGCAGAATTTATACGATTGCTTCGAATGATGTCAAAACAGTGGTTAATAATATATGTAATGAAGAATACATGAATAAATGTTAACTAACTTTTACATTTTGCATTGTGTTTAAGGTTTTATTGTAAAAAATGGCTTCAGCTGTTCAAGGCAATCGTATGAAGAGGAAAAGGGAGAATGTGGACAAGGAGATTACCAAGTCAAATTCAGATGATATTGCTTTGAATGAACATGATGATGATGAAAAAGTGAATGCAACTGGGTATGGGTTTTATGTGTTGTATTAATATATTTTTGATTTAGTTGTTTTAATTTATTTACTTGTGAATAGGAGATCGCAGTTTTACTTAGGTACAAAATGACTGCTACCCTAATTTGTAGGATTACGTTGACAGTTCCTTTTTTTGCTTATATCAGACAATTTTTTGGGTGCATGGCCTGAAAAACAACTGCTAATCATGGCATACTTTAAAAAGGATATTTCACAATTTTCTTGCCCCTGTGTAGCATCTCATTCAAGCCACTTATTTTATAGCCATTTCCTGTGTTTCTATTGAGTAATAGAAATACAGGAGAAAATTTAGGAGAAAGGAGAAATTTTGTGGCAAGCGCAATCACAAAGCCCAAGTGTTTCAAAACAATTTTGAGTTTCTCCCAAACTCTCACAAGTGTTTCTTCTGGGTGTCTGAAAAACTGCTCATCTTTGAAATCAACCGGCATTCAGTATTAATTTGCAGGATTCTAGAATAATTGATTCTCAATGGCGATGCAAAGGCAATTAAAACAAATTTCCTACTTGAAATTTTTACAAGCCACAAATTATATGTATTATTTTTTTCAACTTCATTTACGGGTCTTTATATTTACGGCCAAATTGTGCAAAAAGGTCAGCGGATTTCAAAAATGGGCTTTTTTAGACACCCAGTGCCTGTATAACTCAACAGAAACAAGTGAAGCATACTCCGAATAAAAGACTCAAGTTTAACTCAAAATTTGAGCAAGAAACAAGAAGATGAATGAATTTGATGATGAATTTAACAAATTCGAAATATTACTTTTCAAATTAAAATTTCTTGTTTCTTTCTCAAATATTGAGTTAAACATGAGTCTTTTATTTGGAGTATGCTTCATATTATAGAAACAAGTGAAACATTTTCATTTTCCTTTATGAAATAGCCTGTTGAATACATCATTAAATTATCAAGTTTAATGATTTATTAAATTCCTTTGTTTCTATGGATTCAACCAATCAGCATTTGTGTTTTTTTGAAAAGGCTATTTTATAAGGTGAAGTAGAAACTGGAGATGTACATACCAAACTGTTGAGATATTAAACTTTTTACAAAGGCTGATTGCGTGATGCCACAACAGCATTATCCACTGGACAGTTATTTCTTTGATTCAAACAAACAAACAACAAACAACATTTGTATACCGGCCAGTATTAATCCCCGCCAGGGGGGTTGACCGGTCCATGAATTTTTCTACGCCAAACGTCTCTATCTCTCGTTATACCCATCGCCTTCATATCACTGTTCACAGCATCCATCCATCTCTTTCTCGGTCTACCTCGTTTGCGGACTCCATCAACATTCATATGCAACGTTCTACGAATTTCAGCACTTTCTTCCCTCCTTTCCACATGCCCAAACCACCTCAAACGCTGGCGCCTTACCCAATTCTTGATACACTCAACACCAACTCTTTCTCTAATCTCTTCACTTCGAATCCTATCCATCAACGTTACAACGTCTTTGATTATTTACAAAAATTATTTTAATCACCAAGCGGAGGATCAATTTAAACAAAGCATATCTTCTAAGATGGCAAAGTTTCATTTTTCTCATAAAATTATAATCACCTTTTTAACTTGGAGAACTTGACATTTTGTGGATGAATGCTAACCGGCTTTGTGCAACAGAATATTGCTGTTTAAACTTGTCCATGCTGACAGTAATGATATTTTAGTTGGCTCAGTGGATACATGTGTGTGATATGTATCTGTTCTTCTTTTAGTTCAAGTGAAAGAAATTCAAAACCGCCTCTTACCAAGAAACCCAAAGAAATGCAATCTGAACCCGAAGTTGATTGCATCTCTCAGGAAGACCTACTGGCCCAGCTTGGGTTAAACTCCATCAAGAAGCTGCAAATGGCAGAACCTGACCCAAATCGTGTTGTGGAACCAGAGCCACCGAAACAGTCCATTCTGGAACTTATGAAACATCCATTCTCAAAAAAAATTATGCTTTCATCGTCCTCGCCGAATAAGGAAAAGGCGTTGACTAATGGCACTTTTACAGAAACTGCTGAAGAGGCAGAAAACATTGAAAACAAGGAGAAACTTATTTTACGTTTGCAGAACAACTTGCGAAACGAAGAGGCAAAGCTCATGCTTTTACGAAAACTTTACGCGTGCCAAAATGACAAAACTAGCAAGGATGCGAGTGCTGTGAAGTCTGGCACATCTGCGCCCGCGGCAACCTCCCAACCTTCGACTACCGCTCAAAGGAAGGCAGCGTTGCCAAGCTCCGTTCAAAAGCAGCATACCGTACCCAAAGGACAAAAGCAAACCGGAAAGGTGATACATAAGCCCAAGCCTTCTCCTGTTTTAGTTCAGAAACCACCTCAACCGAACGTCCCTGCTGTTCAGCCACGCGTAGTTTTTCTCAGTCAACCACGCGTACCACAACCTGTTGTTATTGCTCCGAAACTCGTGGCTACACCAGAAGGAAAGCGTGATACTCGGCAGTTAAAGGTTCAAATGGTTAGTCCTACTTCCAGTAAACTAACGGTAAAGCAACATAATGCACCCAACTCATACAAAACGTTAAAATATCCTATGGAAAATGGAGTACCGAAACCAAAGATGCGCAGTCCGCTTTCAGCGGAGCAATCTCACGCAGAGGCGAAGGCTGCTTTAAGAAAGCAGCTTGAAAAGACATTATTGGAAATCCCTCTGCCAAAACCACTCGTACAAAATTGGAATTTTGTCCCTAGTGTCAACACGCAAAATTTCACCATACTTGTGGGCCTCGAGGGTGTTGTCAATCATATCATGGAATCTCAAGCTTTGGCTGTTAATGGCGAGCTTGCGAAAAAGTACATCCCACCGAAATTCTGCTCGCAATGTGATACTGACTTTACGCCCGGCTGGCGCACCAAAAACGGCTCCGAGGACACATTGTGTGAGTCATGCTACACGCAGCAAATCAAGAAATCTTTAAAAACTGAACACACAGCGCGCTTGAAAGAAGCTTTTATGAAGGCGCTCAAACAAGAACAAGAAGTTGAGAAGAAATTTCAATTATCAGGCTCCTCCGTTTCGTCCGTTGGTAAAACGACGAAATCACAACCTACCCACGTGGCATCCATGCACCAACCTTCTCACCCACCTCCTGCCCGTCTCGTGTATCATACGGTTCATCCACAACCCCAGCTGTATCAGCCTCATCACTCCATTGTACATCAGCTGCAGCATCAACCGTTGCAACCACAGCATCCAGATTTGGATAGCACGCACAGGCAAGAGCCTGCACGTTACTTCACGTATGTTGGTCAGCCGCCACACAAACCACGACATAGCTACACGGAAAATGAACGCCAAAGAGAGTATCTTTTGGACATGATTCCTTCGGGGCATTCATCTAGAGGTTATCGTATTTAGAGGTTATAGTATAGAGAGGCAATCAGTGCTTGTCTGCACGGGCTCCGGTAGTAGGATAGTCCGATGTGACGAATCTTTTTGAAAATGTTCCAAGTCTGTTTCTATTCTAACATTTCGTTTGCTACGCGTGAAATTTTTGTTGCAGTCATTGTTCTTTTATTTAATGATGATACAAGGTGATGAACTTATATTTATTGAGCTGTGTATATTCGCTTTGAATGCCCATTAGCTAAGATAAAACAAAGATATTCTTTACCGACGAGCAAAATGTTGAATTGGAAAGTAGGCTTTTCGTAAACATTTGAAATACGAGTAGAAGAGTAATATACGGGAATGTGGAACATGAAGAAACAATAGTATGAATTGCACGCGTCTTCACTTATCGAGCATATAAATTACCACGCAAGGAATACACAAATTCGAAATTACTATATTTAAATATTGTATTGAAAAGTGGATGATTTCATATGAAAATGTTGCGTGAGTATTGCAGTTATTTTGTGTTGTTTTTTCAATGTAACCAAACCTACCGTTGTTTTCGTTGTTCAACTTTATTGTGGACGATATTATAGGATACATATTCTACATTCTCAGAATAATATAACATTTTCATTAACATTACTGTTTACATGCTATAATCTCCATCATAAAGTACTTCTATTAGTTCTATATACCAATTAGCTAATAAATTCGGGTCGTTTAAACTGATATCACATTTATAGTTATACATTTTTGCATACATGCAAATCCAAATTTAGTACAATCCACTTCACAAATAATATATTCTTTTACATACTGCATGATTTCATCAAAATATTGCTTAAACTTATTTTACGCCCTTTACGACTAACTCAACTACCTGTCTTACGAGTTTCATTTTGCATATAATAAAAGCGGGCACATTTCTGGTGACATCTAGAGAACAAAAAGAACGAAATAACATTAATGCTTGCTTTGTTATAGTTTCACAGTTTCCCACAGCCAGTGAAAGCTTTTATGTATATAAAATGCCAATTATATAAGAATGTATCGTCCGTTCACTCGTTGAATTAAATTTGAAACTACACCGATGGCAGAATCCCGTTCTCCCTAAACGTGCAGCTCTCAGTTGCGCAGCCAGCCCGCAAGTTTTGGTCCTGCTATGTAAATTTTAGACATTATTTCTTTCATCTGTTGTTTTACAATGATTGAACACGGAAAATTAACATAGCAGGACTAAATTTGCAGGCTGGCTACGCCACTGGTAGCTCTTGCCAGTCGACAGTTGTTTCTAAGGTTATCCTAGGATAACTATTCTTAGACAATAGCGAGCTTCAGCTAGGACTACGACGACGACTGCAAACTTTCTCAAGCTGTGCCCTTACTCGGTCAAACTTCGTGCTCGGTTGTACTGCGTGCTAAAGCTCCCTAATACTAGGGACTGCGACGCAGAACGGGTTCAAGAACGATGGTTGACGTAGAATTGTCTAAAGTTACTGCTGTCAATTCCCTTACTATTTCAGTTATTTGCCGAGACATTTGACCTCCAGCGCTGTCCAAACAACGTTCGATTGATTGAAACTGAACATGCCAATCCTTCCACCTCGATAATACGTGGTTTGCAATTCGGGAGTTCGAAATAGAGCTTCACCTCCTTTGTAAACACTTATCCTAAATGAATAGTTCAAGCAGGTTAGGCTTCAAATGCGGGTCGTATCAGTTAATTGAGTACAATGGCCTACTGATCAAAACGTGCTCGGCTCCAAGCCCCTCGAGAATATGGAAAATGAAAATAACTCACCTCGCCCGCTTCCGCGATGCACTCAAGGTTAGCAAAAATTTGTAGGCCTGAAACGATTCCCACGGTGTTTGGTCAGAGGATCTCCACAAGATATTTGTCTGCAAAAGAATGATGACAATCCTATTTTTTGCTATTTTCTTTGGTTACATTGCGATGTCATCCTACCTGTCCGTAGACATTGTTTGTATTTCTCAATGCACTGTAAAGCTCCGAAGATCCTCCTCTTGTTGATTTCACCTCCTTTAAAGCAAAAAGCAAATACGGCCATGCATGTGAATCTGTCTTCTCACGTGTTTCATGCAAATGATGTAATTACACCCGGGCAATGTTAAAACTTGTTGTGGTGAAAGCGTGTGCTCTGGCTTGGCTGGTCTCATCCTTGTTTCGTGCAATTGATTTTGCTGTTTCTACACTTAAAACTTCCCCCCCTCTTTACCTACCTTGATCACCAGTCCCGTGTGGCTATTCGACTTTTCCCACATTACAAGGTAAAAGAGCTTGGCATTTTGGAATCCAAAGACGAGTCCCATTTGTGCCTCTGAGGAGCTTGTGCCGTCCACATAGATGGTTGTGTTGAATTCGACAGACTCGAATTTTTTGTCACCTGAAGAGAGAATGTGAAAAACGCGATCAAATGTTAACCTTCTACGGGGTCAACAAGACCTACTAACCAATAAGAATGTCGTTATTGGTGCCTTCAACTTTGCGAACTTCGCGTCCTTTTTGTTCGACTTTCCAAGTGTTTGTGTCATTTCTTACCACGCCGTCAACGCGGAACAGAACGTGCTTTCTGAAATCGACTGCGGTCATGGATGCATCTTGTGGACCCTCGTCCATTTTGTCTTTCACGCTGTCACCATCGTAGTCATACTTGCACTCAATTCCTCTTCCATGAGCTAAAGGGAAATGTACGTAGTTAGCAAAGGATGCCGCGAAGTGAGCTGTGTTTTGCTTGATATTAAGACACTGCTCTTCGATGATTTCATAAATTAACTTCTATTTCTGCCTGTTGTATTGCTCAATCTTTTATCTCATTCCTGACTTTCTTTCATCTCAAAAAGGAAAATCTTACATCTTGACAATCGTTGATATCTGTTTGCGATCAGTGGACAGTTGTCGTGGATGTCAATTATGCCATCGTTATCATCGTCCGCATCACACGAGTCGCCTGGAACGAAATTCTTGTTTTCAGCCCGAGAACTTTCATTTGAAAAAGAAACCAAATTGAGTTCGCTTCAATTATTACCTCTTTTGTCGAAGTCGTTGTCCAGTTGTGCGGCATTTGCTATGTACTGGCAATTGTCCACAGAATCTTGAATTCCATCGCGATCTCTGATTAAAAGAGAAAAGATTAATTGAATAAATACAATGGATCATATGAGGCTATTGGCATCGATATTACCTGTCCATATCATTATCGCAGGCATCTCCCAAGAAATCGTAGTCCGCGTCTTCCTAAATAGCAACAAATACCTCAAAGTTAGGAGTGCCAACGTAAAACCGAACAGCTTTGTCCATCTGCTGAATATTTGACGGTATGAAATCTATTACCTGATTAGGATTGAATTTCAGCGGACAGTTGTCGCATTTATCACCCACATTGTCTTTATCCACATCGCTTTGGTCCGAGTTCTTCACGAACGGGCAATTGTCCCTTCTGTTTATCACTCCTAAGAAGAGCAAGTTAAATGAGATCTTGACCAATGTTCTGAACCTAACGCTCCGAGGTATTACAATGAAGACTATTCTTATAGTTTCTTGGAAACATTAAATCCAAATATACTGAACATAGAATGCATAAAAAAACTAGCCATCATTGTCGTTATCAGGATCACAAGCATCGCCCATTCCTACTCCATCTGAATCCGTTTGGTCTTCATTTGGCGCTCGGGGACAGTTATCACAAGCATCTCCAACTGAATCACCGTCAGAGTCTTTCTGGTCTCCGTTCGGTACCCTCGGGCAGTTATCCTAACAAAGAAAAAACGTAACTTGTTTAATTTATTAACCAGCTTTTTAAACTATTTTATACTTCAACTGCTTCGTGCAGCAGGGAGAAAAATTCAAAGTGCTCTCTGCACTTTGAATACTTACGTTGCTATTAGGTATTCCATCTCCGTCAATATCGTTATCACAAGCATCTCCCGAACCGTCTCCATCAATGTCGCTTTGATCTGGATTGGGATAGTCTCGACAGTTATCCTAAATCGTGGATAATGGATTACGCAAGTGCGTTTTGATCATGCCGCCAGGGTCATGTGATACTCATACCTTTGCACAATGTGGCCCAGTGCAAGCAAGTGCATAGTCTGGAACACCGTCTAGGTCAGTGTCTTTGCCACAAAACAATCCATCGCCAACATAACCCACTTTGCACTAGGAAAATATTGTAAAAAATTCTTTTATTTCTGTTTTCTGTTTACAAAGGCTCGCCAAGCGTAGTTGAAGTTTGTACAGTTATGAAAATGGCCGGGATTTTTTTTTTTGTAAGTTTGTCTCTATTGAACGAAAAATATAACTGAAAAGCTTCATGAAGCCAAATTTTGCTTCCAGACACGCACGTACATTATGATACGCGTGGAAAGATTGGGGCTAGTTGTTGCTGGCTTCAAATTTTGGCGGGAGCTTGCTTTCTTGTTCATTTTTGTTTGATTTTGGTATTATTCATGGTTTGTTCAATTCAATATTTGCTATATGCGAAAATTTTCGCTTCAAACCAGTCTAAAAACAACTCCGGAGAAGGCAAAAAACCCTGCATTGGTCAATAAATCATATTCAAGAGTTTTGAAGTCAGAAAAGAGGGAATTGGCTTTTTATTTCGATGCGTATTTAAAGTCGCCATCCGCGTATGGATGCCATATTCAACCGAGGGAAATGAAATATTATGTTGTGAAATGCGAAGAAAAATGAACTATGGTTAGTACAATTTGTTTTTAAGAATGTATTCATTGTAAATTCAGTTTGTAGCTAGTTTTTATGCCAGAAAAATTTCGAAAATTCGTTGTATTGACATTTTGTGAAAATAGGATAAGTCTACGCCATTGCGCTCGTCTTCGTAGTCGCGTTTGCTAAATTCATTTCATAGTACCGGGTTAACTCCTGTTTTTTGATGAAGTTTCGTGGAATCACTTATTGTCAATAGGAATTTGTCTATTAGCTTCGACCAAACGGCCATCAATACATCAAATTTGACAAAACTAGGTTTTAAATAGATTGGTGAAATAATAAGACAAGCACAACGTGAACACACAAGAACATTGTGAATTTCTTGTGCCACAACTCACAAGTACTTACCGAGCACTCGAAGGATCTTCCTTGATATTTGCTTATGCAGTATGCATTTTTGTTACATGGGTTCGAGCCGACATTACCGGAGCAATATCTGATTCCGTTGCACTTCACATAAGGATTGCCATAATATCCATCCGCACAAGCACTGCACCTATAACTGCCAAGGGTGTTGATACACTTTGAGAACTGCGCGCACTTTTGGGGAATTAGGCATTCGTTGATATCCCTGCAAACCTGGAAAACAAGCAACCACGTGTTTATTTTCGACTTACATACATATATATACATATTGTTTGATGTTCGAAATACTTCAGCTCATAATTGAGACACCTAGCAGAATCAGACTCGAACAGTTGTAACAATATTTTTGTATAGATATGATGCTCATACACGATAATGGTCTCATTGTGATGGTGTACGAGTATCTTATATCAGAATAATATACTAGGGTAGCTCCCCCCTTTTTTTTCATGAACAAACAATGTATTGGGTAAAAGTCAGTGTCTGTTCTCGTGCTGACCTGCCACCACCCCACCCCACCCCCTCACACACACATTTACCTGTTTAGTCCTGGCATGTTCATATCCAACTCCCATGACTACTCCACCACGATACCCAATTGGACAAGAGTCACATTTGTAGCCTTGCTTAGAGTTGGTGCATTTAACTCCATTGAAACACGGACTCAGTTTACACTAAAGAGTTAAACAAAGGTGTCGGTGGCTGGCATATACCATATGTGTTTTTGTATAACGAACGTATATCGTTTAAGATAGGAGAACAACGATGGGTAGCGATCGTTTTATTTCTATGCCCTCTGTAAATATCAACTTTTGTTGTATGCTGAAAGCATTTAAACAACAATCATCTTCGGACATAATCATCAACCCACAAGCAATAATACCTTTCCCCGCACATTTCCAAACAACTTTATGTCTCAGGCTTTCTAATTGCCCATCGGGCCGTTTTATAGAGCTGCATTTTCCAAAGTCCTGTCATATTTTCACGTAATTATGTTTTGTGCTGTGCAAATAGTTTTTTGCATTTAAGCGTTTCACAATGGTATCTGTTCATCAACACACTACATCAAATATATTTTTCAATTTGAAAAGTTCTTCGAATGTCTTATATTGTTTTACCTCGTCGATGTCGGTACAATTCGTACCATCGCCTTCCATTCCTAAGGGACATTGACCGCACGTGTAGCCTGGTTTTTTGTTCGGCGTGTCGATGCACGTCACCCCTGGATAACACGGTTCAAATTTGCACGACGGCACTGCCAAAAAGATTGAAAATCTGGAGTCAGCCATTGCATGTAACACATGAAAGTTGTTCCGAATATCAGTCAACGTGAACTTATTTCATGCTTCAAGTACCCCTCCCCCCCCGGTTATTGTAGAAAAAGCTTGGAAAACGGTGGAAATCCTTTTTGGTAGAGGGGCCAAAAAGATTGGACGGAAGATATTGTTAGAAGTGGAAGTACTCCAAACTCAACAAAGTCAATTTGTGGTCATTTGAGCTTGAAGTACCACCCCCCTGTTTACTGTGGACATGGCCTGGGAAACTGTGGAAACCCTTTTGGTATAGTGATACGAATACCATCAAATCACCTACCTCTGCTGTCTGCAAACTGAAGATTTTCAATGATGCGTCGCAAGTACTGCGTCTCCAGCATTTGTTTGCTCAACATAATCTCCATCTGCGAAAATTGTGCCGCCATTCCTTGAAACGAGGGACGTGAGATGATAGTTGTTTCTTTGTCGTCTTCTTTCCTCGAATCTGTGGATTCGAAAATGATTTAGTTGAATACTTGTGGGTAGGGCTCGAAATTTGAAATTTCAACCAGTATCCAAAAGGATACTAGGGGGTGAAAATCTATGGTATTCAAATTAAAATTTCGTATGCCAAATTGATATCATACTGTACATTTCATAGGCAATATCAAGGTAATGAAAATCAATACAGGTCACGTACTATGCTATGCAAATACACTGTACACTGAAAATATATAGCAAATATTGATTGTTTGAATGGAGAAAAATGAAGAAAGTCATATATTCTTGACTAATGAACTTTTAAAAGTATAACTAAAATGACAATTTATAATGGATGAAACCCGTCAGAATTAGAGTCAGTATCAAACATCGCTCAGACTTTACACTGCTCGGACTCCTACGCATCTGATGATGCGCAGGTATTTGCGTAGGAATAAATTTTTCACTAATAAAAATCTTATAAAAGCATATGTTGTCATCTCGTGTAACAAGGAAAAAATGCACTTGGACAACCCTAATCGAATTTCATTGCATTACGATGGCGATTTCATAATTTTCGTGCGACAAACAAGGAACACTATTTTGACAAGCATTTCGCCAAGATTCGATTTGCTAATGTCGTAAATACTTCGACAGGCATTTTGCCAAGATTCGATCTACTATAATCTCGATCTGCTTATCTCGTAAATACGATTTTTTAGTATGCCATCTGAATACTAAACCAGTGATATTTATTATCCAAAATAACAATCTAGTATCATTTGGATATCAGGATATCGCCAATTTTGAGCCCTGCTGGTGCATTTGATAAATACACATCCCTCGACCTTTTGGAAAAATTTACTGAAGGAACGAGAGGAATGTTTACATATCATGTTGGTGGCAGTTATGTCGCCAGCTTCTTCATACTGGCAGTGGGGACGATGCTAGCTCCTTAGGTGCCAGTCTTCCATAAGTGCTCGGAGACATCCCTTCCTTAATTGTGTATTCATGGAATCTCTTCAGCCCTATTTCCTACATTTTCAGGCAAGTTTATGACAATCTAAAAGCCGCACATCGGTGATTTATTTTCTGTGCAAAGCAAACTGTTTTTGCAAGGCCAACTTTCTCTTATTGGCTAATCTAGAAGTGTCAATATCAATCGGGGTATTCAGTTCAATAGTGCCTTCTCACTTATTCCTCTTAGTTTTTTTGTCTTAAGAATTGGTCTAGATTTAGAATGAAATTGGTCTTTGAAATATCTGCCCCACCTGTGTCCGTCTCTGTAAATGGTGGCGAGTACTGCTTTCGTCTGCTGTCTCTCAAATTAGAACACACTGTCTGATCTGTCAGCAATTCAATGTCTCGATTGAATACAAACTTTACATTTTGTAAACTTCCCTGTAAGATGAGCAAATTATATGCAGTTTTGTAATGAAAAATGAAAGTAATATAGTTAAGTCGCTATGTTTGTAGATGTAGATCATCTAGGTTATTGGCATCCCGAGAAGAAAGACTGTTCGTGTTGGTATTTCGACAGCCTTATTAGTGGTAGCCATCTTCAATTGAGTCAAGTGACTATCGCTAAAGTTGTCGTCAGTCAACACCATCATCCTTCTCAGGACTGCACTTACCCGTTCGATCTACATCTGCACTCATGGAATAAAATTAGACAAATTTATTGTAATTGTACCCTCCATGGTCTCTCAAATCCTCCACGGTAGCCACGTGACCTCTGTGCAAACCATATTTGCGCGGAGGTGGGTTTCTTTTTGGCGAATGGCAGAAGACTCGTGTATCCTCGTTTCAACGTTACTTTCCCCTGCAGTGCGCAGTCCACATACACGGAAGCTTCTGGTATCGGATTATTCTTCCTCCTTACGCCAGTGACATGAAGTACAAGTTTGTGCCACGCGTTGTCGTTGATTGGTCCCACGTTCTTGAACGTCACTTCATAGGATCGACCGTGCACCAAATATAGCATAGTCAGACTACACCCGAGGTTGTTGCAATTAACCCAAACTCCAAGCACCGGTCGAGCTGTGGTAGATTGTACGGGGAAAAAAACTTATGGCAAATGTTTGTGGAAAATTCGGCAATGCAATTAATGTGTCCTAATCGAAAGTGTTCGAAATAAAATAAAACTGAAAGGAAAAGAAAGAAATCAGAGGCGCATTACAACACTGCTAAAGTGCTAAAGTGCAAAGCTGCAGTGCAGTTTTATACAGTTTCTGGAATTGCTTTTTTGAGAACATGCCTTGCTCCATCTTATGCACGTTTGCTGCATCATCTTTGTCAAAATAATATGCTACTGCCAGGTATAAATGGACTTGCTAATGACTTAGCCACTCCAATATCAAATACTCTCGATAAGTAAATACCTCTGAGTCTCGGACAGATGACAGTGCGATAACTTATACAGATGAAACCGTGATAACTTATAAAAACAATTGTTTTCACTGCTTTTATCATCGATCTAAGTAATTTTCGGCATGCATGCTGTATTTTTTTTCGACTTACTATAAGTGGTCTCGATCCACAGCAAAGCGCTTTCCTCATTTTGAACTTTCACATTCGCAGTTATCGTATAACCTGAATATATCTTAGTTTGTTTCGCGATTTCTGCGGCTAGTTTTCCTCGACTGACTAAGTTTTGCTTGACCTCGCCAAAGGTGAACGCTCTTCCTTCGAATAACAATCCTTCCGTGCTGACAACGTTCTCGATATTTTCATTTATTTTGAAGTCGTCCAAGAGATCGATCTCTGAAAATGAAATCATTCAGTATCAGGAAACAACTCGTCTCACAGATATGTCACCTATATGTATATATATATATGTATAAAAGCTGCAAAAGCCTCTCAAATGTGCCTATTTGAACATGACAAATACAGCTGCTTGCATTCAAAATCTATCTAACAATACCTGAATTGAATATGTACTTTGTGGATGTTTTTGTGTATCCGATAATCAAGACGATATGCCGTATGCGTTCGGCTTAATAGTTATAAAATCAGCTCGTACCTACTGCTTTGATTGCCAGCAACAATCCCACCAAGACGGTTATTGAAATGATTGCTTTGTTCATCTATAGATGGGCGAAAAATACAAGAATTCTTTACATTCTTGAAAACTGAATGCCTGTAAAGTTACCTCTTTGGGTCTTACATCAACAAAATTATATTTTTCAAGTTGTATTGTAGAAATGATTTTGAATTTTGACGTTTGCGTTTATCTTTCTGATCTTCCACGATGCAGCTCTGACGATAGCCACAATAGAATGACAGTAATGCTGACATAATCACAAGATATTGATAAAGTGTGTCATTTTGAAGAATTTATTTCGTAAAAACGTCCACGTCATATGTCATTTCATATTGTATGCGTTCAGCAGACGTCTATGCAGTTATGATTCAAACGTTATCTTTTCAATAGTTTGAGAAGGGGGTTCCTTAAGCTCCATGTGATGTCCGCGGATGTGAAGATGATGGTTACTTGATCAAATAATGATGTGCGAACTTAATTTCATGACAATGCCCATTTGTTGATTTATGCGTGTGAATTATATTTCAATCGTCAAAAAAGAGAGTATATCAAATATATAGCGAAACGCTTAGTGCCTAGTACCATGTATAGATAGAGCTGAATACAGTTATTAAAGTCTATTACGCATGCATAAGAAACTGAAAAATGGAAACCATTGCCTAAAATCATTCTTATTTGAATCTTTAGTTGCCATTTCGTAAACCACTACTCACGTTGACTGTTAAAGATGTTCCAAAATGCGCGAGGCTTGGGATCTATCTCCTATACGGTATGTTTGAAGAACATTTTTCTTCCAGGTCAACAATCATCTAATATAGCATCTTCGACCGGTTGACTAAATGCATTTTACTGGCCATCACACGATAATAATTCTTACGATTGAATTGAAGGAATGTAAGAGGCATTGTGAAAATGACTAATTACATCTTAAAAACGCGTAATTGCATGCATAGAATGCGAAATTGCCTGGTAAAATGTGTAATTGCAACATTACAATGCGTATTTGCGTATTAATATCGCAAAAAATGTGTGTCGGCAATGCAATAACAAAGAGTTCAATGCAATGAAGGCTGCCTTAACCTGCCAAGTGGAAAACCGCGAGTACAAAACATTGAGAATTCGTCACTGACTGCTAAAATAAGCTAAAAATAAAGGCAAAACGCCAAAGTAGGACTCTCTCGAATTTTCTCGAAAGCAAATCGTTACTTCTCCTAATAGTTATGCTCAATCATCTAGTAACTACTAGATGACTTTTGTCTACATTTAAATAGAGGCCTAAGTTTGTCAAACACTTTTCGCCAAATTAAAGAATTTTTGTCGGCTGCCTCAAAGTTTTTTCTCGATTTAATCATCTAAAACTGCCCAAGTTTAAATTAAACTTGACTGGCTAAATTTTCTACATGTATAATTGTCGAGAGCACTAATTGTCTTTTGACCGTGCATATTTGTTTTTTAAAGTGGATGTAAAGAAATCCGGCAGTGCCGTCCAACAATTCACTTAATGCGATAAAATGTTTCCCACGCGTTTGTTTCTACGTATAGAACACTTGAATTCGCGTCAATTGGAAAAATATCTTCATATGATTCGACTTCGTCCTACAGAATATTTGTGTAGTTCAGGTCACGTGAACGTTACAAGTCAATCAAACATAATCCATTTACTTATAAACAGCCCTAATTAAACTGTACAGACCATGTAAAACCTTGTGTGTGTTAACACTTGTAACCTCTGCTTGTCCAAATGGACGCGCAAATGGACACCCTACCAATGTTGTTTGCCATGAGCATGGCAGTCAGTCTCCATTCAGAGCTGTCTTGGTTAAATGTTTAATAAGTAGAGAGTTTGCTCCCTTTTTTCTACTTCAATCTCTCCAAACTTAATAAGCACGCGACGTCTTTATGTATTACATAATATTTAATGGAGGTTGCAAGAAAAGGTGTCGCTGTCTTTGAAGAACACCGTGGTGACCTTGCTAAAATTTTGTTTTTTGTCTTCCTGCTATTGAGCTACGTCATCGCACAAAAAAAGAGTTTGCCAGAATAAACGTGGCCGAAATTTCGCATTCGTTAAAACAGCTTATTTTATTTTGTTGAACGCGCGCTTGAATTGCGACAACCTTAATCATAAGTGCAATATTGCTAGACGTTTCGATAAAAGGCGTGTAAGCCCATGAATTTACCACTCCTGACGAAGAAGTTAGCGCGTGATAATGTTGTATAATAATTATTGCGAATGAAGAAATGTTACTCTTTTTTCAAATTATGAAATGGATAGCTGTCATGACACAATAATGATGGAATGACAATTTAGGAATAACCACTTGACAAACAAAAATTTCACCGATCCATCGCCTCCGATATCTGAATATACTTCAACAAACCTTAAAACTCACGCTCATCCTGTTAGCACCTTGCGATTCACAACCAGTTGCTGACAAACGTGGTCCGTATTATTTCCACTATCACAACTCGAACAAATATTTAACTTTGTCTCACTTGCGTATATGTGCTACGTACAGTGATGAATGCGCCACTCCACTTGAGTGTTTTTATGTCTGCTTTACCTTGCGGAGTCACACAGTTAATGCGGCGCTCGAAGCGTGACAAGAATGCAATTTGCTTAAAACTTGCATGTGTTAATAGTCACGAAATTTGAAAAATTTTAATTTAAAATTTCACTTGTACTTCCTACATAATTTATAATGTATTGTTTCGTCTTTATCGCGATAATTGCATGCTATACCTTGATTCGTCGATATGTTTCTCGATTTTTAACGACTAAAATGAAATTAATTATGTACTGGTATGTATAGGTGCGAGATATCAGAAAAATACACTTGTTTTTTATGATGCTTCAGCTAACGGAAACTTTGCCCGGAATTCATGCTTCTATTCTCAGTTCTATTCTTTTCTATTCTTTACTTGATGGGTGGCACATGACTGTGGAATTTCCATTTTGTTAAGGAATCGTGATCTCATTTCTTCTAGGCAAAACTGTTTCGACAGTTTATCAGTAGAGCATGACAAGCCACCTAGTGTGATGGCTCAAACAAGATTCGAAGTCGTATCTTTTGAAATTGTGCATCTGTTTATCAACGATATAGGTTTTGGGGGAATATTTTTTGTCAAGTTGCGAAGTCATGTCTCGCCATAGCCTATAAAGGGTCAGCTTTAGTAAGCGTTCACGCGGACATATATTGTTATGATAAATTCGCTTGAACTTTCTCGAATAATGACCTTAATGTGAAAGAAAAATCTTGAAGGAGGGTATATTAGTCTCGTAATTGCTAGAAGGGATTTTTCGCGAAAGATGGTCTGCTCAGGAGTGTGTTAACTCATGGCGTTGACTTAATTACTTGTGTTTTGTTGCACATTTTAAAAGGTTTCACTGTTGCAGGAAATCAACTGATAAAATATCTTAAAATGTTTATCCGTTCTTTGCGATATTCCAAAACGTCCGCGATACTCAAGTGAACACTTGAGATTTCGACAAACGTTTCGACAAGATGTCTTTATATGCAGTAACTGTGGACCAGCCACCATGTACTGCTTTCTCATATTGCCCCCTTAATGTGTTGTACAGAGTCTTTTCCAAAAGTGTCTCGTAATTTAGCTCCATATCGTGCCCAGAACACAGTATCTCAAACACACTCCCATGCATGAATTTTATGCTCGATCTCTTCTTGTGACAAACAGAAATGGCACGGCTGAAATTTCATTTGTATCCCTTGAACCTGATGGCGTTTCTTATCTTACGATTGTCTATATGTTTTCTTGAGCTGCTCATATTAACTGCTGGGTGTTTGCTGTTTTCAATGGAGTTTTAAAAGCTATAATTAACTATAACAAGCTCCACAGCATTTTTCGATTCCGTCGAACAGCTTTTGAGAAGTAGCGTTTTAGAGCAACATCGGCATGTCGAAATACCTACGTCATCACGTCAGCAGGGAACACGAAGGGAGGATGCCCTCTGTCGTTCATTTTAAAGTGAATTTTAATTTTGGCTGCTGTATCGGAAAATTTTCTTTTTTACAAACCGAAACATCGTGTCCATGCATGTCTATTTGTCTATTGTGCTGAACGAAGTGGTCTTCTACTTTGAGCAATTTGGCGATTACGATCGTAAATAACACCCAAGGCTATCCGATAGCAATTTCAAATGTTTATTGTAACTTTTGAATTGGAGTCTCGTTTCCTCCTTTTACAATGACAAAAATATTTAAGAAAGTGACAAATTGAAAACTTTTAAGGTGTGAGCTTCATCCCTCCAAAAGTTTTCAATCAAATAGAAAATGTTCCAGAACATATTCGCTGGCGTCTTATGCTCTGAGTGTTCAATTTGATGTACATTTTATTTGATATACACTCTCGTGCAGTTGACCTGGTTCATCTTGAAGTGTATATTTTTAATAATGAAAAGTTTGTTTTCTCGATGAATTAAAGTGTATGTTTTGCTCTCCCAGTTTGGCCATTTCGCTCATCTGTAAAGCATATCATACGTAAGCATGCGTGACTTCTATAAACATAACTAATCATTTATTAAAACCAATATATTCTGATACATCAACCAATATATTCTGATACATAATATATTCTGATACATCAGCTAAACAAGCACGATTATATTTCTATTTCGCTAATTTCATCTTTGGCCATTCCTCACTTCATCCAGATCATCGCATCTCTTAAATTTTCTGGAATGGAAATAATTGTAATATGCGCATTAAGTCAGTTCAGTTACCTGTTGTGAAATATTTCTTAACATCGAATCTACTGGTAACTATGATGTAATGAGAATTTGGTTTCTATCGAAAAGTGAAAACACAGAGAACTAAAGCAATCATTGTCATGTCAATTAGTCGTACAGGAATAAAAGTGATCTATATAGTAAATAATGACTAAAGGCGGCTTCATTGATCGTGAAATTCATCACGCAATCTACGTAAAAGAACTTATGGAACTTCAATACAATTCAATGCTCATGCTGTGGCGAAAACAACTTACTGATGACGTAAGCTAAGGCTGTCACTCTTAATTATCTCCATGCAAAGGATGAGCCCGCGTTTTTTCATGCGGTGCATTGTGACCATGGTAATTTGAATTCATAAAGACGTCGCCTACAAGGCGTCCACTCGGGCTACTCGAGAACAGTTTTCGGTTATATTTACGTATTATAATTGTTGCCGAATGGCACAACGAAATTGACTACAAAGCAATCTCACATGTGACTATATATTTTGATGTGAATCATCTTTAATTATAGCTACGTGTCGTTGACAGTGACACTCGCGCGTAAAACGATCTAAGAAAGATTTTGATTGGTTAAAGGAGGTCGAGTTAGTCACGCGTTATTTGTACAATATCGTGTTATGATAGGAAAACCAGACCGGCTTTTACACTCTGGTAGCCCGAATAAAAAGACCAAAAATGTAAACACTCGCGCCGGCTTGTTTGAAAAATTGATCAAATACACGTTTTGCGAAGGGAAACGTCAACTAGAGGGAAAAATAATGAAAAAGAAAAGGTTTTGGTTTTGATACAAGAACAATACTTCGGCCTTCTACACATGTACATATTTAGTCATCGTTTGAGATGCATACACACGAGGTATTTCCGCCTTCTCTCCAAACTTTGTACCCTGTCTTGCTTTATGTTGCTGACGATATTGAGCTGTAGCGGAGTGTAGGTCGTCACTCCCTGGGTCGAGAAAGGTCCGCGGAGCTGTGTAGGGGCGCTCGGGACTTATCTTTCCCAAAACTTTGCCCTTATTGGGAATTTTTTATCTATATTTTGCGTTATGTATACACATGCAAATGCATTAATGGGAGAGATGTCTCACGGAGAGAACTCTCACGGAAGCCAGGAAGTCATGCAGGGCAGAAGAACGAAACGACACTATGACTGCCAACTGGTATTTTTGCAAGACAATTGTTTATAAGTGGAAAATGAGAAGTCTTTCACGCCTACCTTCTCTCAGGGGGGCCATCTTTTGTGCGACCAACTAGAAGATTCATCGAGAATCGTGCACGAAAATGGACCAATACTTTCCTGTTTCACGAGCAAAAGTGAAGCTCGTTGTCTCAAATGCACTTCCTGCCCCCACGTACACGAAGTGACTGTTGTCACTTTAAAGTTTTCTTTGTCGTCAGACAGAGTTCCCTTGCGTGCAAAGTTTTTCAAGAAATCGGCTGATTTAAAAATTATCCTGACATAACTGTATAGAAAGAATGCTCATTTTGATAGTGAGATTCTCACGCCCACCCTTATCAAATTAGTAAAAAGTCTCGGAATGTGCATTGATTAACTCTCATACTACTAATACTATCAATAATATTTGACTCGTTTTGTACAAGCAAAGGTCACAGAGTTGAATAAACTCCTACATACTTGAGATTCAATTTTGCGCAATTTTGGGGTTTCCAGTACGTCTATTCCCCAATACTGAAATTCAGGGGAATTTGAAATGGGTTTCATGGGAATGAAACAGTATTAAATGAACTTTTGGAAACGAAAGTATGAAACACACTAACTGGACATTCGGAGATTGTAAATTATGAATAAAGAATAAATGATAAAAGAATGAAAATGATGTAAATACACTTCCAATATGCATTTTGTATCCCCCACGAAATGATTTACCACAATAGTCTCCATTCCACTTGAAACTGGCTTCATGAAAAATAATCTATTTACAATTTCATAATTATAGCAAGATTGAAAACGAGGTTGAAAACGAGGTTGAAAACGAAGTTGAAAGTAGACTGTAGCAAATTGCATAAACCAAACTCTTTAAAAGTTGTAGGCCAAAAAATTTATTTACTATCGCACATTGAATATCAGTTGAGGAATGAAACAGATCAGAAATTTATTATAAACTTGTCATGAAGCTTATGGACATGCACTCTCCACCTCGTGATATCGTGATTAAATTGGCAAACTTTATTTTTAAGGATCGTGAATAATTTATAAAACATGTTTAAGATTAATTCAAATTTCAAGCCAAAATGGCGATTTGTTTACAAGCTCTGCACTGTCATTGAATCTTTATAGTTTATGTTGACACATCGTGTCATCCCTGCAGATTGTCGAGCTGTTCATTATACATGCACAACAAGACCAAGGTCAACATGTACGTTGAATTGTGGACTTAAGGCTCAGAAAACATAACCCGTGTTTGCCTGAAAATAATATAAAACCGTGAGAATTCATCGATCATATTTAACTTCCTACAAATCATGTACGTTTCTGTTGCTGTTATGTTTGATTTGTTTAAAATGACACTGTTCGACGTGTTTCATATTTTCATTTGTCGCTATGTTCACAAATGTACGTTATTTTTACTTTATATTTTGAATGCATTGTAAACCTTGCTGTTTTTCTTTGAATATCTGTCGTTCATTCATTATTATACCTAAACCGAAAAAGTTGTCTAATAGTTTTTATTTAGGTAGTGTAAAGACTGTTCTTGTTCTCTGTTGTTCATTCATCACTACCTACACTGACACACGTTATCTTAGTTTATATTTTAGGTAGTGTAAAGACTGTTCTTGTTCTCTGTTGTTCATTCATCACCACCTACACTGACACACGTTATCTTAGTTTATATTTTAGGTAGTGTAAAGACTGTTCTTGTTCTCTGTTGTTCATTCATCACTACCTACACTGACACACGTTATCTTAGTTTATATTTTAGGTAGTGTAAAGACTGTTCTTGTTCTCTGTTGTTCATTCATCACCACCTACACTGACACACGTTATCTTAGTTTATATTTTAGGTAGTGTAAAGACTGTTCTTGTTCTCTGTTGTTCATTCATCACCACCTACACTGACACACGTTATCTTAGTTTATATTTTAGGTAGTGTAAAGACTGTTCTTGTTCTCTGTTGTTTATTCATCACCACGTACACTGACACACGTTATCTTAGTCTGCATGTTAGATAGTGTAAAGACTGTTCTTGTTCTCTGTTGTTTATTCATCACTACCTACCTGACAAACGTTATCTTAGTTTATATTTTAGGTAGTGTAAGACTGTTGTTGTTCTCTGTTGTTTAGTCGTCACTACCTACACTGACACATGTTGTCTAAGTTTATATTTTAGTTAGTGTAAAGACTGCTCTTCTACTCTGTTGCATTCGTTTATCACTACCTACACTGACATGCACATATTATCTTTAGTATTATTTGTGTGATAAGAAAACCGTTTCAATATGCCTGAAGTTCGTTCATTTTTACCTGCCTTAAAAACGATATATTATTAGATAGGAAATCATCTTTTTCTGTTAACGTTTTAGTTTGACATATCGTATTGTATAGCCGTTGTATAGAGCTTCTTGTCGTTTTTTGTAATTCCAAAAATTTTATATTTTTTCAGGTTTTGCGGTGTGGCTTACTTCATGGCGTTTGCATGTGCAGTAATGTGGATGCCTGGGGTAAGTATATGTTGCAATGGTTTGTCTGAAGGGGAGGGCCCCCGATCGAGGGTCTAAATTTTCATGATTATTTGCAAACATATATTCGTAAGTCGTGAGATTGAGGTCGGGTTATTTTAGTGATTGCGGCCAAGAATCGCACACACATTTCCATATCATTGTTTTACAGAATTTGTCAAAACTTGTAGCTGCATAACCGTTGTACATGTGTATATTGTAAAAATTTAATTTGCATTCACATATTTTGGTAAAAAAAATTATATAATACATTTAATCAAATTTGAGTGTAATCAAATTCGCATGTATAAGCTGATTATGACCTCCTTTATACTTATACTTTCAGTGCCAAGTTTCAATTAAAGAACCAAAATTTATAGAAATCCCGTGTATTATCTGCATGATTCATGACTGCTAATTGCCTGTCGAGGTTGTATGTGTGATCATATAGGCTGTGGGCTACAGCCTAAATAAATCACAATCTTTGTAGCTGCTAAATGAGAAAGTTCGGCAATTTCTCTCAAAGTTGATAAAATTGGGTCAAAAATTAGTTATGAAACGTATATGGGCCAAAAAACATTTTTGTGAGAAGATGGCAATGTTTAGAAAGAGCCGTAAATGTTTACGTGGGTACGTGTACTTTTGTAAAAGACATCTCTACATGCAGACTACGATTATATTGACATTGGATGTGGCTGTCAAACAAGCCACTTGCCCATATATATATATATAGCTACGCTTTAATTGCATCTGAGGCAAGTGTTATTTAGCTTGTTTGATTACCTAATTGCAATTGCTCATGAGCACAATGAGAATTCTAATGAAGACTTAATGCATCTTTAAGTCATGTGGCGATTTTCACATCGTTTTTGCTTATCTAATTCACAACTTTCCAATATCGTCTTATCGTTTTAACTATTAAATCACAATAGAATAAGCTAAAAAACGCTGATGGGGGTAAAAGCAATTTCTTTCTGCGTTATTTTTGTCTCCATTTTCATGCGTACATATGTTGTTATGATAGCTTTATGAAGCAATTTATATGGAAAAGTTTCAGAGGGCGACAGTCATAAATCTTCGTTGCCATTGTTTCATGGGAGTTTGATTTTTTTTTTCATTAGCAGCTGTTTTAACGTGTAGCGACTGAGTAACAGTTTTTGCGGCCAGCAAAAATTACCTTTTTATTCTTGTGCGTTCATTTTTAATTTTCAATTTTAAATTGCTCAAAATGTTTCTGATATTACATATGCATTAAACGCAACTGTATGGTGATTAACGGTCGAGATCTTTGAAAGATTCTTTATGCATATAAAATGCCGTTTGCCCAATACATTTTTGCCTTCAAATATCAATTATATACATAGAAATATATGGGACTGCACTTAAGAGATGTAGCTAGTTCGCTTACTCGCTGCGAAACTTTGATTACATGTAAATTTTCAATCGCGCGCAATTTTATCCAAATTACATTTTACATAAAATGTACGCACCGATCCGAACAGCAAAGGCACTTTGTTGAAGAAAAATACATTGCAATCTTATTCATTTGGTTTTAATACGAATATATAGGCCAAAAAATGTTCGTGTATTTCAGCGAGGCATTTTGAAACATCGATCTGAGGACTGTTTGCGTGCACCATTCTGTGCGTTTTGGTTTCATCACTTTCAAAGGTTGACATTTTTTTTATCAACGACAAACAAATATATAGATATATACTGTGCAGCAATTCTGGATGAGGTCAGACATATTTTATATATTTTTTTTCTGCTTATATGTACTTAACAAATCAACCAAAAGAACAGTTTCCGAAGTCCCACGCTCGTTCAGATGATTGAAAAATGATATTTCATACAAAATGAGGCATTTAACGGTTTGAATTTTTAATTAGCAATTAATAACAGCTATATGTTTTTTGTATCGTAAAATGCTCCGATATTGTTCTTCCGTGAAGGTGCCTGGCGATCAGTTGTTCTGGCATCTTCAGCGAGTAAACTCGTATTTTTTATCTGAATATTACTAGCTATGTAGCTACATGTGTTGGCCTAAAATTGTACCTCGTGAACTTTCTGTCCACGAGCTTGAGAACAAAAAGCTATATGAATAACGCAAACTCCTAAATATATATGACAAATTGTTTGCACCTTTTTCAAATCCATTTAAATCGATTATGAAAATCGTCGTTAATTTTATATTGCCAATTCACCTTTGCACGGTCTCTCTGCGATAAATGAAAAATATTAGCTAAAGAGAATTGATTGCAACTTTTTCGGGTAATATTATTAGAGGCATGTATCTATAAATGAAAAATGAACGGATTTAATGGGAATAATTCTCGAGTGCAGACTGGATCTTGAAGTTTTTTATAACATAGCTAGTTTATGAAGCAGTCGATAAACTTGTCTCGTTTTAGCTAGAAGTATTAAACGATTGATTTTCATCGAATCGTTTACTTTCACACACACACACACATATATATATATATGTTGATAGAAATCATATGCACTCGTGTATCTGTTACTGTGCTTACCAAAAATTCTTTAAAAACTGGCATTGGGTCATGTAGAGACTTAAAAACTGATATAGTTACTTAATTATCCGAAAGATTTCTGCCTTCCAAAATTTCTTCTTGCACCGTCGCTTATTTATGAATTTATTGCTCATTGACTTTTTGAATAGTTCTCTAATCGAACTTTCATATGTATTTCATAAGTCTTTGATTTCGGTGTATATATAGTATTTTCTACAACACTGATGGGACATTTGCGCGCAGTTCTTCGTCGTAGTAAATTGAAATAAAGTTATCTATTAGACGACCAAATTGCATCGCGTCGTATCACTAAAAAGGAAATTGATTTCTCGTCGAAATTCTTTTGACAACATAATTGCAGCAATTTAACGAAGGCGCGAACGAATTATCTTGCAACTAATTACATTTACCTGTATGTTATTCTTTCTAAAAGGAGCTGCCCGATTTCACGTTAATGGGTGATCTCCCATATGTACGCGTGCGCACTGAACGTGTGCCCATTTCGACACTATATCAATAGTTCAGCAGCTGCTAGTTTACACTCTGGTCAATTTGCTTTTTTTTATGTGCGCGCCTTGTTTAATATGATTACTCGCATTTGTATAAATAGCTGAACAAATGCAGAATATCTCTCACAGTTTTTCGATACTCATCCTGGGCTTGTCAAGAAAGGAAATCTGACTTTGAAAAGAAAGAATATTCGCCGTCACTAAGGTACATATGCGAATGTAGATTTTTTTGAAATCATTTTTTTTACAAATACAAACTCACAGTCGTAGATTTTCTGTCTACATGAGAAACGTTTTTTTTATGATCTTTAAATTAAAAGATATTTCACTCAGTTTAATTTTCCAACTATAAAAGATCAGCTGGAAAGGTTTAGTTATAGCTGTCTTAAAATGAACATGTTGTGTTCTGTGAGCTGATATTTCTAGAAGAAATAAATTTTATTTGTCACCAATACGAAACTCTACTCTTTGTGTATATCATTGATCTTTCTTTCCGCCGCATCACAGTTGACATTTATCCTCTCTTTTATAATGTCTCTGAAATAATTTTTTTATCTTGCGATAACGTAAAATCTTCAAATGCTTCACATCGTGTTTACTTTTTTAGAAAAGTCGAACATGATGAATTTCAATTACGATTATGGATATCGTCCGGTTTTACCGGAGTATGTACCGACCATTTTGAATAGGTCTGCTTTGAGAGATCGCTTTACAGCCGAGTGTCATCTTCTCTATCCAAGTTTGCCTCCTTTTCATAAACCACACACTTCATCTGAAGCTCTAAATGTGAGTCTCCAAGTGGAGTCGAGTTGGACTTCAGTTAAATCTTTCTCCTTGAAATTTTAGTCTTATAACTTTATCGCAAGTGATCTTAATTCTGTTTGTTTTCCGTATTTCAGAATGCCACGTTATTGAGAACGCCTTATTCATCGCCATATCATCATGCAGTCTATCAATTTCGCAATGAAGAGCGAGAAACCGCGTCGTCACTTTCGATTAGAAAGCGTTCGAGAAAATCTGCCTTTCTGCCCGTAACCAAAGGTCGCCCGGATACATCTGTGTATTACAAGGGTTAGCCCATAGCTCTAATTTTTAAAAAAAAACAAATTATATTCAGTATCTTTCAAGCATTCTAACTCGAATCCTGAAATTTCAGATCATCGAGTTTGTACCTGTAACTTTGCACCACCATCTTCACAATTTCCGAACAGCCATCTTTCACCCACGTCAGAAATGTACAACTGGGTTTGCTGTAAAAGTGACGGCCTAGTACGCCCACCCGAATACAATCCGATCGATATTCGAATGTCAATGTTCACGACACAATCGTATCCGATGATGACCCGAACACTTAAAGAGAAGGAAAAGAGACGAGCACCAAAACGGTTTCAATGCTCCCAATGTGAAAAATCATTCGGCAAATCGTCACACCTTCGTGACCACTTTCGAACGCACACGGGAGATCGGCCTTACAAATGTGAGCACTGTGACAAGGCTTTCACGCAGTATTCAAACTTGCGGACTCACACGAGAATCCATACGGGGGAGAAACCTTACCGCTGCACACATTGCAACAAGCGATTCACGCAAGCTGTCACGTTGCGCAGTCATACGAGAACTCATATCGGAGAAAAAGACTACCCTTGCAAACAATGTCCGAGAACATTTTCTTGCATTTCCGCTTTAAAGGCGCATGCGCTGATGCACAAAGACGTGCAGGCGACGTCACCCGATAAGATGAAACACAAATTGGTCAAAATAAAAGAAGAAATTGAAGATGACGCGATGTGACTAACATGTATGAGCGCTGATTCATTATCTTTGTTTATGTTAAATTATCTATTTATTGTGGAATTATATTGTTGTAGCGAGTTAACCATGTGCAGTTACATGCACATGGTATGGTATCATAAAAAAATATATTTCAGTAGAAGACAAAATGGCCAGTTATTCTTAGGTCTTATTGTTCGACAAATCTGATAAGGTTTGATGTCATAAATCATATTATTTATATCATCGAGATAAGAATTATCTGGAACTTAAGGGTATATTTCATTTAAAAACCTCTTTCACAAATCTTAGCTTGCCAATGCGGTTGTTCCTCTGTTGTTTCTTTCTTCAAAACGACAGGGTTCCCTGTAACCTAACTCCAGGTATTTCTTCAACTGTCGGCACTTCTATTGATACGGTCCCCAACTGTTCGCACGCCATACAGTATATTAATAGTGAAGATAGCTAAGATTGATGTCGTAGCTATTTGAACCAAAGAGATGAAAATTAATTTTAAGTTGTTTTTTTTCTTCAAGTATTTACCTTTTTCACATCACCATATTTAAAGACAAACATATACGAACAATCAGCTTTATGCATTCAAAACAAGTGGATAACTAAGGATTTCACACATTTTACTTATCCAACCTTTTAACCTTTTCTCTACAGCCTGCATATAGTATCACTGACAACCGGGAAAATGCTCCGAACGGTCCGAATATTTTCCATAGTTTTTGAGCACAAAAAACCATCGGGGGTCAAAGGAAAACAGTGCATGCTAGGACGTAAAAATGGATGCTGAGTTACCACGAAGAGGACATGTGCATCAGTAATGTATACATGCGTCTTTGATAGGAAAGTGTTTAATCACCCTGTACAATGGAAAAAAAGTAAATTATTTCCGGATAAAACACATTTTGCAATAGATCAACTCTATATTTTCTATAAGTTTCATTTTGTGCGAACAAAGGTGTCAACACTCGTACACGCTATCTGCAATCATAACAACTGATATATCGCTGGTAGTGCGTCGCACGTTGCGCGATTTATATTGCAATCACACGACGTACAAACTCATCATCTACAAATGAAAATGCTCTCATGTTAAATATCCATCAATGGATAATCTGTGCAAAAAAAATCATGTCTGCGTTGCGATCGTGTTTTGCACATCTTGTACACCTTTGCTGTATTTTAACGTGGAATAAACGAGGAAAACTCGTTCATTTCTCTTTTTACTTTTCACAATACCTTGGGAAATGTTAAATACTCATTTTTCACGGGGCGAACGCTCGTGGTCCTAAAAGCGTTAATCATCCCCGCCCATATATTCGGCGCATTCCAACTCTTCTGCGCTATCAGCTTTTTTCAATTGAAACTTGAGATTAGCCAGATAAATGCAGATCACGATAAATTATTCGACCGGAGTATTATCATACCATAAACTTCGAGAGCAGTTTGTTGTGTTCTGGCTGATGTCGCGTTAGCAGAATCGAACGGACTCTAGCTCAATGTACGTTTCGAAAACGATACGCTTGACTGGTGGTTATATTTTCAGCGAATGGCTGAAAGTTGCATGTTGTTTCACGTGTTTTGTCACTTAATTACGCTCCACAGGATTCTATTGATGCTGACTCTGTTTTTGTATCTCATTCATATAGAAAATCTGTTTGCGTGTCAAAAGGACTCGATCGTATAAAAGGTACGTACATATACGATTATATTATGTGTGATATCACAATTTTTTCAATAGTCCCGGGAACCGGTCTGCCCGTGAATATACAATGAAAAGGAAGCCGTTATGCAAAGCATTGAAACGAAACATTGCTGCGAAAATCTAATGGCTTGAGCGCATGCCTTTATGGTAATTCTATCTTTTTGAGACGAAGGCAATATGAACGACTAACGCTCGTGTTTTTTTCCATAAACGTTCCTCATTTTACCTTTTCCAAAGTATTTTTTTTTCATATCTAATTGTTTCAAAGCCGTTAATTTCGTCGCACTGTTTTAATTGTTTTATCATGAGACGGAGGGCGGGATCACGAATCCATTTTATGATGGCTACATATTCCAAGTACTTCTTTCGAAATGTCAATTCTTTCGATTTCAACCTCTGTGTTACTGGTGTTCATTCGTTGCTTTCAATGACATTACACGCTTATTTCATGATAATTGGTTGTCAACTTATGCATAATGACTCTGACAAACCAATCTAATCAATGCAATTTCTCGCTAGTTTCGAGTTTTGCTCGAGAAATGTCTCATGAAAAAGGCTTAGATAAATCAATATGAATAGTTTATGGTGGGACTGAAACTGCGCAAGATTAAATGGGCACGTGGTCACAACGACTTGGTTATAACACATATACTTACCCTCGTCAAACTTATTTTATAATCACCCGAGGCTGATTTCCATTATCGCTTCCTTTGACAGTAAGAAATTGTCTTTACATGACGGTATTGACGCATCTTGTAAGTTCACACAGAGCATTCTCGGTAGGAAAATGTGTGTGTATGTAACAGTCTGCGAAATTACTCTAATGCCCTGAAAAACTGTAGGATTTACTAGCATTGACTGCTTTGTTTGACTTTGTCGAGCGTTGTTCAACTTATTTGGCGAAAGAATAATCGTGAATGTTGTGAATGCATGAGGATAAGTGTGGTAATATAAGATATTCAGGGTCTGTAATCAATTTAAACCGAACCGAAAACTTATAAAAGGTATTCGTTGACAAAGTGTCGTATTTTGATTTTGACAGTTTTGTGTGGATAAATAAACACGAACATACGAATGAAATTTTCCCATTGCGATCAATACGGTGTCCTATTACAATTCAATAAAGGTAATGATCACACAATAACAGAGAACATAAACAAGAAACGAGGAATTATAGTTCCCAAGATGGAGGCACACTGCGCACCCGCTTATGGAAATCATCAATCACTCGAGTCCTTTGTCATCAGTCCCTATCTGTAAATTTATTCTTAGGCGACATCTTGTCCGGCACATGCAGCAGATTAACAATTATTTAGCGATATATGTAGATGGTGCAATACTATGGAGCCAGGACCGATATGGATGTATAGTCATCGATGACAAACATGTCAGTACAGTTTTCCAAACATGCCGTCAGTGGCGGTGGGGTATTTTGGTATTGAGGTCACATTTCAAGTGGATTTTCATTTTACATCTTGCATTTTATGTTCATGTGTGTGTGTTTGGGAGTTGTACAGCCGGATGTCCCGTGAGAATTGACGGGCTGGCGACAAACATTTGCACTAAATATGGATAGTCGTTATTTAATTGAAATATATCGTTGACTGGCTTGTATGGGGGGTATTTGCCACCGATGAGAAGGAGCTTTTTTGCATGTTGCTTTTTTTAGTTTGGGATCTTTCGTAATTTCTATAATCTTACCAGTAAAGTAATCGCTATAATCCAGATAATGAGCATGAAAAGATCACGCCACCCTTAGTGCATGTTTTTGGCATTTTTCGCGGTCATCTAGTTTCAACGCTTTTTTTTAAAGTTTTTTATATTTCGAGAGGTCTCGATAGCTTTTTTTTTGCCGTGTGACTTCATGATTTGATTGATTTTAATGTAGGAAATCTTTGTCGAGAATTTATAAAATGCAGTTATTATATGGTGCTTCTTGCTGCTGTTATGGAAATGTTTTAGGTTTTAATGTAGTCATTTCTGTCGAAACGGTTTCACCCTACAAACGACGTGTTCATAGTTGTCATAATCATCAGCTAAACCAACAGTGAATCATTTTGTTATCAAGTTGCAAAATTCAATTGATCAAAAGTTTTAAAACATCATTTGAATGATGATTTTACGTGGTTTCGTTATCTATCAAATGCGAGCACCGTTTTCGGATCGACTTTCATTCAAATCTCATCAATTCGTTAGCAAAACCTGTAGAAGATACCCAAGCGCAAAAATGTTTTCATTAACGGAGTTATCGTGTAAGTTTTCATATTTGCAACAATGTTCATTTTCCATTGTTATTTTTTTTCCAGATGGCACGTTTTACGTGGCTCGTGTGTCCGCTGCTCCTAATTTTTTCGTGGCTGACGTTTACTTGTTACAGTTTCGGTTAGTTTTGAATAGCTGGACTTTGTATTCCTCTTTATCTTAATCCTTTAAAATTTAACCAGCTTTATGGATTATATTAATTTACTTGGAAAAGGGAATTAAGATGAGCCCGATGATAAACTTTTTCTCGTGTAATCTCTTGCATCGTTTTATTAGATGTATTTTTCTTCCACCTCTTATATGTTCTAATGACAATAAACTTGAAATATTTGGTCATAGCACATCGTTTTGCTACATATGTGGGGGAGGGATGTGTAAGGAAAAAAAGGTTGCAAAAAAATTCAAACGTATTCTTGCTTATTTAACACTTAGAGCACAGCATTATGCCCACCGCTGAAAACTCGTTCTCTTGTTGTTTCAACCATCTTCTTGTTAATCATTTCAGAGGTCAATCTCTTTTCAATATTCCGAGGCGATCCTGGTTACTATAACGTTGAACTGGACAGCGGTATCAATCATCGAAGCGACGCGTTCAAATTCACACCTCACGTGAGGAAACTGCGCGTCCCATTTGCAATATCCTCCGAAATCATCACGCAAATGGATGCCCACGATTCCTTAATACTTGCCGTCTATCTGAAGATTGCTCCTTACAATTACGGAACGCTGTTCTCCGCCAGTGGAGGCCACAAAGACATGCTGTTTGATGTTTGGGTAAATTCTGGAGTGTATCCTGTACTAGGTGTGCGGTATTCTCCGGTCAACTCCTCCCGAGTGGAAACTGTGACGTTTGGACCTGTTATGGACCTCCGGTTGAAAAGTTGGAATAAAGTCGTTCTTCATATTTATAGGTAATTCATGAATTTGCTGAATGATCGAAATCGTTTATGATTGTTATGAAAAAAGCAAAACTCTTGTATCTCTGTTGGCATTCCGTTTGCACTGGTTTGTCTTAACTATGAAATAAATTAGCCCACTTCTTAAAAATATTTTGCTCATAAGCTTATAATGATACATCTGTTGTCTGATATTTGTGTTAACGCCTCAAAACAGCAGAGTCTCTTGAATGTCGTTTCCATCTGGTAAAGATATTTTGGTCAATGAAGTAAAAGTTTTGATTATTGGATACTTTCACACGCCTTCATTAGTTAGGCCCGTTGTCAGCATTCAACTCCAGATATTAAACTTTCATAAAAAAATGAAAGCACTCATATTTAATGATCTCCTTGCTTTTCAAAATAGTTAGGATGCCATAAAGTTTTATTGTATGATGTTGATGCTTTTTAAAACATTATAACCAACGGATGTTGTAGGCAGTGCAACTCAAGGTCACGAGAACGTTGATTGGGGCGAGGGGATATTTTTTCATGTATTCAGTTGTGCCCTATTGATATCTTTTGACAATGCTATATTATATGATAACTACTAGTTTACCCATTTCTGAGGTCATATGAGAGTGTTATATCACTTGATAACTACTAGTTCACTTCTTTCTGAGATCATTTGAGAATGTTATATCATTTGGCCACCACTCACCGCGACAATAGTCATAGGTTTAACTTCAATGCAACCGTCCCCCACCTTCCAGCCTACATGAAGTTCTTCTCGCACTCGGACTCCACTATCCCGAGATTCAATCTTGGATGTACAAAAGTAATCTTAGTCCGACTGATTCATTAACATATATTTATGGTATTTTTTCTCATTAGAATTGGTCTATTCCAATCTGTTATTGATGCGTACGTGAACTGTGAAAAGATTGGCCGTCAAATCACTAGAAGTGTTTTGGACTTGTTTGCCTATTCAAAAAAGTTCAAGCCAAAGAAAATCGAGTTTCGTGTCGCACAGAAAGGTTATAAGAAAAAGATCCTTTCGAGATATTTGGTAAGTGCAAGATTCTCGTGAACTCCAATTTTGTGACGTATGAGTGACGTATCCAGCGTTATGCAAAATATATTACAACACCCAATCCATTGGCAGGAAATAATTCTTTGTAAATATATAACCATGCTGGCAATGTAATAGAGATGTTTCAAATTTCAAATCAGCAACTATAATTTATTTTCTCGACCCCTTATTTGTTACTGGTTCTTGTAGCGTCCACTAAACTCCGGTCTAGTATCTTCATATGTTGTTAGTTGTTTGGCTAATTGGATCACAAGCCGTAGCTATATCTTCCATAATCATGTGAAACTTTTCAACAGGGATCGATGCAAGATTTGCGTCTAATATTCAAGAGAAACATCGACAGTTTTGTGAATAAAGATCTTTGCAAATTTCCCTTCGAAGAAAAGAACGAGTTCTTAAGATTTCATCATAGGGCTTTAGGTAAGTTGATTTGTTTTTCATCAATTGTACTTACATTGTTGTATTTTCATCTTGTAATATTTCATATTATTATATGTCAAGCGTCACTTCCTGTATAATAACGCCTTTTGATTGACTGAATTATTTTCAGTGGTCGATTACAAAAAAAGTAATCAATTTCCTAAACTCAAACAGCCAAACCCTTCTGAAAGTTTCACATTTGATTTCATTTATAAAATTGGAATTTCATATATGAAGTGTTTCAATTTCACATAAGTTTCACACATCGTTTCATATATGAAATGAAATGTGAAATTTTCGTAAGGCCAAAGTACAAATATCCGATGGCGTTGCTCACGTCTTTGGTCCTGGGACCGACCTTGTTAGTGTCTATATTTGATAGAAAAAGCCCACAAATTCAACCGAACAAACGTTTATCGTTCGCCCCTCTACTGTGCGCTCCTGGTCTCATGCCATACAACAAACTTCTCATTTACTTTGCTTTCTCGATCATTACCAGCTCTCCGTAAAGATTTCAGACTGGGTTACTAAGAGCGTACTTCTTCCTAGAACTAAAACGTTCATGAATTGATTGCTGAATCTTAAAAACTTGTTGTTTCTTTTATACAGCTGAACCAGTGAGGTCGGCGTACGGTAATGAGCACGCAATGTCTGAACTGATTAGCATGATCAAAGATTTACGATACGACTTGACTGTGCAAGTAGGTCTCGTCCTTATATATACGGGTATTTGGTCATGACAACTTGCCGAGCCTTGTTATAGGCTTTCTAGAATAATTCCATGGCAGGGTTTTATGAAAATTTGATTTTTCTCGTAGACAGCGGAGTTGAAATATGTCAGAGAATTGGTCGAGGGCTGCGAGCTTTGCCGTGGTATGTAATGACCTAACATTCATATACATTAAAGTGATGTGCGATTAAAAAAACCCACCCAAAATTTTTTGTTCATTAAGTGAAACCAACTCACAACTTCGTTCTTGGTAAAAGTTGATTTTGAATTTTTCCACTTCAAAGAGAATGGTTTGAGTATCGTTTGTGTATATGTAGATCATTCAGGTTAGTGTGGTCCTAACCAGAGTCTTTCCCAGGACTGCACTCACTTGGACGATCTACATCTACAGTGGCAACGACAGCTCGATCTTTTACTCCTGCATTGCAAATTTCCCAGCAAAATGATTATTCATTCCTTAAGAAAATTAATTCCATTCATTGTGTTTCCTATCATTAAACGCGAAAATATTTGCATTGCAGGAGTAAAGAACGGGCTGGCTTTGCAACTGTACATCTACAAATATAATCTTTATCTATTTACTGTTATATTGCATGTACCTTTTTCCGTCAAAATATGAACAAATTGAATCCCACACTTGTTTTCCTACTTGTTGCGTTACATTAAAGCTCGCTACTGTCCACCAAGGGTGGCAGAAGATTGATAATTGAGAGGGGTTGTTATTCATACATTCGTCTACCACTGCATTAGTTTCTGTTGAAATCAATTGTGATTACGGATAATACGATATTAACATATGAATATGGCCGCCCCACCCAATCATCAATCTTCTACCGTCCCTACCGGATGCCGCTCTGTGCTCATCTGTACGGTCATGCCATTTAGCGTCAATTTTTCGCCTGTCATTATGTTTTCTTCCAAGCTTAATTTAATGTGTATCAATGATATGTGTTGACACTCCTTTTTAAATGCATCACAATGCTACAGATCATTTAAGTAATAAAAGATGTTTACTGTGTTTGAACAGGCCAATGCAAACCGTGGAAACCTTTGGGAGAACTCGAAAGCTGATCAGTGCAAGCCCTAGACCGAACATCGAGAGTTCTCACGAACGTCTCCAAGGTTTGCATAAGCCAGTGGAAAACGCGAAAAATATTTTTTATTTCTTTTATAAAATAACAACAATGCGAAACAGACAAACGTAAAACAGACGTTTTATTTTTTCCTCTGACATGTATTCATGATTGATTTGCAAGTTCTCTATGATTGGTTGATTTGATTGGTTGAGCTCGGATTGGTTTGCACAAGCCAATGAAAACGCGGCTGTAAACCGATCAGTTTCATGTTCCCAAAAATCATGTTTTTCTTAATTTTTGTTACAACACAGTCACGGATTTTTGTTCAATGAAGCCTTGCTTTCCTGGCGTCCAATGTTTTAACGCGCCCAAATCTAAAGATGGATTCTACTGTGGTCATTGCCCATTTGGTAGTAAGGGAGACGGAGTCCATTGCGAGGATATTGACGAGGTTGGTGTGTCAAACTTCTTTTTTTACGAGTTACAGACAATATTGAAGTGTTTGTTAAATAAACACGAGTTTTAAAATAATAGTGCCAAATAGTGATTTTCGATGCACTTATTTCGTCAGAAAATGTGTTTTTGCGTTTCTAGTGTGCATACCATCCATGTTCCGTGTTATCAACATGTATCAACAAGAGTCCTGGATATACTTGCGAAGCCTGTCCCGAAGGCTATGTTGGACCCATCCCGAGTGGTATCGGTGAAGCGCACGCTGCAAAGACCAAACAGGCATAGCAGTAAAATATTGTCTCGATTAATTTTCCCAGCAACCCGTTTTTTGTGTCGATGTTAATGGTGTTTTCGTGTTGATAGGTCTGTGCAGACGTGGATGAATGTCAAATGGACAACGGTGGTTGTGATAATTTGGTGAAATGCATCAATACACCGGTAACTTGTTTGTTTATCTATTCATGTATATTTATTGACGTAGATCGTCCAAGCGAGTGAAGTCCTTTCTTTGAGAAGGACTCTTGGTGCATTTATTGATTAAATTTGAACGATGTCGAACTGTCTGTCAATTCTATCACTAACAATCCATCTCATTACACCGCTGACCTGGACTCTTGTTGCATTCATTAATTAAGTTTAAACGATGTTGAACTGTCTGTCAATTCTATCACTTACAATCCATCTCATTACACCGCTGACCTGGACGATCAACATCTACAAACATGTAACGAGACTCGATGCTCTCGGGTTCAAAAAATTCACTTTATCAAATTGTGCTTTTCAATTTTCTTGATATTTTGTCCAAATGTTATTTTCTGATAACTCGTTAGTCCTCTTTCTTCTCATTATCACCACACGTTTTTACTCTTTTTGTAACTAGATCAATTTTTTGACTTATCCACTTGACATAACACGACCATTTATGACATCTTTTTTGAATGTTTTGTCTCGTCGTTGTTTTTGTCATTTTCTTTACTAGAAGTGGCATCGTATTATAATATATAGTCCAAAAAAATGGTCTTCGTTTTTCTTTTTTTTTGGGGGGAGGGGGCAAAGTCAATTTCCGGATGTTAAACTACAGTGGCCGACCATGATTTTTCAGTGACTTTTTTTGTATAGTATATGCGTATAAAGCAGTCAGCAAAAGCATATTTGTTTACTTCGTGTTTACTAAACGATACATCTGGGACCTGAATTTGCCCGCCGACTCTCGCTTTTCCCCCAATTCGTCATCAATGCCACCTCTAGTATTATGTATAATCTCTATGCAACCGACTCTGTTGGATTTTAGGGTAGTTACGAATGCGAGCCATGTCCACCTGGCTACGAAGGTGATTCGACGGTGAAGTGTCGCTCGAAAAAGTACTGCGATGCTCAAAATCCCAAGAGTAATCCTTGCAACAGCTACGCAACGTGTATCCCACTTAATGATGGCAAGGACTACAAATGCGAGGTTGGCTGTAGTTTTATCTTGAAATCTAATATGTCACATGACATGTTATACGTACGAGAGCTCTTCTCACAAAATGAATTGTTGTATCATAGGATACTGCAAAATTTCAAACAGCTCCTGTCTTTTTTCTCATACATATATATATTTTATTCATTTTTGATTGATTTATATCTTTCGCGAGTTAACTCTCTCGGCCTCGTTTAATGTTTCGTGAAAAACATCCATGCGCTTTCTTCTGGTTTTACTTAGAAATCCTGCCAGTCGAGGAAAATAGAATTTAAAACGACAATGTTTTCACAGAATTTGTCTTAACAAAGTAACACTTATGAATAACGTATTTTTATGAATTGTTGTGTAATTAACTTCAATTCAACTACAAGTTTGTCGTTTGGAATACAATACCCAATTCCCAATTAACTCTCTTAACAACCAATTTTACTTTTTGATATTTGTTACTGTAATAAGCCTCGATTATATACAATAAGGCGACTATTTAAGTTCTTGTTTTCAGTGTTCCATCAATTTTGCTGGAAATGGGTACATTTGCGGATACGACAGGGATGCTGATGGATACCCTGACAAGACCATCAAATGCAAAGAAAAACATTGCAAAAAGGTAGAGATATACTTTCGTGACTAAAAGCAAGAAGCTTTCTTGTATGTGCAATATGGGCATCGATTTCATTTTAAACTATAAGATTGCAAGCAATGACCAGGAGAGGTTTTGGAGGCAAATACTTTTGTGTTGCATAAGGAGCGACGTATAAGATTTGGTGCGACAAAAATATAAAATGCTTGATTTCGGGAAAATTTCTCTGTTAAGAATCTCAATCTCAGGGTTAGAAAAAGAGTTGAACCTTCTTTCGAGTAGAATTTCATGTTTTGAAAACTTCCTAAAACTGACGTTATCTCACCTCATATTGGTTCCTGGTATCATGTGATATTGTTTTTTTTTGAGACAGGAGGGGGGGCATGCACGTGATTGATTGGAGTATTCCTTTTGAACTTTCCTTACAAACTTCGTTCGACGAAAACCTTCTATAATGGTGGTACCCGTGTACCTGCAGCATTTTCACAGCCCTGCTTAAACTGATGGAAAAGCAGTTCACATACTGCTATCCCAATGTTTGCTGGAAGTGTTATAATGCAACTAAGAATATAAACAAAAAACTATCGGAAAACAATGAATCTCATTGACACAACATGTAAAATGTATGCTACAGTGAAATGTCAAAAAGTTCATTGACACAACATGTAAAATGTATGCTACAGTGAAATGTCAAAAAGTTCATTGACACAACATGTAAAATGTATGCTACAGTGAAATGTCAAAAAGTTCATTGACACAACATGTAAAATGTATGCTACAGTGAAATGTCAAAAAGTTCATTGACACAACATGTAAAATGTATGCTACAGTGAAATGTCAAAAAGTTCATTGACACAACATGTAAAATGTATGCTACAGTGAAATCTCAAAAAGTTCATTGACACAACATGTAAAATGTATGCTACAGTGAAATCTCAAAAAGTTCAACCTTGAAAATTGTTGCACACGTTGATTATGTAATCATCTCGTGTTAAATTGAGTTCGAAGATGACACAAATACTATTTATATTTATTACATCTTTGTTTCATTTCAAGGATAACTGCCCACAGAAGTACAACCCCGATCAAAAAGATCAAGATAACGATGGTCTTGGTGATGTCTGCGATGTTGACATCGACAACGATCGTATTTACAATGAACAGGTTTGTGATCGTGCATGTGAAGTTGTGATCGCGCATGTGAAGTTGTGTAAGGTCATAAAATACTCGGAAGCATTTCTACTCGAGTATTGTGTGAATTTTGTCCATGTGAAATATTTCATATCATGATTGTTGTTTTGATCGACCGTAGGTGTACGGGATCTATCATTTCTGGGGGGGGGGCATCAAATATCCCCAACTCACTATGAAAGTTCCGCCATATTTTTGCCCGACCAACGTTTAAAATTTGCCCAACTTTTCAACCTTCAAACATTCTTGTGTGTGTGTGTGTGGGGGTGGGAGGGGCGGAGTAGCTGCCTCTCCATTGCCGCCCGTCCCGATCAATGATCGAGTGTTCAATTTTTATTTGTGAAAATCATACTCGAATTATTCGTGATAATCCTTTTGTGATGAATTCAACATTCCAGGATAATTGTCCATGGATATCTAACAGAGATCAGTTGGATTATGATAAAGATGGAGTGGGAAATCTGTGCGATAACTGTCCTGGGGTGAAAAATTCGAAACAGGAAGATTACGATGACGATGGCGAAGGAGACGATTGTGACAGAGACACGGATGGCGATGGTAAGATTTCAATACTCTACATTTGTATGACTCTGATATAAAATGCATAAAAAACTTCAAATAATATGCAAAATGAAAAAAGACCGGCTCGTACAGAGCCGTTGCATCGGAGTTAAAGTTTCATAATCGTAAATTTTCACCTCAGGCATCGGTAATAATGATGACAACTGCCCAGTTTTGTATAACAAGAAGCAGAACGATTCCGATTCCGATGGTGTAGGCGATCTTTGTGATAATTGTCCTCTCAACAGCAATCCAAGCCAGGTTAGTGTGAATCCAAGCCGGGTTAGTGTGAATCAAAGCATTGTGCGTATGCAGTCTACACAACGTATATTAAATTTATATTTACCTGACGCGAGGTACGTACTGAGAAGCATTGGACCATCGTAAGGTCTTTTTATCCAGATACTATCGGGGGTGGGGTTGGAGGGAGGTTTGTGCTGAAATCTAGGGGTTGGAGTTGGAGGGAGGTTTATACTGAAATCTAGGGGTTGGGGTTGGAGGGAGGTTTATGCTGAAATATAGAGGTTGGGGTTGGAGGGAGGCTTATGCTGAAATATAGGGGTTGGGGATTGGAGGAGGTTTATGCTGAAATATAGGGGTTGGGGATTGGAGGGAGGTTTATGCTGAAATATAGGGGTTGGGGTTGGAGGGAGGTTTATGCTGAAATATAGGGGTTGGGGCTGGAGGGAGGTTTATGCAGAAGTATAGCTTTTCGATACTTCTCGGTAAGACCGAGCAAACGAGGTAATGTAACATTTTCACTTTTGCTATTTTCTTACTTTTCTTTGTAATTGACCAGCATTCCGCCAATTCACCGAAGAGGACGCTTCCTATTGATCTATAGCAACAAGGGAACGACCTAAGTTGACTGTGTTTGTATTATTACTATTAAGGATGACAGCGATGGTGATCTTATTGGTGATTTTTGTGACACGAATGTAGACAGCGATGGTGACGGTGTTGAAGATACTATCGACAACTGTGCTTTTGTAATAAATCCAGAGCAGAGAGACGCCGATGATGACGGTCTAGGTGAGTTTCTTTGACGTCGAATGTACTTCCGTGTACTTCCATGAAAACATGAGTTTTTGTTCCATTTCTCTCACATTTGATTTTTTTCTCAGGTGATGCATGCGACGAAGACGACGACAATGATTCGATTATCGACGATTCGGACAACTGTCCTCTGGTGGCTAACGACGACCAGAAGGATAACAAAAGTATGTATCTCGTTGTGATTCTCTCTCATAACGAAACTTTCAATGTTAGCTTTGTGCATACGTATGCTATATCGATTGAGAAATGACAAAATCAGTATGCAGGTAAGAAGATAATCGCTTTCGTAAACTCGTCCAATTACAGGCGTTAAGATTATTTAACACCTGTCTGTTTCGACTTACCCGACATTAACATATCAAGAATGCTAAAAGTGAGTCTGTCAGAATACATACGGTATACCTTGGCTTTGGCACTTCAACTGTTGTAATAATGCCGACAACAGCGTTCGCCAAAGATGCTAATATCTGCCAAAGGAAAATTAATACGAACTTTTTGCTGCTTCTGTTGCTTATAAGTTTGGCGTCACATCTAGTTTAAAAAAAGATGCTTCCCATTTTGATTACTATACATTTAAAACTTGGTGCGCAAAGCGTGCACACGATTTGTAAACTAAGCTAACTGTCAAGGCCGTAGCTTTGTGTTGTACACACAAGTAGCCATAGTTACTTGTGTGGGAGGTAGGACGGTGAATATTCGTGTTTACAATTGTATACGTCTGATTTCTTTTGAAAGTAAGGAATCACAGAGGACAAGAATTTTTTTGGTTTTTTGCGACGAAACTCAAAAGTGTAAACATTTTAAGTTTGTTCAAAGTACTTTATTATTCAAGTTGATTCATTCCATCGAGTGCCTCAAAATCACTAAGGATCAACTCATAAATTGGGTTGTGCATCATGTGCATTGTTTTTATGCTAAGCCAGACTGGACGCTAGAGTGATTGTAAGGCACAATTTGAAGAACAATTCAGACAGTTAAATCTATTGAATTTTATAAAATTCGTTTCGCGTTTGCGGGGGGTCTGCGTTGCGCACTAAAATGGTCTTAGGGCCTGATTATATGGAGGCGAGCTGGCCCGGATAGCGAGATAGCCCGATGATTTCAAGGGATTGAAAAGAGCCAAAACTTCAAGGTTAAAAATTACAACTGTTTGCGAAGCACCACACACGTCACTCCGGTTGTAATTCTCAAATTCGGGCAAACTGGTTGTTTCAATTTTAAATGTTTTGAAAAGTTATTTAATCAGAATATTGTGAAATTGCTCGAGAAGATTTATCTGATGATAAGTATTGAATCGTTTCCATTTGCCAACATTATTTAACGTTCGGCTGAATCCCGGCTATCAGGCTCATGTAATCAGCCAATTGTGTGCAAGTACGTCATGACCGAAAAGTTGGATGATTTTGACAAAGATTTTCCTCATGTATTATGCAAATGTTATCCAATACGGCGAACATTTTATTTTTCTTTCACTCCCAGGGGAGTGGTTGCACACCATCTATACTATGGCCGAATCAAAACAACTTCAGTTTTCAGGCTATGTCTCCTATACCATGGACTTGTGTGTTAAGGTTATGTCTAAATAATTTACAGCAAAGCCTATAAAAGTAGCGCTTAATTCAGATTTGTGAATGAAAAGAACAACAGCAAGTGCTATGGCCGAGAGAGTGAGAAATAGAAGTACACAAGAAGAAAGGAAAAAATTGCATGGCGCTTTCAACATTACTTGAACGCGATAGTTTGGGGAGAGGAAGCAGTCGTGATCAAGATGAAATATTTACCGGTATTTTCGAGAGATCACATTTTGCAGGACTATTATGTCAAGTTTGGAAGTGATTCTCAACAAAACTGCACTTTACACTGCAAGCTATCAATGCAGAGTTACAACGACGTACATCAGAAAAGCTATTTATTTGTCAATGGATATACCGCACCATATACAAGCATATGAAAGGCATGCTGTTTATGTTGAAATTATCACATCGACCAGATCTTGCAAAGCACCGTCATGACTGTATAAAGTGTTTTCAAAGAACACTTAATTTGCTCCACGTAGACAGTATTTAGAGAAGAATATGAATATAATATTTGAACATCGAGAAGCCATGGTCGAGTAAAGGGGATAAAGACTATAGTAAAATATGCTGTCAAAAAAGAAGGAATGTAATCGTTTGTGTACTTCACCACCATATCTACCCAAATATTCACGGCACTTCTGTGCCAAAATGGTCAACATCTATCCGACGAATGGCTTTGTAATAAAGTCGAAAATTTACAGTTTCTATCTGCGTCTTGTTTTGAATGATATATTGTAATCTCAACACGTATTGTACAGCTGCTGAAACGAACTTGTATCGGATCACCTTGATGAAATATTGCACAGAGAACAAAATTATGCAGACATACTTTCTTCGACGTCTCACAAGAGAATAGATCCCATGGCTAGAAACCATAAACTACTTTTCGATTTATCTCTAGAGTTGTTGTGAAAATGTCAATGGTTTGAAAGTCGATGCTACCAATGTGTGTTTTGTTGTTTCTTTGATTAGCACTTTACGAAATAATTTTTTTTATTATATTTCAAGCATCTATCATAGTAAATAGACTAAATTTTCCATCTGATTCCAACGCACTCACTGGCCGAGTGTGTAGAGTGAGGTTTCTCAAGTTGTGATGTGAGGTTCGAATCCTTCGAGGGTGAGTCGGTTGTTGTTGGTCTTGGTGTGTTGAGCATAAGACTTCCAATGAACGAGCACCGTGAATGTCAAGAGCATAGTAAGGGCAGATGATAGTGTACACGACGAGGTGTACAAAAAGCAATTCTATTGTTGATTTTTCGACAGGGAATGCGACACTTAGTATATTTTCAGAAAAAAATCGGAAATAAAAAAAGAAAAGGTGATTTGTTGCAAAAATTTTGCCCTAAAAAAACTAAGTCTTTTGATTAAATTTTTCTATGACTTCCCGAAGGAAGTCATTTTTTAATAGTCAGGAAACAGAGGGCAAACCGAATGCCCTTTCACATCTCCTCCTAACCTCAACCTTGCACACAATCCTCAATCTACAACCCGAACTGACGACGACACCGGGACGAACCAAGGACCTCGTGCATCGGAGGTCAGACAGAGCCTGTCAAGCCAGCAGCTCAACAACGAATACTAACAGTTTCTTGGCATATTTGTCCCTTTTTTTAACTTTGATGTAGAAATATACAATATACAAGGTGTTCTCGAACCTTAGAAGGTACAACTACATTAGCCATGACTTTACCTTTAGTTATTTAGGTATTATCGAACTCTAAAAAGGTAAAGAGAACGAAGCGGTCTTGAGCCCGAGACGGAGTGATTACCAAATTGTCATCTGCACTGCTCAGCCAAGCGAGAGAGATGTAATGCCAATGAAAACATATCAAGTGTTTCGACAGAACAGCATTCATTGCCTTTCATTGCATAAAGCTTTAGTTTATAACGTGTTTTGAAAAAATGCCTTCGACGTCATCATAGCAATAGTAGAACTCTAAAGGCAAGGGCTTCTTGAGCGAACTCAAAGCAATAAATGTTTTACTATGAAGAAACAAGAGGAACAAAGTAAGTCCAATGGCATCCATTGACATGTGGTGCATTCGGGTCATGACGCGCATGTCCTTAATCAATTTTTTAAATGTCTTTCCCGTCGTCAATTTTAACGATCGTCATTTCAAACCTTTGTGTCTACCTTAATGTGATTGTCTATCTTTGTGTATACCTTTTCATAGGACAAAGTTCTCATTTCGTTGAACACGAGTCTTTCAACTTTTCGACTTTTCATAGTCGAAAGTAGTCAGTTCACGCATTGCTATGTGGTAAGTCAGGGCAGTGACGAGCATGTCTTTGGTCATTTTTTCCAATGTAATGGCGTCGAGATCATTTGACTTTATCTTTGAACTAACTGAACTATTTTATATCATCATACGCACCAACCATATTTTTTTTGACCATTGGTGTAGGTTGCGCAAAGACAAGGGTTTAATAATACCAAACAAGGACAAAGAAATCTATGACATGACGTGTTTTTATGATATCGTCTTTTATGCGATGACAACTTTTTTTAAATGCTATTCTTCATAAAATGACAAGTTTTTCAAATGTCGTCTCCCATAAACAAGAAAGACGAAACAGCTGACACAACTGTTGAAAAGACGACTATTCTATTTGAGTACATTGACTACATTCGATTACGACTCCTCCTAGAAAATGAAGACTTTTTTAAAATGACTACTCTCAATGAAAAAGGTAGCCAACCAGAAAACAAAAAGATACACAAAAAGATAGATACAAAGGTAGACACGAAAGACGACAAGAAATTGACACAAATGTTGAAAAGACGAAACATCAGATGTTGTATTTAACAAAATGAGGACTTTGTCCTATGAAAGAGTATACACAAAGGTTGACAAGAAGGCAGACGCAAATGTAAACACATAGGTAGACAAGAAGATAGAAAGGGAAAACATTTTAAAAAAGTATTATTGGTATTATTGTAATTGGTATTATTAAACCCTTGTCTTTGCGCAACCAACATCAACGGTCAAAAAAATATGGTTGGTGGGTATGATGATATAAAATAGTTCAGTTAGTTCAAACATAAAGTCAAATGATCTCGACGCCATTACATCGGAAAAAATGACCAAAGACATGCTCGTCACTGCCCTGACTTACCACATAGCAATGCGTGAAATGACTACCTTCAATTAATTCGATTACATTGACTACTTTCGACTATGAAAAGTCAAAAAGTCGAAAGACTCGTGTTCAACGAAATGAGAACTTTGTCGTATGAAAAGGTATACACAAAGATAGACAATCACATTAAGGTAGACACAAAGGTTTGAAATGACGATCGTTAACATTGACGACGGGAAAGACATTTAAAAAATATCTATGGATTTAGTCTTTTCACGATACTCTTCAATGGACAAAATTGATTAAGGACATGCGCGTCATGACCCGAATGCACCACATGTCAATGGATGCCATTGGACTTACTTTGTTCCTCTTGTTTCTTCATAGTAAAGCATTTATTGCTTAGAGTTCGATAAGGAAGACCTTACCTTTAGAGTTCTACTATTGCTATGATGCCGTCGAAGGCATATTTTCAAAACATGTTATAAATCAAAGCCTTATGTAATGAAAGGCAATGAATGCTGTTCTGTTGAAATACTTGTTATGTTTTCCTCGACATCACATCTCTCTCGCTTGGATGAGCGGTGCAGGTGACAATTTGGTAATCACTCCGTCTCGGGTTCAAGACCGCTTCGTTTTCTTTACCTTTTTAGAGTTCAATCATACGTAAATAACTAAAGGTAAAGTCATGGCTAATGTAGTTGCACCTTCTAAGGTTCGAAACCATCTTGTATATTGTATAATTCTACATCAAAGTTAAAAAAAGGGGCAAATATGCCAAGAAACTGTTTGTATTTGTTGTTGAGTTTCTGGCTTGACAGGCTCTGTCTGACCTCCAATGCACGAGGTCCTTGGTTCGTCTCGGTGTCGTCGTCAGTTCGGGTTGTAGATTGAGGATTGTGTGCAAGGTTGAGGTTAGGAGGGGATGTGAAAGGGCGTTCGGTTTGCCCTCTGTTTCCTGACTATTAAAATATGACTTCCTTCGGGAAGTCATAGAAAAATTTAATCAAAAGACTTAGTTTTTTTAGGGCAAAATTTTTGCAACAAATCTCCTTTTCTTTTTTTATTTGAGATTTCTTTCTGAAATTATACTAAGTGTCGCATTCACTGTCGAAAAATCAACAATAGAAATGCCTTTTGTACACCTCGTATCATTATCATCTGCCCTTACTATGCTCTTGACATTCACGGTACTCGTTCATTGGAAGTGTTATGCTCAACACACCAAGACCAACAACAACCGACTCACCCTCGAAGGATTCGAACCTCACATCACAACTTGAGAAACCTCACTCTACACACTCGGCCAGTGAGTGCGTTGGAAACAGATGAAAAATTTAGTCTATTTAGTATGATATATGCTTGAAATATAATAAAAAAAATTATTTCGTAAAGTGCTAATCAAAGAAACAACAAAACACACATTGGTAGCATCGATTTTCAAACCATTGACATTTTCACAACAACTCTAGAGATAAATCGAAAAGTAGTTTATGGTTTCTAGCCATGGGATCTATTCTCTTGTGAGACGTCGAAGAAATTATGTCTGCATAATTTTGTTCTCTGTGCAATATTTCATCAAGGTGATCCGATACAAGTTCGTTTCAGCAGCTGTACAATACGTGTTGAGAATACAATATATCATTCAAAACAAGTCGCAGATAGAAACTGTAAATTTTCGACTTTATTACAAAGCCATTCGTCGGATAGATGTTGACCATTTTGGCACAGGAATGCCGTGAATATTTGGGTAGATATGGTGGTAAAGTACACAAACGATTACATTCCTTCTTTTTTGACAGCATATTTTACTGAAGTCTTTATCCCCTTTACTCGACCATGGCTTCTCGATGTTCAAATATTATATTTATATTCTTCTCTAAATACTGTCCACGTGGAGCAAATTAAGTGTTCTTTGAAAACAAATTATACAGTCATGACGGTGTTTTACAAGATCTGGTCGATGTGATAATTTCAACATAAACAGCATGCCTTTCATAAGCTTAAATATGGTGCGGTATATCCACTGACAAATTAATAGCTTTTCTGATGGACGTCGTTGTAACTCTGCATTGATAGCTTGTAGTGTAAAGTAATGTATCGTTGAGAATACCTTCCATAAATATCGGCAAATATTTAACGTTTTCACAACTGCTTCATCTCCCTAATAATCATCGATCAATTTTCAAGTAATGTTGAAAGCATCAATCAATAATTCCTTTCTTCTCGTGTACTTCTATTTCTCACTCTCTCAGCCATGGCGCTTGTTGTTGTTCTTTTCATTTACAAATCTGAATTCAGCAATAACCAAACACATCCGTGGTATAAGAGATTATATGAAAACTAAAGTTTTTTTTCGATTTAGCCATATTATAGATGGTGTGCAACCACTCCTGGGAGTGCGAAAGAACAATAAAATATTCGCCGTACTGGATGACATTTGCATAGTACATGAGGAAACCTTCGTCATAATCATCCAACTTGGCGGTCATGACGTACTTGGACACAGTAAGGTCAATTCAGTGTGCAACTCAGTCCCCTTTCAATCGTTAAACTATACAAGTAAATTGTTCTTTATTGTTTTCCTGTGAGTGGTATTGATGTATAGTTGTTGTATATATTTTGTTCAACCATTCCCCTAGGAGTGTGGGAACAGTGGAATGTTTGCTATGTTGGATGGCATTTGCTTTGTAAATAAGGAAAATCCTTTGTTAAAATTATCCAACATGGCGGATTGCACACCAAATATTGTTGTAACGTGTCTCTCCTTCGTTTTAATGACCGGTAAATTTCGTTGACTTTGATTTTGGGCTTTCAGACATGATCATATTATTAGCTTTTTGTAGTCATTTCAAAAAGTTATCATGCTTCAGAAGAGGGTCACTTAGTTTGTGCACCTTTTTGTTTTAGTATTGTGTATACCCTTATGTCTACATCTGTGTCTTCTTTTGTGTTGAATCAACCTTTGTGTTTATCTTTGTGTCTACCTTTATTTCTACCTTTGTGTCTATCTTTATGTCTACCTTTGCGTCTACATTTATGTCTACCTTTGTGTCTACATTTTTATCTTCGACAAAGACGACATGACATGAACGACGAAGAGATGAGAAGAGCGACATTTTAATACGACATTAACGATATTTCGAAAAGACGAGTCTACCTCTGTGTCCATCTTTGTGTCTACCTCTGTGTCAACAATTGTGTACATTTGTGTCTTGCTTTGTATACCTCCACGTCTAATGTGTACCTTTTTGTCCAACTTTGTCTTTGAAAAACCCCTCGTTTCATAAGAGACGACATTCCAAATATTGCCATGATGTGCATTGTTTTTGTGTAAAACCACACGTTTTTGCTTTTAAACATAAGTTTGCATGTCATGAAAATATAGGAGAAAGACCTACGATGATCACTAAAGGAACGACTCGCTGTAAGAATATTTATGTCAGAGTTATACTTGCCCATTTCCTTTAAGTATACATGCATTAATGTATCAATTGGGGCTAAAGAATATTCATTAATAGAAAATAACGATTAAACACACTTTTAAACACCCAACAGAATTTAAATATAATTCGACAGCAATGTTCAATTAAAATATAAAAAATTACAACTAACAAACATGTTTTGAAATATGAACAAAAAACAAGTTGTCCACCCTTCGTCCGTCAGTCAGTCAACGCTTCAAATAGTTTTCTTATGACTGAATCACCCATTACACTTTGCTACGGTTAACGTCTCAACGTTTTGCTCAGCAGCCAGCAAAAGACTTGCGTGCCAGTCTCCTCTCGTTTATATATACACATGTATCTTGGAGACGTGATATGTCCATCATTATAGTTTCTTTCAAATCACGTGTTGCATTTCCCACTTCATTTAATCATACTAAATAAGAAGAAACCATTCGCAACTTGTTGTTTTCCGCAGGGATCTCCACACCACAATGATATGGTACTCGGTTGAATATAATGACCGCGTAGTTTTCGTAAATCCTTTCGAGTGTTGGCCTCCAATGTACATTGTGTTCTCCACCATATTTCCCTTTTGATCACTCACTTCTTTGCACGGTCTCTCCCCTCCTCCTTGCAGTGATCTTCCTTGAGTTCTTGAAGTCTAAGCATTATAACACATTTTCATAAACATTCATCCTTTGGTCAGTAAGCAGCGGCATAAGTGAAGACGTATGCATGGATAACATCTGCTCTGTTACGCTGATGGGGCATGAGCAATGCGACCATGTATGCAAAATATTTTAGTAGATTTGTCTGAAGAGCTCTGACTCTCTCATCTGCTCTACGTGTTATTATTTCATTATACAATATATTACTTCGTTGAGAAATTGAATTCTACATCTTATATAGACTCCGGTGATGTTTGCGAGGACGACTGGGATGGAGACGGTGTCCCGGATGAAATTGACGCAAGCGAGAAGAATTATAAGATAACTGCAACAGACTTTAGAAGAATTCAGGAAGTACATCTGGGCACAAAGAATAAGATCGAAGCGACTCCAGTTTGGGTCGTCAGCAAACAGGTTAGAAATTGTGTTTGTGTACAGCCATTGAATCATTTATGATGACCATTAGCTCATCATGACGATCACAAACTCCATTGACCTAACCAAATGTTATCCATACAATCAATCGTTCCTATTGGTTGCTTTCAGGGAACGGAAGTCAGACAGACTGCTAATAGCGACCCTGGAGTAGCTGTAGGTACGTAAGATGTGCAGTGGTGTATATAGGGGATCAAAAATATTCAAATTACAAACATTGCGGGTTTTTAAAAATGGTTGCAGTTTTTTAATGTACTTTGCACATGTAGTGGACCTTTGAGACTTTTACGACAAGTTAGCCGAGTTTCAGTTTTATTTTCTCCCAAGGTCGAGCGAGATTTGCCGGTGTGGATTTCAATGGTACAATGTTGGTGGATTCTACACACGACAACGATTTTATTGGCTTCGTGTTTAGTTATCAAAACAGTTCATCATTTTACGTTTTAACATGGAAGAAGGAAGAACAGACTTACTGGATCGGGAATCCATTCAGAGCCGTCGGTGTCACTGGACTGCGGCTGAAAGTATATCACAATTGATTGCAGTGAGCATAACTAAAAGAATTGCTGAATTGCTTTTTCTCTATTTACAGAAAGTTCGATCTAAGTTGGGCCCAGGTCATGGATTGCGAAACGCTCTCTGGCACAAAGACAGCGTTCCCAACGAAGTTTGTAGCCTTTTTATTATATTATAGATTACTTGGATACATAAAAACCTACCTGACTGTTTCCAATTCGAATACTTTTTTTGAAATTGTCGTGCAATGTTGATGAATAGACTAGTTGAAGATGCCACAATCTGCAATAAAAACAATAAACCTTCTATAAATAATGAAGAGTATTTTTTAAAAGACAGAACTACTTTGGTATGATAACAATCAAGTCGGCTGGGAGTCTCATGTGCGATATCGTTGGCAGTTAATACATCGGCCAGAGCACGGCTTGATTAGGTACATATTCCAATTAATGTTTACTATCAAGCAATATTAGGGTTGATATATTAATATAAGTAGTGTTAAATAATCCAACAAATTTCCTGTTTGTGCAAGTGTATGTGACAGTAAATCTTTCAACAATTAGGTTACGACGCAAAACGACCCATCATCAATTACTAAGCTAAAATTTGTTTTGTTACAGAATCAAATTTTACAAAGGTCGAAGACAATTTGCTGATACAGGAGATATTCGCGACAAAACGTACCTCGGTGGAAGAATTGGTTTCTTTGTGCTCTCTCAATCGGAGGTGGTCTGGACTGATCTGTCCTACCGAGCCAACGGTAAGCATAACGTACCTAGTACTGTTACTACGGTAGTCTAAATAGAGGTGGTCTGGACTGATCTGTCCTACCGAGCCAACGGTAAGCATAACGTACCTAGTACTGTTACTACGGTAGTCTAAATAGAGGTGGTCTGGACTGATCTGTCCTACCGAGCCAACGGTAAGCATAACGTACCTAGTACTGTTACTACGGTAGTCTAAATAGAGGTGGTCTGGACTGATCTGTCCTACCGAGCCAACGGTAAGCATAACGTACCTAGTACTGTTACTGCGGTAGTCTAAATAGAGGTGGTCTGGACTGATCTGTCCTACCGAGCCAACGGTAAGCATAACGTACCTAGTACTGTTACTACGGTAGTCTAAATAGAGGTGGTCTGGACTGATCTGTCCTACCGAGCCAACGGTAAGCATAACGTACCTAGTACTGTTACTACGGTAGTCTAAATAGAGGTGGTCTGGACTGATCTGTCTTACCGAGCCAACGGCAAGCATAACGTACCTAGTACTGTTACTACGGTAGTCTAAATAGAGGTGGTCTGGACTGATCTGTCTAACCGAGCCAACGGTAAGCATAACGTACCTAGTACTGTAACTACGATAGTCTAAATAGAGGTGGTCTGGACTGATCTGTCCTACCGAGCTAACGGTAATCATAACGTACCTAGTACTGTAACTACGATAGTCTAAATAGAGGTGGTCTGGACTGATCTGTCCTACCGAGCCAACGGTAAGCATAACGTACCTAGTACTGTTACTACGGTAGTCTAAATATTACACGTCAGCACATGGGATTGAAGTAGTTAAGTCACTGAAAATTTTCTTTCAATGAAAGAGAGTCTTCGTTACAATCAGAAATCCTAGTTAAGTAGCTCATGTAACCAAGAATTTTGTTAATAATTTTGCAGTCGATAAAACCCAATTGTAAAAACCATTGGTGAGCATCAAGGGCGGATTAAGGGGGAGGCGCTGTTGCGGTCGCCCGGAGCCCCACGGTTTTGAAGGACCCCGTACAAAAACGTATTAAATTTTTCTATGACAAATTGCCTCCAAGTCGCAAGAGTAATACAAAATTCCAAACACAGAAGATCGCACTTTGTTTATTAAATAAAACTTCATATTAGATGTCAAATTTCTCTTCATATACTACATGAACAAGGTCAAATTTTATGTTCTTAAAATACATCGCAGAAACATTACAACTCGTCATTGAAGAGTAAAGCACTGTGGGAAAATAACTTTTGTATAAAACGCCTTTGCTGAAACATTCTTAGTAAATATCAGAATTCTAATTGCATATATTTTTTTACCTTTCCAAAAAATGTTATTCTTGCTAGAGTTTTTGTCTATAAAGGATATCAGTTGGGGGGGGGGGTAGGGGGGGTATCAGTTGGTCAGCCAGGGCCCCGAAAAACTTGATCCCCCTCTGATGAGCATTTGCCAAGAAAGGTTGTTGTGTTGTATAAAAAACTAAAAAACAACAAGTCAGCCATATTATATATACATTCTTTATGTCACTATTCAATGGTCAAATCATTTACAGTCGCAGATTGCGCGGTCGACTAACTTTGAAAAGTCTTTGCAAATGTTCAAGTGTTTTCAAAGTATTATTTGAACTCAAATTTGAATAACGATGAAATAAAGTTCATCATCATGCGACTGCCATAGCTAATACATTATAATCGTCATGATATCTTTACGAGATATTCATTGCATTACCAATTTTGTATCCACGTATAGTTACATATTCGTTCGATTCAACCCGAGGTTTGCCTTCACTGAGATATTTACATCTGTTTTTTTTAGACGATCTTCCTGACGACTTTGACTATGCTAAAAACAAATAAATGCAAAAAGTCTTGGAAATAATGGGCAATGAAAAATTCCACCTTAATATAGAAAAATATCGTTGCACCTAAAAATGAGCGATCGAATTGACTTAATTACTCCTTGTGAAAGAAAAATGAAATTTTATCCTTGATGAGCAAGATGAAAGAAAACGCGAGACCATCGTGTTTTTGCGTATGGTTGTATAATGATATAAACTCAAATTAATCATACTTTTACCGTTGATTTGTTTAATATTAGCGGATGTTGAATAAAATAGTTGAATATATATTATTTACTTTTCTTATCGTAGTTACTATTGACTCAAGCCATTCAATGACGATCACATAACCAGAGCCATCACTTAGGTTAATTAGGTAAACTTATCTAAATGGCTCTTCATTAAAATTTATTAAATCCTTTCACCACACTGTAATCAACGACCACGCGTTTTCAGTTTGGAAATGAAACATCCTTCTCCTTATCAAGAAATACATTGAAAACATGCGAAGAGCTAAGTACCTTAAATTTCTATTGAAATGCTATGTATTACCAAAGCAACCTGGGTATATTACCGGACACTGACGCAGCTGCATGTGCACAGCGAGATGCCAATGACAACATCGATATTAAGCATTCACAGCACTTAATGATGCACAAAATCCTTTCCCAGCAAACACAATTTAAAAAAACATAAAATGAAACATACTCCGACAGACAAAGACATCTTGCAAACTCAAGACACGAGTAAGTTATATGTGAATAATTGCGTTCCTTTTTTTCCCCCCTATAAAACTCGTATCTTCAGTCTGCAAGATATCTTTGTTTGTCGGAGTACGTTTCATCTAATAATAATGTACAGTACCATTGATACAAAACTTATGCTATTGCTACGTGGGGGAGTTAATGTATGCCGCTGATAAAATAAGACACTTTGTTATATATTGGTGAGTTGTGGTGCGCTGGATGACGACAAGCATTCGTTAATGCAAACTAAGGCACGTGATTCTTAGAAGACAACACAAAGAATATACATACAGCCAAACCACACATAAACATTTCAAAACGTCTGATTCAGGTTGGAGGTACATATCCGCGTCGCGGTTGTCTTCTAATTTGTGAGCGAACTTCGTGAAATTAAAATCTCAGTATCTATATGGTATTTTTGTTTACGGTTCTTACACTAACACGTAAACTGTTTACAGATCTGGTACGATTTATAACCAGTAGAATAACAGAAGACTTATAAAACCAACGAAGACTATACGGGGCAACAGATACACCTGACTTTATGGTCGTATATCTCGCGTTGACACCACAACACAAACTTCGAGTCGACTTATGAAAATACATACCAACGAGTTGACAGATAGTGTTGAAAGGTTTGCGGAAATAGAAAAATACGACTCGGGAAGAGCTTTCGTCATTGCTAAACAAACGCTCTTCATCCCATTAATAACATTGCGTGACAACGAAAGGGCTGAATGCAACAAAATTACCACTTTGTACACAAATTACAGCCTGATGAGGCCATTCTAACGGTTTCCAACCAACGCTGAGCGCTTGAATAGTCTCAAGAGATATGTCTTCGGCACGCGTTAAGACGTTTGAGAGACGCCGTGGTATTTGGTCCGCGGTAGGAATCTTAACCGTCATATCTTTATCATTGTTCATTTCAGGTGTCGTGTTTATTTTCGGTAAGAATTGCAAAGAACAACCCGCTCTCGTTTCGCCCCAACCACTAAAAGATGCCTGTAAACATAGCGAGGAAGCCAGGAACTCAGGTTTTATCGATTTATTATCAAAGGTTCGCACAGCTAATAATGAATACAATAGGATATCCATTTCCAATGTCCTAATACCGAAACGTGACTACTACAAGCCAGAAACTCTTAAATCAACAAGCGACAAGTCAAGAGACCTGTACAAGCAACTCAAAACGCTTCGCATAAAGCGTTCCGAGCTCACGTCCAGGGAACAACAAAGCTTCACAGAGATGGAACATTTCTTACGACATAATTTTGGCGCACCTCAACGGGATTATTACTCCGGTTTTTGGCTACTGGGTCCAACCATGTGGTGTAATGAGTACATATGTCGAAGCTTGGCCTATGACGTTTTTAGAACAATTTCGTCCCACAATCCACCGAAACGCATACAGGATTTAAAAAAGATACGGGCATCCTTGTCGTACTATAGCAAAACAGTAAACCAATACATTGAAAATCTTCGTTATGGCGTTAAGGCAGGCATGGTACGACCGATCGATGTTTGTAGAGCTGGGCTACAGGCAATGAAGAGTTCATATGGTAAAATATCTGAATTGAACGCCACAGGTAAGTGGACGAGATATTTTGAGGATATTATATGTCTACCAGGACATTGCATGCAGTGGTGATTGAGTGTAATCTGGTTATGAGCATTGCTTGCTTGAAGACGCTACGCGTTCTCAGATACGTGCGTGCGTGTATGCATGCCATTTAACAAGCAACGTATGGGTACAACTGATATAACATGTGGATAATCACAACATTAGCGCAATGAACGCAAACTCGATAAGTGTATAATCGGCGTAATTATTGAAAAACTTGCAAAAAGTTTATTTCATCGATATTTCAGGCGTCCTAGAAGAATGGTTTGCTCAACATATAAAAGGAGAAAGGTACTACTCGTCGTTGAGTGAAACCGATAAAATGAAATGGTTCGATAAATACAGAAAACACGTTAACGATTCGATGAGAATGTCAGTAGTGAAGCACATTGGAAGACCTATCGAAAGATTGCTAAGGTAACTCTCGAATTATAGAAAAAAAGCAACATTAAATCTGTCATATTTACCGTTCGAAGAGTGGAATAATAACCCGTGACGTAGCCAGCTTTCGATAATTACAGCATTATTACAGTGAGCGAACACGGAAATATTTACTTAGCACGATCAAACTTGATTACTATTTCCACATAAATAGAGATGAACAGAGCTTATATGTAAAATTACGCAATCATTGCCAAAACATTCATTTGCTTGTCAAGCGTAACAATAGGCACATGCGAATTCAAAATACCCAACTGCTAAGTCTGTTCCTGTTTTTTGGATAATTGAATAACTTAAATAAGTGAACTCTTAACCCTTAAGTGTGACTTAAGTGTCACACACCCTGCATATTAACATTTCTTGGTTTGCATAAGGAAATGGTCACGAAGAAAAAAACCCAATTCTAATTAGACCGATAACAGGATTTATTGGAATTAGAAAATTTTTTTGTCCACTTGAGCTGGATTAATCACGAAGATGCAGCACATTCACTGGGAATCGCGCTTTACTGTGTCGGAAGGCGTCTGACCAATTTTTACTAAAATGCAACCAGTTTTTATCATGATGCCTCTGTTTCCTGACTATGGCGAGTTTAGGTCGAGGAGAGCTTTAGGTCTTGCAGTATTTGAGGGCATGCCAGCTTGGTAAATTGAGAGACCGTCAGAAAAAACCTGCATTGAGCCTCATATTGCGTTAATTACGCGTTAGTTCGGGCTTGTTTCCCGTTAGATCCCCATGAAAACGACCATTTCTGTTGCAATTAAGGATATACTAGTGTAGAGACATAGGAAAAGGGAAGGCACGCCCAGCCTTTAATACTCAACTTAGGGGGGGAGAGGGGGGGCTAGATTCCCTCAAAGTTTCAACACAATTGCAGAGTCATTCTTTTTAGAGGATTTCGCTATTCTTAGGTTTCTAGAAGAAGATTATATGAACCATTGTGTTCCCAGTAATATCTCGAGTGGTTTGGCAAACCTACCTTTGTCTCACGTTTATTACAAAGGCGTTAAAACAAATAAAGAAACTGTCCAAATCTTACCAACTGGTGAGAAACTTGATGGGAGCGCGGCGTATGAAATGATGCTTGCTTATTACACGACGCTAAATTTGACGGCAGACGAAGTGCATGATCTTGGCTGGAAACATGTCCACATATTATATCAGCAGGTGAGGAAAGATCATATGATATATGATATTATAAGATATGATATTATGATATATGATGTAACACATCCCATATCCTACATCTTATCCTATTCTATCCAATCTTACCTCATTACATCACATATGTTCACTTTCATAATATTATATTTCATATATTTATGCAGTGATTACCATTTAGATTTTAGATCTCGCAAAGAACACCACTGGTCATAAAAATCTAACCATCGCTGTAGGCAAGTTTAGAAAAAAACTTACAGAAACAAAGCAATTCTACAACCTGAAACCTTTCCCATCAAACGAATCGTTTGCAGAAGCAAAAAATAAATGTAATAATATAAAGAGAGCGAAGAAATTTTGTCCAAATCGTTGGAATGCCTTGCAATTTTGGTTTGACGAACAAGCCAAGGTAGGGTATTAACGTGAATGCTTTGAACCCGCGAGTATTGATGTGTAAATAGATGTTGATTTTCCAGGTTAGTAGAGTCCGTAGAAGGACTGTTGATGTTTACGTGGACTTGTTTCATTTCCACATTTTTGTCGAAAGTATATTTATATAAGAATGTATTATTGGCAATCGCTGTTAAATGAATGGCGTGCAATGGGAGAGTACATTACAAAAGCGTGCAATGTAGAAGCTACGAAATGATAGTTCCCATTCAATGCTTGATTTCAAGAATACATTCAACCTACATGACGCTCTACAACACACTATGCAATAACAAAATCCTATTTTTTTCTAATTCAGATATTGGGCACGATTGAACCGAAACTTAGCAAGTTATTTCACTACAGAGGCAACAAGCAGACAACACCAAATTGTCCAGTAAAAATAGCACCAAACTTTAAGGCTACCTCAGGCGTGCCCATGTATCGAGCAAGTAATTCTATGTGCAACTGGCCGGCGACATTTTTCATGCCTTTCTTTAATGATAACTACGGACCGCGTTACATGGAAATTGTGATCAATGCTCACGAAAGCAGACCTGGTCATCATACTCAGGTAATAACAACACTCCAACTGGGTTCTTGCCAATACAATATTATCCCTCAGTGTCCTTGTCAATACAATATTTTCTCTCGGGGTCTTTACCAATACAATATAACTCCTTTAGTCCCAAAAGTGTCTGCTTACGAGAGGTTTGGCTGCAGCTAATTTAACGAAATCTTTTAAATGTTTACTGCTAGAATCTTCAAAATATTTGATGATAAAATAGCACACATGACGTAAAACTATTCTTCACCGGGAAAATAGCTAATTGACCTCGTTAAGATAGATTTGGTGATTGTCATTACTAGTTACAAGGATATACAGAAAATTTTGCGAGAGACTGCTCGCCCGACGACATCAGTTGGCTGGATTCGAAAACCAAGTATAGTGCGTTCTCTGAAGGTTGGGCATTGTATGCCGAGTTCCCATTGGCAGCGAAGTTTACGGATGCAATAGAAAACGATCCATGGAGTCAATATGGCGTTTTCAAGGCTCAGGTAATTAGCCAATGTTTTTGGAGGAAATGAAACACACGCGAATCCAACAATTAGTACTGGGTATCCTCAAAACATAAAAGCGCTCGATATGTTAAGTCTAAAATAGTGAAGAAATGTGGGGGATCCTTTGTATACACTGACTTTAATTACGATATCTATTTCAACCATGTGTTCACAATGCAGAAGCTGGAATTGCCCTATTTCCATGAGTTGACGTCGTGAACCTAAGATTTTTTTATATACTGAGAGTGCTTGTGCTCTCGCATGTTTTAATACCTAAGTCTTTCTTGATTCCGCCATCCTTCTAAAAACTACAAAGAGATTGAGAGCAATCAAAGAGTACTGTTTGCAATCCCGACATGCCTTTGAAACCGATCCATTGCTATACAAGTCACAATGGATATTGATCATCAAGGTTCTAAGAGTCCTGAGAAGGACTGTTAGTGTTAGTGTTGACTGACGTTTCGACATCCTTATCGATAGTCTTCTTCAAAGCCAGGAGTATTTCCGAGGACTGCACAAACCTGGACGATCAACATCTACAAACATGTCTATCATCTCTATAATGTATCAGTTTTTTCCTCAAAGGCATGTCTGGACAGCGAACAGTACTCTTTGATTCCTCTTAATCTCTGCGTATCTGATGAAAGAATGGGAGAATCAAGAAAAACTAAGGTATTAAAGATAACATGTAACGAAACTCCAAGGCTCAAACACAACACAAATGGTTTAAGCACAAGCGGGCGTTCCACATCGCTTTTGACGCGTTACACGTCTCAAAACATCAAAATATTTACACAATACTTCCTTGACTAGATGTGGCGATCATTACGCCTAGTCATCGACACTGGTCTACATTCAAAAGGTATGAAACAAGACGAAGCAATGCAATTGTTTGACCGATACATGTGGGACAGCAGTGACGTCATGTACAAGGAAGTCATGCGATATCAGACAATTCCAGGTAATCATATTGTAATCATTGCTGAGCGCTGAACTTGACACGAAGCTTGTGGAGTACTACTCAAAGCAACATGCGAATAAGGACTTCACAATGAAGGATTATTTTGTTGGTGGGAAAACCCAAGCTCCTCGAAAAAGAACTTAAGTACATGATTTGTGCCATGTTTGAAATATTTTACACCTCCTCCTTCCCCATTGACTTTTTCTTCAACTTTGAGGTGTTACTCAGGATAGAGAACTGTATAGAGCGCAAGGGTTCAATAAAAGTTACACCGAAACCGATATTGAAGAGACATTTATTCACAAATTTATGGATCTCCATACAGTTGTATTCATTAAATATCTCATTGAGTACACGTCTGTTCTACAATAACAAGTTACAACCAATTGGCTCATCATATGTTGTAATGATAATTGTATGTCTTTTGAAGTGGAATAGAAAGTGGGAGTATCACCCCGTTCATAAGTAGGGGCTAATTAGAAGAGAAAGCCAAATAGATGAAATGCATCCAATATATCCCCCCCCCCCGTCTACATTATTTTTGAAAAAGAATGTACATGACAGTTGCAAAATTAAAATATTGCTCTTGGAAAGTATATAAGAAAGCTGTGCTTACATGATATAGAAGCGAGTTTATGCTGAAGCAAACAACATAGAAATTTCAAAATATGCTGGAGATGTTTTATGTTCTATCAACAGGCCAGTCCAGTTCATACAAGATTGGTCAGTTGCGATTTATTGAATTGTTGGAATACGCTCAGAAAGAGCTCGGCAACAAGTTCGACATACGGGATTTTCATTACGAGTTGCTACGTCACGGTTCCGTTCCTTTGGACTACATTACGCATGCGGTGAAGGAATACGTGGCCTGCGAGAAACCGAACGCCACATGCTCAGAGCAAAAGTTCAAACGCCACGCACCAATCAAGGTGGACGAGAAGGAAACGAACGACGACGATTTGCAGCAAAATTACGATTTAAGGAATTATTTTTAATTATGATATTAGTACTTTAGGGAAACATTGGAAGATGTAGGAAAATATGTCGAAAGCAAATTATTTAAAAACAACGCTCAAGCTCTAATGCTTTAATATTACACGTGGCGAACAGAAAGGAAAGACTGTAAATAAGTCAAATATCTATTTTCTCTTTGTTATAAATATACTTAATGATAACCACGGGAAAGACCTGAAACAATAACTTTTTTTCACACGACCATCATCAATGACAACTACATTTATATATACAACAAAAACCTATTCTTTCAAAAATACGTCAGAATTAGTAAAGTCAAAATTAGAATTAGAAACATGAAATTAAAACTTTGAAGTCGACTTTGGCACCACGTGAAGCCAAATATCGAAGGTAATTTTGCGTACAATTTTTGAAGTTCCAGGATGTTAGTCCAAAAATATTTCTACGATATAAATAAAGCACAATCCTCTTGAGATATACTATACATACTACCGTGAATGCATGCAGGCTTCGAAATGACGAATATCCCAAAATAAATCCACCATTACTATCACGTTGTAAAAAGCGATAATTTTATTTGTAGCAATAATTACTATAATACATCAATGGTTGAGAGCAATGTAATTAACCTTGAACAGAAGAGCAGATTTGTCATTTTACATAAAAAATGGTGCCACGTACAAAATCAAGATGGCCTCTGTTTTTAATAGAAAATATAGAAGAACAAGTAAAATTTCGTCAAAAAAAGTTTTTCATATCTCTATTTTGACAATGAAATCGGTACTTTTTGGCGCAGCCGCATCTGTCGCATTCAACTATGTTTTTCAGATATACGATCAACAAAGCAGATAGATGTACGACCACGCATTCAGGACAGTGATTAAACTCCGACGACTTTTGAATAGCGAGACAAGCAGATTTGTTTATATTGAAGATCGATTGATTAAGACGGATAGAAAAGTTGACAGAACGTATTTATAGTCAGCAAGAAACAGAGAATTCAACTTACGATCATTTCAACAAACATAGACATAGGGTTATTCAACTAATGTACACATCCGGTGATCCGTCGCTTTCTTCAATAATAACATTCCGCAGCGTTTGAAGGACACGAGTGTTGAAAACTGCAGCGAATTATAGTTAGCAATCATGTTCGCTTTCGTCAACTTCAATCAATGGCCATAATTTATGACAACGTGCACAACCACCTCTTGAGCAAAAGAGTCGGACCAGCAAAAACCAAGTACCTTCAAATTAAAGTGAGCATTTCACAATGGTAAACACAAGTCTTTAACCACTCCATTATTGCGCAATTTGTGCTATGAATGCCGTCATCTGCAATCACAAATAGCAAAGGAGCCATTTAAGTATAAGCCTCGAGCTTTTGAAAACATGCATTAGAGAAATCAGATATGTTCCGGCTTAGGTGAATCAGTAAAAATATAATTAAAAGGAGATGAGTTGAAGATCTCACGATAACAACAAGGCGATGATTGACGGCATCTTGCTTGCATTTCTATATAAACGACAAGTTGCGTTTTACGCGCATTTGAACGCAGAACAGAATGCTCAAACTGCCACATGAAAACAGAACTATAAAGCACAACTTTGATTGGAAGCATGAAAGCGAATCGCTCGTCCTTAGCCTTCCTCTGTATCGGCGTTTTAACATGCTTAATAGGAATCACATTGATAGTGGCAGCATCCTTTTCTATGGAAAAAAAATGCAAAAATCAAAGCAATGAAAACGAGGACACCGAAATATCTATACTGATGGAGGAAACTGAACTCGAAAAGACAAACACAAAAACATCCATTCCAATCGACAACGGAGAAAGAAAACAATTCACACAAGAAGTTTGTGACTCAAGCGTAGAAGCAGAACGTGTGGATCTTTACGAGAGAATCGAAACAGTCATGGACGATTACTATGCTTTGTATCCGAACAACATTTATTGGCATCTATACGCTGGTGGAGATGATTTGAAACAATTTCGTCCCTATAATGCGTCTCCGTCAGCTATCAAATATCGTAGTGACGAGGCGGCGCGGTTGTACGAAGAAATCGCGGCGTTACGCAGCACGATAGACACAGAAAAGTTGATGCCAAGAGAACTTAAGTCGCTGATACAACTATTGCATTTCCTGAGGAGCAATTTTGGGCAACCGTTCGGCGATAACTATTACAACGGTAAGGTCAATTGGCATAGCAATCATCTGCCTTCGCTCAAATCTTACAGGGAGCGTGTTAAATGCTTAAATCCAAGGAGTGTCTCTAGTAAATGTTTTGATGATGAGGTGCTAAATATATTGAAAAGCGTGCCATTAAGGTTAGGAAATGGAAGTTAAAGTTCGGAATACGGGAGTGATTCGAACGCGAAGCATTTTGAAGGACTCGAGTACATTAATAGAAATCATTCAACAAATTACTGAATCGCGTTTTGAGCAGCAGAGAATTTACCAAACCCTGAAGTATAATAATGACTTTGAGTGCATGAACGACAATTGTTTACGCGTGTACAAGTAATATGTACGTGCTAGTAGAAAGTGAAATCGTCGTGAAATACTTTGTATTCAAGTTGTACGTATAGGAACGTCGATATCCTATTTATCCTGTAAAATTGGGGAAATAAAACAAACAGTTATAATCAACGAAAGCCGGATATCCACTTGAGTAGAATTTGGCATGAATCGACTTGTGCAGTCGAATGAAGCCAATGCTGAAATTTTCAAAGATGAATTTTCAACGATAGATAAAAGTGGGGTTTCAGTAAAGATATTTCGAAAAGTAAACATTCTTTTGGCGTCTTGGTGATAATAACGATGATAAACACTCTGAACTAGACCAGATGGCAACTGGGATAGATAGGGATGGAGCTAGGTAAAAAAATGAAAACGCATGGCCGCAAATGATCATCGAGCTTTTTTTTAACATCTTCGTATGACGCTGAAAATGCTAATAATAGTCCAGTTTTAAAACTCACTAATTGGCTAATGACATTTGCTAAGTTGTCTCATTAGATGTACGTAAAAAATTTCAACCATTCAACTTGAAAGTGGGAAAAACTTCCCATGCGACAAAGAGTTAGTCAAAATAAAGAGGAAACGTGAACTCATTGCAAAAACCTCAAACGGAAATTGAATCGGCAAATATACACAAGCGCTTCGAATATATAAAAAAAAATGATGACTTTTTCGTTCTCGCTCGATAGTCCAATTAGAAGGACCCCTGAGCGATAATTTTCTTACAGGAAAGTACGTTAACTTACGAGGAAATCTCTCGTGTGTTTGTACTATTTTCGAAAAATCCACATATTTCTATATGTTATGTGAAGCAACAGCTTCGAAACAGTTTCTTCCTAAAATACCTACTGGGGTGTTCTGATAAAATCGCGAGTGATGATTGACGAACAGTTGTTTTTCAACCTTAGTCTCGCGTGCCAAAATTCACCGTGTAATGTTGCAAACACTGTACCGCTGGCATACGTAATAAAAGAATAGCCCAGAAACCATAAACACCCAGGTAGCTATGAGTTGTGTCCTTCGTTGACCTGTTTCGCAATTCTTGGATTTGCTCATAGCAGTTACTAAGTAATATGATTGACCAGACTTTGTTACAAGTCTCTGAAACACACCAGTAATACCACCAATACTGCCAGCAATGTAAAGACCTGAATCAAATGGTCAGAAACATGACGGTAAAAGTTCGTGCAATTTTTTTCGAGCGTAAGTCAAGTGGCCTGTGACGAGGCATTCGAGGACACGTGGTCTCTCTATCAACCTGAAGTGGCTCAAATTTTTTTTTCAAAAAAAGAGCGGCTAAAGGACTTGATACGGTTAAATAACATAACATTAAAAAAAATGAACATCCTGCTTGAAGCTTGTTTTTTCAACCATTACTCCGCCTAAGCAAGTGCGTTAACTATATAAATCCGACGTATTTCTACATCCGAAGAGTATTTCTAGCTAAAATCCGCACAAACTCGATAGTTCTTGAGTATTTTAAAGAGGAAATATGCTATAGGTAATGCATTCGGACGGTTTCACCTACCCAAGATCCGCTATACCGTTGCGTTTTTGGGTATAATCTAGAGATGTCGCACAAAATATACCAGCCAGGATAAGCGCATATCGCAGGTTAAATACTCGACACACTTAATCTGCTTATACAGGCTATAGTACAGATTAAGTTAAACAGTAGATTAGCAAATATATAAGACGTTTGACAAGACCACACAACAATCGTTCATGATATTTACCAGTTCATACGTCAAGCGGGGTAACATGGTAATTTAAACATGATAGAAGCGTGATGCTTAGCAGTTTAAATTATATTCACACGCGTGTCAGGTTCTATGCCAGTAGCAACCGGGGATGCAGTCCCCCAATAATTCGCCACTAAATTATGCCTCCAAATCGTCATACATTCTCAGCCCTCAGCTCCCAAAATAAGAGAAAGGTTCATACGGGTGAGAATAGAGAAATGCGGTTTCTAACTAAACCATGCACGTGTAAAACCTAGAAGTTAAAAATAAGACTTTTCATTAAGCTAGAACATTTTCGCAGCTCAGCGTGACTTCAGTCGAAAAGTCATCGCAAGATGCATTAAGATACTGTCTCCCAGGATTGTGATGTGAACAATGGATAAAATGAATGGTTTCAAGCCTGTAGTATCATTACATGTTTGTAGGTAAAAAACGCCCGGCTTGGTGAAGGCCTAAAAATGACTACCGCTGAAAATGACTTCAGCTGATGTTGTCGAAACGTCAGTCAACACCAACACCCCTTCTCGGGACTTCACACTAACCTGGACGATTTACGTCTACAAACATGTAGGAACGGATGAAATCGATAGATGTTCGTTTTAATCTTTTTTTATTCTGTGTGCAGCGCAATTTAAGTATGAAATAAAGAACTACTTGAGGCAACAACGCTAGAAATGTTTTTAGCATATAGTGTACTTATTTTCAGAACTAGATGAGCCGTAGCTGTCAGTTGCCATGGAAAATAAGCCCTTAAAGCAGTGTTAAAACTTAACTATACCACGCTCATCCTAACAATTTTATCTTAAAGGTGATTGGATGTTGGGACCCAGTCGTTTTTGCCAGGAGCCAATATGCGCCATTGGCATGGACCTGAGCTATCATTTTGACACGCACGTGTCGTCATGGCAACCAAGCACTTACGCCGACGTTAGGTATATTGTGGAGCAGTTGCGGGGATACAAAGATACGATTTATCAGTACATATTGAACATGAAGTATGGCATTGCTGCGGGCATGGTTCGTTCTGTCGAGCAGTGCGAGGCCGGTTACTTCTCGTTTGCTAACCAGTATAGACAGGTCTCGGCATCGGGCAAAACAGGTTAGTCACGTGATAAGGACGATGATGATTAACTTCATTTCAACACTTTAACATTTTCAGCAAATTCTGTTATCCAAAAGGGATGTGTGAACTATTGAGAATTTAAAAACTACCGTACCACAAATTATGAACTATTTTAACCTGACATACAAGTGAAATTTACACATTTCATTTCCCGATAACTGCATCCAAAACCTTTTCTCTGAAATTCAAATTTCGGTTTTTCAATACAAAATTTTGTTGTGAAATCTCCTGCATTGTAATCATAAATGACATTCACATCTTGAGAAACTTCGCGTAGTCTTTGACTAGCTAATCCATTATCCACCTTATACATAAGTCTGGCTTAAACTTGTGTCCAATGTCGTTCGACAGTTATCCATTCGAAGGTATTTCGCGCCAATGCGAACTGACCGTGTTCACTTTTTGAGTTCAAGTATTAAGTCGAGTCAGACAAATTTAATTCTTCTCCAGAAGGCGAAGACAAATTCTCGATGAGTTCATCATCAAAAATTTTCCTCGCATAGGAATCCTAAAAGAAAGTTTCGCCAGTGGTCTGATCAGTGAAAAATACTTCAAAAATGTTAACGACAACGACACGCTCCAATGGCAACGTGACTTCAAGGAAAGCATGAGAAAAACAGTGAAGAGGACATTAGTGGAGTACTTCGGAGCACCTTTGACCGAGTTGATGAACTATTTGAAAAGTGAATACAGCATCTACTGCGTGCCTGAAAACATTTCCAGCGGTTTGGCAACGCTACCCGTAAAGTACATTTATGTGAACGGGACTCGGACCGAGAACAGAACAACGCAAAAACTACCATTTGGCGAAATGCTGAACGGAAGTAGAACGTACGAGAGCATACTGTATTATTATACAACATCCTCGGAGTTGACTCCTGATCGCATTCATGAACTCGGAAGAGAAAAGTTAAAGACACTGTACGCGGAGGCGCGAAAAGTTGCTAAGAACTTTGAGGGCCTTTCTGAAACAAGGTCTGTCGAGAACTTTAAGAAACTACTGGAGAAACAGTCCAATTATTTTAACAAAAAACCGTTTCCAGCAAACGAATCAGGCGAAATCGCATTCCACGCATGCAGCAATTTAAAAAAGGCAAAAGTATTTTGTCCAAAACGGTTCGAAGCTTTTCAGGAATGGTCGAAAAGCGTTCGAGGTGAGGATAATTACTCTAAATGACTCCTTATACTACCATAATTACTCCTTACATTACCACAATGACTCCTTATACTACAACAATTACTCCTTTATCTCACCAAAATGACTCCTTATATCACCATAGTCAATCCTTTATATCACCATAATGACTCCTTATATCACCATAGTTAATCCTTTATATCACCATAATGACTCCTTATATCCCGAATCACCATAATGACTTTTTTATCACCATAATGAATCCTTATATCACCATAATGAATCCTTATATCACCACAATGAATCCTTATATCACCATAATCACTCCTTTATATCAACATAATCACTCCTTATATAACCACAACGAGTACATGAATTTGCAGCAATGAGTTTTTACAAACTACAAGAAAACACAGCAAACAAAAGACAGATGTTTTCAATTTTACATTTCATCCAGCAAATTCGAGAATGCTAAAAAAGAAAACAGAAATGAACAGTTCACTAGATAAAGTCATAAAATGTTTGATCAAATAACCATTACAAAGGTCCATGCCTTATACGAGAACATTCAGCAAAGCTTTATTTAGGATGTAATGGAAAAGACGTTTTCCGATTTCGTACACACTACTCAATGACAAAATTCGTCGAATTAATAATAAACTGATGGACTATGAAACAACCCACATTCCATTTCCCATTTCCAGAAACTCTGAGTTTCATCGAACCGAAGACAGTCGATATGTTCTACTTCAACGGCATCAAGAAAACGACGCCGAGCTGCCCCGTGGAAGTCGTGCCAAATTTCAACCCGAAATCGGGATCTCAAAGTTACACGAACTCCAATTACCATTGCGATCATCCCTCCGTATACAGGTTGCCGTTCTTTATGGATAACATGGGACCAAAGTACAACATGTTTTCAGTTGCTGGTCACGAAGCAACCCCAGGTCACCACACACAGGTAATATAGTAATCTTAACCTTAACTCATCGGGCTCTGGCAAGTGGCATGTCCGGATATGATGTTTCGGAGATGCACGTTCGGATGGGAAGTCCGAGTCTGTCTAAAGAACTATCCAGTTTTCGGGGGAGGGCGAGATCAATGGCGACTACTTATCCCCCTTCAGGATTATATCTTTTCACGATGACAGTTCTTCAGGTGGGGTAGTCAACTTCTCTACGCCACTTTTTCCAACAAGTAGCCATATATTGTCAGTATGCACTAGAGTATCAGCAAGAACATGGTTGGACGGCCGTATACCGATAAAAACATTGCATTTAAAAATATCATTGGCTCGATCTGTTTTCAGCAATGTTTACGATAGGAGACACCCGAAAAATCAGGTTCTAACACCTTAAGTTCAATACCAAGTTACCTCAAACGTATTGCTATAATAGAAGAATTAGGCTAGTAATGAGAAAACGTCTTAAATGAAAGAAATGCCTTCACAGGAATGATAACACAAGTCACAAATATGGACTTCACAAGCACTAAATGATTAACAATAATATCCTTACTCATATTTACTTTTCTCTACCCGATCAAAACGACTCCATTCATTTTCACTTCCAGTTACAAGGAAGTGTAGAAAACTTCATGGGTGACTGCGATGATGTCATCGATTGGCTCAACATGGTCACGCATTATCCGCTCTTTACCGAAGGCTGGGCGTTATACGCCGAAAATCCCCTGCTGTCTCAGGAAACGAGCATCTACGAAGACCATCCACTTCAGAAGTATGGAATGTTGAAGTGGCAAATATGGAGAGCACTGAGACTGATCGTCGACACAGGCCTACACCATAGAGGTATTTGCTTTATTTCTACTTTTTTCCCCTTCGTAATCCAGACACTTGACAACTTATCCTCAATGCCAAAGGTATGTCAAGGAAGGAAGCACTAGACTTTCATGCCCAGTACGCATGGGATAAAACGGACAAGGCGACGAAAGACGTCACAAGGTACCAAAGTAACCCGGCCCAGGCTACGGCATACATGATCGGACAGCTCGAAATCTGGAGTCTTCGCAATCTCACGCAACGAAGATTCGAAGAAGCGGGAATAAAGTTCAACAAAAAGGAATTTCACCACCAGGTAATGAAAGCCAGACTTACTCTCAGGGACACGGGTCCATTTGTTCTAGATTGGATTATATTTCGGTGGCTACTTTCGCTGTGGCAAGTCAGAATTTTTTTGGTAAAATTCTGTTACGTATTTATCATGATTGAGAGACTTTTGGAAGTGCGTTGCAATGAACAATTAACATAGTTCTTTTTGCCGAATTGTTTGCCATGTCAGTATTCTGTATAAAATTGGAAACTTTACGGCAGCATCTAGAACCGAGGCTGGGGGAGATACTCACTCCCCTTCACTATATTTATCTCAGAAACATAGATCAAGGCCAATGTTATATCAGGTACATAGTTCTCAAAAGTTCGAAAGGACAACCGATACAAAAAAGCGCAGTTTGTTTTGTCTTCAATATATTAAAAAAACCCCTGATATTATTTTGATCTGCGTGTGAAGGATACGAAACGTGTCAACATTCATTGACAAGATTCGTGACCAAATGTTTCGAAGAGTTAAGCAAGCATTAATGAATTTTCGTCACCAGGACCGTAGCTAGAGCATTGATTGCGAGGGGGGAGGGGGCTTGCTTATTCATACATTCAGATGTAGCTGCTCGACTGATTTCTTTCGAAACCTAATTGGCTTTCAAGAAAAATCAGTTGGGAAGGACTGAATGGACGAACAAACATGACTCCATCCAGTTAGCATTCCAGCTCCGCCCATATTCTTATCTACAGTGCAACAAATGAAACAAACAAAGGCAAAATGAGCAACAAGACGGTTAGAACTATCTTCGATCTTTGTAGGTTCTGAGCCAAGGAGCAAGTCCACTGGAGTATTTGAGAATTCACATCAAAAAGTACATCAAATGCGTCGTGAGCGGTTCGCAACAATGCCACGAATTAGCAACTGCAACGGCAGACAGGAGAGTTCGAAGAAGTGTCCACAAAAAACATCTGCTCTTATCGAAATATCGCAAGACTCAGACGCATTTAGATTAAAAAAACGACAACCAGTGGCAGAGAGCCACCCACATATGTAAAATTTTGTTTCATAAAGATCTTCTGACACATCTTGTTTTGGCATTTCTGCACGAGAACGGGTGGACAAAAAAATTTTCGCTAGAAAAAAGGTCGCACCGCTCATATAAAAAATCCTATCCTATTCCACAATTTCTTTCTTCGTACGCATGCGCTGAATGAAAAAGAAAATAATTCCTTTTACCGCCAACACAAGATGTAAACAAAGTATATCACGAGGAAGATCACGTGAAACAGGATAGTGACGAGCATTAGATATTTATCAACACATAATATATGTACCTGTACGAGTTATTATCTTTGAATAATAAAAAAGTTTGTATTTAAAACTTGGGAAAATATCCTTAGACGTAAAGTAAACATTCACTTTCGCTTGCAATGCACTTACATTTAAAGAACTAAAATTTGTTTTTACACATAAATTGAAGTGGGACGAAAACTTAGCTACATGAAAATACTTTCGGTTCTTCTTTGAGAACTATCGACCGCACCTAACACCCGAGTAATACATAGATATACCCATGTATCCATGTACACAACATAAACATTTCGGCAAATATTGGTGACGGTAATTATCATTTAACCCCAGCTTCACGTGAGATACATCAATGACATTCATATATTTCAATGTATCTCAACAAAGATAATAACCGAAGATGGCTTATTTTTCATTTGCATGTTTGGGTGATTTAACGATACGCCGAAGAACACGAGAAAAGCATGTTTTACGACACTTCAAGAGTCGATTTAAACATTTCAACCATGTGTTTGTATTTTGTGTAACTATATTGTAGGTAATAGTTGAACAGTAACTAAAGTAGCTTTTTGGTCTTCTATTATTTAATCTTATAATGCTGCATTTTCTATCATTCATTTTTGTGATGGCATTCCAAGTCATAAAATCAATCTTATGTCGCTTCAATCCTCCTTAAACAACCAATCTTATAGTGCTTTCATCCTTTTCGATCAATCAATCATATATTACTAGTATCCTCATTAATCAATCAATCTTATAGTGCTGTATCCTTCTTAATCAATCAATCTTATAGTGCTGTATCCTTCTTAATCAATCAATCTTATAGTGCTGTATCCTTCTTAATCAATCAATCTTATAGTGCTGTATCCTTCTTAATCAATCAATCTTATAGTGCTGTATCCTTCTTGATCAATCAATCTTATAGTGCTGTATCCTTCTTGATCAATCAATCTTATAGTGCTGTATCCTTCTTGATCAATCAATCTTATAGTGCTGTATCCTTCTTAAACAATTATTTTTATAGTGCTTGTATCCTCCATGATAAATCAATTACATAGTGCTGTTGTATCACAAATTAATTGATCTCACAGTGCTTGCATTATTCTTAATGCGATTGCTCGTTTTTGAAGACATATTAATCCGACTACGCGCGTACGAGCACGATATCTTGATGAAAAAACCATAATCTATCAAAATTCTTTATATAAAGTACTTACAGTTACGATGACCAATGTAGTTGGTGTAAATGATCGGCGGCTCGTTCACTGATGTTCAGCGGTGCGTAAACCGGAAGTAAGCCAGGTTCGTCCATCAAAGCCAGTCCACAGATACCAAAGTATGAATGAAGCGCATCTGAAACGAAGGACATAAATAGATCAAATTATAACGTGAGCTTCAATGATGTTAGAGATGCGTTCAGTAAAATTTTCGTACACTCCTCAATTTTCGTACCTCCCTTTCTGACGGGCACTTAATTAAAATACCGGGGGTGGGGCTCATCCCGAAGTCATGAAATTTCTAGTGAAGTCTAGGGGAAGCCTATCTGAATACTTTAAAAATTTGAATCTCCGCAAATTTTTTTTAAGGAATCCCACCGATAAAAAAAATTAAAGACGGTAAACGCCGTGAAGTGTACACTGCAAAAGTCTATCAAATAGTTATTATTTAACATGACAATTTAGTTCGATACAGGTGATTTGTGAGATTTGGTGCAAGATTTTCAATCTTTCAAAATTATTGGGAGGTGGAGGGGGAGGGTCAAGCCATCTATAAGTATCCCCCTAGTGTCTGCCACCGCTCCTCAAGTTAACGGAGAGAATTTGACTTCTCTTCTATAGTAAGTCAGTAACAACTTCTCCACGACTTTCCATCATCATTTTCAGTTTTAAATTCACATCTAGATTTTCTTTGATATAATTAAACCAAAGTCACTGCCCCTACGTCAGTGACGGCATGGGTAGAACCTTCAAGAAGGGCCATGACTTTACCGTACAGTAGAAACATGTTTCAAGATCAAAGAAAAGTTCACGAGAGAGATAGGTAACTACCGAGTAGCATCTCGATTTAATAACACATCACTTTACAGCTCGATGGCGGTCTAGCAGTTCGAAGTAACGTGCGAATACGATCCTGTTCGTAATAGTTCCTACAAATGCATGCTTATTCTGTTTTGAATTAAAAGACCAGAAACATTACCTAAATACCATAAATTGGACGATTTACCTGGATGACCGTCTGGCCATTTACTGAAACCGCCAACAGCCGGGGTCTGAGTTGACATTAAAAATTCACGATTACTCTCCACGTTGACGAACTCGAAACACCGTAGAAGCTACAAGAACCAAATGTATTGAAACCATTATTTTCCTCTTATGTACATTCATTAAATTAAGAAATGTCGATCATCTCATGTATGATTGTTGATCATTTCAATGGTCATCAGAGTCTATATGTACGAGCAACAAGCATTGACAAAAAATCCGGGGGGGGGGGGTTAGGGAAAATTGTGGGCCACAAAGAGGGCTGCTGGGAAGCGTACGTATCCACCAAATAATAAAAGTGATGTGATGATTTAAGTGGTGACTAGGCTGGCCATGACAATATATACCTGCACTGAATATAATTTAATAATGCCCGGGTATAAAATAAACACAATGAAACGCGTGGGGTGATTGGTCTATAGCTGTGTTTGCATTAGCATGTGCAAAACAGATTCGAGCTCAACCAATCAAATCAATCAATTAATCAATGAGAATTTGCCAGTCAAACATGAATGTATTTTAAAGGAAAAACTAAAACGTTTGTTTTAGATTTGTCTGTTTCGGATTTTTGTTATGTTAGAACAATAATGCAGACTCGAGCAGGTGCAAGTCTCGACCTTCGGTCTCAGGCTTGCATTGATCTGCTCTCGTGTTCTCCCAAAGGTCTCCTCTATTTGCATAAGCCTGTGCAAACACAGTAAACATCTTTTATTTCTTAAATGAAGCACTCACTAACCACGTATAAGCACATGAAACTTATCTTTTAAGGTTTGACGATGTCAACCTCACGATTTTCTTTCATTTATTCTCAAACAGTGCATGATAGTTGCAGTTTTGGAATTTAACTTAGTATATAGAGCCAAAACCGGTCAGAACAAATGCCTTCAGAGATAAACATGAAATAGCAAAATCGTCAAATATGGATCGAACAACGCACAACAACTCGACTACATTGATTAGGATTGTTGATTTACATTGTTCAAACCTTTAATGAAGCGCCAACCCAAAAAGAATAACAAGTGTCCACAGGCTTGTTTGGCCGACCATGAAATCCCGACTTCTGTCGAAATATACACCATCTTTTGATCTTCTCTAACCGGTAACTAGTGAATGTGGTGTCGAGGCGATTCATTAAGACCAACGATGCGAGCGCGCAATAAGTTGTACCACCTAAACAAAATGACATTGAAGTTCGTCACAAAGCCAGTAGTCGCAATGCCGTGCTTGTGACCAGTAAAGGGCAATTATCTGAAAATGAGCCCGCATGGAAACATTTCATAGTAACTTGTACGATGCGTCATGTTATGTTAATATGTCTATTTCGGTTTAAAAGTAGAATTATTGGATGTAGTATTTCGTGTATTTTCCATTACTTTTCAACGTTCACAAAGTGTGACACCGGTCAAAAAGAGCTTGGGGAAATGTCAATTGCCGTAGTATCTCTCAGGACAGTGAATAACTTTGATAGCACATGCTTTTATATGAAGTTATCATAGGACACAACAAATATTTGTCTAAACTTAGAGCCAGGAATAAGAACAAAATTACATGCAGTGTGAACACACGTGACGAGAGAACCGCCATAAGTACAACTGCAGGGGTAAACTCCAATGAAATATAGTCGACTAGGAGCAAGAATAAGAACAAAATTACATGCAGTGTGAACACACGTGACGAGAGAACCGCCATAAGTACAACTGCAGGGGTAAACTCCAATGAAATATAGTCGACTAGGAGCAAGAATAAGAACAAAATTACACGCAGTGTGAACACACGTGACGAGAGAACCGCCATAAGTACAACTGCAGGGGTTAACTCCAATGAAATATAGTCGACTAGGAGCAAGAATAAGAACAAAATTACACGCAGTGTGAACACACGTAACGGGACAACCGCCATAAGTACAACTGCAGGGGTTAACTCCAATGAGATATAGTCGACTAGGAGCAAGAATAAGAACAAAATTACACGCAGTGTGAACACACGTAACGGGACAACCGCCATAAGTACAACTGCAGGGGTTAACTCCAATGAAGTATAGTCGACTAGGATTCCTGATTAAAAACAACAAGGGTTTTACACATACCAACTGCTTCTAAGAAAGGACCTTGAGCAAAGCCATGTTCGTACGCCTGAAAAAGAAGATAATGAATATGTAAATACGGTAAGGCTTCTAAGAAATTTAAAATACAAGAATCAACCTCGTGCACATTGATTAGGAAATTTTTCCTGGGACTTCGACAAACCGTTGGCCACGTTCGCATTAAGACTTTTTCGTGAAACAAATTTTGCGTGTCGAACTTCATTGAAGTAAACAAAAATAAAACATCCACTTACCAAGCTATCTTTTATGTAAATAACTGCTTTTTCAATATTCACACCGCTCCAGTCATTGAGCATGTAGCTGATGCAGCTTGCACAAAAAACAAATCTCATGTCGTTCTCGCTCGCTTCCGCCGTCGGTCTGAAGCTGTGACAAAAATAATGGCGCGATGAGCAACGTCAAAACAAAACATCCCAAATGTCTTTCTTCAAAAGCAATTCAACGAAGAAGGCATGAACAACTTGATTTTAATGTTATTTAAAAGAAGTCATTGGGGTGTGTGTCACCAAATACGAAATGTCCTGTAAATAGATGGTGAATATTGATACCACGAAAAAGAGACTCGGGGGGAGGGATGAAATAAGCTGGATAGTAACTTGCTATATGCAATTTGTAAGTGCCATAAACTCCAATGACTGCTTGCTTATCAACTTGTGATCAGTTATCTCTTGGACAATCAGTAGACAAGACAAAGAGACTAAGGGTGCTCAAGCTTATACAGTAATCTGCCACCGGCCATTTGTAAGTACTTTAAACTCCCAAGGACTACTTGCTTATCAACTTGCGATAAGACATCTCTGAGAATTTGTAGACATGCCAAAGAGACTAGAGATGCTAAAACTTATATATATTAACCTGCCATCGTCCATTTGTAAGTACTTTAAACTCTCTATCACTGCCTGCTTATCAACTCTCGATAAGTCATCTCCAAGAATCAGTAGACAAGCCAAAGCGACGTAAGTCATGGCAATATGCCCACCGTCATATGGACTTTTGAAATCTTCAATACCCTACAAAAGAAAAAATAGTCATGCAATATTACGGCCGTGGGGTGCAGGGGGTGCCACCCCCCAAACATCAGACTTCACCCCCCTAAATAAATTGTTTACGAAACATTTTAGCCCACCCCCCAATTTTTTTTCCAAAACAAATCAGAAGTACGGTTGAGCTGAGTTTTTCAGGGTAAAATTTCAACTTTCTACACAACCTTCGATGGCTGCCCTACCAGATGTCCTAAATTCTAGACCCTTACATTGCCTTACGTGTCTTCTTTACCAACTCACCCGCTCCTAAAATTTTTTGCACTATCCCTGTAAAAATATAAAAATTTGTCCACGACTATGGCACCTCAAAACAAACACAATTTGGGGCAGTCCTTATATGGTAAGCCACATTACAACATCATGAAAGGCTAATCATCATTCAAATGAAACGCCTTCCTATCCAACTATGAAAGACTACGAAATGCTCTGTATCACTACTACCTTCAAATGTAAAGTCGAGGAACCTTTGAATCCACATTTTTTTATATTTTCATCTAAAACAAAAAACAAACGTGGCAAGATTACGGGTTTGTCAGCTGAAAGCTTGAAGGTGAAAATTCTTCAATGGCAGACTTCATGTATATTATCAAACACAACAGAAGACATAAACAGCCACAGACCAGTCACTTTTATATCAATTAGGCACATTTCCATCTTAATGGTGCGAAGTTTGTTGAAAAACATATGGTAAGGCCAATGTACTACATGTACAATGTACTACAATGTACTACAATATTCTATATGCCTTGGTGAAACTCCCAAGTAGGATCATGTAAAGCCCCACAAGATCCAACCAGGATCCTGGATAAGATAAACTTAAAGACTTAAAAGGATTCAATAAAGGATTTGTATTCACAGGGTGCGAATTAAGGTGGAAAAAGTGCATCGCGAATTTCTTAGCAAAAATTTGACCACCCCCAAATCAAGGCTCCTTGTACAACAAATCCTTTACATTAAAACATATTTTAGGTGATAAAAAATTTGCCTTAAAAAGACCAATTGCCATGGTAACTGACCCGAAACCAAAGAAGAACCAAGAGGCCAAAGAAACCTAAAGAAAATCAAGAGTTCTGAAAACAACTGCTTTAGAGATTTAAGATACTGCATTTTGACAGACAACTTGTCAAAAGGCATAGTGTTTCAAATCTCTAAAACAGTTGTCTTCAGAAATCTTGGTTTTCTCCGGAGAGTTTTTCTCGGTTTTCCCTTGGGTTTCTGGGTTTTTCTTTGGTTTCAGGCCAATCTCCATGGCAATTGCTCTTTTTAAGGCCATAGTCAAATTTGTCACCACGACAGTCAATGTTTTGTTATAAAAAATGAAGAGAAATGTGTGGGAACAATCTTACCTTTTATAGATAACACTTGCAGTGAGTAGATCCAGTTAATGTAACTTTCTTTATCATCTGCTATCCTATCCAATGCATTCAAAATATCCAGTCCAGATAGAGCAAAAAATGCAACAGTTAACCTATATGTGTAAAAGAAATATGTACGGTCATAGCACTATCAATAATGGCAAAACATTGGGCAGATGAACCAAACCCACAGCCAAAGAAGCAAAAACTTCTTCATCAAATGCCCTCCACAAACCCCGGGATGGAAGTGCTAGAGACAAAGCAACTAATGATGGATGGACAAAAAAGTCGGACAGATTAAAATTGTAGGCTTCTCTATAACCACTACAAACTACATACAGACTGCAAAAGTCAATTTTAGATTGTAGACCACCTGCCAATTTTATTTTTCGGTGGTGGGGGGTGGGGTGGGAATGTTCACTTCCAACAACTGACATACCCCACATTAAATTGTGGCTGACAGAAAAAAGTCATTGAAACAATGACAAATGAAATGTGTTGAAATTAAGGTGATATATGAAATTTTCAACAACCATCAAGCGGGGACACTTTTCGGGACCCCTCCCCATAAACACCATTTTCTCCATGCTACATCCTTTACGAACCTCGTGGTATCCAAGGAAGAATAGGAAGATGGAAGTACGTTAAGACATCGAATGAAAAATTTCACATGCTTGGAATAAAGAAAATCTTCTTTTCTATCGCCAGGTTCCGTTTTATCGGACATATTGTTTCTTTTACGCCAAGAGAAACCCAACTATTGTCATGGACTTGAAACCATTTTGAAACCACATCACTCGAAAGTTCCAAATAGTCACTACTTGACGTACATCATTGCACGATTTCTACCGCTGACACGCTAGAATGGAACGTCGGCCATACAATCACCATGGTAACTTCGACAAAATTTGGTGGACAAACAAATCAATGTTGTGGACATAATGTAATTCGAAATCTTAGAACTTTGAAATGAGTTTTTTGCTTCGGAAGTCGAAGAGAAATCTCGTCCAACAAATAAATATACTTTCCGATTCTAATGACCACACGAAAGGGTTGGAATTTTTCTTATGTCTTTGATATATCGTATGGCTAGTAACTGTAAATTTATTAACTCTGTCAATATTCTTCTTGCAGCAAAGTTGAAACGGACAGCGACTCCACAGAATTCAACCTTAACCTGCTTGAGGATAGATCCTCTCGAGATGTTTACTCTTTGACTACATTACTGGAGGTAAATGCTGAGTTCTTCGACGTTTAAAACAAACAGGCAAACCAAACTTAACCGTACGAACCTATGCTTTTTCATAGAAAACTAACGTTAAGCTGGAAAGTTTGAGAAAGGAAAACGAGAGATTGGAAAGCATCAGGATTGTTTTAGAGGATAAAGCAACCTATTTTGAAAAAATGGTGGGGGTTCATGTACCTTGACAAAACAAACGAAAGCCAGATTGCTTCCACTTCACCAACAAGGTCTTTTTTATTTCAGTGCAACGAAAAGGAAGCAGAGATTTTAACTCTAATAGCAGAAATAGAAATTCTAAAAGCTCAAAATAATGAGTTGATATCCCACAGAGATGATGGAGCAAGCAAAGCCAGAAAACAAGTTAGTTTAGTTTTTAGTTTGTGATGAATAACATACTTATTTTGTTGAAATTATTAAATAGAAGTTTGTGTTAACTTGCAGCACATATCAAATTTTGAGGGGACATTAAGTAAGGCCAATGAAGATTATAGAAAAAAGGTTGGTAAAGCAATCGAAAATGTTGCGCTTCAACCATTTCTGGGAAAATGTTTGACAGCAATATATGTTTCAAAGTAGTTTTGGATGCTCTGGATTTTTTTTAGGAAAAGATATTGCTGAATAAAATTAGTAGGCTTCAAGAAAAATATGCTAAATCCAAACAGGACCATGCCTTGAAAGTGTTTGCATTGAAAGATGAAAACTGTAAATTAATGGTGGAAAATAGTAAATTGAAAGGTATATCTTCATTGTTGATTGCAGTTTCCTCTCTCATTAGTCCAGGAGCTTCTTTTGAAATGTGTGAATTTGTATTTCATTCAGAATGCTTTGACCAGGAAAGGGCAGATGGCATGAACAGACCAGAGAAAAGTTCTGTTTCCAGTGATAGATACCCAGATGATACCCCAAACTCCCCTCGAAATGAACTTATATTACATCTATCCCAGCAAGTTTCCTCTCTGGATTGCGAGAATCGACAACTTAGGCAAGAACTTGAGCAGTTGAAAGGCCCTCTTAAGGAGGGCACTGCTAGAAATACATCAAGAACCAACCATCAACAGCTGCATGTTTTCAAATTGGCTGGTTTGGATGGTTTAAACAGTTCAAAATCAAGACGGCAAATGATTATATAAAATACAGATAACTATGTACAAATACATGAAAATTTCCGTAAAGTTAAGTGAAATTTACTAATTCACGGGGGGGTGTCAATTTACAAGTTTTAAGCAAAGAAAGAATGCCATCTTTTCGGGGAAGTCGTCAAAAAAAAAATGAATGCAAAGCCTTAAAAATGCCATGTTTAAGCGAAGTACAAAGCCACATGCAAATTTTAAACAAGACGAATAAGACCACAAGAATATAAATAGGAGGGGGAAATCACGAAAAAAAGGAGCTTAGACGTTTAAAATAGTTAAGAAATAAGTCATTATCCCATAACTTAATGATATATATGCGATAAAATAATATTTAGTTGAATATTCGCTCGCCTACAATTTCATAAAAGTATATTTTCAAACAGCAATGAAAGAGTAAATAACTTGAATTACCGTGCTCATATTCTTGTTCTTCCGACAGAGTGTTTGCAGTTAACTCTTATCTCGTGACTTTACTTTTTATGTCTTTGATATTTTCATTTTTTCGTTGTTTGCTTTCATGGAGAAGGAAGGTTTATCAAGAAAAGGAAATGGAAGAAAAGAAAACGACCAACTCTTGACCAATCACGTTCTTGCACTTTGATTAGTTAAACGAAGCATTAACAACCAATAAAAATTTGCAAATTCTTCAATGCAGAGAAAAAAAAATGGCGGAACAAATTGCAAAAAGCGACGAAACTTTGAAATTATGCAGTCCCCCTAAACTTACTAGGATGGTAAAAATAGAGAAAAGAACGAAACCTAATTACGATAAAAACGTCAACAATCCTAGTCTGCCAACTCTTGCGGGCGAAGTGGCGGTAGCCCAGAAAAATCAGGTTTTAAGACTCGAAAAAAGGATCGAGTATTTACGAATCCTGAAGGAAAGTTCGAAGCAAATAAACATTTTACTTCTATTTTATTTCTTACGATAAGTTTTAGTCTGATTTCTTTTTGCACAGGCAGAACATCGAGAAGGTGGGATCTACGTAACCGTAATCTTAAATATTTCTTCATGCTTGGGTTTGGGTTTCATTAAAAAATTACTTGTCGAGATAATTATTTAAAGCACATAATTTTTTTTGTTGTATTTTCATAAAGTCTTGCATTCGAGAAGAGAAGCAGAGAAGCACGTTCAGGCAGTCGTGCGTAAATCCACTTTGCTTCAAGACGACATTCAATGGCACCAAAAAAGCTGGGAAGCTCTAAAGCAAGGTTTGGTAGAGCTTGAATTTTTTCCAATTATTAGTAGGAAATCGTGTTCTACGTGAAGTAAAACTCGTTGCGTTCCACAACCGAAAGATATAGAAAGCTTGGTTTGCACTAACAGCAAGCTGAAGAGGAGCTTACGCGACGAAGAAACAGAAATCGCGAGAGAAAAACGGTTCGTCAAAATGCACGAAAGCTAAAACGCAACACAAAAGCCTGGCTCACTGGCTAACAATTCTTCGTATACTTGCACAAATATAGTGGCTACGAGGAATATCGCAAGAAAATGTTTAAGCACCGAGAACTGAGCGCTTTGGAAGAAAATTCGAATGACATCGACGTGGATATTGCAGAAAAGACAAAGTATCGCGAAACGTTAGAGAAAGAATGTACGTATGTGCTTTAGCGGGATGAATTCATTTGTGAGGCGTTTCATGAAACATCACTACATGTTAAAAAAGAAAGCCTGCCATGCTTTCATATTGAAGCATAACATTCATTGCATGCACCATGAAGTATTTCCACATGCTTTCATTTTGAGCGTGGTTATTAGGTACTTGGTTGACAAAATAATAGCTTAGCTTGCTCAAATAAGTAAAATTGAAGCGTGTTGTCATGAGTAAAGCACACCATTGTGGACTTATCATAGTATTTTTGGACGAAATAGGGCACTAGATGAACATCCATGCATCATCTTTGAATACCCTATGAGTACTTGTGTCCAAATATTTTTTCTCGACGCTCTCATGTTGCGGTTATAGTGAAGGATTTGCAAGAATCGAACGACGTTCCGCGATTGTTGTCCGGTGAAATGGAGGAAATTCTGATGGCCGAAATAAGCACTTTGGAAGAGTCGTTACACGAGCTCCAAGAGAACTTGAAACGAAAACTCGAGGTTCGTAAATGTTTCGGCCTAAAATATTTTTTTAAACGTATCTCAACATGAAATTTAGTGTCTGGCGTTTGCTCTCTCGCCCTTTCTATTTGGCGTAATTTGTTTGAAGGAAAATCACGAAAAGGAGAAACAGGATAGACTGAAACACGAGGTGGAAAACTTACAGGTGAAAACTCTTAGATTTGTCCAATCTTATCGATCTTGTCTTAGGTTGACGATGACTTTGAAATATAGACGAAATAATGCTTTTGAAAACTGTATTTCTCGTCAATTTAACTCGATTCTCGTTTACAATGTTTTCTGTTATAAATTCTTACATATATTCTTCACAATTTATGTTCTTCAACACGAAAATATTTGCAATTTTTCGCGAATTCTAGAAGAAAAACCTTGCGCAAATAACGTGGACGCGAAAGCAGCTCCAGGAGACGATGGCTCGAAATAAACAATGGAATGAGCAGATATCCCGAAAAGAAGCGGAAATAAAAGAAATTCGACAAAAAATGGACAGTATTTGAAGTAGGAATTGTCGACTATTTATATATGTTGCATTTCGGGTTACCACCGTTTTCAGGATCAAACGCTGTTAAAAGGCATTTTATTTCAGGCTAATAAATTCGTAGTTTGCTGACTTGCAGTACATTGACAACTGAATATACATTGAGTATAATTTAAAGCTCTTTGAAACCAACAATTTGATTGCTTACAAACTTTTCACGCAACGTGATAACTCCCCACTCCACCCATTTGTGGGAACAAGTGCAAAATATAGAGTATTTGAAGCAGCACAACTTAAACCCAGGACTAGGGAAAATGCAATTGAATAAAACCAACAACTCTCCGTATAGGTCAAAATTGATTTGGTTAATATACACTACTAAAAGAATTCTACGTCGTTGTCACACACATCCGTGCCTCTTTAGCACCATTCAGAGTCAAAATCTCCCACAGTCAGTTATTTAAAGACTGAAAATAATATAAGTAAAAAAGTGCCATTTTTCGGTTCTTCATATTGACCGACATGTGAATAGTTTAGCAGTAAACAATAAGCAAAATGTCGAATTGAAACTTGTTAGGTCTTGCGTACGAGGTCTGGGCTAGAACCAACGCACAATGTTAATGTGCCTGGAAACTCAAATGATTCGGATTGAGTATAAAAAGTTTAAAAAGAACTCTTCTGAACATAACTCACTACCTCAAGCGCAAATTGCAAAGGCACTTTACGTAATTAAAAAGTAACTCTAGGTGTACGGAGGCGAGTTTGTGTCTTCTACGTCTGTACAAACATTACCGAAATTGTTTTGGCGAAAAATTTTCAAATGAGAAACTGATGAAATGGAGTTTGTGAAGGACGTGTTCATCCAACATTGAATTTAAGCACACGCTTTGATCAAAAACAGAAAACTTACAAAATTTGAGTATTTGGGGCTCAATAAGATATAAAGTACACTAGCGTAGAACCCCTATACTATAACTTTTTACGTTCTCCCTCCAAATCGCAAAGTCCGATTCTGAGGATCTGAGCTTACAGGCGTTCTAAACAAGATGGCAGAAATAGCAACTCTTTACATCCAGTCAGCGCGAAGCAAATACGTCAATTATTGAAAATATTATCGAATAAAGACGTTCATACGAGTGTGAAATACCTTAAACAACTTATCGTGGATGATTTTATGTTCTCGTTTCAATTTCGTCATCACCCAAGAGGCCGACACTCGCTATGGTCTTCAAAAAGATGTCCAGCAATGGAATTGCGAATGAATCCTGAATTAAAACAAGAAAGCGTCATGTTTTTCGTTTTCCAAAAACGATGTAAAATTGTTCTTGCATCATCGAAAACAGGTGCTGCAATGGAGAAGAGTTCAAGACGACAAGAAGAGAAAACCCACCTCCTTTGAAAGCATCTCGTCAACCTTCTTTCGACATTCGGTTGCTTCAATGGAATCGCCCTCCTTCGTGGTACATATATTTAAAAAGATATTTCGTATCGCGTTATTATGATCTCCGCATTAACTCACAAAATGTAGATTTGCCATCTTCACGAAAAATGACCTCTTTAAATAATACCTCGCTGATGTCGAAATCCAACAGTTCGTCGATATCTGCCCTCGACATGTCGAGAATTGAGCTGGCCAGTTCACAAGCTTGCACCATGGAAGCGCTTTTTTTTTCTTCCTCGAACTTTCTAATCCTCTGTTCGTTTTGTCGCGCTTTCTTCGCCGTCATTTCGTCAAGAATTCTTTTCATCAACGCCTAAAAAACGAAAAAACAATATGTTGTTCCGTTAAACGTTGCTGTGCTTCGATCATCGCACGCCATCATAATACCGAGCGGTTTATTTAAAACTAAGATGTCATCCGAATGAATTCTAGCATGTAATTAAGATCGTACCTTCATGGCATAAACCGTAGAAACATTTTCCCAAAACATGTTTAGTTCCAAATTTATATTAAAAATATTGCATGAAAAAAGTACTCGATGCGTCCTACCATAGCTTGTTTAGTCTGGCAGCGCATAATAGCGAAAACGTCAATTCAGAGCTTCGGGCGATCTGGAACCAACGTACCAAAGAACAAAGTGGTACTAAACCGAAAACAGGACACGCTTTATTAAGTATTTGAAGCTTTGAAAGATAGTTTGTCCAACTCAAACGTTTTTCTCCTTTTTAGATCTTTAAATACTTAAAAAAAACACGGGGTCAGTGGTTTCACGGTCATATAATTTCTTTCAACCTGCGTCCGAGCTGTCTTTGATGCATGGTTAACTGGTTGCGATGACAACTTGTTTGTTAGTCTGCTGTTTTGTTGCATAATCGTAATTTTCCGACTCTCCAAATAATAGGCTTAAACATATAATAATACTACTGTTATGATGAATATCCGGATTACACGAAAGAACGGTCTCATTTTCACGTGAATCCTGCTACGTCACTGCTCATATTATGCGCATGCGCAGCCATGGCAGGCCATCATGTAATTTTCGGTATGCCGTTTAAGAACTAAGCAAATGCATGTTTGATGAAAGCAATTCAAGGTTATAGTTTTATGAAGGTATGATATAAATTAAATGTTAAAATCGATTTGGACGACAGTTCTCCTATAGCTAGAAGATTTAAGTGTTGTCAAAAGCATGGACGTTGGGAGATTGAAAGTTTGGCGCGGGAGGGGGGGTATATACATATACATATACTGTGTTACATTCACAAAAAACTATGGATTTCAAAGAAACATAATAGTGCATATCATGTGTTTATGAATACAAGTCCCCCCACACTTATCAATCTTCCCAAGTCCATGATCAAACGGGCAACGAGCATACACTAATACGAACTTAAACATTGAACTTAAACAAACATTGAACTTAAACAGACAATGAAATGGTATGATATGCGTTAAAATGCGATTGCTGTTTGAGACAAAGATGGTTTTCGTAAAATTTGATAATCAAACGTGAAATATCAATTTCCAAATGATAACAAGAAAGGAAAATTTAAAAGTACAACGAAGTAATCATCTACGAAGCAACGGTTCTCACACCTACCCTTACGAACTTTTGAAATTCCTGAATTCGTCGAGTGGATTTATTCAAACGTTCTTCGATGCCGGAAAGCGTCGCTTGGCTATGATTGGCCAGATTATGAAGTTGCATCTTTGCAGCGTCTTCCATCTCTTTCACGGCCATCTCGGCTTCGTGACGTAACTGCTGAGCTTGCACGAGAAGTTTGCTCTTTGCAAAAAAATTTAAACAAGTAAATTATATCTGGACTTCGGTGTGACCATGCATGCAAATTTTTTTAACTGTTCTGTCGGATAAAAAAGCTAAAGCACTCCCCCCTGTTTTGAACTTTGCAAACACCACGTAAAGCAGGTGGTACAGTCTAACGTCTCGGCTCATTGGCTATACTGGTCCAGACCATGGGCCGATCGACGAAAAAGGTCTTCTCACACAAAGCAAACACAGAGAAGATCATCTGAATGGATTTTTACCTTCTTTTTGATTTCATCTTGACTTTTACCGAACGATTCTTTTATCCTCTGTTTCTCATTCGTCGTGATTTCCAATCGCTGCCTCAACGATTCCATCTACAAAAGCAAACAAAACCGCATACCACATTTACAAGGTCAAGCAGCAGTAAAACCAAACATTGTTGGTCCACAAAACGACAAAACGTTCGGCGGTTGACTATATTTTCTTCCGAGGTGACTTGCATGCATTATCGGTAATAATTTCGCGTTCAACAATCACGCAAAACGGACCCCTCGCCAAACTCTAATCCTTAATCTGAAAGTACTAGACTACGGTCGACATGTTGGTTAGTTATTAGATTAGGAACAATGATTTCGAACCCAATCCCCTAGATTTCTAACTACCGCGTCAAAGTGAGGCAAGGACGCCATCTCGAAAGGTGGTAATAAGCAAAACTCAAAATGGAAAACAAGCTAAAAGAAAGTTTTAAAAAACCAATCTTATCAAACATTATACAAATCAGATATAGACTATCAACTTTGCAACTGTATATCAACTCAAAAAAAGCAGATATTAGCGGTAAAAAAAGATAAGTTTTGCCACCTTTCAAGATAGCGGCTTTCCTCATTTTTAACAATAGAATTTTGGCAGAGTCAGATATCTAGAAGACTGGGTTCTAAGTCATTGAATAAGGAGTTATGACCACATCCGCCGATGTTATCGACGAACATATTAAGACGCGAAAGAGTACATACGACCGAAACATTCAAACGCATCAAGCTTCATTGCCACCTGTTTTTTCCTTTGCTGTTCTTTGTCGGTCAAGAGTCGAATCTTTTCCTCATTATCACGCTGTATAAAATTCCAAGTATTTGTTGAAAAGAAAGGGATGTCACTGAAACCGAGTGAAAGAGACGACAAAATTTTTGTACCAAATTTTCGCGTGTAGATTCAAGATTGTCCAGTGTAGCTTTTAGTCTCGACCTCATTTCATCCACGAAAATTTTCTTCTGGCTCAAAACCTGCTCGTGTCTGGAACTTCTAAAAACGGTATTCCCTATTACAGGCTCGTCATAAGCAGGGGGGAGAAAGGCTTGTCACGCTGTATCGCCCCCCCCCATCTTGTTTTTGACGGAATTGCATTACAAGTCACTTTTCAAAATACAGCTCCAAACTTGCTTGCAACTACACGCCATTATTTAGGCAATTTTGAAACTGCCAAGTTGCCACATCGAACGATGTTAAACAGGCAACGTTCCATGGGTGAAAAGAGCGAAAGTACATGAGATATGCATACTTTTCCTGAAATGCTTTCAGACGTTCTTGAAGCTCTTCGTTCGTTTTTCTTGCTGCTTTAAGTTCGATCGACAACCTGGAACACTCGTTTGCAGACAGCTGGCAGAAAAATCATGTGAATTAAAAGAGCAACAAACAACAAGAACAGTCTTTAGACTACTTAAAATATAAACTATGATAGCGTGTGTCAGTGTGGGTAATGATGAATGAACAACAGAGAACAAGAACAGTCTTTACACTACCTAAAATATAAACTAAGATAACGTGTGTCAGTGTAGGTGGTGATGATGAACAGAGAACAAAAACAGTCTTTACACTATCTAAAATATAAACTAAGATAACGTGTGCCAGTGTAAGTAGTGATGAATGAACAACACAGTCGTTTTACAACCTGCAAAACAGCACAGTATAACGGTTTTACCTTTAGTCTATCTTCTAAGTGTTTCTCCGTTGGATATGAAGGCACTTTGTTAGCACCAGATCTTTTCAACAGCTCTTTATTGCGCTTTTGACTCTCTTCAAGTTCTTTAGTGAGACGCTTCGGAAAAAAGAATTAAGAAGCCATAAATATAAGACAGAATAAAAAGAATGACGATGGATGCTAGCACCTTACCTCCATCGTTTGCTTGGACATTTTCAACCTTGACTGACACTGACTGTAATCGTTTTGAAGCTTTTCCTTTGTGCTGCTTTGCTCGGAAAGAGCCTGCGCCAGAGACTCTTTCGCCGACTTCAATACAGCAACTTGCTGTATTAAACTGAGAACTCTTTGTCGAATGATCTTCCCTTTGCGATGTGTCGAACGTTTGTACGTCAAACGAGTTCGTCTACTCGGGGTTTCGACTGAAGGTTGGATAAAAGACTCGCTCAATACTTTACCGAAGTTGTCAACATTGTCCGTCTTCTCAGGGTGAAGCGCCGAGTTTTCAGAAAACATCTTGCTTTGAGTGGAGCTTGTTGAAGGATCATTAAAGGTGCTTAATTTTTGCAAAGTTTTGATTGGTGAAGTTTGGGCATCGCGTTTTGCGTTGTCTTGTCGCTCATGTTTATGATTTACACGAAGTATTAAATCTCCGGTTGATTTTAGGAAATGTTCCTCGAGAATCGTGTCCGTTTGAACCTGAGGTGAGATAACGTTATAAAGAACAGAGAACGACAGCAGTTTTTACACTACCCTAAAATATAAACTAAGATAACGTGTTTCAGTGTAGGTAGTGATGAATGAACAACGGAGAACAAGAACTGTCTTTATACTACCTAAAATATAAACTAAGATAAAGTGTTTCAGTGTAGGTAGTGATGAATGAACAACAGAGAACAAGAACAGTCTTTACACTACCTAAAATGTAAACTAAGATACCGTAGCATTATAAAAGGAAAAATAACATAGTAACAATCTTCACGTGACATTCAAGATACCTGGGCATCACAACAAATCATCTTTTTGCGCTTTCCTAACAAGTCTTCTCGCTCAACTTGAACATATTTACTCTCGCATATTTTCCTTTTCTTCCTCTCGTCTTTTACGGTTTTGACTTCTCTTTTGTACTTCAATACTTCTCCCGCAAGACGATCCGCCATCTTTTCCTTCTCACTTAAAACCGGGAAAATGCAATCTGAAGGGAGATACGGTACGCCGCACGCAGTCGAGAAAAGCAGAGGCAGAATAAAGAAGAGTGCGCACCCCTCCTGGCCTTGGGTAGAAAGGGGGAAAAGGTGGGGGGGTACAAATTTAATTAACATGGGACATATTAATATACCAAGCAATCGAACAAAAACAATAGTGATTTGTGCTTGATGGAGCACACTTTCAAAATCCCTCAATCATTGTATAAGAGCAACAGAATTTAACAACAAAAAAAAAGATGACCCCAACAAAGTAGCCACCAATTTCTAATCCAAAGTAGAGCATCCTTCCCCCCCCCCAAATCCTCCCGGATCCACCCACGTTCAACTGACAGGAGGTGCACAGATTTTACCAGGTTTGCACCGATGTGATGTAAAGGTGTGGCTTGGAGCTGCTGGTCCTGTTGCTTTCTGAAGTATAATGCCTTCCTACTCACTCTTACGCGCAATATTTAGTCTACAATATTATAATAGCTCATAGAACGCACGTAATTTTGTGGAAGTGCGCACTTCCTCCATTCCCTCCTCCACCCACCCACTCCCCCTTTCACTGGCAAAACAATTGATGTTCATTACAATACCTTAAGTTTTTCAACAACGCCGAATTTTCATCTTCCTTTATTCGGCAGGTGTTTTTAACATCCTCCATCTTGGATGAAGAGGAATAAATGCTTTCATTGTTTTATCTACGAGGGAAGAGTTTCGCACCGGAATGGCGTCAACGCATCTTATACCTGACAACTAAGGTCGTCGTTTTTTTTCGCCAATCGTTCCTTTTCCGAACTCATCTCTTTCAATTCACGAGCATTATCTTCCTTCAGCTGTCGCACGAGTTCTGAAAATAAAAACACACACGAAATGAATGCGAAATGCGATTTTATATCAATCACGACGAAAAAAGAGTCGAAGTTCCAGGGGAACGCAAACTAGGGTACAACATGTGTCCCTTGCGATAGTCAATGACCAACCTCTCTTTTCATCTTCTAAGCACATGCGCAACTCGTGAATCGTCGCGACGTCATTGGAATGTTCTACCCTTAACATGTCAATTTCTTCCATAACATCATCTCTGTATTAGGGAATGATCCGTACTACGTAAGTAATTTCATCATGGAAGGATTTTCTGGGGGGGAGGGGGTGAGGTGAATGAGGTTGCCAACATCAGAGAAAAGTGGCTTTAGTCTGATGTCCTCTCAACGGAGGAGTTTCTGTGTTGTTATAAGAATGGATACCATCATTCATGTATCATGCATGTATCATTCATGTATCATGCATGTATCATTCATGTATCATGCACGTGACAGGTGTTTGCGTAGCGTTTGAAAAGAGGAACAATACACGTTAAAATCGAAGCAGTCGATGTCGCTATACTAAGATCAAACAAACTGGCGCTAAAATCGAAAAAAATTGATGTCGAAATTGAACCAATCTATGTTATAAACGTAACGAAAACATCTGCCAGAAGTGAATGGGGACAGATAAAGAAAGAATGCGCTAGCAAACGACGTCATATTAAAACATTCATGCGTATAATGACTCAATATGAATCAAACTTCGATAAAAATTCCTACAAATTTCGCACAATCCAGTTGAGCTAACCAATTGGCCAATCTAAAAATAAATATTTTTCACCTTTCTTTACGAAGTTTTTCGTATTCTTTCTTGAAATACTGCAGCTCGTTCCAAACAGAATCACTGTCTTCTTTTTGCAGTGTTCGCGGCGAGGCTCGTGGACGGTCTTCCTCGTCAATATGGTTTCTTGCAAAGTCGTCGCTGTTGAAACTATAAAAGACGTAATTCTAATCAGATCATCCTGGCTGTAAACTATCAACTACGCATTTCTGGCCAGCTCATAAATATAATAATAGAATGAAGTACAAACTATGAAAATAGGTATCCACAAACAGGACTAGAGGGCTTCACCCACAGGCCACAGGACTAAGGAGTTTCATCCACAGGACTAAGGAGTTTCATCCACAGGACTAAGGAGTTTCATCCACAGGACTGAGGAGTTTCATCCACAGGACTAAGGAGTTTCATCCACAGGACTAAGGAGTTTCATCCAAAGGACTAAGGAGTTTCATCCACAGGACTGAGGAGTTTCATCCACAGGACTAAGGAGTTTCATCCACAGGACTAAGGAGTTTCATCCAAAGGACTAAGGAGTTTCATCCACAGGACTAAGGAGTTTCATCCACAGGACTAAGGAGTTTCATCCAAAGGACTAAGGAGTTTCATCCACAGGACTGAGGAGTTTCATCCACAGGACTAAGGAGTTTCATCCACAGGACTAAGGAGTTTCATCCAAAGGACTAAGGAGTTTCATCCACAGGACTAAGAAGTTTCACCCACACGAGAGAGGAGTTCCATCCAGAGAACTAAGGAGTTTCACCCACACGACTAAGGAGATTCACCGAGACGACTAAGGAGTTTCATCCACAGAACAAAGGAGTTTCACCCACAGGACTAATTAGTTTCACTCACAGAGCTAAGGAGTTTCGCGCACACACGAATGACTCATATGTATTTTGCATTGCTCTGAGTAATGGTTCTACCTCGAATTTTCAAACGTTTGCAACTGCTTGAGGACAATCTTGTGCTCGTGTTGAAGATTTTTGTAGCGTTGCAATCGATTTGAATGAGCGGCTCGCAAACTGTCAAGTTCATTGTCCTACAATCACCACATAACAAAGGTTATGATGATACAACTGTAGTTTTACTGCCCTACAATCGTCACAAAAGAATAGTTAACGTGATAGAGCAATCGAGTTCACAGTCCCACAATCACCACAGAATAGCTTTGATGTAAAACGACGCACAAATTCTTGAAAAGTGAACTACTCATGCAAAAAACGTAAGCAAACTTTCTCTTTAAAATCCGTCGCAGAACGTGTGACATACTCCATCTGCTTGAGGCGGACTAAACATAAATCGCCATATCTATCTCCATTGCGACATAGCAGTCTGCAGCACAATTCTCCGAGTAAAAATAAATGGCTAGAAAGTACTAAAAATGTATAACATGGCAGCCAAATATTCACTTCGATGTCGCCGGGCTATATGACCGTGAGCGCGGGTTCCGCACATGCGATCAATTTGAATTTTTTACGATAGATAAAAGCGCCGACCTTAAATTCTAAAACTTTCTTCAATTCAAAGATCTTATCGTCGAGTACTTTGGATTCCACGTCAACGCCAAGCGATTTTCCCTGAGTAAGAAAAACAAAAGTTTTCGAAAAAATCATCCTCAAAGTGAAGAAACTCCATCCATTTATATAGTCTGCTTACGTTCTTTTTCCTTTCATAAGAAGCTAAGGCCTTCTCTAACGATGAAATACGTCTTGAGAAAAAACAGAATAAAACAGAACAAGTTTTACCAGATGTATAAATTTTAACTTGAGCCGTATGATACTTTGGGCTGGTCTGTTTTTCGCGAGTGACGTCACAATGAAACTCGAGGATTCATGTGAAGTTGAAACGAAACACCTAACTAAATGTCCCAGCCTGGCATTTTACGAAAAACATGGTGAAATTCTGTGCTCGAAACTGAACGTAATACAGTCTGGTGTCTTCATTGAGAGTTAGCCATTTAATCAAAAATACCCGACTCCATATGTACTCCAGACTGATGATGCCTTCATCTGGAAATATCTGATGTTGAAACTTATCTGATCTGGAATCTTCATCAAGAGTGATCTAATGTTAAAACTTGAGTTCCTACATACTCCAGTCTGGTGTATTCATCGGGAGAAATCTAATGTCTGAACTCAAGTCCTTTTATTTACATTCGAATGTTGTTTCTACTTAAGGAAAGATCTACTCTCAAAAGTGGAGTCCTCGTGTACACCGGTCACGTGTACACCACATCACGAGTACACCAGTCACGTGTACACCAGTTATGTGTACACCAGTCCGTCACCTTCATGGAAGTTATCTGATATTGAAACTTGAGATCGGTTTTTCAGTCTAGTGTCTTCAACGGTAGAAATCTTGAGGTTAAAACTTGAGTCCTTACACAATCCAGTCTAGTGTCTTCATGAAAAGTGACCTGCTGTTGAAACTCGAGTTCCTGAACACTCCAGCCTGATGGTTTCATCTGGAGTTAATGCTGACACCTGCCGGGAAAATATTAATATACAACTCCTTATACCTATTTCGTTGCTGTAGTGTCTCTATCAACGTTTCCTGCTCGCTTTTCATTGTATCAAAATCTACCTTCAGTGTCGTCCATGTTTCAGAGCCCTGTGAAATAGACGCTTACCATAAATTACTTTCGATTATTTCACCAAGAAACAAACGAAGTATCAGCATTAAGCAGCAACAACAAACAGTGAAATCAAATACCTGTTGCTTGGACTGTTCCAATTCTTCCTCCAGAGTCTGCCGCAATCTAGTGGCTTCATCCAGCTGCTACAAAATAATCAATTTGCGCGCGTTTAGATTGAATTCTTCGGTAATTTAACTTTTTACTCTCACGAAGTATAAATGTCTGCCTCTTTTATAAAATAAATGATAATCCGAAAAAAATACATCATGTTATCTCACATTTGAGTCGAAACCACGACGATTTAAACTGTAATAGTTTCGATTCATTTCAAAACCATCATCGGACAGAATGATTATTTTGAAATAAAACCGAATTATTACAGTTTAGATCGTCTTGCTTATAATTCAAATTTGAGTATAAACTCGAGGATTACCTCTTTTAAATCCAGGACGTCCGATTTGGATTTCTCTTCTTGCGCTTTAATAACTAAATAACAATCGTTTTTTTAAATTTTGACGAGTGCTCGAGTTAACCACAGTTTCAAAATCAAATCATTGCACTTTTAGGAAACAAGACTGTGGTTCTATGAGACCTGACGGCAGAGATGGACCATGAGTGACTTTCTAAGAGGGGGGAGTGCTCTAGTTTGGATTAGACATCCGTGGGAACTTCGTGGTTGTTGTCGTGCCATGTCGGATATTATGTGCAAAATCCTGTCACCGTGGTACCATGATTGGGAGATGTATTTAGGATGAGTGTTTTATTAAATACAAATCACATTCGGGTAAATTATCACCACCCCCCTGTACCACCTCTAAAGACACGGCCAGGAAGAGAGCATACACCAGCTCAAGAAATTCCATCTCTGATCGACCGTAGTCTTAGTTTTAGGATACTTTACGGTGGTTTTGAGGAAGCAGGTCTCTACCTCAGGGGCCGGTTGTACGAAGCCAGGATAGCGTTATCCATTGGATAGCAAGTTTTTTTATACTTTTATGAAACTTTTGAAAGGCGAAAAGTATAAGATTCGAACTGAACAATCACTGAATTAAAACATTGTTTCGAAGATTACGAAATTTCTTTGTCGTAAGAAAAATATATAAACACCTTTTTTATAAGTTTGAAAACTTTTGCTATCCAATGCATAACGCGCTATCCAGGCTTCGTGCAACCGGCCCCAGATGACTGCTGACGAATACACCAGACTACAACGATTCATATTTCGAAATCGAAAAATTTCTGTAGGCACCGGAATGGAATAGTTAAGGATCCAAGTTTCGAAATCAAATCGCTTCTAATGATGGCAAGAAGAAGAGTTTTCCAAACGATACCTGATTGAGTTTGATCTTGCAACGATTGCAGGTTCTGAATCAAATTTGACTGTTCCTGCGCATGTGCACCACACTGACCGTGAATATTTTCGAGCTGGTTCAACTTCTGCCTGGGATGGTGTTCACAAACTCATGTTTAACATCTTCATTAGCGTGAATTTATTTATAGAATTTACGTAAGAAGAATCACCTGAATGAATCTAACAGCGTTTCCTTTTCGGACAAAAGCTGTTGGTTTTCGTCGTTCGCTTTCGATTGCTGTTGCAATTGTCTTTCTCTTAAGCGCAGCGTTGTCAAACAATCTTCACGCTATTATTTATTAAAAAAAGGTGCAAATTAGCGATCTATGTAACTCTTCCCAAACCCTGAGCCCAGTAGTAGTTTTTTTGCGTGTTTTCAATTTCTCTTTTGCTTTCGAGTAGATTATTGAACGACTTCTCCTTATATCTAGAAATGGGCTTTTCTCAACCGACGAGATTGCTGTAATTTTGCCATGCACGTATTCGATCAACTAAAGCCAAACTACATAGACAACTGTCTCAAAGGCATTCAAATAAACCCTTAAAAAATTATATCAATTCAAGATTACTTAAACGAAGGGGATGAATCCGCGATGGTTTTGCAGGGGGGGAGTGCACTAGTTTAGATGAGAATTTGATGGCTACTTGTTGCCACACCAAGCTACCTCTGTTATCTCTTTGTTTTTGATTGGGAGATTTTGATTGGACGTGGCACCAATCTATTACGCACCAATCACAATTGTTTTTGCTTAATTGTTCAAAAATCGGCACCCTTCCACGCCTCTCCCCTAAATTCATCCTTGCTTGAAAGGAACAGGTAAATGAAGAAAGCGATGAATAGAACTGAATAAATAAAGAGATCTTCCCAGTTATCCTTATAAGAACAATAGACACGACGACAGTTGTCCTTATAAGAACAATAGATACGACGACAGTTATCCTTAAAAGAACAATAGACACGACGACAGTTATCCTTATAAGAACAATAGATACGACGACAGCTGTCCTTATAAGAACAATAGATACGACGACAGCTGTCCTTATAAGAACAATAGATACGACGACAGCTGTCCTTATAAGAACAATAGATACGACGACAGCTGTCCTTATAAGAACAATAGATACGACGACAGCTGTCCTTATAAGAGCAATAGATACGACGACAGTTGTCCTTATAAGAACAATTTACACGACGACAGTTATCCTTATAAGAACAATAGACACGACGACAGTTATCCTTATAAGAACAATAGACACGACGACAGTTATCCTTATAAGAACAATAGACACGACGACAGCTGTCCTTATAAGAACAACAGACACGACGACAGTTATCCTTAAAAGAACAACAGACACGACGACAGTTATCCTTATAAGAACAATAGACACGACGACAGTTGTCCTTAAAATAACAATAGACACGACGACAGTTGTCCTTAAAATAACAATAGACACGACGACAGTTGTCCTTAAAATAACAATAGACACGACGACAGTTATCCTTAAAATAACAATAGACACGACGACAGTTATCCTTAAAAGAACAATAGACACGACGACAGTTGTCCTTAAAATAACAATAGACACGACGACAGTTGTCCTTAAAATAACAATAGACACGACGACAGTTATCCTTAAAAGAACAATAGACACGACGACAGTTATCCTTAAAAGAAAAATAGACACGACGACAGTCATCCTTAAAAGAAAAATAGACACGACGACAGTTATCCTTATAAGAGCAATAGATACGACGACAGCTGTCCTTATAAGAACAATAGATACGACGACAGCTGTCCTTATAAGAGCAATAGATACGACGACAGCTGTCCTTATAAGAGCAATAGATACGACGACAGTTGTCCTTATAAGAACAATAGATACGACGACAGCTGTCCTTATAAGAGCAATAGATACGACGACAGCTGTCCTTATAAGAACAATAGATACGACGACAGCTGTCCTTATAAGAACAATAGATACGACGACAGCTGTCCTTATAAGAGCAATACATACGACGACAGCTGTCCTTATAAGAACAATAGATACGACGACAGCTGTCCTTATAAGAACAATAGACACGACGACAGCTGTCCTTATAAGAACAATAGATACGACGACAGCTGTCCTTATAAGAGCAATAGATACGACGACAGTTGTCCTTATAAGAACAATTTACACGACGACAGTTGTCCTTATAAGAGCAATAGACACGACGATAAAAAAACCCGACAAGAAGCTAACCGTTGAAGCGAGGAAATATATTGAAACTGACGGTCTCAAAACATCTGCAAACAACCCACTGACAATAGCAGTATAAAGTTGACGTCATATCAGAATGTTGCGTTCCGATGAAAAAACCAAGAAACAAACAAACCTCTCGTTTCAATGCTGCTAATTCGTCCTGGAGTATCTAAAAACCAGAAAACAAAAGCCTTGCTAAAACAGTCAGGTGAGCTTTGACTAATTTGATGATATATCTTCTTCGGTTTGTCACATTCAAGTGAGGTTTGACAAATTTGATGATATTTTTTCTTGATTTTTCATTGTCAAGTGGGGTTTGACTAATTTGATATTATTTTCTTGATTTTTCATGCGTTCACAGTCGTACCGAAGAATGCAACAGTGAAAACAAAGAAATTAAGAAGAGTCAGTGAGATGTTGTAAAACAGCATACCATGAGCTGACTTTTCAATCCGGCGTTTTCTTCGACGTGCTCTTTGCTTAGAATTTGATCTTCACTCAGCTTGTTCAATCGAACTTCAAGATCTTTCACAACGCTATGAAGCTCTGAAGAAACACGAAACACGACTTTCGTAATAAGGTATAACACACGAATCGAGTATACAATAAGATTACGTAAGCAGTAGCTTGCACGGTAAGGACTGGGGCAAAGTTGCAAACAGTTTTGAAACTTTGACATGAAACTGTGCTTGCAGCAAAATCCACAAAACGTGGTAAAGACTACCATCAGAGTACCTATGGATAGTTATGAGTACCTATGGGTAGCTGAGAGTACCTCTCTTCTCTTCATCCATCTCGTCTAATTTCGTTTTGAATTCGTTCTCGTCATTTTCCACTTTCATTTGTCGTGCTTTAATCTGGCAAAATGAAGGTGCAAAATAGGTAAGTACACTGAAATGTCCGGAACTGGGGAATATGAAACATTTAAACTATAAAGATTAGTTACATGCATTGAACTTTCCCTCCTGAGGCATATGAAAAAGTTAAACAAAGGCAGTACTTGTTACATGTAGTGAATTGTTGGAATAATGAATAATTCAAACAAAAATGTTGTAGCAATTTTTTCCTTTGCGCGTTAGCACAAAGCAGTTATGCGTCTGCCGATTCGTTTTTGGGACTGTATGCTATCCTACTGTACAGGCAGTCGACACACAATTTTCAATTTTACTCAATATAACTATTCCGCATCACAGATAATCTTAAACATTTCAAGCCTTTAAATTCACAGCCAGCGACAGAAGAACATGACTTTAAACGTGTCACAACTAATAAAGTATTAACATAAGTTCCTATTTCCGTTGTTCCATAAGTTCCTAGTATCAAACAACAATTATCTATTACTTATTTACATAAGTTCCGACAGATGTGACTACAGCTACATGCGGCGAATTTTCCGTTAAGGGGAAAATGAAAAAAAAATAAAATACACAACAATCACACATTGGACGATCGACAGATACAGTAAAGCATTCGGTACGAACATCTTGGAATTCTTACAATTTCGCCCACGTGAAATGGTGTTGATTACATAATTTTTAATAAAATGGTCGCAGGGAAAACACTCTCGTGGCTAGAAAAGTCTCGCCACGTCATTTCCAACATTCCCAGCTAAGAAAGATGGCAAGTCGCGGGAAAAATCTGCAAGGCGCCATCAAGACATACGTACCATTTCGTTCAAACAATTATTTTCCTCGACCAGTGCCTTGACTCTTTCCTCGTGTCCAGTCCTCATGGACTCGACGCGTTCTTGCAGTTCGGCTTTCTCGATCAACAGATCGTGAAGTCTGTGGCGTAGAAAAGAGCAGTTGCCTTCAGTTATCAACGCCACTTATCAATCACTAGATATTTCTTAGTTCTTAGAAAACGACATCAGTTGCATTGCCAGCTCGATAAGTGAGGGAAGAACAATATACATATGTGCATGTCTTCTCAAAGTAAGTTCTTCTGAAATCAATTGTTTTAAGGATCATATAACTTATAACATGCATACTTGATCTTGCCCTTCACCCCCAATTATTGAGTAGGTATTACACTGAACCATATGACCGTAAAAATAGACTTCTCTCAGCGTTGTAAGCTTGTGAATTTAAGGTCATTACAGTGGTCTTAACATTGCCACTGTGGATCTTAACTGACTGAGTAAAAATGACGTCATTATTATTATCGATGGCGCAGTTGAGACAAATACAAAAAATTGAAAACAAAAAATAGGCAGCTCTACATATAAATACACGTATACACTACGTATATCATTCGTCGATTATCAAAGTATTCGACAAGAAAACGTCATAGCCATTACAGAGTGAATGATTTGAGCCCGCGAGTATCGTTGCATGTTTTTAGATGAAGATCGTCTAGGTCAGTGCAGTCCTGAGACGGATTGTTGATGTTAGTGTTTACCGAAGTTTCCACAACCTTAGCAGTCTTGACTACCAAAAAAATTTCAATTCGTTTGCTCTAATAATTTTTTTGTTTAGAGCACCAAAATGGTTTCCTCTCCCATCTATTATTTGGATTCTTACCTCCCCCACTCATTCTCTCGAAGATTACAAAAGAGAAATAATGCTTGCCTTAGTCCGTGTGCCTCAAAGTCTTCATCACGTTGTCTCAAATCTCCAAGCAGCAATTCCTTTTCCTTCATTAAGAAAAAAGTTGTTAATCAAGAGACCCAATATCCCCAACCCATTTTACAATTTAATTAAAATGGAGAAATACCTAAAGAGCCAGCTAATTTAGTAGCTTTGAGCAAGGAAAAATCCAGGATGATTTTGGAGTGTGTGCTGTGGCTTGGATTATATTTTGGTTGCTACATACTTACCGGACATTGCCATGCCATGTCAGACTTTTGTTCAATTTTGCCACTCTTTATGTCACAATTGGAAGATATTTCATGAAAGTGTGCTCCTTGGAACACAAATCCCAATTGCTGCTGCATCAATGCCTGGTATATCATATCAATATTTTGTTGGGAAATTTGCATCCCACCCCTCTGCACTCCCTCTATCCAAGGTCATGTAGGGAACATCCCTCCGCATCCCACCCCTCTGCACTCCCTCTATCCACGGTCATGTGGGAACACCCCTCTGCATCCCACTCTTCTGCACTCCCTCTATCCAAGATCATGTGGGAACACCCCTCCGCATCCCACCCTCTTCCTCTATCCACGGTCATGTGGGAACACCCCTATGCATCCCATCCCTCTGCACTCCCTCTATCCAAGGTCATGTGGGGAACACCCTCCGCATCCTACCCCCATTACAACCATCCCTGTCTTTGAGAAAGGAGAAGTTCTCGAAAGCATTCCTTTGTTCAAGAGCCATTCAATATTTCATGTGCTTACATCTTTCAACTGTTGTAGTTGCAGGTCTTTGCTTTCCAAAATTTTCAGAACTTTGGCATCCCTAGTTTCGTTTTTTTCTTTTTCCCTTGAAAAATATAACCGCATGCAAAAGATTTTTTATAAAAGCAACAAGAGTAGGACTTTGAAATAACACCGTAGCTTTGTTATCTTAGGATGTTTGCCACACAAACTGTTAAAAACTGCCATTCATACCTTGCCATGACCAGACTGACGACGGACGAAAGATCCGGTTTCTCCGTTTGCAGCCTTTTCCACAAGGACCAAACAAAGTTCTTCTCCTCCTAGAGGATTTAATAAAAATTCAGTGAGAATGCATTGTTGACCTTAAAGAAACTTGGCCTTTCAGTCTTCGCTAATATTTTAAAATCTACTGTCAACGTACAAGACATTTTGATAAACTTTCGTATAATTCTTGATTTTCTTTAAGCAGAGCGTCCGCATCCAGTCCTGCGTCAAATTAAAAATAGGGCCTTGCATCAAAAACGTATGAAAAGACTCATTGCATGGTTTAAAACTATCTAGGCTAACTTAAACGGGCTAATACATACCTTGTTGGCGTTGCGCATTTTCTTCAAACCCTTCTATCATAATTAAACTAATCGTAATTCCAAAACTAAATGCAAAATTCGTTCGTATGTTCGCATGCAATCACAAAACACCACATATTTTACAGCATTATTCGCAGCAGCTTCCCAAGTCAATCGTGAAAACTGACAAGGTATTCCTAAATCAATCGTGAAAAGGCATTTTTCAAAGTGATTTCTTACAATAAAAATATAAAATCTTGTCGTTCAAATTTTCCGCCATTTTGAAAAAGGGCCACTAGTTCCAGTCCTATACAACATACCTTGATCTTTTGGTGGATTGAGTCAGATCAGTTGATTTAGTCAGATAGTGGATTAAGTACAGATCGGTACAGGATTAATATTCTGTGATTAAGTATTATACAGATATCAGGAAGTGAAGTGGCTGTCGAGATACTTGGAGAGTGACACCTGGTACAGGTGGAGAACGGTTCAATGACTGATGATGAAAATGTTTGATAAAGAAAGTTGCAAGAAATGAGTTCTCATTAAAAATTAACGGACAATTGCAAGGGTATCCATATTAGAATACACAAAGTGCTTCCATATGGTAGAATTTAGCAAGTATATAGGGCAATAATTCTGTGTTAGATCCAATCATTAACGAATACCCCAGCCATTGCCTAGTACCATCAGATTAAGAGTTGATTAAAATTATTGATCACGCTTTTTGTAGAACACAGAATTATAACAGGATTTAGGGACCTTCAAACTGTGATCTCCCCAGTAAAGTTCTTCTATAAAACAAATGCTTGGTATTGTATTGCTGTAATCATTTCGTAATCATCAAAATTTTCATGTAGTATAATTAAATATATCAAAGATATCAATGTGTATTTATGTATTTTGCACTCTATGTATCCACCTGAAGCACTGCATACATAATGTAGACAGCCTCTTGCGCTTCTGAATGAAGACCTGAATCACAAGACATACATTTAATGGAAGATTCTTTCAATCATTACTGATGATCACAAACTCCTCATCTTCCTCGATGCTTCCATAAGTTTCAATAGATTTTCCACAATCTTCACTTTCCACAAATTCAACACAATCACTCGACACTTCTTCATCCACAGATGTGAAATGTCTATTTTCAAGCAAGATACTTTTATGATCATTTCTATCACAATTTTCATCACTTACATTCTCCTATCCATCAAAGGAAGAATTTGAGTTAGTTTCCACAGCAAACCTTGAATTTGCATCTGAAATCAAAATCCCTACCTCAGCATGGATTTCTACTTTCGCGCAGTTTTCTCCTTCAGCATTTTTGTCTACTTCTACTTCATCATGATTCTCTATTTCATCATGGTATTCAACCTCAGTACAGTTCTTGACCTCAGTACGATTCTCTACTTCATCATGGCTCTTTATTTCATTATGGTTATCAACCTCAGTACAGTTCTTGACCTCAGTAAGATTTTCTACTTCAGCATGACTCTCTATTTCATCATGTTTTTCTACTTCATCATGGCTCTCTATTTCATTATGGTTATCAACCTCAGTATGATTCTCAACTTCATCATGGTTATTAAACTCAGTATGATTCTCAACTTCATCATTGTTCTCAACTTCCGTACAGTTCTTGACCTCAGTAAGATTCTCTACTTCAGCATGGCTCTCTATTTCATCATGTTTCTCTTCTTCATCATGGCTCTCTATTTCATCATGGTCATCAACCTCAGTACAGTTCTCGACTTCATCATTGTTCTCAACCGCAGTACAGTTCTCGACTTCAGTATGATTCTCTACTTCAGCATGGCTCTCTATTTCATCATGATTATCAACCTCAGTACAATTCTCAACCTTGACATGGTTTTCTACTTCATCATGGTTATCTAAAGTGGCAGAACTCTCTGCATGATCCTGTTTTTCCAACTGCACCAACATATCTTCATCAGACAGAGATGTACTGCTACATTCTTTCTCGACATCAATTGAGTCTTTCATTTTCTCGCCACTAACATATGTTGGAATTTCAGGGGTTTCCTGCTCTTGGCGATTCTCCAAATCCTGTCGCAGATTGAATGTAGCTGCGAAAAAATCAAGCGAATAATAAATTCATTTTGCAATAAGTCAGGTCTTCCAAGCTCAAAAACTTGCACATGTGAGAAATCTAGAAGCCAAAATAAATAGTTCTTAGCTATTCCAAAGATTTGGCAACAAATAGATAGCATATCGCAGTGAACAATCAATTCTGCTATTCTACCTAAGTAGTATGTTCTTTGTTGAACTAAACCTGGCTAAGATCGTACATAGTTCATAAAGCCATACCTTCAAACGCATCTGGGTACTGAATCTGTAACTTTGCTTTGAGCTGTCTAATAATGAACAGTTTTGACATAGTAATTGAGCTTTAAAAGTTTCTCCAACAATGCTTCGAACTTAACCCATTCAATCCAGTTACCTTACTCTTAAAAACACCTGCGTAAGATCATTTCTCAAGTCTGTTAACAGTCTTGTGTGCTGCATAAACATGTGTTGGAGAGCATCATATTTGGATGACGAGAAATCATTGAACTGTCCGAGCCTTTCGTTGGTCTTTTGAAAACTTTTCAGGCTAAATAAAAGATTTCATCTATGAATCTCAGTATGTAAAGGAGATCTAAAAGAAGAAAATGGTCTAGAGGGGAAGTGCTGATTTCAAATGGTTGATACGCGGTGGTGCTGTTACGCAATGAATTGTATGATGTGTTACAAAATGAAAACTTTATTTCGAAGCAGTTGATTGCATGATATAGGATGCCCCAGGCCACTAGGCCATTTTGTTTTTTTAATTGTTTGTATTGTATTTATGCCGCTAAGTAGAATATCCCAGCCCGTCAGTCAATACTTTGTAAAAATACCTTTTCTTTTGGACAGACAAAACTCGTCTTACGTCTGCATCACTGATTGAAGCAGCCATGGCTTGAACAACGTCAGTCACATGTTGGTTTTCCTGAAGAGGTTCAGGTTGTACAAAGTGAGATTTGACACGAGCTTTCCGCTTTGACGGTTTCTTTTCTTTCGTATCACTTTCTTTATAATTATGAGACATCGTATACGCATTCGAATATATTTCCCAAGGTAGTTTTGCTCAATTAAGTGGTAAATATATACGATAATATTTTCATCGCGTGTATGTTTTATTGTTTATTTTTCAGCCATGTTGACAAATTTTTGTTTTGGCGAACACATGGTCCAGCGGTAGTACTTAAGGCACAAGAAAACGTCATATAAAAGTGCATATCAAGTGGTTGACGGGCAACTCTAGTGCAATTTGCTCAAGTTTCAGGGGCTTGGGAGTTAGGAAGCCCTGACCAGGGTATCTGGACACCCACATATTTGGGGAATGGACGTCCCTTTTAGGAAGGACACTCCAAAATTCAGCTTCTTGCTTGAACGTTTATAGTAAGAATACATGGTTTTCACAGGGGAACAAATTTTTCAAATTACTGAAAAGATCTTAAACTCAGACATGATGCAGTTAAAAAGAAGGAAGCCGAATAAAAATGACTATTATCAGACAGCTTCATCACTAGATCAACTATCGAGCATGATCGCCTAGAAGAATGGAACAAAACGAACTTTTAAAACCGTCCAAAGGCTCTGTCTGTTTTCATTTTTATTTTTAGCAAGCGCGCAGATTAGGACTCACCCGAGGTGGAAATTACTTCCAATATGACTTCGCATAGAACTCCTGCGAAATCCAATCAATAAATAATGAAAAATTTGCTTCATCCGCGTCTTCATTAAATTTAATATGGGCATGCTTATAATTTAAGTGGCATGACAATCTGTTCCCTTCCAGCTGACGATATTTTAACCGACGCTTGTAAATAGAATATTAAGTTAAACAAAAACGTTACACGTAGAAACTTAGAGATCCAATTAAAGGGGTTTAAGCCTGCACTTAAAACAGGTCAACACCACGTATTTAAAATAGATAAAACGCAGGCACAGCATTGGACGAGCGAAAACATACATATTAGCAGAGAGTGCAACCCCTACTGCACACATGCAGTTGAACGATTTTCTTGCGAAGAACAAATCGAAATGAGTGTAGTAACTGCATGAGTAGAAAAATAATGTGGGGCCTGTTACGACTAACGCAATTAACACCTACTTCAGGAGCCCGTAGGCGACAGATACGAATAAATGACATTTCGAAATTTCCGTTGTTCACAAAAGTAGTAAAATATTCGAATTATTGCATTTTCATTTGAAACATTACTATTGTGAAATATTCAATTTATTGCGTGACTGAATCGACACAAGTTTTCTAATGGCAATTTTGCAAGTCATTTCCACTATATTCCTCTCGTCTTTAATGTACAAACAAATATGCATATTATATCTTGTATACGGTGTAAGAATTTAGAAATAACTTAGCCTAATATGACGTACTTTACTCGCCCCGAAACCTTAAATAGATATTTGCTCAAATTTTAGACGACCTAATAAGATATTTCTAGGCAACTGTTTGTGAACACGGATTAGAAGTGTAAATAGGAGCGGTAGTTATCCGAGGATTTGGTCGAATTGTGTTCATCGATTTGTTTGCCTCCGAGACCGAGTTTATAATGCTACAAATCTCCATTTTCCATAAGTTTATTTAGTCCATCAGCGATGCCGGCTCTAGCGTCCTTCAACGCGTCCGTTTGAAATAACTTGTCTAACAGATCTCCATTTGAAAAATAGTTGAACACATGGTCCACTCTTCCGTGTGATTTCTGCGTAAGATGGCTCTCAATTAAACTGTGCAATGACTTTTTTGCCTCCTCCAATGACTCGATGAGAAACTGCCGGTCGTAGGTGAAATCTACTTCATGGAAACTAACGATTGTCATCGCCGTTGTCTTGAACTGACTTCGAAAGGTCTCTGCCGTTCGCATGTCTGCATCCGTGAACTGATTATTCCGGTACAAGACTCCGATTTTCACGGCGATTTTGATCAAATCCTTGAGCAGTTTCTCGGCTTCTTTTTTATTTCCAGTGTCTCGCTTCGCAATAGCGTAAAGCTGGTCGAATAGGCTGCTTGTAGTGTCGTCGACAAACACTTTTGCAACGTTCTTACTAGCCAACTTTCCCAGCACTTTCTTTTGCGCTTGTATTGCGAAGCTCTTCGAACTGAAATTGCCCGACTCGGCCATCTTGCTAAAAAATTCTGTGAACGAAACCGAGTTAAGCAGGAAATACACATAAACAAAGTATGATAGCTATCAAGCCATGCTAGCTTTGTTTCACACAGCCCAAATTTGTACACAAGACCTATATACTAATATGAATGAAATATGCACCGTTCGGCTTTACCTTGTAAATCAAAATTCATTTCATATTTCTTACCTCGATTTCAAAGGTTTTATTTCTGGGGTCAGCCAAGATCGTCAATCCTTATGAAATTGTACGTTGTGTATCAATTAACTCAATAAGAATTCGATAAATTATAACAGAATATTCTCAAATGGCGATAAACGAACATCGATTCGTATATTGCCACGCCAAGACCACAACACAAAGCTTTTTTCCTCGAAACAAGGCCAATATCGACGTAGCGCAAGAAACGCGTACTCGTCCTCCGACGTAAATACGCTATGTAGATAAAACAACGTTGTGCTTTTTTTCGCCCGTCAAAACAGAGATGTTGTTTAAATTAAAAAGTCATGTGATACGACATATACAACAATACAGGCCGAAGCTGACATGGACTGATTGGCGGCACAATGGGAGGAAATTTCCATTCAACCAGATGCTGCGTGAGTGCTTGTATTTGAACAAAATCTATCAGAGGCAGCTTGCTAATGTTCCGTCAAATTTTCCACGAGTGGATGAACGAAAGCAATCTTGGAGGAAGTATCCAGTTACAAAAGATGTCAGTTCGCTTAGCTTTTAAACGGTCTAGGCCGAACGCGAAGAGTTTATACAAAACACGAAAGCTTTTTCAATCGACCTGCAGCTGTTTCTATTATTTTAGCCCGCCTGATGAAATTAAGATATGGCAAAATTACTTTATCGCATTGTTTAGTTAGTCTAATATTTCAATACATTGCTCGTTAAGATTTTAATACAATGAGTTATCTTTTAAAAATCCAAAAGATATAGCAGTTCTGCTTACCGACGAAAACAACTGGTAATTTTATTGCACATAATCTTAAAAAGAGGCTCGTAATATTCATATTCATATTTTCAACTTCTTAAAAGCAAATTTTTTGCCATTATCGGATATGTAAGATAAATAATGCATTATTTCGAGACGGCACGATTATTACAGTTAACGTAGCCATTTCACATCTAATTGCAAAAAATGATTTCTTAAATAATTCTTAAAAAATCTTAAAAAATCTTAAAAAATTCCATAATGAACACTTCAATAATCAAACGCAAATTCATTGGGACAACAAGTTTCAAGACCAGTACGACGAAACTTCACATCTAGTCGATTTTCCTTGTTCGCAGGCTCGTCAAAAAAGGAAAACAGGCTAAGCATGTCACGTTTACACGTCATTTCAGAGTTTAAACATTTACTAGCAAACAAAACCGAAACAAAATTTATTTAGATTAATTTAGAATCCAAAAGGCTGCATTTACACTAGCTACACAATGTTTGAGTAGAGCACAAAATCGTTATTAAAATGAAATATAGCATATGTTCATTAACGTGGGTGTTGTGCTCCAATGGGAGTTCGACATATTGTGTCATGTCGAATCAGATCTAGTGTTTTATTTATTCGTAAAGCGCGTCTATTTTGGAAGAATACATCTTGTAGATAATTGGTCTTCTCAATTTCATCGTCGGCCCTACGAGAAAATAAAGACAACCAAGTCAGTCAATGCGAAAGAGATTCCATTTCTAAGCATTGGAAACTACCTACTGCTAAAGAGAAATGAAACCATTTCTCACCAACAGTTTAAAAGGAGACTTTACTTACCCAGCTCACCACCAGGTATGGAAAAATCTTTTTCTAAAATGCACCATTTCTGAACCTAAAAACAACATCGGAAATCATCGACAAAAGCAAGTTTGTGGCCCGTCTCGAGATGAAGATGGGAAAAAATTCCACGGCTAGCAAGAAAGCTCGTTACAGAAAAGGAAATTCAAAAAATCTATTTTGCAGGGACTTTGGAAGCGCTTGAAACTTGTGAATGTTCCACACAAAAAAGTGAAATCGGTTTGACATTAGTTATATCAATTCGGTGTGATTCTTTTAGCTGTATCATGTGAGATTGAAAGGTCTGTTCATTTATTTGAAAACATGGCATTCTCATATTATGAGCGTTCAAGAATGAAGCTAAATTTTTGGCTGTGCTTCCTATAAAGGACATCAATCCTAAAAAAGTGATGGGCGTTCGGACACCCACACATGCCTTCACAAAACCTAGTGGCGTCGCCAGCTTGATAGGAGAGGAGGATTTTATTCATATATTTGTATTTTTTTCATATAAGTTCTTTTGACATCAGTACTTTCTTAGGCATGAAAACATGAATATATGAATATTGTCCCATTCACTTATCGAGATGGCCATTGGCCACGCCACTGTCACACAACCCCGCTGTAATTTTTGTGTTCAGCGTGTTGCGCTTACTTATTAATAATGTATGTACCTTTTGCGCTCGTGAAACAGCCTGCTCGTTGTATCTATCGATGCCATTTTGGATTGCTTTCGTTAATTTGTCGTCCTCCATTTGCAGAAATTCTGAGACGGTGGTGATCTGAGCACCATTTTGTTCACACCAGACCTTGGCCGCACCGGCGAGCTCATCCTTTGGTTCGCCGCTATCCAAATCCATTTCACACTGCACCGTGGGGGAAAAAACAAAAAAAATTATTTGCTTGTTTACAGCAGTAAACAGCTAGCTGCAAACAACAGATTACAGTGACTGCTGAAGATTTATAATTGGCAGGGAGGGGGTGAGGGGGTAAGAAGATTGTTACATTCAAGTTCGACTTCGTTAGTTTCTATTGAAATCAATGCAGGGGCTTACTGCTATAGTTGAATTATAACATCATCAGCTTGTCTATGGCGCGAGAAAACTGCTGAAAAATTAAACGCAAATAACTTGAACCAAACAGCAGTGCCGAACCCCCACCCGGAGAAAATTAACAACTCTTCAAATATTCACCAGCACACCCCTCCTTCAGAAAAAAATCTGCCATAATTTTTCTACCTTTATGGTTATCAAGCATGACAAGAATTTCCTTTTATCCCCAATCAAAACGACATTGCTAATCACTGGAAGTTCCAATTTGATTTGAGCTTCGATGGGAATCGGAGCAATGTTTTCACCTCCCGCTGTGATGATTATCTCTACATTGAAAACAATTACGAAACATGTCAAAGCACCGCATACAGATTCTAGGTTTGATATGTTTGGAAGCGCGATAACGGGAGATTGGGTGCGAGTTATCAAAACGAGGCTCACGGCAATGCAATTTTCATATTAGAACGAACGGCGACGAGTTTTCCCGTTGAAAGTCCAAGAGTTTTTCATAAAGGAGTTTTTCACTGAAAATCATGAAAATTGAAGTTTCGAAGGACGAATGCCGAATGTAGTCGCCTAATAGTGTACACCTTCTCTTTGTAATGGTTGAATTATGATTCGTTCAATTTCTCAGAGTTAATATTTTGCCTTATATACGCACGTCTTGTTGACAAATGTTACAGTAATGAATCACATAACGCTAACACTAAAATCGACCTTTTGTCTTTGCCCGCAATTTTCAATCCCAACGAGTCTCGTTTTGATGACTCGCCCCCAATCTCCTCTTAATTCAATCAAAAACATATCGATCCGTATTTACCGAAACTGCGATTCTTGTTTAAGCCTGAAATTTTCACTTTATTCATAAAGTGAAATTCTCGTTTACCACAAAGGAAACTCTCGAGGCTAAAGTCCTATTTTGAAAACTGCAGTACTAACGAAATGGCCTTCATTCAAATCAACATTACCTTTGATTCTTCCTGTGATGAAATAAAATCCGTTCTAAAACCAAATACGACACAATTTTTATGGAAGCTAACTAACTACCCCCAAAAAGATTTTAAATTCAGATTTGAGCGCATATTGAGTGCATTTACGATTATTTAAATTAGCATTTGAACAGTGAAAATTAAGCAACTTTGTCAAGCAAAAACGAAGTGAAAAAAGTTCTTAACTTGGTCTAATCGTTCCAATTTTATCGCGAAAAAAGTTCCTAACTTGGTCTAATCGTTCCAATTTTATCGTGAAAAAGTTCCTAACTTGGCCTAATCGTTCCAATTTTATCGTAAAAAAAGTCCCTAATTTGGTCTAATCGTTCCAATTTTATCGTGAAAAACTTCCTAACTTGGTCTAATCGTTCCAATTTTATCGTCGTTTATAGTTGCCTTATGGACCTAATGGGTCTGGGTCCAGCCATTCTCTGACAACATCAAAGCTATTTGGTATATATACTTTGCATTAACGTGTCCCTTGCATGACGTCATAAATATTAGTCGTTCCAGACTTTTCTAACGACAGACAAGGTCCATTAAAAAAGCAATGTTGCCAAATTCAAACCACTATAAAAATGGGACGATTGGACCAAATTAAGAACTTTCAATGAGATGTCAGACATCACACCTAGATTTAATATCGCAAAAAAAAGTTTTCGCCTACAGGGGCACTATAATGAATTACTAAGCGACATTTCAATGGTTAATAAATTGCAATTACGATTGTAAAAGGAACTTAAACGTTAAACATAAAATGACAGCCAGCCTCGGGATCATGTTGTATCTGACCGTGAGATACGAAAAGCCAACTAGTTATGTATCCGGAGATTCGACATGCCATTGATTGTACGGAAAGATGCAAAATTGTAAAAACCCGGTGTCCAGGTAGGGATAGCTAATTAAAAAAATTCGAATTTCAGACCCTGATGAGTGTCCGTAAATTTCCACTCATCAGGTTGCTAATTACCAGAGAGGAAACAAACCTCGTCGCATTTTCCTATGTCCCCCGTGTGAAGATAACCATCTTCATCAAGCACTTCCTTCGTTTTCTCTTCGTTGTTCAAATAACCCATGAAAACATGGCGACCCAACGCGCAAATCTAAATCCACAAAAACAGAAGTCTTTCTCAAGTTGATCTATAAGAAATCTCGGTATAATTCACGAAACACAAGTTTGCACCGTACCTCTCCATTTCCATCTTCGTCCGGATCATCGATCTTACAATAAAATCCATTCACCAGAGACCCAACTGAGCCCGTAATATTTTTCCCTCGCTTTCCGACTGTCAAGGAACCGGCGCATTCGCTCATGCCATATGCTTCGAACAGGGGCATGTCGAGACTTTGAAAGTAACGTAGCGTCTCCATGGTGATAGGAGCTGCCCCCGAGGCCATAATTCGGCAGCGATCAAGACCTAGAGCGATTCGGACTTTCTTGAAGACCAAAGCGTTTGCTAAACCCCATGATAAAGGCAAAGAGCGTCTGCAAGAGAGCACGAAAGCACAACAAATAAATGTGAATCAACTTTATTCCAAAGCCATCATCAGAGAATATATATAATATATTAATCCAAACACGGTTTAATATGCACATGAAAAACATGTGACTTGGACGAGATTTGAACTCGCACCTTCGGGATACTAGTCCGCCGCTCTACCTGTTGAGTGTGGCGAGAATCTCTCGTCCATACGCAGTTTAAAAGAGATTTGACTCGTCTCCAATCCCTGTGGGCTTGGTTGCTCAACAGGTAGAGCGGCGGACTAGTATCCCGAATGTGCGAGTTCAGATCTCGTCCAAGTCACATGTTTTTCATGTGCAAATTAAACCGTGGGGATTAATATATTATAAATGTGAATCAACACGATAAAAATTTGAATAAGTAATATTCAACTTGTTATATCGAGATAAAGAAAATTTTACGATAAGCGAGTGACAAATGAACACAATAAAATATCGTGCACTTCAAAGTCCTGTAAGGAAACAGGACGGGAGCCAACCACGAGCAATATATTTTATCATGGTCAGCGGTGTTAGCCGACGCCGTTTGAGAGTTTCAATTTTGCGTATTTATACAGCACGACAAGTTCAACAAATTTTTCTTTCGAAATGGCGTTTAGAATATTTCGGTATTTCCAAAAATGACGAAACGAGAGTCGAGTGTTTGCTATGTACAAGAAAGGTAGCCACGCTTTGTCAAAAAAGTTTGATTCCCGCCAAATTTAATTCGCCATAATAATTTATCTCGATCCGCGAGTCTCCACGGACCTTGATATCTGGATGTTGAGAAATGTCGCTTTGTTCGTGTATGTTTTGACAGGAGAATACGTTACTGTTGGCTGTCACGTATATTAAGACACATATATAGGCAGGTTTGGTAATGCGATAAGCAACTATCAGTTTTGCCGATTGATGAGGGAGGGGGAGATAGTGGGTGAATACAGGCTCTTAAGAATCAATACCGACAGTCTGCTCTACCTAAATGTCTTCTCGCCATTAAAGGAAACCGACTGATGTTTAAACCCTCACAATGCAACGACTTTCTCAACATCATGTTTCTCATCAAAAGAACGAGTATCGTCTTTCTTCATAATCGATCTCATGGCGGTACATTTAATCGCATCCTTCATTTATTAAAAAACGTCCCACGGTCTTGCGGCAGCATTCGCGAATTTCAAACAAAACAAAAGGAAGCACGACAACAGATCAATATGAAAATGCTCACCCCTTTTCAAGATTCATGTGACCACGCAATCCAACACCTTTAGCCCAAGAAGATACTCGCTTCTTCATTCCGGTTGTACTGCGGCCAGCCTCCTGAAGTTTTGCCATGATTTTTTCCCACACTCTGACAGCATTGCAAAGAACAAGAACAAGCGCATTGGACAAGGACTTCATTTTAACGAAATTCTCGTGTATGTCTTACCTAGGGACTGCAAATAACACAGTGGGTCGAACTTCTTTGAGAGTTTCACCCAAACTTCCCTGTTAACACGAACGGATGTATTTTAGGTAGTGTAAAAACAGTTCTTGTTCACTATTGTTTATTCATCACTACCTACACTGACACACGTTATCTTAGTTTATATTTTAGGCAGTGTAAAAACAGTTCTTGTTCTCTGTTGTTCGTTCATCACTACCAACACTGACGCACGTTATCTTAGTTTATATTTTAGGCAGTGTAAAAACTGTTCATGTTCACTATTGTTCATTCATCACTACATAAACTGACACAATTTATCTTAGTTTATATTTTAGGTGGTGTAAAAACTTTTCTTGTTCACTATCGTTCATTCATCAGTACATAAACTGACACACGCTATCTTAGTTTACATTTTAGGTAGTCCAAAGACAGTTTTTGTTCTCTGTTTTTCGTTCATCACTAGCTACACTGACATACGTTATCTTAGTATATATTTTAAGTAGTGTAAAGACAGTTCTTGTTCTCGATTGTTCATTCATCACTACCTACACTGACAAACGTTATCTTAGTTTATATTTTAGATAGTGTAAAGACTGTTCTTGTTCTCTGTTGTTCATTCATCACTACCTACACTGACACACGTTATCTTAGTTTATATTTTAGGTAGTGTAAAGACTTTTCTTGTTCTCTGTTGTTCATTCATCACTACCTACACTGACACACGTTATCTTAGTTTATATTTTAGGTAGTGTAAAGACTGTTCTTGTTCTCTGTTGTTCATTCATCACTACCTACACTGACACACGTTATCTTAGTTTATATTTTAGGTAGTGTAAAGACTGTTCTTGTTCTCTGTTGTTCATTCATCACTACCTACACTGACACACGTTATCTTAGTTTATATTGTAGGTAATGCAAAGACTGTTCTCATTTTCACATCAAAACTCTGTTCATATTTTGTACACGATTTTATTTGTATTTTTACATACGATTGCATACCTTCAACGCGTCAGGTTTAGCAAACCAAACCGTTCCAGCATTGATAATACTCATATGAATGTCCAAAATCTAAAAACAATCAACTAAGTTTCCCTTTCCAAATACCCTTCAATATCCACACAAAACACAGTTTGTACCTGAGCGGCGATATGGCTCAAAGGAAGAAAACTTATGGCATGCTCGTTCTCATAACGTAAATTCACCCATTGAGAAGACATTCGACCGCTAAACACGAGCTGAAAGAATGAAAATTGGCAAAGTCAAATCGTGCAAACGGGAAAAAAATAAATTAGTCAAATTTGGCAACACAACATACGTTATCGTGCGACAGCATCACACCCTTAGGAGTTCCTGTTGTTCCAGACTGAAAGTAAAAGTGAAATACGAGTAAATAAAACAAAATTATCAATTCATCACAACCTACACATACATACGTTGTTATTCGCGTAGGTACGGTTATATGATCTAATTTTTTGAAAAGTCAGAAGCAGTGGCTTGATGGGAACTATTTCTTTTGGGGAGAAGGGGGGAGTTGCTTTACACTGCAAATAAGCCTAAAAATATAGCACTTATGGAGTCCCGACCCTTCGGAAAATTTTTATATTAACAAGCTCTAAAATGCCATTTCCTTAACTTTGGGGAGTGAAATAGTTTTCAAATGCGTTTTTCCAACACAAATTAAAATTTGACGTCCCAGATTCTTTTCAGTGCCGCACCTGCGATCACGTGACTTGTTCGAAGAACTATGAACTGAAAATGAAATACTTCATGTTTATCCCAATTATCTGGCTGACCCGATCGGGAAACCCACTTATATTAGACAATTATTAAGTAAATCGCAATGAATTCACATCGTCATCCGTGAGAAAAATTCTCCTTCTCTGTTTATTCATCGTAGCCAACACTCAAAAAAAATACGAGTGTGGGGTGTTTTTACCACCTGTCGTATACGGGGGCAATGAATTGAAAATAATTTCCCTTGATTTGACAAATTGATGAGCTGCTAGCGCATCGACCCTTTGAAGTAACCTATACCACCAACATGGCCGCTTTGACGTCACACGAAAACACGTCATACTTACAGTATAGACCAAGGTGCAACATTCGTTCGGCTTTAAAGCAGTGATCCTTGCATCCAATTCGGTGTCATCACATGCCTCTCCCAACTTCATAAAATCCTCCCACTGTGAAAATGGAAACGGAGACTTCCAGACATTATATCTTATTCGGCTGGTGACATAACTCTCTGCTACTTACCGTATACACATTAGGGTTTGATTTATCTTCGACTTCCCCAAGATATTGAATAACAGCTTTGAGATCCGGCAACTGATCCCAAATCTTAAACACGTACACCAAGAATATAGATACACCGTAGTGACGAGCTTAGACTCTCCCACCTGCTTCACGGAGTTATAAAGTTCAGAACAGGGGGCGGAGTGTTTAAGCTCATCCGATTGACTCTGGTAAAAAATCTTCATATATGGCCACACTGGCCATATGAGTCTCGTGCTGGGTGAACGACTACCGAGCTACATACGAGCCCGCGCGCATACGAGATAAAACTCGAAAATGAAGTCACATTCACTCGTTCTCACTTATCTGTACCTTGAGAATCTTGTCCAACTGAATCTTATTTTCCACGACGGCGATTCGCGTGCGCGAGTTTTCGAGTACGTATTTGCACGCCTCGGGAGAATTGGTTGTATAGACACCGGTGGCCAATCCCCTGCGAGAAAACGGTAACAGAACGAAATGCAATGTAACTACAGGGTCATACGGAAAGATAAGATTGGGAGAACCCTTAAAGGGCAGGTAAAACGAAAATTTTTTATTCGAATTTTATTCTCATCGAAGAGAGCTCGTGAAATGACAGTGGACTTTTGAAAACAGTTTTGTAATATAGTTTTTTATAATCAACATATTAATGTTTTCGCAAACGTAATGTCCGATTTACGCAATTAGTGACGTCATGTTGCAAAACGGATTGCGGCAAATTTACAAATCTTTAGTTTCATGACGACTTTTGGACGAAATGCTTAAGCAGAATTTTACACCATTAGCACTTCACAGCGACAGGATCTCGGTGTATTTGAAGTAACATATCAGCAGATATTCGTGATTATTCCACCTCACGTTATGCAAAATGGCGTGAGTGGTTGTGTACATAAAACTCATAGTAATCATCTCTAGTATATAAAATATCCTAATATAAAATATAGTAAGAGCATCAAAGTTGGCTGACTTGCACAAGTAGTACCAGTCTCCCCTTCGAATGACGAACATACCAGGTTTGAATTTTGCGTTTTCGCAGCAAAAATACAAGCGATCAAACGGAAAGAAAGACTTGCAAAGCATTCAAATCGCCTAAGACTAAGAACGTGGCACCGATAGAGAGTATGCAATTCGTTCTTCCGGCTTTTGTTTTCAATATTCACACCAGACGCGTTATCCAGTCTAACGTACATGTAGCGGTGAAAACGAACAAGTGTAAAATAGGCTTTACATCTTTACGTCAAGTGCAATTCGTATGTCTTACCGCGCAAAAATTGCACCAATATTGGAAATTATCCATTCGGGAGAGTTGAAGCCGATTATTGCTACACCACCAAATTCATTCAAACCAAGCTGAAAACATAAAGTGAAGCTTCATTAGTAGATAAAATCACAGACTAGAAAAGTCATACAGCTATGGAGGGAGGCTGACGTTGCAGGTGTATGTGTAAGCATGTAGGTAGAGTGGGGGATTGGTGAATTTCACGAGGGCAAAGGTGGAGGTGTGAGAAAAGGAGAAAATAAAAGTTGGCAAATGGAACAGCAAATGGTTGCCTGTCTTTGGGTGGAGAGAAGAGTTCTCCACCGCTCACAAAACGAGTCTCCCGAGATGCAATTCAGCTTCCTTATAATATTGGATCAGTAGTCACTAGAGACTCGAAGTGACTGATTTGAAACAAGCTACCGCTCGAAGTCAATTATGATCACGAGTTCAGTTTTTCTCAAAGTGAAAGTCACCCGTAAATATATAAAACATACGATGACGACAAAGTCTGCAAGATCAAACAAGGATTTTGCATCAGCCATTTTTGAATGAGAATGGTACCTAATCAGCGTACCTATAATACTTTAGCGTTACGAACCTAATATGTTCCCGTGAAAATAGAAACTCGTAGAAATCATACAATGCATTCATAGCCTTTAAGAACATGCTCCTGTCGTGACTCAAACTGGTCTAAATTTCCGACACGCTCGCCACTTGTGAAATCCGTTACAACATATTCATACACAGGCGGTCTAACGTCAAACCTAAACACTACTACGGTTGCGCCGGCAAAAACACACTTCACGTTCGTGCTACGATTTGACGAGTTGAAATGCACCTCAACTTTGGACGTTTAAACGCACGAAATCTATCACGTGACTATCACGCATTTTGCAGGTAAAGAAATGCATCAAACCAACGATGTTGACGGATATGGCAAGTTGTCGATTTTCATTGGATTGTAAAAGAGAGAACTGGCCATTAAAAAGAAATCAGTCGGATGCAACTGGCCCACATTCCCAATTAACGTTCTGGCGCATGCCCTGGCAATACCATACTGTAAACAGCCTATCAGCATCAATTTGTACAGCATACTTTCAGCTAGCTTGTAGACTAACTCGATAAAAATTGCCCCGTTGATCTTAAGCCTTGTTATTTCGCGTAATTGCATGCAAAGAAATTGGCAAATGAAATTTGTTTCAATTTATACAATAATACAACTACAGTATAATGGTCGGGGAGGCGCCAAGTATATGAGAAAGGCGGCGTGTCCATTTGACATTGAACTGCAACATACAGCAAGTTCAAAGATGTGAAATGGAGCAACCACGCGTTTAATTAATCCATTTGAATGCGCAAACAAATCATGTATCGTAATATGCCTAAACGTTACGCAATTTGATAAACAGCGAAAGCAGGAGGGAGATGTGGGTGTAACTACCTCAAACTACGAGTACAAAATACCTGAAGAGCAACGGAACAATGTCTAGAAAGGTATAACACAATTCTAAGGCTACACGACTAGTTAGATGATGCACGAAGTAAAATACCCAAACCATGGACTGGGGTGATAGGTGAAAATTCGTCTATTCCGCTGGTATATTCACAGAGCACGCTGTTCTCACGTGGAAATCAACACGGGTGGCATATAATAGGAACTAAAACCGCTCTTGCAGTCATAGGAATGTAGTTAACAATTCCCGCGGAAATAGTCCAAATACTTGCATAAAACGACAAAGAATCCTTGGCTACCGAGAACAATAGATCGAAGCACAAATTACCACAAATCAAATATGAAAATGTAACGAAATGATCAAGAATTAGCCACACTGCTCCTAAAGGAAGCATCGTGAAATGCTAGAAATTTGTTTTAAAAAAAGGACCTCCGGTGTTTGCTTGTGACTTCGCAATATAGGTTGAATCGTTATTGCAAAATAATTCCTTTCCAAACCAAACGCTTGCGCAATGTAACTTATTATTACCGAGTGGAATCGTTCGTTTGAAACACGAAAGGTCTGACAATTTAATAATGCGACCTAATGATCATTACTGCCGTCAACATTTATTGTTGAACTCGCCACTCAAGAGCTACGATAACGCGTTTCCTTTCATTAGTAGACTGAGCAAACAGAAATTATTGAACACTTATTATTCATCAGTAATAACATAAAAAGTCGATTTTGAAGTCACACAGTACTTCAGCTTTTCGAAACGTAATTACTAATTCAGAGTTAAGAAAGGGGAATGTGAGAGGTCACAATTATTATTTACCTTAATAAATCCCTTAGCTGCCGTTCTACATTCCTGCATGTACCGTTTGTACGTCCATTTTTCCCATTTTCCGTCGCGTTTCACCGCAAGCGCAAAAGCGATGCCCGACTTCTCGACAGTTCGCTTAAATAACTCGTGAACGGTTATCGGCTCGTCGCTGTCGTATTTCGTCGCCCCTATCCGTAGTTTCACCGCTCCGTTCGGTGAAACAGACCAGAAATTTTCAGCAGGAGCAAGCTTGCTGTCCATGTCTTCGGCGAGAGAATTTATTTTCTCATCGGATGCCGGCAACGATGTCGGAGCAGATGTTGTAGCAATGTCTTCGGACATCGTCTCGGGGAAATATTTTAATGAACAGCTTTCCGGTGCAATATACGGGCAAATGACTCTTTCATCTACTCATCAATCATAAGAGCACTCCCTGACGACGGCCCGTCCTTTCACACACCTACACGTCATGACGTCACTCTATAGTTGAGCTAAGTTCAGAAGCATAAAAAATTCAAACGAGAGAAGCACGTGTGCGCAGACGTGTGATTTCGATGTTAACTCGCGTGACTGTCCAGGCGGATACCCGTCTCACGTGATAGCGATGAAGGGAGAGAATGGGCGCCAGTGATGTGCAAAATGAACAGTGTTTACACAGTGCTTGAACAGTGTTTGACAACGCGTGTGAATATGGAAAGTGAATGATGGCGATGAATAAAAAAGAGAGAATGTGGACAGTGTAAAACTACTTTTGTGAATATGGGAATTGTGAAGTGTGAACAACAGTATTGATTACAAAATAACAACAATAAAACGCGTGCGCTGATTGGTCTATAGCTGAATTCGCATAAGCCTGTCAAAACCACGGTGCAAGTCGATCTGAGCGCAATCAATAGATCAATCAAAGAGAATTTGCAAATCAATCATGAACACATGCTAAAGGAAAAATTAAAAAACATCTGTCTTGAATTCATCTGTTTCGCATTATTGTTACTTTGTGCAAGAAATAAAAGATGTTTTTCGTGTTTGCACTGGCTTATGCAAACCTTGGAGACGTTTGTGAGAACTCTCCAGAAGGCGAAACCTCGGAGACGCTTGTACTCATCAGCTCTCGAGTTCTCCCAAAGGTCTCCTCAGTTTGCATAAGCCTGTGTAAACACGGTAAGCATCTTTAATTTCTTAAATGAACAAACAAAAATAGGGAAAAAACAACGTGACTATCAGTGTTAAAAATGATGCAATGAAAACAAAACTTGTTATTCGCACGTCCTCGAGTCAAATCACCCGACATAAAATTGTCTCAACCACGACAAATGCGACTTGAGAAGAGCGCATTGTCTTAAGCCTTGCACGGAAGTACCGTTCACCTTCTCCATCATTTCCTGAGAAATTTCCAAATCATTTCGAAGAAATGTGCTCGAACTACCCTTCGCTGCCTCTCGACGTGTATCCACTTTTTTAATACCTCGCGAGCGATCTTCTGAAGAACACGTTTGGCAACCAAGGTCGTTCAATAACCGAGTCAACAGCTCCCTGCAGATGTCAGCAGACCGACAGTCTTTGGATGGAAAGTGCGAGGAGGAAAATGCGATCAGGAATCTCCTTAAATTTAACATATTTTTAAGATGACAACCGACTCAATTTACGGATCCAATGTGATCTGACAACAAGAGAAGTCATACCTGTGATACCATAAAGTCTCGTAGAAAGGATAATATGTCGAAACTTCGAGTGTTAACGTCCATTCCTCCCGAAGATGATACAGCACTTTCATTTTCGAACTAGAATACGTTTTAAGAGCGGATTTGAGCAGTGCAACTTAACTTTGTCAAACAGACACAACAAGAATGTACTAAAAATTATCGGATAAAACCGGTTTGAACATGTGAACGTTGTCTACGCCACCAAAAGATGGAAGTAGGACAGGATCGACATCGGATCGCTTCTGATGAAGACACTCGACAGGAGTATAGACTTACAGTTTCAACATCAGGTCACTCTTGATGAAGACACTGTATTCGCGTATATAGGAACTCCAATTTCAACATAAGATGCCTTCTGACGAAGACAGCAGACAGGAGTTTATAAAACACTCCAGTTTCAACATCAGAAAACTTCTGATGAAGACACCAGACTGGGCTCTATAAAGGACTCCAGTTTCAACATCACATTACTTTTGATGAAGACACTAGACTGGGCTCTATAAAGGACTCCAGTTTCAACATCACATTATTCACCAGACTGATAAAGGACTCCAGTTTCAACATCACATTACATGAAGACTAGACTGGGCTCTATAATGGACTCCAGTTTCAACATCACATTACTTTTGATGAAGACACTAGACTGGGCTCTATAATGGACTCCAGTTTCAACATCACATTATTCCTGATGAAGACACTACACTAGGCTCTATAATGGACTCCAGTTTCAACATCACATTATTCCTGATGAAGACACTAGACTGGGCTCTATAATGGACTCCAGTGTCAACACTACATCACTCCTGATGAAGACATTAGACTTAGGCAGATAAAATCTTCAGCTTTTTTTCTATGCTGGAGCATACTAAACGTACGTTTTATCATCAGATCTCTGCTTATATAGACACCAGACAACAATATATGAAAGATTCCAGTTTCAACATCAGGTCACTCCTGATGACTCCAGTATCAACATAAAATCACTTTTGACAAAGACAGAAAGGCTAGCACATAATCACGTAATGGATTTGTTTATCGCACTCACCACGACTCGAGCAGCAATTTCAACACGTGCTGTCTATAGTGATAAACACAATTATCAGACACGTGACGCCATAGCCAATCCTTTGTCGAGATAAGTTCCGTTTCGAGCCAAGTCACATCGCCTTGCACGAAATATCCCGACAGCCAACATCGATGATCCCAAGAAACGTAGTTACAAGGATATCTTTCGGCGCATGCAAGCGTTAGCTCGAACTCTTTTTGAATGTCGACAGTTTTTAAATATTTCCACTGCAAATGTCCTCTTTTCAATAGCCAACGTCTACACTGATGATTGTAAACAGAACTGAGTGCGGTGCCTTGATTATAAACATTACTGCAATACGTTATTTAAGGGCCATTGAAAAATAGATTTCGTTCGCACCTCTCCTTGGGAAAACACAGAATACATGAGATTACAGTGTAGTCTGCAATCTGAAAAGTAAACAATACCATTTAGGAATTTACAGATAGAAAATCAATGCCATGTGAGAATGTTTGTTCAAATAGTTTTTGATTAAAATTTTTGCAGGGAATTTCTATTCTTTAAATTTGCCTTCGGGAAGTGTAATACTTTATCCAGGTCAAGTTCTGTCCTAATTTCTGTCTGTTTTCATCACGGACTAATGGCTAACCCACCTACCCCCATGATACAGTCCGCCACTTCCGCACGAATACTTTATCCAGGTCAAGTTCTGACCTAATTTCTGTCTGTTTTCATCAAGGACTAATGGCTAACCTGCCTACCCTACCCCCCCATCGTGGTACAGTCCGCCACTTCCGCACGAATACTTTATCCAGGTCAAGTTCTGTCCTAATTTCTGTCTGCTTTCATCACGGACTAATGGCTAACCCACCTACCCCCTCCCCCCTCATAGTGGTACAGTCCGCCACTTCCGCACGAAATCCATTTGTTGACGATAACTTGAACGTTTTACCCCGATAACGTTTAGAGAAGTTGGGAATGCATGATAAGAACAAGGAAACTTTATAGGAAGGGTAGGTTTGAACCACGGTCAAGACTTCGTAAAAGACGGTAGCTACGTACGTACTTCAAGAGCTAATGATAAGAAAATTGTGCTGTTTAGATTATATTTCCATTGAAAATGACTTTCAAAATGACAGTGTACGTACCTTTCAAATCAGTGCATTCATATCGCTTTTCATTCTCGAGATATTGAAGCATACGTAATGCCCGCTTTGCACAACTTGTGACGTCACATTGCATAATAAAATTTGAAGCAGCATTTATAATTGGTGCTATGGTTATGTCGACCGAGCAGGGTTTAAATCATTCTAAAGAGTTAATTGTATAAAAATTGCCCGATCATTTCGAGCAAAAGACGCCTTAAAAGTAAAGGATGTTAGAGATTTTGTGGCGACTCGTTATGCAAAATGACGTCACGAGTTGTGTAAATCGGACATTGCAAAAACTTCAATATCTCGAGAATGAAAACAGATATGCATAGGTATTTTAGAAAATACACCGTCACTTTAATAGTTCCGCTGAATGAAAATGTAATTGAAATAGCAACATTTTCGTGCCAAATGCACTTTTACGCAATCACACAGCATTAAATTAAAGATAAGTAACAGGCAGAAAACCATACAGAAGTGATCACATCACTGTATAAACAGACTATATGAACAGTTCATTTCTCTTCTGCAGTGGTTACTGAAGAAATTGCCTCTAAACTGGAAATGTTCCAACCAAGGCATCAAGTACAAACCTGTGTGTGAAGGTCTCGGCACTGCGTGGTTGTTTTGTGAGTACTAATTCGGTGAAGGCGAGTTCGTTTCTCCACAACTCTTCCGTTGCTTGTATCGAAACGTACAATTTCCTTAAAGTTTCAAAAAAAGGCAGACTCAACTTCCTGAAGTTGTTGGTCATCTTCAGAGAGGGAAGCTAAAACACGTGATGTAACATACGTAAACCCCGGGACTTGTGGGTCTTATAACTTCGCAAGGAGAAGGTGCGGGAAGAATTTTGCTTTATATTATTCGTTCATTTGTCGAGTAGATTATAGCATGTCGGCATTTTAAGTTTCGACTTCCCAACCACTTTCAACTTAAAATGATTGGCTTTTGAAAACTGATTTCAACATTCTCTTGTTAGAGTAAATGGTTTGAACCCGGGAGTATCGTTACATGTTTGTAGATGTAGATCGTCCAGGTTGGTATAGTCCTGAGAAGGACTGTTTTTGTTGTTGCTGACTGACGTTTCGACAACCTTAGCGGTAGTCATCTTTAGAGTCAAATGAGGAGCAAATGTCAGGTGTGACACCCACACATTTCCTGTACACACAATACAATGACGTAAGAACCAGATAACAAATACGGCTAACCTGACGTTTACTCCTCATTTGTCTCTGAAGATGACTACCGCTAAGGTTGTCGAAACGTCAGTCAACAACAACAAAAACAGTCCTTCTCAGGACTATACCAACGTAGAAGATCTACATCTACAAACATGTAATTGCCTTGTTAGTTAGGAAAGTTCACCTCTAAGATAAAAATATGTTTCTTAGATCGTTGTATGACGTCTATATCATCAGACCATCAGACCAGATCATAAGACCAATCGCAGGCAAGTAAAATTTGAAATAAAATTAGCGGTACATGTCTGTACAGTCCGATAACAAAATACACCTTCTTTCAGGAAAACAAACAAACAAACATACCGAATGTTCCACACAGTATAATCTTCAGAATGCAAAAGGAGACAAACGCGACTTAATGCCAACAAATGGACTCCTACATTAAAAAGCAAAAATCTTTGATTCCAAGCCATAGATATCAAAAGAGTGTTTTCACTCATTCTATAGGGATCAACATGGCAATGGAAAAAGCGGCCATATTGGTGTACCAAACAAAGAAACTTCATTAGAATTCTTTTAACAGATATACTGACATGACAGCTATGGCCTAAGGGGAAAACGCTCTATACTGATTTTATGATTCCATTTAACCAATATGGAAGCTAGCCATTTGAAATAATCATTTTCGGGTTGTTTCGCACTTCGTGAAAACCATGGTAAACATGATCGATTCCTTAGAGTATGCTTTGATTTTCAGTAAAGCAAATAACTATTTCTTTTTCTGAGGATTTTGTCTCAAAGGATGACTATGTATAATTTGTTTTACATGTTTGTAGATGTAGATTGTCCTGGTTCGTGCAGTCCTGAAGAGGTTTTTAGTGTAGACGTTGACCGAAAGTTTGTTTTACATGTTTGTAGATGTAGATTGTCCAAGTTCGTGCAGTCCTGAAGAGGTTTTTTATTGTTGACATTGACTGAAAGTTTGTTTTACATGTTTGTAGATGCAGATTGTCCAGGGTTGTGCAGTCCTGAAGAGTTTTTTTATTGTTGATGTTGACTGAAAGTTTGTTTTACATGTTTGTAGATGTAGATTGTCCAAGTTCGTGCAGTCCAGAAGAGGTTTTTATTGTTGACATTGACTGAAAGTTTGTTTTACATGTTTGTAGATGTAGATTGTCCAGGTTCGTGCAGTCCAGAAGAGGTTTTTTATTGTTGACATTGACTGAAAGTTTGTTTTACATGTTTGTAGATGTAGATTGTCCAAGTTCGTGCAGTCCAGAAGAGGTTTTTTATTGTTGACATTGACTGAAAGTTTGTTTTACATGTTTGTAAATGTAGATTGTCCAGGTTCGTGCAGCCCAGAAGAGGTTTTTTAGTGTTGACATTGACTGAAATTTTGACAACCTCAGCAATAGTCATCTTCATAGTTGACTCCATTAATCTGGAAGATCTACGTCCACAAGCATGTAATCCTCAGTTCGAACCATACCCTTCATCAAAATTATTCACCAATGCATAACAAAAGCTCAAGAATGGCTTGCATGCACAGTAGAAATTTTCAAGTAAATACTACAGACACAAAAGATATTTGAATAAAGCTTAAATGTACTTCCTAAATCACTATAAAAATCCAACATGTAAGATGTGAGGTCTTCTGCAAAGTTTTGCATGTAACCAAGGGCGAAAAATCCCGAACCTTTTTGTTTGAGCTCATCCCGATCCCTAGTAAGCATTTCTCTATCCGTAGCCTTTAGCTGCTCGTATGTGTACGAAAATAGTTCTTTAACACACCAAGAAAATACTCCAAGTCTGTTCGTCTCACGAATATATGGAAGACTTTTGCCTTCGACTGGTTTCACCGATGGAATTACGTCAAATTCTTCACTGATATGATAAATGAAACGCATTTTAGAACGGTTGAATTTCTGGAGGGATGCTGTGAACGCGAAGGCCAATTGTCAACCCAATTTCGTGTGGTTTGTATGTTTTACAGCCCCAATTGAGAAAAATAAAAATAAGCATGCACGTTTTGAAAATTCTTACATATCATTGCCCATCACGGTGAGGACTTCATGCACTTTTTCAAAATAAACTTGTCCATTTTGCTTAGATTTTTCTTCTTCTAAAGATAACTCGTCAACATCACAATTGTCGGCCATTTTGCTTTGTAGCCATCCGCGCGCTCCTGGCACTAGATTTTCAAAAAACGACGAGTGGAGGATTGCTTCTAGGATTCTGATTGAACCATCGATAATCCCATTTATTTGGTGGGGCATTGTCTTACGCCTATTCCTCACCACACCACCCAGAAAAACCTCTGGCTCCATCCCGTTAAAAAATTCGAAAATCCGTAACATAATTACATTACATATAAACTGTAATAATGACATCAACACTGTCTGGTGTTGTTATGGACAATGGTTACAAGTAGAGACAGATTTACGAGAGGGGTGTAGAGGTGTTCCCCCCGTCCAACATCAGATTTCAACTCCCTAAATGATTTTCTCGCCACTCTAGAAATAAATTCGACCCCTCCAATTTTTTAGCAAAACACATCGGTAGTACAGTTGAACTGTGTTTTTCAGGTCAAAACCTCCGATGGCTGCACTACTAGACCACCATTGTTCTAATCCCTTACATTGCCTTTCATATCAGTTCACCCCTTAAGTCCATGGTTACAAGGAGAAAGACTCTCACTGAATGAGATATATAAATATTATCAAATATTAATATCACAGCAAAGTTTCGAAAATCATGCTGTACGACGTTTACCAATGCAGTGCCTTGGTTTTCATCATATTACGGCCGTTTCGCTTCGAGACTGTCCCAAAGAAGTGTAAAAAACAGCAGTTGGCTTGGTGCGCGTCCTTTGAGTAACACCTTTCGCAGAACGACGATCGTCTTTGCCGGAATGACCAATATCCGCAGAAACAAGAGTTCCGGGGATATTTAATTTTTCACGCAATCTGTACAAAAATGAAAAAAGAAGTTAAAACCATTGCATAGTCGTTCGATGGCGAACTGGAGTCGGTACCTTGTTTTCAATTCGTCAATACAAGTGATGATTTCGTTACATTCGTACTCGCCAAACTCCTTAAAAGAGGCATATTATACGCATGTTAAAAGAGTTTTTGTTTTTGCAGCACTTTTCTTGTTGTAGATATTGTTATATCCTTTTCTAGATATTGTTATATCCTTTTGTTATATCCTTAGCTAGATAATGACTTTGAAATAAAGTCGAAATATCACTTTAAATCTTGTCTCTTGCTTTTATAACTCGAATCTTGAGTTTGCAAGATGATGTTTTTGGAGTGTGCTTTTTCTTTTATAGATATTGTTATATGTAGCTATATTGTCCCATATTATCTTAGATTGTATTTAAGTAAAGACTATTCTTGTTCTCTGTTGTTCATTCATAACTACCTACAATGACACATGTTATCTAAGTTTATATTTTAGTTAGTGTAAAGACTGTTTTTGTTCTCTGTTGTTCATTCATCACTACCTACATTGACACACGTTATCTAAGTTTATATTTTAGGTAGTGTAAAGACTGTTCTTGTTCTCTGTTGTTCATTCATCACTACCTACATTGACAAACGTTATCTTAGTTTATATTTTAGGTAGTGTAAAGACGGTTCTTGTGCTATGTTGTTCATTCATCACTACCTACACTGGCACACGTTATCTTAGTTTATATTTTAGGTAGTGTAAAGACTGTTCTTGTTCTCTGTTGTTCATTCATCACTACCTACACTGGCACACGTTATCTTAGTTTATATTTTAGGTAGTGTAAAGACTGTTCTTGTTCTCTGTTGTTCATTCATCACTACCTACACTGGCAGACGTTATCTTAGTTTATATTTTAGGTAGTGTAAAGACTGTTCTTGTTCTCTGTTGTTCATTCATCACTACCTACACTGGCAGACGTTATCTTAGTTTATATTTTAGGTAGTGTAAAGACTGTTCTTGTTCTCTGTTGTTCATTCATCACTACCTACACTGGCAGACGTTATCTTAGTTTATATTTTAGGTAGTGTAAAGACTATTCTTGTTGTCTGTTGTTCATTCATAACTACCTACAATGACACACGTTATCTTAGTTTATATTGTAGATAGTGTAAAGACAGTTCTCGTTCTCTGTTGTTCATTCATCACTACATACACTGACACACGTTATCTTAGTTTATATTGTAGATAGTGTAAAGACAGTTCTCGTCCTCTGTTGTTCATTCATCACTACATACACTGACACACGTTATCTTAGTTCATATTTTAGGCAGTGTAAAGAAAGTTCTTGTTCTTTGTTGTTCATTCATCACTACATACACTGACACACGTTATCTAAGTTCATATTTTAGGTAGTGTAAAGACAGTTCTCGTTCTCTATTGTTCATTCATCACTACATACACTGACACACGTTATCTTAGTTCATATTTTAGGTAGTGTAAAGAAAGTTCTCGTTCTCTGTTGTTCATTCATCACTACATACACTGACACATGTTATCTTAGTTTATATTTTAGGTAGTGTAAAGACAGTTCTTGTTCCCTGTTGTTCATTCATCACTACATACACTGACACACGTTATCTTAGTTCATATTTTAGGTAGTGTAAAGACAGTTCTCGTTCTCTGTTGTTCATTCATCACCAAACTGTATATTCTCGACTGTTTTACAAAGTCATCTTGCTTTATAATTTACTTCTTTAAATTGTTGGCCAGACATAGTTTTTGGTATAGGGTCGCCTGTTGCACACTCTTCACTACCTATAATGACTGACAAGCGCAACTTAAGTCGCAATCAAAAACGGAAATCAAATACATACAATTTTTCCATATCTTGCATGCTCATAAAGCTTTATGATTTTCTCGCAAAGATCTTTACAACCCGCTAATGGAGCACGAGGAGGTTTGAGCAGAGACATCAAATGCTCTTGAACTGTTTGATGACTTTTTCGACAGAATTCAACATCGACACTACACAACATGTCATCTAAATTGAAAGGTTACACATCTTTCGAACTGCATTGAAAGGGAAAACACGTCGGATTTAAAAAACATTTCGGTTACTCACCTAGACAAGTCACGGCATCAATCGCCTTGTAACGATGAATCAGTTTGTTCATGTAATGCACGGAATCTGCACCTGAGGATATCAGAGGATAATGAAGGGCAAGTCAATTCATTTCTACTCATCAAATATGACCTACAGCAGGTATGTATAGAAGGGGAGGTGTGCAGGAGGGGGTGCTGGAGGCTAAAGGGGGTGCAACATGCAGGAGGATGAAGTTGGGTGCAGAAGGATGAAGGGGGTGCAGGAGGGTGAAGGGAGGTGCAGGAGGGTGCTATCGACAAAATACTAATATACTAAGCAAATTGTGATTAGTGTTTAAGGGAGGACACTTCCGAAAGTAAAAAGTCTGAATGCTAAGTCAACATGCAGACATGGAATCTAATCTAAACTAGGGAAACACCACTCTGTCATCCTCACTCAAAAAAACCCTTGTGAATCTATCCCTGACAGGATACATTACGGTCTTCTTATTATGTTGAATTGAAAAACATGTATGATTTGCCTTCAAAATGTTTAGAGATGCATGGGGAATATAAGTGCAATCTCTTGACTTATCCACAGTGGCAAATCTGAACAGCAAAGAAACAAGCATTGCCCTTGCTTCTCTCAAATAGTTTTGTCTACCTCAATAGTTTCGCCAGCTAGCTGAGCTTAACCTTGATCAACTTCCATACATGGGATAGAATTTTAAACACTATATAACTTAAAACTTGAGCTCAAAATAAAATTCGGCAGTTGAAAACTAACCCGAGCTGCTCTGGAGCGGAGAGTTTTCACAACACAAATGCTGAACATTTTCTGCCAACATTCGTGGTTCAATTCGCATCCGTTTCACCCTTTGAATATTTGCATCTATGGAATTTGAAAGGCTCTGTCATGAAAGAAACAATATCAAAATTTAGTTCAAATCACTGAAACAGCTAAGTGAAATCAAGTCAACTGATAAGCCACATGAAATCACATTTCACACGCTGGAGTATTTGAAGATGGGGGGGGGGGTTGCAGGCATCTGGAAAAAAATTGCAGTTGACCCTGAACGATCTAAAGTTGCAAAGCAAACTAGCTGCACTAATACATTACTCTTATTCATTTAAATACAACTTCTCAAGAATTTATGTCCAGTAAATATTGCAAAATGTCACAAGTGAAATTTGAATTTCGTATTTTCTTAAGTGTGCATAAGTTCTCTTGACCATATTATGGCACATGCAGGTGGTGCGATTTTCTATGATATCACCTTGGGAACAGTAAATGAAATCACCTTGGGAGCACCAGCACCGGTTGGTGTATGCGAACCGCTTTTGGAGAGCAATCGGATTCTCAGCAACTGCCTTTTCACCAGTATAACCAAAAGAATGAAAAGCTATGAACAACAAAGTCACATTGTACTATGTAGTATAAATACTGTTTATCGATTTGGTATTGATATTTCTTTGTCGATATTGACTTGGATGCTACAATTTATTTTCAACAGTTTAACATTTTTGTTGTAGGTGATCTGATGTTTAAACACAAATTCTTGTCAAGGATGCCAGAATGTCAATAATTGTGGTAGTCCATACATCCATATGTGCATGTTTTGCTTGATTTACTCTCTTTTGAAATCAATTTTTTTTAACAAGCTGTGGCTACAAATATATGAATATTTCCATACACACACACTCCCCCCCAATTATAGACATTAAAGCATCCCTGGTTCTAGTAAACCGCAGTTTCTTCAACCTTCAGGAATCATCTTATGCTAAAACTAGACACATTAATTACTACAGTCCAGAGTCTTCATCTGGAGTGAGCTGACATTAAATTTTGAATCCTTATTACTCCAGTTTAGTGTCTTCATGAGAAGTGATCTAATGCTAAAACTTGAATTCTTATATACTCCAGTCAGGACCAGTCTAGTGACTTTATAAGAAATGATCTAATGCAAAAACTTGAATCCTCATATAAGTCAAGCGTCTTCATCACGATCATCAAATGTTAACATTTTTAGATTCAACCGTTGCATCATGCAGTACCAAGTCCCACATGCTGCCTATCTTACCAATACGCAACACACGATGATAATAACCAAGGTAGGTCCGCCAACGCTCTTCAAAATACTTTTGTCATGCTTTTCAAACGCATCGTCTCCGCTTACAAATTGGGTCGCGATGTTAATGCAATAAAGTACGAAAAAGTTCATCAACATTGTAAAAATAACAAAAGCTATCTGTCCAATATCAGCACACATTCCATTCTTCTAAGGAGGACATTAATTTCCATCGCAAATGTCGACAATCTTGATAAATTCCCCACTCATAAATTGACTAGTTGACAAACTCGACAATGTGAACTCCACAGACTCAACATTCTCCTCATTCTCTGGGCCGTGTTACGACTGGGAAACTGAAAACAAGTTTCTTTTCAATCCCGGGATGCACTTGGATGCTTTAGATGCTCCGCGGAGATTTACCAATATTGATTGCTCTGCAGAAAACTTAACAATTTCTTATTCCATACCCCAAGAAGGAAAAGCGAGGAAGAAAAAGAATTATGCAAGCATTTAAAAACAGGAAAACATCAGTAAATAATTATGCAGTATGCAAAATAAATATTTTAAATAACGACCTTATTTTGTGGCTCTTTGTAAATTGTTTCCAATCCTGGATGGACAAACAATTAACAAAACGAGCAAAATATATGTCACCAAGGACAAGCGATATCCTCCTTTTTAGACATTAAAATATCCAATGAAGTTTTGGCATTCATTTAATTCCAATGCCGATTTTTTTCTAATCGTTTCGTATCCAAGTCTCCGATAGTTTTTTTTTTCATTTCTTAGACATGACAAAAAAACTAAAACCATATGTGTTAAGATATGCTCTCATATTCTTCCTGTAATTCGTAAATCATTAAGTCAAGTGTAACTAACTAAATGATTACTATAGTTCCAAATAGCTTTCCGTTGATTGTAAATTAACCATATATAGTAAAGAAACAAATATATCGATACGTAATATCTTGTATAAATAGAAGTAGTTTAACCATTGTAAGATAGATCGTAGACCATAGACATTGACGTTGAACATTAAATGTGATCGTAATAGTTATCTGTGATATCTCTATTTGTTGGTGTAAGTCAATACATACTAAAGAAGGTAGATGGCTACATCACAAAACCTAACAATATGAAATTTATTAATTGTTTTCAATAAATTCTCCATAGAAGTTATATTTTCCTGATTAATATTTGCAGTGACACATGCGCATCTACGATCATCTAGCGATCGAAGAAAAGTAAAATGTAGATTATAGCTTATGCGTTAGCAAACCTTCTCGTTGCAGGTGCTAAGATACAGTGAATTATAAATTCATCAACTGGAATAAACTCGCTGGAGCTTAAATTCTCAAACCTCCACAGACAGTAAAATTAACTCGTCGTCAACTTTTTGCAAATGCCCCAAAAATTAGTTATTGAATTGCTTGCAACCTGCACTTTGCCGAAGCACTGATTCTCAGGAACTCATTATTTTTTAACAGAACTTTTTTAATCATTAACACTGGCAGAAAATATTTTTTGAATAAATATTCAATGCATTGGAAGTAATGTAAGGTCACATGTTTTAACTTAAAACAGGCGTTTTACGAAAAAAGCAATGCACAATAATGTCTGGTATTATATATAGTAACTCAATTGGTAGTTTTCAGAGTTTTGTTGGACAGGACATAACTAAACAGTTAACTTCAGCAGTTAGCTGTTTCAAAAATATCTATAGCTGAAGAACTCTCACCTGCCCTATAATAGCTTTTCTGTCTTCTGCATAATTGCAATCGTTTTCCTTCTCCTTTCTTTGTTACGTAAAGTGAGAGCTTTTTACAGGTACTTATAACATTGAAAAGAACCTGTCGACATTGCAATTCAATAGCGCATCATTTCTCCACAGTTTTGGAAAAGGCAAAGCAGAAAGACAAAATGACGGTTTCTGCATTCTGCAAAGCCATTCGGCTCTGCTGTTTGGAAATACTTTTTCACATGATCCTCATTATGCAATCAAACGGATGGCAGGTCAAAACAAAAACATGCGACCAGGTTTACTATACAGAAAGCTCAGGTAGGAAACGGATTATTTTCTCACATTCTAAGTCAAACTGTGGGTAAAAATTTAATTGAATGAGGTTCACCGTCAAGACATAAATGTCACTTTGTGCAGGAGTTTGCTTGAATAGATTATATGAAAGATATCAGCTGTTGAATAAATCCACCGGCCAACTCTTTTATCCATGCATTTTCAGATAATGATCTTATTTTTCCTTGCCAAAGAAATGAAAGTATGTTCTCAGCTCCTCTCTCAACGTAATTATTTTAGTTGACAGTAACACTTTTCCTATATAGAACCGCTGGAATCGTTGAATATAAACATAACGAAGCAAGTTTGGGTACGTTCGGTCATCGAGTGTGCGCAACTTTGCCAAACCGATGATCTCTGTCAGGTTTTCCTACACAGCATAAGGGAAGAAAACGAAAACTGTCGGCTGCTAAACAGAGTACCCGACAGAGGAATGGGATTGATTGAGAAGGTTGCCGGAAAGAAGTGGAGTCTGTACATTTCATTGGAGGTAAAGCTTTCGAGAATTGCGCCGTTACAAAAAAATGCTATTATACATTTGACTCACTAACGTCAAAGACCACTGGATGAAAAAAAGAAATTTTGTAGCGTAAGAACAAAGTGAAACATCATTAATATGCTAATCAGAAAACAACAGACTATTCTCATACATAAGGTCATAAAACCTCCATTACAGTTTAATTAGGACGATAAAAAAATTATATTTCGCGCTTTACAATGACAAACTTCTTTCTCGCTCAAGGCAAGATGTGAAATGGATAAAGCGTGTGATGGTCAAGGTCAATGCATGACGGATTGCAACGAGCCAGATGTTGTCAAATGTGGTTGTTATGAAAACTATTACGGCAAAAGTTGCGAGAAATATTGTAAGAATTTCAAATATTCCAATAAGACGTTTTAAGGGAGAAAAGTTATTCTTGTGACACCAACTCAAATTACGAAGAAAAAATTGGTCACTGCATCCTCGGAGAATGACGTGAATTCGATATCGTCACGTCTTTTTCCACAATCCTGCGCCTGATCCCATCTAGTTCATTTATTTCATATGTGCAACTTTCACTTCCAAGTACATTAATAAAGAAAATTAAGTACATTGATTTCTTTTGGACAATTTCACTATGGCATAAAAATAAAGACATCAAGTACATTGAATTCTTATGTACCATCCTTACTATGACATAAGTATAAGAAGATCAAGTTAGTTGATTTCTTATTCACCATTCTCATTATGACATAAGAAAAAAGAGATCTAGCAGATCGATTTCTTAGCAAAACACTAAAACAATTTCTATTACAGACGACTACGATCTGAACTTTCCCAACACCTCTGCATACACACAGATCGATGTGGGACACATAAACAAAACCCTAAATGAGTTTACCATAACAGTCTGGGTGCTATTTAACGTTGGCTATGAAAGTTATCCACTGATCTCGTACAAGACAAAAAATTCGTCACAAAACATCGCGATGCATTTCGACGTGGATGGCAGCGGTGGATCAACGATAGCAACCTTAACTGCTAAGGCATTTAACATATCTGTGAGGTAGGTTGGACTGTCACAAATCTTCCTCAAACAAATTCGGCTCCAATCAATCCACATAAAAAAGAACAATCGCTATTTTTATCTTCATAGCACGCTCACTATACCCATAAACGACAACAATTGGCATCACGTTGGCTTTACATGGTCAGGTGTAACCGGAAGTATACTGCTGCTTATCGATGGTGTGTTGTGGGCAACTCGAACTGTCCCTATGAGCAGCGAGATACCATCTGAGGGGGAGTTAACAATAGGAGAAATAAACGATGAGGGTGGAAACCAATATCTAGTCGGTAAGATCAGTCGTATGAACATGTGGAGTAGAGCATTAGATGGAAAGGAGATTGAAATGATGGCAAAAAGTCCTGGGATGAATGACGGTGATTTGATCACGTGGCACAAACTAAAATATATTGTGTCAAATGAAAGGATCCTTCGTCCTTCAGAAGCATCATTCTCAGGTTAGATATATTTTCTATTGCATACAGAATGTTTAATAAACCACAAAGGTTGCCTTTACAGAGGGAAATACTATTGAAACTAGATCAGATTGAAACTAAACCAAACTTGCATTCTTCCTTATGTTTTAGGTGATAAGACGAACTATATGATAGGACTTTCATCTACATCGGTCCGGTATCCTGGACCACCACAGACCATGAATTTTGTATCTGCTTGTGTTTGGTATTACGGAAGTGGGAGCGAGAACTCTGAAATATTTTCATACGAGTCATCAAAGGAATTTAGATTTCTTTTAAAGTCAGGAAAACAACTGTCCACTAAAATCAACGGTCTTTCGAGTCAGAAGTAAGTATTGACAACATTACCTGTAAACAGATTATAGCATGTAGGAACTCCAGTTTCAACATGAGATCACTCCTAATAAAAGTAATAGAGACTTCGTTTAATAAAGACTTCAATTTCAACGTTCGATTACACCTGATAAAAACAACAGACTGAAGAGTATAAGTCTCCAGTTTCAACATCAGATCACTCCTGATGAAGACACCAGACTCTAGGATGCATTCACTTCAAATAAAGACACTGGTGGATCCGGCATCGGGCGAAATAAATTAAAACAACCAATCGATCGGAAAGATTTTGTTCTTTGGAAATTCATAACCAATAGCAGTGTTGTAAGGGTATTTCAAACTAAAAATTATTGGCTATAAGCCGAAAATATATTTTGCCTCACCGTGGATCCGCTACTTGATGAAGGCACCAGGCATTTTAGTTAAGGGCTCAAGTTTCAACATCTGAGCACGCCTGATTAAATACGCAAGTTTCAACATCAACTTATTTTCTTATTTAGACAGGTTGCAACTTCCTTCAAATATTGGCATTTTCTCTGCTTGAAATGGAATGGCAGAAAAGCTTGGGTAAAGTATTTCTTCGACGGCTTTCAAGTCGATACATCTGTCAATGATGCCGCATTGCAAATAACCTTACCGGAACGGAAAAATTTCCTGATTCCTCTTTCAAGTAACGGTAAAAAGTTTTCGCAGCTGAATATCTGGGATCACGAGATTTCAAATAGCAATATTCAAGTCATGGTATCAGGAGGGTTCAATATTCACGGCAACGTGTTGTCGTGGAGCAAGCTTTTACCGTACGTCTCCCCGGGAGATATAACATGGAATGTTGATATCTTTCTACCAGGTAAAAGGGAGGAAAAACAACGAAGAATTGTCGAGAAGTTGTTTGGTAGGATTTAATATGGGATAGAGTTGACGGTAATGTAAAAGAGCAAAGACAGAGAGTACAGAGACAACGTACAGATTGGGGTGTTATTGAGAGACTGAATATGGTGAAGTATTAAGGGTCTAAAGAGAGAAGAACGGAAGGGACTTTGAGAGTAAAAAAAACTGCTGATGTTGAGAAAAATGAGAACATTAAAAATCAACAAACTTAAGAAATAGCTGAACTTTTTGGAGTAAAAAAATAGACGAGAATGTTGACAGCAACTTTCACAATTGAAGTAATGTTAAGAATGTAGTGAGCAAGTGTTGAGCTTTAAGGAGGATGATGAAAAACAGCGAATTATTTTGATGAAAGAAACAGCAAGATAGAACTGTGAGGATATAAAGAGCATGGAAGGAATCGCGGATGGTTAGGAGGGTGAATCGTGAATGCTGGCGGTAAAGAGAAGAGCAGGCGAGGATAAAGAGAATGGTGGAAAATGTTGGGGGTAGGGGGGGATAAGCAAATGACAAATGTCGGGTCGGATAACTGGAAGCTTGGGAGGACGAGTTATTACATCAATAAAAAAATAACATGGGAAATGTTGTTATTTTTAAGATGCTTCAAATAATAAGGAATAGATACCAGTTTGATTATTTTCCTTTTCTCCTTCATTTAGATTACACAGTTTTGATGAAGCGGACCAAATGGTGTAGAGATAATCTCTCTGGGACGTCCTGTCCTGGTGAAGAGATTGCTAGACTGGGTGGCCATATCCTGCGGAAAGCAATGGAGTGGCGATGTTATTGTCCGAAGTCTCTCACTTCTTCAAAATACACGTATAATTTTGACGCAAGACTCTCTCAATATTATACTAGACACAGTCAGATCACCTCAATTAACTAACATTCACCCGGGCACATAAGGCTGTAAGGCAGTATCTTATCATAAAAGCTCTCTTCTTTATGCTTCTGTGTTAGCGCGTGGCATTGTTGGATTCTTAAAAATAACAACTTAGCAATTACAGTATGTGTTGAATGGCATTAAACTATTAGCTTCCTCTCTTCATTATTTATGTATTCTATGTTTTTTTTATTTTTAGCTCAAAGCTTTAATTTTTAGAAGCTGAATAGAATGATAAATAGTTTTAATAAGAAAAACTGATGAAGAAGTTAAGCCAGAAAGTGAGAAAACGATCAAAAGTCAACGGAAGGCTGGCTTGTTTTCTTATTTTTTGCTTGAACGCGCATGGTTTTATTTTATTTTCATGCCCGTTTGAGTCCCCAATAGCTTTTTTTCCATTTCTTGGAGAGAACATAAACACTAAAACCGTATGGAATTTATTTCAAGTCATCTTTGTCTGATTTCCTTTTCAATTTCTAATTTAAATAAATATTAAATTCCACTATAAAAAATGGCGTGATTTTGGAATGAGCCATAACAAAATGACGCATTTGGGAATGAAATATTAAAAAAACTCAGACATACCAATCTTTAATCGAAGATTCTTTAAATATTTGTAGAGACACACGCGTATCGACGTGACGATTGTCTAGCGCTCGAGGAAATGTAGAATGTAGATTCTAGTTGGTGTGTTAGTAAACATTTTCATTGCAGGGGCCAAGTTTCAGTGAATTTCAGACTCATCGTTAACTTTTTTCGCAGGAGCCAAAAATGGATTTCGCCCAACCCGCACTTTGTGGAAACATAAGTTCCTAGATATTTAGTGCTTTGTTTTAAAAACTTTTTTAGTCATTCCCATTTGGCAACAGAGCTTTGTTTGACACTACATGACTACATAGTTAACTTCAAAAGTTTGCTGTTTTAAGAAATCCACAACTGAATTACTGAAAAACTCTCACCTGCCATATAATAGCTTTTCTGTCTACTGCATAATTACAATCGTTTTCCTTGTACTGTCTTTGTTATGTAAAGTGAGAGCTTTTTACTGGTACTTATACATATTTATATATATATATATATTTATAAATATATATTTAAAGGAGATTTTCGACATTAATAACGCATCAGTCTGACACGCTTTCAAAAATGGCCCAACAAAAAGATACTCGGAGTCCCTTTTTCTGCAAAGCAATTTATCTTCTTCACATGATCTTTGTAACGGAATCAAATGGATGGCAGGCGGAAACACAAACTTGCAACCAAGTTTACTTTGCCGAAAGCTTAGGTAGGTAGGAGACTAAAATGACATGATGTAATCCAATTAAAATGGTTTCTGATAAGTGAAAACACAGTTGTATGAATGTGTTCCATCGTAAACATTTGAATGTCACTTTGGGCGGGAATTTCCTATTGAAAGATGTCATGACAGTTATTTAATTTGTTAAAGAACAACCGAAATGTTTTAAATTCTACTTTGAACTTGCCTAGGAAATAAATGTTTACAAAGTCAATTTCTCACAACTTAATTCTTGTGACTATTGACAGTAACACTTTGCCTATATAGAACCATTGGGATCGTTGAATATAAACATAGCGAAGCAAGTTTGGGTCCGTTCAATCATCGAGTGCGGGCAACTTTGCGGAACTGATGACTTTTGTGAGGTTTTTCTACACAGCATTAGCGAAGAAAACGAAAACTGCCGGCTGCTAAATGGAATACCCGAAAGAGGACAGGGATTGATTGAAAATGACAGGAAGAAGTGGAGATTGTACATTTCGATGAAGGTGAAGTTTTAGAGAATTTGGTTGCTGTCTGTGAATACATAGTGTCATTACCGAAGTATGTTGTTACTTGTCAACTTATAAGTTATATTACACATTTAACTTAATGTTGTCAAAGACCATCGCAACTCAAAAATCATCTCTTATCATTAACCAAGCAAGCATCGTAAAGTGCTTTTGACACGAAATTTTTAATGATATTCGATGAAAAAAACCGTATTGAACTTTCCTTTTGGCAACAAGTTTTTTCCGTGCTTTCGTCTGGAGCGATTGACTTTTTTTTGTATGTAAAATTTGATAGTTCATAGCTAATCAGTCCGCGTTTCCCAAGTATACGCATTCGTGACTTGCATTTAATCTTGTTAATAATGAAGAAATTTGCTTCATGTTTAATTGTTTCACATCAATTGTCCTTACAGAAAAAAATTCAGATCAAACAAAAGCAGTTTTGTAACGTAACAGCAAAGTAAAAACATAACTTATACGCATGCTAATCAGAAAACCTAGTCTTTTATTTCACTCGCAATTTATATGCAGTATCCTTGTCTCAAACCTCTACGAAACGAGGACCCCAGGGTGGTAAGTTTATGATGGCTGTTAAATGTCGATATTTGAAAGACACAGATGGGGGGGGGGGAGGGCGCAGAGCAGTCAGGTACCAGTCAAATGCTTCTTTTGACACGAGCTGATAAATTGAAGAAAGCATAAAAGAATTTTCAAGAAAAAAAAACTAAGCTTCGATTGCATTTACTCCAAGGTGTCTATGCACAGTTTGTATTTTTCACAGCAGTGAATTAGTTGAGTGAATTAGTGAATTAGTGAATCTAGTAAATGGCAAACTCAGTTTCTTATCGATACCAACAATTTTTGCAAACAAATTTCAAATCAGGCAAACAGGAAAGTGAAAATACCGTCTACGAATATAGTGGTAAGGTGAATTTGAAGCCCGACTCAGTTACTGTGATTGAACTTTTAGAATACAAATGTAAGCTCTTCGTATCTGTCATAAAGTGTAAACGCTTGGCTTGCTTTACTCATCTGGAAACTGTCAAAAAATTAATTTAAGCTTTTTGTAAATCTTCATCGTATTCGTCGCTGCTTTATTTTCTGTGATCCTCTTGAGCATATTAAGACCGTTTAATAGAGCTGCCTCCTGATTAAGGGGGCCCGCTTGACAGAGGTTCGACTTTATCAGAAAAAAATTTAACTTTAATGCTTGCAGAAATACTGTATTTACACCATTAAATCTCCTGGAGTTTGACATTTTTTGCTGCCTTTTAAGTGAACGGTTATTAGAAATAAGGGGATGTAAAAAAGATGACGATGCTGAATATATATTATTTTCACGTGATTCGCGAAAAACATGCTTCAATATCAATTTCCACTAATTAAAATATCCATTATAAAAGTTATTGTTACTGAATCTCTATTACAGTTCGAGACAATAGAATTTTATGTCATTAAGTTTCGTGCTTAACAATGACATTTCCTTTCTCGTTCAAGGCAAAATGTGAAATGGATAAAACGTGTCAAGGTCAAGGTCAATGCATGACGGATTGCAACCAGCCAGATGTTGTCAAATGTAATTGCTATGAAAACTATTATGGCAAAAATTGCGAGAAATATTGTAAGAATTTCAAACATTTCTTTAAGACATTTTAAGAGGGAAAAGTGATTCTTACAGAAATTCCAGTTACCAAATGTCACTGTATTTTCGTAGTGTGGCGTGATTTAGGAATATCGTTATTTTGCTTTTTTCAAAAAACCTATATCTTTACATGTTTGTAAATGTCGAATGTCCAGGTTGGTATAGTCTGAGAAGGACTGTTTTTGTTGTTGTTGACTGACGTTTCGACAACCCTAGCGGTAGACATCTTCAGAGTCAAAAAAAAAATGACTCTGAAGATGACTACCGCTAAAGTTGTCGAAACGTCAATCAACAACAACAAAAACAGTCCTTCTCAGGGCTGTACCGACCTGGACGATCGACATTTACAAACATGTAACGATACTCCCGGGTTCAAACCATTTACTTTAAACCTATATCTGATCGAATAAAAAACATTGATTTCATACCTAGAAATTCCATTACTACGTACATTATTGAAAAAATCAAGTACATTTATTTCTTATGTACCATCCTCACTATGACATACGAATAGAGAGATCAAGTCCATTGATTTTTAATGTATCATCCCCACTATGACATAAGAATAAAGAAATCAAGTACACTGATTTCTTATGTGCCATCCTCATTTTGACGTAAGAATAAGACGATCAAGTACATTGATTTTTTATGCACCATCCTTACTATGACATAAAAATAAAGAGATCAAGTACATTGATTTCTTATGTACCATCGTCACTATGACATAAGAATAAAGAGATCAAGTGCATTGATTTCTTATGTACCATCCTTATTTTAAGCATAGTCATTAACATTGTATGCCAACAATTTTCATCAGGAAAACTGATAAATGTAAGTTAGAAATTCCCTTCCGCTGTTACCAAAACAACAAAAAACTTTCTATTACAGACGACTACGATCTGAACTTTCCCAACACCTCTGCATACACACCGATCGATGTGGGATACATAGACAAAAGCTTAAATGAGTTTACCATAACAGTATGGGTTCTTTTTAACGTTGGCTATACAAGTTATCCACTGATCTCGTACAAAAGAAAGAATTCAGCACAAAACATCGCGATGTATTTCGACCTGGATGGAAATGATGGATCAACGATAGCAAACTTAACTGTTAAGGCATTTAACAAATCTGTGAGGTAAATTTTGTATATGTTTTGTATAATTTATCCTGTACCTCTTTCAATCAGCCATAAACTAGTTCCAATTTAAGGGCCTTGCAATTTCAAGTGTAAGGAGCCAACTGGAAACTTTCTCAACAAACTAATTTAGCAACTTAGACTTCGGTTTTAAAAATATATTTCAATCCTTTCAATAAAGGACGCTCGATATTTTATCTTCACAGCACGTTGACAATACCTATAAACGACGACAATTGGCATCACATTGGCTTTACATGGTCAGGTGTAACCGGAAGTATACTGCTGCTCATCGATGGCGTGTTGTGGGCAACTCAAAATGTCCCTATGAGCAGCGAGATACCATCTGGAGGGAAGTTAACAATTGGAGAAACAGAAAGTGATAGCGGAAGTCAATATCTGGTTGGTAAGATCAGTCGTATAAACATGTGGAGTAGAGCATTAGATGGAAAGGAGATTGAAATGATGGCAAAAAGTCCTGGGATGAATGACGGTGATTTGATCACGTGGTATAAACTAAAGTATATTGTGTCGACTGTAAGGATCCTTCGTTCTTCAAAAGTATCGTTCTCAGGTTAAATATTTTTTATTGCATACTGAACGGTTAATAAACCACGATGTATTCGGCAAAATCAGTTTGGTCCTCTATTTTTTTGTTGCCAAATTGACAATTAATGAGAGGAGTCATTAATAGATAAGAATATAGAAATATCATTAATAGATAAGAAGTGAATTTAAGTGTTAGCAAACATGAGATACGATCTCTTATGTAATTGCTTCTTTCATGTCCACTTAAAAGAGAGATTTTCCATTTAAACGCATGTTACGATGAAATCCGATTTGTTATTCAGCAAAATTTCTGCTTTAGAATCCACATTCCATGAGTATGGAATTTTGAGCCCACGTACAAGCATACAGTACTCCAAATTCCGCGAGTATGGAATGTGGAATTCCAGATCTGGGAGGCTGAATCCGACCTCACAACCTCACAGTGGTTTCTTTTACCAAGAATATATGATTGAAACGAAATCATGGTGAAACTAAACGAGACTTGCATTCTTTCTTATGTTTTAGGTAATATGACGAACTATTTTATACGACTTCCATCGACAATGGTCCATTATCCTGGACCACCACAGCCCATAAATTTCATATCTGCCTGTGTTTGGTATTACGGAAGTGGGAGCGAGAGCACTGAAGTCTTTTCATACAACTCATCAAAGGAATTTAGATTTCTCTTAAAGTCAGGAACACAAATGTCCACTAAAATCAACGGTCTTTCGAGTCAGAAGTAAGCATTGACAACAATACCCATTAACAAGTGAAATATGTAGGAACTCTAGTTTCAACATGAGATCACTCCCAACAAAGACAGTAAATTATTTAAAATAAGGAATTTAGTTTCAACGTAAGATTACTCCCGATGAAAACAACAGACTGGAGAAAAAAATGACTCCAGTTTCAACATCAGATCACGTCAGATGAAAACACCTGACAGGAGTATATAAGGGCTCCAGTTTCAAAATCAATTCATTTCTGATGAAGACCTTGAACTCCAGTTTATACAGTGGCGTAGCCAGCCTGCAAATTTGGTCCAGCTATTTTCATTTTTTTGTGTTTCCTCGATCGCTGTAAAAACAGCAGATGTCTAAAGAAATGAATAATGGTAATGATCCAAACTTTACCTAACATGACCAAAACTTGTGGGCTGACTACGCTACTGAGTATATAAAGACTCTATTTTCAGCATCAGATCACTTCAGATGAAAAAAGCAGACTGTAGTATATTATGCATTCAAGTTTCAGCATTAGATCACTTAAGACAAGGACAATGGCTGATCCAACGCTATGCAAAATGGAATTGGAAAATTAAGCCAAGTGGTTGGTACGGTTTTCTTTTTAAATTCATAACCAATGGTATGATTGCATGTCTCTTAAATTTAAAATTAGTTGCTGTAATATATTTTGCCTAACCGTGGATCTGCTACAGAAATGAAGACACCGGACATTAAAGTTAAGGACTCAAGCTTCAACATCTGACCGTGCCTTATAAAGTGCACAAGTTTGTACATAAACTTATTTCTTTCTTAGGCAGGTTCCAACTTCCTTCAAACATTGGCATTTTCTCTGCTTAAAATGGAATGGGAAAAAAGCTTGGGTAAAGTATTTCTACGACGGCTTTCAAGTCGATACATCTGTCAATGATGTCGCATTACAAATAACCTTACCGGAACGGAAATATTTCCTTGTTCCTCTTTCAAGTAACGGTAAAAAGTTTACACAACTGAATATCTGGGATCACGAGATTTCGAGCAGCAATATTCAAGTCATGGTATCAGGAGGGTTCAATATTCACGGCAACGTGTTGGCTTGGAGCAAACTTTTACAATACGCTTCTACCGGCGATGTAAAATGGAGTGCTGATATCTATGTACCAGGTAACAGATAATTAAAAAAATAAAGAATGGTCGAGAAGTGGATCGGTATGAATCAATATGGGGGAGTTTTGAAGGTTAAAGTAAAGGAGAAAATGTGACGAGAGAGAGAACAGAGAGAGTAAAGTGTTGCTTAGGTGGATTATTGCGGTTGTTTAAATGGTGAACTATTAAGTGTTTAAAGAATGCAGAACGGGGGGGATTTTCGAGTGTAAAGAGAACTGCTGATGTTGATTCAAGTGAAAAAGTTCAAGATGAACAAAAAGAAAAAATAGGATTGTTAGGAGAAAGAAAGGATATCAAAGAATGTTTCTGGTGAAAATTAGATGTAAGGTAATGTAAAGAATGTGGTAAGCAAGTGTGTTGAACTTTCAAGGATGAAGAGTAAAACCGGAATTATGTGTAGAATATGAAAACAGCAAGATGGAACTGTGAGGACAAAAAGAGCACGAAAGGAAACGTTAAGGTTGAGGATGGCAAATATTTGCGGCAAAAACGAGAACGAGAATGGTCAAAAATGTTGGAGGAAGGGGGGGGGGGAGAGGGAAAAAATTACAAATGTCGAATAATTGGCAGCTTGGAGTGACGAGTTATTAATTGATTGAAATAATGATGGGAACCGTTGATTTGGTTAAAATGCTTCAAATGATAAGAAATCGACATCCGTTTACTTTCTTTCCTTTTCTCATTCATTTAGGTTACACAGTTTTAATGAAGCGTAACAAATGGTGCAGAGATAATCTCTCTGGGACACCCTGTCCTGGTGAAGAGCCGGTTGCCAGACTGGGCGGCCAAAACTCGAGGATATCCATAGATTGGCGATGTTACTGCCCAAAAGCTTTGACTGTTTCAAAATACACGTTCGATTCTGACGCAAGCGAACGTCGTTATTTTTCTAGACATGATCAGCTCACCCATGTTAACTAGCAGTTACTTGGGAACAGGACACTGACTCACTGAGGCATTAAATTTTTAAAAACTCTCTTTTTTATGTTTTGTGCGAGCGCGAGGCATTGTGGGATTCGCAAAATGATAAATTAGTCATTACCGTTCATTCATTAATTTAGAGCCCAATCGTCTAGATGTCTAACTACCAAGTCAAGGTAAGGCCATTGAATCATAAGTATAAGAATCAAACATTTTAAGAATCAAACCAAGACTATCAACTTTGCAATTCTATATCATCTCAGAAAAAGCAGATATTAGTTGTAAATATTGTTAGTTTTGCCACCATTCAAGATGGCGGCTTGCCTCACTCAGTATATAATTTCGGCGAAGTCTGATATCTAGTAGATTGGGTTCTAGGTTATTGCATTCATTAGCTACACTATTGAATGGTCTTACCAATAGCCTCATTTTTGAGTCCAGAATGGCTTTAGGAGCAAGATAAATTGTCGTGTTGGAAAAACCTAATGAAGTTAAAAATAAAGAGTGGAAAGGCTATATCATTTCCATGTTAATCAAACATACATATAACATATATCAAACATACATATAACATATATCAAACATACATATAACATATCATACATGTAATATATATTGTACATATATCGAATGAAATTGCATTTTTCCATTGTCATTTAAAAAAAAGCAAGTCAAGCAGCGTTTTTTCTCTGTGTTGTACTGTCCGTACGCCAGTACTTTCAGATTGTTAGTGAAATGAGAAACCTTGCATTGGAAAGCTAAAGAGCTCTTCTCTATTTCAAAGTAAAAATATAAGTGTAAAACACAATATCGAATGCACGATGTCAAATTAAAGTACGATGCACTTTTTTAATGCACACTGTAGATAAAGTCAGGTAAATCATATGTATTCAATAAAACATAAAATTCATAGATGGGCGTATTTGCAATTAATATATGCTTGTACTGAATATTGCATGCCAGTCACCTTTAAAAGTTCGGGAATTTCTGACCTACTATCACTGCACTGCTATATATATGTACTAATGATGCTATGCTATGCTATGTATGGATGGATAGATGGTGTACAAACTTTACTTGCAAAATTAGAATTCAAAGTTAGTTGAGATGAATTTTAAAACAATTGAATTCAGCTTTCGCATAATATTACGGATCAAACAGGTGTAGGAAAAGATTTGGGTAGGCCGACGTCGACGAGTAGTTGACCCAACCCATGTATTTCTAAGCTACACGGGCTCTGTATCAGTTTCAAATATTCTATAGACCGTTCTGTACAAACGCAGGACTTGGACCAGGTTATGAAATCTTTGTTATTTAGTTGCACTTCGTTACAACATGAATAGCACAATTAATGCAACAAGCAAGTATAGCACGATCAATATATTACAAAAATCGTAAAGGTAACTAATAACCATGACGATTGATGGTGGTCATAGTTAGCTAAGTGTTCTAGTACAATGTCAGTAAGACCAAAACAATCTGTCTGAATTTTGCGCGTTTGTATTATGTACACTTTTACTCTCTGAAGATTTAAGAATGGGGACTATATCAGTTGCACTCTTGAATGGGTGTGAAGAAACTTATGAGCTTTACCAAACATGAACATAAACAGACATGGTTCTGTAGAAAATCGTGTCAATTCAACTTAGATCCAAAATAAGGATTTGATGTTAGCACAACGTTAGCATCTGCTTGTTTACGTTCTTCACTAAATAGGAAAGCATTGACAGTTTTCCTTCTAGGCAATTCAAACTATTTTGGCAGAGTTAGCCTATGTTTTTAGGGGGGACTAAGCCCAGCCCTATTAGAAAATACAATTGGGCTTAAACCCTCGCCCGCCGCTTCTTACGCTTGTGTCATACTTTATTCAGACTTTGGTTAATTACATGTTTGTAAATGTAGATCATCCAGGTTAGTATAGTACTGCTTTTGTTGTTGTTGACTGACGTTTCGACAACCTTAGCGGTAGACATCTTCAGAGTCAAAAAATTTTTGAAATTTTCCTTTTTTTGACACTGAAGATGACTACCGTTAAGGTTGTCGAAACGCCAGTCAACAACAACAAGAACAGTCCTTCTCAGGACTGTACTAACCTGGACGATCTACATTTACAAGCATGTAACGATACTCCCGGCTTCAAACCATTTACTTTACTTCGGTTAATGTTATTCGCATCGCATCCGCTTCGCTTTGGCAGATAACATTGACGTCATTCTCAATAATTCTTAATATTATGCTTAACCTCATCGATTTAATTATTTATTGTATAAAAATTTAATGCATTGAAATTAATGTAAGACCAAATGGTCTAACTTTAAACTAGTCTTTTATTGAAAAAGCAATGCACCTTAATTTTATGTATTATTAAGTCAGCTGGGAGTTGTCAGGGTTTAGTCGACATTACAGTATTATAAATGGTTAAAAACTTCACATAGCTGAATGACTTTCACCTGCCTTAAATTAGCTTTTCTGTCCTCTGCATAATTACAAACGTTTTTCTTCTTCTTAACTTTTTTGTTAAGTAAAGTAAGAGCTTTTTCGACGCACTTAAGTATATTTATACATATATATTTATAAAACAGCGACAATAAAACGTGCACGCTAATTGCTCTACAGCTTTGTTTGCATTAGCCTGCGCAAAACAGATCTGAGCTCAACCAATTAAATCGATCAATCGTTCAAAGAGAATTTGCAAATCAATCATGAATACATTCTTAAGGAAAACTCAAACGTTGTTTACGTTATTGTTACTTTAAAAAAGAAATAAAAGATGTTTTGAGTTTTTGCTGATCAACTCACGAGTTCTCCCAAATGTCTTCTCGGCTTGCATAAGCATGTGCAAACACAACAAACATCTTTTATTTCTTAAATACGTTTAAAACAAACTGTGACATTGTATTTAGTTAGTGCTTCAGCTTGCCACGGTTTCAAAAATGGCACAACAGCGAAAAAATGCTCCTTTTCTCTGCAAAGTCATTCAGTTCTCGCGTTTGGAAATTCTTCTTCACATGATCTTTGTGATGGAATCAAGCGGATGGCAGGTCGAAAAAAAAAGTTGTGACCAGGTTTACTATACAGAAAGCTCTGGTAGGAAATAAGTTTCTCGTGTTCCAAGTCAAACTATGTGTAAATATTTAGTTGAATAATGTTCAACGTTAAGATTTAGTTACCAATTTGTGCACGAGTTAGTAATCGTGTTATTACAGCTATTTGTAGAATAAATCCGTCGGGAAACTGTTTTATTCATGCATTTTTAGATATTCATCTTAACTTTTCTTGTTAAAGAAATAACAATATGTTCTCAGTAGTCAATTTGTCTTACAACGTAATTATTTTGACTGTTAACAGTGACACTTTTCTTTTATAGAACCGCTGGCATCGTTGAATATAAACATAACGAAGCAAGTTCGCGTCCGTTCAATTATCGAGTGCGGACAACTTTGTGGATCCCATGACTTTTGCGAGGCTTTCCTACATAGCATTAACAAAAAAGACGGAAACTGTCGAATGCTGAATGGAACACCCGAAAGAAAAATGGGATTGATTAAACATGTGGTCGAGGAGAAGTGGAGACTCTACATTTCGCTTAAGGTAAAGTTTTTGAAAGTTTAGTTACAATCAGCGAATGTATGCAGCGTTTTTTTACAAGAACATTGGATTCACTGTTTAATGGAAAGTGGGGGAGAAGTAAGAACAGTCAAATTGCGCAAATTGGCTTTAAAGCAAAAACTGCGCTTCTTCCAATAAATGGCAAACTCATTTTCTCATCGATGGCAAGATTTTTTGCTAAAAATTTTCAAATCAAGTAAACAAGACAGTGAAAATACCGTCTTCAAATATTTACGAAGTGAATTTGAAGCCCAATTTATTGGGAATGAGCTGTTAGACTACAGGCGTAAGTTTTTCATATCTGCTATAAAATGCAGATGCTCAATTTTTACGATTCTGCTGAAATCTGTCCACAAAGTTGAACTCGGGTTTTATGAATCTTCATCATGTTCATCTTTTCTTTTAAATATATTCTGTGGTCCTCTCGCGCGAATTAATACATTTAGCTTGGCTGCTAACTTTAATTTAATTGAAAAGTTATTGGGAGGGAGGCAGAAAAAAAGCGACTGGGGGTTAAAAATATTTACACAAATTTACCAGCGCATGCATATAGTGATTCACGGAACATATCAATAAATATTATTACAATTTAAAAGAAATTCCATTAGAAATTAAAAAGATAAAACAATTTATATCGCTAAGTTTTGTGCTTAGCAATGGCATACCTCTTTCTCACTCTAGGCAAAATGTGAAATGGATAAAACGTGTCAAGGTCAAGGTCAATGCATGACGGATTGCAATCAGCCAGATGTTGTCAAATGTGGTTGTTATGAAAACTATTACGGCGAATATTGTGAGAAATATTGTAAGAATATCAAACACTTCTTTAAGACATTTTAAGACAGAAAAGTGATTCTTGTGAAACTAATTCGGGCTATCAAAAAAAATTGGTAACTGAGCATTCTCAAATGATGGCGTGATTTAGGAATGTTGTCATAGCTACATTGTTTTTTTCCACAATCTTCTATCAGAAGATTGTTTATTGATTTCATATTTCGAAATAAACTACTAAGTACATTAATAATAAAAAATAATGACATCGATTTTTTATGTACCATCCTCACGAGTTTACTCATTTACATGCATGCATTTTATACCAGCAATTTTCATGAGGAAAACTGATAAATGTAAATTACACATCCCCTTCCGCTGTTACCGAAACACAAAAACACTTTCTATTACAGACGACTACGATCTGAACTTTCCCAACACCTCTGCATACACACAGATCGATGTGGGACACATAGACAAAAGCCTAAATGAGTTTACCATAACAGTCTGGGTGCTTTTTAACGTTGGCTATGAAAGTTATCCCCTGATCTCGTACAAGACAAAAAATTCGTCACAAAACATCGCGATGCATTTCGACCTGGATGGAAATGGTGCATCAACAATAGCAAGCTTAACTGCTAAGGCATTTAACAAATCTTTAAGGTAAATTTTATACACGTTTTGTAGGATTTATCCTGTACCTGTTTTAACCTCAGACTGGCTCCAGCTTACGAGCCTTTCAATTTCAAGTGCCTGGAGCAAACTGGAAACTTTCCCAACAAACGAATCGAAAAGTTTAGACTTAAGTCATAAAAGTATGTTTCTCACATTTAAGAAAACGATTTCATGGTAATCGGTGGTATTAAACTTTAAAAGACTTATTTCGTCATTTGCCATAATACAAACAAAACTCAATTCAGAACAAATTGAGATATAAGAGTTGTTGCTAACTGAGTTAATTAAGCGCAGAAAAGAATTGCTACTACATTTGTGATAACTTTGACGTTGGTCCAAAGTTCTAACACCTTTCTCGCATCTTTGTCGCTTTTAAGCATGGTCTTTTTATTACTTGTTTGCCAACTTTAAGATTCTTTGATAGGTTTTTTCAATTGTCACTCGATTCCTATGTACGGAAAGAAAAAATTCCTTCAATTTCAGTCATATTTTATATTCTGTAGGTGTGTGTAATAAGGGCCCGATTACAGTGGCGGCGGAATGTTGATAATTGGAGGGCATGGGAGCGATATATTCATATATTCATATGTTATAATCATTAAACACAATTGATTTTAATAGGAACTAATAAAGTAAAACATGGATATATGTATAGAAGACCCCCCCTCAATTATCAATGTTCGGCCGCCCTTGCCAACTTTCATTTACGAAAGGGGCTCATGGTCCATGGCACATAGGTGACTACGAGCCCGATCTGTTTCTTTGCAGGTATTCTTTCTCAATGATTTTCCACTTCAATCAATTTACTCAACAAAAAACAATCGATATTTTTATCTTCATAGCATGGTGACCATACCCATAAATGACGACCATTGGCATCACGTTGGCTTTACGTGGTCAGGTGTAACCGGAATTATAATGCTGCTTATCGATGGTGTGTTGTGGGCAACTCGAAATGTCTCTATGAGCAGCGAGATACCATCCGGAGGGAAGTTAACAATAGGAGAAAAAAAAGCTGAGGGTGGAAACCAATATCTGGTCGGTAAGATCAGTCGTATGAACATGTGGAGTAGAGCATTAGATGGAAAAAAGATTGAAATGATGGCAAAAAGTCCTGGGATAAATGACGGTGATTTGATCACGTGGTATAAACTAAAAAATATTGTGTCGACTGAAAGGATCATTCGTCCTTCAAAAGCATCATTCTCAGGTTGAATATTTTCTTTTTCATACAGAATGTTTATCAAACACGATGAATATATAGAAAAATCAGTCGGTTGGTTTTGTATTTTATGTTTCCAATTTGACAATTAAGTAAAATGTTTCAGGAGTCTTCCTCCAAAGATAAAAGGATATGATCTCTTATGCAATCGCTTCCTGTCAATCTTATATAAGAGTATTCTGACTACACGAGCTGGGATGTGGCATCCGACGTCACTATGATCTCCCTCACAGAGAGAAATATAATTGGATTGAAATGCGAAATCACATTGAAACTAAGGCAAAAATGCATTCTCTCTTATGTTCTAGGTAATGAGACAAACTATTATATAAGTGTGCCATCTACATTGGTTAGCTATCCTGGACCACCACATCCCATAAATTATATATCTGCCTGTGTTTGGTATTACGGAAGTGGGAGCGAGAACCACGAAATCTTTTCATACAACTCATCAAAGGAATTTAGGTTTCAGTTTAAGTCAGGAACACAACTGTTCACAAAAATCAATGGTGTTTCGAGTCAGAAGTAAGCACTTGCAACACTTGTCAGAGACTGTAGTATGTATGTGCTCCGGTTTCAAGATTAGATTACAATCCTGATAAAGACATTACAATCTAGTATAAAAGAACTCTATATTCAGCATTAGATCACTTTGGATAAAGACAATGGCTGAGTCAACGTTAGGCAAAATAAATTAGAAAAGCCAATTGGTTTGTACGATTTTGATCTTTCGAAATTCATAACCAATGGTATTGTTGTATGTATGTTACGATTAGAATTAAAGACTATAATAAGTTTTGCTGGATTGTGGATTTTCTACTGGATAAAGACACTACTAGGCATTTAAGTTAAGGACTCAAGTTTCAACATCTGAGCATGCCTGATAAAGTGCACAAGTTTGTACATAAACTTATTTCTTTCTTAGGCAGGTTCCAAGTTCCTTCAAAAAATGGCATTTTCTTTGCTTAAAATGGAATGGAAAAAAAGCTTGGGTAAAGTATTTCTTCGACGGCTTTCAAGTCGATACATCTGTCAATGATTCTGCATTACAAATAACCTTACCGGAACGGAAAAATTTCGTTGTTCCTCTTTCAAGTAACGGTAAAATTTTTTCACAACTAAATATCTGGGATCACGAGATTTCGAGCAGCAATATTCAAGTCATGGTATCAGGGGGGCTCAATATTCATGGCAACGTGTTGGCTTGGAGCAAGCTTTTACCATACGTCTCCCCTGGAGATATAAAATTGCCTGTTACTATTTATCTACCAGGTAATAGATAGAAAAGAAAGGAAAGAGTGGTTGAGAAGTGGGTCGGTATAAATCAATATGGTTAAGACTTGATAGTTAAAGCAAAAGGGCACACGCAAGGAGAGAGAGATTAGAGACAAAGTAAGGGGGGGGGGGTGTTGTTCAGTGATAATGAAAGGTCAAGTAGATTCAGGTTCTTATGCAAGCAGAACGGAGGGAGGATTCTTTAAGATTAAGAAAACTGCTGATGTTGAGACAAATATGAGTTTGTTTAAAATAAACAAAAAGAAACAGCTGAATTAACAGGAGAAAGAAGGAATATCGAAGGATTATGAGGGTAAAAATAGCAAGTGAAATGATGTAAAAAATTTAGTGAGAAAGATTTGAGCTTTCATGCTTGAAGGTAAAAATATCAAGATGGAACTTTGAGGATAAAAAGCACGGAAGGAAGTTTAGGATGACAAATGGTTTGGTAAAAATGTGAGCCTGTGAGGTTAAAGAGAATGGTCAAAAATATCGAGGGGAGGGAAATACAAGTGACAATGTAAAACAGCTGGAAGCTTGGAGTGACGAGTTTCAAACTAATTTAAATTTGATGGATAATATTGTTATGTTTAGGACCTTCAAGTAACAAAGAAGCAATATCAGTTTAATTTCTTTCCTATTTTTTGTTCTTGTTCATAGGTTACACAGTTTTAACGAAGCGGACAAAATGGTGCAGAGATAATCTCTCTGGGTCATCCTGTCCTGGTGAAGAGGTTGCTAGACTGGGTGGCATGATCTCAAGGGAATCAATATTTTGGCAATGTTATTGCCCAAAATGTTTGACTGCTTCAAAAAACACGTTCGATTTTGACACAACTCACACAAGCAAAACTTGTTATGTTTCTAAAGTACATCATCAGCTCATCCACATCAACTGACACTCACTTTGGCACAAGACACATAGGCAGTAACTTATGATACAGGCTTTCTTCTTTATCACGTTATTTTATGTAGAAATGAAAGACAGATTTTGGTCACTACATTGTTAAATGTTGTTGATCGGTGATAAACCAGTAGTGAGGATAATTTGTAATTCTACACTCCAGTACTTACGTTCCAATGATGTTTTGATATTTAGGTAAAAGCTTGAGTTCTGTGCTGAAAACTGTAGTGGAGTAAGAATGGGAAAGTGATCAAAAGCCAACAGACGGCTTTCTCATTTCATTTCCAATAGATGAAGTATAAACATAATACCCATGATATATATTATACATATATCAAATAAAAATTGTATATTTCACTTGTCATTTAAAACAAAAGCAACTCAAGCAGCTTGTTTTTCTCTGCGTCGTACCCATAAATGTACCATACTCCAGTACTTTCTGATTATTATGAAATATAAAGCTAAAGAGCTCCTCATTTTTCTATGTAAAAATATAACGGACCTCACTAAATTGATTACGGTCTCCACTAATTATGAAAGCATCGACAGTTATCTTTCTAGGCAATTCAGGCTTAAGAAAGTTTCTATTATTTTGGCAAAGTTAACCCATGTTTTTATGGGAACTAAGCCCAGCCCCAATTAGAAAATTTATTGGGGCTAGAGCCCCTTTCCCGCCGTTTCCTACGCTTATGTCATACATAATTCAGACTTCGGTTAATGTTATCGCATCCACTTCGCTTTTGCAAATAACATTGACGTCATTCTCAATAATTCGTAATATTATGCTTAACCTCATCGATTTAATTATTTATTGTAAAAAAATTTAATGCATTGGAATTAATGTAAGACCAAATGGCCTAACTTAAAACTTGTCTTTTACTGAAAAAGCAATGTACCTTAATTTTATGTATTATTAAGTCAGCTGGGAGTTGTCAGGGTTTAGTCGACATTACAGTATTATAAATGGTTAAAAACTTTCACATAGCTGAATGACTTTCACCTGCCTTAAATTAGCTTTTCTGTCCTCTGCATAGTTACAAACGTTTTTTCTTCTTAATTTCTTTGTTAAGTAAAGTGAGAGCTTTTTGGACGCACTTAAGTATATTTATACATATATATTTATAAAATAATGACAATAAGACGTGCGCGCTGATTGGTCTACAGCCTTGTTTGCATTAGCCTGCGCAAAACAGATCTGAGCTGAACAAATTAATCAATCAATCGATCAAAGAGAATTTGCAAATCAATCACGAATACATTCTTCAGAAAAACTTAACCAGTTGTTTTTAAATTTGTCATTTTTTCTTATTATGACTTTGAAAAAGAAATAAAAGACGTTTTGAGTTTTCGCTGATCAGCTCACGAGTTCTCCCAAAGGTCTCCTTGGTTTACATAAGCAAGTGCAAACACAACAAACTCTTTTTTTCTTAAATACGTTTGAAAGAAACTGTCGACATTATCAGTTTGCCTTTGTTTCAATAATGACACAACAGCGAAAAAATGCTCTCTTTTTCTGCAAAGTCATTCGGTTCTCGCGTTTGGAAATTCTTTTCCACATGATGTTTGTGATGGAATCAAGCGGATGGCAGGTCAAAACAAAAAGTTGTGATCAGGTTCACTATACAGAATGCTTAGATAGGAAATAATTTTCTCATGTTCCAAGTCAAACTATGGGTAAGTCAAAAAATTTAGTTGAATAATGTTCAACGTTAAGATTTAGTTGCCAATTTGTGCTAGAGTTAGTAATGATGTTATTACAGCTATTTGTTGAATAAATCCGTCGGGAAACTGTTTTATTCATGCATTTTTAGATATTGATCTTAATTTTCCTTGTTAAAGATATAGCAATATGTTCTCAGTTGTCAATTTGTCTCACAAAGTAAATGTTTTGACTGTTGCCAATGACACTTTTCCTATATAGAACCGCTGGCATCGTTGAATATAAACATAACGAAGCAAGTTCGAGTCCATCATCGAGTGCGGACAACTTTGTGGATCCCATGACTTTTGCGAGGCTTTCTTACATAGCATTAACAAAAAAGACGGAAACTGTCGAATGCTGAATGGAACACCCGAAAGAAAAATGGGATTGATTAAAAATGTGGTCGAGGAGAAGTGGAGACTCTACATTTCGCTTAAGGTAAAGTTTTTGAAAGTTTAGTTACAATCAGCGAATGGATGGAGCGTTCTTTTACAAGAACATTGGATTCACTGTTTAATGAAAAGGGGAGGAGAAATCAGAACAGTCAAATTGCGAAATTGACTTTAAAGTAAAATTTCCGCTTCTTCCAATAAATGGCAAACTCATTTTCTCATCGATGGCAAAATTTTTGCTAAAATTTTTCAAATCAAGTAAACAAGACAGTGAAAATACCGTCTTCAAATATTTACGAAGTGAATTTGAAGCCCAACTTAATGTGAATGAGCTTTTAGACTACAGGAGTAAGTTTTTCATATCTGCTATAAAATGCAGATGCTCAACTAGTATGATTCTGCTGGAATCTGTCAACAAAGTGAACTCAGGTCTTATGAATCTTCATCATGTTCGTCGTTCGTTTTAAATGTATTCTGTGGTTCTCTCGCGCGAAGTAATATATTTAGCTTGGCTGCTAACTTTAATTTAATTGAAAGGTTATTGGGAGGGGGCAGGTAAAAAGCGACTCGGGGTTAAAAATACTTACAAATTCACCAGCGCATATATGGTGATTCACGGAACATATCAATAAACATTATTAGAATTTAAAAGAAATTCCATTAGAAATTAAAAATTAAAACAATTTATATCGCTAACTTTCGTGCTTAACAATGGCATACCTCTTTCTCACTCAAGGCAAAATGTGAAATGGATAAAACGTGTCAAGGTCAAGGTCAATGCATGACGGATTGCAATCAGCCAGATGTTGTCAAATGTGATTGCTATGAAAACTATTACGGCAAAAATTGTGAGAAATATTGTAAGAATATCAAACACTTCTTTAAGACATTTTAAGACAGAAAAGTGATTCTTGTGAAACTAATTCGGGTTATCAAAAAAAATTGGTAACTGAGCATTCTCGTATGATGGCGTGATTTAGGAATGTTGTCATAGCTACATTGTTTTTTCCACAATCTTCTATCAGAAGATTGTTTATTGATTTCATATTTTGAAATAAACTACTAAGTACATTAATAATAAAAAATAATGACATCGATTTTTTATGTACCATCCTCACGAGTTTACTCATTTACATGCATGCATTTTATACCAGCAATTTTCATTAGGAATACTGACAAATGTAAGTTACAAATCCCCTTCCGCTGTTACCGAAACACCAAAACACTTTCTATTACAGACGACTACGATCTGAACTTTCCCAACACCTCTGCATACAAACAGATCGATTTGAGACACATAAACAAAAGCTTAAATGAGTTTACCATAACAGTCTGGGTGCTTTTTAACGTTGGTTATGAAAGTTATCCCCTGATATCGTACAAGACAAGAAATTTTGTTATCTCGAACTTTTATTTACCATAGGGGCTCATGTGCCATGGCACATAGGTGACTACGAACACCATCTGTTTTTTTGCAGGTATTCTTTCTCAATGACTTTCCGCTTCAATCAATTTACTCGACAAAAAACAAACGATACTTTTATCTTCATAGCATGGTGACCATACCCATAAATGACGACCATTGGAATCACGTTGGCTTTACGTGGTCAGGTGTAACCGGAAGTGTCCTGCTGCTCATCGATGGCGTGTTGTGGGCAACTCGAAATGTCACTATGAGCAGCGAGATACCATCCGGAGGGATGTTAACAATAGGAGAAAAAAAAGCTGAGGGTGGAAACCAATATCTGGTCGGTAAGATCAGTCGTATGAACATGTGGAGTTGAGCATTAGATGGAAAGGAGATTGAAATGATTGCAAAAAGTCCTGGATGAATGACGGTGATTTGATCACGTGGTATAAACTAAAGTATATTGTGTCGAACGAAAGGATTATTCGTCCTTCAAAAGCATCATTCTTAGGTTAAATACTTTATTTTTCATACAGAATGTTTATCAAACTACGATGCATATATAGAACATTCAGTCGGTTGGTCTTAAATTTTTGTTTCCAAATTGACAATTAACTAAAATGTTTAAGTTTCAGCCTTATAAGCTTACGACACCTTGAGGTGACGATCTCCCATTTGAATGTGTGTTACTGTTACTTATATAAGGGAATTCGGACTTCACGAGCTGGAATGTGGAATATGACCTCACAATGGTCTCCTTCACAGAGAGAAATACGATTGAATCGAAATTCGAAATCACATTAAAACTAAAGCAAACCTGCATTCTCTCTTATATTTTAGGTAAAAAGACAAACTCTTTGATTAGTGTGCCATCTGCATGGGTCCGCTATCCTAGAACATCACAGCCCATAAATACTATATCTGCCTGTGTTTGGTATTACGGAAGTGGGAGCGAGAGCACTGAAGTCTTTTCATACAACTCATGCTTCTAAGGAATTTAGATTTCTCTTGAAGCCAGGAACACAAATGTCCACTAAAATCAAAGGTCTTTCGAGTCAGAAGCAAGCATTGACAACAATACTTGTTAACAACTAAAGTATGTAGGAATTCCAGTTTCAACATGAGATCACTCCTAATGAAGACAATAGAATTTTTGTTAATAAGGACTCCAATTTCATCGTTAGATTGGATCCGACAAAAACAAAAAACTCTAGAGCATGATTGATGATTTCAGTTTAATTATTAAACCACAATCCTGGCAAAGTCATCTAGTGACTCTAGTATAGTAGGCTCAATTTTCAGCATCAGTTCCAGCGATAGGCACAATATAAATTAGAACAGTTATTGATTGATTTTATTTATTGTAAATTCATAAAACTGGAGGATGTAATACATTTTGCCTAACCGTGGACCCGCTACTGCATGAAGGCACCAGGCATTTAAGTTACGGGCTCAAGTTTCAACATTTGAGAACTCCGATTAAATACGCAAGTTTTGACATCAGCTTATTTTCTTAATTAGGCAAGTTGCAACTTCGTTCAAGTATTGGCATTTTCTATGTTTGAAGTGGAATGGTAAAAAAGCTTGGGTAAAGTATTCCTTCGACGGCTTTCAAGTCGAGACATCTGTCAATGATGCCGCATTGCAAACAACCTTACCGGAACGGAAAAACGTCCTGATTCGTTTTTCAAGTAACGGTAAAAAGTTTTCACAACTGAATATCTGGGATCATGAGATTTCGAGCAGCAATATACAAGTAATGGTATCAGGGGGGTTCAATATTCATGGCAACGTGTTGGGTTGGAGCAAACTTTTACAATACGTCTCCCCTGGAGATATAAAATTGCCTGTTACTATTTATGTACCAGGTAATAGATA